CCCCCCCCCCCCCTTCAAAATGTTCTGTCGACATGACTGCTCGCCTGGCACTACTGTGTCAAGGACATCTGAAACGGACTGTGTTCCGCGGACAGAAGAGGCAATCAAGGAAGCCAGGCCGAACATGACTTGCTCAGCCTCAAGTTGGTCGCGCCCGCGCGCGGACAAACGGTCATTATTCGCGTCATTCGTATCAATGTGACCGTTCTTACTTGTATGCTTGGATTAGAAAGATGGCATTGTCTGCTGCCTTGGTTGTCGTCGTCAGCCAGGGGCGAGCTGCTGATGTGAGCGTTGTCGTGTCATTTGTTCATCATGTCATGGGATATGTTTACTGCATTACAACTCCTGTTAACATATCAATCTGATTGCCAACTTCAACTGCACTTCTGGTGAACAGCATGCATAGGGTCCAGCCAAGATGGATTGGTTCGTCAGAGTGTAATTGTGGCAACTGCTGTTCTCTATGGTACAGATTCCACGCCATGCTTCTCCTCGAATCGCCACGAGTCCCAAAAACTCCGTACTCCACTGTTGCACATGACCAGCAATTCGTTGTATGCCTCGTATCGTCCATCTACTTCCATAGCTTGGTGAGCGAAACTTGTTGGTCGTTGTGTCTGTTGAGGACCTTTGCAGTCGCAAGGTCAAAGTCCTCCTGGGTGACGTGAACTCTTCTTTCTCTGAGGGCAAACATGCCGGCTTCTGTGCACACACCCTTGAGCTCGGCACCTGAGCATCCGTTCATCTTCTCGGCGACCTTGGTGAGGTTGATGCCTCTGGTCAGGTTCATGGAACGACTGTGAATGCGGAGAATGTCGGCACGAGCCTCGACGGTTGGTGGAGGGAACTCGATCTTTCTGTCGATACGACCAGGTCTGAGGAGTGCGGGATCCAGGATGTCGAGACGGTTGGTGGCCATGATGATCTTGATGTTCTTGGTGGGCTCGAAACCGTCGAGCTGGTTGAGCAATTCCAGCATGGTGCGCTGGACTTCGCTGTCTCCGCCGCTGGAACCTTCAACACGCGAAGAACCAATACTGTCAATCTCGTCCATGAAGATGATACTGGGGGCGTGCTCTCGTGCCATGACGAACAGCTCGCGCACCATTCGTGAACCCTCTCCAATGTACTTTTGCACCAACTCGGAACCAGAAACTCTGATGAACTTGCAGTCGGTGTGATGGGCCACAGCTCTTGCCAACAACGTCTTTCCTGTTCCAGGAGGGCCGTACAGAAGGACACCCTTGGGTTGTGCGATACCGAGCGATTCGAAAAGTTCGGGGTGCTTGAGACCAAGCTCGATGACCTCCTTGATTTGCTTGATCTGCTCATCGAGACCACCGATCATATCATAGGTACTGTCGGGTACCTTTTCGACCATCATGAGCGAGACGAGAGGGTCGACGGATGAGGGAAGCATGGACGAGAGCTTGTATGAATCGGAGAGGAGAGTGACACGCTTGCCGGCGGTGAGCTTGGACATGTCGATATCGTCGGCGACATCAACGACTGGCGAGGAAAGTTAGCAGGGCGCATAGCGTGATGGCGGCGCTTGTTTGGACGTACCGTATTTGCCTTCGGGATGTACCTTGACCAAGACCTTCTTTGTGCTCATGACCTTGACGACCTCACCCACGTAGGATCCAGGCTGCTGGAGCAGACCTAGCTCCTCGCGCAGCAGGCGCACCCTTGAGTTGTAGTCGTTTCTTTGCGCTTCAAGTCTGCGGAGGACTGCTTGACGCTGGATGATCTCGAGCTTCATGCTCTCGATCTTGTTGTGGAAGAACGTGTCGAGCGCCATCTTGGGCAATCTGATCTTGTGATGCGCTGGAAAGGATGGGAGATGCAGATGCAGAGACAGCGACCAGTGAGTGAGGGCGGGTTGTGTTGATGATGGAGTTGTTGTAGAGATGGCGACTGACTGCTCATGACGATGCACGCTCGGAGGTCGGAGCTTACCCACTATCATTTGCATAATGTTTTATGCTGTCCATACCACTTTCACTCGACACGACTTGCCAATCTTTGAGGGAAGGTACCTTAGGACAATTAATTACTTTTCTACACTATCTAACACAGTCTATACCCGCTTCTGTATCCGAATCTCCAAGTATCGGAGCGGCACATACAGCAGCCCTGTAACAACAAAAGCCATTTCAAACCCAATATCGCCAGTCGTCTTCGCGATTGGTCCTGTGTACCACACCTGCGCCATCGAAGGAATCACCAAAGCAAAAGATAAAGCACTGGCTCCCAAGGCAGCGATACCGCTAGGTAGCATACTAGCCTTGTCCCACTTCTCATGAGCATAAGCCGAGCAGTCCGATTTCCTGAACCAAGCATGCTCAATAATAACCACAGCCACAAACGCAGACGCCCAGTAGCCAATAACACCGATGAAATTCTCAAGGTTGTTGAAGAAACTGGTGGCGGCGCGAATGGCGACGGGAATCACGATGGCTGTAATGACAATCGCGAACAAGAAACGAGGGACCCTGACCATCCAAGGCAGCAAAAGTTGGAAGTTGAGCGTGATGCTGTACATGGTCGCTGCGATGTTTCCAAGAAGCGAGAAAGCGAGCAGTACCACGACGAATTTGCCAAAGCCGCCAGCGGGTTCGAGCATGGCTGCTAGGACACCACCGACAGAGGTTGAATCGTAGCCAGCTTGCCACGAGGCCACGTTGGGAGTTGCGCCTCCGATAGCAGCACCGAGGACCATCAAAGGTACTGTGGGTAAGAACAATCCACCGTAGGTGTAAGCGAATACTTTGGTGCTGGAAGCTTCAGGAATCATGTAGACAGCAAAATCTCCAGCCAATGCCGCCCAAGGAATGAGGAAGCCGGCAATGAGTGCTGAGAAGGAAAGAACAGTAGACGCCGCAGGAGCCGGCTGGACAACCTGGTTGCTCAGATGCTTGCCGCCCGTTCCAGTCGCGATGACAATGGCGACCAGAGCTGGAATCCACGCAAATCGCTCATAGCGATGCAGAATCTTGAATCCGCAGAAGCACACCAACATAGCTAAAATGGCAATGACCACGATACCCACATCGGGCGTCAGATGACCATGGGTGATTGCAGACAGCGATTGACCGCCGATAACACTGTCAATGACACAGAAACCAGTAAGCGTCGCAAGATTGAGAATGACAGGCACCGACACGAGATAATAGCCGAACGAGAATCTTGCCTGTATCATTTGTCGCATACCAGTCCTAGGACCGAGTGTTGCCAGGTATCCAACCGGTATCGTACACAGAATGCTGAAGAACAGGATGATCAGAGAGCAATCTCTGAGTCCAAGTCCGTAGCCCAGCGGTCCAGTCATACCAGTGACAATTCTAGGTTTTGTCAATGACATGTTCATCCTCACAAACATCAAACAAAAAACTTACGGTAGCAAATTGACACTCATGGTCAACCATAGCGTAAAGATTCCATGGACTCTCGTATTCGTTCGCTCAGACACCGGAATTGGAACGATACCTCCAGTCTCCACTCCTAGCGATGCAAACTTCTTCAACGACCATGATTGGGCAACCTCGACATCTGCATCTTTTCCAGATCCAGGAAGTCCTTTTTCTTCGTCCGAGATTCTAGCATTTAGTGCCTTGACGTGGTGATCGTCCATTGTGGGGGCCATGCTGGGATAGAGGATTGGACAGTCGAAACCGAGAAAAGCACTTGATGCAAGGCAAATCACAGGATACAATGTAAAGGTGTCAGAGCCGAATTATCTTTGTCAGCGGCCTAGACCATTTTACGTGGATATGACTCTTCTTCTCCAGGTTCTTGACATGTCTTTTCCAAAATGTTGCCACTTTTTGGCCCGAACTAGAAATTTTTTGCCGTTGGGCGCATTCTGGCGCGTTGTCGACCGAATTTTTCTTTGTTTGATTAAATCGAACAATGAAATCCACCTAATGGTTCTATCACGATGGTGCTGTGAGATCGAAAAGGCAAACCATACTTTAGGATTGTATAATCAATTGACATCAGCTTACTGCAAGAACCGAGGTTATAATTGCGCTTCGATAGCCTAGAATCGCTCTGCTTCATTGGAAATAAACCACAACAAGTAAGCAGATTTAGAGGATAGTTGAAGACTGTTTCATTCATTACATAAAGTCGTTGATGGTGCGCGAACACACGCTGGTATCAATCACCAAAAGAGCAAGCAAGTAAACACCTGTGCCTCATCCAAGCCAAATTTTGTTCTGTATTAAGAGCCCATCATAACTTCAGCACTTAAGAAGCCTTGGCGCAGCCATTGCAAGTGCACTGGCCGGCAGGGCAGGGGCAGGAGCCCTCAGCACCACCACAGTTGCACTTGGTCTTTCTAGGCTCCTCCGAGACGACCTTCATGTTGGCAGAGTTGGCGGTGACACCAGAGGACTTGTCGGAGTTTTTGGCACAGCCGGAGCAAGCGCAGTGTCCGGGAGCGCAAGGGCAGGCACCAGCGTCGCTAGAGCAGGAGCCTGTGACACGTTAGTAATTTGGACGCAAGCCTCGGAGACGGTAGAACATACACTTGGTCTTGCCGTTTCCGACGGAGTGAACGTCGTTCTTGCCGGTCTTGAGGTTGGCAAGGTGACGGGCCTCGTTGTGGACATCGAGGACCTGCTTGCTGCCCTGGTTGTAGAAGTCTCTGAGCTTCTGACCGGTGGGAGTACCGAGAGCCTTCTCGAAGTAAGAGTTCAAGCCGGACCAGGCAGCGACACCCTTGTCAGTAACACCGTACTTCTGGTCAATTCCCTGAGCTTTTGCGGTAGCCTGGTACTTGGCATCAAACTGCTGGAGGGTCGAGGTGAAGCGAGCGCTGACACCGTGCTGCTGGTCGAGGGCGAGAGCGCGCTCAATGGCCTTGTCGCTGATGGTGTAGCCGTGGGCAAGGTACTCGGCAACAATGCGAGAGCGGGGCTTGTCCTCTTGAGAAATGTTGTCTTCGGAGGAGTGCTCTTCATCGGCAGCGGACAGCTTTCCACCAGAAAGCTCGTCGAGAGAGGCAACGGAGGTGACGTGGACCTGGTTGGCACCGAGCTGGGTGTTGTCAAGGAGCAGAGCAGTCTTGGCTGCCGACTCCTTCTCGAAAGTGACCGAAGCAGACTTGACGCTGTCGGCATCGTTAGACTCGGGGGTGGCGGAAATGTTTGAGATCTTGCCGCTGTGAATAATGTATCAGTTGATGTAAGGTTGAGCTGAGAGGACACGACTCACCAGAACGAGAAGAAGTCGCGAACCTCCTTCTCCGAGGTCTGGGCAGAGATGTTCTGAACGTTGACGGTGGTCGACATGATGAATTAGGTATGGAGATTGGTTTGTGGTTTGTTGAAGGTGGTATTGAGAGGTGAAGAAGGAAGATGTGTAGCGTTTTGGTGAGTTAGCTGTTCGTACCCCTCAAAAGGCGGCGAGAAAGAAGCTCGTAACGTCACTGTGGCGCAGTCCAGCCAGCCAGCCAGTCCAGCTTCCGCTGTTTCCCAGCTGACATGTGACACTACATCACCAAACTCTTTCAGCTCTTCTTCCCTGTATCTTGTTGAAGCTTGATTCACTTCCTGGGAACTCGTACTGCATGTCAAAAGCTTGAATACGTTGCTTCACAGGACAACTGTGCAATGCCTCATTGGACGACTGCCATCTATCTGTCAGTTGCATCATGTTCGTACCTACGGCACTGAACGCTGATGTTACGTTCGTCCGGCCCAGAGCTCCGACTTAATACATTTGTCCTGACGGGAATCACCCGTTACTTGATGTTACTGTGCATTCTGACAGCTACACTCTTACAGGCTTTTCCAAATGAGAGCAAGGGACAAGGCTCAGCACCGTCGGTCGACTTGGATGGGCGCAGTGCAGGATATAAGTGAGTGATCAAATCCTTGACGGCAGATCTGAAAGTAGTTTCTGGTCTCTGCTTTGTGGCAGCGCCATGGTTATCACTGATAGCCTTCACAAAAGGCAGTGTTTTTGAACTTGGCTTCGCTATAGACCTCTGCATCGACGAAGACACACATTCGTGTTCACAATCTAGACTCAAGCTATCTCACTTCCGCCAGCTCGTCCTCATCTTCAGGATGTGCGAGAGATAAGAAATCCAACGTCGTCCCATTCGACCTCCTCTGCAGAACTGATGTTTCTATTTCAATTTATTGACAAGAAATCGCAGACAGAAATGCAAGTCGAAGACTGAGTTTTCTGAGAAGAGACACCCAATCCTCGTCGGTGATGTTCTTGCATCTCTCTTCTGTCCAACCAGTTGCGAGGTAGGTAAGAATAGCGTCTTTCGGCATAACTTTACGGATGCCAGGAGAGATGGCCGCCGCCTCAAGCCATACTTGATCGCTCGGTCTGGGTTGTACGACTTATCAGAACAAACGTGGACCAAGTCAACTTGTGTTATGCTGTTCAAGAAATATGAACATCTTTGGAGAGTTGAAGTTCGTCGAGTCATATATCTAACCTCTCTCTCGGCAGTCGAATCGCATTCACCCCACAATCCGGCTGTTCTCAACAGCCTTTTTCGCTGGTGAGACTTTTCCATGTTTGTTGTTACAATCAGCGAACGGTCAACCTGCGCCGGGCTGGCCCTCTACCGCCCGCCTATTGTACATTTCTCGGAGCTGAGGAGAGAGATTGCAGACGTAGAACCAGGTCCAGAAGGCAATACAATTTCTGCTTGTCACAGAATATAGCAAACAGGTGCATGGGTATAGTGTGGGCAGTACGGACCGGTCAAGAGAGGTTTCCAGCATTCATCTCTCGACTGTAGAACCATCTCGAAGTGCGATGAGATGCAGAGCAACCGGATCGGTGGCCATCTCAACGACTCACGCGACACAACCAGCTCGACGTTCCCCGCTTCTGCATAGCCGTAACCAAGCTATCCCAAGTCCGGTGTTGAGTTGATCAATCACACGACGCGCTCAACGCCTTTTTCCCTGCCGTCTCGAGCATTCGTGTTAATGCTTGCATGCCATAATTCGCTCATATCAAACAAACCTGGAACTCTGTCCTCGGTAATCAGCCTATCTCTCTGTGATCACTATGCAGACTGCCCTGCGATAAGGATGTTGAAGCAATCAGGAAAATCGAATTTCTCTCGATCGATGAAGTTGGACGGGCAATGGAAATGAAGCATCAAGTAACGGAAACTCGCCTCCGCGAAACCATACCTCCTTGAGGCGAAGTCGCTGCTCTCTTGGTGCTCTTTAGCGCGGCGCGGCTCCTGTCCGAAGATAGTGTCCATCGCTCAGCCAATCAGAGCTCTCAGATTGTGCCGATCGTGGCATACAAAATATCTTTCTCCTTTGCCAACATCTTTCCCACGTCGCCCTCCTCCAAATCACCACCAGCGACAACATTCTTATTCAGTCTGCTGTCATTTGAGGATAGACTGTGAAGCGTGCACTTCGGATTAGAAGACTACTTTTCAATAAGCCTAGCATTCTATTTGAAGCCTTTTCAATACCGTGAGACAATTTTCCGATCTCATGTCTCCTCCTCAGAGACAACGTCGGGACTTCAACAAATTTCCTACTACCCAGCTCTTCTTCTTGGGTAAGCTTCTTGTTTCTCTTACCTTTTAAGAGTTGGTCTTAACAACTTTTCAGCCCTCGTTCGAGTCGCCGAGCCGATTGCTCTCACCTCCATCTTTCCGTATGCCTGGAAACTTGTGCTCGACTTCAATGTAACTGATCGCGCAAATGCGTCTTTCTATGCCGGCTTGCTGATCTCAGCCTTTGCTCTGGCTGAATCTCTGACAGGATTGTGAGTATCCAGAAACTCAAGTCGCGTGTTTACTGCAAAAACTAACGAATTTGGCAGGTATTGGGGAGGTCTCTCGGACCGCATCGGGCGTAAGCCTGTTCTGCTCTTGGGAAGTGCAGGCACCATGCTTTCCCTCCTTTTAGTCGGCATTTCCACTAACTTCTGGATGGCTCTTGCCGGAAGAGCGATTGGAGGCTTCCTCAACGGAAACATTGGAGTCATTCAGACAATGGTCGGCGAGCTTACGGTCAACCCTAAGCACGAACCTCGCGCATACTCGGTCATGCCATTCGTTTGGAGCATCGGAACGATTATTGGGCCTTCGATCGGAGGTATATTCTCAGCTCCTGCGGACAACTTCCCCGACGTTTTCTCACCCCACGGAATCTTCGCCAAATTTCCTTATCTGCTGCCCAACCTCATCTGTGCAGCTTTGATGCTGTTCTCGATTATCTGCGGGTTCTTCTTCCTTGAGGAGACTCACCCTGATATGCAGCCATGGAGCACGGTAGACGATCTTGAACACACCGAAGCCGAAACCCCGATTCTAGCTGCTCAGGCCGGAACCTTCACAGCTGCAGTCGACTTGCACAATGAATCTTACGGCACCTTCAACAAGGTCGTCCAAGATCAAGAGTGGAACGTCCTGCCCGACGGAACAGATGCACCCAAGGAAGCAGAACACCAGGATCAAGTCGTCTTCAACAAGCGCGTGGTCATGTTGATTGTCGCTCTCGGCATCTTCACCTACCACAGCATGTCCTACGATCACTTGCTCCCCATCTTCTTCCAGGACTCGCGCGTGGAGAGCAGAAGTCACGGAAACAAGCTAAGTTCAATGGCAGGCGGTCTCGGTCTGACCATCCAAGATGTAGGCGTCGTCATGTCTGTGAACGGCATCATCGCATTGGGCGTCCAAGCCATTGTGTTCCCACTTGCGGCAGCATGGCTGGGCGTGTGGAAACTCTTCATCGTCACCACTGTCTTGCACCCTCTTGCTTACATTGTGGTGCCTTATCTGGTGCTTCTACCCGAAGAGTGGCTCTACCCTGGCATCTACGCTTGCCTCACCATCCGCAACATCTTTTCCATCCTCGTTTACCCAGTCCTGCTTATCTTACTCAAGGAAGCTTCTCCTTCGCCTTCGTGTCTGGGTAAGATCAATGGTTTGGCTGCTAGCACTGGCGCCGCTTGCCGCACCCTCGCTTCCCCCATCGCAGGTATTCTTTACGGTATCGGTATCGATATCGATTTTACGGCTCTCGCGTGGTGGGTTAGCGGTGCTGTTGCTGTCATCGGTGCCGTGCAGGTCTTCTTCGTCAACCGCAAGAAGAGCAGTGAGTGGCATCAAGTGCGCGCTCGTGCACCTTGCCGTTTCATGCCTCCTGAGGAGCACAGACAGGAAATTGTTCATATTGTTGTTCAGGACGAGGAAGAGCAGGAAGTTGAGGCTAACGAGCAGCGTCCGCTGTTGGTATAGAATGGAGAAGGTTTGGCTATGCTCTGGAGCATGGAAAGAGAAAGGGAAAAATCGCACTTTATGACGAGGTGTAGGATCTAACGTGTACGAAGGATATCGCGGGTTGCATGTATACGATCATAGCATTTTAGCGTCTTTTTGGGAGGAGTTTTTGTTTGTCACTTTTGGAGGGGCTCTTTTTTATCTTCGCATCTCACTTCATTATAGCGAGCGCGGCGTTTACTTTTGGGAAGAGGCAGAATGTTAATAAAACGAATATATCGGCATCTAGCTCTGTGATCTTCTGCTTGTCCTCCCTGTGTGCCTTGACGATCATGTCCTCACTATAAAAAGGCACAGTGATTTTCTAAACTCGGGATGTGTCCAAAGAGAGCCAGAATTTCGTTGCATCTCAATGGATACGGATTCGATTCCGGAAAATACTGTGCATTCTTATAGCTATACTCTCTATCTCGCAAAGTATTCTGCAAGATGCCTGACAACACAACTACAAAACCCCTCACCCGCTCCCTCAAATCCTTCCCTTTCCTTCTCATCAACCACGAGTGCCTCACGCACGAGAAGACCGCAGCCCTTCTGCGTGATTGGATCGACTCGTTTATCGTATGTAGGCACACATCCGAGCGAGCCGAGTACGATGTTCGGGTCGATGTGCGAATTCGTGAGGATACAGATCGCAAGAGGGCGCTGGAGATTGTTGAAAGGATGCGCAAAGGAGAACCGAAGTACTCGTGGTTGAGAGAAGACACCAAAAGGCGCACATGGCAGGATAGTGAAGGACAGCAGGGGTATGCGAAAGCCTCAGGGGCGGATAAAGACAAAGAGAGGCATCTCTCAGCGGACGATGCTGTACTTCTGATTCGCTTTGTGCATTTCTATAGCAACTCCATTGTGTTTGCATGTTGTCGATGAAATGTCATTTGAACAACAGTCTTGTTGTAGCTCTGATGTTGGCTTGAGCCATCACTCCAGGATCTCGCCCTCCTCAGATCCAACATAACTTTGAGTACGGACATGGTCAAACGGACGTCCTTGGATGGCTTTCAATGGCGACACAGCTTCTCTTTCCTTCTTGTGGAGATACTCAGCATACGAAGGTCCTTTGACGACTGGAGTTTTCTGTTCCTCAGAGCTGTTGGAGTTGGAGCTGGAGCGGGCACCCGCGAAGTCAATGCAGGAGATGACACCGACCTTCTGCTGAGTAACATTTGGCTGTACCACATCCAGCTTGATTTTGCGAAGTTCTTCGTAGGGTGGAACTTCTGGGACCTGATATTCGTTCCGATTGACATAGTCAATTGGGGAAGCAGTGAAAGGATGGTGGTGAGAGCGAGTGCGATCGAGCCTGTCGTGGATATTGCAGGACTTGGGATGCTTGTAGCCCCATCAATCGTTGCTGAAGGTAGGACCCCTGTGTCTCGAGGGTCGATAAGAATCGAAAGCCCTGGATCTGCCATTACTCTTGTATGGCGAGGCACTCCAACTGGAAGCAACCCCTAGTTTCCTTCGTTTCGAGGGCCGGAGTGCAGAGTGAAGAGGCATCTGTTTGCGTTTACTCGAGGGCCCCTGCTCAAGTGCTTCGTTCTCTCCGGGCTGCTTGATCGTGGGCTTGACATTCATCAAGTCTGATATTGAACCGTGCTTCAACGAGGAGTGACTCTCGTTCGTCGTGGTGGCAGGACGGAGATGTCCAGGGGTGACTATCGCCATCAGATGGCGCGCCACTGTCACCTCTGCCCACTTCTTCGGCTCAGGGGCAGCCTGACCCTTGAAAGTAAACACGTTGTTGCTGAGCTGGTTTGAGATAGCCTGAGCGTGAGTAATGATGAGAGAGTACTGGCCCTGCTGTTTGTGCTTCACATTTTGTTCTGCAGACCAGCTCTGCCATTGTGTGTTGTAGATGTCGTGCACGATAGTGGCGAGAATCATCATGCCGTCAGGGGTCCTGCGGTCAAGAACCTCGTAAATGGCATCATCGATCAGGAGATTCTGGATGATGAACACACCGTCCATTTCCAACATCAGGAGTTCGTAGAGGTCGGTGCTTTGGTCGAGAGGGCTATGTAGAACCTTCCCCGACACTTTCCAATGGAGACGTAAGACGTTCATGAAGAGGCTGATGGCTTTCTCGTCAACAAATATACTTTTACCGCGGCATTTAAGGTATGTCAGATGTGCGCAGGTGAATCTGGGTGCTCTTTGGAGGATGCTCTTGGACATAGCCAGATCGAACTGCTCTTGCCTTGGGACATGAGCGCTTGGGATCTTCGAGGATACATGGGACTCTGAGATAACAGGCATGATAGCTGATGTGCACAGCCGTGTGCTTGACGATGGCTGTGGACGATACTGTGATGGTTGATGAGAAGTGGTGGTATCTGTGGCTGAAAAATGATGATGGCGGTGTTTGCGTCTGGATGAGACATAGGTCGAAGAACAGATACAAGTGCGCATAAGACTCAGAGTAGAAACAGAAATCTAGACGAGTAGAGGTCGTGTTGGTGACCTGCTTTCACACCTACCAGAAATTGCGAGCAGCGGATCATATGCAACTAGCCGATGCGTTGTTTGGACAATTCTCATCCACTTCCAACCAAATCACCTCATCTTCTTTCGTCCTGTTTGTCAACCACACAAGTTTTCCCCTAAGATATGCCAAAGGAGCGTGGTACAAGGGGGTTCATATTCCGCTATTCGTCGATCGATTTGACGGTTAACCTACCTACTGATAAACAGATCCCTTATTAGACTAGGCGTCTCTGTAACATTGTTTTACCCGTCCTTGATCAAAGTTGTCTGCAACAGATGGAGTAAATTGGCGTCTGATGACACGGAAGGCAGCAAGACCATGTGATTGAGGGTCGAGAGAGCGTGGCGATGGTGATCGGAAGAGGGATACCGAGACGACAGGTTTGAGTCTCGTCTTTCTCGTACGGACTATGAGGAAGTCGGCAAGTCAAGATAGGAGAATTTCCTGCAAGGAGATTGCCAGTAAAGTGACAGGAAGTGTGAACGAGAATCGCTAGGTCATATTCACCCTTGCCAAGGTGACGACTGAGGATCAGGAAATGCTTATCATTGCCTTCTATTCAGGAACAATGGCAACACTGCTCCAGCAAAAGACTCCTGTGAAATATTATCGCAAAGGAGGAAATCCAGAAGAACGACTCCACTTTGTCGCTGTCAGGTGGAGGAAAGTAAGTCACCGGAAAAAGGCCGCAGAACAAGCATATAGTATCTCAGCTGCGAATCGCCATACGAACGATACATGACACAAACATCGTGATCTAACGGCTTCATCGAGCTGAAGACACAATCGTAGAAGATCTGAGAAGAGCAATGAAAAAATGGTAGTGAGAATGGTGGGGAAAATGTGGTGATGGCATCACGATCCTTCCTTGGAGCGTCATACAGCGTCATTGAGCATACGGAGCTCGTAGCTACCTACCTATGTAAATAGAGCTTTGCTCGACGCAGGAACACTTTCTTGTTTCTCACATCAATCTTTCTTGCAAATCAAAAGTCACACGACAACTCCAAATCTACCCAAACTACTTCACCTGCACATCAATCAAAATGGCCTCTCGCAACCCTGACGCTTCCGCCAACTCTGCCCCTGACGGCTTCCACGCCTCTGCTCCCAGAGACGAGCCCCTCACCAAGACTGGCCACCAGCCTGGAAAGCTCGTCGGTAACGACGCTGTTCCTGAGTTCCACGCCCAGACCCTTCCTGCTGGCTCCGCTCCCGCTAAGAGGTAAATCTTACTCAATTCCTCATTCTATGCATCCCATACTGACCTTTCGCAGCACCTTCCAGCCCAACAACGAGGCCGATGCTACCCCTCAGCAGGGCGGTGTCTCTGCTTCAAGCACCATCGTCGGTGCCACTTCCCAGGATGTTCACGCCGGTCTTGGCCAGCCCATCCAAGGCCAGTCCTCTGCTGAGCTACACCACGACGGTCAATCGCACAGGAAGAACCCCGGCCAGGGCGGTAACGATGGCCAGAAGACCACCATCGAGGCCAACACCGTCGACTCTCGTCTCCCCGAGCACGCCATCCACCGCAACCCCGAGAGCGATGTCATTGGGGGCACCCGTAGCAACATCCCCAGCGCTGAGGAGAGAATCCCCGACTCTGCTTAAGCAACCTCTGCTTTCTCTTTGATTCTTTCTGTTTCAATGATCAACGATACCAATGTCTCCGAACTTTTCTTGTAAAAACTAGTTTTTAGCATTCTCGCTCACGCATCCACTCATAGTGGCTGCTCGGCCTTGATGGTCGCAAGGGGAATTGAGCAAAAGCAAAACATTTCCAGAACCACTGTTTTCTCGTTTTCACGCTCCACTGCTTTTCGGTCCTTGTGTGAAGTATGATGAGATGTCGTGCTGTTTGCTTCTGCTTCTTCAGCCTCAGAAGCGGGGCAAGATCTATTTCATCATGAAGCACTGACACGTTTTGCGGCTCCATCGTGGAGCGCGATCGAGGCTCCGAATTGAGTGGGCAGAAAAAATAAGATGATCTGTGCTTTCTGCTGAGTGTACAACCCTGGCCATATCTCTCAAAACATCCTTCTCAAATTGGAGACCAGTTATCGAGCTCGTTAAGGGATTGTGCTTGACAAGTAAACGTATGGGAACATATGATGAACCATTGAATCGACTTTCGACGAAATAATGAGCGTACCAGAGCGATAGCAGACGATGAACAACAGCTCGGGTGCAAATTACTGGGGGTCGGACGGGCTCGTGATGTATATTTATGGAAAAAAAAAAAGTCAGCAGTTGCACTTCTGTTCATCTTGTGTTCGTCCAGCAAGCGCAAAGTACGAGGTCACAGCTAAGGAACAAGCACGAGAAAGAAGACAAACCACAAAAGAAATTCTATAGAGAAACGATAAAAAAACACTACAAGCGACTCCTAAAACCGATGAAACGATATCAGACAAACAAGATTCTATCAGAAAACCCAACAAGTATCCTAGCTCTTTACCTCGTTTCTTACTCGGCACCCATCATAGTAGTATAACGCTCACCAGTTTCCTTCTCAATCCTCTCGACCGACCTCTTATACCCATCCATACTCTCAAGCTTATTGACATAAGCATTCAATTTAGGATAATCCGTCGCATTGATGATCTTCAGTCTCTTCTGGCCAGCTTGCAAAGGGAACGACATCAAGATGTCAACGGCAGTGAGATCCTTGCCGCAAAGGAAACCTCCACCATTGGGTGCAGTAGCGAGTTGAGATTCCAAAAAGTCAAAGTGGGTTTTGAAGTTTGGCCCGAAGTACATGCCATCGAATTTGCTGTAGATGCCACTGGTGATGGGGCGGAGGAAGAAGGGAATTTTGTCGCCTTTGAGGACTGCGAGAGGTGTTAGTGAGTAGAGGTGCAAGATGACGTAGAAGCAGGGTAGCTCACAGCTGAAAATGAGGTTGGTCGACATCAGAGCCATCAAAGAGCCCTCAGCATATTGCATGAAGAAACGGTAGCGCAGCCATTCTTCAGTCTCGAGACCAGGTCCTTGCTTGCCGTCCTCGTACCTCTTGGGTAAGAGGTGAGGAGCAAAGTGCTCGGTCAAGTATTCGGTGATGAAGCCAGACTCGGCAAGAGTCACGGGACTAGTTCTGCCAGGAGCGTTGATTTTGACGACGGGAGATTTGCCCAGAGGGTGGATCTTCTTGAGCTCGGGAGGTGCGAGCATTCCGGACGTGCGCTTAAGGATTTCGATGTTGTAGTCGACATTGCACTCTTCGAGGAGCCAGATGATGCGCTGGGCTCTGGATTTTTCGAGCCTGATTGGAAGGGTTGGACTTTGTTATCGAGTTTGTGTTATGGTTTGCTTACCAGTATAGAGTGACCTTTGGTGCGCTTTCAGTTGCCATGATGAGGGTTCTATGGTACTGGAAGAAATCAGAATCGAGATGGAAACACTTCACAGGAATGTTTGGCTTGGGACATGACACAATCTACAACTTTGGACAATGTTGCGTTGAGATAAGATACCGAGTAGGAGGAGGGGATGGTGCGCACGTCAGACGACCGGATCCTGCTGTACCTGGTCCGTCGAAGTGCCCACGAAAACAAGTGTTGACTTACTGTTGGTATGCTGTGAACGAGGATAGCTCGTGGTATGTTTACAGAGAAGACAGCAAGATTAATTCTTCGTCGCAACCGAGGCGATCTTGATTTGCTTTACGAGGCTCAAGTGATGATTAACTGTCCGTGAGCCGAGGCATCACGATCACAGGCCAGAGGCATCACGATCACAGGCCAAAGGCATCACGATCACAGGCCAAGGGCATCACGATCACAGGCCGATGGCGGGATCATGATGGTCGCGACGGTCCAACCTGCCGACACGTGATATCCAACGCAGTCTGTAGGTCTTGGCAACCTCGAACGTCAGCGAAGATCGACTGAAGGTGTGAACGACACAACCCTCTCTATACCTACTTCTAAATCACAGCTACACATCAACTCAAGATGGCTGGCGGTGGTCACAACAGTGCGCAATTCGCCGGAAACCGAATTGATCGCGTCGACATGAGCTAACACCTTCACAGGTCTCGCCTTTGACCCGGCGCTGGTCAAGTACAACCGTACGCTTCCAACCTGAGAGGATGCGCCGACGATCATCATGTTCTAACTGCGACCGCAGAGATGCAAGTGGACCGCTACAAGCACTTCAAGTGGACTCCTCGTACCGCCTGGCTCTCGATCATCTTCGCAATTGCCATTCCCAGCTCGCTTTACTACGTCGCCAACAAGACTGATGTGAGTCGCCTTTTTCTATATCTTCGGACCGCGGAAAATGCATTTCAAGAGTTGGATACTATAGAAGGAGAGGTGAAGCAAGAGGAGGTACACAGAGGACTGAGCATGGGATTGTGGTTGGAGGTAGCAAAGACGGCACACGCTAGAGCAACCACAGCACGAACTTCTCATCGTCAACTATAAGCCGCGAAAGTTGGCATGGCGAACATGCAGCAGCTCAAGGCGCCCGACATCAAGTCTCTAAGATACGGCTGAACATACGCAACACAACACCCGAAATGACGGACACTGACTGCATCTATCACAGGGCAAGTACGAGTTTCGCGGCAAGAGAAGAGGCGACACCATGAAGGAGTTCTAAGTCAAGAGACGAAGGCGAGGTCACGAACGAAGGCGACGTTGAAATTGGGGAAGATACAACAACTATACCACCATGTCAATACCCACTATACAAGAACTACCCCACCTATTCGGTCATACAAACTGTCTTGGGTCGCAAATGCGCGCAAGAGAAAATGCTTGTCATTAAATCGTCAATGACAAGCAATGAAATCTTCCAACAGTCTCTCTCATCATACTTCCATGTTTCGTTTGACCTAATATGACTCATGCGTTTCTCTGGCAGCAAAGATGAGAAGAAGTAAGCTCTATTCTAACCTGCTCAGAATTCTCCCGTTGGTTGGTCTCGTTTCGCTGAACGACACCCGGCGGTAGATTAAACTGCGTTCATACAGATTCCATCGAACACGGTCACAATAGTTCTTTCTCCACTGACCTGGCTGAGGATGATCCTGAGCCATAAACTTCGATCTCCCAAGCACATGCAAGCCTCATGATTTGCTCGTTTTATGTTTGTGCCCTTTGGTACCACATGTGGAGGTTGACTTCTGTTGCCTTCGAAGGTTCGGCTCCGGAAGCACGTTTGACGACATCAGGACCCCGCGCTGCCGATCTGCGGGTGTTTCTCGTCGTCTTGGTGCCTGGCAGCTTGAGCATACCCTGATGCTTACTTATACATACTCACTTCCTTCGCACATATATTGCTCGTGTATACTCCATATTGAACATTGTGCGAGCGTATTTGTAGCAGACCTTGAGTTACAAGGCCAGATGTTACGGACACAACAACCTGGTCCACTCGAAACACCAGGTTGCACATGCGCCGTTTCCCAAAATTGAGACGAGTTAGTATTGTGGCCAAATTATCAACCCCGTCGTTTGCATGATTGTAATCGAGCTCGGAAGCTTCTCTCGGAGCCTGCAAGAATAGAGATAGACTTGGATCATGTCCGAAGGACGTCTTGAAGCACGCCGTGAAGCACGTCGAGCAGAGTCTCCGCCCGACCCACGAGACCGTCGCCGTCGTCGTTTGAATTCTTTGCATCCGACTGACCCGCCGCGCTCTAATGAGCTCGTCTCCTCTTGGCTTGAACAACAAGACTTGACTCGACCGAGTGCGCCATTACAAACAACACCCTCGATCAACTTCGGCACTTTTCTCTCACCACCTGTACGCGAGAACGATCACCTGGAGCAAGAAATTAACCAAAGTGTTGCTACTATGTGGGAGCCAGACGCCTCATTGGGAGCTCATGATGCTGGTCCATCATCTGTCGCCCATCCACTCGCTGTTGACATTGACGCCGACAATCGCTCACCCTCAGTTCCTTTCGGCGATCGTTCATCAAGCTCTCGGCGCAACGGACCCCTCCTGAATATGGGACAGATTGTCTCCAAGAATCAACCTGCTGCCGCGCCTGCTGATTCGCAAGCATCCTCGGCCATGGACTGCGATGACTTATCGTCTGTTGACACAGAAAGCTCACAGAATCTCGCTGGTGCAGGAAGGTCTCCGAGTCCCTCTGACGTTCTTCAACCAGTCTCAGATTATCTCTGGAGTGTGCGCAACCCTAACATGGGATGGGCGATAGAGGATGAGCGTCACTCAGCCAAGAAATCACCATATTCCGAAAACCCTGCAGTCCTCCTCGTCTACCAAACGGATCGCAATACCGCTGAGCCTACGCTGCGCTACTTACCCTTCATCCCTGTCTCGCACAGGGGAAAGACTAGGGGCGGTAACAAGAACAAGAATTTCATGATTCAGCCTTCACACAAGCAACGCATCGATGACTCCCGACTGACCGCCCGAAGAGCACAATGGGTTCCTGGTGGATTTCCTGTGGAGCTGTTCGAGCTCGTCAACCAACATCTATCCCGTGACGATATCAAGTCGATGCGCCTGGTGAGCAAGGAGTTCGAGCGTGGTGTATCAGGCTCTCTGTTCGATACTGTCGTCGTCCCCTTCAACGCAGAACTTTACGAGATGATTGATCAGAAGGTCGTAAAGCCCGATTTCAAGGGCAAGCGCAGAGCTGACGATCCTGTCAACAATTTTGTCAACTTGGATCCTGGCTCAGTACTTTGGAACAATGCTCTAGAAAACTCAGACAACAAGATTTACAGCGGCCAGGGGCTCAAGATCTTTGAAGGCTTTGGTCACCACATTCGTCGCTTCGGCATGAGTTTCGAGATCAAGGAGGAGGCACTCCGAAGCCCGCCTAGAAAGCACAAACTCGACAGCCACGAAAGCTACTTCGGCTGGTATGAATGGCCATCGCAGGAGTACACGCGCTATGAACTCCTTGCTGGTCTCGAGCGTACCGCAGACGAGACCTCACAGATGAGGCTAGCCTTTTCGCACCTGCCTAGGGTTCAACAGCTTGCCCTTTCCATGGACAGTGGTCTTGGTTGGATGAGCGGACCCGACAAGTCACTACGCAGCATGATCTTGCAGCAACCTTCTCCTGTCTTTGGTTGCTCACACGGCATAGTAGACACACAACAGCAAGAGCGCATAAGACTCTGGGAGTCTATCGAGTCAGCACATGCTAGAATGGGCGCCATGGAGGAGTTGAAGGAGGGCAGTCTCGTGCGCGCTAATTTGGATGAGAACTTCTTCGACCGCTATCCTTTCTCGACCACCTCGTACACCTCTCCTGCTGTATGGGCTACTGCTCCGGCCCGTCCGGTGCTTCCTACGACCACTGTTGCGTCTGACAATGAGGGACGTGACACTATAGAGACAGGAGTTCTATACGTCTCGTCACCTGACACACAGGACCACCTGTTTCAGTCGAGCCACTCGGTCGACACCCAGAGACTAGAATGTTCAAAGAAGATCGAGAGATTCAGTCCTGCCAACTTGGGCACTCACCAGAAGGAGTGGCTACTTGAGGCAGAATGGGCACAGAGAGCGTTTCTTACCACATACATGCTCGGCATCGTGGACAACAACGCAGTATTTGACAAAGTCACGGTCCTGAGCTTCCGCATGTCCAGCCATCTTGTGCCGTTGCTCTCTCGTCACGACTTCTGGACCGCCCTTCCCAAGCTGCAAGAGGTTACACTTGCTGTCATTCCTGACTGGCGCACTGTTGAGAGAGACGAGGCTGGCGTTGTCGAGACCAAGGAAATTGAGCCTTCGATTGCCGTCGACAAGACACACAGCCTTCTTCAGGATTTTATTGGCGCTAGATCGAACATCACTAAGCTCACCTTTTCATGGGCCGCTGGTGGTGAGCATGCTGAGGGCATCTTCGCTCGCAACCACCATATCTTGCCTGCTCCCATTACCACTATCGCACGCTCAATAGCCGTTGTGTTGAAGGACGAAGATTTGATCAATCTGCCACACATTACTGATCTGACCTTTTCCAATTGCTGGTTTACACCAGTGTCAATCCTGGCAATGATTAAGAAGCTGCGCAAGAGGTCTCTGAAGAAGATCAAGTTTGACTCTGTCTCTCTTACTGCTATGCCACGCGCCAACGGAGTAAATCAGAACAACCCAGGCAACCTCAACCAGAATGCCCTTGCTCCTCACCAAGCTCCAGTCCCCGGTGTGATGATGCTGGGTGGCAATTTCTATACACAATTCAGCGCCCAGGTATGGCTGGGTCCACCTGCAGGTGTGCCTGTCCAACAATGGGCGCAGACGATGCTCCAGCATCTAAATGCTATGACACAACAACAGCAAGGCCTTGTTTTGCACCAAGTCCCTCAGATCTGGACCAATCACCCTATGGGACTAACAATGCAGCAGATGCATGGTGCATTGAATGGACTTGCGTCTGCCAACGGTCAAGCCGGCGCTCCGCACATGGCGCAACCTGGAATGCTCTACCAGCATCCGCATCAGCTACAGCAAGGTGGTGCAGCTCAACTGCCTCCCGCTATACTGCCACTACCCCAGGCGCTCGCTGGCTGGGCCCATCCCCCTCAAAACGCAGGTCAAGCTGCTCCTGCACCACAGCCTCATGACGGGCCTTGGTACGAGGGACACCGCGTGGGTTCATGGGCAAGGGTGGTCGATCAGATAAGTCCAGGACCTACTCTTGAGATGTACAAGCCTCGTGGCGAGTTTGACCCGGCACCCAAGCCACGCAAGAATGGTCTCAATTCGGTCGAGTTCAAGTCTTGCGGCTACGTACAAGTCCGATCCCCGACCTTTGGTGACCAGAACAATGTCGACGCACATGGATCGTACCGTATGAGCCGCTACTTCACTCGTCGCCAGGGTCTCCTGTCGCCGGCCATGCTCGCTACTCCAGACAAGCTGGTGGGCACGATTGTACAGTACATGTCAGAGCACGAGATGGATGCTCTTGATCATGCTTGGGGCATGACTATGGGATGGAACGACGCAAAGCTCGCTGAAGAGGCCGAGTACGACGGCTACCTCGCTGGAGGCACTGGCCGTTTCTCAGGCAGTGTGAGCAAGAACTCAACCGTGCAGGAGGCATACTCAGCACAGCAATCTTGATTATCTGACGAGTCGCGATACGAAAATCATGTCAGGAGTTTTTGGTGGAAACAGGCGTTTGTTGAATCCGATGACAGTTGTCATTGGGTTGGGACTTCATGATTTGAAAGATTGAAAAGGAGACAAGGGTGGGAAAATGGGCGATATTTGTGGATTCTGGTTGATGCGAACAATGTCAGAGAGTAACAGACTCTAGTAATGAGAGAGGATAGTGGCAGCGTGGATAGGTGAAAAGTTCTTGATAGAAAAAAGCTCAATGAAAATTGTAGAGTATTGTAAAAATAACTGGCCTCGCGCATACGCAGGGTGAAGACAGCAGCAATTGGCTCGGAGATGGTTGCGAGATGGACCGAGACAGGAGATTATCGGGCGGAAGTCGCGGAATCGGATGCCGCCAAGCCGACGGATTTCTCGAGATGCTTGACGATGAGTTTGAGAAGCATGCGCTCAGATTCAACACTCCTTATTTTGACAATTTACAGCTGGTTCGAGACTTCACCTCACTTCATAGCACTCTCCACAGCTCTTTACTCTTGACGCGGCCGTGGAACCATCTGATCTTATCGCACTTCCCGCAGCACCAACTCGCCGGCACCAGCCCACCAAGCATCCGACTCCTTGACTAAAGACACCCGGTCTGATTCACTTCACTCAGCGCGCTTTCTAGCGCTATCAACCTTCCAATCTCTCGGTCTTCGACCAGTCGACCTCCACAACCAAAAAATAATAATCACAATGTCTGCCAGGGTTTCTGCTCAGGCTCCGATGCAAGAGGCCCCCGTGGTGCCTAGCGCAAGCGCTGCTCAGAATGCTCCTCAAGAGAACATCTTCATGTTCGTGCCAAACTTGATCGGTACGTTTCTAGCTGCTCGTCTGCACATCCCGAAGCTGACATAGAACTCAGGCTACGCTCGTGTCTTCCTCGCTATCGGCTCGCTCAACTACATGCCTCTTCATCCGCGCACATGCGCCCTCCTCTACAGTATCTCGTGCCTTCTGGATGCTCTCGATGGCTACGCTGCCCGCGCCTTCAACCAGTCCACAAAGTTCGGAGCTGTCCTGGACATGGTGACAGATCGCTGCACCACCACCTGCCTCCTCGTCTTCCTTTCGACCGCTATGCCGCGCTGGAGCATGGTCTTTCAACTCCTCATCAGTCTCGACTTCACCAGCCACTACATGCACATGTATGCCACTCTCGCCATGGGTGGTAGCGGCCAGAGCCACAAGAACATTGATGCAAAGAGGAGCAAGATCATGTACCTGTACTACAACAACCGCAACGTCCTGTTTGTATGCTGCGCCTTGAACGAGCTCTTCTTCATCGCACTCTACCTGCTCGCTTTCTCTTCGCCTTTCCTCACCCCCTCGCTCTTGCAACCTGCTGGTGAGGCCGCCTCCCTGCAACCCGGATCGCCAATCATGCCCCCGAAGCCTTCAGCAATCTTTTCCAGCCCATGGTCTGCTGGCGCGATGGAGATGGCCAGGTGAGTTTTGAGTTCCTTGCATCCTCTTTTGTTATCCAGCCAGAATGCTGACCAAAGTGTGAATGCGTAGAGCAAACAAGATGGATAGTACCGTCCCGTGGATCTTGGCCGCCATCTCAGCTCCCGTCATGCTGTTCAAGCAGTGGGTCAATGTTATCCAGATCGTCAAGGCCAGTCAGTGGCTCGCTCAGGGTGATCTCGCTGATCGCGCAAAGGCCGGTCTGCCCAAAAAGACGCAATAAATATGGATCCACTGCAAGAGAAAAAGGAGAACAAGTGTATACCACGAAGGAGAGGGCCATTAAGAGACACGATGGAAGAAAAGGCTTAAGAAAGAGAAGCTTTTGCTCTTGCTTTACGCAACTCAGGCTCGAATCACGGGTCTTTTGCATGGTCAAGCGAGTCAGGGCGCAAAGGATCACGCAAAAGCACGCTTTGAACCTCAAAAGACCCTCTCCAATTTCTCAAGCCAGTCGCTCTATGGCCAGATCGAACAGGTTGAACACTGAACAGCGGATGCTTCTGCTGCCTCTCGAGACCTTGCCTCTTGTTCTTGTACAACTAGTTTCACTTCTAGCCCCCCTCTTAGCCGGTTTTGCTATAGCCATAGCTTTTGCTCGAAGAAAGAGCCAATCAAAAATTCGATATAACGATTCCCTATTACAAGACGCTTTTGCTTGCCGAGCTCTTTCCGCTTTCCGAGTTTCGACTCATGCATACAGCGGGATGTTCTGAAACATGTAGAATGCTTGTGTAAGGTTGACTTGCGTAAGGGTGTACAGAGATCGACTTTGCATGTTGGTGGCTTTCAGACACATTTGGACTTCTCACGGCGACGGAAGATGAGGGATGTGACCCAGACTCAGTGTACTCGAGAGTATGGCCGGCCCGATGCGTTGGAGCGTTTCAAGACATGGCTAACTGGCAGTCCGTAAGGAAACCGGGTAAAGCAGGTCTGAAGTTGTGCATCTGTGCGTTTTGCTGCATCAACGATTTGCACATCTTAACCCAGCCATTCTATTTTTTGTGATCTGTCGATTTGGGGATGGATATAGTGTTTGTCTCAGATCCTTTTGCGTAGATCGCGTAAAAGGTGTCGGAGGTCGCGTAAAGTGGGAAATGCGATGCATTCATTTCGCGTTCATGACTCTTATCTCTCATTCTGTCTCCTTGTGCTCGCATCCATAACCTCTGTCCTTTTGTATGCTCCGTCATCGATCTCAGCACCAACTACGAGTATTGCCAACGCGAGACTTATGTCGGCAATGCTGACTCCACACCTGTTGCTCAGCGCCTCTGGATGACCAATGCCTTGAAAGCCAGGATGCACTATTTCGCTAAGGCAAGGACGTTTTACAGGAACCCAATCCTTTCGGCATACGTCCGAACTGCATGCATGCACTGCCTTTGGAAATGGTACAGAGGACGGGAATATCAATGCTGACACTAGAAAAAGAGGTGAATTTGGCTGGTCAAGTAGATCTTCTGTTTTGGGGTGTAGGTTGTCAAGGGCAACCCGCTCGCTGAGATGTCCGTAGAAACATGTGCTTTTTTGTGCACGAGAAGTTGATCATTTGTGCAAAAAGCAAAAATCACGATTGATAGCGGCCTTCAGCTCTGCGACCTGCTTACTTTCTGTCTGCTCGGTTGTCGCAAGCCACATATAGCTCATCTTTGAACAAGAACGTTGTAAATGTGCATATAATTCCCGCCCAAGTGGCTGGGGAACTGCAAAACGCAGATGCCAGACCGTTGTGGAAATCTACGATTCACGGAGGACGGAGCATTGTACCAGTCACCAAAGCATTCTACGCAGTAGTATCCCGAAGATCTGGGTTTAAACGAGAAAACGCCCAAAAGAATGACGAAAGTGATAGCAAATGACAGACGGGGAGGGCTTTTTGACTTGACAGGTTGCTTCAAAGTGACGTGTCTTTGGCACGGATGGTAGAGAATAGAATGATTGACGTTGACGTTGACGTGCTTGGTCGCCTTATTATAGCCCCTTTGACTCTCTCTGCCTCGTGTCTTTTCTCGTCTGCTTGAGTCGTGTGGACTCGAGTCCGTATGCAAGGTGAAGACGATGGTCAGTGTGCACTACTGCCCAGCAAAGGCGCGTATTCATATCAAGAACGAACACGCGTTATGCCTTGGAAGTTCGCAAATGCAAGTGCCATCAACTTCAATAGTTGCAAAATGCACTATTGCTATCGCAATCCTTCGTGAGGACAAGCGCATATTTGACAAATTCATGGGCAGCGGCCAAGAGAGCATGGGTCGCTAAGTACGGCCATTTCTCCAAAATCCTTCAGGTGTTCAAAAACTGGTTTGTGAGCATTCGCTGCAAGCTTGCGGCTGACTTGAAGACTTGCAAGCGTGGGCTTTCGGATTGGCTGGGCTGGTTGGCTGGCGGCCTGCTGCTCCGCCTTTTTCCTCGAATCGATTGTTTAATCTAGGAATGATTTGTCTTGCGGCGGGTCGATCATATTGAGGGGGATCCCTGCCGATTCTTGGGTTTGAAGATGTAGATGTGACTTCTTGGTGTCAAATGATGCTTTCTGCAAGCGACCTATAGAGGAACAGAAGCAGCAACAGTGGCAGATGTCATGAGGTGTCGAGAGGGAACTCTCGTTGCGAGTCGACGGGCGAACGCATGCGAGCCACGGTTACGTTCAGCGGAGCTCCAAAGGTTGAAACACTGTGGATCACCACGGGCCACAAATCTCATCGGTGTTGCGCTGCCGGAGCCTAACCTTATTGCTTGCCCTCTGACTTCGTAGCGTTTCCTGGTTAGTGCTCGGTTCCAGCCCCCCCTTTGTGTTATTACGAACATGTCATTTCAAGGCAGTTCGGGAATCTGGCTCTTCATTTTAGAGAGCAGGGAGAAGATGATCTCAAGAGTCAAGAACGGGCGGCGTCTGGGGGAGATGGCTCTTATTAAAATCTGCACATGGACCTCCTTCTCAATCTTTTTGCTCCTTCGTCCTCTTGCTCTTACCGGATACCTATTCCGGGTTAATTGGCGAGCAAGATCCCCATCCAAACCAACACACAGACGACCACGCAGAAGCCATCCCAAACCCAGGCGTTGGGTAATACAGCATTAGCCTTGTGGAGACAAGACGCCTCTTGCGCTCCTGCCGTGTGCCCATCGCGCAAGAAACGTCCCGCTTGCATGAATTCTGCCACTCTCCACGCCTTACCTGCTCCATCATATCGCAGGATTTATCAAGGCACCCCGGTCGTCCTTTTGCCGAATCCAGACATCGTCTTCCCGGGGTCCACTAGGAAAAGAGGGCAGGGTAGTCGCTAGCTGAAAAGGACGAATCCACAGCCAGCCTCCTCCACCAAAACAAGGTGTTCCGATTGAGGTTGAGTTGATCGGCCTGTGCAGCTGCACTAAGAAGCTACTATCCAAGGCGGAACGGACGCACTGCAAGGCACAAGAGCCTTGTTCTCATGTCAGCTGTGCTCACTATTACAACAACCCCTCTCCTTCCGCAGCAACATTTCCGACCACTCTCATTGTTTCCCTTTTTCTGAATTTTTCGAAGACCCTTGCACGCAAGCACAGAAAAACAATCGTCTTGCCCATTTCTCAAAGAAGCCAATCTTAGTTTGCTTATACGAGAACCCAACGTCCTTTGACTAGGCCCGTTGAACCCTGAACCACCGTCATGGACTCGACCACTCTCGTTACTTTTCTCTAGTAAGTATACCGGACTCAAGTCCGTGACTCGGGAGGACTTTGTACTAACATGTTGATTTGTAGTAGGTCAAGACCGGATGTTCGTACAGTAGAGCTCTTTGGCTCTTGGGACAACTTCTCGAGACCGTATCGCATGCAAAGCGATGGACTCAGAGGTCGTGGTGTCTGGACTGGATGTCACTCATTCGAGAACATCATCTGCGATGGCGATCGCATCAATCAGCTCAGGCCCAGAAACGGTGCCTTGAGACAAGGTGGAACATACTGGTACTACTACAAGCTCGACGATGCCGAAGAGGCTTACGACTCTGCCGCCATGACTACATGTGCTTGCCCGTTATTGCCTGGTCAGATGGTCAACGTACTGGAGATCCCAATCGAAGTCATCGAAGCTCCTCAAAGAGTCTGCAGCGCCTCGGCCAACTTACCGACTACTATGGAGTTCTCCATGACCATCAACCCCGAAGACAGATACAAGAAGATCTACAGCAAGCCGCCTACCAAGCTTCCTCGCTACTACTGTTCTAGTGACGCACTTCGCGAGAAGTTTGCTGCGGATGCGAGCATGTCGAGAGATCTCAGATACAGGGACCGACCTTCTTCTCGCGGTGTCAGATCTATCAAGCGCGTTCGCCGTGAGGAACCAGAATATCAGAGGCCGGGTGCTTGTCAGATTGATGTTTCTTGGGACGATATTTCAGCGGTTGCCAACATACCCAACCTGGATCAGACCATGAACGAACTACCAGAGCTGCGACCCTTTGCTCCTTGCCCTAGTGCTTCACTTGAAGAGAGACCGGTGACTAGAGGTCAAGGAGGACTGTTCACTGATCTAACTAAGGGTCTTGGATTCTCCTTCTTTGGCTCGCTACGTCAACCGAAGAAGAACACACACCGTCTCAGCCAAGAGTTCACAATGGAGTTCGATGACTCACCACAACAGGTCCCTCAATACGATGGGGCTCAAGACGAACCTCTGTCTACACAATGGCCTCTGAGCCCTCCCCTTTCTGAACTGGCAGACGAAGAAAACTGGCCTCTACCACCTTTGAACTGCTTCCGACCTGCTTCTTCTCATACACCACTTCATGGCCCGTCTACGCCTACCTCTGCAATCCCAATTCTCAATCTCAACAGCCAGTCTCAGTCTCGAAACAACACATATCACCAGCCTATCTCATCACCAGCGCTTTCTTCCTCAACCACATCGGACGACTTCCACCCTGGTTTCGGACCCAGCAAAAGCATACCCGGAAGCTTCGACATGGCTTCTCCGACTTTTACTGCCGACACCCTCGACTCATCATTCTCCTCCAACCTTACAACACCCGATCGCCTCAGCTTCAATCTCGACACCTCGAACCACCAACACCAGACCTCCGATATCAACTCCACAAGATTCCACACCAGTCTCGAAGACTTGAGCCACCGTCTCTCCGCTCTATACACCGATCCTCCGTCTTCTTCCCACTCGAGCTCCAGCGATCAGGACTTGTCATCACAACGCAAGCAAACGACAGACTTCCTGTCTTTCTTCCCCCAGCGCGCACAACCGCTATACCTCCAGAACGTACAGGCTCGTCGCAGTAGAAGTAGTGGCGACTACGAACAAAAGTCTAACAGCAGTTGCTTAACCTTGAAACCGGTCAAGAGTGGCGCTGCTGCTAGAGGAGGCGCAGACAGACCGTTTTCTTTGTGTTTGCCTGTGGGGGCTGGGGAGTGGGATGGTGAGGACAGTGGATTCAGCAGTGATGTTTTGGGGGCTTTGGGTATGGTTTGAGGATCCATTGCTGTTCGTTGTGTGTGTATGAGGGTGGACAAGGTCTTGCTAGACTGAGAGCTGTGGAGTTTGCTTGACAACGAAGTAGGCGTGGTCTGCGATTGTTTTCGCTTCTCACTGTATATATTATGTAGCTATCCTAGTATAAAAGCCGCCAAAGCCGTCTCTAGACAGATCATGCATAGAGAACTTTCACTACAGAAGCATACGAATTGAGGCTGAGCTACATAGCAAAACATTAACATGCTGATACATCCATTGAGCATACACAAATCAAGGGAGTGGATCAGGTTAGTGAAACCAGGGGTCTTGCGGCAGTGTCTTGCACGGAAAGCAACCGAGGAAGATTCATGTGCATCGATGCCCTCGCTAGAAGATATGTGATGATATCATGGATCACTGACCTGGTTGTCTTCCTTTGCATTACAGGCCAGAGCGGTTGGAGTGGTCGCTTACAACTTGACGGATATGACGATACTTCTGTTGTTTTTGCTGCTGTTACGTTTCTTTGGTCTTGTTTACAGATCTTGTCCAGTGATTTTGTGGTTTAATTGAGATGGTGGGATGGAGGGCTACATGTGCTTTTGGGCTTGATGGACCAGGAACAATGGACAAACGGGTCGTAGTGAAGTATACATATATACTCCTTCCAGAGAAGCACTGACATCAAACCGAACCTTCTTTCTCGGCACCGTTCCTTCAAGGCTACCAGGAACACCTTCGTCCACCGCAGCTATGAAAGTTGTCAATAACTCCCTGCTGGAATGTATACACTCTCCGCAAACCTACTGGATCTTGCTAGCCCTGTCTGTGGTCCACAAACTGGATAGATGAGCCCATAAGGTGATTGGTACCAGATGATGTCTGCTCGACCAAGTATGGCACTAAACTCATCGGAAAAAAGCGTGGTAAGAGCAGGAGAAAGCCACCGGGTCAATGTACACTCATGTGACAGCACTCTCTTCATGATTTGATATCTGAATCAAGTGAGGTAGATCAGAGATATATGCTTCGAGACCCGAGAAAGAACAACGGTATCAGTGACCTGCTGATGCACCTGCGTTGGGTGACTGAGGTGCTGATGGTGTAATAACAAGTAGCCTTTGCGAGCACGAGATAGGCACAAAGGTGAGGTCATCGTGTTTGGATCACGGCCACGATCTGTGCGGAAGCCGAGAGTAGCCTATGTGGTTCGTTGCAAAGAGCGGAGGGTTAGGTCTGAGTGGTCAGTTGGCGAGGTGGCTCGTTGGGAAAACATAGGGAGGCTACCTGAGGTATTGCGCTTGAAAGTGTGCTGATGGCTTGTTGTGAGGTACGCTTGCATGCTTCAACTCTGTATGTTTCTCAATCGACTGGGTACTGTAGCGCTTTTTCTGTCATACAGTGCAAGACTTCCAAGATCCAGGAGATGGATGGAATTTTGCTGACCTAACCACCAGTCACAACCAGGACCACGTGGAGATGGGGCCCTTGATTGCAGAACTTCACATTCAGCATGAAGTAATGCGTCTCATCGCAATCGAGAACTTGTAGAAGACCACTTCAACGTTAGATTGACCTTGTAAGAATAGTACAGGCTCTCAAAAACTTCGATAGCATGCACATCGTGGTCATTGGCCAACAGCTGACATGGTGGATGGCGAACTCAAAGGTACAAATAAAGGCAGGGTGTTCAGCCGAGCGAGGGGCATGTGAAGATGGTCCAAGCTTCAGACAACCCAGACCGCATCGATGTCACTGTCCGATCGCGAACCCAGAACACACTTGCGACTATATCACTTTGCACTACACAATTTCTCTACGGCATTTCCTCAGACTGCAGCGATCAACTCCGGGAAACTCGCATTCATTACATTGCAGATCATCTCTCCCAGTACCACGTCTCACGATCAATCCACCAAGGACATCACCAGATTATTACCGGCACCACCAAGCGCGGAAGAGTAAGAGCAAGAGCAAGAGCAAGGAGGAGACGGATCGAAGAATCACACACAAACCACAACCATGGCAACAACAACAACATCACAAACCACAGACACCACATCGTCCCAACCCCAAGTCGCTGCCTCGACCCTAGACTTCCTCCTTATAGAACTAGTCCCCTTAGCCCAACGCATAGCCACCGACCTGCACGCCCGCGACACCGCTCTCCTCTCTTCATCCCTAGAGCGAAACATGACTCTCAACACCTCCACCCTCGCACCTTCTGCGCCAACCACAACCCTCAGCACAGAAGGCCTTGCGCCCCACGACTCAACCTCCTCCTCAGAAGATCACTCTGCAATCCAAGAATCCACGTTGCACCGCTTAGACACCCTAGGCTACCGCGTGGGTCTCGGTCTCATCGAAAAGCTCTCTGCGCAATCGGCTCGTCCGACCACGCCTTTGGACATGATCAAGTTTATTTGCAAGGATTTGTGGCAGGTCGTGTTTCGAAAGCAAATCGACAATTTGAAAACGAATCACAGGGGCACTTTTGTGCTGACGGATAACAAGTTTATGGCACTGGGGAGGATGAGTGTTGATAGAGGAAGGGGGCCCAGGGGAACTGAGGAAGCGTTGGGAGCTGCACAACCGGTATGTTTTTGTTCTTTTACTTTCGTACCTTCTTTCGAGAGGCGCCGAGTGGGGTTAGTATGGTGTTTCTCTTGATCTTGATCTTGATCTTGTCTTTGTCTTCTCTCTTCGTTCAGAGAAGGAGAGAGAAAGGCATCAAAGACATGGAAAAGATGCAGCGACCCTCGAACAATCACCGCCTAATCTCTAGACTACCTTCCCTGCCACATTCCATCATTCCCTTCCAGCAATCTCAAGAAAAAGAAAAAAAAACTAATCCTCTACACTTCAAACAGTTCCTCTACTTCCCCTGCGGTATAATTCGCGGCGCCCTCTCAGCATTCGGTCTAAACGTCACCGTACACGCAGAAACCTCCGAACTTCCTCAAGCGATATTCCAAATCCGCACCGTGGGCTCGAAACCGTAGAATGATGAAAAAAGCAACGGGCACAAATGATAACAACCAGGGTGCAAGGAAAGAAGAAGAAGAAGAAGAAGAAGAAGAAGAAGAAGAAGAAGAAGAAGAAGAAGAAGAAGAAGAAGAAGAAGAAGAAGAAGAAGAAGAAGAAGAAGAAGGCATTTTGGACGAAATGATGCAAAAGAGAGGGCAGCAGAGTATGTGGAGAGATGGATCACAAGAGGAGGATGATGAGAAGAGCATCTGCACAATCCTCGAAAGGCAAAATCCTGTATCGACAAAAGAGCAGGGCCTCTTTGGTCATCCCTGGCATCAGAAAAGACAAGAAGGCGTGAGATGTAAAGATGGAGAAGACGAGGCGGGTCAGGAACAGACCGAAGAAAGACAAGGGAGCAGAAAAGCAAGACTCTCGAGAGCAGAAGAAGAGGCACGAATCACGAGCGTCGAGCAAATACCAACAATGGCATCATTCAGAATAGCGTTACTAAGCATACCTTTTTCGGCATGGCACAACCAGAGAAAGACCTTGACGTCCCTTATGAAGCAACCCATATCAAGAGAAGACTTGTACTGAATACAATCCTCTTCACAATCTTGTCATCTGACACCTAAAAGTATTCGTTCCCCGATCGACCTTCAGCATCACAATGGACCCAGACCTTATAATATTACATGTGTAAAGGAGCATGCTGTGTTACGGAAATGTGTTGTGCATTGTTTTTTCATTCGTTTTCTCGCCGAATATAATCGTTAAGGCTGGAGGATATCGAGTCTTGCTCACAGATTCAAATCTTCTTCTTCTTCCATCTGCCATGACATAAGAGTAGACGAGGGGGGTTTCATGTCAATTCATTACAATCTATCTGCCACGCAGAGCAAGTCAGCATTCTGATTCCACAAGCAGCTTATGGTTTGCAAATCACTCACTTGGCAGGAGGGTTCTGGATGAACTCAACACCCTTGCTGATGTTGCCAGTCAAACCCTCGTAGCACTTTGCCAAAAGCTTCTTCTCGTAGTCGTTGGCCGACGAAACGACGTTGATGGCCTTCTTGGCACCCTCGGGACCGAGCTCAACGGGGACGGAGAAGAAGTCGCAACCGGTCTCCTTCTGAATGGCATCACCGCCCTCGACGCCGGGGAGGTAGACGAATGTGGGCTCGGAGACGCTGCTCTCGCCCTTGACGGCCTTGAGGAGGTTCTCGGCGAAGCGGTAGCCGGCGTAGGCCATGGAGAGGGTTGCGGAACCGGCGCCGTCCTTGGCCTTGACGACCTCGTCACCACCGAATTGGACGCCTGTGAGAAGTTAGGGTTTTGCTGTAGTTCGGGCAGGGGAAGGACAAAACTCACGGTTGGTCAGGGCATCAAGTTTGTCCTCGGGAACGTTGACGGCAGGCTTGGCCTGGCTCCACAGGGGAACAATGGTCTCGCCAGAGTGGCCACCGATGACGGGGATGGTGGTCTTGCTGGGGTTGCTCTCGCCGGTGATCTCAGCGACAAAGGTCTCGGCGCGGACAACGTCGAGGGTGGTGACACCGAACAGCTTCTTGGGGTTGAACTTGCCAGCGGCCTTGAGGACCTCGGCGGCAATGGGGACGGTGCTGTTGACGGGGTTGGAAATGACGAGGACGAAGGCGTCGGGGCAGTGTTCGGCAACACCCTTGATAAGGTCTCTGACGATGCCGGCGTTGATCTTGAACAGGTCGTCACGGGTCATACCAGGCTTGCCTGTTGCGAGTCGTGGTTAGTCTCTGCTGGAGCGTGACTCGGATGTAGCTACCACTTACGGGGAATACCAGCGGGAATGACAACAAGCTCAGCACCAGTGAAGGCCTTCTTCATGCCATCGTCCTTGGGAAGGAAGCCCTGGACCTTTGCGGGAGTGGAGATGTGAGAGAGGTCGGCGGCGACACCGGGGGTGTTGACGACATCGTAGAGCGAGAGCTCGCTGACCAGAGGGCTCGACTTCATGAGAAGGGACAGAGGCTGGCCAATGCCACCAGAGGCTCCTGCAACGACTACAGACGGTATACCATGTCAGCTCATGACTCTTGAGCCCCGCGTCGTAGAGCTCTGTTTACTGACCAACTTTGACCATATCTGCGGTGTTTGTGAGGTGGAGAAGAAAGTGTGTGTTTGAGTGAAGAAGCTGTTCAAAAGAGTATAGAACAGGAAGTGAGGTTTGCAAGGACGAGAGAGGAAACAGAAAGGATGAACAACTGGTCTCGGACTTGGGAAACTCTCAGCTAATGCTCTCTTTGCATGGAAAGCATGGACCATCCCCAAACCATCCCCCGCTCCGAGAGTCGAGACGTTCATGACCGCTGCCCCTCCTCGACCGCATGCACTAATAATACACCGACATACGCCCTCCGCATACCCGACCTGCTGTCCTACTCAACACTCTTGCTTACCACTTGTATACAGCTTCGACTTCCACTCACCCTTTCATCTTCTCATCACTCTCTCTCACAACAGCTCCCACTCTCAAAGCCCGAAGCACTGCACCCCGCCATGCCGAGGCCGGCTTCGGCTAATGAGCAGCCAGGGTCTTTACGGATCATATCTCTCTCCAACATCCCGATAACATCAAGGTACTGACGGTATCGTCACACCTTGGTGGACAGAGCAAGCCATACCCGCGACAACAGCCAAGGCTAGAAACACACAAGATAATAACACGGCATGCCTCAATGCTCGAGGCTTCCGGTATGAATTCGTGAAATGAATGCGATGCGAATAGTTCCCCAAAACCCAAGATACAATCATCCCGTAATCTTCCTTCGTCCCTTGAGCGGTCGCTCTCCCTGCAAGTTATCGTCCTCGCTCCGAATCTTGTCTGTTCTGTCTCCGTGATTTGTTTTTCTTTGTTTGCTTTTTCTTCATGTCCTTGTTGCATGGAGGGGTATCAAATAAACTGTCGAATTCTTGCAGCATCCGCTGCACTCCGGCCCAGATGTTCTGAGGGTCCTATACCTCGTACTGGTCTCTCTCGCCCTCTGCATCGTCCTCAGGTGCACGATAATGGTGCTGGCCGTCGTTTCCGCTCATTGAAGGGTCTGACATTCTAGGTCCCTGTGGTGGATACATTTGCTGCATACTCGAGTTAGCCTTTGGTCAATCCCTCTCTCTGCTTAGCTTTAGACACTTACGGGTTGCTGCAACATACTATAGCCGCCAGCATACATGTTAGGGTCGAAACTGTGAGGCTGTGCGTAGCCGGCCGGTGGTGCAGGAGGATACATGCCCGTCTGCGTCTGGTAGGGCTCTTGTGCCACGTGCTGGCCCATGGCACCATAGTCTGTGGGCTGCATGTGCTGCTGTGCCTGTTCCTGACTCTGAAGCTGTGCTGCTGCGGGCGGAGCCTGCATAGAAGGTCCAGCAGTAGCAATCTGTGCGTCCTGGCCTGGGAAGCTGCCCGGTGGGAAATCCTGTCTGCGCTTGTGTTGAGGAGTGGCGTCTTCGCGAGGCACAATGTCGATGAGGAAGTCAAACATGTCGCTTTTGGCCAAGGCACTAGCTATGTCGCTGCGTTGTAAAGTGCGTCTCTTGTTCTCCTCTGCGTGGATCCATGCGCGCATGGTCAGCTCTGTGATGAAGATGTCGCAACCCTTTGCGAACAGTATGGGTGCTTCGGCCGAGATCATCTTGACTTCGGGGTCCGCCTTCATGACCTTCTTGATACGAGCAAGTGGTAGTTGGTGGATCTTGTAGTCGTGTTCGTCCGTCTCGAGCTTCGTGACCTGATTCTGCCAGTATGTGTTCAAGATGTCCCTGTAGTTGCCGGAAAGTCCCTGGGATACCTGTGGACCACGGCGCGTCAGTACAAAGCTCATAGAGGTATCGCATCTCCCGACTTACGTTCGACCATTGTCCAGTAAATGTCTCTGGTGGAGGTGCGTCACCGCGCGCTGCAATCTACAATTCACGTCAGTCAGAGTCGGTGGATCGTGTCGCGCATAGTCCTGAACATACAGCAGAGCTGGCACCTGTGTCGCAAAGTCAGCTGAAGCACAGTGCAATAACGCGCACTCATTGCACCTACCATAGTGTCCTCCATGCATGGTTTCATATTTGGAACCGCCGTCACTACCATCATAGCGTCTAGGTGGAGGTGCGTTGGAGCCAGAGCTCTGCAACGCGTTGTAACCCGGATTCGACATGATGACTCAAGCTTGTGCTGCTTTGGTCAAGCTGGATATATGCGCAAATATGCGCAGAGTATCTACACGACGAAGAACACCGACGTCAGTTTGGTAATATCAAGAGCAAGATCAACGGTGATGAGGTGGTTCGCGTCGCGTTGCCGAACCGCGGGCCGCGTTCGCGCCCGACACTCTCTTCTGCCCTGTTGACATGCTTCAAGCAATATCAACGAAACTCCTTTGCGTCGCGATGGTATATGAAACGCAAGACCAAGAGACCATGAGGGGAAAACTCACCAGCCTATGATTTTGCTTTTGAGCAAAGCAGTTGAGACCCTGGCGAATCGGATGATTTGGCTACACGCTGGGCCAGTACCCGTAGGCAACTTGTGACTGGACCGTACGAGTGGAGCTTTGACACGCTATGGTTGGCAAACCAGACTTCCGAGCAGGATCCCTGCCCCGATAGGTAGTCCGTTGATATACGATAAAACGACGAGAGCCACTGATATTGCGCGTGAGAGAAATGATTTGGTCTTTTGATTGGGGAAGAAAGATGCCGTGATGCGCTTGTTATGCAAGAGTCGGTCTCGACGAGAATGGAGTGCTTGTTCGCTACGAAAGACAGGTACTTGGCTCCTCTACTTTCCCACGTGATTGTCTATCCTTATATCTTGAACGCATGCTTTGCTGTCAAGCGGCAGATGCCCGAAGCTGACATTGATCTTGCATGCCTTGTTTTGCCTTTGCTACTTCCCGCTTTCCTATGGGCAAACTGCCTTTAAGGGAGCCACCAGCTTAGATATCTTCACCTGTTTCTGATACTACTGATGGGATGCTTGCATAAAACACCACGCTATATGCACGTTGGCATGCAACGTCACGGTGCCGTGAAGCGGAACTTGATTTGAGAGATGCTGGTGTTACAGGAACAGGACCCACCATAATGTCAGCAAGGCAGATGTGTGTAACACGAGAATATCGAAGTGCGAATGGAAGAAGTCTCAATAACCTGATATCGACAAACTTGAAACCGTAAAATCCTCCTTTTTACCATTTTATACAAGTAATACTGTACATAGCCGATAAGGCGCCTCCAAGATGCGAAGAAAAGTAGGAAGTCCATAACTTAGTTAGACTTGCCGTATGTGCCCATAGGAGCCAACGAGCCCGAGGCACCCTTGAAGATGTTGTCGTGGATCAGGCCATCGACATCAGCATCGTCAACACGGTCACTGCGTCTGCCGAACAACTTCAGTCTCTCGTCAATCGAAGCCTTTGCCTGTTCAGCCTGCTCATCCATCTCTTTGCTGACATCCAGACTTGAGTACTCCCACACGTTCGCCTTCATACCCACGCCGTAGTAAGCGTACTTTTGCAAGAAACCCAGCCAGATTTGCACAACTTCAGGGTGTCCATCTTGAATTTGAATCAATCTCCTCAATGTGATACGTTCAAAGTTCTCTTGGCTCTTCTTGTGTACGAAGTTGGATCTGGGAACGGTCCAGCGCTCGGTGATCTTGGGGAGCGGCACGGGGCCCCGTGCAGGGAGGTCAAGGTAGTATGCGGCGCGGAGAGCGAAGTCAGCGAAGAATTCGAGGTTGCGTACACTGTAGGAGCGGAGTTGAAGGTCGGCGGCGGGAACACCGTGGGTTGGTGTGCGCTTGAGGGGCTTAAGGTAGTTGAGGTGGATGGAGCGAGGAAGACGAAGTGCTTCAAGTTCGCGCTGGATTTCGGGGCTGTAGAAAGGCTCGCGCGCTGGGAGTGTGACACCTCGTGCTCTGTGGTTGAAGGCGTCTTAGTATGCCGTATCCAATGTCCGAGAGTGGTGTGTACGGGCTTACTCTTGCGCAGTCTGGCTCATGAAGTCATCAAAGTCGACCGAGGCATCACGCTGGTGCTCGAGTGGGACGGATTGGTTGCCATGCCACGGTTGGCGAGACTGGTATACTGTGCGGGCTTGAACAGGTGCAGGAGGCGCAATCTATCGTCGCGCATCTTGTCAGTCGCTAGACTCCCGTTTCGGTTGATCGAACATACCCTTAGACGCTTCGTCAGCCCAAAGGGCGACCGTAGATATGAAGCCATTGTATCCTGCGTATATACCACCGCCGCGCTCGCAGAATGTCAATCTAGAAATCAGTCCCGGGATTCCTGGTCGCCTCACCGCTCGGCAATTCAGCTTCTTGGCATCTGTTGACTCGACTCACACGACCAGCAAACACATCACCGGTTCCGACGACACTCTTTTGTAGAGACTTGTCTTCTACATCCAACATGGCAGCAGTTAATGATCATTCACCGAATTCGAAACCTTCGTCTGAGGCTTTCCAGCGAGCCACTGGCTCCGTAGACTATATCAGGTCTAAACTACCATCTCATCTTCAGAACCCTCGTGTGGCTATCGTCTGCGGTTCTGGACTTGGAGGTATTGCAGACACTGTGACTACTGATACTAAGCTCGAGATTGACTACCATGACATTCCAAACTTTCCCAAGACCACTGGTGAGTCTCGTGGTCTCTCCCTGAGTTACCCATATTGACTATCACGTCAGTTCAAGGACACGCCGGCAAGCTCGTAGTTGGCACCATGGGAGAGAACAAAGTCCCTGTTGTCTTGTTGGTCGGCAGAGCACAGTAAGTCAACTCAATAGCAAGTATGTGATAGAACATGATATGCTCATTCGTTCATCTATCAAGTTTCTACGAAGGTCACACCATGGAACTCGTAACTTTCGCGACGAGAGTCTGTAAAGTCCTCGGTGTCGAGACCATGATCGGTATGTCGCTCATCCTCGATGTCGATGAGATACTGACGATGATGCAGTGACAAACGCTGCTGGTGGACTGAACCCAGACTACAGCGTAGGCGACATTGTCTGCCTGAATGATCATCTGAACATGGCTGGCCTGGTTGGATTCCACCCTCTTCGTGGACCCAACGCCGACGACTTTGGCGTACGCTTTCCTCCTCTATCTGACGCTTATGACCTCGGTCTGCGTCAGAAAGTGCACCAGACATGGCAGAAGGTGCGTCCAGCCGACGGCAAGCGCAGGCTGCACGAAGGTGTATATGCTTTTGTTGCCGGTCCTACATACGAGACAAGAGCAGAGTGTCGTATGTTGCATCAGCTAGGCGCCGATGTGGTGGGTATGTCGACCGTGCCTGAAATCATTGTTGCCAGACATAGCGGCATCAAGATCCTCGCTTTCAGTTTGGTGACTAACAATGCCGTACTGCAACCTGTGCCTCGTGGAGACGATGCTGCATTGAGTTCCATGTCACCACAAGAGCTCGTGGACCACTTGGGTAAGGGCAAAGCAAACCATGAGGAAGTTATTGAGGCTGGAAGGGAGGCCGCAAAGGATATGCAGGTGCGTACGACTGATGGTGATGGTGTTGTGTGTAAAGTGATGTGTCGACTGACCCAAAGACAGACACTGGTATACAGCATCGTGTCGGATCTGTAAGGACGACCGCTCATCTCTTCTTGGGGTCGAAGGAGCGCTTGGCTTGCAAAGCCTTGTAGTACGACTTCTTTCCGCTTGTCTTGGACGTCTGAATGTCGCCGTACTTTCTCTTGAAACGGCCAGTGTCTTTTTCGCTGGAAAGGACTTCGTCGACAAAGGTCTTCTTGCGATCCTTGTTGTTGAGTCTTCCAGAGAAGTACTCGGTGGGGCCCTCGACGATGGTGCCGACATGGGAATACTCGGGAGGTCTCATCTTGCCATTCTCCTTCTTGTAGTGTCTGTGGGGATCAAGCACGTTACGCATCTTCAGGAGCTGGAGATCTCTCTTCAACTCAGGAGTGAGGTCGGTACGAGGCATGTTGTACCACTGTTCACCGGCGGTGGCCTTCTTAGACTAGAGAAGCAAAGCATGTTAGCAAATATCTTCTCTGATGTGGATGCTCGAAACGAGTGGTTGTGTGAATGTGCCTCAGAGTAACTATGAATAAAAAAGCTTCAGTTTGTGCAGAGAGGCACCAAGACGGTGCCCTGATTCCGCGTCAGGGAAAAGTTGGGATAATTTTCCTCATAGGCAAGGGAGATCGAAAGAAAAGTAGAGTTTCGAACGTACCTCAATCGTCTTCTTCTTGATGGCAACAGGGTCCTCGACCTTGCGGATTTGATTTGACAACTTGCGGTCCTGCTCAGCCAACAGGCGCGAACGGTCAACAGTGGCGACATCTCCGGCACTCGAGACATAAGGCTGAACCATCTCTCCAGTGTTGAGCTTGGGGAAGTCGAATTGGTTGGCCTTGTCTTTGTCGTCCTTGTCGAAGAGCGCAACACTGGCCTTTTCCTGACGGCGCCTGGCGGCCTGAGCGAGCATCTCCTGCATCTGCTCATCACTCAACTCCTCCTCATGCTGAAGTGGGAACGAGATTACGTCCGCCATGTTTGGATGGCGTCCAAGAAAAGAAGAGAGAAGGTGCAGACTGTTGCGAACCGGAAACTTTTTTAAACTTGGGCTTTGCGCGTCTGTGCGCCATGCCAAGCCTGCGTCCCTCGACCCTTCCTGCCATCCTCGAGCGTGCACAACTTCATTGTCTCCACGCACTCGCATCCAATCTGGCTTTGTCATCAATTACCATTGTCTCGTTAGACTGCCGTGTTGGTGAATGAGCATGCTTAAGCTTTGAGCCTCAGAGACTCGACCTCTGCAGTATACCTCACTTGGGATCCCGGCTTGCAAACAGTTAAAGCACATGCCTACAATTGATGAACAAGATCACAAATTCTATAGTAGGTAACCAAAAAGCATTTGTAGTTTCTTGACTTACAACAGGACATCGCTCTTTTGTACAATAACAATACAGGCAAACTACACTTATTTACAACAATCCGACGTTCAAGCTGGCCAGAAACATTCTACTCCTTCTTACCCTTCCTGTCCAGATACTTCTGAGCAAGGGCTCTTTCTGCCAAACAAGATTCGAGCACATGAAGCTGCTTATCGGCCTCGACAGCACCTGCGAGCATTCTTGCGACCTCGTCCTTGCTTTCGGCAGCAGCAAGATTAGCAATCATGTCCTCATTTAAAAAGGCATTAGCGATTCTGGTGACTGTATCGGTCTTGAGTTCCTCGAAGGCGGTCATGTCGGGGAGCGTGGGCGAGGGCAGCGCAGGCATGCTGGCGACGGTCTCTTCAAGGTAAGCGAGATGCTGGCCGGGGATTGAGTTGTAGGCGTTGGCCAAGGCAGGGTGAATGCCGTAGAAACCAGAGTCGATCTCGGTTTCATCGACAGGAGACTTGGGAGGTCGAATTGTCTTGTCAGAGTCATCGGAGTCGACGGACTTTTCATCCGAACTGGACTGGTTCTCCTCGGCTTCTGCACCTGCAGCTACAGACTCAGAGTCCGAAGCCCCGTCTTCCTTGATGCCGTCAGCAGGAGCAGTGTCAGAGTCGTCAACGGAGTCCTTAGAAGTCAGATCAAGCTTGCGCTCAGCACGGTAGTAGTCCTTCAGGTACTCACTCCAAGCCTTTTGGCCCTCCTCACCGAGGTGCAGGAACTTGGCCTCTGGTCTGGAGAAGATTTCAGGCTCAGGTTGAGCTTCGAGGAAACTGGTGGGCAACTGTCCGTACCGACCGGACTCAAGCTTCAAGCGAATCTTCTCTTCAACACTCTCGCGAGACAAGTCCTTGCGGCGCTGCTCTTCGGTAATGCGGTTAAGGTTTCCCAACTTGTCAGTGAATCTTAAAGAGGAAGACGTATACTTGTCAAAACGCAGTTGGGCGTAACGGTCGCTCAAGACGTCGTCATAATGAGCGATAGTGGAATCACTGGCACCCACCTCACGAGCAAGGCGACAGATGTTATAGTCGACATCTCTCCACGACTCCTCGAGGTAAGAGAACACCTTCTCTTGCGGTGTGGTCTCCGCCCAATGTGAGATACCGGTCAAGAGGTCGACCCAAGCACTAATCTCAGCAAGATCAATACTTCCGGCGTGAGTGCGAACTTCAGCTGTGGGAATTCTATGGTCATTGTCTTCGCCCAAGCCTCTCAAGCTCAGAGCAGTGTATTTATCAGCAGTGAACATAGTCTTGAGCTGCTGGACGCTGGAGGCCTCTTTGATCGTGTTCAACCAGCTAGGAACGTTGAAGCTGGAAAGATATCGCTCGATGTACTTGGCAGTCTCGGCAGAAATCGAGACAGAGGCGGCGGCAGCTGATGCGTCGGTCGGAGTAGTAGTCAAAGCTTGCTCGGGTTCGGTCTGTGTTGCCGTATGGTAAATCTGACTATGTACGGACTGAAACATGGTACTCGACATGGCTGGGCACCACTGGTTGTAAAAGTCCTGTCCTTCGACCAAACCAGGCTTGTACAAGCTGTGAAAACCCTCAATATCGATGCCAGGAAGAGGAATGAACGGTTTCAGACTCCACGGTCCCGGGACACGCATATTGACTGGTCCACTGATGCGACCAGCAGTATGAATCTGATCGAATGAACGCTCGAGAGCTGTCATGGTACCCAGAAGACCTTTGACGACTTCGACTGGAAGACCTTTGTCGCCGTGACCAAGATGAACGTGCAAGCCTGTGGTCTTGTTGACGAAAGCATAGAATCCAGCTTCACTGAAAGCCTTGCGAATCAGCTCGAGGAAAGCCTTGAACTCGTCACGCCATGTCCAACTCAAAGGTTTTCCATTACAAGGATACTTTTGTCCAGTCGGGCAGCGCGAGGTCCCCTCGAACTTTTGCACTCGAGATACCAACTCCAGACCCGCGAACTCCCAGCCAGCGAGTTCGCTCGTGATGTCGCCACATCGTGGGGTGACAGTCGAGTCGGTGGTAAGCTGCCAACGGTCATAATTGTTGTCGTCAACATCGCCTAGCGGCAAGTAGAACATGTGCTCCTTTTCCTTGCAACCAACCTGGTTGCAGGCAACCTTGACTTGATTGTTCATGAGGTAGCTGTGGAGATATTGCTGTTCAGAACCGTACTGCAGCATGGTCTTTTTTGGAACAAAAGCAATGAACTCGAGCTCGACCCCCGAAGGTAAGGGCTGATTTAGCACGCTGACCAGCAGCGGCAGTGTTGTTTTTGATATCAGACATGATTGCTCAAACGAGTGTCGGGTAGATGTCGATGGTATAGATGGTAATCGCCTGAATTATGTCTCGGTCGTTTGTTTTTTTTTGCTATCAGATTTTCCTAAGATCTTTCGTCGCATGATTGTAACACCATTTATATGTCTGTATATCTGACTCGGGGTTCTTGCAAAGGTCTTTGTGTCCGAGAACACAAAGGGCTCGAGAGGTAATTTCAAAGTACAATGGTGCTTACATGCCGACATGGCTTTGAGGCGTTTAGATCAAAGAGGCTCAATAAAAATCCTCAAAGGGATTCGAGATGAAGGTTGACGTTATGTGTAGAAGGCTTCGCGAACGAGATACTCGGACGAAAATCGCATTTTTGCCCCATACATCGTTCCGCAAGATATGTCCGTATCCAACTCATCTGTCTCTATATGGGCATAAGCTCGAGGCAAGCATGTGGACGACATGCGACTGCTTACTGAAGCGCTTGATGCAGAGTCTTCGTAACCCTTATAGCTACTATGGTAAATCTCTGCACTGATTCGTCTGTCAGACTTCACAACGCCAGTGGAGAGCAAAAAAACAGCTTGATTTGTCAAACACTTGCCCTTACACCTTTGACCATGCTTGATGTTCGTTTGCCGAGAGTGAACTCTGGAAGCACGCGTCTTCCTCGTTGCTCTCGAATATGGTGTTCTAGCCAATTTGGATCTACCATAATGTATATGTGTTTTCAGATCCAAAATGTGTTTAGCTGGGAGTTCTGTGATGACATGCTTCTCAGAGGGCGCGACTGATTTTTGAAGTGTGTTCTGCAGCCGTGTGATGTCTGGCCCAAACACAACCTAGATTAAGCAACATCGCGAGCCGTCCTATGAAAGCAGCTCCCACATATCTCACTCACTGAGCTCTCTTTATCCGGATTCTTTACCGAGCTCATTCACCGATGAACTGGCACAAAAACCAAGAGGTCAAAGCAACACTATACTGTTACTCATCAGAAAGGAAAAAAATACTTTGGGGCCTTACCACAAACCCATTCGCGTTGCTTCTTGGCAGAGCATCCTTCGACTGTTAAGGGATCTTACGATGGCGAGAGGGGACGATGCCCTCGTCTTTGTGATTGCTAGGGTTCGCACAGAAGATGAAGGAAAGCATCTTGCTCATGAGTGTCTCGACTTCGGATGCTATCTTCGTGAGGTGATGCAGTGTCTTTGGTTCTAGTAAGGTTGAGATGGAGATATTTGTGTCCTGTTGACGGACCATGCGATGTCAGTCGTGCGCCTATGCCCCATGGGTCATTGTTTCGTTGAAATGCTCAGTTGCGAGGAGGGCTCACTTCAGCGTGGACAATAGCGGGCGCGGCAATTCCATTGAGCTAATACTTTCTAATCGTCGAAACCACCCCACTCCTCCTCATCATCATCATCTTCGTCCTCATTGTTTTCTTCTCCGTCTGCAGCTTCGATAGTCTCGGCGTCCGTTATGACTTCTTCAGGATCAGCATCAGGATCCCTGACAAAACCGGCGACGAAGAAGCCCATGGTACCCTCATCAGTACCCCTCTCGCATCGAATGCAGGCGTCTGCAAGAATCTTTGCGTCTACTAGACTTTCCTTGCCTTGTAGCGCTTCCTTTGAAGCCTCGGGATCACCTCTGCGTGACCATCTCTTCATACCATCGACCTGATCTTCACGTCTCATGATCTTCCAGCCACGTTCTCTGGCAATTTTCGAAGACAGAGCTCTGACGACGACGTTCTCGTTCTCTTCGGCGTGTATTGAACATGTCGAATATGTGACCTTGGTGGCGGCTGGAAAAGCGAAAGCGTGAAGCACGATCTTGAGCTGGAAACCAGCAAGGTTGTTCAATCTTGTCTTTAGCTTTTCTTCGTCGTTCTCGAGCTCGGCTGCTTGTGGAGTCTCTTCGCTGAGCTCATCGTTGGTTTCGGTTGCGATCGGGGCTGGCACCTCGATAGCCGCATTGGCCTTCCTCTTGCGCTTCTTGCTCGAAGGTGCAGGGGCACTGGAAGGTAGAGAAGGTAGATGTAAGACTGCAGTGTCGTCGCGGCCGATGATGCCGCTTCCCGAACAACTGGGATCCAGCAGGAGAGCACCCACGTCAGCGAATTCTTGGGAACGGGGATCCAGTTTGGTGAAATCTTGAGAAGCCTTGACGGTGATGATCTTGCCGGCACCAGCTAGTTTGACCATTTTCTCCAACGTTTGTGCCCTGATAGGGTTGCGCTCACAGGCCGTGACAGAAGCCTTGAGGCCATATGACTTCTGAGACGACAGAATCGCAGCGAGATGGGTAGTCTTGTTGCCTGGTGCAGCACAGGCATCTATCACTTGACCATCCTTAGGTTGAGGATCCAGGAGGTAGGCTGGGAAGCACGAAGCTTTGTCCTGGAAGATGATCTCACCGGCATGGTACGCAGCATGCTTGGAGAGATCTATCCCGGGATGTATCGCAACAAGACCTGGGATATGCTCGTCCAGGTAAAGACCTCTTGGGGTAGTCCTGAGCTCTTTGAGCGATGAGACTTTGGTAAAATCGGCAAAGAAGGTGCTCTGTGCCTTTTCTATGGACGTTCTCACGGCGTTCACACGCACCCATCGAGGATGAAAAGCTTTGGTACCATCTGCAGCCGCTTCTGCACTCTCATCTGCGGCAGCAGCATTGATGTGAGTGCGGAAGGCATCCAAAGTAGCGAATCTGCCCTTGATACGACATTTGGTAAACTCAGCATTCAATCTCGCCTTGTGACGAGAGATGGCGAGATTGAGAGGATGCGATTTGGGAGCAGCAACACCCTTCTTGGCTAGAATCAGGTCATGGGCTAACAGCAGGGCGAGAGTCGGGGTCAGCTATAAGTTTTGTTAATATTTGGAAGGAAGCCTTTTGTTCAAAAGCAGAGAGAAAGTCTTTGTCTGCTGAACGGCGTCGCAAAGACAAAGACGCAAAGTAAACCTACCTTTTTTTCGAGTTTCAGGATGTCACTTTTTTCGACGACTTCTTTCAAGACCGAACTCCATTTTGTGGTTTCGGCAACCAGAGCAAAGATGGCGCCGGGAGAACTTTTCAGGTCTTTTTTGCCAAAAATGCGGTTCTTCAATGAGCCACCCTTTGCTTCGACATTGGCGAGAATGTCGGATGCTTCGTAGTATAGTGACATTGTTGATGGAGTTGATGAGGGCTAGAGATAAAATTTGATGGAGAAAGAGCGTATCGCGGGCGTATTGAGCTTCGGCGTATTCGAAACGCAGCGGGTGTCTCACTATTCACAGGACAGGGGTAGCAATATTGACAGCTCCACGTGCTCCATGATCAGCGGTATACACATCTCAACTAAAATTTCTCTTTCATCTCGGAAGCTATTCCTAGCTTTGATCGAGCAGCTCACACGACACGTTCGGAGTTAAGACAAATGTTTTGTGGTGATTTCATCGCCAAGACAATGCTCAGCCACGACGATCTGACTTCTTCACATGGTCTCGGAACGTTTCTGTGATGGCATCCCGGCCGGTTGAGTCGGAATTAGAGCTAAAGCTGGGGCTCTTCAGTTGTCATCAAGGCGCACCATGGACTTGATCAGGCTGACTGTTGTAACTAACAACAGGCCGACACTTCCGAGCAAAGACTGACCTGATCCTTTCTCTGTATATCCATCTCTATGAACCTGTTCACCTCCTAAAGCCTCTGTGCCAGCCATTCCTTCCACCTCCGGCCCCTCGGTCCTTCCAGCTTCCTGTGTCTGCCCTAACGACCAATGTACACATGAACCAACATGTCTGGTATACAACAAAGCCCTGAGCGCCGCCCACGAGCATTGGCCGACATTCACTACAACAACCTCATCAACGACACAGCAACATCTTCCGAGGATGAAGCCCCTGAGATTCGAGCCATTGCGCCAGCCGAAGTGCAATCCCTCGTCGGTGTCAGTCTTGGACGAGCCCAGACGCGCTTGATCCTACCACAGACACCGGCAGCAGAGAAGCAAGCAGCCATTGACGAGCAAGGAGGCTTCTTTGGCGGTCCACAGATCCAAGACGACGTGGATCTGGACGATGACGATGCCCCAATTCAAGAGCCGGAACGTACATCCAGACCAGTCACGCGAGAGAGACCAACGACAGAACACAGAGCACCGGCGACGACGACAGGCCAGACGACTGTCCGTCTGCCTTCTCCATGGCGTGCTGGACCCAAGAAGTTCAAGAAGACAAACGAGAGCCGCTCCGTGCTCAAGGAAGGCTTTCACCGACGAGCTTCCTCGACCGGTCCTGGCCCCATGTCGGGAATGGGAGCCTCACTCGATCATTGGCGAGACGCTCTCAAGACCAGCATACACAACTTCACCTCGCCTTTCTCCACCCAGCACCCTCAAGAGTCTGACCCCAAGACCCGTCCACCGAACAGACAGAGACGATCGGGTTCTCTATTCGCATCACTTGCTTCCTTGTCCTCTTCATCCACCCACGCCCTCCCCACGAGACCTCGCACGAACCACAGCTCTGCTAGCACGTTAGTCGACTCGCAATCTCGATTGCCTGAAAATGCCCATACCGCTTCGTCGAAAGAGCCAATCTCTGCAAACTGGTCGCATGAATCGGCTTCGGGTCATAGACTGCAACATCCGAAGACTATGCCTTTGCAGAGAGATCCACCCTCAAACGAGTCCACCACTAGCAACGGCGATCCTCAGTTCATCCCTATTCGTCCAGCAAGCTCTAAGACAGCGGTCGGCCAATATCAAAATGCTCTGAGCCCTATGGCTAGAGTCAACAGTGGCAGGAGTCACCGCAGCCTGCGGCGTTCTGCATCCGAATCATCTCTACATACCTTCCGCACTCTGTCGCGAGTACCGTCACTCGGTGATGACAGCCGCTTTGAACACGTCCAAGCACAGGTCAACAGCAGAATGAAGGCCATCAGAGACAGCTGGCAGGATACTAACATTAGACTGCCGCTCCTGCCTTCCTTCGCTTCCCTGTCCGACATTACTCTAAATCGTACCAACTCTTTCTCGAAAAAGAACACAACCTCGAATCCTAACTCCTCGAATACTGCCCTTCCGTCGTCAGCAAATCAAAAACCCAGCACAAATCTACCTAGAGCATCCACGGCTCCACAGGCAAACAAGTCCTCGCAACAGCATCCTCACTTCTCCAAAGCACTCGCCGAACTCACCGGTGATGTCGTCGTACTTGGAGGGTACCGTGGTTCTATATTGAGATCCGCCGAGCCACCTCATAGACAACTGTGGGCACCCATCAAGGTCGGCTTGAATGTGAGAAAGGTAGATCTAGAAGTCGGCCTCGATGCCGATGCCGACGAGAGAGCCCAAGAGAAAATCATCCCTGGTGGTATGCTCACTCATATTGGCCCCGTTGACATATCTAGACGCTTGTTCAAACGTTTGCGTGCCTGTGAGAATGCGAGAAGTGGACAGCTGCGTGTTCATGATTATGGCTATGATTGGCGTTTGGAGCCGCTGTTCTTGAGTAAGCAGCTGATCGAGTTCTTGGAGAAGCTCCCCTGCAACAAACCTGGTACTCCAAAGAACAAGCGTGGCGCAGTTGTTATTGCGCACTCTCTTGGCGGACTCATCACCAGACATGCTGTGAATCAACGACCAGAGCTTTTCGCAGGAGTGGTTTATGCAGGCGTACCCAGAACTTGCGTCAATATTCTTGGTCCCTTCAGAAATGGTGACGACGTGCTTCTCAGTAGCCGTGTTCTGACCGCCCAGGTCAACTTCACCATCCGTACAAGTTTTGCTCTCTTGCCGCTGGATGGCCGGTGTTTCTTCAACAAAGAAACGAAAGAGGAATATCCAGTCGACTTCTTCGACCCACAAACCTGGATCGACTACCGTTTATCTCCGTGTATCGCTCGCCCACTGCCATCGCTCAACGAACCTCCGCCTCCAACTGGTCTAGCTGGGGTGATGAACAGCATGGCAGGCGTAATGAACAGCATGGTCCCTGGGCGCAAAAACAGCATCCCCCGCGCAAAACAAGCCCTCCAACACCCCGCCGCCCACGCCATCGACGGCCTAGCAAACCCACCAGAGATGGAACCCTCAGGCTTCTCCGGTAACAGCGCAAGCGCAGAAGCAAAAGGCAACATCGACTACAACGGCACCGATAACATGACACCCCAAATCGACTCTTCCAGCACCGCCGCCTCGAAATCGCCAGACGCAGCAGCAAACGATCCAAATACCTCCATCGCAACGACCGTAACCATCCCCCGCGAGCAAGCAATAGCCTACCTCACCCGCATCCTCGCCAGCGTCAAGAAGTTCAAAACCGAACTTTTCTTCCACGCGCCACATCAAGAAGCAAATGCATACCCACCTGCTGCAGTCATCTATGGCAAGACCACGCCTACGGTATACGGTGCCAAGGTTGTCAGCAGGGAAGCCATCAAACATGCTTCTGCATACGATGCGCTTGCTTTTGCGTCGGGCGATGGTGTGGTGCTGGCTAAGGCTGCCATGTTGCCTGACGGCTACAAAGTTGCCAGGGGAGGGTTGGTGAGTAGTGAGCGCGGGCATGTTACCTTGCTCGGGGATCTAGAGGCTGTAGGCAGATGTTTGAGGGCGGTGCTAGCTGCGAGGAGGAAAGGTGTCGGCATGGGTGGTGTCGAGCAGTAGAAAGTTGCAAAGACTCAAAAACACACCAAACCTGAAAAATAAAAATAAAAAATCTACATTACTACATCCTAAAACTCCCTACTTTTCTACTTGACTGCTTCGCTTTAGCTTCTCTAGAATTCCACTTCGAGCGCGAATAGACTCAAAAGGGCGGCGGACTGATATCCAAACCCTCAACCCTCAAACTAAACGCATCGTTTCTGGAATAACTGCCCGCAACATCCATATCCAATCTCCCTCTCTCACAATCCTCAAAATCTGCTTCTACGCTGAGGAACCCATCTTCGACTTCCCAGAGCGAAGGGGCCAGGACTTCTCCCAGTGGACCAATGATGCAGGAACCTCCTCTGCAGACAAAGTCGTCATCTGCTGCCGAGGTGGAGGGTCGGCCAGAGGTAGAAGCAGAGCCAGAAGGATCAGAAGGATCAGGAAGAACGAGTTCATTGCCTTCCTCCATGACCACTGATTTTCTCCTGCGGGAAGGCGAGGTGGAAGAGATGCCGCCAGAGTGGTGAGTCAAAGCCCTCGGTTCCTTTTCCTCTGCTTTTTTGCCAGCAGAGATCCAAGCAGGTAGATGGCTTTTGCGCACGCATTGATTGGCGCTCAACACAAACGCTCTGCTTTCCGCTGCTACGGTGCGCATAAGTGGCTCCCAGGTATCTCTTGCGTCGGCGGTGGGTGCAAGATATAGATTTACGTTTTGAGAGTACAATGAGTAGCGGAGCAAGGGCATGTAGTTCTCCCAGCAGATGGCTGCTGCGAGACACAGCTTCACTCCTTTGATGGTTGTGGTGACGGCGCGGAGGGAAGAGGGCTGGCCTTGTGCCCAGACTAGTCGTTCCGAGCCGGTGGGCATGACTTTTCTTCGCTTGCCTATGCAGCCTTGCGAGGGACAGATGTAGATGCAACTGCAGTAGAGGGAGCCACCACTGCGTTCGACAAGGCCAGTCACGATAAAGACGCCAGTCTCCCTAGCGACTTTTTCCAAGTATTCTCTCGTGCCATCTCCACGGATCTCTCTTCCTTTTGCAGTGGGCAAGCGGCGAGTCACCCAGTCATCTCCAGCGCCCAATGGTGTATCGCCGAGATCGACGGCAGCGTGGAAGTACTCGAGGAATTGGTCGCGGCCGTGAGGGGCGCGGGCACCGACCGAAGCGCCAAAGTCGCAGGTGCGTGGGTAGCCGCCGAGATAGGCTTCGGGGAAGAGGATGAGGTCGATGGATTGGGAGGCTGCTTTGCGGGTGATGGCGGCTAGGGCGTCGAGGGTTTGTTGTAAGGTGTCGAGGGTTCTGGATTGCGAGACGGCGAGCTTGAGTTTCTTGGGCATGGTTGAGGTGGTGGATTGGTTGTGAGGGGATCTGGTGGCAGGAGGATGGCAGTTTGGTCAAAATTGAATGCGAGAAAGTTGGGTTTTTGAGCCCCTCTTATACGTGTCTCGTGAAAGGTATAGAATACGAGTCGCTGTGAGTCACTTTATAAGTCGAGGTTGGTCAAGCTCCAAAGTGGGATGGTGGAGCTTGACCGAGGCTGTTGTGCAAACCCCGGACCCAAACCCCGACCTGCTGCGCGGACACGACTATTAGCCAAACATCAGCCTGAAGCTTCAACAGTGTGAGGGAAATCGGAGTGTGTCAAAGTCGTCTTTGTATCTTGCTTGTTCTACGTGCAATGGGCTGGCGTGTCGTTTGACGACGCTTCAAAAAGCAACCCTCAACCGCTACCTTCCCTGCTCGGCATAATCATCAATGTCATTGCTATTGCTTCTCTTCCTTCTGGAAACGAATAGCTTCATAGACTCTGTTTCCTTTCTTTAAAGCTTCTTGGCGGCCTTGGCGAGGTCGGCGAGGGCCTCACGGCGCTTGAACTTGGCGTCCTCAATGACACCTGCGAACACATGTTAGTTCTAAGCTTTGAACCAGGCTATAACCAGAACATACCAGCATCGGCGTCAGAGGAGAAGTTGCCGGTCCACTGGACGAAGGTGCTGTTCTCGTTCTCGCCAGAGGTGACGGCGTAGCAGCGGATGGTGCTGACGGCAGAGGTGTAGCTCAGAGCGGGGTTGGCGGTGATGACAGAGTAGGTGATGTAGTGGTTGAGCGAAGAGTGCTCCTCCTGCTTGACCTCGATGACGGTGCCGTCCTTGAACTGCCACTTGACAACGTCCGTCTCCTCAGAGGTGCCCTTGGAGTACTCGGACTTGTCGAGAGCGGACCAGAACTTGTTGAAGTCCTGGAGCTTGATGAAGTGCCAGACGTGCGAGAGAGGGGCTGGTCAATCGCGCGTTAGCTATTGCGTCTTGCGACCGACACTCAGGGACAGCAGCATACCGTTGATGACGGTCGATTCGGTGACCGAGGTGCTGGTGGGGATGGCTCCGGACATATTGAAGGTGGTTAGATCTGGGATTGAGTTTTGATGTTGAGGTGGTTTGTTGGAGAGTTGTTCTGCTAAGGTCGAAATTTCTGGAGAGAAAAACACGAGAGAGTGGACAGCTGCGGGGCTGTTTGACGCACGTCATGGCCACCACAAACGAAGGAAGGAGCTATGACACTACAGAGGAGCTCCTTGCCTCTTCTGTTCTAGACACACGATAAGTTCCAAGTTGGTATAGAAGCTGCCAATTCAGGGTCTATCGTAAGTGATTGATGTAAACTTGATGCATTGGTCTTTTCTCATGGAAGAATATGCATGGCTTTTCCACCGCCACGCTTGTATAATGCATTGAAATGACCATCCAGATCTAAAATGCCTCCCTGTTTTACTGCGCTCATCTGGACCATCCAGATTCTAACTAGTCACACATGTGAGAAAGAAGTTATCTAGTTGAAGACGACAGTCTTGGTGCCGTTGAGGAAGACCTTCTCCTCCGACCACCACTTGACGGCAGCAGCCAGGGTCTGAGCCTCAACGTTGGATCCCTCCTCGACCAGTTCCTTGGGTGACATAGCGTGGCTAACACGAGCAATTCTCTGCTCGATGATAGGTCCCTCATCAAGGTCAGCAGTGACAAAGTGAGCAGTGGCACCGGTGATCTTGACACCGCGCTCGTAAGCCTGGTGGTAGGGCTTGGCTCCCTTGAACGAAGGCAAGAAACTGTGGTGGATGTTGATGATCTTGCCGGACATGGCTTCGCAAAGTCCAGGAGTCAAGACTTGCATGTAGCGGGCGAGAACGATCAGGTCGATGTTGTTCTCCTTGACGAGGTCCAGGATCTGCTTCTCCTGTTGCAGCTTGGTGTCTTTGTTGACGGGGAGGTGGTGGAAAGGAATGTCGTAGTTCTTGGCCAGAGGCTCAAAGTCCGGGTGGTTTGAAACGATGAGAGGGATCTCGACTTGCAATTGCTTGTTCTTCTGACGGAACAGCAAGTCGTTGAGACAGTGTCCAATCTTCGAAACCATGATCAACACACGAGGCTTGGCAGAGACTGGACGGATGTTGTAGTCCATTTTCATTTGCTGTGCCAACTCGGTGATCTCAGGCTTCAAGTGCTCTGTGTCTTGAGCATGGCCAAAGTGTACGCGCATGAAGAACTTGTCCGAAGAAGGGTCACTGAATTGTTGCAAGTCCAGAATGTTGAGCTCATGCTTGGCCAGAAGTCCAGTGACGGCGTGCACAATACCAGGCTTGTCCGGGCAGGAGAGTGTCAGGTAGTGGTCGTTTGCCTTTGTTGCCATTTTGGATGACGAGAAGGATGCCGTTTGATTTGATGATGACACGATTCCAAAGCGAGCAGGAGTGGTTATCCTTGAGATTATTCCAAAAGGTCTGGTAGATCTGAACAATGAAGCCATGCAGAGACCAGGCTGATACTGTATAGACTCGCCTCGCTTGATTGAGCGGTGTCTGGAAAATATCGTACACGGGCCGAGTCATGTAAAGACATCCGATTTTCGGCACTTCTGCACCTGCCCTCAGGCAGAGAAATTCTCAACAAACGTCTGCAACATCGAGATCTGATCCCAACAGTGTACAGAACATGTACAAATCTCGCGGATTCCAATTCCATCCTACGTACGAACATTCATACGTACGAACATCAACTGCGTCGCTCATGCTGAAGTCTTCATGCCAAATTGACAAGATCAAGAGCAACGTCCGGTTCACAGGATGTACACTTCTGTCTTGCCGCGTCGACTACCACACAGCCATCACTGAGACACACAATAGAGCTCGGGCATCTGGAAAGTATCAACGAGCGTTTTCCACCACACTCGCTAATCGCCCACCACCGTCCTCCTCCTACCTCATGAGGCGCACCCCGGAGCGGTGTTCCTGCAGAGGGCTCCAGCCCAAGTCATACCAAGCTCCAGCCTTTGACTCAGATTCATGTGCATGTCAAGCTTTTATTTCCCATGTGGGCGGCTGGACTTCCAACGACATGCGCTGTTTCGGGAAATCCTGCCAACGGTATACCGTTTTTTTGCCTACTGTGCTATCGAATCTGTTCAAGCGGTGCCGAAGGTAAGCTGTGTAATTATTATTCGCCTTCAGATGTTGGTGAACTCGAGGTATAAGATCAAACCAGCCACCGCGAACTTGGTCGCTGCTGAAATCAGACACACACTTGCAGTACCCTTAACAAAAGAAAGCTTGCAGGCCTGGCATCTTTTGTTTGAAGAGTACGGTGAGAGTATCCACCGATCTTCAATCATAATGTTTTCTTCTACTCTTCTCTCCTTGCTAGCTTCTTCGACCTTGCTGGTTCAAGGTCTTCCTGTCATCGACAACACATCACCCATCTCTCGACGCGACAGCGAAACATCTACACCATCCATCTCACGGCGAGGCAGCCAAGTGGAAACCACTCCACCAATTTCACGACGAGGCAGCCAAGTGGAAACGACCCCTTTCGGAACAGACAGCGAACTCACATTGGAATCCCGCAATGCATGCGAAGTCGACGACGACCCGATCAGAGGTGTCAATCTCGGAGGCTGGCTTGTCCTCGAACCCTGGATGAACTGGGAGCTTGTTGGTAACACAGGCGCTCCTGACCAATGGACATTCGACCAAACCGACAATGCAGAGGCGGCACTTCAATCACATTGGGAATCCTGGTTTGGAGAAGCAGACATGGCAAAAATTGCCTCGTGGGGACTCAATACGTACGTTTCTTTCCTTATCCCCCAGCACCGTTTCTTTCGTTATCTCCTCCGAGACACCGTTACACCACCCGTTTCCAGCCCCAATCTCGACCCTTGTTCAGCCTTACACCCGAGTTTATCTTTGCATCCTTATGACGCACATCTTTGCTAACAATATGAAACAGTGTGCGCATCCCTATCGGTTATTGGGCCTTCAACAACACAGGTAGTCCTTACATCTCAGGTGCAGATGCCTACCTGCAAAAAGCACTCGGCTGGGCCCGTCAATACAACATTCAGGTTCTGATCTGCATGCACGGCCTGCCTGGCTCCCAAAACGGTTTCGACAACTCTGGCCACAAAGGCGATGCACAATGGGCCAACAACCCTGCCAACCTCCAAGCCAGTACTGCCGTCCTCGAGATCATGGCCGCAAAGTACGGTGTCGCCTCTTACGCAGACGTCGTCTGGGGCCTTGAACTCGTGAATGAGCCCATCGTCTGGGACTACGACTCGGCAAAGGCAGCCCAGACATGGGCCGTCGACACCGTAGCAGCCATGCGCACCCACGTCACCAACCCCGACCTCAAGCTGGTCATGCACGATGCCTTCCTGGGCGCCAAAGCCTGGCAGCCAGTAGCCCAATACTACAACGTCGATGCCGCGTCCGAAAACTTTGTGCTGGACGTTCATCTCTATCAAAACCAAGGCGGTCCCACTGATGGCTATGATCAAGACCAACACATTGCATACACCTGCGCCTACCCCAACACCCAATTCCTATCTGAGTCTGCGCACTTGCCCGTTATCGTCGGCGAGTTCAGCGATCAAACCAACATTTGCGTTGACGCTGCTGGCAACATTACTGCCGGCACCTCTTGCTCGACTCAAGGATGCCAATGTTCAGCACAACTTGATCCTTCGCAATGGAACCCTTATCTCGTTGAAGCCACCAGAAAATTCATGGAAGCTCAAATGGATATCTATGAAGAGTACTCTACTGGGTGGTTCATCTGGAGTTATACCGGTCCTGGAGCTTGGGGCTTGGATAACTTGATGAAGTATGGGATTGTGGGGCCCAATACCGTTACGCAGAGAATGTATCCTCCTCAGTGCAATGGCACTAGTTCGTAAGAGGGTGGAGCGAAGTTAACGACCTTTTGATGATTTCTCTTCCTTTGCTTTCTATTCGGTTATTATACCCAAACCATAGATATTACAACTATTAGAATTTTTTTCGTCTTCCTTCATCGCTGGTAGTTGTTTTCATTGCCCTGACTCGCATGCATCTACAACACAATGTTTATTTAAACAGGAACATGTGTCTTTGTGGCCTCAATAGAACAGATACTCAACAATGAATAACCAATCCATGAAGCCTTTCGTGAACCGCTATATTGCTTTTTCCGGTAATTACTTTGTTGACTCGCAATGTATTTTTCTCACACTGCTGACTCGCAGTGCGGCTGTTTCAATAGCTTTAACTCCTGTAGACCAGATCATACATGCTTCTGACTCGTCTATCACAGACCATCCCACTTTCATCCCTCAAGGGAACAGAGGATATCCAATGGGGTCAAAAGTGCCAAAGCCGTACGACAAAGCAAGTGCTTAGAAGCAAGCTACCATCATACACATATCACAACGGGTTGAATGTCTCCAACGAACGAACAAATAAAAAGACCCCCGAGTCTTTGAACAACCCTCCAAATTCCAGGAAACGATGCAAATAGGTATTATCTGACATACCGACTACTGCATGAAAAAGGCACAGCAAAATATATATTCAGTGATGAAAACAAAAGAAGGCATCTTTGGTCCAAGATCACAAACCCCATTCTAGACAACGGTGAAACAACGACTCCAGATACACCTTTCTTTGCATCTCTACTCTCAAAATTGAAGAAACACAACCAAGAAGTAAGCCGAAAGCTCTCACACATTTGGTCCAAAGAACAGGTAGGTGTGGTATGGAAGGAAACAATGGTGAAAACATACAAGAGAACTTCGTTCCCAAAGAGAAGGAATCAGCTGTTCCTAGTGTTCTCGTGACAGAGGGAGAGAAAAAGGGATCCAAGAGAAGCTACAAGTCTGTATAAACCCCATTCGTCATCGAAAAAGAGAACCATGAAAGCAATCAAAAAGGAAGAGCACGAACCAAAAGAAGACAGAGAGAGGCATGAGAAACATAACAAAGCCCCTTCCGGCAAAAAGAAAAAAACTCCGGCTTCAACCGCTTCTCTAATGCTTAGGTGCACCACCCATACGCTCAATGTTACTCATCATCTTACTCTTGGACGCAATCCCCGAAGGCCTAGGCATACCTCTGCCAATGCGACTCTGCACCGGCGCCGCTGCAGGAGCCTCTCTAAACGCAGGAATGGACGCATGAGGCGGCGGAGCAGGACGACTGATACTGCGTCTGAAGTCCTCAATCACAGCCGCCGTGTTGCTATCAGGAGCGCTCGATTGAAGCAACAACATCTCATCAACAGCAGCAACAAGCTCGCCCTTTTCCACTCTTTCTTTCTCGAGTTCAGAGTGCAGGGATGCTTGCTCGGTGTGCAGGACGTCGAGTTGGCGCGACAGGTTTGCGAGCTCGGCGCGTTGTTCTTCGATGGTGGCGTTTGCTTCTTCCATGACTCTGCGGTCGTCGGCTGTAAACATCATAGACGACTCGATGTTGTTGTTTGCTGAAGCCTGCAATTGCTCGTTCTGCTTGGCCAGGTCATCGAGACGAGATTGCAGGTCTGCACATTTCTTCTCGCTGCGTGCTTCGTAGGATTTCTTGAGGGTTGCGACCTTGGTTTCGTGTTTCTTCTTGTAGACGGCGTGGAGTTCACGGGATACAGCTTCGACTTTTGCATCGATTTGTTGTTGAACTAGAGTCTGGATTTGTGCTTCGTCGATTGTGTTTCCTGAACCATCATTTTTGGGGATGGCAGCGCGGGCAGTTGCGAGTTGGGCTTCTAAGTCGAGGATTTTGGACTCTGCCTCGTCTGCACGGGTCTGCTGCTTCTCCGTTGACCGTTCGCTCTCCTCTGCGCGGCGGACGAGAGATTCCTTTTCTTCATCGCTGCGCATAACCTCTTGTCTGACGTTCTGGAGAAGTTGCTCGAACTCCACACCGCGCTGCTCCCATTGGTTCTTCTCATGTTCAATCTGCTCGCGCTGGCCTTTTTCCTCTCTGAGGTTCTCAAGAGCTTCGCCGACACGTCTTTCGGCATCTCCTACGGCCTTCTTCAAGGAGTCGACTTCGGCTTCTCTTCCAGAGAGGGTAGCTTTGAGGGACGAGATCTGCGATTGATATTGTGACTTCATGGACTCGAGCTCGCGAACGGTAATGGTGGGGATAGAACGAGGAGTGGGTGCTGGAGGCAGCTCAAAGTCGAGCAGGTTGAGCAGACTGGTAGACTTTGCTGGTGTGCTCATCCTGGCGCCCTTGTTGGGCGAGCGTTGTTGGTTCAAGTATGATAGGAGGTTGGGCTCGGTAGCCGATTTTTGTGGAGAGCGTCGAGAGGGTGTTTGTTGGACGTCAGGGCGGCCGGAAGCATGAGCAAAGCGTTCGATCTGCTGGGTGAAATCGATGAGATTGGTTGTGTTTGATTGAGCAGTTCCAGGAGTTCTGGGTCTACGGGGTGTGGGAGAAGGTGATCGTTCGTCGGAACCTCGTCGTCTGGCAGGTCTGGGTGTGGCTTGTTCGCTTTGTGGTGTTCGTTGCTAAGATGTGGTTAGTCAGAGTCGAGGTGGATCGATTGAGGTCAACTCACGATAGATTGCTTCAGGGGGCTTCTGCGATCGCCCAGCTTTGCAAACATGGTCATGTCTGGGACAGCGGAAAAGGTGCTGAAGCAGGTGTCGTCAACGCCAGTCTCGTCAACGTCATTGATCATGATCGAGTCGTCAATGTTCTCATCATTGTGGTCGAAAGATGTCGCGCGATTTTGTGGACGAGGTGTCTCATCAGGCAAATCGAGCTGCTTGAAGGGCGAGCTGGCCTTGAGAGGAGAGTTGAAGCGAAGAGTCTTTCTGGTCGAAGGTGGTGGTTTGGGGGCCGTGTCTTCTTCGAAAGTGCTGCTGCGTCGCTTCTTGACAGTTGATTTTGGCTTGAGAGGAGACATGGACTTCTTCGGGGCCTCTGGTGTGGTAGCCTTTTCTGGTGTCCTGTGCGTGTTGTCGACTTGGGGAAGGTCGTCTTCCTGTGCGACAGTGTTTTCCTTGTCGCCGATGGAAGAAATGGAGAAGGTGGAAGCCTTGTTGCTGTTGGTCTCGAAGAATTGAGTCTCGTTATGATCTGCTGGGTCTTCGAAGATGGCGTCGACTTCGGGGTCGATGGGAATCTGATCCAGGTTGGTAGAGGCGAGACGAGTATTGGGGTCAGAGACAAAAGGCGAGCTTGCAGCGTCTTCGTCGTCCCAGTTGATGATGGACTCGTCGTGTGTTTGTTTGGTCGGCGTCGACGTTCTGCAAGGAGTGGCAGAAGTGGTGTTGGCGGCCATCTTGTCCCCACGCACGACCGTAGCTGGTGTGCGAGAGTTGAGCTGATGTGAGTCCAGCGGTGACAAAGGGCTCGTCATTGTGATTGTCTGTCGAGAGGGACTGCGAGTCTGGCAAAATCAGTTGGTCTGCGACAGAAAGATCTGTGTGTTTACACAACACGCACAGACCCGCTTCTCCACAGCTACCCGCATGGTCAATCATCACGGTCAATCATCATCCTCGACGAGCATCTTGAATGTCTACATAGAGTATACACGCTCTGCCGCATCGAAACTGTCATCCAAACGAGGCCGCTCGCTTTGGTCTAAAGGCATACTGTTCATGTGTCTGGTTGACGCGTCCAAGCAGCTCGTTGGATGCTCCTGACGCTCCACAATGAGTGCACGCGCTTACGGTGCACTTGAGTACTGAACCAAAGATTATCAAGCCCGCAATGCTCGTTACGCCCTCATAGGTCTTGCGAAGTACGAGTGCCACTCAACTTCCCTGATTATCGTTCTTGCAGCTCTCTCGTCCAACTTCCGACGGCTTTTCCGAGTTTGGAGGGAGCTTTTCCGAGCCTAACATCCGGCGAGCTCAAAGCTGTGGGGATGGCGGGGCTTTGGAGGGGACGCGGATAGGTAATCACCATCTTTCTTGCTCCCGCCTTGTTGATCACTCTCGCCTTCTCCTCTTCTCCCTCTCTCTCTCCTTCACCTACTCCCTTGCTCCCATATCGTTGTGTTCTGATCAAACAGCAATCATGGACCCGTCAGAAGTCAATATCCCGCCGCTGAAAGACTTGACAATCGACAACATCACCGAGAATGTACACATGATCAACTCACAATGCGAAGACCCTCGTATGAAATACCTGCTTGAGCGACTCGTCTCTCACGTCCACGACTTTGCTCGCGAAACCCGTCTCAGCACGGACGAATGGATGGCTGCTATTCAGTTCTTGACAAAAGTTGGCCAGATCAGCAGCGATGTACGCCAGGAGTTCATCTTGCTGTCCGATGTCATTGGCCTCTCTCTCCTCGTCGACAGTATCGATCACCCCAAGCCTGCTTCCAGTACCGAGGGTACCGTTCTAGGTCCCTTCCACACACACGAAGCTCAGCTCGAAGGCAATGGCGGTAGCATCTCACACGACCCCGAGGGTGAGCCTTGCCTAGTCCTGTGTACCGTCAAAGACACTGCTGGAAAGCCAATCGACAATGTCAAGATTGATATCTGGGAGACGGACAGCAAGGGTTTCTACGATGTCCAATACGCAGAAAGAGACGGTCCTGATGGCAGAGCTGTCATGAAGAGTGACAACGACGGCATCTTTTGGTTCAAGGCCATCGTGCCAGTGCCGTATCCTATCCCTCACGATGGTCCGGTTGGTCAACTTCTCAAGAAGCTCAAGCGTCACCCATACCGCCCTAGCCACATGCACTTCATGTTCGAAAAGTCTGGATATGACAACCTCATCACGTACGTCGTCCCGATCTCCTGCTAGCGAGCTTGCAAAACTGACTAAAGCACAGTGCTCTATACCTACGCGGCGATCCATACGAGACCTCCGACGCTGTCTTCGGTGTTAAGGAGTCCCTGCTCATCGATCTGGGCACCGTGTCCGCCGAACAAGCAAAAGAATACGGTGTAAAAGAAGGTGGCAAGCTCATCACATACGATTTCGTCCTTGTGACCGATGATGAATCGCGCAAGTTACGCGAAGAGAAGGCCATGGAAGCCATGAAAAAGCTAGGAAGGAGGATGAAGCTATACCAGGGTCTGCCTATACCCGATGTCGATTAGATGGCACAATATCATGCATCATGCATCATCATCTCATTCCTCGAAGCACTCTCTGGTCTGATTCGAGCAGACGCTCATTTGCAGACCTTCGCGTCATTGTCGCGCTTCTTTTGTGCAAAAGCGCCGACTTTATTTGCTGGGGACGGTTTCTGCCTATCTCCCACCTACTGCAAATATCGTCCCAGCTGCACTTCGTGTATTGTCGATCCGCAATCATGGTGAAGGCGCATTGTCTCTTGACAGCAGCCAGCCAGTTTCTTACTTATCCACAGTTCATGAACTTTTTCTTCATCACGTCGATTGGCAACGAGACTTCTGATTACTGGCTCGACACATCATCAGCATGGATTATGACAAGCGACATGTTAGTCTCATACTGGCTATTCACCAGTGTCTCTCGTTATCAGCATGGGAAGGCGATTCATCGGGTTCGCTGCCCCAGATGTCTGGAACCCTTGCTTTGATTGACTTCAATCAGCTGACATGTCAACACGTGAAGGGATGAATCTCGTCATTGGAAGCGTGATTCGCAATATCTTGAACTGATCTATCCGGTGAATCACTATCGAGTCTATTCTTGTTTCTCTTTTTGGACTAGAGGCTGCAACTCGCAAAGCTTTGCATCATACGTCTGGCACTACGACATGGAAACAAGGGTTGCTCGTTCTTAGTAAAATCTACACCCTTACGCTCGGCTCTTAGGAATGTTAGCCACTAACGAAGACGGCCTCATGATCTTCTTGAGCTTACCTCGAGCTCTTTCATCTGTACGGCGATACATCTCCCTCTCACCAGTATGAACCAGGGTATTTCAGCTCTACACAATTGACATCGCAGAGATGCTACGGAAAGCTGCAAAAATACATTCCCCAATGCTACCTTGTGTTCACAAAATCATAAATTCTGCTAGTATAAAACCCCCACTGCCACATTGCTTACTATCTAATCGACGTCAATGCCCAGCAGCAAGCATTTGGGATAGATGAACCGCTCTCACTTCCAGAACGTGTGCGTGCCTTTGCATTCTTCGCATGACTATACACTGAGTATAAAGCATCGAGAACGATGTAGATGGGGTCTACGGGTTGATGACGATGTTAGTACTTCTTACTATCGCCGCTGTGCACGTCGCGTGAACGCAAAGGTAGAAGAAGTAGAGGGGATGCAGGAGAGCGAGTAGATTAGGTGCTTGATATCGAGCCTAACTGTCTTTCGTAGCCTACAAGATCCCCTAGGCGGACAGAAAGACTAAGTCATGGACGTCTTCGGGTATATAGCGCTACTATCTCGTCCGTCGCGAACAGGGTTAATGATATTCTTACTCCATTCCTTACTCCTTATAGAGTTTCACGCTTGAATAGACTCACACCCAAATGGAACTGGAAATATTCTCAATGTCGGCGCGGGATATACGGTTTTATCTGATATCGTCGTCGACCCGAGAGACGCTTCGACGTCCCACAGTACTTGAGTAGCATATAACAAATTGTGTCACAGACGGGAGACACACACCTACAGCTGATCAGCTGTCTGTAGGTACAGAAACGAAATCTTCCATGTCCATCTCGATGTTGAGATTGGATCGACGGCATGACCTGTTTGTGTAGTGATTTTCAGAATATGCAAGGGATGGTCAAGTGCATAGTGATTCTGGAAACATGCAAGGGTGGGTGAAACATGCAAGGCAAGAACTTTCTGTCTATCATGTGGACTCTAGATTGCGAAAGATGTGATTGTATACTAATCTGTGTTGATGTCGCTCGTACACAACCAAGAAAATATCAATTTGCAACAAATTTGTCAAGTTAGTGTTGTCATATGCATCCATACCGATCTCTGATTACCATATATTGGTGTCTCGAGGACTCCAAGCACCAAAATTGCTGAAGAATTGAGCTGGACAGGGATAAAATCAAAGCAGGCCGTCTCGAGAGCTCCAAGTCTTGCCTTATGGAAATTGCATTGCCTCCGCAGACCTAACTGCCTCAGCAGTTTCCTCACTGATCCGATTCTGAGCTAGATCAAGGCTCACTTCTGTCTCCCATGACGCCGTATTGATGTGTCATCGTTGAATAGATCCCAATTGCTTACTGAGTGCGTATCTGTACTCGTGAGACAGAGCTTCAATGTATTCCTGTCCAAGCTAGTTTGTTCATATCCCATGACATACATCTTCAGCCAACTCAAGTTTCATACTGATGCGCGGGAGCGATACTCAGCCTCATCAACTTGAAGCGCATTGTCTCCATCACGCTTTTCAGCATGATCACCACCGCACATTCATTCACCTTTCACCATAGAAGCTGCCCTATCCTCAACTTGCACTTGATGATCAACAGGGCAGTCGAGGACTTCGAGTTGCGTCTGGTCAACGAGACGAGGCACATTGGGCAGTCCTGAGTCAAGAATCAGAGAGGAGGGATTTTCCGTTATTGTGGAAGAAGGCAAGTGAAGGTATGGCAATGCAAGAGGAGAAGATCGTCAGGTTAGTGTCCTCCCGCGACTCTCCACTGCCCTCTAGCTCAGATGGAATGATGTGTGAAGTTTTCAAATTCTCGAGGTCACGAAGGGGCCTAGTCGGACATGGACATCAGAAGTCTCGAGTTTATCGACCCGGTCACTGTTGATCTCTTGCAGTGAGGTCAACATTAGCCGCTACATCAGTTATTTTTGCAGTCGTCAGTCCACCATATGTTACGAGGCATTCGGTGTGTGGTGCTCAAGATACGAGAAACTGCACTCGTGTAAGCTAGCTTGTCAATCGTGTTACTCTTGCTGTGTCTATGTATACCTTGACGTCCAGGGTCTTGCGATCCGTTAACCCACAAAATCGAGTTTTGATATGATTTCGACCCGACGTGCACGAAAAGAGCGTGGATCTGAATCAGAACAAGCAATGCAGGACACAAAAGCAACCGAGGATGTTATTGGTAAACAAAATAAAGTGGTATTGAACGTTCTAAGAACAGAAAACTAATGCAACCCAAGAAACTTGTCATAGCCCAGATTCCCCTGAACCAATGAACACAAGAAAATCAGAATGGGCATATTATGATACACGTAAAGTATACGATGAAAAAGGTGAAAGACCTGCATCACCTCTCATGCTAACGCGAAGAAATGATAGTCATAGCTTTACAGGAAGAAGAGAGATGCAAGGAAAGCACCGAAGGTCGCAGCGCCCGAGGAGACAACCATAGACGAGGCGGCACCACTGCTGGTAGCTGCAGACTGAGAGGCAGTCGAGGATGGACTTCCAGAGCTGCTGCGGGTGGCGCTGGAGCTACCGCCAGTGCTGCTGCTGCCCGTGGCTGAGGCGGTTCCGGTAGGGGTTGAAGGAGTGTAGTTGCCAGCAAGGCCAGGTTGGTTGCTGTCTTGCTCAGACAGAACGGTGAGCTCGAGGTTGTTGAGCTGTTCACCGTTGTAATCGTAGACAGTAGCGGGCATGGCGGTCTTGGTGACGGAAACAGTCTTTCCCTTGTTTGCGCTCGAAATACCGCTACTGATCATGGCATCGACGCCACTGGGACGAGCGGGTAGGTTCCAGGCATTGTAGAAAGAGCTCTCGGTGATGAGGTCAGGATCACATGTAGGAGGCTTGCGACCGGTGGCAGTGCTGTTTGCAGAGTTAAGGAGGCTCTCGTCGAGCTTGCTGTACTGCGTAGCCAAGTAGCCGTAGTCTTCACGGAGGTGGATCTCGTCAGCGCTGGTAATGTTGACAAGACCGTAGTCGTTTGAGCCCTCGGAGTATTCGTAGACCAAACCACCGGACATGACACTCATCTGCTCGCCGTAAAGAACAGGCACGTTGGTAAAAGTGCGGGGCTTGACGAGGTTGCATCCGTACTCGGAGAAGAAGACAGGAATGCTGGTGTTGCCGAATAGATCAACCAGCTTGCTGTATCCAGATTGCTCGTAGGTGCTATCACCGCACCTTATCATGTTGTATCAGTATGCCGAAGGTTCAACCACAGATGCTTTGGAACTTACCATTCATAGTCGTTGAGGCCGAAGAAGTCGATCTTGGAAGACGTCGAGTTTGACAGCTCACAGCCAAGGTACTCCCAAGTGTCGCTAAGGACGTCGTCAACATCAGCAGCTGAGTAGCCAACAGGGATCTCTCTGTCGATGTTCTTGGCAATGTAGTCCTTCATGTCGCGCGTCACAGCGCGAATGTAGGCGGGTGCATTGTAAGCACTCTGTTCGTTGATGATCTCGTTACCGGAGAAGAATCCGAGAAGATTGGGGTAAGGTGCGAAAGCCTCGATGATGCCGAAAACGTGGTTTAGGTAATCGCTGGTGTAAGTTGTCCAAGGCTGGACGCGGTCAATGTAGGACCCGTAGAAGCCGTTGTTTACATCCAGGATCATGTGGATACCAGCAGCGTTGAAGATGGATGCACACTCGTCGTGGTTGACATCGGCAATCAAGTTGTAGACTCTGATAGTGTTGACTCCCAGGCGCTGCATAAGAATTGCATCTCTCAAGCAAGCATCTGGATCACTAAGAGGATCGCTAGTCTCAGTCACACCGCTCGAGCCGCCAGGTTGATAACTTTACTCAACCGTTAGCAAAATGCGCCCTGACGTGCGTCATGATTGATGCTTACTCAACACCGACGATGGAAAAGCGATCTCCACCAGACTTGACGAAGTTTGCACCATTAACATTGATAGTCTGAACTGCTGCTGCAAAGGATGAGAAGAGCGAGGCCGCTGCCAGAGCGGTACCCGTAATAGATGTCTAGATTGAGAGTTAGCGTACGCGTTCTGAAATTGTGAAATTGCGTGCTGGTGAAGTTACCGTCTTCATGATGATGTTGAGGAATGCGAGAAGGATTTCTAAAAGCGAGCGTGATGTAAATATTGAGGAAAGCGCGAGTATAAGAAGTAGGAAATTCCCAGCCTTCAACCAAGCCGCGCAGCAAACGTGAATCCAAAACCTTGATATTCTTGGAAAAAGTGGGCGTATGATGGAGCTTGAAGTATCCGACTAGCCGCCGCGGCTCTTCCAGAAAAGTAGGCCAAGCACTGCTCTGGAAGTTCGGGAGATTAGGCTTGTCACTTTGATAGGTGCCGCTCTATCTCTGTATTTCATGCTGAGACAGATTGTATGAGCCCTACACCCGGATCTTCCTCCTCCCTGTCCAATTTATTGCTCCGGTCTTCTGTGCGACTGAGGACCTTCCTTTCTTGTTGTTTATTATATGAGAATCAAATTTCTCGTTCTCGTAAAACTTGTCCACCGTTGGTCAATAAGCCCTGAGCAGCTTGTTGCGATACGAAATGTTCGTGTCTGATGGTTAATTTTGGAATAGAAAATTCGGTCCGAACCTCGTCAAGACAAGGTCGATCGTTATGGAGATCCGTCCGGTTCACCCAGCAGCGAATCACGATGGGACACTCCAAAACTCCTCAAAGGCATGCCACAATGCGGGAATAGTGTGGTACAGACGGTACTGTGGCACTTGTCCGGGCGCATTACAGACGAGGGCACACGGCTTTTACTGAAAGTCGCAATCGTTGCGGTCATTACTTCAGTAGGGTTGCTGCATGTTGAACGCTCGACGTCGACATAAACAAGATGTTGATCAAGCTTCCACACTAAGGAAGCATGCATAGCTATTAGTACCAACGGTGTAACACAACTAAAGTTTGTAACTCCTACAATTCTCCCACAACTCCCACACAAAGATACAGAGCGTAGAGATCACTATGGAGATGCACAATCATGTCGAGGAGTCAGAGAGGCCCAAAGAGAGCCCTTGATACCATATCTCTCAGCGGACAAGCCCTGGTCCGCGAAGATACTGTGCCCCTCTGTAGTAGCACGCGTTACTAACTTTGGCACATGAGGAGTATGCGAGTCAACATCTTGACGGACACAAGGCGGGTGCCGGCTTACTTGTGGAGAGCTCTTTCTTTCGACACGTCTTCCTATCGCGAGTCGCCATGAAAGTGTTTCACAAGCGATGGAGGGTATAGCTGCGTCCAGTGTCATACACACCTTGAAAGCGTCTTTTCGCATCCGTTTTGGTTCATGATCAAGCTCACAGAAGCAGTCTTGTCAGATTTGTCAAACGCTGGGCATTCGGCGCGGAAGTCTTCGGCAAACGTCATGCGACGCCGGCCCAGCCACCTCTGACGGACAGGCGGCAACCTGCAGTCCTCAACCACAAACAACATACCCAATCTATCAAACTCTGAAATCTCATCCCCGGAACCCTACAGCATGTGTATCGCTTTGCTTACGACTGCGCATCCCGAGTATCCGTTCATTCTGCTGAACAACCGCGATGTAATTACGCCCGAACCAAACTGGCCACGTCTGGCCGACTGACACCATTACGACGATAGGAATTCTTGAACCGTCCCACTGCAAAGGCCACTTTCTGGCAATCGCCCAATGAACATGTTCTAGGAGGTCGTGACCTTCAACGTCCGGAGCAAGGCACATGGCTGGGCCTCACCAAGCAGGGTCGTCTGGCGTGTCTAACCAATTTCCGCGAGTCTGGCGCCCAGGTGTATGGCACAAAGTCACGTGGCGGATTGCCAAAAGCATTTCTGACATTGCCCGCGTCAAGCGCGCAGTCATCTCAGGAATTTGCACGACACATGGTCGAGGACGTGGGTGTAGGTGATGTTGGGGGGTTCAGCCTTCTCTTCGGTAGGTTGAGCAAGCGCAATATTTGCGCGCAAGAGGGAGAAGGCCTTGCAATCATGTCGAATCGAACCCAGGATGCTTCGGCTACCACCTGGATCTGTGGCAAATCTGGTGAGATTCAAGGTCTCAGCAACTCGCATTTCGGTGACAGATCCTGGCCCAAAGTTGTTGATGGAGAGAAGCGACTTCGAAGCGTCATTCAGGAGCACACTACCGAAAATTCGAGCAAAGAAGACTTGCTCAACGCGTTGTTTAAAGTACTGAGTGTGGACACTTTGCCCCATCGTCAGCATGGTCAAGACTGGGACACATATGTCTATCAGCTCCGCAACAGCATCTTCATCCCTCAGATTGGTCGAGATGAGCTGGATGATCCTTCTGCTGATGATGTTGTCGTCACCGATACAGATCGCACCACAAAGACCGATAGCGAAGCCTATGGTACCCAGAAGCAAACTGTCATTCTTGTTAATCGCAAAGGCACCGCCACGTACGTTGAAAGAACACTTTACGATGATCACGGTCGTCCAACAGATGACAACGTCCAGCAATACGAATTCGAGATTGAAGGTTGGAACGATTGAGAGCCTGACTAAGTCTGGTCTTGGAGACCTCTACCAACAGGCTGCGATAATCGCACCCTAAGACACCACGCTATCATGATTCACCTGTTCCCACCGTTTAGTGATCGCCTAGCGCACTCCAAGTCCCCACCTCGACCTGATCAGGTTCTGTGTTCTCCTTGTTCTGCCCTTTGCCGATGGAGATGCCTAGCCCGATGGTCTTGGGCTTCGCGATGAATCCTGTCAGCTTCTTCGGGCTCAAGCTGTGCGGCCTCCTGACTGCAAGTTCGACGTCCTTGGTACTCTGAGCGGCAAGCGGTAGAGGTGCACTTGGCAGTGCATTCATCGTAATTCGATGCTTGCGTGCTTCGAAGCTCTCAGTATCTGGTCGTGGAGTATCTGTGTATACTTCGAGCTTCGAGCGTCGCTGCTTCTTGGTCTCGGGGGACTTGGGCATAGATGCATCTCTCTTTGAAGCTGGAATGTAACACTCACGTGCCTTGCCCACCTTCCGCATACTCAGCACGGATGCTTCGCAGACTTGACTCTCCTCGTCACCTACTTGATCGTTGACATCGCTGTACACGCTACGATCGTTACTCATGATCTCTTCAGTGGAGGATGAGTCACTCTTGCTGTGTTGGTATGCGGCAAGAGTATTCAAGCTGGAATTCGATGACGCATCAAGGTAAGCTTGCAATTCGCGAGTCCCTGCCGTGAGCATGTGCTGGTTGAACATTTGGGTCGAACGACTGGAAACAGTGCCACCACGGTTGTTCATTGAGACAGCCCTGGAAGGGTGTGTTTTCGGCGAAACTCCTGAATCTGGACTGGGATGTGCGGTCGTGCCCAGAGCATCGGCATCGGTACGATCTTTGGCCTTCTTGGCAGCCACTAGCAGACGGGCAGGGTTGCGTTCGGATATGGGTGGAGGAGGTGTGCTAGGCACAGGCGGCAAGAGAGGCGACAAAGGTGGCCTCGGGTGTGGCGTCGGGGGTCGTGAGAAGGGCATTTCGGACAGATGTCTTGGAGCGACCCGGATAGGTGGTGCAAAACGACGATTGATGACTACGCTCTCGTCCGGTATCCGAAGGAATATGGTAGAACGACCACCAACCGCTACTTCTGGCTCGTCATGAAGCTCACAGATTGCGTTGCGTCTACCGAAGTCGTACATGGGTAGCCTGCCGTCACTCGCGCGCGATCTTGTCTCCAACTCAATCTCTTGTCTTGCTTGTGCTCTGGCGACAGCACTTTTGGTTGCTCTTGCCCTCCGACATAGCACACCCAAGATCAACCCGAAAGAGATGATGAAGGCTGCCACCGAGAGAGCGAAGAAGACGGTCAGTGCTGATCTCCCTGCAACTGCACGGGGTATGCCGGTCATCACGCTGCGCACGAACAGGATAGCTGAGACCAACAGTATCGACCCCGAGGCCAGGGCTGAGAGGCCGAGCGTTGACAGCGAAGCATCGAGCTGGCGCGCACAGTCTCGCTGACGTTGCAGCACCCGAGATGGCTTGTTGTCTGGTCTCTGTACCGGACCGTCCGCGCTTGGAGGTATCAAAGCTGGTAGCGGGGTTGGTGCTCGATAGCCAATCTGTGGCAACACGGGTTGAGGGCGCTCGAGTGGTGGGGGTGTGACCGGATATGGAGGATCTGGCATGCCTTCTCTGGCAGGTAGAATTTGGGGTGATCCGTCTCTGTACTGGACCCATTGGCTTTCACGTTGCTTTGGATATGTGCTACGCCGAGAGATGCGTGTTTTGCTTTGGTGGCGTGTGCGGGATCCAAGTACTGGGCTTGGTCTGGCGTGTGGGCGTGCTTGTTGGTTCTGTGGAGGCGAATCCGTCCTCAGAATATCGGGTGCACTCTCCCAGGCTGGTGGCAGTCGTATTTTTGCCATGGTTTTTGCGTCACTCTGGTTGTGTCTCCTGTCCGGTCGGAAGATCAGAAGCAGTATATGAAGAATGCTCATTCAGGAGCGGCTGGTCGACAAGAGGTGTTGGGTCCATACAACACGATCTGAGACCAAGACGTTCCTGCCACTGTTTTTTCACACATCGGCAAGCAAACACATCGACCTACCTCGTTGCTTCTTTCGATGTCTCAGGAGACTTCGACAACTATGAGAATGACAAAGCCTCCTGTGGATGGAACATTCCACCTTTGTTTCTCCAGCTTCTGGAACTCAAGACCTTTTTCAACGCTGAGACGAGTTTGAGACATTCTGCAGTCTTCCAAGCTCCATCTATGGAATCTTTATGCTTCTATCCTCTCTTCCGAGCCAGATGCCACTGCACAGCGAGGGCTTGCAGTATTCGAGGCGTACGAGCTTATACCCAATACTTACGTACAATTCCGAGAACAGTCATCCTTTGATGATCTATTCGAGTAACATGCACCTAAAGACGTCTCTCGGCAATTATCAGCACGTATGCAAGGTCTCAATGGATACTCTCGATGATCTTCATGCTTGATGGTAGCGCCAAGACTGGGGCCCTGACTGTTAAATTGTTAGATTCGTCCGACTTATCTCTCTCTTATCACCGCCAAGTCATTGACCGCTGCTACTAAACTCACGCCGATACCTTTTGTTCTACAGCTGTTGATCTCAACGCATATCTCAGCCAGCTACCGTAATGCCCAAAGCCGACACAACAAAGAGACAACGGGCGTCACAAGTTTGCGACTTCTGTCATGCACGAGGCCTGAGATGTCGATGCGGTGCTGCTGGAGAAGACGACCATCAAGCAATTAGAAGTACTGGTTGCCTCACTTGCAAGGACTATGGCGTAAGTTGTAAAATGGATAGGCCTGTCAAGAAGCGAGGAAGAAGGCCACAGGTCATGTGTCCAGACGAGAATGAGGTTGACACGACACGAGATTTGCATGCCATGTCTCTACAAACTACACATAGGCTTGTTCGGATCTATCGCGACACAATGTACCAATGCTAGTAAGCAAAGTTTCGCCATCTCACAGTCACGTCAGCCATACTGACTCTTGTCTTAAGCTTTCCATTCTTGAACGAGAAGGATCTTCTTACAAGATGGGAGGATCGCATTCCTGATGCCGAAGAGCCATCATACATGCTCTTAATGGCTCTTTGTGCGGTCAGCTCCCATACAGCTGCACTAGAGGCAGTCTTCGACAAGACCTTACTCGAAGATTTCGCAATACCAGACAGCAAACGATACTTTGTGGAAGCCGTTTCGAAGATCCCGGCACGGTTTTCTATGCCTCAAGATTTCGACTACCTACGGTCGTTTGGTCTTTTGACGGTCTACTCGTTGCAATGCGGCAACAATAGTGATCTGCATCGCTATCTTGGAATGTATCACGCTCTTGTCGCTGAGTATGGGTTTCATGATGAGAGCCGCTGGCCCGATAACACATCACTGTCCGAAGTTGACGATCGCCGAAGGTTGTTTTGGTGCGTTTATCGGCTTGAGATTCATTCCTCGTGCGTGTTCGGGCATATGGTACGTCTGCCAGAAGCACAAGTGTCAGTGTATTATCCTCGGATCACGCCTACCATGGACCCCGAAATACAAGCTTGGATCATAGGCTGGGACTACATCACCGACCTCTTTCGTCTTCTGGAATATGCCATCATTGGTCTTCGAGCTTGCAAAAATCGTAAGGCTTTACTCGCCGTTCTCTGCGATCGTCCTTCGCCGACTATGCTGCTAGACAGCTTGGCCCAACTCAAAGCAAACAAGTCTCGGACTCTGACTAGATTGAATGACTCTGATGGCGAGTACTCTAGCAATCGCTGCAAGTACATGGCTGTGCAGATTAATTGCACCGAGACAATCACAACGATTATGGCTCTACTATATTGTCAGGCCCCTGCACGCGATGTCATGGCAGTAGCCCAAAAGTTCCTACAGGAACTGAGCTCAGCTCCACTGATCATGTTCAAGATTGCAAGCAGTCAGATTGTGCATCAGCTACTCGGAGTAGGTCATATGTTCTCTAACGCATCACGCTATGACAGTGATCGATACCGGACGGAAGCAAAGAGACTCATCGCATTCCTCGGGGACCTAGTGAAAAGTCTGGAGAGTGTTGTGCCTGCAGCGGGTTCTGCTGGTGACAAACTACTCAGGCTTGCAGAAGCCAACACTTGATTGCAACAGTTCAAGACCGCGCCGAAAGAAACAAAACCATGACCTTGGGTGCCGACAACGCAGGGCGCCACCGAGAAAGCACAAACGAGCTTTGTCGAATCCTCTTATCTTATAGTCAGCCACGTCATTCCTATGAGACCACCGCCGAGTCGCTTTCCATACACAATCAGGACCAAGAACGAGAAGGTGCAGATCAGTGGGATTGCCGCAGCAGTGACGAGGCAGTTCTGCAGCCCTTGCGTCGTCCACCATGGAGTGATACCATAGCTGATACCGAAGCCAATCGTATTGCGGATGACCATGATGGACACCATGGTCTCTCCAGCAATCTCCTTGAAACAGTCGACATTGTAGCTCACTGCAATGGAGCCACCGGTCACACATCCAAACGTCAGCATGCCGAGACCAAATACCAAGCCGATCCAATGTACTTGGTGATAGGCACCAACGCCCCAGGTGACCAGACCAGCTGCAGGGATTATGCCAGAGACCGTCAAAACCCAAAGACGGTGCTCTGGCTCTCGTATGCCGTTGTTGCGACGAGCAAGCGCCAGAGTGATGGAATCTGCGATCTTGCCGGACCACAGACAGGCGAGTGCTGCACCGACGATTGGACCTGCATACACACATCCGACTTGTGCTGCGGAACATCCATGTGGCTCACCTGTCAGTACTGGACTTGCTGTCCCGTTGAGGACATTGTACCACGCAAGGTTGATGCCGTATAGGAAGTCGGTCCAAGCGACAGTTGGAAACCTGTAGATCATGATCAAGGGTCGATACATCATGTGCAACATATAGCAGTTGCTGGGTCGTCCAGGTAGTGGTCGAAAAAGATTGTACTTATCCCGTCTTGTGGTCGTTCTTTGGATCGTTGTCGAAACTTGAATCTGCTGTGAGGGAGCCGTAATGGACTTCTCCGACTGCATCTGCTTTTCTCCCCCATTCTGTGTCGCGCAGTCATTTGTGCTCTGGATCTCGACATTGACGCTCTCCAGGGTGGTGCCTCGGCAGTAGATCGTCTCCTCCATGAAGAAGTAGATAATCAGGAAGATCACACCACAGATGATCGTGCCCAAGTTCATCGTCCATCGCCAACCATACGCATCATTGAATCACCCTGCTACGAGCGGAGCAAGGAAGTTAGATGGCAGTTGCTGTTCTGTACCAATTGCCATGATTTTTCGGTTGTTAAAAGGATGATATTCTTGTTGATAGTCGGCACTCGAGCGTGGGCTTTTCAGCAGCTGCCAGCCACATTCAACAGCTGATGACAGTCCAAGAGTAGTTTGCAGCAGATCTTCTCAAGATTATTCACCGATAGGCACCGATCAGATTCATCTGACTGCATAAGAGCTTGATTCGCTCCGTACTGATTTCTCATCTTTCTCTCATTTTAACAACAATCTTTAAGATAACGCGACATCACGCAATAGTAGTTTCTTACTTTACTCAAGCAATCATGATAGCTTCCGTCGAACCACAGGTAGGCTTATCCGTCGTCAGTATTTGACAGATTCTATTTACTCACATACTGGAAGTCACTCTCTATAGTCGAGGCAACAGTCTCAAATCTGGCAAACGCGCTCTCAAAAGGCCAAACCAACAGCGTTGAATTAGTCGTGAAGTCGCTGCTCCGTGTCGCAAAGTATGATCGTCGCTTTACTCTTCTCAACTCGATCCCCATCATCAACCAAGATGTATTCGCTGCAGCACAAGCTTCTGATCAGCGCCGAGCATCCGGCCAGTCAATCGGTCCACTGGATGGTATACCATGCACGGTCAAAGACTCCTACAAGATGGCTGGTATGACCGTAGCCGCAGGATCACCTGCTTTTGAACATCTTGTTGCCAACGAAGATGCTTTCACCGTCGCAAAAATTAAGGAGGCCGGTGGAGTCATCCTGGGTCGAACAAACATGCCTCCTATGGCGGCAGGAGGCATGCAACGAGGTGTTTACGATCGTGCTGAATCGCCATACAACGCCGATTATTTGACTGCCGCCTTCGCATCTGGTTCATCGAACGGGAGTGCCACAGCGACCGCTGCAAGCTTTGGCGTGTTTGGCATGAGTGAGGAGACCATTTCTTCGGGACGATCACCTGCCTCGAACGATGGCTTGGTTGCCTACACTCCGTCCAGAGGTATTCTCTCCATTCGTGGTAACTGGCCGCTGTTTCCTACTTGCGATGTGGTTGTGCCACATACGAGAACCATGACGGATATGTTTGCACTCCTTGACGTGATTGCTGTCAAAGACGATAAGAACACTTGCGACTTCTGGCGGGAGCAGCCATTCGTCGGACTTCCGGAGATTGATACTGTACGTCCAACATCGTACCAGGATCTTTCTAATGCAAACGCACTTGCCGACAAGAAGATTGCAGTGCCAAAGATGTACGTCGGCGGAAAAGACTCTGATTCTCGGGCTCGAAATGTGCACGCGCCAGTCCGTCGTCGACCTCTGGAACAATGCTAGGAAAGCTATCGAGTCTCTAGACGCTGTTGTTATTGAAGTGGATTTCCCTGTCGTCAACACTTTCGATGCAACTGACAGCCCCGATGCCTCAGATCAGGCATCGGCTCCACCTCATCGCAATGATGTCGACATGTCACAGCTCATGGCATTTGCATGGGATGACTTCCTCGCTGCCAATGGCGACGCAAGAGTTGCAACATCCCTGGCGCAGATAGCTTCAGGAACCATATTCCCTCGTCCACCAGGTGCCCTGCTCGATCGCTATGATCAACAGGACCCGCTCGTCCGGCACAAAGATGTTGTTGCGCACATCACATCCAACCGGCCTCGGACCTACGACATTCCAGGTTTGGGCCAAGCACTCCACAACCTGGAGACTCGCCGCAAGACAGACTTTGAAGACTGGCTGGCTGCAGAGGGTATCGATGCTGTTGTCTGGCCTTGCAATGCGGATGTCGGCAGAGCAGATTCGGATACCAATGAAAAGTCCGCAATCGAGGCCTGGCGTAAGGGCGTGTTGTACTCGAACGGCAACTGTGCTATCAGACAGCTGGGCATTCCTACTGTAAGCGTGCCCATGGGAATCATGGCTGATACGAAGATGCCTGTCAATTTGACATTCGCTGGCAAGGCGTATGACGATAGTGCACTTTTCGAGTACGCGTTTGCATTCGAGCAGGCTACGCGGTTGCGACAGACGCCCGGAAGAACACCAGCGCTTCCGACAGACAAGATCACGATTTCAAACTCGGCAGGCAAGCTCGGAGATCTGCCACCGCGCCTGACAGTGAACGGAATCGAAACTATGGTTGAGGAGAAGATGGAGAAGATCCACATATCCGGCACTCTAGATGGCAAGGAGCTGTCGGAACTGCATTTATATGTAGACGGAGATGAGGTTCATACCATCTCGGTTGTTCAAGGGGTTTGGAGCGCAGCTATTGACATCTCTGTAGATGTGCACTGGTCCCAAGTGAAGCCAGAAGAGAAGAGAGTGCCGGATCTGGGCAAAGTAATGGTCATCGTTCTTGCTACAGGAAGTAACGGGCGTTCATCGGCCGAGATGGTGTTTGTCTAGATCTGAAGTCAGCCACCGGCTCAAGGATGCGATCAAGAGCTTGGTAATGTTAAAAGTGCAACAGCGCCTATAGGTGAAAGCTCGAGATTGGGGAGTTGGCAGATTTGTGTTGCCTGATTGTCAGCAAGCTCGGCGTCAAATTCACTCTCACTCGCGCCTGCTTCTTTCAGCGCCAGTTTGTCTCGCACAAACACCGCGACTTTCTCTTTCTTACCCACTTCGAGCTTGCGACAAGACCAGCTCGTCAACTCATCTTCATCTTCTCCCTCCTTCATCGTCATTGCAATTGTCACAACCAACCTCAAAGACCGTTATTGACATCTCACACCATGCCGCCTAAGAGTAAAGCCGCTCCCACGCACACCGAGCACAATGTCTACATCACAAGTTCAGTCACCTTTGACAATGGAAAAGACGATTTCGGCAGACTCCAGATCTACCAAGCCTTTTCATCGCTGGACGAGGCCAATGAGTTTTGTGAGGCCAAAGCTGATGAGCTTGCTATGCATCTCGGAATCGAAGCTCCCTCACCCACCCTCGACAATTACTCCAAGGACGGCACCTTCAGAATGGAGCTACCATTGGAAAATCGGAAGAGAGACGTCACCGTCGAGACACTCATCATGCCTCTGATGGGCGGCATCATTATGCATGACAAGCCTGTATCTCGCAAGACACCCAAGTCAACAAAAACTAGCAAACAGAAGCTCGCCAAATCAAAAGCCAAGATGTCTCAGGTCTCCGATGAGGAAGGAGAACCCGATCAGGATGTCGACATGGATAGCGACCCTGTCTCGCCAAAGACCACCACAGCCAGCCGCAAGAAGTCCAAGGACTCAAAACAGGATAAGGAGGCTGGAAAACGTGACTCTGTGGTCGATCCGAAAACAGTCACCGAGGCCGATATTGCTGCAGCCCCTACTGGCACTGCTGAGTGTCTCAATTTTTTCTCGTCAATCACCATATTTGGCCACCACAGTCACTGGAGCGAAGAGCAACTGAAAGTGATCGCTAGAACCTTCGGAGCCAGGGTCAACAAAACACTGCCCATCTACAACGACTGGAACCACCAGCTCGTCATTGGAGCCGATGTACCCTCGAGCATCTTGCGCCGAGTGAAGCAGAAGGAGTTCAAGCACATCACTCCTGATGAGCTTTTTGCTCGTATCCGGGTTATTCCTCTCCCACCTGGCGCACCTCCTGCCCCAGTTTTCACAAAGGAGGAGATCGTCAAGCTTTGCAAGAAAGTCCCAGGCAAGCCAGTCGTGAGAATGAGAATCGTTAAGAAGAAGGAGTCGGACAGCGATGAGGATGTCAAACACTCCAAGGACGTGGAGTCCACCGATGAGGAACTGTGATGTGTCGTGGTCGGTGTTTCAGTGCTGAGAAGAGTTTCTCGCGATGATCAATACCATGGAGGATGAAGAGTGCATCATTTGATGTTACTGCGGAGCATTGCTACATGAGAACGATCATGGCTAGCAGACGTGACTGCAAGAGACCTCTCGCTTCACGATAGATATGGCTGGAACAGCTTTGCTCTCGTTTCCACTAGAAAGAATTATTAGCCTTCACGATACAGCACCATTGGTGCTTGAACAAATGTTCTTCCGCAAAAACGTGCAATTCCATGTAATGGACAAGATAATCAGGAAGGCAAGCTGGCAAGTGATAGAGATGATGTTGAATGCTCGACAGATCTGCTTTCCTCTTGCGTCATGCCGATTGCCGATCAGCGCCTCTGTCCGCAACCTTGACACTGAGGCCTTTCAACGATCCTGTTCCACTTCTATGCTTCAACCTATTCGGGAGCATGCTTGATCTGCTTGTGATACGTGTCGGTGGATTCGAGCCCTCCACCTCCGTGTTCTGGCAAACTCATGGGAGGCTTGAGTAAGAGACATGTTTCCGTCATCAATGGCTGTCGGACCCTGTGCCGGACTTCCGTGCCAGCTCGGCTTCATGCGTTTGTTGACTCAACATGACCGCGTTTACTGAGCCTGAGAACCAAGAATGTGCATACAGTCATTAGACAATGGTACTGGAGGATTCTGTACTACCGTCGACCTCGGCGTGCGACGCGCACGCCATATGTTGGTATTCCGTACATAAAGGCTGCCGGGCGAGTCTTGCGCGCGAAAAAGTGGATTCGACTGACTTCGTCGCTATCTCGGTGGATCCCTGACGACCAAAATCTTGAGGCTGTTCCATCTTTGGCGAACGCATTGGTGTAGATCCCCCGAAGATCTTTTTGCAGGCCACTATTTTCTTTCTATCCTTTTGCTCAAAAGCTCGTGAGGCTACCCTTCCTCTCGGCTTGCTCTACTCTTCAATTGTCTCGTCTCTGCAAGGCCCGATCAGACTGGAGGGAAAAGCGATACCCATAGATCGATTGCTGGAAGTGCGTCAAATATAACATTCCGGACTGGATCTTTTTGCTTGTTTCTACTTAAAGATCACGGATGCTGGAAAAACAGCCATTATGGCTAGCACATCGAATGACAATGGCTACTCGTCACCAGAGACACCATCAGAAGGCCTGCCTATACCTGGAGAACATGCGCGCCTTCATCACTTGTTAGCCATGGTCGACGAGCCGGAGCAACCACCCTTTATCAGATCTCGCATGCACTCAACAACGCCTACATTGCATGAGGATTACAATGACCGCCGCAGCTCCAGGACCACAAAACGACACTCTTACAGCTCCATGACCGAGAAGGAAGTAGATAATCGTGAACACATGATCCAGCAGAAATACGCTGAACGCCTTTGCTCCAAGTGCAAGCACCTTGATCGGGACCAGGAAGCTGCCCTGGAAGCTATGCAAATTGTTCCGCCAGGAAAGGAGCAAGACAGCAAAATTGTTACTTGGGACGGTGAACATGATCCAAAAAAACCCATGAACATGCCCGAGTTCCGCAAATGGTTGATCGTCATCTCAACTGGTCTGATGACTTTCTGTGTTTCATTCGCCAGTTCGGTGTTCTCGACTACGACGTTCGTCACAGCTGAGCTGTTTGGCGTCAGTAGTGAAGTCATGATCCTGGGTCTTGCGCTCTATGTACTTGGTTTCGCTTTCGGTAAGTCATTCATCGTTCTTACCTCCTAACCGACTGCTAACGCATCTACAGGACCTCTGATCTGGGGACCGCTTTCTGAAGCCTATGGCCGTACCCGTCCTCTCTTCGCTGGAATGATCATCTTCTGTATCTTCCAGATCCCTGTCGCTGTCGCTCAAAACCTGCAAACAATCTTCGTATGCAGATTCTTTGGCGGAGTCGCTGGTTCCGCTCCTCTGGCCATTGTTGGCGGTATGTTTGTCGACTTTATGGAACCAATCAACCGCGGTGTAGCCACCAGCGTCTTTGCAGGTTCTGTTTTTGCAGGTCCAGTAGCAGGACCAGTTGTGGGCTCTTTCATCACCTACAGCTACCTCGGATGGAGATGGACTGCCTGGATCACTCTCATTATGTCTGTATTTTTCACCGCCATCGCCTATCTGGTGACACCAGAGACTTACGAACCCGTCTTGCTGGCATGGAAAGCTGACAAGCTTCGCCATGAGACGAAAGATTGGGCTTTGCACTCCAAGAGTCAAGAAGACCCTCTCAACTACGATACCATTGTCAACAAATATCTCATGAAGCCTCTGGTCATGGTTGTCAAAGAGCCAATCCTCATTATCTTGACACTCTACATGAGTCTGGTTTACGGAATTTTGTATCTGACTTTTGAAGCCTATCCCATCAGCTTCGAAATGGATCGCGGTTGGTCACCTGGTCTTGCTTCGCTACCTTTCATCGCAATCTTTATCGGAGTAGTTCTCGCTTGTGTCATCCTCGGTGCCTTCAGTAAAACTTGGTATGCTAAGAGGCTCATCGCCTCGGGCAAACTCAACCCCGAAGACAGGCTTCCACCCATGATTGTCGGCTCTTTGATTCTTCCCATTGGTCTATTCTGGTTTGCGTGGACCTCGCATCCCGACATTCATTGGGCGCCTCAAGTCGTCTCAGGCATCTTCATTGGTCTTGGAATCATCTTGATCTTCATGAGCGGTGTCACGTACATGGTTGATGTGTACCTGCTCAACGCCAACAGCGCTATTGCCATCAACACCTTTATCAGATCAGCAGTAGCTGCCGGCTTCCCCATGTTCGCTACATATATGTACGAAGGACTTGGCGTAGATTGGGCCACTTCGTTGTTGGCGTTCGTGTGTATCGCACTTATCCCCTTCCCTCTGATCTTCTGGTTCTATGGTAAGAAGATTAGGAGTTTGAGCAAGTTTGCATTCAACCTTGGCTAGAAATGCTGGGCATTCACTCCCAGAGCGACTGGGCGCAAACACATTTCGATGGATTCAAGAACACTCATTTTGTAGATTCTCTTCCTGTAAATTTGCATATAGATCTTGCGATATGAACAGATTAAGATTTCCACGTGGAACTCACGTCACAAAGTCTTGTCACTCGACCGCCGTCGTTTTTGCTCAAACTCACTCTTTCCAAGCTTCGGACTCCCAACCGTGACTCCGACACTCTTGATGACTCGAAAGCTGTTCTCTACATTTATAACATGGCGGTCCAGGTTCTACTGCTGCTTCTGTACTTCGACACGACTTTACGATACTTGCTACCACAAAAGCTCCACATCAGCAGAATAAGACTCTCGACCAACATGCGCTTCTCTGATATCGGCATTGCACTCATGACACTGGCTGTCTCGGTCTACGGTCAGGGGACCGAACAGCCAGTCACCAACCTCAACGACGTCCGACCAGGTCACATCGAAGACATGGCGGCGCTTCCCTACGAGATCGTGAGTGTGCCTTTCCCTTGCCACCTCTAACTCCATCATCACTAATATGTCACCCAGCAACGCTGCATCAACCTCAACGTACCCATGGCCTGGCACTTCTACCCCGACCACCTCGATCTCTTCTGCGACAAGAACACCGGAAACTGGCACCAAGACCTCCCCATCTGCATCGCCAACGCTTTCCCCTCGTCTCCCGCCCACGCCATCTCCCTCTACAACATCTTCTCCTCTTCCCTGTGTCGCGGCTACGCAGGTCCAGGAATGCCTTTGACGACTCTGCTCACCGTCAACGACCGCGTGACTATCAGTACCATCTTCCCCACGCCCTCGGAGACGAGGTATGTGATACCGACCAATACGGGTAGGCACAGCACAACGAGCAGTCATGCGTGTCTTTGGGGTCATGGGAATCATGACCATTGTGGGCAGAAATCGACACCGGTGGTGTTTGCGACTAAGAGTTCAAAGTGGAGGATGAGTACGCTGCCGCAGATGCCTACGACGACGGAGTGGGGGGTTAGTAGGAGACCTACTACTGTTGCTATGCCTACAAAGTAGATGAAGATAGCAGGAGAGGTGGAAAGACTCTGTGTAAGAAGGGAAGGCCGGGTCAAAGGTTTTGATACAGGGATCTTTGCGATAACTACGAAAGAATGAAAGCGGAAGAGATCTTAATACAATAGACATCAAAGATACTATCTCACAGCTTCAACAGTATCTAGCAGTCCCGGCATCGGATGTTCAGCTCATTTCTCTGAAGCGATGCAGTTGCTCTGGAAATAACGAAATGATTATCGCTTCTCAAGCACACAAGAATCGTGTTCATACCGCCATAAAAAATCTCTGGAGCATGCTCTTTTCATGGTTGTTCTGCATACCTGTAATGTTCAAGTGTTTCATCCGAACTAGAAGCTTCTGCAAACTCACGTATCTCGGCATAGATCCCGCTTGTGCAGAAACGATCAGAGCAAGCGATCATGATGAACCCCATGGGCAATATCTTCGCGCTTGACCACTTCCATCTCAAAAGCTGTGGCCATACTGGGGTAGCGCGCAAGTATCAGGGACAAACGAGATATATTGAAACTCCTGGGAAACAGTCTGGATTTGACGGCACAGATACACAAGATATGTCGCACCCTTTGCTACTCACTTTGACTTCGCCATCACCACGATGATGGACCAAATTCTCACATCAAACTTTTGTGTACTGAATTCGGCCCCTCTTGCTCGTCGCTGATTTTCTTGTGTAGCAAATCTGCGGACGCTTGCTCCTACGGGACTCTATACCGCAAACTTGCTCAACCAAGACCACGTCCGCATCGAAAACATTCTACCTCATTCCCCCCTGTTGCTGCCTGATATCCCCAGTGATCTCGCCAGAAGCAGAAACAGCGATCCTGGAACATCCCGAGCGTGATCTCCAGGGCATCTGGAAACATATACAAACACCCCATCTCTCCCTCTCTTCTTCCCTCCTCTCATTCCACGGAACCATCTTGACAAGTTGCCTCTCCACTCCTCAACACCAAGAAAAGATCCTCTCTCTCAACTTTCCATCACTTATCACCTCTTCACAAGATTTGCAAACCATGTCTACCTCTCTCAACGCCCAAGAAGCAATGCCTTCAACCGTTGAAGACGAACCCCAGGCCCGTGGAATCTTCGACATGAAGAATCTTCTCGCAGAGCTGAGTGACATTGAGAAGCAGCCTGCGACCACAAAACAGCCAGACCTGCACCAACAGACAAAAGCGAGTATGCCTCGTTACTTCCCCCTTTCTCACGCACATCCTCAGCCAAAAAAATTCTTGTTCTGACGGGTTGGTGAAAAGTTCTTGCTACTCTTTTCTCCCACTGGGTTTTTAATGAGAGTGAGATGAGATTGTGTGGTTTTTTTTTCTTTTTTTTTTTTCAAAATGAAATCTTTGCAAAGTACATCTTTTGTTTCCCACTGGTGATTTGTTGTGATGTATCTTTTGTGATGTGACTCTGTATTGTAGTAAAGCTATGTCGGCTTGTGATTCTTGTTGCTCGAATCTAGCCTCCGACTGTTCGGCGAAAGTGCTCAGCGTGGCTATCTCGAAGAAGTCATGATGCCCAAGGAATGGGGGTAGTTTAGGGACTCTTTGGTCTCTCTTCTTGCTTTTGCATTTGAGAAGTTCATGATCCTTTGCACTTTCCTGGTAATACGTTAATAGTGATACACGTGTTGATGCAACCATGCTCGAGATCAGAAGCTTGAGGAAGTGTCGTCGGAGTTGCACTCCGGTGGGAGAAGCGATCAAGGCATCTTTAACAAGATACTCTCAACCGAACTTGGTGGACTGCAAATCACTGTGTGAATGGTTTTGTATGGTCGCCATGATAGGATAGATATATTTGAAGCGGTTTCATAATGCATAAGAAGTATACAGGCAGATACAAGATAAATGTGGACAAGCTCAAAGCTTAGCCAGTCTCTCCTTGGGACCCGCCAGAGGATCATATGCAGCGATACTGAGAGTATCCGGTGCCACTGCTGCAGTATGAGTGTGCAAACTTCTGACATCCAAAAGTTCAGGAGTCAACTGGTCAACGCTGTTGCAACCAATCAAGCGCATATTCATTTCCATCTCATCCTTGAGAAGTTGCATCGCACGGTCGACACCAGGCAGACCGTATGCAGACATGGCGTACAGGAAAGGACGACCGATGCCAACACCCTTTGCACCCAGACACAAAGCCTTGAGGATATCTGTGGCACGACGAATTCCGCCATCGATGTAAACCTCAATCTTGTCCTCGAGACCCAGACGACGCAGTTCAGGCATGGTCTCGGCGAGAATCTCGATACCAGATCTGGAGGTGTCAAGTTGGCGACCTCCGTGGTTGGACAGAACGACACCGTCGACGCCTGCAGCAACGGCTCTGATGACATCCTCGACTCTTTGAACACCCTTCAGTAGGATGGGCATCTTGGTGACACTCTTGAACCAGGGGATATCCTTCCAGGACAGGGAGGGATCAATGAAGGAGGAAATGGCTCTTGCGGCACCTTGGCTGCGGTCGACGTTGTCACCACCGGTGTTTTGAACATTGCTACCGACGTCTGAGAACTTGGAACGCATATCCTTCTCGCGACGTCCTAGTTGGGGTGCGTCGACGGTGATGAAGAGGCCCTTGCAGCCGCGCTTCTCGGCGTGTTCGATGATGCGTTTCGTGATGTCTCTGTTCTTGTTGACCTGTGTATATCTGCGTCAGCGCTGATTCTCTATCCTTGACAGATGGCCAACACACGTAAAGTTGCAGCCATTGCACCTGATCACCCTCAGCAGCGTCCATGATCTCATCGAAAGAGCAAGAGGCCAAAGTAGGAATCATCTGTATAACATTGTGCTTCTTTGCACCGCGGGTCAAGACTACCTCGCCTTCGGGGTTTCCAAGCTTGCCCAGAGCAGTGGCAGTGACGTAGAAAGGCATGCTGACTTTGGTACCCAGCATGGTTGTAGACATGTCGACCTTCTCGACATCGACGAGGATCTTGGGTCGGAACCAGATCTTGTGGAATGCGCTGTGGTTTTCACGCATCGTCTGTTGAGAATGTCAGTGGCAGTCGGGACATGTTGATAATACTAGACTTACGATCTCGTCGTCAGCACCGCTGGAGTAGTATGCCCAGGCCGTCTTCTTCATGACTCTCTTGGCGACAGCTTCAAAGTCCATCAGGTTGTAGCACTGCTCAAGGATTGGCATACGCTTGATCCTCTCTTGTCTTTCAGCTTCATCAGGATCCTCCTCTTTTGTTTCCTGTTGGACAGTGTTCATGTCGACCTCGCCCAGGTGCTTGCTCTTGTCCAGGAACTTGTCAAGAGTGTCTGGGGGATGGATGGGTTCGTACTCTTCCGTGGCATCCTTTCCAGCATACTTGAGGATGATCTTGGGACCTCCAGGATGTTCGGGGAGGAATTCGGTAACGTCGTAGGCGCGTCCATGGACGATGACCCAGCATGAGTCGGCGTTGTTGTGCTTGGCCACCTCTTCGCCAGTCAATTTGACGGCCTGCGTGTTGTTGCTAGGGCGATTCATGTTGAAAGCGTGCTCGAATTCGACCGGGACTTTATTGAGTGGTTCGAGGTAGCGAGGCTGGACGAGAAGGAGCCGGTTTGGAGGCGTGAAAGAAGAGAGAAGGAAGAAGTATGCCGATCGAGCCAAAGACTATCGGCGGACTGTCGCTGTTCTCTCCCTGCTCGGAACAAGGGAATAGAAAACATGCTGCCGCCGGGTCTTCCCCACACCAGACGGCCCAGAGATGCGGAGATAGCAGGCGATTAACCTTTGACCCTCGGCTCAGCTCCGTCCGAAGCCTTTCTTCGTGCAGTACTCAGTTTGCAACAGATACATGAAAGAGCGCCTGCATGGGTATCGACCTCTGGCGTGCTACCAGTCATCATCTCCATATCCATATCAGTTCTTCGTCCCGTCAGTCTTGATGGAGGAGGACGCGGATCGATATCCAGCTGAGGCTCTGTAAGATGTTTTACCCCACACTTTACACGGCAAATCGCCTTTGCCATGATTGGCCAAAATTTTAGCATGACCAAAGACCCTTTCTGATTTGCTGTCCCGACATCGCTCCTTCCTGTATATCGTCCCAGACAAGTAATATTAGACGCTTCATATCAAATACACAAAGCTCTGGACCTAGCTTCCAAAACGTCAATGCACACTTCCACGGCCGTCCTTCTGGTCGACTTTCTTTGAAGGTAAGCAAACCGCCAACCCAGAAGCAGGATTGGTTCGATGCGGATGCCAGACTTCATCATCTGCTTTACCAGCATCGGCTATAAATTGAGGGGTAGATAAATTTGCAAGTCAACTCAAAACCAGTATTGCATGTTAGAGTAATATCTTGTCTTCCTCGTTTGCATTGAACATCCCGTTCTCTTGACCTGCTGAAGCAACCTTCATTCTCGCATGTGAACGACCTGACAAGAATGGTAACCCAGCGACTTTACATCTATCTCATCGCTCTCAACTCAAGCAGCAATGCCAGAGATGTACTAAAATCGCTACCGGAGCATCCCATAATCAAGGGCAGGCCTCACGGCTGGGTGCATCGGCCTCACTTGCTCGATAAGAATGAACTTCTTGCTCATGTCTGGGATCTGTTTCTCGTCACGAAAAAGTCAAAATTGCCAAACGAGGCTCTCAAACGCATCAAACATCATCTGACCATCCCCTTCGCGCTGCCGAAAGATCAATTCGAGCAGCTCTTATCGACCTTTGAATCTCGGCCCAAGGCTTCGGACAGAACACCTCCGTTGCCGGAAGAATGGCAAAAAGAAGGTATACCAAAGTCAGCCATCACCGCCGCGAAAGACGGTCCTCTTGAACCAGGCGAGCTCCACCTCGATCCATCCATGGCCGAATTCCTGTCTGATGCTCTGCGTGCCAAACTCGCCAACGAGCCTGTGAGTCTATTCAACCTGTTCAAATACAAAGGCAGTAGTGCCATCCACGATGACTACATGGAAGACTTCAAGAAAGGCTTTGGCAGCTCGGCAGGAGCAACAGTGCGGTTCATGGGTCCTGTGACTGGACCTTCAAGATATGGAGATGATGGCAAAGCCGAACAAAGCTGGGATGATGCAAATCTCGTTCAGTATGATACTATCTGGCATTACGCATACATGTTATCGACTGATTTGTATGCGCCTATGAATGAGAAGAAAATCTCTGGCTTGGATGATACATGCATTCTTTGCGTGAGCGAGGTGGAGCTATGGCAGTAAAGATCCTCGAGATGTATTTTAGTTTTGGGAAAGCTATAGTAAATTGAATCTGTTCTGGCTACTTTAGCTCCTTGACGTTCTCTCGAGCAACTTTGGAGACATCAACGATTTCATCGCCCCAAGTCTCTACCAGCATACCATCGATAACCTTCGCCCTCTCTTCAGGCCTCACATAGTCCTTGGGCTCATGCCACTCTCCCAACGGCATAATCAGCGCAGGAGGCGAGAAATAGCAACAAGCCCAATAAACTCCAAAACTCAATATCAGCCCAATCTCATAGGCAAAATAATAGGCCTTAGTAACACCCATCGGCGCTCCCACGCCCATATTGTTGAGAAAGCCGTAGAAATTGGGAACTATACCAATGATGTAGGCAGCATACGCACGCCAGTTCCAACCGTGGAAGTAGTGGTATACGCCTTCTTTGTCGCTGGTGTAAAGGTCATCTATTTTGAGGTAGCCGCGGGAAATGATGTAGTAATGACATAGCAGCACGCCAGTGATCGCGGAAAGGAAGATCTGGTATGAAGCTAAGAAGGAGATGAAGATGCCGGCGCTGCCGAGAAGATACCAAGGGTTGATGATAAACGATACAGCAGCGCAGATAAAGAAGCCTTTGCGAACAGTAAGGTATTTCGGGAACAGTGCCGCAATATCGTTGCCAGCGGGTAGAGAATTCTCAAAGATTGATGAAAAAATGGCCGAGTAGCCGAAGCAAGTGGCGATGAAGAAGCATCCGGCTCGGTTTGCAGAGCTGTACTCAGCCGTCTGTAGCATGTCGAGGAAAGTAAGAGGGTTCCAGATGACTTCGCCATAGATCGCTTGTGATGCTGATGCAACCAAATTGCCAATGATACAGACAATAAAGTTGCTAAGAGGGAAGCCAGCAAGATTACCCAAGATAACATCGTTGGGTCGACGTGAATAGCGCTGGAAATCCGCAGCATTACTGGCGAAGGTCGCACAATTTGCGGCACCGAGGAAGAAGAAGCGAACAAGGAGCCATGTTCTTTCCGACCCTGTGGCTGTGCCCTTCTGGTGTGCGATAGCTCCAACACCGCCAGCCTTGGTCAAAGTCCATGCACACATAGCGACGGCTGACACGACAAAGACAAAGAGCTTGGCGTAGATGAGCGACTTCATCTTAGGCACTGAAATGACCAGGAAGGCGCAAGTGACCAGCCAGAAGATGACACAGCCGATGAACTCCCCAGAGTTAATAGCGGAGCCTTCGCCCATGATGTTTCTGAGCTTAGTAATTCTGGGTGTCAGGGCGTGAATCATCACGTAGATGCACTGGCCTCCTTGAACCTGTAAAACGTCAGTAAAAGGTTGGGTGTGATATAACCAATATACAACGTACTCCGTTGACTCCGTTCCACACAATGGCCATCACGGCACGATTGAACGTCGGCCACCATGCTCCGAACACTCCAAAAGCAGCTCTGTTCAGCACTGGAAAACCGATGTGATATTTTGCTCCAGCACGACCATTGAACACGATAACAATCGCGATGAGTATTTGTCCTCCGAGAGCAGTGGCGATGGACTCCCACATGCTTAATCCCAGAGCTTGGGCTGAGGATGCTGCGTACCAGTTCGAAACAGTGGCTACTGCGCTGAACTAAAAGGTCAGGTATGCCTTCATGTCCCATGTTCGGTCGGCGAGTTTGAGTGGCCTATAGATTGTTCAGTGGAAGCTCAATATTCGCATCGAATCACGTACCTGATATCATCATTGTCAAGCCACATGTCTTTGCCCTTGACCTCCTCCGTGCCAGCTGCATGCAGATGAGGTCTGGGTATGCCATTGCTGATTCTGTTCACGAGGCCCGACATTTCGAGACGGATGATGACAAACAGAAACAGATGCTGGGAATAAGAGATATCCGCACAGGGGCACTCGAACTAATTAATAGATGTATGAGTGTGCCATGTCGGTAATCAGTCCTGCATTCATTATCTCTGAGCCGTGTGAAGGAACATTCAAGACAAACGCCTATCGCTCAAACCGGTCGAGGTCGTGAGCGCCGAGAGTTTGGCATATCGTAGTCGCAGATAGGTAATGCTGATCGGTAGTTCCGCCTAGGCTATTCGCGAACTTGCATGGTGCCAATTTATGTTTTGGGAAGAAGATAATATGAAATAACAGTAACAGTATAGAATAAACTCAACTAGTTCCATATCTCTCTGGCTTACCTTTTGGTCGCGCACCATGTACTATTCGAGTTGTGCACTATACACGTGAGACTCGTTTTGAGCAGACATTTGAGGGATCATGTCTCCCAATCAAAGTTCCAAGGTAGCCAAGCACCTGAAGCGACTTGACAACCGCCTGACCCTTGTCGAGATAACACTCACGGCCAAGGACGGGCAGTGCTTATCTATTGTTTCGTCGTCGCGAAGTCGAGTCAGGCACGGCGAATCCAGATGAGATTGTCTGTGAAATGATGCCAAATGTCATGGGTTGGAATTATGAGGTGTAAGAAGAAGGAAAGAGTGGCTGGTGATCAAGCTGTTCTGCCTTGGCCATGACTTGTGGCCGCTCTGAACGAATCTCCTCGCTCTCCACCCTCCACACACCTCCGCATATCCTCTTACCTCTGTCACAAGTTGACTTGGCATGATAAGAGATTATTGGCCTCCTCTAATGGGCACGCCTGTCTTGCTGATAGGGCGATATCGATGGCGAGACGCCGATCTCCGATGAGTCTCGAGATCGCTCGACGCACACAGAGAATAGGTAGCTCATAAGTACACTTTTCGACGCGTACAGACCTCCAGTCCTCTGAATACACCTAAATATGTCGTCGACAACCGTGACTGAGGTATCTGCAAGCTACAAACTTGAGCTCCATACGGCTTACGGTCCAGCGTTCCGTGATGTCCTGAATACCGCACCACGCGATGCTACCGAAGCAGAGGTTCCGATTGTCGACCTCGCCGGTCTGTTCAACAGTGCCGAAAAGCGAAAGGAGATCGCTCAAGCTGTACGTAGCGCGGGTACCAACATGGGCTTCTTCTACATCAAGAACCATGGCATCGACGAACAAGTGATTGGAAAAGCCAAATCTCAATTCCTTAGGTATTCACTGCACAACTTTATGTGTCTCCACACTGGCTGACTCTGAACCACCAGCTTCATCGAGCAAGACACTGAAGAAAAGGAGAAGGTCTCACAAGACAAATCCAAATACTACAACGGATGGAAAGCTCCTCGCAGTACAAACATCAGTCGCACCGAGTCCGTCGACGTGAAGGAGAGTTTCAGCTGGCGCTACCATCCCGAGAACGATCCTGATCATCCTCAGCCCCTGTCATCTCTGCCCTCTGAAGTTCAGCCATGGATTCGCGGCGAAGACTTTGTCTGGCAAGGGACTTCGCATCTTTCAGATTTCAAGACCGATATCTTGACATATTGGCAATCTTGTTTGAAACTAGCAAGACAACTCGTCAAGGTGTTCGCTCTGAGCCTGGATCTACCAGAAGACTATTTCGACTCGAGAACTACATTCCCCGGTGCTGATGGAGTGTTGAATTACTATCCTGTCACCACTGCAGAGGAAACGGCAGCTAACTCGGTGGGACTGGGTTCGCATACCGACTTGCAGCTGTTCACTTTGCTTTGGCAAGATGAAGTTGGTGGTCTGCAGGTGTTGACAAAAGACGGACAATGGATCAAAGCGAAGCCCAGACCTGGGACGTTCGTCGTCAATATCGGAGACTTTATGATGAGATTGTCAAACGACTTCTTCAAGAGCACGGTGCATAGAGTGTACAACCGTGCGCCTGTCGAGAGAGTCTCGATGCCTTTCTTCTTTGGTAAGCTCGTTCGTGTATGGGATATCGGTCCGAGACTGATATGAGCAGGTTTGAACTTCAACTGCGTCGAGGGCGTCATTCCGACTTGCACGAGTCCCGAAAATCCCGCGAAGTACGAACCGATCAGCTGTGGCGATGTGAGCATCAAACTCCTTTCCTCCTTTCCATGAACTGACTTCTCACAGTGGTGTCAACTCCGATTCAAACTTGAAGCGGAACGTATGGCGAAAATGGTAGCAGAGCGTGAGGCCACTGCGGAGTTGAAAGCTAAGTAGGTAGGCTGGGAGCAGACCTCGTATACACCACCAACACAAAGAAACATGACACCATTAGCAAAAAACCAGAACCGCAGCTCTATGGGAAAACTTCCGTTCAATCCCTTGATCAAAGCCACTCAATGACGGACGTTAGGCTGCCATACGGCAAATTCAGGACTGCACATGGCGGGATTTGGACGGTGGTTTTATTGCCACTTTTATAATATAAGCGTGAGTGTAAGCCGTTACACCACCCAGCCAATTACAGTGATGGAGGATGGTACAGGTGAAAGAGACGTCGGCAAGTTGTTTACATAGCTCATCGCACTTCACTTCCAAGAGGTGTCTCCTCCTGCCCCTGATTCTATCCTCTTGCCTTGTCATCTTACATAAAGCCATCATTTGTTGCCGTTCAGGTGACTGGGAGTCGTCTGGAGATCAAAAGAATATCTATCCACCGGGACTTTGATTCGGGCTCCGTGGCATTTGCTAATCTAATGCTCCGTCTACTACTGCCAACAACCTAAAGTTTGCTGCGTCTCATCGGCTCGTTCATCCTAGATCTCGTCTTCTAGAGACTCCAACTAAGCAATCTGACATACGTCAACCGGAACGACATCGTCCGATACATTTTCCGTAGCGTCTGATTGTCCCCTGCTTCCTTTACCACAGACACTACTGCAAGATCTGCTGCTATACGTCCGCAGGTTTGTCTTCGATACCGTCTCGGGAGAGTTTTCTCACAAAATTTGAACCTAGATCGACCGGAACGATGTCGTTTGGTATCTTCTTTGGAATAATCCTGTGAACGGGGTTGCCCTGAGTGGCTTCCGGAACCATAGCCTAAAGCTTCATGCGTTACGTCCGCCGTTCAACCTCGATGTCGTCTCCCGGGGGTTTGGCCTGGACATGAGCCTACGTCGACTGGATCTACGTCGTTCAGTACATTGACCCTCAAACGACAAAAGGGAACATGCGGAGGCGCACATGAAGAGGTGACCTTGTCAGAGACAACATCACCGTCTCTGGAATTCCTGCCCTTGGTAAAGGCGTACGCGGTGGCCGTGTGAGTAGTTCAGATGGCCATGTTCCTTGGTATATATACTCGAGCTATTCAGAATTAACGATTGACAGTGGAGCAGTTCCGCTCACCCTCAGTGGAAAAAAGGTGAGTTAAGTCAAAAAGAACTTTGTGGGGGTATGTTTGTTCGTGAAATGAACTCTGTCGTCGTAAGACCACCTTTTGAAGGGGAATGGTCTTTGTTTTGTTCGTAAGCTACAAACAACAACCACTGACTGTGGTCAGACAATGGTAATGAATATTCACTTGTAATTCACAGTGCAAGAGTCAAAGGAGTACTGATGGAAACTGTTTGTTCGAAAAACTTTCTTTGTAGATACTAGAGATACTGCAGATCTCATGTGTACACTATGTTTCTAAAAGCTAAGAGGGAATTACAACATCCAGGGTATTTTCCTATCCGAAAAACCAGATCCTCCTCCACAGTATAGTTTTACATCTGTAACAAAAGGAAAAAAAGGTAAGGTTAATTATAAGCAGTAGACTCGTAAGCCCACGTAAGCAGCCGCCCATCCATTTTTCAGATGAGTGCTGGAGAGAAAGAGGTCAAAAGGGTTTCTTCAAAGGGTTGGCGTTAAGGAGAGTGATGTGTGCCAGACGCATCAATAGGCATCATGAAGAAGAGGAGTCCATTTAGAGGACAAGGGCAGCAACACCGGCAGCCATGGCGGCGAAGCCCATACCGTTCTTGACGGCAGCGCCAGTGTAGGCGACAATGCCGGAGGAGGTGGGGCTGTACTGCACAATGGTGGTCGAGGGCTTCTTGGTGGAGCCGGGGACAACAGTGGCAGGAACAGTCTCAGCGGGCTTGGTCGAGCCGTTCTCGACGGTGGCAGGAACGGTCTCGGCAGGCTTGGTGGAAGCGGGGACGGTGGTTCCGGGGACGACAACAGTCTCAGAGGCAGGGGCCGATGACCCGGGAGCGGAAGCACCGGGAGTACCAGAGCTGACAGGGCAGACAGTGGTGTAGAGAGAGACAACGGCAGTGACGGTGGCCTTGCCGCATCCGTTAGCACCGCAAGTAGTGGTGACGTGCTCCTGGGTCTGGTAGACAGTGGAGGTGGTCAAAGCACCGGTAGGTCCGGCGAGAACGGGGACAGAGATGACGGTAGTAGTGACAGGAACGGGCTTGCCGGGAGCTCCGTTGACACCAGTGGGGCACTGGTAGACGGTGACAGTGGTGGGCTTGTACTGGCAAGCAGTGCAGACGGTCAAAGTCTGTGTAGCGGCACCTCCAACAGCACCACCGTTGTTGCCTCCAGTAGGAACGGCAGAGACGGGGCAGACGGTGGTGTAGGCAACGACGACCTCAGTGACGGTGGCAGCAGCGCAAGGAACACCGGGAGCGCAAGACTGGATAGTGCGAGTGGTGGTGCTGTAGACGGTGGAGGTGGTCAGAGGAGTGGTGGTGATAGTGCGGGTGACATCGCCCTCGGTGACGGTCTGAGTAGAAACGACAGGGACGAGAGAGGAGCTGGTGCCGGGAACGGGAGCCTCGTTGACGAGGATGGCAGAGTCGGTGTTGGCATCAGCAGTGAGGGCATCGACAGTGCTGAAGAAAGTGCAGGTTCCAGCGACGGAGTTGTACGAAGTGCCGACGCAAGTGTCAGTAGCACCGCAAGTCTCAATGCAGTCAACAATCCAGTCGTTGCCGAATGTGGCTTGGCGTCTGATCATGCGGGCCTTGCGGGTAGAGAGGATGGTACCCTCGATGAGGAGGCCGCAGCGGATGAGGTACTGGGAGCCATCGTTGTTCTGGAGGACCTGGTCGTTGTACTCAGGGCAGATGATGGTCTCAGCGTTGGGGAAAGGAGAGGTGCCGTTGTTGCCAGGGTTAGGGACAGCGGTCACCGAAGTGCCGTTGTTGGTGGCAGTGCTGGTAGGGATTCTGGTAGAAGAAGTGCCGTTGTTGTAAGGGACAGACGACGAGGTAGAGTTGTTGTTACCGCTGTTGTTACGGCCGGTGACGGTAGCGAAAGTGATGCCAGGAGCCTCAGTTCTCGAACCATCGGTGATCTCGCTGAAGAAGGAGCAAGTATCAGTGTTGCGGTTGAAGGCAGTACCAACACACTGAGTGTTGCTGGCGCAAGTGTTAAGGCAGTCGTTGAGGGACTCGCCAGCTCTCTTGGCGAAGACGATGGCCAAATCAATATCAACACCAGAGTAGGTGATATCAACCTCAATGAAGAAGCTGACACCGCCGAAGGTGAAGGGGTAGCTGGTGGGGCTAGCGGTGGTAGAAGGGCTAGTTCCAGTGGCAGTGGCGGTGGTGTTTGAGCCAGGGCCCGAGGCAGCAGCAGAAGAGCTAATGATGCTGGAGCTTCCGGTACCAATAGGCACGGAGCGAGTAGAAGACTGGCTCAGCTTAGTGGAGCTAGAAGAGCTGTTGGCCGAAGGGAAGGGAGCGAGGGAAGCCTCCTGGCGGCGGTATGCCACATTGGCGGAGACGAGACTCGAGAGCGACAGTGCAGCGATGGCTGCGGAGATGAAGGAAGGCATTGTTGTTGTTGCCCAGTATTGTTGTTAGTCGGATATTAAGTATACAAACACAAGAGTCCCCCTGAACGAAAGTGGGTGGTGGTCGATGAGCGAAAGTGATCGTGGATGAGAGAGAGAGATGTTCTCGGTGGCTGCTGCTGCCTGGTTATATAGAAGTCGCTGGTCGACAGTTGCACCGTGAAAAGAAGGTTCGCTGTCTTCACCAACCTCCCGAAGAAATGAGTTGTTTGCCTTGGAGACGGTTGATTTACCGTTGTCACTGTGGTTGCTAAAGATGGAGACCGTTGCCAAATCGATAAATTTCTACGAAGACGTTGCGACTTTCAGATTGAGACGAGCAAAACATACGCAACCCTGCAACAGCCATCACATAACTTTGATGCGCCGTAAGATACCAGCGGTTGGGAAGGCGCAACGGACCTGAAAACGCAAGGCGCAGGAGGCGTCCATTCTGTGTAGCTCAGAAAGTATATGGTTAGAATTATAGAAGCGCAGCACGAGGTGAAGTCGAGAGAGAGACACAGTCACGCAGGCCCTGCAGCGACGTGTGGCAGATCTCCCGAATCCCGCGCCTGTCAACCCAGCCATGCAGGAAAGCTTGGCAAACAACGTTATTATATTGTTTCTCCATCCTCTGATCGCTCGTACTCCGACAAGGAACGAGTATGATTGCGTGTCGATCGGTATGCATGTGCGTCATTACAACAGGAACGAACCTGCAGATCCTTTAACTATTGGTTCATGCCCTATCGTCCAAACCCTTCGCCGCTCTTCCCACTGCAAGGAACACAAGACACTATCTTACGGGCGGAGGATTCTGCTCCGCTTTTCCCGTTGCTCACGACGGACTTGCTCGTCCTATCGCAAGCAGTTGAGTAAGACAGTGACGCTGTTCACCACACACATCTTGCCGTGTCGAGTTAATGATCGAGCAGGATCATCTTGTTGGGCCATCTTGATACACTATTCCTGTTTGTATTGGATCTATTCCTGTGTCCCTCGCCCTCGTGAGTGTGCTCATCCTTCACATGGAGGTCTAAGTATTGTATGTAAGGTACGAAAACTTGTTCCTGGTTGCAAACTGAGTCGTGGATTTTGCCATCGCTTAGGATATACCTACCCATCAACCGATAGTGGCACCAGATATAGCTTGCGTGCTCGAGTATGCTAATCCGCTCTTAGCTCTGCGGTGGTGTAGCTTTACCATTGAGCCACATATAATGGTAACCCACACCGATGAGGCTCCACCCCGGCATTTTAAAAAGCTTCCGGGCATAATGAGTGCGATCTCAGATTCCCGCCGTTGGTGTATAGGTTGTTGAGTCTGCCACTCTGGTTGCGAGACTGCCGATACGGTTGAGGCATTTTCCATCCGTCGCATCGTGTGCTTCATTGCAGTAATGATGATCCTGCTGTCGAATTCTCGTCGGCTGCGTATACCGGACCTAAGCGACTTTCTCGATGCGTACGATCGACCAGGTACATCTATCTTCAATCTTTCTTGCACTTTCTGTGCGGATCTGCGCAACCCAAAACAAATCGTATTTGTTGAAAAGCTTGCCACTCCAGAGCTATCTGTGTTCGAGTCCTATGTGATGTGTGTGATCGAGATCGCTGTTTGCAAGACGTCCGTACGAAAGATGTTTGATCATGACTAGTTGCAACCTCGTATCCGGGTCATGTGATGCGGTATGGTGAACATTGGTTGTGATATTCCAAGACACATAGCGAAGCTTGCCGAGTGGGCACTCAACGAAATCCCGATATTGGTCAGTGGCCCTTTGACCGACTACCCACTATGTCCAGTCCGATGATGGCTATGTTGTTATTCTCAAGAGTATCGGTAACACTGTACCAAACAAGACCTTTTGCGTCATCTTTTGCATTGGTTGGAAAGCTGCACTGCTGCGGCTGATTAGCAGAATTCCAGAAGAGTGCGGAAGACGAGGTTTATATCAAGCAGGGTGACCCACCTGATCGTCATAACTACTGACTGCAGCGACCCACAGGCTCGTCAGGCTCGTCGGGAACCGCAAGAAGCAATCCTCAGGATCGTGACGCCGAAGTATGTGACTTGGCACCATGATATAAGCGGTTTCAAAGGTAACTGACAGTCAGACTGTTGCTTCTTCTTGTAGCCCAATCGACAGGAACTAGTCAAAGTCCATCCAGCCTGGGAAAGACGTTACCGCCAATCATAGGCTCTCGAGAGTGTTTGCTGGTCTTGAATTGATGTTGCTTTTATATCTCGAGCTTCATCTGTTTGTCCTCTGCGATTCCCATTTCTCGAAGGTCACTTGAGTCTGCGTAAGCTTCTGGCCAGGAACAATCATTGTCCGAGGTCAAGCTTGCAAATATCTTACACCTGCTGTGCTAAATGCTTCCTTCAGACAATCCATGCGGTGCGGACTCTTGGCTAAAATCTCCAAATCGTCATCTGAATCCTCGGACACCTCCGATCGGTCATCAGTCGCATCAATCAGCCTTATCTCTCGGAGGTGCGGAAACTTGTCTTCGAGCTTGATCGACAAATCTTCCAAGTAGGGAACGAGGTTTCCAAAACAATCTTTGATGGTGAGACTCTCGAGGCTACATGGTAAAATCTCCTCCAAAGGTGGTGAAACTCCCAGAGTGGTGTATTCTTCCGAAGGCTTGAATTTCAGGAAGGCGGACTGCGAGATAACAAGCTTCCTAAGTGAAGCGAAACCTGTAAGTGACCCGATCGAGTCGGACTTCCTGAAAAACACTTTAGCGTCCAATGTGAGTTCCTGGAGAGTACCACGACTATTGTTCAAAGCCTCTCTGATGGTTTTCCAAGTGTATTCCGGACAGCCAGCAAGAATTGTACTGTGCTGCTCCAAATGAAGTGCTTCTAGCTTGGTACAGCGCTCGAGAATTTGTATTATCTTCATCGGATTGACGACAGAGAAGTCGAGTGTCAGATCAGATAAGTGTGACTCTTCGTCATTGAGAGGGTAAACTTCTGGGCGTGATCGCCAAGGGGTCCAATTCTTGTTCTCGATCTGAAGGACTCTCAAACTTGGCAATCCAACAAATGTCAAGAACGGATCGATCTCGAAAACGAAATATGAACCGACCGAGTAATTGTAACCATACCATTCTTTCTCTCGATAATCAAACCCCAAGTGTCTTCTGTGTACCATCACAGAGCGGAGTCGGCGGAAATGACAAGCAGGATCCCATCCCGCTGAGGCAACGAGCAGGCCGGGCCAGAAATATTGAGGAATATAAATCTCTGGAGAGCGCATATCGGACATGTGAAACTCGATGTGCTCTAGATTGGGGGTCAGACTCATCAGTAGTGCAATCTCTGCGGCTTCTTCACCAGCTTTAAGTGCCTCTCTCCAGCCGTCATCAAGTGCAGATGATCTTACGTGCTCACTATAGATACTGTACAGTCCACTCGAACATGGCATCTTCTTTTTCTTTTTCAGTGTGAGACAAGTAAGACACTGCTGGCTCCACGCGCCAATATATAACGAGCGAACATGTTGCAGAAGTTCCGGGCGTTCGAATAGTGTGGTGAGGAATATCCGGAGGGAGTGCTCATGAGGATGCCATATGGTACTGCGTTTCGAATAGTTGCGGTAGAGCAAAGGTTCCGCGATATATCTTATCCGTCGCGAGACTCTGCATAGATGCGCGAGGGTCGTCCAGTTGTCGAGATGGTAGTAGTAGTTGTTGTCATCATCATCGGCGTGGATTAGTTTGGGTGATGTCGCAAAAGAATTGAAGATTGTATGGAGGATCTCGTTAGGAAGGGTGACAAGCATCGTGTCAAGATGTCGATACAACGGTCTGATAACAGTCAGTGAGGTCTTCAAGATAGAGCCTGTTGAGTGAGAAGGGCGTTGCTGTGACAACATGCTGCCAAGCCTTGCTCGCGATGGGAGCTACCCTGACATTTTCGACCCATGCCTCTTTTTCGAAATTAAGTGGACCTAGACCATGGTTCGTCGAAGGAAAACGAGCCCAGAGACACATATGATACATCTATACAGGCCAACATAAGTCATGATGCATCCCGGGTGTTCTTACAGAAGTGCCGACTAATCTCAACAATGTTTGCTACAATTGAAGGTCATGCGTGTGGAGATTCAGTCAAGAATATGTATTTCCTTAAAGTCGATACCTTACCTCATAGAATGTATCTATCAATACGAGGTGACCGCCACAGCGTGTTTCAGCTATCACTGTGTCCTGAATGAGCTCGAATAGTCGGAACATAATGTGATTGTATCAAGAAAGACAAGTCTATGTTTCGAGCCCTTGTATCAAGTACAACCCTGTCTGTATACCATGACGTAATGAGCGACTCGATTTCACCAACGTCTTTGCAATCACATTGATACCTAGTGAAGTCAGAAGTACGAATTATACAATGCTTTTTTCATGTGCACTAAATAGCTTTCTTCATATCAAGCATTTCCTAGAATGCGACTCTCGTCCTCATCTCACCAATCTTCTTCTCAACCTCTCTGACTGTACGATCCAAATCACCAGCGATCCTCTCCTTCTTGTCTCTGCCGAGCAAGAAGTATCTCTCGCAAAGATCGCCGTCAATACATCCCTTGACGGGAATGTAGTAGCTTCTGTACATGAGATGATCACGTCCACAGATCGGTGGGTCTTCGGTGCGCATGTGTTGCTCCAAGCTGCCGAAGAAGTCTACGTCTTCTCTATCCATGAATGGCACAAATATACCTAATGTACCCTGCAAACCAGCCCAGAAGATGACTTCCTGGCCACCGGGCACCAGCGTCGTCTTTTGCATCGACATAGGAATATCTTGAACGAAGTCGTGGAATTGAAGTGCGAGACGGTGAGGAGTGCCGCCAAGATAGGCCTTTTCGTTGGCGAGGAAAGATGCAGCGCCAGGTTCGTCTGCCTCATCTGATGCCGATTTTGGGCAACGCACCGCCCATACGTTTCCGAATTTGTCTCCTCCAGCCACAGTGTCGTAGTCGAGCATGGTGAAGCAGGTGGTCCAGCGAGCGATGACATCGTCAGCGAATGGTGTGAGTTTATTGTCCTTGTGGTTGTACACGACATAGCAGACAGATTCTTGCACGTCGCCGACAACGATACGTGAACCTTGTGTCTTCATGCCGATGATTTGAGTACCGGGTACACGACAGCGGGCCTTGCGCAACAGAGCCTTCATACCGAGATCGTAGAGGAAGACTTCGTTGCCAACGGCAAGCGCAAGGCGACCCTGGAAGGGCATAAGAGCACGAATAGGTTTTTCGAAATCGGTCTTGTGGATTAGCTCAAGCTCGTTGCCTGGGTCTAATACTCGGTACACATGTACCGCGCCCGTTGACTTTGGAGAGCTTGGTGTCGGTGCTCCAGAGGGGATGTTCTTGCCGGTGCCAACGAGCAAGAAGGTTTCGCCATCTTGGTTCTCAAATGGTACCATGTCACAGCATAAAGCAGCCTCATTTGAGTCGAGGTCGACTGTGTATGCAACACTATCCTTTTCATCTTCAGCCGTCGGGTCGACGACCTGAATACAAGATGCCCATCCAGGGCCTCGTGGCCAACCGAACTGCTCGCTAGGACCCATCTGTTTCTTGTCTTCTTCTGATCTTGTCGGATCAGCAAGAAGTGTATCCCTGGCCTGCTTACTAAGGACATTTTGATCTGATTGAACAACGGAGAAGTAGCGGTATTCTGGGTGTCTGCAGAAGTCGCGGGGAGTGTGCTTGAGGGGAATAGATTTTGTGAGGATGTTGTTAGATGTGTCTCCAATGCTGAAGACGAAAATCTCAGCACCACGTAGTGCGACGATTGATTGTCTGACAGTGGTTTGACCCTTGCGGCCAGCAACTTTAGATCTCAACATACTCGCGCAGTTGAACGAATGGTAGTCCAGAGGGGTGAGCAGAAGCTCCTTGGTTTCGGGATGAGGATATGAGAGGAAGGTCTTGGCGCCGCAGGCAAGCACCGCGGGACTGTCGTTAACAGCGACTGGATATAGCTTGGCCTCATCAGCACCAAGGAAACGTGAGCGGACATCGCCGAGTTCACCAGTGACATCGTCCAAGACTGCACGAAGGTAGAGACCCGAGAACAGACCAACGTGGACGAATGTCGTCATGCCTGTTGAGTCTTCCATAGGGAGAATCTCAATAGAACGAGGAGGCGAAGTGAGGGATTGGATGGACTGGGACCTAAGCATCTCGCCACCAGGATCGAGAGAGTAGACACGGATGGTGGAGTCGTCACATCCGATAACGAGGAAGGGCGCTCTTACGCGACCTTCGGGAACATCACCCATGCTCATGGCTTGGACGACACCCGATACAGTCAAGACATCGGCGCCCTGCTCGTACTCCTGGATCCTTCTGCCGTCTTGTGAGACTTCGAAGTACAGAATTTCGCCAGAGCTTAGCGCCAGACACAGCTGTTGATGGTTGTTTGTGGCTTTGATGATGGTGCGATGTGCAGGGCACTTCCAGTCTTCTTGCGGGCTATCCGGACCAGTGTAAAAGCGGAAGCCTCTGTCCCAAACTTGCAGAATACCAGTGTCACCCATGAGACCCATGTGGATTGTAGTGACTTCCTTATGCAGACCGTGATCAGAAACTTCATGAGTGTTCTCCCCGACCTCCAGGAATAGTGTAGCATCTCGGAAGCCAAGAACGATGTATTTGTCTGCCTCCGAGAAGCGATCGTCTGAAACCACCCAAAGATTGTTGGGTTGATCAGGCAGTTCAGCACGCGTTTGCTCGCTAACACTCAAACCATGGCTGACAACCTTGAAAGAGCTTCGGGTGCCGGTTCCAGCTGTGGTGTAAATCTTCCAATCATCTCCACCTGTAATGTCTTGTACTACAGTCTTGCGCTGAGGATGCATACTGGCGACCGTTGCCGATTGATCTACATTGTCGTAATCATGAGGGAAGAAGTACGAGATCTCCTGCGCGGTGCTGTCTGTGAGAGGCTCAATGTTCATGCCGAGGTTCAGGAAGCGGTAAAAATGGCTGTCACTGTTCTCAGCTGCGACAAAGAGGTAACCAGACTTCAAGATGCACATGGTCGAGGCGACAGGGAAGGTATCGAAGTAGCGGAGCTCGATGCTTGAGACCTCGCCAGTTTTGCGCCCTTGATCGTCCTCGACCAGGTCCATAGTAAGCTTGAACAAGTCACCGTCCTCTGTCTGCAAAAGATGGAAGAAGCCAGCCTTGAAGCGATGTACGACACCGGCAACAATACGCCTCTCGCGATCAGGGTTTTCAAGACCGCCCTTGCGACGAGGAATGACCAGAGTGTGTGCCTCCTGGTTGGGATGTCTGTATGTGATACTTCCCAGAGAACAAACCACGACACCACTGGGACCGTCAGCACCACCAGGAACAGGGAATAGTTTGTTGGCCGAGTAATCCACAGCATCAGCCCACTCGCGCACCACGTGGTTCAGGCCGAGATCAACACGGTAGTAGACAAGAAGCTTCTCGCGGATGTCATAAGATTCATTTGTCGGGTCCTGGTCGCTGTCTGTGTAATCGACCTCGAGGGCTGCAAAGACGGGATTCTGGAAGTTTGTATCGACAGAGCAGATATCAAAGGTCAATGTCTGTGGACGGTTGACTTCTTGGGGCGAGGAGATGGTGACTTGCTGCTCCGAGTTGCGGTTGAGGATGTAGACGACCTTGTTCTTCTCGACGGATGCAAACATGCAGCATCGACCACGTGGGTCTGAGGCGAGATATTGACCAGGGATGGTTCGACGGATGCCGGACTTGCCAAAGGTCTCGAGGTGGACGCGCTCGAAGCGGTTCTTCTCATCGTCGTACTGAAGGAGAGAGACACGGCCAGAATCCGAGGAGACGATGATCAGGTCGCGAGGAGTACCAGGAACCCTACACGACGACAGGTTGCGCAGGATGCCAAAGGCGTTGTGTGTGAGGATAGTGCGAACCTGATCCGTGTCCTTGTCAATGGTCAACAGACTCAGTCTCTCACCCTGAGCCAGAACGACTTGCTGCTCTTTCGGCCTGCTCGCGACAAAGTTGCCAACGATGGCGTGGGTAATGACTCCAGCAGGCTGCAGGGTGAGCGAGTACATGCTCATATTGGAGGTGATAGACATGATGGGCGATGGGTGGTGAGCGACCCTCGAGGGCGCTCGAAGAGTCTAGAGAGGGCACTGGATATAATGGTCGGATCGTCAAGGTCGTGAAGATGCGCGAGCTGTTCGCGAATGGCGCTAGAGATCGAAGCCTGGACGGGCGTACGGTCGCCACAGCAAAAAGGACCAAATAGCAAGCGGCAATTTCACGATAGAGAACGCGCGCCTTTCGAAGATATCTAGGAGCTCTTGGGTGGTATGGCCGCACAAAAGTGCATTGTTCTGGTATAGAAAATCAATGGGCAAGTTGCGGCGAGACGCCAAGACATTCAAAGTCGGAGCTCGGGCCGTGTCAATGATGCAGTCAGTCGAGTGCATCTGAAAGTTGCGAGCCAGACGAAACAAGAAGGAACACAACCATGGCTTCCTTGTCGACTTCTTCAGCGTGCAGGCAATGCCTGAGCCTGGCGCGTATCGCTCTTCCACGCACAAGGCCTTCCGCCCGCCTCTTCTCAGCATCCACATCGGCACAACCGGCCCTGTCGTCGTCCAAAAGAATCACAAGAAGCAGAAGGCGTCTATCGACAAGTGCTCCCAGACCTCAGCTTGCCCAATTGACCCGCGAGTCGCCTGCCATCCAACATTCCACCGAATCTGCCGCCGACGACCGCAGCCGTGAGCTTCTGTTACCTGGAAATCTGTTCCATTCCTTCAGCGACTCGCCCTCTCCCAAAATTCGCAAGCGCGCCGCCTTCATCAAACAAAATGCTTACTGCCCTCATCCCGATCACTCGGCAACTCGCCAACCTTCCAGTCCTGATGATATCGAGGTGCGGAAGACTGGCACCATGCCTCCCGCACATGTCCGTTACGAATGCCCGGACTGTGGTATTCCCGTAGCCTGCTGTGAAGACCACCTGGTCGACGACTACGAGGCTCACTTGACCATCTGTGACACTCTTCGCGAGATCAACGAGGATGACCATGATCTCGTCTCTGGCCGTTTTTTCCCCGAGTTCGAATACCCTGGCCCGCAACTCGATGAAGCCCAGGTCAACTTGACCAATTGGGATACCATGCTTTACTCGCGCGAGTTCAACGCCATCAACGACGAGCGCAGTCTCCGTCAAGCTACCCGCCTGCTTACATATCCTGCCACTGTTGCTAGTGTCCTCCACGAACTGAGTCCTTACAATGTGCGCAACCGTCTCACTCCCGAGGGACTCAAGAGTTTGACCGCTCTTCAATACACATTGCACCCTCCTCGTTCTGGTGCTGGTGATGGTATCAAGGGTCTGCGTCCCTCCGCTCCCCCAGTGCGCTTGTTCTGCATCGGTGCTCGCGCGGAATCATCCTTGCCGCGTGAGGTATGGCAGCAACTAGCCTGGCTCTTCCCCCGCTCCACCTTCCACCTGATCTTCATCGGCCCCGAAAGTATGGCTAATCGCGACGATGAATACCCTCTTCCTCCCCGCACGCCTCAAAATCCCTTTGGCGCTATTGTCGAGGATCGCATTAGCTCCCAACTCAAGGTCACGACCTACGTCGAGTACTTCCACACCTTGCACAACGCCCAGGCCTTTTATCCATATGATCCCTACTTCGACGCCTTTGTTCTCTTCCACCCCGGTCTAGGCCACCCTGCCAGTTCTCACGAATGGCAAGACACTATCCGCCCACTATTGGACACCAAAGTGCCCATTATTGCCACCGGGTACACTGATTATGACATGAAGCGCGATATCGAGTGGGTACGAAACACCGTCGGCGACGAGATGGATATCCTGCTTGAGCCAGGCGAGAACCGTTTCCGCAGTCTTCGCTGGGACCTCAACGATCTCGACCCTCAAGACGTCAGCGCTGGCAACTGGGGTGTCTGGGCTTTCAGAGGCAAGAGATACGAAACTCAGATGCGTGATTCGTAGAGATATTGGCGAAGGCGAGATTGTATAAACATCATCTTCTGTACATAGCTGTATTTTTACGTGTCATCGAAGTAAAAAGAACCACTTTCCATTTCTTCTTCTCACGATCCCTGCATCGATCTGAGCAACTCTCATCTCGCTCTTCGGCTGTGCAGAACAGAAAGACGCCGACCAGTCGATGACATACACGGCTGTCTTGTCCGATCTCGACGACTTCTGTAATCAGGAAAGGCGCCAGGCGAGAACACTTTACTAAATTGTTTAGGTCCTGGCGGCGTGCCGGCCCGTCGAACGTTTGAAATCTCTCCTGCTTCTTGCTTATGATCTTGGCCCTTTCGCACGACTTGCAGATGAGGGGCGAACAAGGAGCCACGTCCAGATTCCACTTGCACGCGAGATTGACCACCTGACGTTGACCGCATCGTTGATGAATACCATTACCGAACACGTAGGAGGTGAAGCGCCGAGGCGGTATTTGATGGATCAGTCCGGGCGAGTCCGATATGAAACAGCAACCCCAGAAAATCTAGAGGGCCAAGGACTGTTGTGCTTCTGTTTCAGCCCCATATAAAAGTTGCGCCACTCTCGTTGCTCGCTTGCGGAAACAAAGCACCCATCATCGACATCGGTGGAACCGAACCTCATCCCTGCTTCCTGTCATTTCGGACATTTGCGCCTGCGCCTGCGCCATGGCCCACCATGCGCTCTGCACTGCTGGTGATTTGAGCCGCATTGACGACCTACCACTATGCGCTCCTTCTCAACTCAAGCAATCATGGCTTGCGTCAAGTGCACGGCATACTCATATTTGAGTTGGCCATCTAAAACATATTGCACCATCTAAGGCGTTTCAATTCTTCCACGCGATGCTATGCCAGCCCAGATCCTCGACCAGGTTCACGCTAACGTCAAAATGCTTGTCTAGTCTCCATGACCATTTAGGCTTCTAGGGCTTTAGCCTGTGGTGCAGCACAGTACCCTTCCATCACCCCTCTCTAGATCTTAGCGGCGCTGGGTTAATGTATGCCAAACACTCGTCCCATGCTTGATCAGTTTGGTAGTTGTAATGTCCAGCCGTGACATCCACTCTTGTAGGTGAGAGCATTTTTATATAAAGTCTAGGGCCTGTCTTGCCCTGCTCTTCTTCCTATCAAGCTCTCTTGACATCTCGTCTTTCGTTCATTCTTCTCACCCTTCTTCCACTACCCTAGCGTGCCATTCTTTTCTCGCTATTTCCATTCTACATCAAGATGAAGTACTCCGCTTTCGTCGTCGCTGCTGCAGCTGGTTCTGCCGCAGCTGCTTCTGCTCCTGCCTACGCTCAATGTGGTGGTAACGGATTCACTGGTGCCACTGACTGTGTTGCTGGTTACCACTGTGCTGTTCAGAACGACTGGTACTCGCAGTGCGTTCCCGGTGCTGGTTCCAGCTCTCCTGCCACTTCCAAGGCTGTTGTCACCTCGGCCAAGGCCACCACCACCCAGGCTGCTCCTTCCAAGGCTCCTGTCACTACTAGCCAAGCTGTTGTCACTTCGGCCGCTTCCTCTGCTAAGGGCAAGGTCCAGGTAAGAGCATTTCATACCCATGACAAAGTATCAGAACTGACAACGATATCAGTACGCCGGTGTCAACATTGCAGGCTTCGATTTCGGTATGGACACCAACGGTGCCTCCTCCGGCGGCTACGTCGACCCTGGAACCACCGGCCAAGCCCAGATGAACCACTTCGTCAAGGACGACAAGCTCAACGCCTTCCGTCTCCCCGTCGGCTGGCAATACCTTGTCAACAGCAAGCTTGGTGGCAACCTCGACACCACCTTCTTCGCCAAGTACGACCAGCAGATGACCTACTGCTTGAACTCTGGAGCCGCTCTCTGTATCCTTGACCTCCACAACTACGCTCGCTGGAACGGCCAAATTGTCGGCAGCAGCGGTGGTCCCACCAACGCCCAGTTCGCTTCCGTCTGGAGCCAGCTTGCCACCAAGTACGCCGGCAAGCCTAAGGTTGCTTTCGGCCTCATGAACGAGCCCCACGATCTTACCGACATCAACGCCTGGGCCACCACCATCCAGGCTGCCGTCACTGCTATCCGCAAGGCCGGTGCCACCTCGAACTTGATTCTGCTACCTGGTAACGATTGGGTAAGTAAAGTCATTCGTATGACTGAAGTTTGCTCCAAAAAAACGTGGTCCAAGTTACCAGGCTTCAGCACACGAACATACCATCTCGAAATATCACCTCCCATGCTAACAGTACACCTTCCTTAGACCCACGCCGCTAACTTTGTTGACAACGGCTCTGCTGCTGCCCTCAACAAGATCACCAACCTCGACGGTAGCAAGTCCAACCTCGTTTTCGACGTCCACCAATACTCGGACTCGGATGGCAGCGGCACTCAGTCGACTTGCGTCTCCTCCTCCTCCAACATCGCCGGCTTCACCAAGCTCGCTTCTTGGCTCCGCACCAACGGCCGTCAAGCCATCCTCACCGAGGCTGGTGGCTCCAACGACCAGTCTTGCTTGACCGCCGTCTGCGACATCCTCAACTACCTGATGACCAACTCTGACGTTTACCTTGGCTGGACCGGTTGGTCGGCTGGTATGTTCGCTACCGACTACGTTCTTTCCGAAGTCCCTACCGGCAGTGCTGGATCCTACAAGGATCAGGCTATTGTCAGCAAGTGCATTGCTGGTGTTTTCAACAGCAAATAAGTGCTCGTATAAGACAACGAGAGGAGTTGGTGGATGTTGAAGGAGAGTGGCTTGGGGTTTTGTTTTTGAGTTTTGTTGCAGTCTACTTCTTTTGCTCTTTTGTTTCTTGGGAAGCAAAGAGTGTTATCTTGAATTCTATTCTTATGACCTACAACTTTACTTCCACTGTGCACCAGCCGAACTGAACTCACCCGAGAGGATTAACTCGGGCATGGACTACTACCAGTTGTAGCATAATCTTCACAAGTCCATCGTATCAGACATGGAATGGAAATAATCTCATGGAGACAAAGTAGCAATATCGCTAGCGTAGACATAGTTCAAGCGGAAGGAGCTGCCAATGTCCAACATGGGGCTGGTATATGCCTGTGAGCTTCCGTCTGCTTGCTAGTCTAACACCAACGCACAGTTCACTATAGAGATACACAGTCCTGTCCGGAAGTAAGGACTGGCCACTGACATTTGAATTGCCATTAGCTCTTTGTGGACTCGTCCCTTAGCTGAAGATCACTGTGCGTTCCGACAGCTTCGACCTCGCCTATATGTAGTCGTGAGAGCTGTTCTCAGACGAATTTCACGTGTATGGAGTCGTCTCACCCGCGTAGCCGTGAACGTGTATAGTGTCCTCGGAAGCTTGATAGCATCCACTGAGAAGCACAAAGCCATCCACTATTTGTGGACTCCTGATCTAGATGTTGGTTCGCTCAATTCTTCTCGGCACGCACCTACCTACCTTGGATTTCTTTCTATATGAAGTGAACCATCGTTCAGGGACCTTGGAAATACCCCTTAAGTCGATATCCACTCCCTACCTCTCCGTCATACATGCACATCTGATAGGTCGTTATGCATCACTTTGGCTTCCTCCGCCATCTACCGAGTTCACATGAAAATATTTCGCAAGTCAAAACACGTGCACTGACCGGAGCATCGTCTTCACGAGAACGTTGTATAGGGTCGAAGTATGCATTACGGAACAGCTCAAGTCCAGTTCCGGCAGTCTTGGTGTCCATACCGTACCCGGAAATGGTGGCAAAGGGAGGTCGTGCTGTCTGACCTGGTTGGCTATACATGCACAACGCTCCTGGTCTACTTGCCAAACATAATTTTGATTAGAACGATGGGTATGCAACCTGCCCTCTGGTGAGCTACGTGAATGTGTGTAGTGCGAAAGACTTGTTGGCATATAGGAGATGTGATGAACACGAGTTGACCAATGTTTCGATTTTCAAATTTTCTAGATAATGCATGTATGTCCAACTACTTCCCAAATGTATCTTCACATCCAGACCAAGCATCCAATAGCCAGCCTCTCTAGCGAGGGCGATGTATCTCAGTTCCACAGATCAAGAGGTTGTACCATTGACTGATTCACCCATGAAGCCAGCACCAAGTTGCTTCTGCAAGATCTGCTCAAAAGTCGGGATATTGTCAGAGATGACACCCAATATCTTTGCTCCAGCAGAACCATCACACTCATCCCCATGAGCAATCTCAGCAGTCAAATCGCGCTTCTTGAAGTTCACTCCAGGTTTAATGGTGACGCAGTTGTACTGAGATTCAGCTGCGCGCAGTTGACAGATGTTATCGGTCTTGCAGTCACCAGTACACGTTGAGGTATCATGACCGCGCGACTTGCGGGTGTTGAACTGTTGGTATACGGCATCGTTGTTTTGGAAGAGAGTGGTTACATTGTGCCAGAAGGCAGGGGTAAGTTCGGCGGAGGCTGCGATCACGGGAGGACTGAGCTGAGCACCGTATTGTTCCTTGACGGAGTAGTACTTTTGCCAAGTTGGACCATTCTGGTAGGTAGGGTTGGACATGTTAGCGAAGTAGACTGTGTAGTCGAGGATACCGAAGGTGACTGGGTCGACAGAATAAACACGGAATGTAGGATTGCCAGAAGTGGGAGTCAGGGCGGGAGCGATGTATGACACATCGATGGCGTTGGCAGCTGTCTGAGCTGTGTAATCCGAGTAGGTAATTTGAAACTCGTCTCTGTGGGTATGGCCGTAGAATTGGGCAACGATGGTGGCACTGTATCTCTTCACAATCTGGTTGAAGTAGTTCGAGGCGTCGTGGAAAGCATCGCCAGATCCCATGGGCATATGCCCAGTCAACCATACGCGTTCACCAGCTCTCTCAGCAGCGGCAAGCTCTGATACAAGCCAAGCCAACTGACCACTGGGGTCAGTCTCCATAGGCTCCTCGTATAGCCAAAAGTTCTGTTTGTAGTACAAGTTACTGTTGAAAGAGATGATGCGAAGGTTGGTGTTGGGGTTCTTGACCGAGTAGGCACCGAATTTGTCGACTTCGGTGGCACCTGCAGAGCCGATCCACTTGGTCCAGGCTGTGGACAAAGTGTCGTAGACCCATTGACTTGTGATGGTCGTATCAACAGCAGCGGGAGGGAAACTGTTGACGGGTGCCACATCGTGGTTGCCTACGACGCCATACACAGGCATTCCAAGGGTGGACATCAGCGAGTATGCATTGTTCAGATCACCTGTGACCTCAGTTTGGTTGACAAGCCAGACTGCGCCCTCAACGACGTCACCAGTAAACAAAGAAAAGGCGGCATCAGGTACAAGAGTTTTGATGGCATTGTACATGCTCTGTTCAAGGCTGCGAGGACTATCACATTGGGCGTTGCCATAAGCTCCGGCAGGGAACTGCGTGTTTCCAGGGGCATCGGCAGTGGTGTAAGGGCGACAACAGATGTTCTTGGTGCAGTTATAGTTGGCGCCGACTTCGTAAGAGAGGTCGACGTGGATGTCACTATAGTGGACGACCTTCAGGGGAGTCTTGCCGCTGGGTGGAGGACGAGCGGCTCCAGCAGGCTTGGCTGAGGGGAACGAAACAGTGTAGGGAGTGACAGCCGGGTAATCGCACAAGCCGAAGATGGTTCCGCAGAAAAGTTGTGCTGTGTGTGAGCCAATCTTCAGATTGCGAAGGTCGTGAGCCAAGATAGGTCCTTCGAGTCCAATAGCACCGGTACAGACATCTGCATCCTCAGTCTATGTGGTGTCAGAGAAGAAAGTACCACACAAGTCGTGAGAGAAGCTTACTCCGAGCGCGATGCAGACTGCAGTGATGACTCCGACAAAGGCATCGTTACCAAGATGAGCGACAGCTTGAAGGACACCAAGCAAGCCCTTGGACACGTCAGTTGCTATGTATGCTGCTCACAGGATATTGACCAGACCTGGCAAGCCGTGCAAGTGGCGGCAGTCTTGATATCGTTCAAGATATCGCTGACGGTATCTCTCTTCTGGATGGAGTTGGCAGAGATCGACTGTGCAAACAAGAAGCCTGCGGACACAAGAGGAAGGAACTTCATGATGCTCGTGTACCTAGTACCCGCTGGACTGCTTGGAATAAGCTTCTATCCCTTCGTACATACCTCGACTTCTTATACCTTACGATTTATCTTGCGAGCCATCCCGTACCTTGAACAGCTCTTCCTCTACCCATCATGCCTGTGTAGATCGCCAGTCGATAGTCTCGCGTGTGCAAGCGATGGTCGCGACATGATATAGCATCACAAGCGACATGGCATGCGGACTCGCGACACGTGTATTGCTCGTGGTCTCTTACTCGGTTTCCACGCGAGATGAACGTGGATGTGTTGCACGTCTGAATTACTAGACAAAGAAGAGCTGCAGTCTGCAGACTCGCGCGGCGGGTGATTGATACCAGGAGTTTTGCAACCGAGCCTCGCTTCAGGTTGCTTGTTTGTTCTCGAGCCGATCGCACCTTCCATGTTCGCCTGAGGCTTCGTCTGTCCGAGCCAACCAGAATGCTTGATACAGCACATGTTACCAGGTCTGTCAGGCTTCAACTTCAACATACAAGTCAGGACGGCCGGTGAAATGATGCGGGATCGCGTATGAACTCTTGAACGCCAGGGAATACGCGCTTCAGGCACGGTTTTAATTATCCTCGAAGGTAAGTCTTGCGGACAGCCATCATCCGATGCATCATCTCGCTTGCTTGATTTTCCATTTCCCCTCGATAGGCCAGGAACCATGATCCCTAGTGCTTGTGATCACTTATAAAGATGCAGCAGCGCATATGTTTCACAATATCCAACAAGTCTAACTTGCAAAGCTAATCGTTATGGGTTTCTCCACTACTGCTACCCTGGCCAATTGCCTGCTCTTGACCGCGAGTGTTGTACACGCAGCTGATCTCGACCCTACGCAATGGCTCGGTGGAAATAGCCCCTGGTTCCAAGGCCCTGATGTTAACAACATTCCCTATGAGGTGCCTGATGGCTGCACCGTAGATATGGCGGCCTTTGTGTCTCGCCACGGCTCAAGGTATCCTGACCCGGGAGCTTACAATGGATGGGTGGCACTCTCTGAGAAGGTACGTCCTCGTCTTCCAGAGAATATCATACTCTTACTGACCCAACCAGATCCAAGCTGCTCAGTTCACCGCCACAGGTGACTACAGCTTCATCTCCACGTGGAAGCCTGTACTCCGCAACCCGGCTGTTGAGATTTCAGACATCTCCATAGGAGGATACAAGGAGTTGTACGACATGGGCGTCTCCTATAGATGGAGATACCCTGATTTCTACACTGAAAACACTCCTTTCTCAGTGTTTGCGAATCAGTATCCTGCAGCTCCTAGGGTTGTCAACTCCGCAAGGTAATATACCCCAACACTGCTCCTAGTTCAAAGTCTGACCAGATCTTGCAGACTATTTGCCAGAGGATATCTGGGTCCAAACAGCACCTACGGAGACATTTATGTGCTCAAGTCCAATGTCCCAGAGTCCATCGCCAACTCCCTTGCTCCTTCCGACTCCTGCCCTACCTACAGTGACAACGGTGGTGGTGATAACCTCACAACCTGGAATAATCTGTACCTACCTGCTGTCACCAAACGCATCAACAGCCATATCAAGGGCAACTTTTCCTTCACAAGTTCTGACGTGACTAACTTTCCCTACCTATGCGGATTCGAGACCCAGATCACTGGTCGTAGATCCCCATGGTGCAACATCTTCACAGACGATGAGCTTCGCAAGTACGAGTATGCACAGGATTTGCGCTATTATTATGGTTCTGGTAAGTAAAGTCAACTGCACACTGCGATGGCCTACGATAGCTGACGTTTCATAGGTCCTGGTTCTGGCAAGAACTATACATTGATGCAACCTGTTCTCAATGCCATCGTCCAAAGACTTGTCGATGGTCCAAACAAAACATATGTGAACAGCAATGGTCAGTCATGGACACCGGGACCACTAATGCCCATGTTCACCAACGATGGTCAAATCAATCAGCTTGCTGCTGAAATTGGAGTCTTTGATCAGCAGAAGCCTCTTCCCAGCACCAAGATCCCTAGTGATCAGGTACCATACCCCTTCCTTATACTCGATACAATCTCAACAATTGCTAATACCAGAGCCTCTAGCTCTACATCTCAAGCCATTACGTGACCATGCGCGGTACCATCGGCTTCGAGCGCTTGACTTGCTCCAGCAAGAAGTACGTCCGCATCACACTCAACGATGCCGTATATCGTAAGTCAATCCAGCATATCTCATCACGCTACCTCCAACTAACGATACCCAGCCGTGCCTTCGTGCCAAAATGGTCCAGGAAAGTCTTGCCCTGTGGACAGCTATGCTGCGCTCAATGCTCAAAAGGCAAAGTCGCAGGGCACTTTTGTGCAAACCTGTGGTCTTACCAACTCTACTGCTGCTGGAAAGACAAATACTGCTACGTTCTTGAGGGATAATGCTTTGTCCTGGGAGTACGTTGTTAAGCCGTAGGTGGTTTACGGAGCGAGTTCAAGGCAATGTGTGGATGTTTTCAGATGAACTGCTTTATACATGATATGTACTCAGCCATCATGACGATACAGGCATCCTTACTCTTTGGACTTTGGCATCTCACGATTGTTGCAAGAAACACTCATACTCTGGCGATCGCCACAACCATGTCGAGTCTTTGTATGGAAGAATGATATCTTATGGAATTATGGAGTGAAGAAGGTTTTGAGGACGTATCCGACAAATAGCTAATGTAGAATGTGAAGAAAACGGGGAGGGATATCAAAAAAGATCTGTCAACCAAGCCAATCGTAAAACGCCATAACATGAGAAAACACCCAAGTGCATGGAATGGATCATCTGACTGCAAGGTTGAGCTCTTCAGGCAAGTCTTGCTCGGCCCGTGGGCTCTGAGCAGGTGTCAACCAAGCGGAGTCTACGGCCTCGGGCGGAGTCAAAGTCTTAGCTGCCCTCTTGTTGACGTAGTCCTTGCCAGGGCTGTCCCATGCGAAATCGAGGTACTCAGCCAGATGCTCCTGAATGCCATCTGCCATGATTTGAACACCGTGCTTGCGGTTCAAGCTCCACTCGTGGTCTCTCTTCCAGCGACCAGCAAGCTTGACGGTTTCCTCACCACCCTCGAGACCATCGAGAATACTGCGCCAGACTGACATTGTCTTCTCTAGCTCACCAGCGTTACTCACACCCATGACGCTAACACCGAGCTTTTGACCTCCGACTTGTTCGTTTGACTCGCGGGTCCATGGGACACCGGATGCAGGATCGCCTCGGGAGCCGACGCTTGCTCCAGCTGTCAGCCACGATTCGAGCGCGTAGCGAATGGCGACGACTTCGAGACGTTCTCCATGGCGGTCGCAGAAGTCACTCGCACGACGAACGGCCGCTCTGACTCCAGGACCCGCAGGATGCCAATCTCCCTGACCCGCTACAGGAGGACCCGCGCGACGCAGAAGACCCATACCCAGTGGTGACGCGTTGGGCACAACGTCGACGCCAGCAGCACGCAGACGCGCAATGCCAGTCGTCGCTAGTGTGGTGTTTTGCAGTGTGAAGTTTGCGTATGACATGACAGCATCGAGAGGCTCGCCAGTCTCGCGAAGAACGCGCTCAGCGAGTGAGCAGAGCAAAGGAACGGGATATCCAGAGATACCGACATAGCGCAGTGTACCCTCTTCATCGCGGATGCGACGCAACTCTTTAATGGCTCCCATGACTTCGTCCTCGCTCACAAACTCGACATCGTGGCAGTAAACAATGTCGAGGTAGTCGGTGCGGAGTCTTTCCAGGCTGCGAGCGACGCTTTGGCGGACCCATTCGGGGGAGTAGTCGAACTCGTCTCCAGCAATGCGGCCGCACTTGGTGATGTAAAACAGGTCGGAGCGTGGCACATGTGCGCGCACAAATTCTGTGTCGAGAGCAGCACCTAACAGCTCCTCACTAGGGCCATAGTATGGGCTGGTATCGAATGCTCTGATACCGAACTCGAGTGCCTCCTTCACCAAGCCGACCGTGTCTAGCTTGTTAACATCGTTGTATTGTGAGTTGAAGACGGCACATCCAAAGACGAGGGGTGGTAGAATCGTGGATAGTTGCTGGGCAGGCTTGCCCTTGTGCATTGTTGAGGCCATAGGGTAGTAGCTGTGTATCGTCCGTGCGACAAGGCGTGACTATGATGGCTTCGAAGTCTCGGTCCGGTGAGTTGGACAATGGATTTCCAGAGAGTGCAGATTCGAGAAGGGATTGTTAGAGGACAAAGAGTGAGCTAGGAATCTTGAAGGAGAGAGAAAGACCAGCAACAAGACCAAGAGAAAACAGTTGAGAGAGAAAGCGTCCTAGCTCCCTCGATCCATGATATCTACACTATTTACAATTTTTGGGCGCTCGGAGCCGGAGGGATTGAGCAAACCTGACGATCTCAAGAGTGCTCGTGCACAAGACACGACGGCGCGATCGCGCCGCGAGATGGTCTTGATCCAATCGTTTGGCCATGTTCGCGCTCGATTCGTGTTAGACTCCATCTAGACTCTAGCACGTCAGATCTTGATTCCTCACAAACCTGCCCGTTAAAGCGGAAACGGCAGCTCGAACCCTCCGTAAGCGATCGGCGAATCGACTTTCCTGCAGGGTGGTGGCTTTGATCAAAATAGATAAGATAAAGCAAGCTGATTCCCCTGCCAACTTGGCAGATACAGTGAGGTAGTGATATACAGATGCTTAAGCGACGATGGCTTCTTTCTGCATGGTGTTTGCCTGGTTGATCGGTTTGAGTATCTTTCTCTGCACTAGCGACTTTGTGAACTGATACCAAGTGACAATGGAAGGTCGGGATGGTGGAGGAGTTGATGCCTAGACGGATCACGCCGGGCCAAACCGCTTCCGTCAAGTTGCTGACTCTATCAACATCTGTCCATATCGAAGGCGACACCTTTCTTCCTTTGTGCGTAACATCATTTGCGCATCTCTACATATAAGCCAGACTTATCTAGCGACTTGCGCATTGCACAGCAGTCGATCTTCATCATGGCCGAGCAAGGCACGATGTACCACGAGATGTACCGCAATGCGAGGTAGGCGCGGCAACTCATCACTATCCAACATTGTGCTGAGAAAGACATGCGAAGCATCGGCGGTACACTTGCAGACACACTCGACGACCTTATTAGCAGCCGTCGTATCGAGCCTCAGCTTGCCATTAAGATCATGGCCAACTTCGACAAGGCAATCGCGCAGATTCTTGGTGAAAAGGTCAAGGCAAGAATGAGCTTCAAGGTAAAAGACTGGCTACCAACACCAACAAGTGCATCCCTTTCTGTTTCTCCTAGTTTACACCTATTCGTCTTTGGCGACCCAGCGCACCTCTCGTTTCTCCACGTTAGCCCATGCAATGTCCGATGCTATCGCAATACTGATGCATACTCTTAGGGACATCTCGACACGTACCGTTTCTGCGATGATGTGTGGACTTTCATACTCAAGGACGTCAAGGTCAAATTGGACAACTCGCAGCAGATTGAGGTCGAGAAGGTCAGAATCGTCAGCTTGCTGAACGCCAACTCCGCCTCCAACAGCGGAAAGAAGTAGTATCTCAGTCGCGACCGTTTCGATCGCGAGTTTTTCATGCGTTATATTGATGCTGCCACTGAGCAAATTCTGATCTCAAAGGACGACTGATTCTGTCTGGTTCATGGCGTACTTGCGCATTCACGAACAGCAAGGAGGAGATATCACAAATACCCAGCACCGAGAGTGCATTGAAAGAGAGTAGAGCGGCATAAGACACTGTTGGCAGTCAACGAACAAGCAATTCATTAGCACCATGCTCTCTCTCGGTTCTCTGAATCATTCGTCTAACATGTGAAGCGTGGTCGTGTGAAAGTCCAGGGTCAAGGGATCGCTGACCGCCTTTTGCTTGGCGGAGATGGAGACTTTTCGAGCCCAATGGCAAAAAAGTATACCATCTTGCGCTTCTGCAATCACCTCACCCAACAGCACAAATCGCCTTAATTTTACTTCCACCAAATAAGAAACGCATCGCCGGAACTACGCCATTCTCAATCTCATCGTCTGCCCTCTCGGACTGCCATCATCATGCCCGCACCAACTGCCCTCCAAAGAGTTGCGCCCGAGGAAATCGCTCAGAACCTGAATGAGGCCTCCGCCGCAAGCAACAACGAAGACGATGAGATGCTCATCAGCACCACCGACGCTCCCGCCGTTCAAGACGCCGCTCAAGCCACCGAAGACACAGCCATGACCGTCGACTCGCAACCACTCTTCGCCGCCGAAAAGGCTACAAACGCCCACGTCCGCTCCGAATCCCGCAAAGTCGCCGTACCGCCTCACCGCTGGACGCCTCTGAAGAACGCATGGCCTAAAGTCTACCCTCCTCTGGTCGAGCACCTGAAACTGCAATGCAGAGTCAACACCAAGAACAAGAATGTCGAGCTGCGCACAAGCAGATTCACCGATGATACTGGTGCTTTGCAGAAGGGTGCAGATTTCATCCATGCTTTCTGCCTGGGCTTCGATTTGGATGATGCAATTGCTTTGTTGCGTTTGGATGATTTGTACATTGAGACTTTCGAGATCAAGGATGTCAAGACGCTTCAAGGCGAGCACCTCGGCAGAGCTATTGGCAGTGAGTGTCACTGGATGCACCAGCTGTCAGAACAAATTGCTGATTGATCACCTCTAGGAATTGCTGGAAAGGACGGAAAGACCAAGCACGCCATTGAGAACGCAAGCAAAACCCGTGTCGTACTCGCAGACTCAAAAATTCACATTCTGGGTGGTACGTGATATCTGGAGGACTCTTTCGTCTGGTGACCAGACGCTGATCATTTTATTCCAGGTTTCAAGAACATTCACATGGCTCGCACCGCCATCGTTTCCCTGATTCTCGGCAGCCCGCCAGCCAAGGTGTACGGCAACCTCAGAACCGTTGCGTCGAGAATGAAGGAGCGCTTCTAGACGCCAGCTCCATCGTTCACGCATGCAAAGAACAAGAAAAAGCATACAATTCAGGCTGTATAGGGAGTGGTTTTGGGAAATGATGATCAGTTTCCATTCGGCGAGCAAGGGCGTTGGTGGTCGGGCGTGTCCGTTTTGTTCTTTTTCACTTCGACCAAAAATTTGGGTAAGAGGCATTTGGGAGGGCGTTTTTTACTTCTTATATCATGAGCTCGCTACACTCGCACGCAAAGAATCAATACGATATTTACTACAACTGGTACTCGAGCACAAGTGAATTTCAACCTGAATGGTTGTCAATAGGAACAGCTAGTTCAGGTTCTGACTACAGTCCCTGACACTCTATGTGCGACGATAAGTCAAGCTGGTAGTTGTGAAAAGGCACGGTAGTGTTGCAATCAGGACAGTATCCACCGAATAGTAGTTGGCTCTTATCTCTCTTCAAACACATATCTGGTTCAGAATCTTTCGTGTCGTTCTACGGCGTATAACTTGTCCATAGGAAGATGGGAGACCTCTGGCCATGTGCTGGACTCTGTGACATGTGGTGAGACGTTCCGTACGCTCCGTGGCCGTCGTGCTCTACCAACATCGCCCAACTACTGAGATATGGCATGCTTATCATGGTGGAGCAGAAGAGCCCTTGCGCAACAGTGGCAGTGGGTACGCCTTCATAGACGCATAAGAATCCTTCAAGGTCGATGTTTAAAGGCCCTCGCTAGGTAAGGTGGAGGTACTGATGAATGCATCAGGGGAGAGAGCGCGAGCTGCTTGTCAGGGAAGGCGCGACCACATTTAACCTGAATGTTGTTTCCACTTCAAATTTGTGACGATACTTTGCAATCCACCTCGTCCCATCGGCCAGCCTCAACAACGTTCCTTGCTGGTTGCACAATCATCCATACACTGTTTCGACATGAGCGATCACGCTACACAACCCAGCGGCGCAGAACCTAGAGATGTGCATGAGAACGAAGACCAAGAATTGACCAGGGACTTCGATGAGATGATGTTTTACGCCGGAAATAACGACGAATGCAACAACGACGAGGCAAGATATATCGCCTCACAGCTCCTCATGCGTCCGAACCTACCACTGTTGTTCCGTGTTGATGCACACATGGTCTTGGCTTGCGGAAAGGTCGACTATCTTCACCATGCCCAAGAGGCAGTGCGTCTTGCCGAGCTGGGTCGAGAACAACTTGGGCCTGATCAGACTTCTGAAGCAAGAGATGACTTGAATAACCTTCTGGACAGGGCTCAAGAGACGCTGCGCTATGCCGAGGATGACTCGGCTGAGTTGAAGCGCACCAAAGAGGGCCTGAAGGCAGGCACAACCAGGAAACCTCAGAGGGGAGTTCAAATCGTGTATGGCAGCCTCTACTGTAAGTCTTTGTACCTTTTACGGCACCGATCGAACACTAACAACATCGAAGATAGAGGTGACACCGAATCCGACAGCAGCGAAGTCGAGATTGAGCGTCGGACTGTTGGCAAGATCCAGAGGAAAGACGAGATCGACAGCGAACCCGACAACAACGTCGATGGTGAGGCCGTACAAGACGTTATCAGACCCGACAGCATTTCAGCCGACGGCACCAAAGCTCCTCAGTCCGAGGTTGAAGAGTCGACTTGCACGAAGAGCAAGGGCAAACGCAAGGCCCGCAGTGTATCTGACGATAGTGGAATGGAAGAGAACGCCGTTGATGGCAAGAAGCACAGCAGCTCAAAAGGTCGCAAGACTGACAAGTCGGCCATCACACCTTAAGCCACAACCTGTTGCTCTACGCGTAGGGAGACAGCTATCAACTACAAAACTGGTCTCCCAAGAGATCGTTCGGTACCGAAGTGCATTGAGAGGAATTATGGCAGAGGACGAGGGTATTTGTTATGTGAGCGCTAAGACCCAGTTCTACACAAAGGGCGCCATGGGAGGTCGTCCGAGGCTTTTTCTCTCTCTGCGAGTCCTCGATGGTGAAGGATGTTTCTAGCTCATGTAGATGCTATTAGTACTGTGAATCAGACATGAAAATGACTCCGGATGTCCTGATCACCCCAAGTCCTACGAACTATCAACTGACTCCCATGATAAAGTTGTGTGTAGTGTCAAGACGACGATGGATGTTTGGATGATAGGGCTGTATCATCAGCACTAAAGCAGACAAGACACATTAAAATCTGTCACCTCAGGCCCACAGATACTTCATTGCGGCCTTTTCATAATCGATATGAAGATTACGTGAGAGGTGAGCAACAGAAGATGGCTGGGCCGAGTGTTGAAAAGTGAAATTTCTCCAGCGATGGTTGAGGGGAAGGAGGGGAAGAAGTTGAGATCAAGTTGGCGGAAGGGTGTCTCCGCTGAGGACGGATGTCATTGATTGGCTTCCGAGGCACAAAGCGTCGCGTCATCGGCGTGATGGTGTGAGACAAGACGGCCATGTCTTGTTCCCAGAAGAAAGGCTTGAAAAGGTCTCTCGTGTCATCGTCGTTGTTCTTGATATCTCCAGTCTGAAACAGTCGCCGTCTTTGACGGCATAGGTATCGCTCGCTCTTGGTCGAGGGCATCACGAACGGCTATTTTACTAAGACGACCCGAGGGCGGACCTTGTCGGCCGTTGCTCCAGCACTATCTACCTCGATCCTATTCCGCCTATTCTGCTATTGGAACGCCTTCATCTCCATTCGTCTCCCACCCCACGTGCCCGCCTCTGTCTCTCACTACACTCGTCCTCCGTCTGTCGCATGAAGTCGACTGGCCAAGAAATAGTCGGATCTTGAGCGTGGAATGCGCCGTCTCTCGAGTGCTTCCCCGCAACGTGCCTGAGAGACAATCACCGCTCCGCCATGGGAAATACCAACAGCTCCACCAGGGAGTCGAGGACCACCAGCTCCCGATCGCGCGCCAACACAGCAAACAATGGAACTCCCAGCAATGGCACAGCCGAAAACTCCATGTACAATGTGCGTAGTGGCCGCGGCAGCAGACAGAACCTATCCTTCCTCCATCTGGGGTCCAGCAGTAGAGGTGACCAATCACGCACCGAGGAACCTCGCCGCGAAACCAAGCAAGAAAGAGAAGCTCGCAAACGTGAGAAGGAGCGTGCTACTCGAGAAAATGAACGCGAGCGAAGTATGAAGGAGGAAGGTGTCGATGGTGGCTATCTCGTTACGCTAGGAACATACGTCGGTCCTGAGGACTTCAACAAGACCGTCGTGCGCCAGCTCATGGTACGCCATCCACTATCTCTATAACAACTATCCTGCTGACACATCTTAGATCGAACGCCGCTTGGCGCCATTCTGGAAAGGCCTGAACGACCATTCTGACTCGTGGACCGAGAATCAGCTTGTAGCTGTAGCACGAGGACTAGCCCTTCCCGCTGCTGACGACCCTCCCCTCCCCGATCTCGAACAAACCGCCGGCAGCGATGTCGACTCGCTCACTATTCCAATCTCCTCTCGCTCACAATCCTACCAATCCGACCATACCTCGACTCCGCAAAGCGCCACTTTGCCTCGTCCAGGCACCGCATCTTTGCCCTCAGCCTCGGCATCCCGAGGTCTCTTCCGTGATCGTGCAAAAACTCTGGCATCCTTGGGCACCTCGAACAAGAACAACAATGCTTCGTCTACTTCGATTGCCCCTCAGGAGATTCGTCTGCCGCGAGACCCAAGAGTCAACGGCTCTCCTCTCGAAGCTGTTTTGTATAAGGATGCTGCGGAATGTCCCATCTGCTTCATGTACTACCCTCCACACCTCAACAAGACCCGCTGTTGTGATCAGCCCATCTGCTCAGAGTGCTTCGTACAAATCAAGCGTCCTGACCCGCATCCTCCGGAGCATCACGATGATGAGGGCAATCCCACAACCGACGAGGAAGGCTTATTGGTTTCAGAGCCCGCTGCGTGTCCCTTTTGTGTGACGCCTGAATTTGGTGTCAGCTACCAACCTCCTTCCTTCCGCAGAGGTCTTGTATACTCCGGCCCTGTCAGCAGTCCGGCTCCAACAAGCGCCCCATCTCCCGATGCATCAACTCTCTCGTTACCTGTGCCGCACGGTAGAAGACGTACGACATCTTTATCTGCCTCGGCCCCCACTGTCATCACTACAGATCGAGTACGACCTGACTGGGCAAAGAAGCTTGCTGATGCTAGAGCGCACGCATTGCGGAGATCTGCTGCTGCAACTGCTCTTCACAATGCTGCGTACATGCTAGGTAATCAACAGCCATCGGATGTACGCTCGTTTGGCGGTCTTGGTCGCCGCCGCCGTACACTTTTGACGGATACCTCTGCTAGTGCAAGTGGGACTGGCACGCCGAGAGCTGACAATGGTCAAGTAGGTAGTCTGTCTGAGTTGATCGCTCACATAGAAGGTCAAGGATCAAGCACAGAGCCTCGTCCGTCGGGTAGACGAAGTCGTGCCCATGATCTCGAAGATCTTATGATGATGGAAGCTATCCGACTATCTCTAGCTTCCGAAGAAGACCGCAAGAAGAAAGAGGAGAAGGAAATCAGGAAAGAAACAAAGAGACGCGACAAAGAAGCTGCGAAGGACGCAAAGAAGGCAGAAAAGGTCGCGAAGAAGAACGGAAGTCTTTACAGTGCTAGCTTGAACGGCAGCACAGTTGCTTGGTCTGACATGACCCGCTCTACGAGTAATATTCCACGACCTCAGACAGGTGTCTCGACAGCTTCATCACCTCCACCAGCTGCTCCTCCAATCGTCGGCAAAGGCAAGGCACCTGCCACCACAGCCTACGGCTTTAATCCGCTTACCGAACCTACATCTACCTTGAATACAGAGGTTGCTGAGCAGACAGCCGACTCTCAGAGGCATCTTGAAGAATCGAGAGCCAATCTACCGCAGGCAACGCAGCCCATATCGTTCCCGGATGCCCTTCAAAACCGCTCTCACCTTCGCCACATCTCCAATGCCTCATCGGCGGCATCTTCGATGCTGGACTCTGCGCCTGGAAGCTATCAACAACGGACGCCGAACTACCAGATGTCACCCAACGCCAGTGCGACGGTGCTAGATGACGGTACTGGTACGCCTGATACACACTCTGGTACTCCGAGCAATGATGTGAACACGGAATCCATGTTCAACTTCAAGAGCTTGACCGAAATGATACGCAACGACGATAAGGACCGAGATGCAGATCATGTTGAGTTCTTTGAGCAAAAGCCAGAACAAGAGCGCAATCCGTCGATTGCATCGTCTTCCAAGGGTGATGCTTCCTCTGGTCTACCTGCATTGAACGAGGTTGAGAACGAGATGAGACATGGAGATGCTGTTCAAATGCATGACGGAACTTCTTCGAAGATGCAGCAGAGCGAGACAAAACACGCAGGCGATGTGGATGTCCTGCACACTTCAGGGACTTCGACCAACTAAATAGGCTTCATGACTTGTCGACAATATGGCATTCGTCAAGGGTTGGGTGGGAACACATGCGATATGGGAGGTAAAAGCAGATGCTGTTACGAGTGCTTCACTGCTTTCCCGTACATGGACCACGAGGCGTTGACTGTAGGTTCATGGCTTTGTCAGTCGCGAGCTGAGAGGGAGAAGACCGGGATTGTATAGGGCAGGGCGTCGAACAGAGGAAATACTTTTCAACTTTTGTCTTTTTGGCTCGCAAACATATACAATCATTCTGATGACTCTTTCAGCCGCGGTATCTCGAGTCGTCGTCACTTCCTAGGTACTCTAGACAAACGGTACACGTCAGTTTCAGCCGGCCCTGAAACGGTGCACAGACTTGCGGAGAAGGTAGGTATGCATGAAACGGGTTGATCAGGCACGCAGGGGACGCAGGGGTGCACTGGCTAGACTAGGGTTGAGATGGTCTTTGCATAAGGGACTCTAGTCTTTTGATAGCTCGGTGTATGGCCGTTTGTTGTTCTTGTGGTTGTTTGTCGAGGAAGTCGCTGAGGCAGGAGTGAAACGCGGCACAAGGTTCAGGCGTGCAAGACAGAAGGATCTGGCGAAGCCAAACCACGAAAGGGGCCACTTTTAGGCAAGCCATCGGCAAGAGTTAATATGTGGTGGACACCCCGCGCTCCATCAGCACCGTAGCGAGTCGGACAGGACAAGTAACGCACGGCGACACTTGACAGAAGACGCAGGTACTTGGAGATCAAGGGGTTTGATCATGTCGCAGCTTTCTCAGCACAGGCAGAGGGTGCCATCGTTGGGCATTGTAGCGACGCATGGAAGAGGCGCGGCGCTGCCCTCTAGACCGAGCCCGCTATCTTCGCATCCACCCACACCTGTCGAATTTGTCGGAGCGACTGGCAGCAACAGCTACAGCAGCAGCGAGCAAGACAGTCGCGACTACAACTGCCATCTGCCAACTGCCAATCACAGCAGAAACGCATCTGCAAGCACATGGTCGCTGCCGTTTCAGTCGCCTAGCAACACTTCGACCACCACCTTCCCGAGGAAGCATCCGAGCAGCAATTTCTCCACGCCCGATCTGCTTTCTGCTTCACACTCGTCGACCGACTCCCTGTACCGACAAAACACCAATTCTTTTGCCGGCAGCTCCTCTCAACTGCATCATCTACCATTGGCTTATCAGTTGACCAACCACGACCCATCAAACAAGCTCGACCTCGCCAACGTCCACACAATGTCGCACTCCGACAACTCCCGTCATGACAGTTTCGGCTCCCAGCTGCCTGTGCCCAAAGGCCCTACCAACAATGGCCGTCGTAGATCGATTAGCATGCAAAAGCTGTTTTCGCTGTCGAGTTTGAAGAGCAGTTTCGGCAACTCTCGCACCTCGCTCGTCTCGACTCCTTCTTCACAGAACCCTCCACAAACCGCCTCTTCCGATCGTCCGACCTCCGACAGCACTACCAGTTCCAGAGGCGTCAAGCGCGCCGCAGAAGAGGATTATGTCGTCGTTAAGCATGGCCAGGACAACAGTCTTCAGCCGCCCTTGAGGAAGAGGAAAAGTAGTTCGTGGTTCTCTCGCAGAAAGAGCGGTCTCTTCACCTTCAACTCTCACAACAGTGATTCTGCCGTAGTCGACGACGATATGCCACAGGGTCCTGATGCAATGGTGCTGGACGAGCCGGAAATCGTCCGTCCCACCATCGAGCACACACAAACCATCCAGAGCGACTCTTCGAGCGAAAGACCAGCGAGCCTCTACAACACACAAACCACACAGCTTCCCCCAGTTCTACCGCCGCTGTCACCCATGTCCAAGACCCAGACACAGTCTTCGCAGTACTCCGAGGCCACCCAAGCCACTCAAGCCCAGAGGATCGAGCGTCCTGTTTCACACCGCACATTCAGCTCGCAAAGCAGAGTCAGTCGCTCGTCTTCTCAACGTCGACCTGGATACTCTCCTTCAGCACGAGAGGCATTTTCACCTCCACCTACGTTGCCCGAGCTCACTAGAATCGAGACATCGTTTGGCGACTCGGATATGGATGATCTGTTTGCACAGTTCGGACGCTAGACGCGTTATGTTGACCAGGAGATTGACACCGATCGTGAGTGGCTGGACTTGTTTCTCACTCGTCGCAAGCAGCGTCGTCGGAGGTCGCCTTGGTTTGGTGGATCCTGTTGATTCGATTCTCACATCCTCCTTCTAAGCTCCAGCATGGCTGGTCCCCTTGCTTTCGTCTTTCTGTTCCGATGAGTGTGGGAAAGAGATGACTACATATTTATACACCCTGGGTGGTTGTCTGTACATTCATTTGTCTTGTTTTTTGCTTCTCGTCTGTCGTTTGAGCTCTTGATCTCTATTGCTTTTCAGCATCCTTTTGTTTTTCATGGCATTGGCGAAGGCGTTTGGGGGTGGTTGTATCGTTTTTTGGGACGAGAATTTAGGTGTTCATGATCATTTCTTCTATATTTCTCTCTTTACGTCCAAGAAGGATCCAGGCATCACTGCCACAAAATTACAGATTATTGTATCTCTTTCCCTAATTTTCATCTTTTGTCTCTGTCTGTGGCTTTGTCGTAGTCTCGAAGATTGCTGTTTTCCTCTTCAAATCCACTCGGTTCCAGTCTTGGTTACTAGCAGAGTCATTCTCGGCGGACGGACTTGAGCTCCGCTGCAACTAGTTGCTTTTGATATTGTTGTGCCCTCTGCGGGAGTCTGACAATTGCAGGAGTTGATGTTATGGTAGGCTGGCGATGCCGGATGGCTGTGCAGTGCAGATACATTGTCCAAACGATCCTTTGGCCTTTGTTGCCTTGTTGTCGTGTATATCATCCAGTTCGTGCTGAGGCTCGCAAGCATGGCTATCCGTTCAGTTGAAGCGTCGTGAGGACTCGACGATGATGCAGTCCGATATCCAAACACCTTTGGTTCTTCCATCTGCACCACTGACCCCTCGTGTTGTGACGTGGCATTCGCGCATCAACCTCGCTTTTTTTTGCTTCCAGAGGCATAGAGTCTTTAGCTCCATCTTGGATTATGTTTTTAACCACCTGCCTGCTTAGCAGCTTGTCTCTGCTTCAACATCTTCTCCGTGCGCATAAACTCCCTGATACCAACCGGCACATCAGCAAAAGGATCTTTTTCCTCTTCTGCACCCTTGACATCTTCTCCCAACCACAGCGCTTCACTGCCTCCACCATCATCATCCATACTCATTGCTTCTCCCACCCCTGACCCAACCCCCTGCACCACTGCTGCATCTCCTTGTGCAGCATTTTGTCCTTGCGCGACAGTCTGCGAAGCCTTTAGCGCCTCCTTGGCCGATTCGCTCGCAAGCTTCCACTCTTCGAATTCTTCGCGGTAGATGTCCCACACGCAGTTTACACAGCCACTCATGCAGCAATCGTCTCCAGAGGGTTCTTTGGGCTTCGGCGGCACTTTGACGCCAGCGATGGTTTTGCTGGCCGAGGAAAGGTCTTCGCGGCGTGAGGAGCCCGATGAGCCAAAGACTATGCGGGCCTTTGCTAGGGTTTGGGCTTTTGTTGCTTCGAGGGAGGAGGTGGCTGGTGTTGTGGTGGGGGTTGGTGGTGATGGAGCATCGGAGGGTGGTGAGGAGGGTGAGGATGTTGGTGTTGACGAGGCAGATGTTTGTGGTTGAGGTTGCTTGATTGGTGTTGCGTCTGTGGGTGGGTGGCGCGAGGAGAGGATATCGGCATAATATCCTGTCAGAGGATACACTTGGTCATCTCTCTTTTTCGAGTCGTCACTGCGGTGCCGGAGATGTTGTTGCCGTAGAGGTTTGTGTAGGATTCGAGCGAGCGATCGTGGTTGTAAGTGTGCGAGGCGAATCGCATGCCGTGTTACTATTCGTTCCATGGTTTTGTGTGTTTGTTGTCCGTGAGTACTGGGCACGAGGGCAAAGAGAAGGAAGATTGTTGTCTTGCCCGGTTGTGATCTACAACGACGTCATCGTCACTTCTCATGTTTTGGGTGTGACCCTGGCGTTGATCTCTATACCATTTTCCAAGGGTCCACATGTTGGCATTGGACGACGAGTTTTGAGTTCGAGATTTTGGTTGGCAGGATTGATCATATAGCTTTCGTCTGTGGATATTTGCTAGCGACTTAGGGCATGGCACGAGCCTGCGAATGGTAGTTGTGCAGAAATCCACCATTTTCAACAGATGTTGGCGGAATCTACAGAAAGCAGACAATATCACAACTCTCCGCAATCAATCACCACGTACAGAAGGAACTGTGCCATTTCTCAAGTGCCCGCGTGACTTATCTTTCCACATGGGACAGGAATGACACTCCTCTCGGGAGCCAATCCAAGCGCAGACGTTGGACCTGTGTAAGGTGTTGCTTGATGGCCGGTCATACATTGCCGCGACCAAGAAGAGTGGTTGAAGGACTCCTTGATTTCTTGGAAACGGATGTTCTGTGCTTCCAGCGGTGAAACCATCAGAGCTAGTTGCGACTGCTCTGAAGAAGGACAGCCTTTACGGCTAGACGGCGGTGAATGATCAAAGAACAAGATTTCAACCTGGCTGGCGGGCTTGTTGGCGATCGGAGTGCGGGCCGACAGTTGAAGGTACAGACCGAGCCTAGATAAGAGCGGGCCAACGTATGCCAGAGCGTAGAGGTGTGCGTATGCGGCAAGTACTTCGTACAAGGAGAGATGGTGAGTTGAAAAGGAGTTGGCTAGTCGCAGGGCAGAGGTGCAGGGCTGGGGGTGATGTTGTGGGGAAGGAGCGAGCGTCATTTCCAATTATCTTCTAGAGCCGCTCAAATGAGCTCGAAAAAGATCAAGAATATCTCGCAATGGTCACAAGAGACGGCAGTAGGTAAGAGAATGGACAGATAGTTGGTCGGTGTGTGGTTCAGTGACATGTTCTAATGGGAGGCCGAGTTTCAAGACTCGAGCTTTGACTTGATCAGAACCGAAGCAGCCGTTGGCGTTGGCGTTGTTGTGAGAAGCGGCAAATCAGGGATGGCGTGTTGTAGACCTTGATGCATGGTCAGTGTAAATAGCCATGAGATGGCCGCCTTTTGGTCTCTGCAGTTTATAACGACCTGCGCGTGCATTTAAAGTCCTGGTGTCGCGTGAGTAGCGAATTCAGTCATCGACAACAAGTCATCTGGTAGCGAGTGACCCAGCCAGCTTCCATACAGCTAGCGTGGTTGAGTTGAGCCTCGTAATCAACAAGCCGGAACAATCAAGATTGCTTTTGATGCGCAACTGAGCACCTCTCAGCAGCAGCGCTCTACGCGCTATCCTCAATAACATACGACAGGAACCATGGCACCCAAGGACGAGCAGCATTCGTCGCAGGAATCCAACTGGGGAGAGACATCCCAAAGCTCCCTCACCGCCATGCACGCATCAACACAGAGCCTACGAGAAAGCAGCGCCGCCAACTCTCACCGCCCGCCGTCACGCGCCGAATCTGTCGTCGCACCCGACGACTCTCGCCCTCAGACTTACAACCCAAACACCAAGCCCGATGCTAACAAGAAGAAATCCGGTCCCCTGAACTATGGTACGACACTACTATATCTGGCTGCCTGCCGATTGTGCATCCAGTACTAACACTCCCAGGATCCATGGCTTCTCACACACGGCCGTCCCTGAACTCGTCTCAAACCTCGTCCCGTGCAACCCCAAAGAAGCCCCCGCTCGGCAAGCGCACTACATCAACCGGTCCCAAGCGTGGTCAGGAATTCTCGGTCGACGATGACGCCGATGAGGTGAACCAAGACAAGGCTTCATCGTCATCTTCCAGCCACGCTCTGAAGCCCAAGCCTTCTACGCTCCGCAGACGACCCACAGCCCAAGTGCCACAGCTTCCGAGGGTTGAATCAGACGAACGAGAGGACGACTCACCCTCCAGGCCCGAGACGGCCGACGCAAACAGACAGGCCGATTCTGACGACACCGAGATCACGTTACGCCCAGAAGAAGAGGAGGAAGATTCGTACTCCGCCAAAGATCGCGACGAGGACGATGAAGATAACGAAGATGACGACGATGATGATGCTGACTTGAGTGATGCCGAGAGCTTCACGCTGAAGGACAGGCAAGAGGCTATCAACGAGACACATCCTTTCGGTATTCGTATCTGGAAGCCTGCTCTGTACAAGAAGAGCCGGTCCGTCCAGGTCACGGCCGAAGGAGACATTCACCAGACCCCTGGCCACCACGTCAGCTTTGGATTGTTGTTCTTCAACGTTCTTTGGACTCTCGTGTTCGGCTGGTGGCTTGCTTTACTATGCGCTGTCGGAGCTCTTGTTTGCTTTGCGCTTCGCTTCACCCCTGGCTGCCAAGATTATGGTTATGTCCTATGGCAACTTGCTGGTTACATCTTCTACCCCTTCGGAAAGTATGTCATGCTTGAGCATGACGAAGCCTATATGGACGAAGATTCTGGCGAGGGCCGCAGTATTTCCGAGTACGAGAGATGGCAAACTGGTGATCTGGAGGAGGGTCGTCTTTTCTTTGGCCCAACAGACATCAATCGCTCGCTGATTGGCCGTAGAAGAGACAGTGTCGAGACTACACCCGATGAGACTGACAGCTTGCTTGGTCGTCCGGGCAGACGCTCCAGTGGAGACAAGCAAGAGTCGAAGTCGAGACTCTTTGGACGTGGAAAGTGGACTGTCGGGAGAATCATCTTCTTCACAGTCTTCTGGGGCTTCATCACCCCTTCACTCTGGCTCATCTCAGCTCTTTGTTGGTTCCTCGTCTTCACAATTCCCATGGGCAAGGTCACGCTCCTCTTGCATCACCACTTGAGAAGGCACCCACTGGCTCTGTCATTCCACTCGGATACCCATGATGCAAGCCGTGGAGCAAACGAAACCCCTTCGAGCGTTCTCCTTTGCACGTACCGTGCTGTCGGCAGCAGATACTGGAAGTACACCATTGATGGCACCAACATCTTCCTCATCAACTTGTTAAGCATGGTCGCCTTTGCCATCTTTGACTTCTACATCTTGAGAGAGTATCTGGAAATCGAAAGTGCCATTACTTCGTCCGGTTTCATCTTCATCCTAGGATTATTCTCCATCATTCCTCTGGCTTACTTCATCGGTCAAGCTGTTGCTTCTATCTCTGCACAATCATCCATGGGTGTGGGTGCTACTATCAACGCCTTTTTCTCCACCGTCGTTGAGGTCTTCTTGTACTGTGTAGCTCTCAACCAAGGCAAAGCACAGCTGGTCGAAGGAAGTATCATCGGTAGTATTTTTGCTGGTATCCTATTCCTTCCTGGCATATCGATGTGCTTTGGTGCCATCAAGCGCAAGACTCAACGCTTCAATGTCAGATCCGCTGGTGTCACCTCGACAATGTTGCTCTTCGCCGTCATTGGCTCTTTCAGTCCCACTCTCTTCTACCAGAATTATGGGAGTCATGAATTGGTCTGTCATCAGTGCGTCGGCGTTGACCACAAAGGCGACAGAGATTGCAGACGTTGTTACTTCAACCAGGTCCCCGCCCTCAATGACCGCTTCTTTCTTGAAGCAGTCCGCCCTTACATCTGGTTCGCCGCTTTCTTCCTATTCTTGTCGTATGTCATCGGTCTCCTTTTCACCTTGCGCACCCACGCAGCAGTCATCTGGAACAACGAACTCGACGAAAAGAAGTTGGACAAGATGGAGCATCAGGCACTACACATTGAGGCTAGACATGGCAGCATTCCCGACACTATTGTTGTCAACCCTCATGCACATCTGAGCCGCAACAGCACTGTTGGCACAATCGGTACTCTGTCGCGCGGAAACATTCAAGAATCACAGCTATACAAGCGCATCCTCGGTCAATCGCTCAAGCAGGCTGGCTTTGGCAGTACCGCACATAGCGAGCAGCACTCCCCTGACAAGACTACGGCTCCCTCTCTCGGCGGCTCGACCTACCTTGTACCTCCCAAGGCCAGCGAAGAAGACGGCGATAAGATCCAGCAACGCAAATTGCGTATTCCTGGACTGTCCGCAGAGGATAACACTGCTCTGGTACGTCAAGTCGCAGAAATGGCAGCAACTGCAGCGACCGTAGCAGCTCGCGACGCGACTCACGCTCCTCGCAAGGCGTCGCAGATGGCAAGAACCAGTGCTGGCAGTGTGAAGCACAAGGGTTCCATGTCCTCGATGAACCGTTCGGCTGCAGCTACCAAAAGTAGTGCCACACCTGACGACGCTGGGGAAGTCCATGGAGAAGTTCATGAGGCTCCAGCTCACGAGTCAGGTGGTCACGATGCACCCAACTGGAGCAGAACAAAAAGTGCGGTCATTTTGCTAACTGCTACCCTCGCCTACGCCGTGATTGCTGAGATCTTGGTCGACACTGTCGACAGTGTTCTCGAACACATCGACATTGATGAGAAATTCCTCGGCATCACTCTCTTCGCTCTCGTACCAAACACCACCGAATTCCTAAACGCCATCTCCTTTGCCATGAATGGCAACATTGCATTGTCGATGGAAATTGGTTCTGCCTACGCCCTCCAAGTTATGCTTTTACAAGTACCGGCATTGGTTCTCTACTCTGGTGTCTGGGCACAGTGGATGGAACCCGGGGATGTTGCTGCCCATACTTTCAACTTGATCTTCCCTCAGTGGGATATGGTGACCATTGTGCTCAGTGTCTTTTTGATGGGCTGGGTTATCGGTGAAGGCAAGAGTAACTACTTCAAAGGATCTATTTTGATTCTTGCTTACCTCACCATTATTATCGGGTTCTGGTTCTCGAGCTGGAGTAGCGATAAGGTATGTTTGCTGTCTCTTCCATCATCTTTGCTTGGGGCTAACTATTCTGCAGGATGGCATCAACGGCCTCATGAGCATTAACCGCTTCGACACCCTTGCTTTACCGTCAGGCATCCAGACCTTCAACACCATTGGCCAGTCCACGCGCGGACAGGCTTTCGGTTGAAAGCTCTCACACTCTCCCCAATCCACATCACTCTTACTGTAATAATGTTTAAAGGACAGATTTGATGCATCGTGCTCGGCGTTTGTCGTTTATACTAGTTTGGATACCAATTGAGTTTTTTTTGTTTTTGCTATCAGCCCTGAGTTTTGGTGCATTGCTGTTATGCGAAGGGGGTGATATAGTTTATATACAGAGAGCTATAAAGATTTTCAGGTAACGAACCACGACTTTTGAGTGTTTGTAGAGACGAACCCTGCGAGCCCATGCCATCCAAGCAGACTGCTATGACAGAATGATCCGACTTTCCGTCTTGCCTCGGCAAGAGCCTTCCCTACAGACCATGACCATTTGTCACTTTCACTGACCAAAAGGCAGGCAAAATGGCAAGCAACAGAGACAATCGGTTGCAAGCGAATGGCAGTAAACGGCACTCGAAGAACGCACAGCGTGTATATCACTGTCTTGCAGCGAATTGCAAACGCTTCCAATCGTCTGCGGTACCTATCAGGCTAGATGACTCGAGTGGTAAAAAACCAGTAGATCACTGTAGACTAAATGACCCATTAGGATTCCTCGACTCAAGGGTTCTGGCGGTCTTGCTAATCTTTTACTCTGGACTACAGATCCTCAGAGACCGCCGCCGATGCTCTGGAAAGAGATTGAGATCAACTGCTTGCTACTCGACACTACAAGCATCACCACGAGTCAAGTGTTTGTCTCAATCGATAGACTGGAGGACTGGCCCCATCTCCAAGTTTGCCCATCTCATCCATTGGTCCTTGGAACACCGGACTCTCATCCGTACTCGACCGTGGACAAGATCCACTTCTTCGCCGTTGGATAACGAAGAAAAGAGTCATGGCAATGACGGACTACAAGCCCGTGGAAAGACTACAGAAAGCTTTGGCAATTTGGTTGTTTTGTTTGGCGAATCAGCACTCGAGGACTGACTACTACTGCTTGCGAGGGCGTCAAAGGAAATGGCAATGCAACGACGTTGAGCCTTGAAAGTCTGCCACGAGAAGAGACAAATGATTTGCCGGACTGGACCTCGCCCCGGACCCTTGTTTTCCTTCGCTGAGGCAAGTGCGAGAAAACAAGTCCCGCGAAATACAATACTCCCAGAACAGGCGAGTAGGCAACGGTAGAAGACGTGTTGTTCCATTATTCCGTTTCCAGAACTTATTGCTTTAGTACCATTGCTGGAAGGAGTCTCCCCAGAGTACCAATTTAAAGTAATCCTCTCGATGGAGTAGGCGATATAAATTAATCTTGGACGGCAAGATAAATTGCTGTTGCTCATCCGGGCCGGTCCATTGGTCAGGGGATTGCGATCCGAAAGCGACCGGACCTAAGCTTGCGGATATGCGAGTAGTGAAGAGTAGATCATGGTCCCAGACGAGTGAAAAATGCAGTAAAAAGTAGATCGATGGTGACTTGACATGTTCAATGTAGAGTTAGTGATTGTCAGGAGTTGTTTGAATCTTCGCTTCAGAAGTGCCTAGACTCTAAATCCACTTGGTTTGTCAATCATATGTTTTCGCAAGAAAGACTGGCCGTACCGGCCGAGTGAACAGAGCCCAGGGTGAGTGAGGAAAGCATAGTCGTTCTTTCCTACTGGAGCTAGATGTCGACTCTATCCAAGGCTCTTGGTCTTGCCCAAAGCATCTAAGATTAAGCAATGATCCAGATGCATTCGGTCTCCAATGTTCAACGGCGATTTTTGCATCGAAGAAGGATCAAGCCTTGAGGAAGCTTTACTGATTAGATTGCTAAGCAAGAGATACATATGAAGAATAGGCACAGCAAGACGAAAGCAGAGTCACTTGTCATGCACATCGCATGCAAGGTACAGCGACTCTGGGATAGCCACAGCCGGGGAAGGCGCAACCAGGCCATGGCGTTTGAAGCTAGTCAAAGGTAAAATGCTGCGACTCATGGGTTTTGTTAAACTTCGTTTCAGAAGACGGTGGCCGCCGTCCTAAAATCCATACAACAACCAGAAAGAGAAATGGTGCACCTGCTTCCGACCAAAGGTGGAGTAATGCATTAGTGTTTTGGAAAGGCTCGAGCCTCAACTAAAAGCATGGCTAAAAACGAGGAGCAGCAGAAAGGCACAGACGCGGGAGTGGATCGTTGGTAGGTTGAGCAAGTGTTGATGGTTGCACGACATTTTGAAGCATATAACTACCTTACTGCATGCTCTCTTGTCGTTTCTGACATCTTCATTTCCATCTCGACTTTCAAACATTCCACTCTCTTTCACGACAGCCAATCCAACTTTTGACACCACACTCTCTTGACCTTTTTCTTTTTTGATACCCACAACAAACAACCACACAAACACCACACACCATGCAGCTCCGCGTCTACACCTCCCTGGCCATCTTCGCCGCCACCGCCATGGCCGCCTCCTCCACCACTTCTGCCGCTGCCTCTGCCTCCACCGCCGTCGACCTCACCGCCGGAGTGCCCCAATGCGGCGTACGTTCTTTTGCCCTCTTGCCTCCCCCTTCCAAACCCTCCCCAACTGACCCTCCCCTTCACAGATTGCCTGCGTGACCAACGCCGTCGGCAGCTCCGGCTGCGCAGCCACCGACCCCGTCTGCCTCTGCACCACCGGCTCAAAGGCCTTCCTCGCAGCCGGCACAACCTGCCTGCTCCAGAACTCTGATTGCTCGGCTACCGATCTCCAGACCATCCAGACTATTGCCAAGCAGCGCTGTGGTGCTCTGTTGGCTGCAAACGGCGATGTTGCTGCTGCCAATGCTAATTCGTCGGGTGCTGCCACTGCTGCTTCGTCGAGCAGTACTAGTGGCAAGGCTGCTGCTGCTACTGGTGCTGCTGTGCAGTTTGGTGCTAGCATCATGGCTGTTGGTGCTGGCGTTTTGGCTTTCGTCATCTAAAGTGGTGGGAGTTGAGTGTAGATGGAGGGAAAAGTGGAAACGATACAGTGGTTTCTGGTCCGTGTATAGAGACGGCCTCTTTCTTTTTTGACGAATACCCAAAGGAAGGGTCGTAGCATCATTTTATCATTCTGAGGCAGCGAGGACTTGCATTTTTCGGTGGCATAATATCATTTTTTTTGCTTTCTCTTCTCTTATTTGACGACGGCAGTCCACTTTGTGACCCAAGCAGTAAACTCATCATCTTTCCCATTCCAATCCGTCTTTAGCAGATCAGCCGCCGAACAAGCATTCTCAACACAAGTGGCCAGTATAGCATCGACTTGCTGCGCATCAAGCTCATAAAACGCATTTGCCAGATCATCGACAGACTCTGGCAATTCCTTGAGCAGATGCATGAGTTTGTCTAGCGTAAGGATATTTATTTTCTTGGAAGCGATTTCTGGAGTAAACGTCTTCAAGCGTCGTTTTGTGATTGCGGCGTAGAGGAATTGTATCTTTTTTAGCTTGTCGGCAGAGGTTTGGAGGCGTTGTTTGAGGTCTGGACGGTTCTTTGGGAGGGAGTTTGCGGCGGAGAAGATGTCGTCGAATTCGTCTTGGTCGTCTCGGGAGTGTTGGGGGGAGCTGGTGGTCGAATGTGCATCGTCGTCGTCGTTGTCGTTGTCGTCTTCTGAGTCGTCGTCGTCTTCGTCATGGTCCCCGTCGCCTTCTTCCCACTCTTTGAGTTCTTGGATGGCGTCGTTGATGGTGTCTCGTAGTTCCTGAGCCTTGAGGACAGCCAAACCAGCAATTCCAGTCTTTTCCAATTGAATCAGAGCATCGCAGGCATCCCACAAGACACCAGTCGAAGCAAGAGTATCCTTGGAGTGGTTGGACGAGTCTTCCTCCCTAGCAACATCGAGGACTTCGTCGAGGAACGAGAGCATCTCCCTCATGACCGCACGGACTTTGGCAACAACATGGTGGTGCAGAAAGACACCCCAGATGTCGGGACGGCAGAGTTCGACGGCGGACATCATGGCGGTAAGACATGTTTGAGTGGCATCTCGGAGGACAGTGATGACGGCAGAAGGAGTGAAGGGCTTGTTGATGAGGAGGAGAGCGAGTTTCGTAGTATGAGCCTTGAGCAAGGTGGCACTGTCGCGAAGAAGATGCAGTGGGTTTGGTGGATTGGGCGGGAGCTGGGTTGACGAGCCGGTGGAAGCGTTTGGAGCGAGGGAGGCGAGGTATTGAGCGACCAGAGTACGCTGCGTGTTGGTAAAGTCTATGAGAGTCTGTGAGGCGGCCATAGCTGCAGTGTGTGGTGATGTGTGAGGAATGCGACAGGTTCAAATAATTTCCTGAAGCACATCGCCAAGATCCATGACATGTTCAGCTTCCGTCTCGCTTTCCAGGCCCTTCAGTTCCAAGAGGTCAAGGATGCATGAAGACTCTCTCTAAATGTCGCGAACCCTCGTCGTCGACGTCGGCGCATGGTCTCTCAAAGCTGGATACTCCTCAGACAACAGCAATGCCGACTGTCACGTCGCTCCCAACTGCCTGGCCAAATCGCGCGACAACAAGACATATGTGGGCTCCCAACTATCGCAATGCACCGACTACGGTGACATGACCTTTCGCCGTCCCGTCCAAAAGGGTTATATCGTCAACTGGCCTGCTCAAGTCGCCGTCTTGGACAACGAACTCGACCACCTGCAATGCGACACGACAGACACCAATCTCATCATCACCGAGCAACCAAATGCACCCTTGCAACTCACCCAGAACCTGCACCAGATGCTGTTCGAACACTTCGATTTCGCCGCCGTCTACCGCTCCACTGGTTCCTCTTTGAATGCCTACAACGACACTCGCTCTCTGTTCGGCGATCCAGCTGCCACAGACCCCTCAGCCATCAACCCAGCCGATGCCCTCCTCGTCGTCGACAGCGGACACAGCCACACCACCATCACCCCTCTGATCCACGGCCGCCCCATCCACCCCGCCGTCCGCCGTCTCGACATCGGCGGCAAACACCTGAACAACTATCTCGCCGAACTAATCTCCTTGCGTCATTTCTCCCTCATCGACGAACCACACATTGTCTCTCAGATAAAGGAAGACGCCTGTTACCTATCCACAAACTTCTCGTCAGATCTGGAAGCAGCAAAGGATAAAGATCCGAGTATTGTTGTCGACTACGTACTTCCAGACTATGAACGCTATAATCGTGGTTTCATTCGCCCTCACGATGCATCTCATAAAGCAAAATTGGAGCGTTTGGGCGTACGACAAGCAGATGATGCCATGAATGCTCGCGAAGAAGTCTTTCCACTGGCAAATGAACGTTTTGTGGTTCCCGAAATGCTGTTTACGCCTTCGGATATCGCTATGCCGCAATCTGGAATAGCAGACACTATACTGCAAAGTCTACAATGTTTGCCTGAATTGCTGTGGCAGCCTATGCTGGCCAACATCCTGTTGGTGGGTGGCAACACTTTGATACCCAATTTTGTCGAAAGAGTGGAAACAGGAGTAAGGATGTTGGCGCCCGAGGAAATGATTGTCCGGGTAAGGAGAGCTAAAGAGTAAGTTCATATTCTTCTTTCTCCTCCATTCCCTCCTGCTCCCCTATTGTCCCGCGTCACGGAAATGACATGTACTGACAGCAAGTCATCAGCCCCATAACCTCAACATGGCAAGGAGGCTGTCGAATGGCAACCGACAAAGACCTTCTCAAGAACGTTCTAATCTCTAGACAAGAATACCAAGAACACGGTCCCAATTGGGTGTTACGACAATTCGCCACCAGACGACCTACCAATGCTAAAGAATAGAGCCGCCAAACGCAGAAAAAGAAAGAACACCTTTGAATAGGGGCAAAAGAGAAACGAAAAAAAGACATCATCCTTGTTCCGTGCTCGAATGTATGATATGCGTCTGTCTGAAGTAAACGTCTGCTCGTGACTTGCTTGCTTTGCTTTGAAAAAAGAACACACTCTGCTTCAATGACAATGTTGCTTGTTCGAGTATGAAATTATGAAACAAGATTTTACGTATCAGTCGAGATGTCAGAAGCAAACAACTGCATCATACGCGACTTTTGTCGTCAAGCAACGAGATCTCTGCCGCAAGATGCACTGTCGGCTCTATCTTGTGAGGTCGAAGGGATCAGATACGTGCCCGCCTCTTCGCACATGCCATGTCCTCGGCAGAAGGCTAGGAGCAGAGAGTGGCATGCGGGGTTTCGCTGGCGTCGACGGTGTCGGCGGTGTCAGCAGTGTCTCCAGTGGCGTCAATGGTGTCGTCGGCAGTGTCAGACTCCTCGTCACCTTCCTCGTCACCTTCCTCGTCGACGTCGCTGTGGCATTCGTCATCAAGTTCGGGGTCAGTGGACTTCGATGACAGAAGAAATGCTGCGACTTCATCCTCTCCAGAGAATACCTTATGCGATATGTTTGCAGAGACGGTCATCACAGCAGTTCTTGTCGATGTTTTGACCTTCGACGACTTGCGCGGATCATAACATGTCGGTATGGAAAGGGGCGACACGGTCGACGTTGCATGCGCTAGCGCTCTCTGTTCAGCAGCGATAGAGAAAGTTGCGATGGTACAAGACCACAAGCTCCATCTAGGTCCTAGGAAGAAGGCGTGGCTCTATGGGAGATAGTGAGGTATGGGGACGCTCCTCGTGATATGTTTATCATGTTCAATATAAGGGTGGAAGCACTGTCCAAATTGCCATCTAGGTTGGATGTCAGCAGGTGTTTGCTATTATTGTGCTCTGGGTAAACGCAAAAAATCCAAGTGCAGTATACACAATGTCATACCTACGGAAAACAATATCACTCCCACCACCTCTCGTCCAACTCCTCCAAAAAGTCCAATTTAACACCAAAGAAACTCTTCCACACATCAACTTCCAACCTCCACGGCCTCGTCGTGAGCGCAAAATACGCGATCGTCGAATAGTTTCTACACATCTCTCTGTTCTTTCCCACCACCAACACTTTGTCTCCTTTGAGGAAAACCTTGCCTTGGATTTTGTCTTCATACTCGTTGAGACGAAGACGCAACGCATGATGGATACTCCATTCACTGAATGGCATGTCTTTGGGAACGAACTTCCATTCCCAGGTGCGACCAATGTCATCGGCGAAGGATGTACCATCACGGTTGTCGTAGCCAAGCATCAAGGGCCAGAAGTGTGGTGCGGACCAGATGCGCATGAACGAGAAATAGGCGTCTGGGTTGTTTGCTGCGTACTCGCGTGCAGAATTCAGCAGAGGTTTGACCTTGAGTGGGTCTTGCATTGGTTGACGGGGCTTCATGTCTTGGGCGTCCTCGCGGAAGTCAAAGTAGAGTTCTGGCTTGCCTGGTCGAGCGGGCTCAGAGAGTACGACGGCGCAGCCTGAGTAGGCGGGTTGGTAACGAGGTGCTAGGAGGCCGTGGCGGTAGAGATGGGCTATGGTGGGTCTGGTGATGTATTTCCAGTCTTGAGGGTACTTTTCGGACGCCCAGAGATATGCTCCTTGGCCGGATTTCATCACCTCGTGGCGGACATTGTCCCAGTCCTTCCATTGATCGGCTGGTCGAGTGCGGTTCGAGTGCGAGGAGCGAACATCAGGGACCATCTTTGCACGAGCCTCCTGGTCAAAGAGCTTGGAGTCGTCCCATGGCTTTCCTTCCGCAGAGGCAAAGAAGGGGTTGTTTCCCTGGAAGAAGCAAGTCATCATGGCGTTGGCGTAAGTCATGTCGCGCTTGATCCTGCGATGCACTCCAGGGTCAACGCCGAGCATCAGCATAAGCATGAACTGACGCTCTAGCATATTCGGTGCCCAAGGACCTTTGACGCCCTTGGCGAAGAAGTCGACATAGGCTTTCATGATCTTCTGCATCTCTGCATACTTCTCTTGAGCTCCAGGCTCCAGATCAGCCTTATGCCAAGCTTCTTTGAAACTGCTTGCTCTAGTCCTGTCGATGAAGAGCTCCCATTGTTCTTTCATGTCCTCAATCTCTTCTGCTGAGCTCATGTCATTGGGAGGCATCCTGGGTCCATGAAGGGCAGCAGCAGCGGCTTTGTTCTGTCGAATGGTAGACAATTCCGGGTCCTCCCACAGCTCGAGGGCCATAACCATATCGCGCCAACGAGGCTCTCTTTCGTTGTGGTCATCGACCCAGCGGCCGCGGATAGTAACACCGGCTGCTTCGGAGAGTTCTTCAATAACACCTTCAGCATACTCCTCGTCAGATTCCCAATCGCTGCCATCGTCCTCACCTTCATCGACCTCTTGATACTCGGTATCGCTGAGCTCTTCATCGGTATCGAGATCGTTGATCCAGCGATTGAGATCTAGACCGTGGTGCTCAAAGTTGTGCATCTTACCGGTTTGACTCGCGAGCACACCTTCTTCACCACCATTGTCATCGGCATCAGCATCTGCCAACATTAGCTCGTGGCCCGAGTTTGCTGGTGTTATATCGGCAGCCTTCTTTGCCACTACGATGATCTTGCTAGCCGCTTCAGGTATCTCCTCGTCAGTCCACAGACTGCGATCCCAGGGGAAGAGGACTTGGTCTTCCAACATGTCTTCTTGTTTGTAAAGCAGTTGAGGTGGTGCCTCCTCTCTGTGGCTGCCATCGGAGCCTCTCGAGAAGTACCTCATCCTTGTACTGTCGCTGTGGATCCAGTCCCAGATGCTCTTGCCTTTGCCGACTTCATCTGGACGAAGATCTCTTGCACGAGAGAGGTGTTCATCGCGAGTGAGTGTGCGCAAGACATGCTCGGCGGGCTTGTAGAAGTCCTTGGGATCTGTTGTAGTGATTAGCATGGTAGTTCGTATAAGAAGTTGATAAGCCATACCTCTGAAGCGTAAAGCTCTGATCAAAAGCTCTTGGATCGAGTTGTACAAGGAAGTGTAATGTTCACCACTCTCAATATCCCAGACTACGATATCGTAGTAGTCCTTGAAGCCAAGGTGCCATTGACGGGAGCGATCGACCGTGTCCCAGAACTCCTCATCAATCTCCTTGACGATTTGCCATTCGGATCGACTTGCTCGTCCAACACCAGACTTGGTTCTGATGAGCCATTTGTGTTCATCAGGTGGCTCGACAATGACATTACCAGTTCGACCATCACGGACCATGATCGCCATCTTGTACGACTCCATAACAGCGTACTGGATCCAACGTCTGGTGACTGGGTCGTTACGCTTCATGTGAGCACATACAAAGTTTCGAGTCTCAATAGCATGATGAGTACGACGCTGCCCGTGAGCCCTGGATCCCGTCTGATGGTGTTGTGTCATATGATGCGCTTTATCCATTTGATAGTAAGGAATGAAGCCGACTTGAAGTAGCTGCTCATGCGTCATGCTTCTGATCCAAGACGACCACTGCGCAGCGGGGAAGTAGTGGTTACAGGTGAGAATGTTAAGCTCAAAGAATTCATCCCAACTTCGAGCTAAGCTTACTGCTTGGAACAGGGAACAGTCTTTGGCGATGATCGAGAACTGCAGCCATCCACCTCTGGACATGGCTTTTTCGCTAGCTGTGAAATGATCAGAACTGCTTCGTAGATATGGTTCAGTAGACACTTACGATAGTTGTAGATGAATCTACCGCAGACCTTAACACGAATCTTCTTGATACGATACTGTTGCTGATCGTCAACATCACCGAAGTCAACGAAGGTTGTAGAGTCCATGTTGTCCTGCATAGTTTGTTCTCGCTTTTCCTTGAGCTCCTTCTCACGCTTAGTCTTCACGTTCTTGACAGGATACATAGGTCTTGATGTGAACTTTGTACGTCCAGCAGGCACTTCAGTGCTTGCAGCAGGGGTGGAATCATCGTCTTCGGGCTCATCGTCTTCACGGCCGAGATCGGCACACGCGTCACGAAGTTGCTGCAGTCCCGGCTGCTCCATCTTCAGACACAAGTCTCTCAATTCTGCGTTAGTCACGGAAGAGTCGGTGAGGAACTCTTCAACATTCTCAGCTCGCAAGGCCGCCGGCAGCAGACTGGCGTAACCAAGCAACAGTCGACAAAACAGCAACTGCTTGATGTCTGGAATTTGTTGCATGAGAGTGTTGATCTCGTCGTCAGCAAGAGGAAATGTCTTGTCCGTGAGAAATTGCGTCTTGGTAGGGTCTTCGGGATCAAAAGTTTGCAGCACGCCATTCATCGTTTGACCTTCGCGCAGGCGGGTACGAACTTCTTCTGGTGTTTCGATGTGAACTTCGCCAGGCTTCACCATGCCGGATTCCGATGTTCTGATGGCCAAGGTCAAGGCCGAGGCTGATTTGTCTTCCAATGCCTTTGCCTTCTGGCGTGCTTTCTTCCTGGCATTCTTTGACTTGTTCGGATCCACGAGTGCTTGCGAGATTTTGGGTTCCTCGGCGGGAGACTGCTCGAGAGCAGCTTCGAAGGTCTCATTCTCCTTGTCGGAGCGCGAGGCACCTGAGGTGGCAGCTTCCGGAGATGATGGTTCATCCGATGACACGGTGACGGGCTCAGCAAGCCACAAGAAGCGTCGAATGAGGTCGATATAACTTCCGCGTTCGTCCTCGACAACATCTTCGATTGGATCCCATTCTTCACCGCCTTCTCCTTCGGCTGTAAGGTCGGCTTCAAACTTGTTTCGTTCTTCCCAGACCTTGTCGAGGTACTCTGCTTGTCTCTTGTTGTTCTCTTTCTGTCTCAGCTTTTCCAAACGAGCAGATACGTCTTTCCAGTGACGCCTGAACAGGGCAGCCTCTTGCTTGATCTTCTTCTTTTCGGCGTCGCGTTCCTTCTCCTCATTATCCTCGAGGTTACGGACCCAGCCGAACCATTGTTGCTGCTTGTACAAAACCTCGGCGGTTCGTCTTTCGAGCCGTTCGAGGGCGCGACCAGTATTGTGCTTCTCGCTGATGAGATGGTCCAGGTAGTGTTGGTGGCCATAGTCGAGCTCGAGAGCGTAGAATCGTGAGTGATGGAGTTTGCGGGCACGGATACAGCGATCGAGCAAGCCGTTCTGCTTGAAGAGGAAGGCGTGCAGGGTCTTGAGAGTTTCCTCATTATCTATGCCGTCAAAGGTGACCTTGTGAAGTTGACGGTCGGAAAGGTAGGAGGGGGGATCTTTCTGCAAAGCATCTAATTGGGCACCTCTGCGCTTGTAACCCTTGTACAAACCTACACGTGTCAACCCGTGCGTTGAACTCTACAAAAGTCGTCCGGTGCTTACTGTAGACCTGTCTCGCGTGGAAGGAGCAGAACAGGCCATTAACGTTGGTAGCTTCCTCACTGCATCGACGTTCATCCGACACGTACAAAGCCTGGCACTGAGGCGCCATGGCGACGAACACCTCTGCTTATTACGACCACGTGTCCCAGATTGCGCATACGCGCGACACTTTGCGATTCCACTGTTGAAGATGGGATGTGTTGGAGATGAAGCTATGGTACGTCTCTGGTCTACACGAGAGTCGCGCGCCTCCGCTTTTCACATGAAGGCCGGCCCACCTGTCCGAAGTGCTTGGTCTTGCTGACCTCCAAGATCGCCTTGACCATTGTCGACAAAACTTACAATATCTTGAATCGAACCACCTGATGAGCTGTTCTCGAGCGCAGCCACTATGTTCCTAATATCCGCTTGTCTTAGCAGACATTCACAATCACATTGTAAAAACAATGGATAGGTACCGAGTCAAGCCGCCGAAAGCCACCCTCCGGAGTTAAGGTTTGTACTTTTCTTTGGGCCGGAGCTGGCGGATCGCATTCCTACATTGCAGCCTTGCTGTATATTATATATCGAGGCAGGTGGCCTGCTGCTTGGTGTGATGCTTTCCGCTCAGCGACTGTGCAATCCTTCAATTGCCCCCAAGATTGTCAAGCATCAACAAAGACTGTTCCATAGCAGCGGCAGAATGTCGTCGTCAGCAACTTCGTCGGCTTTGTACGCGACTGTCTCGTCGTCTTCACGAGCCACTGGTGCTGTGCCCAAGGACACTGACAGACTGCGCCATCACATCAAAAATGGCAAGGGCTTCATCAATCCTTGGGATTCCTACGTCGATAGAACAGCCTCACAGATCATCTCGGCTTTAATCTGGTAGACCTGCCCACCTTGTCATCGCATCATACATTGCTGACCACCACCGTCCAGGCGGAAATTCTCAGGCAAATCAAAAACGCCCGACACGACCCCTCCTACCGTCAATGTGCAAAAACCAGAGTTCCTGCCCACACGCGAGACCAAGACGTTACGAGCAACATGGCTGGGACACGCCTGTTATTACGTCGAGTTTCCTAGCGGCCTGAGAGTTCTGTTCGATCCCGTCTTCGAGCCGAGATGCAGTCCTTTTAGCTTCATGGGCCCAAAGCGATATACGCCATGCCCCGTCGACGTTGCCGATATTCCCATCATTGATGCTGTCGTCATCTCTCACAGTCACTACGACCATTTATCATATCCTACCATCCTCAAGATTAAAGAGAAGCACCCGAACGTTCATTTTTGGGCTCCATTGGGCAACAAGAAATGGTTCACAAAGTGCGGTATCGACAACATGACCGAGCTGGATTGGTGGGAGTCGAGAGACTTCACTCTTTCGGCGAACAAAAAAGATGCTGAAACTTCACATAACGAGACCAGCTCTACCGTAAATGCAGGAGGTGCTGAAGATATCAAGGCTGTCATTGGCTGCTTGCCTTGTCAACACACCAGTGCTCGTACTCCATTCGACAAATCGCATACTCTATGGGGCTCTTGGAGCGTAGAGAGTGGTGGCAAGAAGATCTGGTTCGGAGGAGACACAGGCTACCGCTCTGTTCCTGACCTTCCAGAAGAAGAGAACGACTACGATGAGAAGTACACTTATCCGACTTGCCCAGCCTTCAAGGAGATTGGCGAACTCAGAGGACCTTTCGATTTGGGCTTGATTCCCATCGGAGCATACGACCCACGCTTTATCATGTCTCCTATGCACGCCAATCCTTTTGACAGTGTCAACATTTTCATTGACACACAGTGCAAGAAAGCGCTCGGAATTCACTGGGGTAAGTGTTGTAGATGTGGTCTCATGAACAAGCTTGCTGACAATCACAGGTACCTGGGTGCTCACAGAAGAGGATGTTCTCGAGCCTCCGAGAGTACTCAAAGAAGCCATGGCATGGAAAAACCTACCGGAAACAGGTGTCTTTGACACTTGCGACATTGGCGAGAGCCGTGAATACTGATTGGACGCACTTCTTCGCAGACATACATCATGCTCATCCTCGTTCTCGTTCGTTGTAAGAATACATACTGGATTATAGACTGACCGACCGGGCTCACTAGACCTTATCACATTTCTGACCCAAACACCAGTGATATATTCCTCGCGCAACATGTACAAGTTCTCGCAGATTCTGGTCGCAAATTCACTGTTAGCCGTTCCGGTATGTCGTGGCTGATGAAGCCCCTGATTATCCAAACTCCCTCATGCGATTTAGCTTCCCGCAATGACCCACCATCCATACCAACCATCATATACGACTCACTTTCCATCCCTCCCAAACCAAAAAGAAAGCCGTGGTGGTGCAGTGGTCAGCACACCCGATCCTGGTATCCTACGTTCTCTGATGTCGCTCGTTTACCTAAGGTCCCTAATACACTCTCTCGTGGATCGGGAGGTCGTAAGTTCGAATCCTACTCACGGTGCTTGTTTTTCCTTTTTTGTCTGCATTTATGTATAATGTCTTTTTTTCTTCTTTCTTTATGCTCATATCTGCTTGCATGTTCGACATGTTTTTTTCTTTCTCTTTTTCCGACACTAAGATATCCTTTTGACTTCTCCACGCCATCGTCGCTGCATCTTCCATATCACTATGCCAACGATCAGATCGGACTTCTGTGGACGGCAAGCATCATTCTGTGGAACGGTATATTGTGAGATTCTCCTATATTCTTCTTTTTCATCAAAACGAACGACAAAAGAAAATATCTGAATGAGAGACTAAACATGGAGGCAATACACCTCGAATTACACATTACAATGCCATTCCCCTTGCTCATCACCCCAGATCTCATGAACACTCCTAAAGGCCAGCAAACATCATACCCAAAACACCCATCCCCATGACCATTGAGCCCAGCGCAAAGCTCTTTGCACCAGCACCAGTACTAGGGGTAACCGTAGGTGTGGCAGGAGGAGTGTAATCTCCAGTTGTGGCAGTGTAATTGATCATTGCACTACCAGTACCCATGGAAGGTGCAGTAGTCACAGGCGAAGGGTCAGTAGTGATGGCAGCGGTAGCCGCGACAGAAGAGACGGAAGATGCGGCTGCCGCAGCAGAGGTAGCGGCTTCAGAGGCTGAGGATGCGGCAGCGGCTGCCGGGGCGGCTGTAGCTTGAGGACAGATCTGGGAGGTTACTGCGAGAGCCTCTGTTGAAATTGTGTCAGTGGGGTGTGTCTTTGTTGGTGATGCGCAAGTGAGAACTTACTGGCTAGATCAGCTTCACTGCATTGAGCCTTGACGGCGGTTTGGAGGTCAGAGATGAGCTTTGCGTTTCCGCAGATACAGGCTGAGTCTGTGATTTGGCAGCCCGAGCCCGAGATGCCAGAGACCAAGGGGCCGGTTGCGCAAGAAGGGATCTCAGCGATAATGCTGGCGTCGATCTGGGCATATGCCACTGCGACGAGGCCGGCGAAAAGGAAGTTTGATGAACGCATGGCTGTGAGCTATGTTTTGCCCTGGTCTTACAAGAAAGCAGGGTGTGTTTCGAAAAGAGATTTTCTGTGTTTGGTGGAAGGACAGAGATAAGCCTAAGGAGTGGTATGAAGGAAACTGAGTTACGCTTTGCTCGCCTCTTCCCTTTTCAATCTCTGTTTTTGTTTCTATTGTTGCCTTTTGCCTCCACCTCTTTGACCCAGGTATTCGGTATTCATGCATACCTCTGCATGTTTGTTTTCATCGGTGGCTAATCTTGGCTCTCCTCTACTCTATCATGACATCCTGAAACGCAAGGAATGTAGACTTCAAGCTACGTAAGCCATTGCAAAAGTTGCTACTGCAACCGGTATGTGTAGAGCGGCAGAATCTCCAGGCCTCCAGAAGGACAAAGGAATGTGAAGAGACCCGCCACCTCCGCAGCTCTTCTGGGGAACAACGTCAGTGGTGGTAGCTTGGGTCGAGGTGGTTTCTTTGTCTCAGCGCCCGCTTTCGTCAAAGACACGGCATAACACGGCTTGTAGATTGTGTTCATACCCTCTGTTCGGCCCGTATGATAGCATCGATAGCGGGATGAGCAAAGAGAAGACGAGCCGCAGGTTGGTTTCGGATAAGTTTACTATCTGATGATGACATTGGAAGCAGATGCTGTCGAAGGTAGAAAAGTGGTGAAAGAGGAGAGCCAGTCAAAACTCAAGGGCCTCTACGTCCTGATTCTCTTCCCTTGTCTCTAGCTTTGCTTTTCGTTCTGTACTAGCAAAAACTCCTCAAGCATGGTTCCCTTCCTGTACCCACGCAAAGGCAAACCTCATCCTCAACACCATCTGCCTCACTCCCACGCCTTCTCACACTCGAGACCTCACAAACGTCACTCTCACCCTAGAGAACCAGACACAGAAACTTCTGAGGCTCACTCGAGATCGGCAGACTTGGAAGCCTACACAGCAAAACTCCACCGCTGGACCCTCTGCCAACTCCACACCTCCTTCCCCGTAGTCCCTCACACCCTCTCCCGCCACAGCTCTCTACACACCACATTTGTCTCCACACCAACGATCGTCTCTCCCCTATATCCCACAAACTCTTCATTGTACAACTGCAGTATCAGGACACCAAAGTGAACCCCAAGATTGGATGGTGCAGAAGATGAAGAAGAGATACTGGGTGATATAGGCACTACACCTTGCAATACGCCCAAGAACAGAGGATTAAGGAGGAGAAGTACAGTCGTTGCTGCAAAGGGAGGGAAGGTTAAGGAAGAAATCGCTGATGAGGGGGAGGGGCAGGCGAGGTTGCGACCGGTGGAGCTGAGGAGGAGTCTGAGTTGTGCTGGATGATGTTGTTTAGAATTGTGTTTTCGCTGACGTATAAGCGGTGATTGGAGCGTCATGTTGATCTTCTGAAACAATGCAAAAAGGTTTGAATGTTATATATCTCTTTATTACATGCCTTCGCTACAGTTACATCTACATATCAATACGCTGTAGTGTCTGAGGTGCAGCTGCCGAGTTCATCATGAGGAGTTGTTATCAACCCTACCTTCACTTATCAACATCACTTCATTTCACTTGACCAAATTCCTGCTCAGAACAGAGAAACCGGTGCTGTGGCTCACACGTCGCGCACCAAACACTCGATGGAAAAAAAATTACAAAGTCTAGCGTAAATAGAATCCAGGGGTTGTGAGTTCAACTGTCAGCCTTGGTTGGTCGCGATCATGACTGATTTTCCCCCAAGCTGATACAGCTCGGTTTTTTTTGGCCTGGCCGGTTGGTTGGTGTGCGTAGTTGTCTCTTTTTGCGGATGTGATGTTACTAGCATGTAGTGTGTTGTTGTTGTGGTTGTTGTTGTTGCCCGGAACTTTTGCATCGCTTGAGAAGAGCAAGGGGAGAGTAGTGACAAGATCAGGAGCACGTGAAGACTGTATAGCAATAGCAAATGCTCGTTTATTGCATGTCCTGCAGGTCTTTTCCATTTATGGTAGAACCGATTCCAATCGATCGCTTCGCATCTTGCATCGCCAAAGAAAAAAAAGCACATATTGACATGAGTCCCGTCACGATCCGCACCATCCCCAATGTTTACCGTGCCTCTCAAGCGCTGCCGTTTGTGGCGGGCTGAGCAGGTGCAGTCAGGATGCTGAACTGACCACCGCCAGCGGCATAGTTGAGCATCTTGCCACGGGTAGCGGTGTTATCAATCTTGGTGGCGACCAGAACATCCTCGTCTGTACCTTGACCGGTCTGGTAATTGGAGGAGAAACCCCATGAGTAGGCATGACCTTCCTCGGTGATGGCGAATGACTGGTCTGATGCAGCGGTTGCAAAGGTGACCTTGCCCTGGATGCTCTTGACAACAGTGGGGTTCTTGAGAATACGGGGGTTGCCACGCTCGTCCTTGATCAAAGAATCCTCTGGCAGATCCGCCGTGGCGATACCACACTGGCCGCCATCTAGGCGACCCCAGACAAGACATTCACCAGCACCAGTCACGGCAATGCTGTGGTGGCCACCGCCCTTGATGCAGCTGACTTGTCTACCAGAAAGAGTCTCAATAATCTCGGGCTTGAGAACAACAGCATCGTCCTGCCCAGCGTTGTCCGGCACACCAGTCTCGCCGAAGTTGTTGAGACCCCAAGCCCAGACACGATCCTTGTTGTCGATGGCGAAGCTGTGGTAGTCACCGCACTGGATGTATTTGATGGCCTTCTTGGGAAGTCCAAACTCTCTAGGTACGAGACCTTGAGTCTTTGTGCGCTCAACAACACGACGGCCAAGCTGGTTTTGCTGGCCTGAGCCCCAGGCGAAGACGGCACCATTTGCGTCGAGTGCAAGGACGTGGTTGGCACCACAGCTGACGTGCTTGATCTTCTTGAGGCCGGGAATGAGTATGGGAGTGCGCTGGACGAGAACATCTGCGGTGAAGCCGAAAATACCCTCGTTGCTTCTGAAAGTACCCCAACCCCAGACTTGGCCGTCGTCAGTCAGAGCGAATGATGTCGAGTCACCAGCAGCGACCTGGACGAAGACAGTGTCCTCGGGGAAGACGTCGGATGAAATGGCGGTGGGTGTTGCTTCCTTGGGGTTCATGCCCGAATCAGCATCATCGTCGTCAGAGTCTGAATCCTCCTCATCCTCAACATCGCGAAGACCACCCTCCCACGTTGTGTCTCTTCCAAGAGCGCCCTGATCGTTGACGCCCCAAGTGAGGATCTTGTTGTCGTGAGTCAAAGCCATGGCGTGCATACCTCCAGCGACGATTTGTACAACACCGACCGAGTCAGCAGCCAAGTTGGCATTGAGGCGCGGGCGCTTGACGTCAATTGCCTTCTTGGACGTTCCGAGACCCAACTCGCCAGACGATCCCTCTCCGCAAACAAAGACATCCAGACGTTGGGTGGGAGGTTCGTTGATGACAGGGCCCTTAGGGGCAACCTTGGCCTTCTTTGTAGCGGCCGGCTCAGGTGTGGCGGTGGCCTTGCGCTTTCGGGAAGCCAGGGTTGTTTTTGCTGCAGCAGGAGCTTCTTCAGACTTCTTTGGGCGGCCGGGCTTTCTCTTGGGGGCTTCTGCCATTGTTTTAGCCTGTCGGTCGATCGAGACTTGTCGTACGTGGTGCAACGCACCCTCTTCTGACTTTGCGGCCTTGACGGCTGCCTTTGGTCTGCCACGTCCTCTGCCTGTTGTTGTGGTGGGTTTGGTCTCGGGCTCGGTCTCGTTCTTAGCTGTGACCTTTGCCTTTGTGTTGGCAGCTGCGCGTGTTGTTGTCTTTTTGGTAGGCGCGTCGGCTTCGACGTCCTTGGTCTTCTTGATATATTTTACGCCGGCCACTATAAAGCATCAGTAAAACGCGTCTTTTCCAATCTTTTGCGTGAAGGAATGGGTCCGACAGGTGTGAGGAATGAGTGTGCGATTTTCGGGGTAGGAACATACTATCTTGACTGTTTTAAGCGATTATGTTGTTCTGAAGTGGTTTGCGACCGTGATTGATGAGTTCGCAGAATGAGAAAATGGACAAGGTTGTTGTAATGGAAGTCGAGGGAAAAACTTGATGATGAAGCGCGTCTCTCAAGTCCACAAGTTCCTGAAATCGCGAGCATTTGGGCCAAGCTTGCTTCGGCCGCCAACTCCCGAGAGTCTCTTGCATCTGTTTTCGCTCCTTCCTCAGACATCTTTCGCTCTTTCCCAGACAACAACACAACTTATCTACTGAAACCTAGTTACTACACGCGACTATCCTGCTTTTCAGCTTGCAATTACTTCGTCACTCGGATTGACACCCGCCTCCCTGCTGCGAGTCCGCTGAAAAGATGTGCAGCTGAAAGCTTGATTGCGTCAACCAACATCACTGCAGCACGATCGTGCAGTCGTGCATTCAAGAGGGTAACGGGTACGCTCACAGCCGCCTGTCTTCTGCGGTGACAGCCTCACGTCTCGAGTACGTCCTGACGTTCGCCGGTTCGATCTCAACTGGAGGTGGACAGGACCTGCCATGCCGTGATACAATACAGCTCTCTGCATGGGTTGCTGCTTTCCCCGCCTTGTCGTCGGTTCCTCGGTTGCCGATCCTTCTATATATCCATCACATATCATTAACAAGTAGGTCTCGTTCAGTGCACAACATTTTCATACCTTCTCGCTTTGCGTATCTCTACTCTACATTCTTATACCGTGCCTCCAATTGATCCAACATGTCCGTGAAGTCTGTACCTACATTCGACGAGCTACCTGTGGACAAGAAGGGACCTTTCTTGAATGCTTGGGGCTTGTGAGCATGAACTATTATCACCCATAACTTGACCATACTAAGTTTCGCAGATATGGAGATGATGACCAGCTAGGCTTCTTGAATCGTCTCACTGATGAACTGGTCAAAGACGCAGCCCAAGAGATACAATCTGGCACCAGGTAATCACACGGACCCTCGTTCAGCGCCACCAGCCAAAGCATATTACAATGATACAATTTGTCCTCGTCTCTGATAAGTAATCACAGAATATCTCTGAACTGGCCCATGGACGCACAGAACGATATACCGTTCTTCGGCCGACAAGTCTTCCACAAGCATGTCTATCAGAAGCCACCTCGTGTCGTTAATGACGACGTCTGGACGTTCAACACGCAAAGCAGCAGTCAATGTACACTACCTCGCAAATTGGAACATTGAGTCAAGCACTAAAGTATATAGGGGACGGCCTCAGACACTTTGCATATCAAAAGGAGGCAAAATTTTACAACGGAGTAACTCTAGACGATATTCACAGCGACAACTCCACCATCAACGGCATCGGAGCCTGGAGCGAAAAAGGCATCATCGGTCGCGGTATCCTCCTCGACTATGAAGCATGGCGAGAAGAACACAATCACCCTCTCAAGGACGCATTCAAATCAGGAGCCATAACACTATCTGAGCTGAAAGCAGTTGCCGAGTGGGAAGGTGTGGAGATCAAGTTTGGCGATATTCTCATCATTCGCTCAGGGTATATGGCTCAATATTACAAACGCTCGCATGATGAGTTGGAAGCTCTGAGCAAAATCTTGCCGCCTACATTCTTGGGTGTGGAACAGAGTGAGGAGGTATTGCGTTGGATTTGGGACAACTTTTCTGCGGTCGCTGGAGATCAACCATCTTTTGAATGCTGGCGTATGTTTCTAATCTCCTTGGGGCATCCCTTTTATCTTTTGCTAACATCTGCACAGCGTCGTCTCAACCTTACATGCTTCACGAAGTCCTGCTAGCAGGCTGGGGCTGTCCTATCGGCGAACTCTTCGACCTCGAAGCTTTGTCTGTTCAGTGCAAGAAAAGCAAGCGGTACAGCTTTTTCATCGCGAGCGAACCTTGCAACGTAAGTCTTCCTACTCTGGATGGGAACGAGGGACGAAAACACTGACAAATAATACAAAGGTCCCGGGTGGTGTCGCAAGTCCACCAAACATCATCGCGATCCAGTAATGCATTCTCTACCAATGCCATATCTACGACAATCCTTCCTCACAACCACTTTCCATTTCAGTTTTCCTAGATTCTATTCACTACACAATCGAAAAGAGAAAGAAATCCGCCAAATCTTTTCGTTCATTGCAAATTTGTTCAACTATCATTGACTCTGACTACCCAGTATATGAACCTGTTCTCCTTACCAGTCCAACACTTCCTTTCTCTCAACAGCTCGCCGTAGTATGGACAACAGGTCCGTCGACACTCCCCAGCACAACGTACGCATTCACACTGCTGGCATCGCTCGCTGTCATCTGCCCCGCCACGTTCGCGCGTCGGGTCGATGTCGTCTCGATTGTCACCCTACATCCGATATTGGCGTTAGAAGTAGTTGAAAACTCGGAACTACTGCACGAGGCTTCGAAAGTCTAGGACGGAGAGTGGGGATCTATAGTGGGCTTTTTGTTGTTTGGATACCTTTTGCAATGCACAAAGAATTCGACACATGGAGATGTATCCGGTGAGATCGCGAAGATGAAGGGCTTTCTTTGGATGTCTGTCCAGTACTTGATACCCTCATGCATTTCTATAGATGTATATGCAAGAATTCAGTTGCTGGGAGATGGAAAAAGCGGCTTCTTCTAGTTGTGCCGGTCCCAAGTCGTGAACCATTGAAACGCACAGAACTCTGTACAAAAGCAGGACCGTCCAAGGAGATGTATTGGCCTCTGGGGCTTTCTTTGGATACAGGTCTGGATTTCGACCCTTTGTGCATTTTGATAGATACACCTGACAGGTTGCGTTTACTAGGAAATAGGGTTCTTTTCGTAGGCTAATGCTGATAAACGATTAAGGGACATCGCAGCTCATGATCATTCTCTCATCTCTTTCTTCACTGACCATCTCCTTCTCTCCTTCTCTCTTTCTCAATCAACACAACTACTGCATCTTCTTGACCTCCTCAGTAGCCGGGGCTCTGTCAATCAGGCCCGCACCCACCTGAGCAGTCTCATGCCAATTCCTCTGCCTAGCCCAGAATCTATCTTCAACCCTCGAACTTCTGAGCGAACTAGCTCTAGCCTCCTCCTCAAGACTCTCCCTAGTAATCTTTTCTCCAAACTTGCCGACCTGGGGCAATTTCTGGCTCTCACTCAGCGACTCTGAAAAGTAGCGCTGACGAACAAGATAGCGGTCGCGACGTTCCTTTTGGCGACCAGGCGAGTCGATTTTGGAAATGCCGATTTGGACCGCCCAGCGGATGAGTAGGTAGAAATGTTCGGCGAAGAAGATGGTGAGCAGCAAGGCCCAGCCGCGGATGTTTTTGGGTGTGCCGTCGGGGCCGAGGCCGTCGTTACTGAAGAGGTAGACGAGGGCGGCGGTGGTGATGCTGCCGAGCCAGCTGAGGAAGGACAGAGAGTCCAACCAAGGACCAATGGTGTCGGCGCGTTCTGGGATGGGTCGCTGCATTTCGATGCAGATCTTGACGGCGTCAGCGCGGAGCTCGAGCCAGTTGTTGGCAAGGAAGGAGACGGCTGTCAAGGGCCAGACGGTGCTGAAGAGTGCGAGGTAGCCGAATTGGACAACCATTTCGCGGAGGTCGGAGGTGACGTTGTAGACATCAAGTTCAGCTTCGCGGCGGACGCGGGTCAGGAAGGCAGCCTCGTCGGGGTTGTCGCTCTCAGTAGTGCTAGTAGTCTGACGACCACTCTTTGCGGCACGCTCACTCTGCATTTCCTTGTACTTGGTGAAGCCTTGACGCTTGAGATAAGGGACGATGACTTCCATACCAAGGTTGACAATCTGAGCAGTAACGGTGAAGTAAATGATCTGCTTGCGCAGGCGATCGGGGTTGATGACGAATGAGCCAGACTTGGGTGCCTGTAGCTGCTTCTCGTTCTGAGCAAAAGGTCTAGCAGTCAAACTGAAGACGTCGAGGAAAGGTACCACGACGGCGCCAAAGGGTACATAGACGAAAGCAGTCAAAAATACGGGCAGGTATGAGGTGATGAAGTTCAAGACAAATATCTTCTGCGTCATGGCATATTCGAAGGCATCGTCTGTCTCGTAGTTCTCGAACTTGGTCAGACGCTCAGCAAAAGTGGTAAGGATACCGTTCAAGACAGGCATGACTGTGGTCAAGATGATGGTGGGAAGGAAGACCTGACAAATCAGCATAGCACATGTAGTTATAATGGACAGCGACTTACCAAGACAGACTTGAGAGGACCGCCATAGATTTCCGAAATGAAGATCTCAATGCCGAAGCAAGTAGCGATCAAGCTACCAAGCACAGTGGCCGCAGCAATTGCAAAGGGAACCTGGAGCAGCTGGCGCTGAAGACGCTTGGTAGCAGGGAAGATCTGCATCTTCTCACCAGTGACGGGATCGGTACCCTCGTGTTCGTGCTCAAAGTGTCTACGCTTGGTCTGGATGTTGGACACGCCACGGACGCCCCATCTCACACCGAGATCAACCTCTTGATGCTTCCAGTACTCGACAAAGACAATGCACCACAAAGTGCTGACGATAGCGTAGATGGGCGAGAACTTGCCCAGCAGAAGCCAGGCGGTGGCTCCGAAAGCGGCTGGGAAGACGAGGAAGGTGAAGTAAGACTGGGTAAAGGCAAAGTAGAAAGCAATCTTCTCGCCCAATCTGTTTCTGATCTCATCGAGATCTTCGGTGTCCAGGAGGTATTTCTTGGTCCACCTTTGGATCCACTCTTTGTTGTAGGCGTGGTCATGCAGAGCAAAGATGGACTCGACATTCTTCCACTCTCCCTCTTTGGCAGTGATGCCAGCGCCGCCTTCTTCTTCCGAGTTGGTGATCATACGGTAGATGATGCGGTAGCGTTCGGCCTCATGAAGCGGTTCCTCCTCGATAGCCTTCTTGGTTTCCTTGGACGGTGCAGCCGACCTAACCCCATGGATCCAGTCCTTGACTCTGGAGCGGTATACCTCGGCGTTGACGTGGTCTTCGCTGGCAACCTTGACAAAGATCAACAGGGAGTGGTTGTCTCCGTTGCGGACTTCGGTAGCCAATCCGACCCTGGCGAGTCTTTCTACGAGAAGGGCGAACTTCTTGCCTGCTTCGGCCTTGGCTGCACAACATTGTTAGTTCTGCTCGACGCACGAGGGATGCCACGCATACTGGTGTTCGCATAGCGGAAGACAATGACATAGTCGGTTTCCATGTTTGTCTTGGTGCCCTTGTCATTGTCCTTGAAGGTCGGGGACAGGGACGTCGGTGAGGCTGGCTCTTTCATGTTGTGCAAGTACTGTCTATCACAGCAATCGACTTCTTAGGTATTGAAATAAGGAGAATGTCAATCTGGGCAAGGGGATGATGACTTGGAAGAGCTCATGGGCTGGAAACTTGAATCGCGAGCTGCTCGCCGACGTCATTCAGGGTGCCGTTTCACATGCAGCTTGGTCAGTACTCAAGCCCCTCTCCAGACAGACTCCCAGGTCCAAAAGCAACTCGAAGAGGATTCACACCATGTCTCTTTTCATTATACATCTGTAAGCCGGTAAAACTGAGGAGGTTGAATCTTTCGCGCTGGATATGTGGTCGTATCGTGCCCAAAGGTTGATGATAGTCTCAATGAGCCGATAGGTGTGGAAACAGGCTTCAATACTGAGACCTTCACATGCATCTTGTCTTACCATCGCCAACTCATCTGTCGGTTCAACAACATACAAACAAATATTTGCATCAAACTGCAGAACACTTTCTCTCTGGCATGACCGACTAACACGATACACACCAATCATGTTCCTCTCTCCCTTCGCACCCCCCTCGCCCTTCGAGCCACCCTCTCTCCTCTACCTCTTCCTTCTCTCACCACCAAAGTTTCTCTTACGGACACTCCACCGCCTGATCTCTTTTTTTCGCTCCTCACCCACTCGACCCTTGCTGCCATTGAGAGTAGTCTGTCTCTCAGACACACATTGCAAAGTTCCCGCTGTGGTTCCTGATGGCGATCTCTTGATCCACGCCGGCGACCTCACTCAAACCGGCACACCAGCAGAGCTACAAAAACAACTGGATTGGCTAAACTCGCTTCCTCACACACATAAAATCGTTATTGCTGGAAATCACGATACCTTCCTGGACCCGCGATCACGCAAAACATTACCCGCCGAAGACACCGAAAACGCAACCCTGGACTGGGGAAATTTACATTATCTCCGACATTCAACCACAACACTCACTTTTGCTTCCCATCGGAATCGGAAATTGAAGATTCATGGTGCGCCACAGATCCCTGCTTGTGGGGGCGAGGAATTTGCGTTTCAGTATCCTAGAGGCCAGGATGCGTGGAAGGATACCGTGCCTTCGGGTGTGGATATCTTGGTCACGCATACACCTCCCAAACACCACATGGATCTCTATGGCTTGGGATGCGAGCATTTGCTTTCTGAGCTTTGGCGAGTGAAGCCGCGTTTACATGTTTTTGGGCATGTGCACGCTGGAAGAGGAAAGGAAGTTGTTTATTGGGATGATGCTCAGAGGGCTTTTGAGCATGGGTGTGGTAGAGGTGACGGTTTGGTCTGGAGCATGCTGGATTTGTGGCTGTGGGTTGATGTTGTCAAGGTGGTTTGGCATGGTGTGTCGAATGTGGTTTGGGACCGTGTTTGGGGTGGTGAGGGGAGGGTGACGAGGATGGTTAATGCTAGTGTGATGTACATCAATACCGGCGAGCTTAAGAATATGCCGCAGGTGGTCGAGATATGATCGAAGTAATACGAATACGATTTCACAACAACAACTCCACTTTCTTGCACCTGCTTACGAATAATGTCAAAGATCATGATTGTCGAGGAACAAATGAACAATTCGAAAGGGTATACTATTTCGGGAGGGACTCGAGGAAAAAATGCAAGACCCTCTACTCTCTCTTCTTACCACCGCCAGCCTTCCAAGCAGCAGCTCTGTTACTGCTTCTAGTTCTCGGCTTGCCCTTCTTCTTTCCAGACCCACCCAACTTGAGCCCACTCTTACCAGCACCAGCCTTAGCTCTGTGGCCCTCAAAGATGAAGCTCTCAGGAGTTTTGAAACCCTGAGGTGTTCCTCCTATTGGTTTGCCCTTTTGGACTTGGGCTGCTGCTGCACGACCCATCAGTTTGCCTGCACGACCCATGTTGGATTGCATGACGGGGTCGGCTTTGGGGTTGTAAATGCCCTTGGAGGCGGCACCGGGGGCCTTGACGGCGTTGCTGCCGGGCTTGACGTTGCGCTTGATGGTCTTTGCGCGAGTGACGCGGAGCTTGCGAGGCAGCATGGGAGGGAACTTTTTCTCGTTGAGAAGGAGAGCGGCTTCGACGGCATTTTCTTCCTGTGGTGGTTGTTAGTGGTGTGGACGACAAGAGGATGTGAGGATGCACTTGCGGTGAACTGCACGTATGCGAAACCCTTTCCCACTCTGGTCTGGGGGTCGCGAGGCACGCGGACACTCTCGACCTTGCCGCAGGTTGAGAATGTGCGCCATAGACCCTCCTCGACATCACTGGGGGTCTTGTTGCCCTTGCGTGTACCCTTGCCCTCCTCAGCATTGGCCTTGTCAATGTTGCTCTCGTCGTCAACGAAACCAAGGTTACCGACGAAGACGCATCGCCTGGGCTCGGTCTTTGCGGGATGGGCAACCTCGTCGACACGGATATGGCGGTCCAGGGCGACTGTTCCGTTCAAGCGTTTGGCGGCTTCGCGAGCCAGAGCGTTCGACGAGTAGACAGCGTATGCGTTTGTGGACCTTGTTGTCTCGACCATGATTTCCTTCTTTGCGAAGGCGGCCTTCTTGGGGATGGCACTGGCGTAAGCGGTTGAGCGGAAACGAAGAGACTCTACGCTGTGTGCGGGCTGGCCCTTCTCAGCGTCTGCAATGTCCTCGAAGAATGATTCCAGATGGCGCATCAGAGTCTTCTTTGCTGTCTTTGATGTGATTGCTTCGGCGGATACGTTGCCGATGAAGACGGTACGTTGTGCTTTTACCAGATCCGAGTCGTTGTCAGGCTCCAGAGTCTCGTGCACGGGAGGTGGTGACATTTCCATGGCGTCAGCACGGTCCGAGTCCTCCTCATCGCTGTCGCTGTCGTCAGAGTCCTTGTCTGCCTTCTTCTCCTTCTTCTGGCGCTTAGAGTTGCGGTCTTCCTTTGCCTTGGCAATAGCCTTCTCCTCTTCGCGACCGAGTTTGTCCATGTATACATCTTCTAGTTCGGGCTCCTTGTCCTTTCTCTTTCTCTTGCGGTTGTTGCTCTCGAGAGCGGCTTGAGCAGCAGCCTGGGCATCCTTGACGTCCGGGACATGTGCGTCGCTGTCGTCTTCTGACTCAAGCTCGTCATCATCGGCGTCAACGGCATCTAGTTCATCGTCGTCGAGTTCCGAAAGCTCTTCGTCGTTGTCGTCTCCCTCGTCTTCGTCGTCCGAGTCCTTTTTCTTCGTAGTCCTGACAGATTGAGTTGGAATCTCGGTGTAGATGGGTTTGGCGACACCGAACTAGAGGAGTCAGTATTTTGCGATTGTAACAATGCAACTCGGACGCGAGACATACAGAGTTGGCAAACAGATTGGAGATGGTAGGATCCAACTTTTCAGCGGCTGCAAGAGCAGAAGCGTTTTGAGCCTTCTCGGACTTGACCTCCTTCTTCTCGGCCTTGTCCTTCTTCTGCGACTTGTCCTTCTTGTCCCTTGTATGCGCCATTGCTGATGTGGTGTGTGGGGCTGATCAAAAGTCGAGCAGATGGATTTTCTTGCAAGTAATGGGCGTCTGGGGGTCCAAAGTTTGCTAATGCCGACTAACGCCGCGGCTGTGGACTGGATGGGCCAGGATGGCCTTGGCTTTGGCTTCCACTCGTGAAAGGTGACGAGCGAGTCCACTCTCTCCGCCTACCCTACCATTGCTCCACCCGATTGCTCCGTCTTTTTCTTGTACCGCTGCATGAAAGTCCTCGTACGCGTAACTCGCCGATCCACACCCTCTCGTCCACGTCGTCTAGCCGCCATTGCTCTCTGCATTCGACGACCGACCAAGGCTTCTGCTGCCCGCGACGGCGCCCATGCAGGATGGACACTCCTTCTATTTCTCCCCTCAGTACCACTTCGAGGTCCGCTATTCCTTCCGCCATCGACCCGATTCCTATACAGCTCCAGCCTGTTCAAGAACCCGACCTCGTCGATCCAGTTGACCAAAGCGACGGTTCGAGCAGTCTGAGCGACTATGACGCCGAATTCGACGATCAAGACCAGAGAGACAACAACGACCGAGATTCTGAAGCAGAGACCGAACGCCTCGAGCGCTCTCCCATAAAATCGTGGATCCCATCTCCGACAAAACTAAATCAAGCCGACATTCGCTCCGAGCCTGCCTCTTCACCAGATCCCCAACCTCAGTCGCCCTCGCCCGCACAAGCTCGCCTGGGTACCAACACTGCCGCCCGTCCACAACCGCCTGCTGATCTCCCTCTCTCAGCCTCTCCCACAGCCATCTCAGGCAGGAAACGCAAGCGACCAAGTCCTGCTGTCAGCGACGCCGACAGTCCTCTCTCCGAACACTCAGACTCTGAAGAAGCCCTTGCTCTCAGTCACAGCAACCATGTTGATCAGGCCCTCGAGAGTCGACAGGAGACACCAGAGCCTAACGATGAAGCCGATGAGAACCCTTACATCTCGCCAATGAAGGCTGCCCGTCTAAAAAGAGCAAAACAAAAATCTAAACAGCTTCGCGACATCTCGCCCGCTGTTCAATCGCTCGCGAATGATCTCGAAGACGATGATGCCGATGAGCCAAACGACGGCGATCAAGAGACGAAAAAGCGCGCCACCGAGGCCTTCACGGCTATTGTCGAGCAGTTTCAAACATTCCGCACCAAGCAAGTCGCATATCTCCCTGCTGTGTGTACCAACGCTAACATTGTATCAGAATGCACAGCGAACGCTTGGCTTCAGCAGAGGCCGAACTGGACCAACTCAGTGTACCGAACGCGACCCATCCCGATTTCCTTGCCATGTTACAGTGCATCACTGCTCGTCGCGACACCAAGATTCAACAGGAGATAACACTGCATCGCTATAAGCTCGGCACCCTTCGAAATCAGATTCTGGCAGAACGTGCTCAACTACACACCCAGTATTTCCAGGAAGCAAGAGAGCTACGCGACTCGCTATTGGAGCAGCTAGGAAAGCAATGGTACGACATACAAAAAGAGCGTCGCCAATTCCAGGCCGACCAACAGGACCAATACTCGTACAAGTTCCCCACAAAGCGCTCCGACCAGGTGCGCAACCAGGAGAAGTACAACCGCGAAGTCTCGATCTTGTCTGGTATGGCCAAGTACCGGGGCTTCCCTGCTGCGCCAGATATCCAAGGCGCACGGACGAATGAGCTCGACGATGACTTTAAAGCCATGCATATCCCGCGCAGGCAAACATTACCTCAGCAGCAAGGCCCCGCTTACCAAAACCCCGTGCATATGCATTCGGCTCCCGCATCAGGACGCACTGCCGAGGAGAGATTCATAGAGCAGACACCTTGGGCCAATCCTCAACATCCTTTGCATCACCAATCACGGACTCCGGGTCCATTCGGTACTTACGGCATGCATCTCCAACCGAACATGATGCGCCAGGTCTCCGCACCTGGCCAGCGTACTGCTTCTCCTTTTACTACACCACTGCCAAACCCAGCAAAGCGTGCCGATTACCCTCAGAATGGCCTTGGCTCTAATGACACCATTGGTATTCCTAGCGACCCTCCTTCGAGTGCAGTACCACATACCGGAGAGAACTTCGCACAAGGCCCTCCTGGCGATGTTTCACCAACCGATCAGCTTAAAGTACGCTCTGCTTTGGGCAACCCATCGAACAACCGTGGAGACAGGCGTGACTTCTCAGGTCTATCTAGTGCCTCGACTATTGAGACACCCAGTGACCCAGCCGAGGTGGACCGTCATGGGCCTATACATACTAGTGCCGGGCAGAACGGCTTACCTCTACATCACCAGGCCGACCATTCTGCTCCTCACCAAGCTTTCGTCACGAGCGCGTTGCATACGCAGAACGGAAAAGCAGATGATCGTAAGCCAGATCTTTACGAGAACATCAACTACAGAAGGTCACAATTGGGCGCATTTGGTACGCCCATGCCTCTGTTCGGCACCAACTCTCCGGCGCACCCAGATGGCCAGAAAGCTTCATAGTTTGGGATTCCTGACATACGTGAACGCGGCCAAAGCTTGCAAGGCCTCATATACGAATAATGATTAATCGTCAAACGACAACAGCGGACATGGGACAACTGAGATCTACATAAGACGTATTAGACAAAGAACAGCAGACAAGCTAGCTGTATATCAATCATGAAAGATTTGAGAGTGTCTTCCTATTGATTCAACTTGACATATATACGTTGAACGAACGAGAAAGTGCTTGATGTCGAGCAAGTGCTTTATATCCACTACCCGTTGTCCAGGCGCGGTTGATTGCTACTCGCAAAGACGGTAGTAGAAAGTGTCAGAAGATGCGCGCTTTGTGGTTCCATGCTTGTATGCGCGAATGATATTATCTGTAGGTAATGTATCGCCATCTCCGGTAATGATTGCATACAGAAGAAAAAAACAAAGTTAGCGAACGTACGTGCATTTTACTGAGCGCAACCACAGCAACAAAGGTTCATGACAGTCAAATCTTGAGCAAGGTATTGTCGCTATTCGTAATGCTCGTGCCAAACACAAAAAGAAATCTCCTCTCTCTGAGTCGAACAAAGGACCTTCTGATGACAATTAACAATTACAGTCAGACGCTCTAAACCAACTGAGCTAAGAAGAGATTGATGAGTAATTCTCCAAGCATCTATGTATATATCCCAATATCAACGTGACTATTGCAAGAACATGACCTCACGATCTCCGTTCCGCGGCTCCTCTCAACATCCAACCTCGAGTAACCTTTCGATCTTGCTTTTTCTCCTGCACGAAGGTTCTTTCGCAACTATCGGTGCTATCCAACATTCTTGCCAAATTATGCTGTACACTCGCCAAGAAGCAACTGTTCCTGAATCACAGCCTATGTGTCACGCATCAATCCATCACTTATTGCATCAAGAACCAACGCGGGATGCATGTAGCTTGGAGCCGGAGTGACCAACTTGCTGTATTGATGATCCCCCTCTTGCTTTCTCCGCATGCAGGTTTCGACAGCCGACCACAGTAGAGATGTCACTGCGAGGGCATGCATGCAGGAAGGAACGGCCATCGTTGCTTCCTTCTCCGCACTTGCCACTCATTATCCATTGAACTTATAATCCATGTTTCCTTCCATCGAATATCCACGCATCGACAATGCCTGTCCCATCCATCGCCATGACCAAAGTATTGCTATCTGCATTGCTTGCGGTGACCGTCTGTGCACAAGATCCTTACACTCACAAACTTGATGCGAACAGGTAATTGTGCTTCAGCTTGAGGATTATACCTGAGGATATCTCTCTCTGTGATGTTCTTGCTCACATTTTCTAGGCACAAGACTCCATCCTACTCGCCTGTCCGGCCTCCAGCGGTACCCCTTGCTGTTCGTAGTCCCTACACCAGCATCTGGATGTCTAATGCCAATAATGGTACTCTCAATACCAATGGAGCTATGTTCTGGCCCGGAACGCCTGCTGGCTGGGAAGGCATCATTGTCGTAGATAAGGTTGCTTACGAGTATATGGGCACTGGATTACAATCTCTTCCGCAACTTGCTAATGTCAAGGCTGCTTCCCAACTCGCTGTCTCTTTCGATTCTCAATACTCGAACTTTACCATCCGTGCCGGTCCTGTCGATCTTGTCGCCAGCTTCTTGAGTCCCGTCATACCGCAGGACCTCTGCCGGACCAGTATCCCACTCAGCTATCTTCAAGTCAGCTTCCACAGCACGGACAACCAATCTCATGACGTCCAGCTATATAGCGATGTCAACGCAGGCTGGATTTCACCCGAGACTAACACGACCGTAAACTGGAATCTGTTCGAAGGCGCTTCAGCTGTCAATGGAAGTGGTAATGCCACTGGTAGTCCGTCGACTGTCTACAGCTGGGTACTCTCGCAGGAGAACCAGTACGAGTTTGGAGAAGAGCAAGATTTCCCTCAATGGGGCAATTTCACCTACTCTTCGAGCCCTGGATACTCTCGAAACTTCAGCTTCCAGAGCGGCCACTCACTCGATCTCCGGTACAACTACGTCGCAAGCCTCGAGCTCTCCAATGTGGTGGATTCTAATTACCGCGGCGCCCAAAGCAAAGAACCAGTCTTCGCATTCGTGCATGACTTTGGTCTAGCGACTTCGGGAGACGCCCTGTATACTATTGGGACAGTGCAACAGAATGTAATCAGGTTTCTGACATCCGAGGGACTTGTCCCTCTACAACCCTGGTGGACAGAGTGTTACGGCGATGATTTGTTCGACCTCATCGAGTTTCACTACAACGACTTTGCGACCAGCCAAGCGAAGGGGGCCAGTTTCGAGACTCGACTCAAAGCAGACGTTCAGTCGTACTACGGGACCACACCACCCTACAGTAACAGCACTCCCTCACCACCACCGCCTTATGCCAATGCTACCAGTGTAGAAGAACACGGCACAGATCAATACGGTCAAGCTTACATCTTCGACTCAAGTAATGGTTATGGCTTCCTTAATCCCAACAGCTTCAGCGGTGTCGCTGTCCCAGATGTCACGGAGTCTGAGAATTATTATGCCATTGTGGCTTTGAGCGCCCGTCAGATCATGGCAGCATATGTTCTTACCGTTCCGCCGAATCTCCGCTGCAGTAACTCTTCCTCGATCACACAGGGCGAACCACTCATGTTCCAGAAGGAGATATCGAGTAACGGCAACATGAACACGGTGGATGTCATTTTTCCTGCATTGCCCTTCTACCTTTACGCCAACCCCGAGATGCTCAAATTCGTCTTGAACCCATTGTTTTATAATCAAGAAAGTGGATTCTATCCTAATGGCTACAGCATGCACGACCTAGGAACTCATTTTCCTAATGCTACTGGCCATGTGGAAGGCAATGACGAATATATGCCTGTTGAGGAAAGTGGCAACATGCTTTTGATGGCCTATGCTTATTTCAAGTTCACTGGCGATACAAGCTTCCTCTCTGAGCATTACGCCAAATATCGACAATGGGCAACTTACGTGACTGAGTACTCCCTTGTGCCAGAGGCTCAGCTGAGCACTGATGACTTTGCGGGAACGCTTGCCAATCAGACCAACCTAGCGATCAAAGGTATCGTGGGACTCAAAGCAATGTCTTTCATCTCCGAAGCTTTGGGCGATCTTCAATCTGCAGCCAACTACTCATCGACGGCGTCTTCCTATTACACTCAGTGGGAACAGCTCGCCATTGATCCAAGCGGGACTCACACCATGCTCGCCTACCAGAGCCGTGGATCCTTTGGTCTGCTTTACAACACGTATCCCGATAAGCTTTTGAATCTCGGCATCATACCCAAGCGTCTATACGATATGCAGAGTCGCTGGTATCCAACTATTTCTCAAGCCTTTGGTGTAAGTTTCTACCATCACTTGTCTCCAGAGCTCTTGACTAACAAGCGTAGGTTCAACTCGACAGTCGGCATACATACACTAAGTCCGACTGGGAGATGTGGACTGCATCTACTTGTTCTCCAAGCACTCGCCGACTGTTTGTAAACGCGCTTGCATACTGGCTCAACAACACCAGCACACGACTCGCCTTCGGTGATCTTTTCGAGACTGTTGGCACAGGAGCTTACCCTGACGGAGTGACATTCATTGCAAGGCCCGTCGCCGGTGGCCATTACAGCTTGTTAGCACTTCTCAAGACCGGTCAAAACAGTCAGACCGGCACCTCGCCTGGTGGCTTCCCACAAAACAGTACTCAGGCATTGACCGAGTGGAGAGCAGGCTATTTGAACATTTCGGCCTCAAGCACTCCAGGGTCAACGACAAGGACAGCTACAGTTCCAACAGTTCCAGCGCCGTCAAGTGGCTTCTTCAACAACTCCACTACCTCGCGTGCTGGGCACAGGTGAGCGTCGATCCCGAGTGTGAGACATGAGAGTGAGAGGATGTGTGAGAATGAGATCCAGCCGGTCATGGTTACATAAGATCACACAAGCAGATTTTTGTCATCAATTGGGGTTGTGGTCTAGTGGTATGACATCTTCTTAGCATGGCTCTTCGAGCATTACTGAGTGGAGAAGGTTCTGGGTTCGATTCCCAGCTACTCCATGTTTCTTTTGCTCGTCTTCGCGATGGCATCTGCTTTTGCTGTTGCTGAGTGCGTAGGTGATCAAACCTTTTGTGATCGACATTCGCTGGCTCGAAAATGTGGGAAACATAGAAACACGGGCCGCAAGAACGTGGCAGTCGCATTCAGCTAGCGTAGCCGGGATGCACAAACACGGCTAGCGTAGCCGAAGCTGTGTCATCGAACAGCGTGCTTCGATGCTCTCATCAAATCAACAAGAACATTCCGCGTCCACAACTTTTTTCTCAATTGAGATTCTTCTAAAAGATCAATCGCCATCATGGAGGTCGACACTAAGACGCGTGCGTATACTCATGAAGGTTGTCGATGTTGTGGTATTGACGATGTACACAGCTCTCTACCAGACTTCGGACAAGACTTCGTTTGCATACATCTCGGCGCGCGATCGCTGGCCCATCATTCTTGTGAGTGAACACTGGATAGTTCTATATCTTATGTTCTGGGTGCTGTTGTCACTGTCTCCGGTGTGGCGTGTATCTTTTCGAATGCGTATAGCCAACTCGTCAGGAGTCTCGGGAGATAGGCACGGTGATGGATAGGAGCCACTCAGCTTGATTGCTTTACAATCAGATGGAGATTCTTTGTTGGCTTCGCGAAGTGCAAGAGAGATAGAATATATTCCTGGTATTGTCGTTCTAGCGAATACTTACTGACAAACGTATCAGACAGGTGCCATTGACGATTTGCACAAGGCAATTGGCAAGACCGAAGACTCTGAAAAGCAGACTGAAGGCAAAAGCATTGTTTCGGAGCTCGCCAAGCTCAAGTATGAGTTGCAGCATGATCGCCAACTTACGTGTGTACACCCTTTGACTCTTCACAAAACCTGAATACTGACATCCCAAAAGTCCTCTCGCCGATGACGGACAAGGAGACATTGAGAGCTACAACAAAGAGCTAGAGCAACTCGGCAACCCCAAATGGTTCAACGTACCATGGCTCTTCTCCGAATGCTACCTCTACCGTCGCATGTCCACTCTTTTCAAACTCTCAACCCACTGGAAAAACTACGACGTCTTCAACAAGCAAAAGATGTCCACTTTCCGCTCTTCCCGCCCTGCAGTCCTTGAACTAGCTTCGCGCTACAACGAACTCACTAAGCAACTCTCTTCCAAGTCATCATCTTCTCAGTCCGAGGAGGATCGTGCGGCAGCAGAAAAGGTGCTGTTTACCGAGATGTGCGAGATTTGTCTCTGGGGCAATGCTACTGATCTGTCTCTCCTCACCAATCTCACCTATGAAGATATTCAGAAGTTGCAGGGTTCCAAGGCCAGAAAAGCAGCAGAGAAGAACATCATCGCCAATGACTTTGACGCAGCCTTTGAGCTTCTGCACGCAGCCAAGAAGCAGGGAGCTAAGGAACGCCGTGTGGATATCGTTCTCGATAATGCCGGTTTCGAACTCTTCGTCGATGTCATTCTGGCTGGTTATTTGTTGCAGGCAGATCTGGCTACCACTGTCGTCTTGCATCCCAAGAACATTCCTTGGTTTGTTAGCGATGTGGTGCCCAAGGATTTCTCAGACTTGCTTACTGTCCTCGTCAACGCGAAGGACTTTTACGAGTCCCCTTCTGAAGAGGATGAAGCCAAGGGAGTCACTCCAGCTAAACTCTCTGAACAGGAAGCAAGCGATCTGCAGCAGTTGTTCGCAAACTGGAGTCAACTGTACGCAGAAGGCAAGATTGTACTCCGACCCAACAAATTCTGGACTCAAGGAGGAAGTTACTGGAGACTTCCTTCTACTGCTGAAGCTCTGTTTGAGGATTTGAAAACTTCGGAGTTGGTGATTTTCAAGGGCGACTTGAATTATAGAAAGTTGACTGGTGATGTGAGATTTTTGCCCTTTGGCCCCTTTGCCAGAACTGTTTCGCTGATCTTCCCACAGGCTGCATGGGATCCCACCACCCCCTTCACCACTGCCATCGGTCCTCTAGGTCCTGGATCAGGCATGCGCACACTCGCCCTTCGCACCTGCAAAGCCGATGTCGTAGTCGGGCTTCCTGAAGGCGAAGACGAGCGTCTCCGTGCTACGGAAAACGGAGGTGGAGATTCGGGAGCTAGAAAGTGGGCTTGGAGTGGCAAGTTTGCTGTTGTGCAGCTTTGCGATGGCAAGAAGTAGGAAGGTCGAAAAAAGGGTAGGTTCTGTACAGGGTGCCTGTCGAATGGAGGATAAGAAGGTGGGAACCGTGGATAGAATATATGAAAAAGAACATGTGGTTTGTGGATTCCCTTCGACCTCACTCGAATGTGTCTTCAGCATTCTGGTAGAAGTGAGTAATCATTTTCCATGGAGAGAAGTGCAATTTATAGCCAGGGTCATACCCTAAGCAAGCATTGTTTTGACTAAGACATGAATAACTACACCAATTCTACTTGATATAACTTGAAGCTCTGCTGAAACATGCAAAAGACTAGTCCTCGTTGGCTAGTATTGGCCATCGGGTACAATTCAGTGTTGTTGTGTCGACATACACATTCCAAGATTCTCAACAGTCAACTTTGAAAAGGTGACTCTAACTCGGATAGTCTGCAATATAAAAACTTGTGAGAATGCAAAATCTTGTTGAGAAAGAAGCTGTTCCGGTTGGGATACCCATGGTGATGTTAGTCCCTGACTATGTGTGCGAAGGAGTGATGACCATTGTGACAGTACATGAGACTCTTGACGTTGACAACTCAGCAGAGAAGAAGTATCAAGACCACAACGGAAACAAGAAGACCAAGCACACAGCAAAACATCTCTAGGGCAACTAAACAAGTCCACTAATGACACATCTCCAACTACCTAACAATGAGCCGTCACACCTACTGAGTCGAGACAGAAGGCGAGATGAAAAACATGTCAGACTTTCTGAGATCTCTCAGATTTGCACCGCAATACCTCCCACACACCCATATCGCCGACTAAGCAAGACATCTCTCGGCAGTCCGACTCAGCCATACAAAATAGGTCTTAGACTTCTTTGAGCACGATGAGACTCTGCGTTCAGCGTCATGCAAGACATCACAGGTCCGCGAGCGCCGTACATATATCCTCCCTCATATCCCCCCTCCCTGCCCCTGAACAACCAGTAAGAACACCAAGCAAAGACTTCATGATGATGACCAGAAGTAAAAGCAAGATGCTAATGTTAGCTCAGAAGAAGATGCCTAAACTACAGAGCTGCAGAGAATGTCACTTGCGCAGCTCAAAGTGCGATCGCGGCAGACCTTGCTCGAGATGCGTTGACGCAGGCCGCGAGTACACCTATGACAAAGTCGTGGTGAAAGGCAGAGGGGTAAGTGCCTCTTACTCTCAACCGAGAGACCTGTACTGACGCGCAGAATATTTGTACCTGAGAGACGACGGCCGCACCAGACACGGCAAACTCGTCATCCCAGACCAGCCTACTGCAGCACCCTCTACAGCATCACAGTCTACAGCAACCCCGGTAACACACTCTGCAGCAGCCCCATCAACAACCTCGGCAACGGCAATCTCTTCTGCTATAGTGCAAGCTTCTAATCTCGGTGGAGTCCCAATGACACTCTGCCTACCGCGCCTCTACACCTCTGGCGTGATTTCAGTGGCCCCTTCGTCTACACGCCAATCAATGCTTCTGGCACTCCCTTCTCATGGCCCCCAAGTGATGGTATGCCATCGTCACTGCGCCATTGGTCATCATTTGCAACTGCTGAGACGCACATGGGCAATGCTGGTGACGATGACACCAAGGAGAATGACGAAGAGATGAGCGAGGGAGACGAAGAAGAAGAAGAAGATGATGATGATGATGTGAGAGAGGCTGAAGGCCACAACGACAATGACGAGAACGCCTCCAAGAAGAAGTGGGGGTTCGGTCGTCCAGAGTACAAGGCCACAAAGCGGAGCTGCGAATCTGGTCTGGCAGGGAAGTCGAGCGCGACCAGACAATTGTGACATACATATGCCATTCAGCGCAAAGAAGCATTTCGATCTCCCTTTGCCTTCTCAACATGCCACGACTTGTTCATGACCGTGTTGCGGAAGAGAAGGATATGTGGGTGTTGACGCGGCCGCACCTCGAAGAGCAAGTAGAAATACGCTGCTCCATAGTGTGAAAATAGGCGGCTTGTATGTGATGATCGTTGACAAGAGTGTGCCTATAGCTTCCAGTCTCGTTCCATATAGAAACGGCAAAGGGCGACAGGCTTGTCTTACCAGAGAACTGCAACCGAGTGTGGTTTAGAGCAAGTCGAATGTATGTGGGGTTCTGTGGACACGTCCATGGTCCTCCAAACCACACAAAATGTGACTGTGCTGTCATCACAATCGAAGAGGTAAGCGTGCCTGATGTATTAATTCGCCTGCTGCGAACGGAAGCTCAGGGGGACTTGGATGCTCCGCGCTAACTCGAGCGCTTGACATGGCACATCATGGAGCAAAGTCTGTAACCCTGACTCTTTTCCCACAGCGGTTTAGAGCGACGCTCTCGCTGTGCAAAGGCACAACGTCTTCGGCAAACAGGATACTGTCCATTGAGAGAGAAGCCATATTCTTCACTTTCTTTGGACACGCCCCTGGTCTAGAAACGATTGTGCATACTCACAGCCACGTGCTCCACATATGTTTGCACGCAGGAGGGAATGCAGGGTATAACTCAGAGGTTCGGGATGTGCAAATTTTATATGCACAGACACATATTAACAACATGTTCAATAATCCAGTTGCGCCAGAAAAACAATCCCCGAACGCCAGTGTTTCCAAGAGCCAGTATGACGGCTTGATGCGTGAAAAGAATAAGAACAAAACAGCAGCTACCTTGAGAAATGGTTCATATGACCAGGCACGCGGTTCCTGCATTTTTCACAATCCTCGCGATATCCCATGGAGAACTTTTTGGAAGTGTCTTGGTCTCGCGGAGATGTGAAGGCACCACTTCGTTGTCGCTGCTTCCGGACATGTACGTCTGGCGTTTGTGGGGGAAGAGCTCGGGGAGTCGTTTCAGTGTCCATGTCCATGTCACTAACAGTCAACAGCGAGAACTGACTTCCAGCAGCCGTGGTGGGAGTATGAGGTTCGTCTTCGGAGATTGGCGATGGGAAGCGTTCTCTTGGGCCGGCCAAACGAGCACGCATGGATGTGGAAGGAGCATACGCGTTACTGGTAGTAGTATTACCTTGTAGCGGAGAGGGCTTTGGACGTGTAGAAAGCGGTGCAATTGGTGTTGGTACTCGCATGCCTCTCTCGTTCAGCGCCATCCGGGGATTCCGGAGCGGGTTGTTATTCAATATCCAGGAAGATGGCTGGTCGGGAGATTGGGAGCGGTCCATTTGGAAGTCGTCTCTCATGTCCATATCATCAGAGGAGTCGGTTTCGCCCATGATAGAAGTTGAGGAATCGTCCATGGCACCAGGTATAGATTGACCTTCGACATTGGGGTTCGAACCAAAAACACCATGATCAATTCCAGCAGAGTGACGCAGTCTCTTCGAGGATGTGAGCCTCAGGAAATCATGTTTGTTGAGGAATGTGGTGATACCTTGTCGTGGTGCATAGACATGACCTCGTCATCATCATCATCGTGCCGACGTTTGTGGGACATGGAAGAGAACATAACGGCGGGCTTCGGTACAGCTCGTGGACGTGAATGGATGAGTGATGTTGCGCGGGGTGCAAAGGAGGGACCAAGAGACATGAGCCAGCATGCAAGTGAAAGTTGAGAAAGTCAGCGAGCGTGTTTCATGGCCCAGGTCAGGCAGGCACTAGTGAGAGCAGATGGACGTGCCATCGAGAAGGCAGTTGCAGTTGCTTGTTCGATGTGCGTAGCCAATTGTGGGGTAAAAACAGAGCCGTGCTTGTGGCTTGACCTAGAACAAAGAAACGTGAGCCGAGAGCCGCCATCGGCTTTGAAGGCGGGCCGATTTCTATTTCTTTTCAACAATAAGTCATACAGTCATCCCCCACCAAGCACTTTACACTGCAACAATATTTTACCCAACATGGCCGGCCCCAACATCGATGCTCAGCAGCAGCTCCGCGAGTCGCAGAACGACGACACCCGCGTCTTGGGTTACGACCCTCTGATCTCGCCCGAACTTTTGTCCTCTGAGATCCCCGCTACCCAGATCGCCCTCGACGCTGTCAAGAAGGGCCGTCGCGAAGCCCAGGCAATCATTCACCAGCAGGATGACCGTCTTCTTGTCATGGTTGGCCCCTGCTCGCTCCACGACCCCGACGCTGCCATTGAGTACTGCGGCCGTCTGAAGAAGCTCGCCGACGAGCTCGAACAGGACCTCTGCATCATCATGCGCGCCTACCTCGAGAAGCCCCGTACCACTGTCGGCTGGAAGGGTCTGATCAACGACCCCGATCTCGACGAGAGCTACAAGATCAACAAGGGTCTGCGCGTCTCCCGCCAGCTCTTCTGCGACCTGACCAGCCAGGGTATGCCCATTGCCAGCGAAATGCTCGATACCATCTCTCCTCAGTTCCTTGCCGACCTCATCTCGCTTGGTGCCATTGGCGCCCGTACTACCGAGTCGCAATTGCACAGAGAGCTTGCCTCCGGTCTGTCCTTCCCTATGGGCTTCAAGAACGGTACCGACGGCAGCTTGGGTGTCGCCGTTGATGCCATTGGCTCCGCTGCTGCCAAGCACTACTTCATGGGTGTCACCAAGCAAGGTCTTGCTGCCATCACAAAGACCACCGGAAACAAGGACTGCTTCGTCATCCTCAGAGGTGGAACCAAGGGTACCAACTACGACGCCGAGAACGTCAAGAAGTGCAGAGAGGCCCTTGGCAAGAAGAACCTGCCCGAGGTTATGATGATTGACTGCTCGCACGGTAAGTGATCTGACCCTGCCATGTGGAGAGAGCCTAGAACTGACAATGACTCTAGGCAACTCCCTCAAGGACCACCGCAACCAGCCCAAGGTCGCCAAGACCATCTCAGAGCAGCTTCGCGCCGGCGAGGAGGGTATCGTTGGTGTCATGATCGAGTCGCACCTCAACGAGGGTGCCCAAAAGGTCCCTGCCGAAGGCCCCTCCGGCCTCAAGAGAGGTGTCAGTATCACCGACGCCTGCATCAGCTGGGAGACAACCGTCGACGTCCTGAAGGACCTCGCCGAGGCCGTCAGAGTCAGAAGACAGGCCAAGAAGTCGACCACCAACGGTCAATAAACGAGACGAGCATACGAACGGAGTCCTGGGATTTTTTGAAAAAAGCGTATCGTTTGGAGATTTAGGTAGACAGGGTGATTCACACGGAGCCTTTTCTTCTCCCTCATCCATGACACGATTGTGCGCTCTTTTGTGTTGTATTCTGAACTGATGCTCTTTGGATCTCTGGTTCGTCGTAATCGTGGAGTTCGTCATGTCTTTGTTCTGTGTCCTTCTCGTTCCAGTTGTACTACGGCCAGCTCTTTTCAGCCATGACAGTCAGGAGAACATTGACCGCAACACGTTCGAGGTATCTCATAGCACATAAGCTCTTTCTTCTCCTAGACAGGCAGATCCTTGTTCTTATTTCCCTCTCCGGCTTTTTCTCCAGCCTTTTGCAAACCCCTCGCAAGGTACGGTCCCACGACAGGAATGTTGTAAGCAAATCCAGCTATCGTCTTGAAGAACTCGCCAAACAGTATGAAGATGCCGTAGATCTCGACGAGGAAGCCAATCAATGGCCAGCGGAGGAGAATTAGTATGATGCCTGCGACGAAAGCTGCTGTGCCCTTAATCTTTTGACGGCGAGCGAAGAAGAGGAATGTGCGTTGAACTCCGAGGAGTAGGGTAATTCCGGCTAGGAAGAGAATCTGTGGGAGGGTTTGTGAGTGGTGGGGTTTGTGGGTGGGTGGATGTTGTGGATGTGCGTACGTTGCCCATGGCCAACCTGTTTGTCTTTGGTCAGTAGGGTTGTTGTAGATTGAGCAGTGGTTGAACTTACATTGAGCGATCAAAAAACATGATCACTCCTCCGATCAAGAAGAAGCCTCCTGCATCAAACATTAGAGCTGCTCGTGCGATGAATGCGACTACGCGCGCATCCTCACCTACCTCCGGAGCAGAAGGCAACCCCAATCTCTGCATTCGGATTAGTATGTATCTGCAATCGCCAGACAGCATATGCTTACTCTGGGAGTCTGAAAGCCACATGGTAGGCATCTTGGCGATTGATTTGTGGTGTAGTGTACGGAGTATAATCTTTGGTCTTGCTGGTCGGAAGTTCAAGAAAGGTGGGAGACGTTCCGCGCGTCGCGAAAGCGACAAAACGAATTCCAGCCTCGGGCGACCACTTTCCTCTTCCGAACCAACCATCTTCCAACAATACCTTACTCTGTCTATGGATTGGCTGTAGTTGGCCAACCTCGCTGGTATGGGTATACCGCACTTGACGCGCTCGCTGTCACCCTACGGCGACAAAGTCGTCCTTCCACAAAATCCTGCGGATGACCAGAATGCCATCATCGATGGCCCTAGTCTGGCATATCATGTCTTCTATGTGTGCATAGCTCGTAGAACAGGTGCTAGGAATGCTCTAGATGCCACTCCGACATATCAAGAACTAGGCCAGGCCGCCGTGAACTGGCTCGAGCAGATCGAGACATACGGACTGAAAATGTATGTCGACTACTGAGGTCCGTCCAGAGTAAGTGGCTGATTTTCCTTTTCCTCTCACAGCAAATCCGTGTTTTTCGATGGATTGTTGCCATTGTCCAAACAGAGTACGAGATTGTCTAGGCTACAGAGCTATGCCAACCAGCTTGTTACTTTCAAGGCGCTGAACAAGGAGGATTTACCTTCTCGCATGGAAAATGTTCAATCTTCCAAGTCCGACGTCTTGAGTGCTGTCGTCTCTTCCAATCGACTCAAGGCTCTGCCTGCACCTCCATTCCTGGTCCCTTCAGTAATAGAAATGCTTCTGGAAAGTCGTTTCGATTTTCTGGTCTCGGTCATTCCTGGTGAGGCGGATGCATACTGTGCAGAGGCTGCTAGACAGTGTGGTGGTGTCATCTTCACGAGCGACTCGGATCTGCTAGTACACGACCTGGGAGAATCTGGAAAGGTGATTCTCTTCCGAGATCTCGAAACCATTCATCTACCAAGCCGAGGAAAATGCCTAAAAACTCAGGAGTACCGTCCAGCTGCCATTGCTAGGCGGTTCGAGCTGCTAAATCTGGTCAAATTGGCCTTCTTCATGTCCCAGGATCATCACAAGAGTCTCACTGAGAACATTAGGCTCGCAGCAAAGGACACACCAATGTCAGCTGGTTTTGCAGAGTTCGCAGAAGAGTATGGATCTTTACCCGAGTTGTCCAAATTGGCCATGGCAGGAATGGCTTATGAGGCAAAAACATCGAAAGCACTTGCTCGTCTGGATCCAAGGATATCGGAGATCGTCCATCTAGTCCGCGTAAAGGATAACCAAGAGGCACCGTCAGATCTGCAGGATTCCGAGGATCTGAACATGTATCTTCCATTCGTTATTGACGACCCGACTCGAACATCTGCCTGGCGGTCTGGTGTCTCAATCCGAGCTCAGGCGTATTCGTTGTTACGTGTGCTGAACTCGAGCATCACTCAAGTCACCGAATTCGAGCGAAAAGGCACTCGTGTGGCAGGAACGGTTGTTGAGCTCGACACCACATCCAGCCCGAGCACTGTACTCGAAGAGTGTCTGAAGTCTCTACAGCAAGATCTAGAACACAACTCATCACTATCCAGAGCAGCAAGATGGCGTGCTGTGGCAGTGAAGCTTGTCTGTCAATCCAATCTTGACAACGATAAGCCTCCACCACTCAGCGGTGATATCAGCAGACTTGTCACAGGCACGCGAGAAGGTATACTATCCTGGTCTTTCATTCACGCAAGTGGACAAATGCAAGCAGCGCTCTACTCCCTCCGAATGCTGTCCCAAATTTCCACCATTGCATTCAGCATCCTCGAATCTACCAATCACGAAATCATCCCATCATTACACAGCCTCATCACTTTACTCAGTGATTTACCCACCCTGAGGGAACTCTTGGATGAGAAGACAGCAAAAATCGACGGCGAGGCCGAGGCTGCTAGAGCAGCCGTGCTGAGCACATTACAAGGTCTAGGTATATCGCAAGACACCACGGAAACATCAATCAAGAAGAAGAAGAAGAGAAAGAAGAAGGGCGAGCACACTGGTGATCGCTCACCGCCAGGCGTAGCATGGAAATCCAACAACATGTTCAGCAATCTCGTACAGAAAGACTAGAAGCACTTCGAATGAGGTCACATCGTCCGCTACGATCAAACGCTTTACAACGACCAGACATGTCTGTGCAAAGACCGCATCACCAGACTTCTGCTCGGATCAGTGCACGGGGTGGCGGTGAGGCTCAATAGTTGCAGGTTGGAATCCGTCTTGCCTGGAGAGAGCGATCGTTAGGGCAGATCTTCAGGAGTGCTACAGTGGCTGGCCGTGTAAACGGGCAGCTGGGTGCCCATTGCTTCAGCTCTCAACGGACATGTCGTATGTACTCTTGTATATGTCACCTTTCGAACCCACCTGCATACAGTCCAGCGAAGAACATCATGTTTACGAGAACTCAATCCATGACCGGGGACTGGAAATGCTGTGTACTCAACTAGAGACTGCGTTCGACAAACAGACATCTTGCAACCTCCCCCACACTTTGCATCATGCACACCAAACCGTTTGCCTTGACACAAATAACCTATCGCGAATATGCGCGAAAGTGCTACCGGTAGATCGACACGGGGGCACTCCAGCGGCCTGGATCCTCTTCGACTATCTCATCAGTGATCTCCTGGTCATCTTTTCCACAAGTTGTTATCGATGTAAGAGCGGACGAGAGCGCAGGCACAGATCGTCCATCCGCCCCATGATGGAATCAGGCCCGCGTCTGGGGTCACCGGAGGATTTTAGACTCAGAAATGTGTAGATTGTCTTGCCGTGCTTCACAATGATCTTCCGGCTGCTAAATGGTACTCAACACGCAATAATGTAGTTGTATCCCAGAAATGTGGTCGCAAGTGTGAGCTCGCGTAGAAAGTGGAAATACATGCAGAGCCTCATGTTGTTTCAGGCATTCAAGCGTAAGATGACCGATGACAAGGATGGCAGCGCTTTGCAAAGGACAGCGGAGATAAAACTTTGTCTTCTGCGACGTCCCGCTGTTTGGTGTTTGGCCGTTGAAGGACCCTGCGCTGGAAGCCCGTCGGTGTTGTTTACCTGTCATGCACCCGGGCTGGTCGGCCTTTGCTTCATGGCTGCGTGAACCGAGATGGAAGGCCTGAGGGTCTACCAGGGTCCAAAAAGGCTGGAGCAATGGATAAAAGGTATAGCTTGACACAAAGACGCAGGGAAAGAGGTTTTGAAGCTCGACAGGCTTCTTCAGAAAGCTGTCATGGAGCCTATGGAAGGAAGATGCTTTTGACTAGACCGAGTCAAACTCGACGGCTCATGCGGCCCGCCGAAGAGGCTTCTCCGTGCCAAAGTGAGTTGGTGGCTCAAGCCAATCAAGTCGCGTGATGGCCATATGGGTCCGGGAACGTGGTTCGTTCATTTCTACCCCTGAGCCCAGCACGACGAGTGCCATGCGATGACCGGGATATTGGGCTAGCTTGTCTGTTTGAGGGTGTCGTGCTGCCGCTCTGGCGATGCGGGAGCGGTGTTGCGTGTTAGCCACGGTGGTCAGAGATATATGAAATGATGACGGGGTGGAAGTGGGAATGAGATGATGGTTCGGCAGGCACTTGTTGGAAGAAATAAAGCTACCTCTTTAGATTGCGTCGTGAGATGGCACGTCACTGGCAAGCTGAAACAAATGGTCGGCTCTCTTGCAGCGCTGGGTGGGTAGGCTAATGTGCAAAGGGATTCTGATCGATTGAGGGCAGTGGGATATTAAGGAGTGCCCGTCTTGTCATATCTTTGGGCGGATCGCTGAAAAGACGTTTCTTGGTCACCAAATACACAATTCCGATCAGCACAAGGCGGCAACGGTAGAATACAAGCGCGGAGAGAGCAATCTGCGGTATCCGCTGAAACGACGTCTGTGTGCCGCCTACTCTACTCGATTCTTTCCACGCCCGATTCGAGTCAGACTCGACGACCATCTTTCTTTCGGTTTGCCCTTTCGTTCACTTGCCATCCGTCGCATCGCCCGACCGGCACTCACTCATTTTTTGCAACTCACTCGACCCTTCGGCCGTCGCCAATCTCCTGTCAACATTCCTTAGCACCTGTCTACCAAGAACCCCACCAAACGCATACACACCTACATTGTCCCTCGACGGCCACCTGCCTCTTCGATCACTGCGCCATTTGCGCGTTTGCGTCTGCGAGGCCGACTGCATCTGAGCCACCGGCTGGTTTATTCATTCAATCGCCCTCCGTTTGCCTTTGCATGCATTGCACCACCTGACTTCCGGTTAGACCGCTCCATGGTGTGAGAGCACCATTCGACACTCGAAGATTCACTTCCAACTCCGCCGCTCGTCACTCTGACACTCTAATCCCACTGGAACACAATCAACATGCACCGATTCCTCAGCAAAAAGAACGGCGATGCGGCCTCAAGTCCGCTGTTACCGCCCACAACAAGCAACAAGAAATGGAAGAAGAACAAGAAAGACATTGTCGAAGAGAAGCCACAGCTCGATCTAGGATCTGCCTTGCCGTCGATTGACGACTTCCGCACCAGTCTTATTATGCCCAACCTCTCGACCAGATTCAGCATGCTCAGAGAGCAAGACGACCCGCACTCGTTGCTCGGAAAGGCTTCAGATGATAGTGTCCTCCAGCCTCAACGCAACTCTCGCCTGCTCGACTTTGGTTTCTCGAACAAGAACCTCAATGACATTGCCGAGGTTGAGTCCATCAACAGCTCCATCCGCCCACCATTTACCCTCGACCGAACTGGTTCATTTGCGTCCGAAGAGGGCTATGGAACTGACAATAACTCCAACCCGGATGGCAGCGTCATGACCCGCTCTCGCCCTGGAGAAGGCAATGTGTTATTCGGTGGTCGTCAGAAGGTCTACAAGATTGCCACAGGTTCCGCAAAAAGCATAGGAGGAAACAGCGAACGTGCCATGGGAGGAAAAATGCTATACGATGATGATATGAACATGTCGGCTTTCCAGAAGTACAGACAGCAAGAAAGGGAGAGGTTGCTCGCTATGGGCGCCGATTGGGATAGTGACAGTGCTCTACAATCTCCTGACACTGATCCTGAACGCCGTGCATCAGATGATCTTCCCAAGGGACTTGGTCTGTCCGGTACTGAAACTGGCTTCTCCTTCCTCAAGCGCAACAGCGATTCGACAACAAACTCGGTTCCCTCTCAAGATCCTTCCTCATCAACAGCAACTTCGGTCGCATCACAATCTATTGGCACTGCCATCTCAACTCCAGCAACCGTACCCAAAACATCACCAAATCCTACTGTACCCGGACTGGAACGATCAATGACCAAACGTCGTTTGTACGAGCAAGGTCTCAATCAGCACATCCAGGATCAACAAGCTTCGACCATGTCACGCCTCAATTCTATCAACCAGCGACAACGTGCTCCCACGCTTCCATCTGCACTTAACCACTCTAGAAGTATTGGAAATCTGCAGGATCGACGTGCGTACAAGCCATATGCTCTGCACAACACAACAACAAGTCCTCAGCTCAGAAGCGGCATGGCTCCGCTCAACACACTGGTCGCAAAGGTGGCCTCGAGCACATCCAGCCCAACAGTCTCGAGCTATCCACAATCTCCTATCAGTCCCGTCATTCCTGAAACTGAGGAGTACCAAGTCTTGCACTCGGCTCTCGAGCGCAATGACCACGGAAAGGCGACTGCTCTGGGCATGTTCAACAAGCCTGCTCAGCAGTTCGACGAGCAGCAGTATCTCAAGCGACAGATGCAGATGGGTCAGCCTAAGAGTGAGTCTCCGGTCGACACTCCGATCAAATTGTCACCAGTCAGTCAAGCCGAGACACCCAAGCAGGTTCCTGCAGAGCAACCACCTCTCAGCAAATTAATGTCAAGGGAAGGCGCTACCTCTCGACAAGCTTCAGCAGAGCACACTCCGCCAGACTCTCGTCTAGCACGATTCGACTCGGCCAGACAGAACAATTTCTCTCGCAACTCTCAGCGATCGCGTTCTCGCTCTATCTCCTCGAGGCCAGGAGCTATTCCTACCGCTTCTGCTCCCGAACCACCAGTCAATGCTGCTCTTGCTGTTTTCCAGCGTGCTGCTATGAACAATCGTGTTGCTCACGGAGATTCTCCAGAACAAGCGGCAGCTGCAACATTCGACAATCAACATTTCCCCCAACAACAACAACGACACAACGACATCATCGACAACAACCGCACGTTCTTTGGTGACAGTGATGACGAAGATGAGGTCGAGGAGAGACCTGATTACTCACGCCCAGCTTCCTCAGCTAGCCGCTACGGAGCTAACAATCAGCCGCCCGCCTCGCAACATCCTGCTCTCCGCGATGACTTCATCACCGAGGAGGACGAGGAGGAGGAAGAAGAAGAAGAGGAAGAACGTAGAGGCTTCCCCTTCCCCGAGCCTTCCATCAACGTCGCATTTGCTCAAGCTGGCGCTGATGAACGTGAAGACACTGATTCCCCTACGATTGGCGTGCACGAAGGCCTCGGAGGTATGATCAGCCAGCATTTGCGAAACAGGAGTGACGGATCTTCCATCTACCCTCCCAATGCTATATATGCCGATCGTGCCTCTACAATCAGTCGTAACACTTACAACTACTCGGATCGCCGCCTATCTGGCAATTCAAGTGCCTGGAACATCGACGAGCTTGATAACTATTACGGAGAGATCCCCTCGCGTGTCACGACCAACTCGACAACAGCCGCTTCTCAAGGTCAAGGACTCACTCCTCTACCTCTCAAAACCAACGGCTCACGGCCATCGACGTCCGACGACAATGTCGAAAGTGCTTCATGGCACCCACAGCATACTCGCGATACTAGCACCGCCACCCAAGCAGAACGCGAGGCATTTGCCAACGAATTGGAGGCTCGGAGAAGGGCCATCCAAGAGAAGATGAAGAGCATTGTCGAAAGCGAGAGCCGCGGACCGAGCCCAGGTCCTAGCGCAAGCGGCGCTCTCAAGGCTTTCGGTATGCTCAAAGCTAGACCCAGTCAGGAGACCATGAATCTGAGACAAACCAATGGATCGAGGCTCGGTTTGGGTCTCTCGGGTGCACATCCCATCGAACGCAATCCAAGCTACGAGGACAAGATATCTCAATCGACGAACGTTGGTGGTGCACAGTGGCCTCTTGGTCCTGGATCTGTGATGCCCAGTGCTAAGCCACAAGCAGACAGCGAGATTGGTCGTACACCTCCTCAACAGGCGAGAGAAAGGTCGCGCAATCGATCGGGCTCTAACGCTTCTCGAGCACGTTCACGCAGTCGTAACCGTGGTGAGGTTGGCATGGCAGTAGGTGGTGCTGAAGACGCACCTGCAATTCCTGGACAGCGACCTTCCCCCGAGATCAATTCATACAGATCACCATCGACCGAAGGCAGAGGCCGCCTGAGAAGCAATAGTAGAGCTGCAGGTCTGCACCCCAGCGCAAGGCCACCCATGGGTCCTTCGCCTTCTCAATCACCTGGAAGCTTTAACTCGATCATGTCTCCTCCCCTCGGCACCGCTTCGTCAGGATCGAGAACGCCTTTCTCAAAGCAGGCACCTGCAGTCATGCCTTCCATCCCTCTTGGAAAGCCTAGAGGAGAGACGCTACGGAAGAAGACCATTAACAAATTCGACATCTCGGAGCCCACGCTTGTGTCGTCCACATCCAACATCGATACTGTCGATTTGCCTCCTGGAGCATCGCTCAAGAATGGAATGGATGAAGTCTATGCTGTCGAACAAGCAGCAGTGGTCTCTCGCCGTCGTAAGCTGTTTGGATTTGGCAGAGAGGGGTCGTCCGACAGAGAGAAGACTCCCGACAGTGTTTCATCGCCACCAATGAACGGTTTCACTTCTCCGCCCATGCGTTCTATTGTGCCATCATTTGGATCGCAGGAGCCCATGGGCTCGCGCAAGCCTTCTGCCGAAGCAGTGAGCATTTACCATCAACCACTCCGTACCAAGCAGAGCTTCGACACAACACACACTACTCATACGACACAAACAGCAGCGAGCAACGCTCGCTTTGATGCTGTTGGCTCGCCGGTCCTCAATGAGGCAGGCATGTTCTGAGGAACGACTCTTCAAGAGTTTACACCGTTCTATTCTTTCGTACTAATCTTCGTTTCGAGTGAGCGAGGTTATGTTATTTTCTGTTTATACTGTTAGCGAATGGATGCGCAAAAGAGATACCAATTTTGCAGGAGTTATTGGGAGCCAAAAAAAAAACAAGGGGCCTCAAATGGCAAGACATGGATGTCTAGTTTTTCTCTTTTCTCCTTGTTGTGAACGAAACCTCTTTACGCAGTTCAGTTTCTAATTTACTTATCCTCAAGATTGCCTTTGTGTCTCTGTGCAGTGCCATGTCGTACGTGTGAGAGCTTGGTCGTGAGTGAAAGATCATGGCCGGTGTCGGCAGATGGATCTAGAATGACAAAAGTCAGGGTGACAACGCGTTGTCTTGCAGCCCCAGATTTCAGCTCGCGTTGGTGTAAAGTGTCGAACGAACGGCTTGCCATGTCAACAAGCTTTGTTTGTAAATCGTAACGTTCTTGGACTCCACTCGATCCTGCCTCCTGCATCATCAACAAGCAAACATGGCGAACCGTATGCATGCAACGCCCATGGACTTCCAGTACGAGAATGGCACTGGACCTCTAGACGAACGATCACCCTTTGCACAAGTAGGCCGCAACTCCCAGCGCAACAACGGCGGCAGCATCAACGACAGGAAGCGTACGTCCCCTGATGCTCACGTGTGATCATACCAAAGGTCCACTTCAAAAGTAGCTAATCGGGTTCCCTGACAGGCAGCTACGCAGTATTTGGATCACCTAACAAGTCGGTCTTTCCCAGCCTTCGCGAACCCGCTTCTCAGCCACATTTCTTTTCGTCGCCTAAACCTCTGCCTGCTCTGCCGCCATCTATGAGAAACAACCCTTTGTTCTCTACTCCGAGGAAACTGGACGTTGACGACTTTGCTTCTTCTGGCGGCGAGACACCCAAATCACCTGAGCGCAACGACGTCGACAGTGACGCTACCCCCGATATGAGTTTAAGGTCAAAGTTCTCCAGTCTGGACACCATGAGCAAGCCAGTATTCACTGCTGGTAGCAAGAAAGAGAAGGAGAGGGAGTCTCCATCACGCCGTCAGAGCTGGTGGAAGGGTATCAAGGACAGTATGGCTTCTTCACCACGTTCAAAAGACGACTATGCACATGGAGCCGAACGCAAGATCATGAGGAAAAGGAGCAAGGAACAAAAAGCCTTGGTTGCCCGAAGAGACAGCGTCTCGGACTCTGAGACAGAACAAAGGCCAATCCAAGTCACAAAATCACGCAAGGTCAGCGGCAAGCAGGATAAGAGCCTGGACATAGCCGCACCACCTCAAGATCTTCGACAACAACAACAGCCACCATTACAACAGCAGGAGCAACAGCAGACTCCACCTAGCAAACACTGGACTGTGACTCTGTTCGAATTCATCACCGCACATCCAACACTACCCCACGTTCTCTCCTTCTACGCCCAACTGCTTCTCAACATGTTCCTCATCGGCAGCATAATGTACATCCTTTACAGTTTCTGGGCCACCATCCGCGGCGACGTGGACAAAAAGACGAGCATCGCTGTTGCTGAAGTGCTATCTCAAATGGCAGCTTGCGCGAGAGATTACAACAACAACCACTGCGATCCAGCGATTCGCCCTCCTATCTTGGAAAATGCATGCAACAATTGGGAGCAGTGCATGAACCAAAACCCGCATAATGTTGGTCGTGCGAGAATCAGTGCGCATGCGTTTGCCGAGATCTTTAATAGTTTCATCGAACCCATTTCCTACAAAGCTATGGTGAGTTGCCCTTTCCGAACTCTGCTAGTTGAGTCTTGCTGACTGATGCGCGTTACAGATCTTCACAGTCCTGCTCATCTTCGTCACCATTGCCGGCTCCAACTTTGCATTCAGCGTCTTCCGCGACAAGGCGGCTGAGAATGCTAGTGCGCAGCATCATCACTATTACAATGGTGCTCCGCCTCCTACTCCCCAGCACTCGTACAACTCTGCGCTAGAGTGGAATAATCCGTATCAGCAGGGTCAGCAGTTGGGACTTGAGCCTGCGGCTAGTGGACAGTATGCGGCTGATAGGGAGGCTTCGCCGGTGAGGAGGCTGCAGTTTCGCTGAGCTTCTGTTCACTCTTGGTCCTGAAAGTGCATATGGAGATGTGCTTTTCTCTTTCTACGAATCTGTGGTCTTTCCTTTGTCTCTCTTTTCTTTGGTCATGATGGCGGCTTTCCGATACCAGCACAAGCGCTCTGTTTTTCTTTGCATTGAGAAAAAAAAAAACAGGCTGATAAAGGGGACAGTGGGAAGTCAGGTCTCTCTTCACCAAGTCTTGTTTTGATTTTCGAGGTTGTAGAACATATAAAAAGTCCAACAGCATTTTGCAATATTCTTGTTACTCCTTGTCTTTCCCCCATGATACAATATAACTATGCGCAGTTGTGAATATGAAGGACATGTTACAAGAGCCGCACTTGTCGACTGAGGTATCATTATCCCAACATCGCGTTTCTGCAAAAGAGCAGTAGATATGACCTTTCATTCTCTTGCCAATGGCTCATCCTTCGAACTCATCTCTTCTCCTATCCCTACAACCACCTGTTTCTTTATACATCTCTCTCCCCTGCCTCTTGAAGTTGTTGCTCCATGGCAGTGGCTCAAAGCACCGCCAACACCACAATGTCTTTGGCACCTCGTCGGCGAAACCAAGCAGAGACGCGACAAAGTTGACAATCAAGCAGACAATGGGGTCCACGATGAATGCCCAGGTGACGATGAGAATGGCAGCCCACATCAGGTATACCAAGCCTATCATGCCGTGTATTGCCAGCACAAGTAGGGATTGCCAAATGTTCAAGATCATTGCTGTTGTTACGGGGGGAAGGCTTTGACTGAACTGTGAGAATGAATGGGTGTGTGAGCCGATGGCGCTGATGGCTGGGTCGTATTTGATATGGATGGTGGGTCTGCGGCACAGGTGTGAAGTCGAGTCCTTGCTTCATGCGCGGCTGATAGCAATATCAGCATGCATGGGTTGGATATTATCGCATACTAGATTTTGTACAAACAGCTATACAGGAAGACATTCATGTTGAGCATGGTGGCATTCACTGGAGCTCAAGTACTCATAAACAGACCTTCCAACGTGAAGTTGTTGTGTATTCCTATGACCCACATTGGGCGTTTGCTTTTGGGTGAGCAGAAGAAAGCAAGCAGAAATCACCTACCTAGTATAGACAATCCATGAGAAGGCTCGTGAGCATTGTTCATCACTTTGCGATGCGCTGTATTGTCTTTCGAACATGGCAGGCAAATAAATGTTGCTGCTTCAGTGGTGGTTGAGCAGCAAAGAGTGTCTCGGCTTCGGGCGAGCCGTCGTTTGCCTTCCGTTGACTTTTCTCTGACCAAAAAGTCTTCCCAACTGCTTTTTCCTTCTGTCGTACCTCATGATCATTCTGATGTCCGTGAAATCCTTGCTCTTCAGCCCAACGCATGCGTATGGATTCGTTCGCAATTGGAAGAACATCACACGGTGGGCAAAGTGTGGTTGGGTGAGTGAAGCCTTGGATGTCAGTTATGATTTGACAAAATGGAATTCTGCCATAAATCCGCCCGCTTGGTGAGCTCCTCTTCCCGTTCCTCCTTTATGAGACTCCCGCTAATCCCAAATAGGCCAAGTGGTACGGCGTGTCACTCGTAAACGTTGTAAAAACGTGATATGACAAGATCCATGGTTCGATTCCGTGAGTGGGCATATCCTTTTTGTCTTTCTCTCTATCATGTATAGTGTGCAGAGCATGTCTTTTTGTCCTTGTTGTGAGTTTTTTAGCTTGTAGTTGGTCGTGTGGCTAGGTCTGACAGTGAATCTCTTGCTGTCTGTGAGCTCCTGGTTGTTGCTCAAACATCAAATGAAGCTCCCCCACTATTACATCATACGCGTGTTCCTTGACACTTGAATAAACATCCCTTTCTTGTGTCCTTCATCATACTTTCCAATACAATCTCGAAGTGACAGAAATCAAAATAATGGCAGAAGCAGCAGGTGTTCTGTATACAGTTGAGCATGTGATCGAGGGTGGCCTCGCACTAGCAAAAGGCATATACGACCCAACTCTACCACTCAAAGCAACCATCAGACCCATCACCGATGTGAATCTGCCACGAGTACACCACAGTGTGTCTGAAGTGAAGGGAAGAGCATACGTATTCGGAGGAAAGACCGATGGTGATCAAGTGAATTTCCTCCTCGAAATATCAGTGAACCAAATGGCTGACAAAACCACCAGCTCGCAGATAATGCCATGCACATAATCATCCTCCCTTCCTCTGGCATCGAAAGCACTGATTACAAATGCCTTGAATCAACATCTTCCTCGCCACCCGCAAGATACGGTCACAGCACCGCAGTGATCGACGACCAAATCTACGTCTTTGGCGGCTCAAACGCCAACGGACCTCTGGAGGAGAAAGGCAAAGTATGGGTGTTTGACACAGACACAAACTCATGGTCTGGTTTGAATGCTGCTGTAGGAGATGTACCTAAGGCTAGGGTGTGGGCGGCTGCTACTGCCAGTGTGCAGCCTCAACCCGAGCATCAGAGGACGGATGAGAATGTGGCTCCGCAGCTACCTCCTGATCCGGCGAAGATGGTGCCTGAGCCGTTGAGTCCGAGTACTTATGGTACTTTTGTTTTGTATGGGGGAGTTTGCGGGGAGAGCGAGAGGTAAGTCCTTCGTCCCATCCCGGATTGTCTGTACGCAGGAATCCATCGCATGTTTAGATGAGGGTATGCCGCCGCACACGGAGCAGCATGCAGACCTAACTTCACTTAGAACAGCACGGAATACTGACGCACAGCCATAGTACAAACTCAGAACTCTGGACCTTCGACATCGCGTCAAGAACCTGGTCCCAACTTCCCTCACCCTCAACTACCACTTCCTCCACAAACGCCAGCATAGCCCTCCACAACAACCGTCTCTACCTCGTCTCAGAAGCCTCAACCTACTACCTCGACCTCTCCTTTTCTGCGCCCTCATACAGCACATCCCGTAGCATAGGACCCACAGCATTGAGTCCCTGGTCAACCACACCATCCCCGAAGACGGAGACTAAATCACCACAACCATCTTCAACATCCCTCCTTCCAATAACCACAGGCCAAGGCCGCAACTACCTCCTCCACGTTCTCCCCTCTGCCCTCTCAACCCTCCAACTCCCCTCTTCCTCAACTACAGCCGCCTCCCTCAAAGACCGCGCCCGCAACGCCATAAGCAAGAAGAACGCGACTTACGACTGGGCAGAAGTGCGTTACTTTACTGCTGAAGGCGTCATGGTACAGGAAGGTCAGAACGGCAGGGGTATTGGAGGCAGGGAAGACTTTGCAGCGACAAAGGTCAAGGAAATCGATGGTGGGTGTATTTTCGTGTGGGGAGGATTTGTGGATGGAAGGGTCAAGGGTGATGGATTAATGGTCGAGGTTGAGAAGTAGAGGCGTTGATGAGATGGAACTGGGCCGCAAATTTCGAAACGTCCGGTTGACTCTGTGGCAGATTGTTAATCACTGTCGACGAAAAATGCTTCATCTCAAGTCGCAGTGGTTTAGTGGTAAAATTCGTGCTTGCCATGCACGAGCCCCGTGTTCGATTCACGGCTGCGACATTCGTTTTTGTCTTTTTGTATAGATCAGGTCGAACATCAGTTGCAATTGTTTTGGATGTTGTCGTGCTGGTAACCACTCGTCTTTTGGTTTTTTGTCAAGCTCAAGCTCCTGCCCGTGTGCAGAGTAATCTCCCGCTGACAATTCATCAACGTACTCGCTATCGAAAGGCACAATATCTTCCAGATGTGAGTTGCACCCAAGGAGACAGGAGAATTTATTGCTTCTCGATGGGTACTGCCCTGTTTCAGACCTTTGTGCAGTTTATAGCTAGTCAAATTCTTTGGTGGGTTGGGGAGCATCGATCGAGAATCGTGATACAATCAGCTCTCTGTGGACCTTGCTGCCGTCTGAAGAGAACTGTGCATTCTGATGGCTTTAACACGGCCTGTGAGTTGTTGTGAGAAGGCTGGAAACATCGGGTCAACGTTAGTTGGTGTCCAGGTAGAGAACGATGCAAACAGAGTCTGACAAGGTGGAAAGTAGAAATAATATCTCGGCCGTCTATTGTGTTATGAATCTATGCCATATGTATGCCATGTTTCTCAAAGAAGAGATCTAGCATCTAGCGATTGTGATGGTTATAGGAAAAGAGAAGTGCAAGAAGAGAAGAAGGAGAGGGAAAAGGCTCATCATTCCTCATCATGAACACTGGCCCTACGGCCAAAGTTCCTGGGTTGTCTCTTCAAGAATGCACCTACTGCACCGAGATATCCCTCGTGACGCAGGAAATATGCTTGTTTGTTGCCTTTGCTCCAGAATTTGATGGCAAAAGACAAAGTGTGAATTGTTTGACGGTGGCCACGGATGAAGCTGCCGCCAAAGTATATATGCTTGAGATTGTGTTTTTCGGACTGAAGGTAGGCGATTTGACCGATGTTGTTACTATTGCATAAAAGGTTAGTGGATTGCGAGTTGGAGGGTGTTGGCCAAGGGAAAACTAACCTGACTGCGTACAGCAGACTCCGTGAAATGTCTTGAGGTGCAAACATGCGGCCCTCGCCAATATCGAACTTGCGATCTGATTGCTGTTTGGCGGCACCTTCCGGCGTTGCTGTGTCGTATCTCTCTGGACCATCTTCGTGTTGTAGTTGTCCATCCTCAGCGTTTTGCTCTGCCTCTCTTTTGCGCTTGAAGACTTTGCCGAATGAACTGGCAATGGTTCTTTCGCTTAAGCCAATCTTGTCGTAGCCCATTCCTTGGCCGTAAATGTCACCGACTAGCAAGTCTACGGTCGAGTTGTCGCCTGCGTCTGCCATTGCTAGCATATCGTCGAATGTGCGTGCTCCGGTGAGCAGGGAAAGTAGACCCCAGAGGGTACCACCACCGAGTGATGTTCCGCCGATACGCTGGAATCTGGAAGGTCCTTCGACCTTGATCATACTCACACCACTGCCAATGTTGACAAGTAGATATGGGTACACGTCGGCGGGTGCATCGGTGTAGTGTATAAGGTTATCCTGATCCTCGTCGTGGTAGGTAAATACCTCATTCGGAATCTCGGTGATGAAGAAATCCAGACCTTGGATCAAACACTCCATCTCATCCTCTCTCATAACATCAACACCGAGTCTTTCCTTTATGCGATCGTAGTACTTGAAAGCACCACCACCGGTAGCCATGACGCAGAGCTCCGATTGCTTGCCGCCATTGGCTCTCTTTTGCTTCTTCTGCAACTCGCGCATAAACTCAATACACGTATCGATCTTCTCAGTCTCGAAGCGCAAGAAGTGTAAACGACCTCCCGGCTCTTTCGCACCGGGCTCGCGCGAGAAGTAGACGACTTTGGCAAGGGAGCCACCAATGTCTGCGGCAACGTGGCTGACGACCGAAGTGTGGTTTGGCAGGCGGATGTCGCGGCGGTCATGCTCATAGCCTTGTTCCTCGACTCCACTGTCGCTGGCGGGGGATTGAGCTTCGCCATTGTCGATTATGTAGGCTCCGCTGACGTTGATCTTGATGGTACCCGGGTCGACGATGCTGTGTTGCATGTCTTCGGCCGAGCTCGACACTCGTCGGCGCTTGAGCGGCGGGGGTCGGTCGGTCATTCCGGGTGATCCGTACGAGGGGCACACGACAGCGAGGGCTGGAACAAATTGTTGAGCCGTAAGGAAGCTGCGATTGGAAGCTTTGTGTCGCTGAGTTCGGTGTGACAAGGTCAAATCTGGCCGGAGAGATCGGAATGAGTTTTGTGAGAGAAGGACAGGTAGATGATCAGAAAAGGGGAGAGAGAGAACCAAGCAGAATAATGGTTCGACTTGTCTCGCAGTTGGTTGCTCACATAATTAAACAAAGTCCGTGTCCCCCACTAGACCGCTGCGGGGCCGAAAGAGACCCTGGGGATATATGCTGTTATCCATCGCAGCATGTTTGCTTACTGACGAGTCTCACTCGAGCAGAAGATAAGCAACCACTACAATCCACGCGTGATTTATGCATCACAGACACACCACACGTAGACCATTGGAGTTTCTCATGCTCTCGGACTCGGTGGAATCGCCTGTGTCTCGCGCTGGGTTCGGTCAGCAAGGCTCTCAAGAACAATGAGAAGACCATGAGTCGTGTAAGACAATGCGCGGCGTTCGGGATTATCTCCCACGCCCTGTTACCGAGTGGCCGAGGTCGAGGCTTCCGCAGGTCCATTTCCACCAAAAACTCCACGAACCATCATCATCGAACTCGGTAATGTCTCGTGTGATGCTCTTTACCGGCACAATATTCGGTCCAAGGATTGATTTCTTCGAATAAGAGATGGCGTTCATTAAGTGTATTGTATATCGCTTTTCCCCTTTTACACGAAGAAACCCTCCGCGTACCCATATCCTTTTGATGCTATGCAGACCAGCAAATGTTACCACCAAAACCTCTTTTAACGAAATCTCAATTGATATGTACGTCATCTAGTCGTACAAAGCCTCGAAAAAGTAGATGACTCCAAAGACCAGGAAGGCAATTGCTCCACCAAGGGTGACTGTCATGTGTTAGCTTTGTATCAATATTATAAGAGTCGAAATGTACTTACCAACCCTCAAGCTCACTTTACCAGCAAGAGCGCGTCCTCCGATGACAGCGATACCAGTGCAGATCATGTGTCCTGCAATGGCACCACCTGTCACCCACCAGTAGTCTTGTCCAGCAGCCATAGCAATGGTAGCAATCTGAGATCGGTCACCCCATTCACCGAGGAACGTCATGACAAAAGTCTGCACCCATGCAGGCGAAAGAAGAAGACCCAGAAGGTTGTTGAGTCCACCAAGTGCGTTGCTGACAGAAGCCTTTGCTCCACGACCAGATGGAGAGGGGGATCTCGAGTCATCCGATGAAGGAGATTGTGCGCGTGCAGGGAACTTGTGACGCGAGCCAGATCTTCTGCCACGTCCAGCCTCGAGAACGTATGGCGAAACTGATGATCGTCTGCGGCCTTCCTTGCGTGCGAGATGTTCCTTCTCTTCCAATTCAGCTTCAACCTCTTGCATCTCTTCTCCAACACCAGCATCCTTGTCCATCTCGAGACCCTCGCGCAGCAGCTTACCACCGAAGATGAGGAAGAGGCCAGCTGCGAGCCATGCAGTGAGATGCTTAGGGAGAAGAGTCGGTACCGCGTGGCCAAGAACGGCGGAGAGAATAGTCATAGTAATCAAAGCGGAGAAGGCGCCAGAGAAAACGACGAGCTGAGGGTGACGCATGGCCATGAGTGCGGCGACCAGGAAAGTCTTGTCGCCAATTTCGGAGAAGATGATCATGGTGAATGCGAGAACGAAGGAATGGAAAGGCTGAATGATGCCTTCTGTTCCGTCCCCAGGGATTGCTGCGGGTTGTTTCCCTTCGGTGTAGGGGAGTGTGTCTTTCAGAGTAGAGCCCACGGTATGGCTCAATGTCCCGGAAGATCCGGTGTCCACAGGCGCTACATGTGCAAATGTGTCCTTCTTTTCAGATTCCAATTCTGTGACTTTCTTGGGCGTAGTGGGTGAGTTCTCGTGAGGCGCATCGGGGAGGTCGGCCGGTTTCTGTTGAGCTGTGGTTAGTTGTGTCTGAGAGTTTCTGATGCAAGAGAGTCATACCTCAAGTCCCTGAGCACCCTTTGGTTTCCCGACGGGACTGGTCGCATCTTTGGCCTTTTCTGGCGAATCCTTGCCCATGCGCTCCTCCTCGCTATGAGGAAGCGGAGGTGCTTCCTTTGGTGTCTCTGGCTTCTTCTCAGCCTTCTCGCCAGTTTGACCTTGTACTGCCTTGTCTTTCTTGTTCCTTTCGGTGACGCCTCCTTCAGTGCCAGTGGTACCCTCCTTCGGCGCCAGACGGTTCACATCATCCATAACTCCGTCATTCTTCTCTGGAATAGCACCAAAGTCTGTTGCATCGCTTCCCTTCAACTTTGAGAGAGATGTAGGGAGAGGCTTCACCAGATCCTCTGCGACGGCGGCGGGCTTCTTCTTGTCCTCGGGGGTGATGTCGACAAATGGTCCTGCATGCGGTTTTCCATCCAGACCGTCGACAGGAGCGTCTTTCGTACCAACAACAGGCTTTCCCGTTGGTGCACGCGAGTTCGATGTGGTGATAGCGGTATAATCCTTCACGACGCCGCCAGCTGCTGGTGCCTTGGCCGCGAGTACTCCATCTTCCGCCTTTGGCTCAATGGCTGCCGCAGAGACAAGAGCGGGTAGAAGCAGTAGCAAGAGAGTCGAGGGGGGCGATCGCACTCTCATATTGGCGAATGTCGATCAGGATGTCCGGACTGTGTATGCGTCCTAGAATGGATATCGGTGGACTGCTGACGGAGACAGCTCTAGCGCAAGTTTGCTCCGAATCTCAATGCTCGAGTCCGAAACGTCGCCCGATAAAGTTTGGTATACAAACGTCAAGAGAAGAAAATGTGGAAGACGGTGAAGTAGAAGAACGGAAAACAATCAAGCAGAAGGGGAAAAGGGTGAGTTGAGGCGCAACAACTGTTTTTCAGGGACAACAACGATATATTCTGAGCGCCTCCTTTCTACAGTGCCAAGCAAGCTTCGTAATTGTCTTGCCTCCTGGCAAACTGCTGGGAACCTTGAAGTCAGGTGGAACACGTGTGTTGCATGCCTGTTTCTACAATCAGGCCTTGTAAGAGCGTCTTTGGGAGGTTTGATCTACGTGATGCATGTCCTACCTACGCCTTTGGCTTTGTCGAGGGGCCTTGTCGCGTGTCCTGTGTCAAGTGCTTCTCAGTCCTACTAAGCTTTGATGCTCACAGCTTCGTGCTGCATGTCCAACCATTGCAGCTCTGTGTACATCATAAGGGAACGCCTGTCTGCTAGCTTCGATGTCACAGAGTATTTTGTGACATGGCAAGTTCTTGAAAATGACACTGGAGTTGGGCACAGCACAAGTCAAAGGCCGCAATGTGGAATAGGACGGAAAAGGTCAGGGTCATCCCCGTAACCCCATGCCAAAACCTAACCCTAACCCCAACCAACCTTTTTTTGGAATTATCGTTTTTGAAGTGTTAGGGTTAGAACCGATTAGATAAGATCCAGCGGTCCTTCCTTCCTACTTCGTGTCTGTCATATGGAGAAATCATTTCCTACCAACAATTTTGTATACCAGTGCTTCTAAAGTCCTGTTCAAATCGATCTCAACACCACACTTGATACTGTAGTCGTGATGATAAGTAGATGAAAAGAGAGCTCAAGATGCGGAGAGTCACGTGGCACGCGATGGGGTAAATCGCGTCGTGTCGCGCGCGCCGCTGCCTTGTGTTGTCCTCACTCACACCGATCATCACATTCGCACAATCAAAGACCATCGATTTGAGTCGCCCAAGATGGCGCGTACGAGGAGTCAAAGTCGTGAGCCTAATGTTGAGCCGCAGCCAACAACCCGCCAGGTCAGAAGGGTCGATGGCGGTGCAGCGAGCAGCGCGCCGCAAGCTCAACAACGTAAGTTAAGTCCGCATACACCAATCTTGCGTCCTTCACTGTCCATCGAAGGCATTATGAATGCGTTGTTACTGCTTGCATCTGGTGATATGGACTGACACATGATGTAGCGCTTGAGCCTCTAGTTGAGTATCAGAGTGAAAACGAAGATGATGACAATGCCAGTGAAGGCCGCCAATCGGCAGACATCGATGAGGAGGAGGAAGAAATCTCAGATTTTCACTCTGCCCCCATCGATGATACCTTCTCTCAAACCGAACTCCAACAGCTCGATCCCGACGAGATGGAGAGCAACCTAGAAGAGCTCAATGCACAAGCTAGAAAACTCCTAGGTTGCTTCAAAACACGCACCGGCCAGCCAGATGAGCTCGAGTCTCTCATTCGCCAATCGCAAGATCCCGAATCGAGACAGCGACAGAAAGCTGATGGTTGCCGGGCGTCACTGGCACAGACACAGACCACATTTACTCTTGCGGGAGAATACCTCAAGCTTGACACCATCCTCCGAGCCTTGTTGAGGAAAAGAAGCACACAACCATTGCCCAAGGCTTCCCGAGCTTGGAGACCAGATGATGTTATTCACAAGGCCAACTTGGCTGTCTTTGTGCACATCGCCATTACTCAAGCCGATGATGGAGATTTGGCAGATGCCTTGGTAACTGCAGACCAAGACTTTGCTTCGCCTTTTGTACGCGGGTTCACAAGACCTGGAGCTAAGCCGCAGACTGGCTACAGCACTCTTGTCTCAGAGACATTTGAATTTGCTCTGGAACTCAGGACTCAACTTCTTGTCATTATGCTTAATAACGCGAACCCAACCCAAGATACCGCTGCAGGAATGATTCAGAGTACGATGCTTAATTTCGATGCAGACGCTGATGATTACGAAGAGGAAATGGGAGCCATGCTGAGTCTCCAGACCGCTTTGTCTCACAGTCGTCATGCCAAAGGATGGGAACATCTTGATCCCCATGCCTTGGAGACCGACAAATATGCCGAAAAAATTATTCAACGTACTGAAGAGATCAGAAGGCTGCTGTTCAGTGGTATCGACAACCCCTTTGTTGATACATTGGCAAGCTTAGATTCCGGCTTGATCAGACTGCAGGAGCGATTCCCTCGTGAGCAGTTTCAGAAGCACCTGTTAAAATGGTCCAACTTGCGGCTTTCGGAGATTGACGACAGCATTAGGAAGCTGGGTGGAATCGATGAAATAGTCGGTGCCTTGGAGGACGAAATCAGGCAACGTCTCGACAACCCAGATGCATACGTTGATGAGGACCAAGAGGACCGAGAACCACTGTCGAGCATCGAAAGCAGTACTGCAGCCATGAGCAATAACACTCCGCCTGTGCCAACATCGAGGTAAGAACATCTTATGCAGAGCATGTATCTAGACTAATCTTCCAATAGCACAAAGATACCAGCCAGACCTTCCGTCTTGTTCAGAGGTCGTCCAGGCACATCTACCAGTGCTCCAACATCCGCTACTGCACGCAAGGAACCAGGAATAGCACGAAATGATGCTCAAGTCACCGAAGCTGTAGCATCGTCCGCTGCCTTAACACAAGATCGTCCAAGACTGACTGGAAAGCTGGCGATAGCAAACGCACGCGATGAACAAGAACGTCAAAAGCGACGATTCATCGACCCTCAACCTAATGGCGTGAGAATTTCTGACGACATGCTCGAGTCTCAGTCTGCTTCTCAGCGGCGACTACCGGACACGCAGGAGATGGAGATAGATCCCGTTTTGAGTGGCGAAGTGGAAGACCCGAGTGAAGACGAGGGTTATCAGCAGGACCAGCGCAATCTTCCTGGCCGCAGACTTCCGCCAAGATCTTCGACTGTACCCTACCGAGCTCCAGCCCAAGCAGAAAGCACCCAGCCGGAGCGTCGTCACATCGCCTCTGAGCTTGACACTCCAAACAAGCGACAGCGCCAGAACCCTGGTCAGCTTGTTGTGCCTTATCAAGCAACTGCTGATGATGATGTCAACTCTTACAAGATTGCATCTACCATCACCAGGCTAAACCAAGCAAGTACTTACAAACCACAAAGGGGACGCAAGCCGTGGACCGACGAACAGGTGGGAGCTCTGGTCAGATTAATCAGAGACCACGGCATATCGTTTGCCCACCTCAAGAGGATTGACGACGCAAGGGACAATCCGGCACTCGAGGATCGAACTCCCGAGGACTTTCGCTTCAAAGCTAGGGAGATGAAGGTCAAGTACCTTATGTAAGTCCTATCAAGCTCTGATTAACTCTCGCTGCATGACCAACACAGCCGTAGGTCCCATAAACCCCTTCCTGAGAATATGGAGTTGATTCGACTGGGTAAGAAGGAGATTGAGAAGGTCAATACGGTGGTATTTTATGAGCAGGAGCCTCAACGTGAGCGCGCCCGCATTGTTTCAGTTTCTCCAAGAGCATCGCCCGAGTGATGTTGCTCGGAGGAGGTCAGATTGTACTTTCCTTACATATATATTCTTTTATGGCACCATACGTTCGATTTAGTCTATACTGTGCTCCATGCTCAGGACTGCCCTAGAGCTCTCTCAAGAGAACATTCTAAACATCGACCCAGGCAGTGTTCAATCTTGAATCAATACTAGCCTACCATGCTACATGACTCCTTTGTTTGCAGGTGGATGCATAGGATGTTATGATTAAGCTCTTCCCATGACAACCATAGCGCTTGAAAACTCGCCCTAAGCAGAGCTCAGAAACTAATATGCTAACAAACGTGACTAGAATTGGTATTTACATAGAACAGATATACATGTGTCTTTGACCTCAAGAACATGAAATTTACAACTTGGCAAAGACAGTACCGACAACACCACCCATCTCAACCAGAGTGCTCTTATTCTTAACCCAGGCCTCGAGTCCCTTGCGGCCATTCTCCACACCCACACCACTGAGTTTCCAACCACCCACGGGCATCTCAGCAGGACTCTCACCCCAGGTGTTCACCCAAGTAATGCCAGCTTGCAATTGAGCAACAATCTTGTGAGCGGCGTTGATATCGTTGGAGAACACACCAGCAGCCAATCCCATAGGTGTATCGTTAGCACGCTTTACAACCTCTTCCACGGTATCGTAGGGCAGGATTGACATCACAGGGCCAAAGATTTCTTCCTTGACGATGCGCATGTCGTCAGTGCAGTTTGTGAAGATTGTGGGCTTGACCCAGAAGCCATCTGAACTTGCTCCCGCGAAGGATGGTTTGTCGAAACCGCCGTAGATGAGTTTGGCTTTGTCTTCATTTACACCATGACGGATGTAATCGAGAACTTTTTGGTAGTGGACTTTGCTGACTAGAGGGCCAAAGTTTGTGTTTGGATCCATGACATCTCCTGCGCGGACGTACTCCATCTTTTGGATGAGGCGCTTTTCGAATGCCGGGACCATCTTTCTGGGTACGAAGACGCGAGTGCCGTTTGTGCAGACTTGGCCGGTGGAGAAGAAGTTTGCCATCATGGCGCCGTCGACGGCGTTTTCGACTGGGCAGTCGGGAAGGACGATTAAAGGTGATTTGCCGCCGAGTTCCATGGTCACGTATTTCATGTTACCAGCTGCCGAGCCGGCGACCTTCATGCCGGTGCTGACTTGACCTGTGAAGCTGACTTTTGCGATCTTGGGGTGAGCAGTCAGGTATGCGCCGACGTCTCCGGCTCCTTGGACGACGTTGAAGACACCGGCGGGTACACCGGCCTCAGTGTAGATCTCAGCCAGAATCTGTGCGTGGAGAGGAGTGAATTCTGAAGGCTTGTAAACCATACAGTTTCCTGCTGCCAGACAAGGCGCAGACTTCCAGAGAGCGATTTGGATAGGGTAGTTCCATGCACCGATACCTGCACAGACTCCCAGAGCGTTCTTGGTAGTATACACCCATGCATCTGGACGAATTCGAGTGGTTTCGCCGTTCAGACCGCCTGAAGCAACCATGTTGGCATAATACTCGAGCACATCGGCACCAGTGACAACATCCACAGTGCTGGTTTCCGAGAAAGGCTTGCCGGTGTCGTGTGTCTCGACCTTTGCAATCTCATCATTGCGTTCCCGGAGAAGAGCCACGGCCTTTAGTAGGATACGAGATCTTTCGATTGCAGGAGTGGTGGACCATGACTGGAAAGCTGATTGGGCAGATGCAATAGCTTTGTCAATGTCGGCATGGGAAGCGATTTGGATCTCTCCTACGGGCTTTGCAGTAGCTGGATCCACTGTTTGGAAAGTCGAGTGTGAGGTTGCGTTCTGGCGCTTGCCATCGTAGTACAGTTGGCGGAGAGGATAAGTCATGATATTCGTTCTGGATGATTTTTTGTTTGTCTCAAGGTTGTCCGGATACAGCGGGTGAGTGAGAGGTCTTTGTTGCACGCGATGGGATCCCAGATGTTTGCTAGAGGCGATAAAAATATCGCCGACGCCTTGCTGATAAGGCACAGACTACTTTTTCGAAAGCGATTGACGTGCGAGGAGCGGGGAGGGCGCTGAGACGTTCCAATGCTCGGCCAAGCCAGCGGCCAGAGCTCGTACGTAAATTCTCTAGCTCGGTTGACAACAATCACCATCGCGATAGCATCAGCGTCCTAAATGCTCGAGCACACCATCGAGGACACGCCACAATCGGCCGGCTTACTCTACGGATGCATGGAACAGCTCATGCCAACCACTCCCCCACGAGCAAGCAACTGATAGCTTGACTCGTTTATCAGAGCTGATAAGTAGTAGGGGATTCCACACCTTTTCTGGTAGCAAAAAATACGACCCCTGGTGACCCCTCCTCTTGGTTCTCCAACAACTCTGGAAGGCCAGCCGATCGACACTGCAAGAGTCAGCCCTGATCTGGGCCTAGGGCGGGCGCGTCTTTTGGAGCAGTCCGTAACGAAAAACTTCAGACGCGCAAGCAAGCACCTTGGTGAACCGTGAACCTTTCGACTAACGCATGAATCGAGCGTGCCTGCCCGTTGATCAAGGATTCAGAGATTAATTGGCGAGAGAGGCGCCGCCGACGACTTGGGTAGTTTGGTGGGCCGCTTAGAGTTTCGATACTGATAGGACGGTACTCGATCAAACCGAGCAGCTTGCTTGCTACAGATCCCACTGGACGGTTGCAGGAGCTTGCCCGCACCAAAGCTTTTTCCCTTGTATATAGGTCGTCCCGCCGAGACCCGTGTTTGGGCTTTCTTCTTTTTTCCCTTTATCTCCTCTTCTTCTGTCCTACACTCATTGGAGGACACTGCTTGCCCATCATGACCACCACACACTTGCCTTCGAACCCCGAGAACCACTTTGACTTCGTTATCGTTGGCGGAGGCACTGCAGGATGTGTAATTGCAAGCCGTCTTTCAGATTACCTTCCGAACAAGAAGGTTCTCTTGATCGAAGCCGGTCCCTCGGACTTTATGGACAACAGAGTCCTTCTGCTCAAGGACTGGTTGAACCTCCTCGGTGGTGAACTCGATTACGACTATGGCACTACCGAGCAGCCCATGGGCAACTCCCACATCCGCCACTCTCGTGCAAAGGTCCTCGGAGGCTGCTCTTCTCACAACACCCTTATCTCCTTCCGCCCCTTCGAGTACGACTGCAAGCGTTGGGAGGCTCAAGGTTGCAAGGGATGGAGCTTCAAGACGTTCATGCGTGTTCTGGACAACATCAGAAACTCGGTCCAGCCCGTTCACGAGAGACACCGCAACCAGCTCTGCTTGGACTGGATTGACTCGTGCTCGACTGCCATGGACATCCCTGTCATTCACGATTTCAACAAGGAGATCAAGTCCAAGGGTGCCTTGACTCAGGGTGTTGGTTTCTTCTCCGTTTCATACAACCCTGACAACGGCCACAGAAGCAGTGCTTCGGTTGCTTACATCCACCCCATCCTCCGTGGCGACGAGAAGAGACCTAACCTGACCGTCCTCACCAACGCTTGGGTCAGCAAGGTCAACGTCAAGGGCGACAAGGTCACCGGTATCAACGTTGCCCTCCAAGATGGCTCCAAGTACACTCTCAACGCAAAGGCCGAGACCATTCTCTGTGCCGGTGCCGTCGACACTCCCCGTCTGATGCTTCTGTCTGGTCTCGGTCCCAAGCAGCAACTCGAGGAGCTCAACATCCCCGTTGTCAAGGACTTGCCTGGTGTTGGTGAGAACTTGCTCGATCACCCCGAGACCATCATCATGTGGGAGTTGAACAAGCCCGTCCCCATCAACCAGACCACCATGGACTCTGACGCTGGCATTTTCCTCCGCCGCGAGGCTCCCGATGCAAACAACGGAGATGGCGACATTGCAGATATCATGATGCACTGCTACCAGATTCCCTTCTGCTTGAACACTTCTCGGTAAGACACGCCCCTTCCACACCTCACCTCAAAGCAAACCAGCTAATCCGAACCGCAACAGTCTCGGCTACGACACCCCCATCGACGCCTTCTGCATGACCCCCAACATCCCCCGCCCCCGCTCCCGCGGCCGCCTCTACCTCACCTCCGCCGACCCAACCGTCAAGCCCGCCCTCGACTTCCGCTACTTCACCGACCCAGAAGGCTACGACGCCGCCACCATCGTCGCCGGCTTCAAAGCCGCCAGAAAGATCGCCACACAAGCCCCCTTCAGCGACTGGATCAAGCGCGAAGTCGCTCCCGGCCCTGCCGTCACCACTGATGAGCAGTTGTCAGAGTATGGACGCAGAGCAGCACACACGGTTTACCACCCCGCTGGCACCACCAAGATGGGTGATGTGAGCAAGGATGATAAGGCGGTTGTGGATCACGAGTTGAAGGTCAAGGGACTCAAGGGAGTCAGAATTGCTGATGCGGGTGTTTTCCCTGAGATGCCTACTATCAACCCCATGTTGACTGTGTTGGCTATTGGCGAGAGAGCTGCTGAGATGATTGCCGAGGCTCACGGCTGGAAGGGTATGGAGAGACAGAAGTTGTAAGAAGCTCTTGCTTGCAAGAGGCCTTACGTTTGGAGAAAGAGAAGATAAGTTTGTTGTTTGTATATATCAGAGGGGAAGGCAAGATATCCGAAGGCGCAAAGAAGGTGTTTGTTAAGAAAAATATTCAAATATACCCAAATTCATTTATCAATCGAAAGCACTTTTCCATTTGCACTGTGTTCAGGTCTTCTAAGTTCTCATGACATGGCTATGAGCAATTGATGCTCGCTATCAAATTGAAGGTCTTGTTCGTATCTTGCTATCTCTCTAGATGACTACAGAGTACGAAACAAACTGACGCTGTGTTCGTATCGAGAGATACCGGACCAGCATTCTATAAAGGAGTGCACGGGCGACGAGACTGCCCTCCGCCGTGGAAATCCCAAAGTGCTACAAATGAAGTTGTTGCATAGCTTGTAGCGGAGGTAATGATAGCACACTCTGTAGAGAATCGAGATAAGGGCCCTCGTTCAAGCCGGCTTGCGTAATACGCGTCTTGTAGAAGACTAGCATGTCAATGGTGATAAGCGTCGTAGATTGCGAGATTCGGCCGGTACTATCGGATAGACAGACCAAGGCAAGCTGGAGACAGATAGTGGGGTTGTTGGAATGGATTGTGGCAGCGACAAGGCAAAAGTCAGGAAGTTTTCACCTCTTTGCGCCAGCGGGGATGTCATAGCCTCTTGTCATGAAGTCGGCACTCTTGCCTATCGGCTTGCTCTGATCTCTGGATGAGAATAGTGTCTTGAGGTTGTCGTTGTGCATCCTTCGCTTCTTCGCTTCTTGCTCTTGAAGGACCTTTGCTGTCAGTGCAGCGGTTGAAGAATTGTTGATGTTGTTGGCTTCTTTCTGATCGATGATTTGGACCAGAGGTGGAACCTCGTCGACTTGGTCACGCTTCTTGCGCTTCTTTGATTCCTTTGCGGCTTTCTTGAGAGAATGGGCGAGACCTTTTTCTTTCAGAGTCTTGACGCGAAGACTCAGACGAGCGATGTCTTCAGGTGTGGTGGGCGAGATTGGGATGATGTCGTTGGAGGCGTACTCGTGGTCGCAAGTGACGCAGCGCTCTCCTGAAACCTCCTTGATGGCGGTGGCAGAGAAGGCGTGACCGCAGGGAACGAGGTAGACGGCCTTTTGGCCAGGACCTAGACGCTCACCAGTAACGGGGCACTTGAAGGGGTTCTTGGAGTCCTTGTTGGCGTTGGTGTCGATGTCAAACTTGATCTCGACAACGTCTTTCAGACTCTTGACGGAGCCTTGGAGTACTGAGTCGGCGTCGGCCTTTGTGATTGTGGCGTGGTCGGAGGGCAGTAGATATTCGATTATAGACTCTTTGTTGAACAGCTTGCCATTGGAATCGGAGACGATGGGCGGGGCGAGAGGCTTGCGAGTGATGGGATCGGTAGACCAGGCATATTCTTGTCGTTCGTGTTGCGATTGCTTGATCTCGGTGGTGGTCGGGTCGCGGGCGGCCTCCTTGACCAGTTCGCGTCGGGTTGGGATACTGCCACCGTCGTTACCCATGTCGGCTGGTGTTGGCCCTAGTGAGAAGTGATTGAAAGACGAATGTCGTGGTGATGGACGCGGAACGGATGCGATGAAAAGCCGAGACGACGGGTTGCGCTTGCATGTGATGGGCCATGACGTTGACGTTGACACGGACTGACACTTCGACTCGACACCCACCCAGCAATCGCCATGACATTGACTTGAATAGAAGCCTGACATGGATACCTCGACGATACGGTAGCTGCTCTCGATTAGAACAAGATGAGTGCGCCGCTGCTCTTTGGCCGCACGTGTGCGAAACACGCCTGCCAGAGACAACCAACCGCCCTTGCCTTCATCAACTCTCAATCCACGCGCTCTTTCGCATCTACCGCTGGTCGCTCTTTCACCTTTACCGCCAGGACATATAACCGCCCTCGATTTTTCCAAAATGCTCGCCAATTCTTCAGAACCCCGCCCCCACCTGTAAAAGGTGGTACTCTATGCCTCGCCGCCCTCTCGCCCGCCGCTTTCGTGTCGCTGAGCGAGAACGACGAGTCCGATGATGGCAAAACAGGCGAGCAGCAAATGCTCGAGGCTTCTAGGAAAGAACTCGCTGAACAGGCTCCGCGGTGGGTCGGAGGCGAAAGCACTCGTCGGAGAGGCATCTGGAAGTTCCTCGACACTTGGATCATCGAGCCCATTGCCACAGGCTTCCGACTACTACACTTGATCTTCATCTTTGTTCCCGTCATTGTAACAGTCCCCGTCATCTGGTTCGGTCAAAGGCAACCCGAGAGGGACAATGAGAGATCTGGAACTCTCTGGTGGTATGCTTTCCTGGTCAACGGCATGGAGCGGGCTGGCGCTGCCTTCATCAAGGTATTACATAGACAACACCCCAACACGTCCATCTCAAGCTGACATACATCTAGCTCGGTCAATGGGCCGCCTCCAGAACTGACATCTTCCCTACTCAGATGTGCGCCGTCATGTCTGCTCTCCACTCCAACGCTCCCGCTCATTCGCTCCGTCATACTAAGAAGACGATTGAGCGAGCGTTCGGCATGTCTTTCGACGACATCTTCGATGAGTTTGACGAGAAGCCACTGGGTGTTGGCGCTATTGCTCAAGTCTACAAAGCAAGACTAAAGCCTGATATCGCTGTCAGCGAAGACCTCGACCCTCACGTCTCCGACACGTATCGCGAGAAATTCAAGAGAGGCGTTGATATTACCCTAAAGAGTACGCCACAGAGGACTCCCTCGCAGTACGTCGCCATCAAGGTCCTCCATCCCAAGATCGAGCGTATCGTCCGCAGAGACCTGAAGATCATGGGCTTCATGGCCTCCATCATCAACTTGATCCCTACCATGGAGTGGCTTTCTTTCCCTGATGAGGTCGAACAGTTTGGTGAAATGATGCGTCTGCAACTAGATCTTCGTATCGAAGCCGCCAACTTGACCATCTTCAGAAAGAACTTCCGCAACAGAACTACAGCCTGGTTCCCTTACCCCTACACTCAATACACTTCTCGCCAAGTCCTAGTCGAGGAATTCGCTCAAGGTATTCCGTTAGAAGACTTCTTGCAAAACGGTGGCGGTGTCTTCCAGAAGGAAATCGCAGACGAGGGTCTCGATGCCTTCCTGCACATGCTCTTGATCGACAACTTCATCCACGCAGATCTACATCCTGGCAACATCATGGTTCGCTTCTACAAGCCCGCTCAAATTGACGTCAAGGGCAGCTTCTTCAGCCGACCAAAGTCTGATCCTAAGCAATCTACCGATGTAACAGAAGAAGTCCTCGAACGCCTACGCCCACACAGAAACTCAAAGGCAGACTGGGGAAACACGTTAGACCAGATTGACCGCGAGGGCTACCGTCCCCAACTAATCTTCATCGATACTGGACTCGTCACTGAACTCAACGGACTCAACCGCCGCAACTTCCTCGACCTGTTCAAATCTGTAGCAGAATTCGATGGCTATAAAGCTGGTCACCTCATGGTGGAGCGCTGTCGCCAACCCTCTGCAGTAATTGATAAAGAGGTATTTGCACTTCGCATGCAACATCTTGTGCTCGGTGTCAAGAGCCGTACTTTTGCACTCGGCAACATCAAGATTGGCGATATCCTCAACGAAGTTCTGAGCATGGTGCGCGGCCACCACGTCCGCCTCGAAGGCGACTTCGTCAACGTCGTCCTGAGTATCTTGCTGCTCGAAGGCATTGGCCGCAGTCTGAATCCCGAATTGGATTTGTTCTCCGGGTTCGTAGATATTGGTGCTACTCTTCTTTTTGATGATTGGTAAGCTGACTGTGACTATGTAGGGCTCTTCCGATATTGAGGCAATTGGGTACGCAGGGAGGTGCGGGTAGTATGCTCAAGGGAGGTGATCTTTCGATGATTAAAGTGTGGGCTGGACTTGAAGCGAGGAAGTTCATGCAGGCTAGTGTTGAGAGTGTTGAGAGTTTGGTTGCGCATGACCAACTTTCGCCGAATATCTGATTTGGTTGTTCTAGAGGTCATCATGTGTAGAAGATTTTATGCACATCTCCTTTCTTCGTCACTGCCATGAATATAAGAAGGTGTGATTGACAGACCAGATCATGCTGGACGCGTCTCCACTCCAGAGACAATCATGGCTTTTAGAGTGAGAAACCACGGTCCATACCTCCGTGAGAGCAAATGTGGGTCTAGGGTCTATGAACTGACAATGCGGTCTTTCTTGTTCTTTCAGTCACGACATCAGAGATCCTCCAAAGCATAGTGCATTTGATGTGTAAAGAATAGAAAATGCTTTGGAGAGTCATTACTGGAAAAGAAAAAAAGTGCAGACCAGAGAATTGAAGAACAAGCATGGCTTAACCAACCCATCCAAACGTCCTTTTTGTCCCCAAACCTAACGCCATGAGACTGCCAGAAAGAATCCAACAATGCTCTTTTCCAAGCCAAAAGAACATACGAGAAAGCAGACCCGAAACTTCCCTTTTGCTCAAAAAGGACGAGCAAGAGGAAGAAAGAAGTGAAGGAGGAAACATATGTACAACCACAGAGACCATCACTCCTCTGACAAATACACTCAAGGCCCGCGACTCTTAGATCTACTGCCCACACCTCCCGCTCCAGGCGGCGCGGAAGCATCTCTTCCCAATCCTCGTCTCGGCGTAGCCATGCCCATTGCCCCATTACTTCTCGCTCTACCTCTCCTCTCTGCAATCGCAGCAAGAGCAGCTTCCCTATCAATAGGCGTATTCAACCCCTCCGGAATGAATGGCCGTGATGCAGGTGTCGAGCAAGAGATTGTCATGGGGGTCTTGAGGTGGTGGGGTGGTGCGCTGACGGTGCGTGTAGAAGGCAAAGGTGTGCGTGGTGGGTGCAAGAGAGAAGGCAGGGAGTTTTCTTTGTCCGAGGAAGAGGTGTCGTCGGTACCGTCGTTGAAGTTTATGGGGATTAGGAGTGGGGGCTTGGAGGTTGTTGTTGGTGGTGGGTGAGGAGCAAAGGTGTTTTGGGGCGAGTCGTGGGCGGCAGGTGGTGTGGTTGAGTTGCTGCTGCGGAGTGGTGTGTGGGTTGTGCGAGTGCGGGTTTGCTCTGCCTCTGGCTCGGGTGTGTCTTCGATGGCGTAGTCGTTTTGAGTGGACTTGTCGTCTGCTTCAGGCATAGGCTCATCCTCATGTTTCTTTGGCGAGTCGATCTCAATCTCAAAATCGTCGATTGACTCTTCGTGCGCAAGCTGGACCGGGAACGCGGTATGCTGTTGGTTTGCGAGCAGTTGGAGCTGCTTGTCCTTGATAGCCTGCACAGCAACAATGTGGTCGATTTCCAAAAAGGCGATCAGGTCGTTTGAGTCGGCGCGCAGCTTCTTCTCCCAGTCAACCTCTTCTTGCAGCAGTTGCTGCTGTCTCCAGTGTAGCTTTTCGCGCTCCATGTATTCCTTTTGCATCTTGCGCAGTTGGTCTTCGTGTTTTTGTTTTTGCTGCTTGAAGCGCTCTTTGGCCTTTTCGTACTTTTTCTGTTTTTTTTCGGTAGCTCGTCAGTCGCGTTGTTTGATTGCGTGTCAAGAGGAGAATAAAGACACACCTCGTACTCGTCCAATCTCTGGCGCAAGTCTGTCTTTTCGCGCAAACGCTCTTCTGCCAGATGTCTTTGCTCTCCGAGATCGTCGCGCAAGCTTGTAGCTTCTGTCTCTGCTTCCTCGCGTGCCATCTCTGCCCTCCTCAGTGCAGCTTCCAGCCTTCGTATTGTGCGTTTCGCGCCTTCTTCATCGCGGTCCTTGACTTCGAGGGTGGTGAAGCGGTCGACTAGGGCATTAACCGACATGTCGGGGGCGCTGTGTGTTGATCCCATGAGGAACTTGAACGGCGATGTGACGGCGACGTGCATTGTGCCGCCTGAGCGTGAAGGCGACGCCATGAGATGTTGTATTTTGAGATAATTGATGCTTTGGACGGCTAGGTTGGTAGGGAGTTTGAGAGTGTGAAGCAGGCTGATTGTGCGACCATGGCACTGTATACTTGGGAAAGATTTGGGCGTGCCCCCAAACATCCGCTCTGTTGCGCCAGCAACAACCACGGCTGCACAGACCATCCACTCCGACACCTCCGTCACCACTTCTACATCTCATCTTTATCATCAGGCCTTATGTCATGCTGCATTGGAAGCTGTTTGGACATGATTCAGCCTGAGAACAACAGGCAAGGAAACATCCAGATGTGTACAATGAAGAAGTAGCAGAGGCCAGCTACACGGAATCCGAGACTTAATGACTTTATGAGGAACACTCTTGTCTTCCTGCATAATGAACGGGCGAGAGAGCTCTTGGAAGAAATCAAATATTATGGATATAGACCAATATCACCGGGCCTTGACGAGATACAAGACTGAATGTATTGATAGCATTGAGCCTAGCAAGGTATAGATCCAGACGCCAGTGAAGAAGCGACAAACACCCCAGTGTCTCAAGGATGCAAGTAATGGCACTTTGTACTGGGTGCGTGTTTAGTCAACAGAACAATAGTAGTGATGGTAATCCTGTGGCTGGATGTTGGAGTTTAGAATCAATAGTGGCGGCTACGCTCCAGTCATTCATGTCTGGTCGTGACAAGAATGTTGAAGCACATTGACAAGATGGAAGGAAAGGAAGTGATGAAATTTTGCTTTTGCATTCTCGACGTGATGCTAGCTCTGATGCATAGCGACCAAATCGTTAGAAGAAAGAAAAGAAGAACGCCCATGTTGTCCAGCCCTGTTAGATCACACGGAACGATGCACCCTTTCCCGGGGATATTTTGATCATCTCACGTCTAGAGAGAAGAAAGGTCGGCTTGAACGAAAAACGCAACCAGGACTGAAGCGAAAAAAAGACAAGCTTTTGCCATTCTTTGAAAATCTCTTGCATTTTTGTTTTCGAACCAACAAATCCTCTCCCTCCCTTGCAGCCTGCCCAGGCGATACGTTTATCGGTTGGACTTGGCGACACGCTCGAGCTCATCCTTCTTCTTGATGGCGTACGAGTTGGAAGAACCCTTGGCGGCGTTGATGAGCTCCTCAGCAAGGCACTCGGCAACAGACTTGATGTTGCGGAAAGCGGCCTCACGGGCACCGATGGTCAGGAGGGCAATGGCCTGGTTGACACGGCGGAGGGGAGAGACATCGACGGCCTGGCGACGGACGGTACCGGCGGAACCGATACGGGTGGAGTCTTCGCGGGGACCGCAGTTGACGATGGCATCGACGGCGATCTGGATGGGGTTCTGGTCGGTCATGATGTGGACCTGTGTGGCAGGTTAGCTTGTCTGCGGGACTTGAGGTTTCTGCTCAGAGTTGTACGCACGATCTCGAAGGCGTGGGCGACGATGCGGACGGCCATGATCTTCTTTCCGTTGTTGCGGCCGTTCATCATGAGGGCGTTGGTGAGACGCTCAATGATGGGGCACTGGGCCTTGCGGAATCTCTTCTGGGCGTAACGACCAGCAGAGTGGGGGAGGTAGACGGGCTGACGGATCTGGATGTAGTCGCTGAGGTATGAGGGTCAGCTAATTGCTTGCGCGTGCCGATACTTCCTCTGCCTCAAAGGTGCGTCTGTTGCCAGTCTGTATGGGGTATGTTCTGTCTCTTTTTCAAGACGCGCGCACATGTCCGACTCTTTTGCATCCATCTCTTTCTTCCCAAATCCAGACTGACAATGACCATCCCGTAGTCGCAGAAGAGTGCGCAGACTCACGTCAAAGAGATATCTCTGATCTCGACATCCTCGTAGGTCCACTTGTTGAACAGCTTGACGCTGCCAATCTCCTGGGCGACATCCTTGGGCAGGACGGGGTAGCCCTGGGGCTGCTCGACTTCGATTTCTCCGGCGTCAGACATGTTGGCGATGTGATGGGAAGGCGGAAAGGGCGAGGTTTGGCGTGGTCGAGAAGTCGCTTCGTCGGAGATTCGAGGCGAGACTGCAAATTCTGAGTGACCGAGTGTGGGCTTTCGCTACGCCGGGGATGTTCCGTCGGGCCTTGGCGTCGTCGACTGCCCGACCATCGCTCAAAGCCTCACGTATCGGCCAGCCGCGACCACTCGCATGTCAGTGCTCTTTCACTGCCCTGGCCACCTATATTCGATCTTTGTCCGATCACTCGCGATTGTATAATGGTTACTGACCATGGTGGATGGATGCTCTGGAGAGATGCCTTCCATAATGCTTCTCGAGTTGTTCCATGGTTTCCGTCGAATTGTCATCGCCGTTGAACATCCAGTCCTGGGCGGCGAGACAGTGCAAAGCAAATTCACCTCACGCATCATTAATCATAACGTGCCGATCGAGGCTAAGGCTATCCCGTCCTTTTGCGAGATTAATTCTGTAGGTATTTAGGCATTCGCTATATACGTGCCCTGGCTCCTTCTGTGTTCCAACAATGTGGATTTCCATCCGAGCCATAGTGTGTCGGACTCGCTCCTTCCCTAGCACATCATCATCCTTCGACACATCTCATATAATCCCGCTGGACGACTCCTACTTCTGATGACCTGTATAATTCTTCACCATGGCTGATCAACCAGAGTTCTCTGCCTGGAAGCTTCCTGCTCATACTGAAGAGGCTTCTCTACTCGACCTCGAATACCTAAAAGGCCGTGTCTCATGGATTCGAAATGAACTGGATCCTCTTGTCGCTCGGGACGGACCACATACCCTAGGCCCAGACACTGTTGTTGTCCTATTCAAATTCTTCGAACAGCTACGCACATCTTACTTAAGCCTCGAAAGCATTCGAGGCTCTCGCATACATCTAGCTCTCATCGACATTGCTAGGCGCGCTACTCGATGGCCAAACAGGCTTATTGAAGAAGCCGAAGAAATCATCCTCAAATGGGAGTCCGAGTGGGGTCCGCTCTCAAATATCAGAACCAATCTTTACGACACTGGTGGAAGGCTGCATGGCATCAGCACTCCCGAGGATGTTCAACGAGAGTTACTACTCGCCAAATGGTCTCGTAAGGAGACTGCATGGGTTGATCCAAACTTCTCAAGGCGGAATGGAGGTCTTGGGTTTCAACCGGGAGAGTAAGTATCAGTAATCTCACTTTACACTCGTGGCACCTCTAACATGTGATATAGTTGGTGGATCAACACCATGTTTGCATATCATGACGGCATCATTGCCGACGCTTCATCAAATAGTGGTGTCACCACCTGCTACACACAAGCATATGCCTTGCTTCTAGCAGATGGTGATGAACTTGATTGTTCAGATCCGGCACACTTCACATACCGCTCAACTCGAGGAGATTCTAGACGATATCGCCTCTGCGCCGGAACGCTTGCCTCCAGACGACCAATTCGCGTGCTTCGAAGTCACACTCTGCGCAGCTTTTTCGCTCCTCGTGCTGGGATTAGGTACGACGGGCTTTACAAGGTCTCTGGTTGGCGGATCACACAGGATCCGAAGACCAAGGCAATCCACTATGATATCTCATTTGATCGTTTACCCTCAGAGCCGCCTATTGGTCCAGCGCTAGAACATCCAAATATGGAAGAGCTGGATGACTATCGCGAATACAAACGCATCCGCAAAGAAATCCGCCAGCATCGTAACCCTTTACGCCATGGTCTGCGGTTCGGTGCGCCTGATACTAGTGTCCCTTTTGCTCGGGACCGTATGTCGATACCCAAGAAGACGGACAGTAACGAAACTACAAAGACCATCACAAAGCCGATTTCAAAGAGAAGAGGTAGCTCATTACATATTCAGACCTCGGCCTCTGAGCCTCGGTCTAACCCACAGACGCCAGTGAAGGTCGAGGAGAATCCTTTCTTTTCCAGCCCAAGTCCTGATGACAATCCTTTCTTTTCTGGAGGTCTGGACTCGCAGACAGGTCTGGGCAAGATCAACACGTTGCGACCTGATATCATCGACTACGCGCCTGTACTCCATGCTGCTTCAGCTGCTGGCGCAGCTATCGATCCGTTCTTTGCGAGTGCTCTCGAGCAGCAAGCAGCAAAAAGGGCAGCTGCTTTTAAGTTGAGTACTGGCCCATTGACTTCACCACCATCAGCAAAATCAGCAAACCCTAGGAGTCTTGGTCTTGGTGGAAGGAAACCGATAATAGGGTTCATCAGTACAATTAGCGAAGCAGACGAGTCAAAAGGTGGTCCACTACTGAGGCGGGACTCACAAAGTCCAGTATTGTCTCGTGACTGAGGATCACGTTCATCATCCCGAGTAGAACCACTCTATCCTTCCTTGCATTGGCATCCGGCGTCACTTATACTCTCCCTCGCTATTGAATCTCTTATCCTATCAATACAACATTTTTTTAGGCACACTTCTCTCGGTGATTTTGCCACCGCTTCATGTCATCGAGACCAATACGTCCTCGAGGAGTCACATTCCGTATTGAACAGCGCAATTGGTGACTCAATATTCCAGTGAATCAATGCAAAAAGACATGGCAAGAAGATTATGGACCATGTTGAACAGTGACCCTGGTAATTCGGCAAAAATTGCGTCTCTCGGCAAAACTCTCCCAAGCAACATCCAGCATCAACAAACACCTGCACACTGACATTCGCACCAAGATTTTGATGAATACTCACCTGAACATATCTAGATAGTCATGAATGTTTCCGAATCAATAGAATGTAAGTTTGACTTTCTTTAATCTCCAAGCATATTCACGCATACTCCTGTCAAGAAAGATTCAACACGCAAGTAAAGAGACAAAATATAGTGCAAAGAGAGCCCACCACCTCGCCTTCGAGAAAGAAGTATGAGGTCTAGATCGGAGGAGTATGATCCTAGACCGAAGCGGAGGCTCTTTGTGTGGAACCTGACCGTATGACTAGCTGCACCAAGTCCACTGATACTCAACATCATCACTGCCCTCGATATATCCGTGTCTCTACAGAGAGCTGTTGTGGAAGGTGCGAACGTTGACTGATCAATCACAGCAACAACACATGCCTCGCCCTCGCCAGATGGCCATTATATCGTCGGTCTGACCCCCGACCATCTCTACGTATATTACACAGCGAACTTGACGATTGCTTGCTCATTCCCTCTCGACAACTCCAACGCCCCGACGACACGGTCAACCGAATCTCCCACACTTTATTGGACTCCATGTTCGCTTTCTGTCATACTCCAGACCAGCAGTCATGTCGCTCTGTACAGTCTGGCCAACACGGCTAGCAGGGTCAAGATCGCCAATGGAAGCGCTAGCTTGGGTAGAATTGCTAGTGTGGATGTCTTTGGTGAGAACATTGTTGTACTGTGGGAGTTCGGCAGAGTCGGAATCTTTGAAGTTGGCAGGGGTCGGGTCACAGAGGTTTGTGAGTTGAAGACTGGGATTGGGAGTTTGAAGTCTACATGGGGGATCAGGAGGGTCAAGGGTAAAGCTGAAGGTATGGATGTCTCTTTTCGTAGCCTGGAGGGCTTGGCTGACAAAAACAGTACTTGCCATGTTATCTCGTACTTCGGCAACGGACACACTATCCTTTATTTTGGCTTCGTCGATTACGCCTTTTACGACACTGAGTCTTCCGACCACTGATGCTCAATCACTATCCTGGAGCCCTGCAAGCAAATGGCTGAGTGTACTCGATTCACCGCTGAGTGCACCAAACTCAGCTGTACACATATACACTGCGGATGGCAATCTCTACCGCAGCTACCCTCCCACATCCTCTACACCCGTTGAGGAATCATTTACCCTGGGTCCTCTGCGTCAAGTCTGGGGACCCAATCACCTTGCTCTCGCTAATGCAGACGGTAGCATCACTCTTCTCTCCACGACCACTTTCTCGCCAACATGTACCCTGGAGCCACGGAAAGTAAGTGCAGCCGACATCTCAGCCGTATACCGCGAGCAAGTAAGCAGCAAAGGCGACCGTAACTGGACTTATTTGGGTACCGGCGATGACACTACATCTCAACTTCTATCCTCCTACTCTCCAGCTCTAGAGTTGAAGTTCGACGCTGCCGGTAAATTTCTCGCTTTCCGCATGGAAGCATTTCCAGAAACCGTGGTTGTTTGGCAAATCCCTTCCTCAAGACCTATTTTCGCTTCTGCCACCCAGGATACCGAGCAAGAAACAAACAGCGAAGAAAAGCACAACACGATACTGCTGTTCCACCATCACACACCCGTCAAAAAAATCCAATGGAATCCCACAATCTCTGGATTGTTGCTCACCCACACAGAAGACAATCAAATCTACCTCTCTTCTACAAGCGGCGAGACAAACGCACCACTACACCTCTCTCACCCTTTCTCCGCCTCTGCCACAGCATCTGCATCACTTCCTCCATCTTCTACGCCCAACGACCTTTTGGCTGTACACTGGATAACTTCCACCTCCATCCTCGTCACCACCAAAAAGCGCGGTTGGGTGATTGTGTCGCCGTTTGGTGCCCCTTCTGCTCCTTCGTCACCGATAGCCTCTGGAACGAAGGTGGCAGAAGAAGAAACACAGGAGGATAGTATGGAGGATTCTTTGTATGAGATACTCAGTGGGAGGACACCGTTGCCCGCCTTGAGAATCTCGGATGATTATTTACCTGAGGATTCAGAGGCGGAGGAAGGAGAGGAAGAAGCGGAGGAGTTCAATGATACGTTCAGAGGCAAAGGGACGGCTGGGACTATTGGTAGTTTTGAGTACTGAAATGGACAGATAAAAGGCGTCTGAGTTTACAAAGTTGGGAAATTTCTAGGTTCTTCTCATGGGGGCAATTTCCCCAAGAAGGGCTTACTTTTTCAAGTCGAATATTGATTCTTGTATTTCATGCTGTTCTACAAACAAATCCATCATGTTCTGGCTGTCTTGTGTAAACTGTAGAGCTTCCAAGCTGGGGTGATCCTGCAAGCTCAACAGGACGCCCTCTTTGGGTGTTCGGGAGACCTGATAATCGCCTTGTTCTCTCATTGACACGGTGTACATGTGGTCCGTACGGGCAGTGCCTCATTTGCCTTCAGAACCAATTCTCACGCCAACAGAAGTCAGAAGGGCAAGTCTTGTCTTGCAACTCAAAAATCCATCACCAACCCCGGCGCGACCTCCTCAAGATCTTGCACATCCAACCACACCCCATCATCCACCTTGTCGCCCCCAGCCTCCCTCATCTCTTTTCTCTCCTTTGCGACTTCGGTAGCTCTAGCCACGGCCTCCCTGACGAACAGATCCAAATATCTCGCCGTCAATGCATTGGCGTCTTTGCCTATTTTTGTGCTCTTGTCTTCGAAACTCTCGTGGAGTAGACGGGTTATTAGCGCTGAGGGGAGGAGTGGTATGTCGTCTTTTTTGCTGCCGATCGCTGAGGCAGGGTGCTGCGGCGGTGCTGCAGGGGCGGGTTGGAGGGCGGAGGACAGAGGAGATAGAGAGGGTAATCGCGCAGGTGGCGCGGTTTTTTGGCGTTTGGCTGCTGGCGGTTCGTGGGTTGTGGGTGGAGGAGGTGCTCTCTTTGCGGTAGCAGCAGCGGTGAAATGGTCATTGTCTTCGTCTTCATCTTCGTCGGAGATGATCAAGGCTTCAAGGTCGTCTTGATCGTAGTGTGCGCCGGCAGATTGGAAGCCTGAGGTGTTGTTTGTATTCCATGATTGAGGTCTTGTGGCAGAGAGAGCTCGCGCTATAGGTTTGGAGGCCGCAGGCGCTGGTCGGGCAGGAGCGTTGGCACTGGAGGAAGAGGTTGCGCTGCCTTTTGAGATGGCTGGGGGCTTGAAAGGACGTTTTGTCGCTGCTGTGGCGCCTACTTGCGAAGGTTGTCGATACGGAGGTGGCATGGTTTGATTAATCTAGAAGGTCGAGAATTGAGTGAGGCACGCGTCACGAATTCACGCGTTGGGCTTGGGCTTTTGCCATCAAGGTGACCAAAGACATCATCGACGTCTCACATGCTCCATCTCCCTGCCGCATCCTAATCTTAGCTTGCCATCCTTTGACGACGTCGAAACTTCAATTTGCCAGTATTGCCTCATGAATCCATCCGTCTGTTTGCTTGCAAGATGCGCTGTCCTGCAACTTCTGCCTTGTCATCAATCACATGCCATCTCTTAACTCCAAGGCAACCACCACTAGACAGCCTTGCTAGATACTGATTTTCCACTAACTACAGCAGAATACAGTAAGCAACCACGATACGATACTATCATGTAGAAGACTAGGTCATTTTCCACCTCACCATCAACTGCCTTCCTTTCTTTCTTTCTTTCTTTCTTTCTTTCTTTCTTTCTTTCTTTCTTTCTTCAAACCCCCTCTTCTGCAAAAAGTGTCCAGCATCCTGCATCCCTCAGTAACCTACATTTCTTGGTCAAACACCCTTACAAGCCACACGCCTCCAAGTCAGGCCTCACCATCTCTTTCTTCACCTCATCCAAGCATGTGCACCCAATACTACCGCCGCTACACCTGCGACGACAAACGCAAAGAAGATTTCCGCCAATGCGAAAAACGCCGCGGCACAAATGTACGCTGCAGTCCCATCGAGGAAAAATCCTACGAGAACTCTGCACACTACTGTATCGATCATATGGTTTCGTCGGAGGTGCACGATAAGATGAAGAGGGTTCCTACCAAGAAGGAGAAATAGGATGGAGAGGAGAGTGAGAAGGAGATGGAAGGGCGAAACATGGATGGCAGGGACGTTCATAAGGAAGGTGTGTTGGGTGTTGGCAATGGTGATGAGTCAATTGGCGTCTCCTTGAGTACTACAGTAATGGAGAGCTGGTCTCTTCACATCTCATGCAAGCATGCTGATGACTGTATTAGCATCGCAAAGGGGTTGTAGCATCTCTCATGTGCCAGTAACAACAACATCGCAAAACGTATGCAACTACAAACAACAGCCAGGCAAAAAAAACCAAAGCCACATTAGCTTGGGGGAAAATTGCGACCAACCAAGGCTGAGAATTGAACTCACAGCCTCTGGATTCAATTTACGCGTTGTAATTTTCCATCGAGTGGTGCGCAACGCATGAGCCACAGCACCGATCTCTGTTATAAGGCATGATCTTGCTTGGATATGAAGTAAGTGAGGCGATGCTGTAGTCGTTAATCCAAGTGAAGCACAAGGTCATGATACACACTAGATGAAACAAATAAAGGGATTGGTTAAAATACAAAGAGGTTCGATATTGACTTTTGTCCTCGACTTTTCTAAGCAGCCCACTCGACAACCTCGAGGGCAAGCATGACCAAGATAAGCGTGCTGGGCAAGATCCAGACAACATAACTTTGCACCAGCAATTTGGACATGACGCCCATAAAGACTCCGTTAAGCTGGCAGATTTGTGCGAGTTGGAGAGCAGATGGAGCACCAGTAAGCAAGAAGCAGACGATGACAAAGATGGGATCGTCGAGGATGCTGACAGGCACGTATTTGGCGAAGATGGCGAGGAAAGGGGCCATGATCAGGGTAGGCAGGAGCATGCGGCTGACGAGAGCGGCGATAAGAAGATTGCGTTCTTCCTTCTTGCCCTCTGGAGTTGTGACCAGTTCTTCTTGAGGAAGAGTGTTGCGGGCGAGGTTTGCACCTAGGACGACTAGGATCAAGGGGACGGCGACACCACCGCTCTGCTGAATGGCACGGGTGACAGAGTTGGAGACAAAGGTGTGGGGAGCGAAGAAGGTGTGCTGGAGTCGGGGAACCGAAGCGACGATCAAGGCAGCAACCATGGCCCAGAGAGGAGGGTTCATGAACTCCCAAACGCCCTTCAAGAAGCGAGTAGTGTAGTGAGAGACGGTGCTCAGGAACTTTTGCATGCCGGGAGGGAGCTTGGCGAACATTCTGTTGAAGAAGGACTTGATCGAAGCATTGATGCGAGCGAAGAATTGCGAGATGCTAGCCTTGACTCCGGTAGAGGCTTCGGACTGATCGGTCGAGGCGGTCGAGTAGTTGGGGAATTGTGTCATGTGGCCAGTCGAGCGTTGACGAGGACCAAGGTTGCCAGCAAGATTGCCAGGGCCGCTACCGACAATGTTTCCGTTGGCAGGTGTAGCCATGACTTCGCCGTTGACGGGCCTCACAAGAGCATCGTTAGACGACGAAGAGCCCATGGAAGAAACAGTGCGAGGGGACTCGTCGCCAGATGAGCTACCAATCTTCTTGATGGAAGAGGCAGCCTGCTCCAAGTCTTCCTCGTCGATATCATCGCGGTATCTACCCTCTTCGATCAAATTGTCCCTTGCTGCATCAACAATCTTGGTGTCCTCGACCGCAGGAGCGAGAAGAACGTTGTAACCCCACGTCCAGCGCACCAACTGACCGAGCTGTTGGAAGATGAGCAGGTACAAAATACCACGTGCAGCGACTTCATTGTCGTTGTCGTGGGGAACGCGATCCCAGTGCAGACCTTTGAGAGTCTTGGATAGCGAAATGACGAGCGAGATTGGCAGCGAGTTTGAGTTGCCGAAAACACCCATGGCGATGACGAAGTTGGTCTGTCTCTTACCAAAACCAAAGGCCTTGGACATGAGACGAGCGCAGATCCATGAAACGAGAGTCTGGACGCAGAAGATGACGGGAATGACGGCGAGATCGACGAGCTTGTCGGCGTTGAGTTGCGAGGCGAGTTTGGTAAAGACTAGACAGGGCGTGAAGAGTTGTACGTTCAGGTTGGCGACCATTTTCTGGGCTTCGGCATCGAACATGCCTCGTCGGGCGACGATGTATCCCGGCAGACTGACGCATACCACTTCCAGCACTGCTTCAAACACTAGCAGGACCAGGTGGGCAAAGTCTGGGTGTGACGTGTGGCCATTTCCTAGAGCCATCATGGGGAGCTCCATAGCTGCAGAGGTATATCTCCGTTGCTTGAACTCTCCCATTCCTGCTGACAAGGCATTCGCGGCGTTGAGGCGGTAGGACGTGGGAGCGGTAAACCACGTCATGTCGACGATTTCGGGTGAGAGATGGGCGACGAGAGACGGCGACGATAAGCTTCTCGTCGCGTCTGTGAGAGTGGTATAGGTTCGCGTGCTTTGTCAATCCAAGCACTTTTCAGAAGCAAGCAGGACACGAGTGCAACAAAGAGAAGGAATGTGCCTATCGATATGTCAAGCTTCTTCCAACTTGAGCGTCAGGAAAAAGAAGTGGTTGGCGTGCTCAAAGGCCGACCAAGCGCCCACTTTCAACCAAAACCCGCGCAGCCGCTGCGTCACTGCCAAGAAACCTGCTATCGACTGTCAAGAGCTATCCAAGAAACTCTGTCTCCGCCATCACCGCATCACTGTGTGCTCCTTGTTTGTACTGCGACCATGCTCAGCCTCCTTGTCTGCACGCACGACCAAGCGCTTTAATCTGAATCGCGCCATCTGCTCACAGCCCGTCTCGAGTCCTTACACAGCCTGCGCGTCTCACGTCTACCACACGGGTGCTTTTTCTGCCAACGTCTGGACTCGCAAAATCCGGGCGCCAATAATATCGTTGCACCTAACACGTTTCCTCCCAGCCTCATGCATTGCACCGCCCATCACACTCTGTGAGATCTGCTCTATGCTTGCACCACGCCGGACACAAGAGTCCCAATTTCCTCTTGAATTGGTCGGAGACATGCCCGTGTGCATATAAGACACATAGCATCTCTCAGCAATTTTCTTTGACCATGACCCCACATGTTGCATCCTTCGCGCCTTCGCCTATTAAAGACATCAATCTATTTTACACACTACCGCTCCAAGTTTGTATGCAGGGTAGCTTATTTACCGAGTGCGGTCAGTATCCTGCCATCATGATAGGTCGGACTCGACAGAAGGATGCAGTCTGTCAAAGCACCTTGAAAATCTTTAGAGCATATATATCAACTTATATATGCCCAAGAGCAACATGCCCCACTATCTTCGTGTTATCAGAACAGGGATATTTTCAACATGGTAGGTACGACTTATATAGGCTCTGGCCAGCGTCAGCGTCAGCAGCTCTTGTGTCGCCTGTCCATCTGCTCTGTCCTCCAACAGCACTTTAGACCCACCCCTCTTGTCTCAGGAACTTGCCAAACATGGCACTCCTCGACAATCTGCCAAATTTCGGCATTCTCGCCATCTCCGCCATATTACTCTACTTTGCAACACATGCTATCTACAGCCTCTACTTTCACCCACTCTCAAAACATCCAGGACCCTTACTCAATGCAATCTCTCCTCTTCCTCGCCTTTGGCTGAACATCAACGGCCGCGAACCTCAAACCGTCCTCAAATGGCATCTCAAATATGGCCCTATCGTCCGCATGGCGCCCAACGAGCTCTCCTTCATAACTCCGGCCTGGAAAGAGATCTACGGTTTCAAAAAGCCAGAACTCACCAAGGACTGGACCATGTACGCGCTTTCTGAGAACACAAAGCGATCTATCCTCCTTGCTGGCGCCGATCATGGTAGACAGAGAAAGATGTTGGCTCCCGCTTTCGGGGAGAGAGCTTTGAAGTTGCAACAGAGTATGTTGACAACATACACTGGTATGATGGTGGAGAGATTGGAGCAGAGGATGATGGAGAACAAGTCTGTTGATATGGCCAAAGTGTTCAATTGTGTGACGTGAGTACCTTCTGAGTTCCAGCCTTGGAAGAGTGTCTTCTGGGTGTGAGAAGGACGAACATACTGACCTACTCAACAGCTTTGATACCATAGCCGATCTGATGTTCGGTAAACCCCTCGGTCTCTGCGAAAACATGGAATACTCAGACTGGCTTTCCCAGCTCTTCGTCTCCATCTACCTAGTCGGAGCCTCCCGCGCCCTCCAATACTTCCCCCTTCTCTTCCGTCTCGCTACTATGATGATCCCAAAAAGCATGCAAGACTCCATCGACGCCTCCTATCAGAACACGGTCGACAAAGTAAACGCGCGTCTCGAGATGAAGACCGAAAGACCTGACATGTTGGGAATGATGCTCAAGCATAAAGAGGAAGGCGCAGAGATGACAATGGATGAGTTGTACGCTAACGCTGATTTGCTGATGATTGCTGGAACTGAAACCACTGCAACGAGTTTGTGTGGGTTGACGTGGCATTTGTTGAACAATAAGACTGTGCTTGAGCGTTTGACCAAGGAGATCAGAGAAGCTTTTACCAGCATCGACGATATTACCATGGAATCGTTGCCCAGATTGCCTGTGAGTGCATCTCATATTGTATTGTATGACAAGAAGCTGACTCATGATTCAGTACCTATCCGCTTGCCTGGAAGAAGGTATGAGAATGTTCCCTGCCGTACCTGAAGGCATCCGCCGCATCACTCCCCCCACCGGCGCAACCATCAGTGGCCACTTCATCCCAGCAAACGTAAGCTACCCTCCCTCCTCCTCCGTCTACACCCCATTAACCCACCTCTCCCCACACAGGTCAAAGTCAGCATCCCTCACTACGCCGCCTACCACCATCCTTCCAACTTCAGCTCTCCTCACACCTTCGCCCCGGAACGCTGGTTACCTTCATCCCACCCCTTGCACACTTCCCTCTACGCCTCAGACAAGAAAGAAATCCTCCAACCTTTTTCTGTCGGGCCTAGAAATTGCATCGGTATGACGTTGGCGTATCATGAGATGAGACTTATCATGGCCAATCTGCTCTGGCATTTTGACGTGCAACTTGCGGGAGAGATGGAGGGCAAGGATTGGTTGGATCAGACGACGCATTTGGTTTGGGATAAGAAGCCGTTGGTTGTGAAAGTGTTGCCTAGGGGTGAGGTTCTGGGATAGGTGACAATGGAGGGAGGATCAACACGGGTGTGTTGAGAAGATTTGGACATGTTGGAAGGGTGACGGATCAAGATAAAGACTATACACCATGAGACAGAAAAGACACAAGGCACGTAGCTTTAGCATCAGTGATGGACGTTGAATTTATTAAAAGATATGCTCATATAAATTACCCTTCCTCCTCTTTCTGCTTTGGACCAAATGTTTTTCTTGCTATTTCTCTTTCAATCCCTTGTAGGCGCAATCAACCTACTCCAGCTCGACCTTTCTTACGCTTTCCCAGCCCTCTTCCTCTTCAGTAATCTTGGGCACGACAACCCTCAAAACACCATCCTCAAGCTTAGCGCCAATTTTTTCCTCGTCGATCTTGACATTGTCCTCGAGTTTGACTTCGCGCTCAAACATGCCGACTTCTCTTCTTTCGTCCTGGATGAGGCAGTTCATCATGGTTTCTGAGACGTCAGGGCGGGTGATGACGCCCGAGATGGTAATGCTGTTGCGGGTGCTGTTGTAGGTGATGTCCAGGTCGGACTTTTTGGCGCCGGGCAGGGAGGTGTGGATGATGTATGAGGTAGGAGTGCTGAAGAGGTCGATGGAGGGGGTGAAGCTGCCGTCGTTGGATTTGTGCTGCTCTTTGTTGGTGGATTTGGACTGCTCTTCGCCACCGAAGACGTTGCCGCCGAAGAGCGCAGGTGCAAAGGCTTCGGCTAGAGCATTCAGGTCGAAGGGGAATGCGGGCGGGCCGCCACGAGGGTGGCTGTGATGACCGCCACGGGGACCGCGTCCGCCACGGCCTCTGCGAGCATGCTCTTCATGATGATGAGGTCCATGGTGAGGCACGTGGTGAGGTCCGTGATGAGGGGGCCCTGCATGGCGAGGGTGGGGATGGTGATGAGGTTCCGCAGGAGTCTCAGGAGGAGTGTGGGGGCTGGGCGAGCGAGATGAAGGCTCATCGACGTGAGGTGGTGGTGGTGGATGAGCGGCTCCCTCGTGCTCGGGAGGTGGGGGAGGAGGCGAAGGTCCTCTGTGACCATGGCGATGGGCTGGACCATGAGGTGGTCCATGGTGTCCATGAGGGGGACCATGTCTTCGGCCGCGATGAGCCCAAGGGCCCCAGAATTCCTGACCCTCAAAAGGATTGAATTCGGCAGCGGGACCTCTACCTTCGGCGAAGGGAGAAGCAACCTGGTTGTTCTGCATGCTGGCGATAAAGTCCCAGAAGTTGTTGGCTTGGTTCATGTTCCTTGTGTTCGACATGTTGATTGATGATGGAAGAAGAGAAAGATATGAGTAGGTTCGAACAAGCCTACCTTATATGTATACCTACATGCAGAAAGCTCCAGGCAACAGTATCGAAGACGTGTACACAGAGTCGTCACACCATCAGCCACAACAGCTCTGAACTCCCGTCTATTCGTTCATGGACATTTCCAACCATCGCAATGGAAGAGCCTGGAAGAGGCAAGTGTGCACCAGAAGGCGGGGGAACAGGCAACTCTGAGCCACGCGTTCGTAGCATTCGCCACAAGGAGGGCAAGTTCGTCCGCAGAGCCGCTGTGGCGTATGCATATCGCCACAGAACAGGAGAAAGCGTTGTTCAATTGGCTGCTCACGCCGCAAATAATCGATTTGTTTCTCACAGTGGTGACTCAGCCAGGTGGAAGATGTCGAGGCAGCAAGGAGATGCTGTCGGGGGACGGGGATAGATTCGGCCGACCAGCTTCGACGTCTTGAACCTCTTGGCGACTTGAATCAAGACACAGAATCGAGATGTTTTTCGGAAGCGCCCTCGTCGGTCTTCTTTCCTCCTTCAGCAGCGACGCTCGGCCGACGGCCGTAAGTCAGCACCTTGTACTCTCCAACTGCCAGAAGGATTCCCATGTGAAAACGTTATCTATGTCGCCGACTCGCCGCGTTGAAAAAACCTCGATTCATGAGAATAACCTCAAGGTTATAGGCTCCGCGAAAGTGTATGCAAGAGAGATGGAAAGAAGAGCGAGAGATTCGACCAAGGCCGCGTCCAGGCGAGAAGGGCGAGAGAAGGGCCGCCGGAGCAAGCTCCAGATTTCGGTTCAGTGATGTCAAAGGCTTCGATGCGATCGACAGAGGCAAGAGTCGAGATGCTTTGAGATGGATGCGCGCCATCAAAATCGATCCCCATGCGTCCGAAAGGAGTTGGGTTTGAGGGTATCGCTACCAATCGATCGTGATGGTCCGTCATGATAGTCCTACAGTATGCACCATGTGGCAAGCCATGTGCGCCGTCGATGATGGGGAATTGAGGCTCGAGACAGCGAGCCATGGGAGGTACTTCTGCTAGGTACCTTGGATGATCAAGCTGATCCCGAGTCAGGAGCGAGACAACCTTTGACTGTTCAGAGAAGAAAGACGAAGCAAAATAAGTCCGAAGCCAAGCATCAAAGATAGCTTGATCGTTTGATGGATAGATTGGAGAGATGAGACGCCATCGCAAGATCCATAGCAACTGCATAACGCTGAGATTGGCAGACTTACGGGCCAGAAATCATCTATCGTATATCGCACTGGGTCAGCAAGCATAAGCAAGCGCAAGAATATATTTGGTCTCCACGAACTGGTCGGCAGAAGGGAATAAGTTAACTTCGGTGAGATAGGATGTCTTTCGAAAAACTGGCTATAACGCGCGAGCCAATGGACGAAAAGCACCCTACAAGCAGGACAAAAGTGATTACAGTCGAAGAAGGGCCGCTGACCAAAAGACCAGCCCACCATTGGAATACGAGTCAACCATCCCACCATCTTCTCTCCTCGCTCTCCTCTGGTTTGTGTCTGTCCCGGCTCGGTCCTGTTTGTTCCTCGTGGCTTATGCTTGTCTGGTGTGGGGCACTCTCCAGCATTTCAGCAAGAGTGCTCGTGCGAGCTCTTTCCAGCTTCAGACTTGCCCTCAACACCTGCCACCGTGGCCGTTGCTCTTCTTTCGACGCCTTGTGTTCGGTCCTTTCTCATTGAAACTCCACATACATGCGTTCTTGTTATATAAGAAATCAATAAACCAGTGGAGCACCAAATAAAACACAGCAACAACAATGGAGTGTGTCTGTTCTTCCAAACCATCAACCCACCAAGCGAGAGGATCTACCTTTATGGTTACGTACATAAGCCCCGTCTACTTTTTTGCTTATCCATGGATTGGAAGTAGGGTCGTGGAATTATATCCGCGCTTTCTCGGTAGAATGCAAAATATGTTTCGAGTTTCGAGTCGATCTTCATCATTCTGGCCTTGGCACCGCTTTGCATGAGACAGCCATGGCCCATGTCATATGCAACTGTGGATGATCGACCTCAGGATCCGGCTTCGCGACCGTCACTTGCCGACCCCTTTCGTGTTGGGAAATGCTTACCCTGGCACAGCGTCAGCCCCCAGCAAATCCTCGTCATGTCAAAGCACTGGTAGAAGAAGAAACAATGTACAGTGTCAATCAGTGACGATAGACGATAGAGAGATACGAGATAGACAAAGTAGGTATGACGAGAGGGAGAATGTTTTTAGAAGATAGAAATAATCGTGTAATTGCATATTCTAGAATAAACTCCTCATCCATGGTATCAACCGGAAAAAGCAAGCCAAAACTCCCGTGTCAACCTAGGCACCAATGCCGTATAGTTGTGATGCTCCCAAAATGCGCCATACAGTAAACGAAAACGAAAGAATTAATGGGCTAATACCCAACCGGATAAGTGGTTTCGCTCGAGCAAAGCGTCAATGAAGTGAAGAAAACGTGCTCTGCTGCGACCAAGCGACAGTCAGAGAGAAGCGAGAAACGAAGCGCTCAAACGCAGCATAAAGATTGCGGAAACGTTGACGCTCAAGCTTGGGTATGCGTGAAGCTGGCGTGTCGTATAGTCGGTAAGGTCATCAAATTAAAAGGTGCTCCAGTTCCAGTTGCCGCCAACGGACTGAGCGACGCTGCCGATGGGCTGTTGTTCTCCAGAAGACTTGTTCTGGTTGGGAACGCCGACGGGCTGAGTGAACATGGTTTCGTTGCTGTCTCTGCTAGTGACACTGTTGGTACGCGAAGGACGAACAGCGCGCCATGCACGGTAGTCGGTCCAGCAGTTGTCGCAAGCACGCTGGAGAGTACCCTCGGGGTGGAAGCGAGCTTCTTGATCGAGAGGAATAGCATGAGGGCTGTGACTGCTGCAGAAGATGTCTCCACAGCGACGGCAGTGATGACGACGGTTGAGCATGGAGAAAGGACGAGTGCATGTTGAGGACTTGCACTGAGCAGCGGTGCTGTCAGGCTTCCAGTGATTTCTGGTGGGTGCACCAGTGACGGCACTCTTGGTCTCGTTCCATTCGTCGGAGACTACTCGCGAGATGCTGGCAGGACCCCAGGGACCGAAAGATCTGGAGTCGTCCTCGTCGGGGCTGAGAGGAGGAGACGCAAGACTAGCAGGAGCGACGAACTTGAAACCATCGCTGGACATGTCCATGCTGCTGTGTGCGCTGCGGGGAGGGGTCAAAGACGTTTGTCTCGAACCAGGCAATTCTGTGGGGCGCAGGACTGCAGGGATGTAGAGAGGCTGCTTTGGCTGGCGAACCTGCTTGGCGTGCATGTAGGCGGAGCGGCTGGATGGAGAGACATTGTTTGAGGGAGGAGTGGTCGAATCGCCATACTGAGGCTGGCTGGTGTAGATGTAGGTGGGCGACTGCAGAGGTTGAGGGTGCTGGGCGAAAGTGGTGGCCATGTTGAATATTAGTCGTGTGATGAGTCGATCTAGAACATAAAAAGATGTGTGGAGGTTGGTCGTTAAGTAGCCGGAAGTAGGATATCGTAGGTTGTGGGGAGATGCAAGGAGAAATGCGAAATGTCGGTCTGCCCCAGGGGGATGAGATGATCCAAATGGAGATGCACAAGGGCTGCGAGATAAGGAAGAGAGCTGGCCAACCAGGTACTTGGACAGTCTACTGCAAGGTGCAAGGCTACCCGGGTTTCAGGTATGTCGCGTGAGAAAGGAGGATGTAGATAAGAGGTAAATAACAAGAATTGGTGGCTGTGGTATGTAGTGTGCACACGATGACCTTTTGGGCAAGACAGGTGGGCGAGATGGGCTATGTATATGAGGCCACTCGCGTGCAGCATAACAGTTGACTGGGGCAGATGGGGGCTTGACACGGCACGCCTAGCCTGGCGAGCGCAACAAGGTTTGAGTTACGTCCGGCGGCGGCGCTATGGGTGGTTAGGTGGATAACGAGACCCTTGGCGAAGGGATCAAATGCGACTCAAAGCGCCGACCGAGATTCAACGCTGTCGACCTGTGCGAGCAACCGTGTGCTGGGGAGAGATAGAGCGGCGGGGCCCTGCTGACCGCACAGTATGACATCTTCATCGGGTCTAACGACGAGTCGCAACGACTGCAGCTCTTCTTTGATTCTGCGAGGCGAGCAGGCGACAAGAAGAAAATGCCATACACTTTTCGACACCGCTGCAGCAAAGCAATACTCATCAAATCTTAATTCATATCTTTCTAGCGACGCAGCCAAAAGGATCTACGAGATGCCTTTCTTTTTCACGGGTCTGCATCATCCTGCATGGCTGGCCGCCGCCCCATCCCGTTTTGGGACTGCTCGACTCAGGCATGAAGATAAGCCAGTATGCTCTGATTGGCTGCCTTTGACTGTCGCATGCTCGAACTTCTTTTCTCAACAACCTCGTAGCCGCTACGCCTCTAGCATTCCTAGTGGCGGCCACCGGTTCTCGTGTGAACTTACGGTCCGGCAGGACTGAGGTTATGCTGCAAGCCATCCGACCCGATCGCGTATATGCGCTGTTCGTGGTTGGCTGCACCAACTCACAAGTTCGCAACCTGTAACGGTCCCCGGTCTCTTCGCTGCATTCTTCAGCCATGCGTTCTGGTGCGGAAGCAACATGCTGCAGCCGCGGGGCCTGAGTCGTCTTTGGCGTTTCTGTTAAATGCTTGTCAACCAGGTTTCATGCGAAGATACCACTCGCACTCTCGCGTGTAACAGGTCTGAATGAGATGTTTCCTCCTCAAACCGCCTCTAGATCCCTTCTCCTGACTCTAGCCTCCACTTCCGATGTTCCAGCATCCTTCGTTATGTGCTTGGGAGCAACCTCCACGGGTCTGCCCCGAGCAACTACATAGAGAGGCTGCTTACCGCAGGTTACCGTCGTCAAATCAAAGCACCGACAAACGCCCATACCAGCCCATAAATCTGGCTGCACGAAGCCACGAGGAAGGTTCGAATTATTGACACATCGATTCCACCTTAACATATGGCCCTCCTCGAAGAACGAAAGGACAGTGCTCGGCTCATCTTTATCTGGCTGGCCCCGCCAAGCTTCGTTGCGCATCGCTTCCATGTGGCAGCCCTGGCCGGGCTTGAGACATTGAAATTCAATTGGATTCAACCGAGGCCTTCCGCCGTCCATCTCGCTCTCGGTAGTCATGTCCTTTTGCAACGACTCGGAGTCAGGGTCGGCTGACTGCTGGCAGTTGATATCTATGGCGATGCGACAGGTCTAGAGAGACGATCTAGGACTGCTATTCTGGTTGATGAAACAGTATTCAGATGATCCCAAAATCCAGGCTTGCACCTCGACCTTCCTGTATGACGCTTACCCGGAATCGATTCGTTCTCTGATTGGCTCTACCATGTGGGCAAGGGCAGAGCGAAAACGAATATCACCTCCCGTCTGATTATCGTGTGTGAAATGCTTTTTGGCAAGCATACACCAAGTTGTATCTTTCTCTATCGTTGTGTGGTTATACAGAACAGTTATGAAATGCTACTCAGTCGAGCAGAACAGCTTTATTGTAGTCGTTCATGAAAGATGCTATAATTCAGCAGTATTGATGGAACAACATATTTCTAGACCGCTCCCGAATCTAGGACAGATCTACAGGTACACGCATGCAGGCACCAGCACTTCAGACTTGCTCAACGCACGCTGCTCGACTCATTATCCAGTGCGTCCAAATCCATAAGTCGTCTGTTCTCAATCTGCTTCGCGTTCCTGGGCTAAGCCGAGGTTCGCTGTAGAGCAACGGCAGTGTGAGGGGTAGAATCCGACGCTCATCTCTAAAAGAGTTGCAACTGCACCTTCATAGCACGACGACAAGTCGTTCTCCTGCTACGGTATTGATTGTTTTGGTTTCATCCAGTATTGGACGGTTCGCGGTATATCTCTCAAAAGCCAAGCTACAAGCCCAAATCTCGGCATCAACGGGGTTCCACGTTGCCGCCATTCGATATGTCAAACCAACGTCGTACGACCCAACAAACCCCGAGTCCCCTGTCTCCTTTCCAGGGCGACCAAATCTTGAATGAAGGCCAATGGACTACGTTGGCGTCAATCGTTGACACTTTAATATCCCCAGAGACACAGACTATCGGGGAGATCACGAAGGAGGCTCAATTCAAAGCTGCCGTTGATACTATCAAGCACCATACTAACGTTGAAGATGAAGCTCTATTGTCTGAATACTTGGCAGAATCGGCCACTGCATGTCCAGAGTTCAGAGAAGCAATCTACAGGCTGCTCGTGAACCAGATTCACGAAGAAGGAAGAAAGCAGCTCGTGGGTGTGCTCGATGCTTTGACGTAGTAGACTCCTTCCACTCAATCGTCACTCGGTCGCTAATCTCATGCAGTAATTCCCGTACTTCTTGGCTCCTGACCGGACATTTAACGCCGTTTGCACAACTCTCCCTGCGCCAGCGAGAAAGGGTGATTCAATCATGGGCCACAGCACGTTTGCAAATCTTCCGAGCGCTCTTCAGGTCGTTCAGCGATATGGCCAAGGCTTACTGGACGCGTACATCTCCTACACTTGGTCGTATCTTATCCTACCCTTATACCCCTATCAATCATAGCTACGGTCCAGGTTTTGACTTTCCGTTCGTCGTGTTCCCACCACTTCCCAAAGGCTCTACGCTCGTTCCAGCAACCTTCGAAACCGATGTCCTCATCATTGGGAGTGGTTGCACTGGCGCAGTCGCGGCCTCTGTTCTTGCACGTTCTGGATTAGATGTTGTAGTGGCCGAGAAAGGCTATCATTGGAAACCTAATCACTTGCCCATGTCGGAGAAGAACGGAATGGTCCATTTGTTTGCCAATGGAGGCGTTACACTTTCTGATACTGGTAAGATGGGGATCATAGCTGGGTCATGCTTCGGCGGTGGAGGCACGGTGAACTGGTCTGCATCACTCCAACTTCAGCCATTCGTCCGACAGGAATTCGCCAGAGTGCACGATTTGCCATACTTCGAGAGCTCTGCCTTCCAACAGGACATGGACGCAGTATGCGAAACCATGGGTGTCGGAACTCAAGGGATCAGACACAACGCCGGAAACCGCATGCTTCTGGAGGGTGCGAAGAAGCTCGGTATGCGAGCCAAGCCTGTGCCCCAGAACACAGCCGGGGAAGCCCACCAGTGCGGTTACTGTACTATGGGCTGTGGGAGCTGCGGTAAGAAAGGACCGACCGAGAGCTGGCTCCCTGACGCTGCTCGACACGGTGCAAAATTTATCGAAGGGTTCCAGTGTGAGAAAGTAATATTTGCTCAGGACAAAACACAGGACGGAAAGCAGATTGCTATCGGCGCTCAAGGTGTGTGGGCCTCTAGAGACGAATCTGGCGGTGTATCCGGAGAGGTTTACAGGCGTCCAGTAACAATCTATGCCAGGCGTGCCGTGGTTGTAGCTGCTGGAGCACTGGGAGGTACTTCGCTGCTTCTCGAGAGGAGCGGTATCCAGAATCCACACCTTGGCAAGCACTTGAAATTGCATCCTGTCAACACTCTATTCGGCGTCTTTGATGAAGACATTATGCCGTGGGAAGGTGGCATTTTGACCTCGGTTGTCAATGAATACGAGAACATCGACTCAACAGGCTACGGTTGTAAGCTAGAGTGCGTCACAATGCTCCCAAGCATGGTACTACCATTGATGGACTGGAAATCTGGTTTGGAGTGGAAGGTACACGCTGCCAAGCTCAAGCATATGGCAGGCTGGATCTCACTTGCTAGAGACCAAGGCGAAGGTGAAGTTTACGCTGACCCAGTGGACAAATACCGAGTCAGAGTCAAGTACGACACGTCAAAGTCGGATCAGAAGAATATTGCAGTCGGCCTTGTCGCACTCGCAAAGATCGCCTATATCGAAGGGGCACGCGAAATACACGTCGGTGTTGCGGGCGTACCTCCCTTCATACGCCAGCCATCTGTCAAAACGTACTCATCGGCGATCGATGCCAGCCAGGCTGGGGAAAATACTGGAGTCATGACCAGCATAAACGACCCCGACTTCTCACAGTGGCTCTCCCGTCTGGAACATTTTGCTGTCAAAGGGCTGCCAGGTGATGCTGGGCAGGTGTCAGCTCACCAGATGGGCACGGCAAGAATGGGTTCCTCGCCCACGAATAGCGTTGTGGACTCGCGAGGCGCTGTGTGGAACACACAATCTCTCTTTGTAGCTGACACATCTGTGTTCCCAGGAGCAAGCGGAGTGAACCCGATGATCACAGGTATGGCGATTGCCAGAGGTGTTGCTCGAGGCATCGTCGAAGATCTAGGTCTTGCACCCACGCATCAGTCACCAAAAGCAAAGCTGTGATGCAAAGCAGCCCGACGAAGTGGTTGGGTAGTAAGGGTTCGCTCTGCTCGAGCTGTCTCGCATCCCATGCGAGTCATTGAGCTTGAAACAGCGGAAACCATTACATAACACATATAACTCAATCTACTTACCGAACCGATATTATACTTTTGTGGTATGCATAGCTGGATCAACCAACAAAACGCCATCATCTCTTCACTCTCGCGTATTCGCAACCTATTATTGATCATTATTGCCGGTTGTTCTAGAAGGTGGGATCTCAACGTGGCAGACTGGCATGGTATGACGCCTTCCGCTGCCGTCCACCGCCTCGTAGCTTTGAAACCACGCCGCGGACTGGACTGCAGTCCACGGTAATTGCTCCGAGTTGGAGTTGACACGAGATGGTTGACGAAGCATAGGCGCAGCGCGGATGCAGCACTCGTACGATGGTGCTGTGGACCTGCGATGCGCATCTAGAGCTGGAGCTATCTTTGCCTGACTAGGAGTCCAGTGGAGGGATTGTAGACTGTTACGTGTCGCTTCACAACGCAAGACATGAGACAATGGTCAGAGATGATATTCAACCGCCATCCATAGTACCCACCACTATGTCAACACGGACTCTAGCAGATCAATATCTTCCCCACCAAGCCCTCACAATAGATTGTATGGTTACCGATCTTCATACGGGATGGTCAGATTCAACAGATTGAACAAAGGTGAAAAGATAGATTGTCATCTTCATTCGCTTCGCCATACGGAACAATCAAAGCTCTTCTTTGGCGGCTCTGCTGCTCGGACTACCAACCTTCGGAAGTGACCTGCCCAGCCTCGCGCAAGCATTTGTCGTGGCTTGGACACACGACACCTTACCAAGAATTGACTATGCAAATGTTCCAAGGCCTGTTCCGCCCCGCCGCGAGCACATGGAACCAAAAACGGTGAGCAATCCGAACGCCCGTCTCTGCGCGAGCGAGCATATCCGTAATCCCGACAATTTGAAACGGACCGAGTTCAGTTTTCCTCTACAGCAAGACGCCAGCCAAGCCAACATTTGATATGCAGCTTGATTCAACTGCACCTGCTGATGGCTTTTCTCAAAACTTAGACAAGAGTGTGGCGGTCTAGGGTGCTGATTTCCATTTGCCCTTTTTTCTGTCATGTTGGCGTCAAACGGAAACTCTCAGACCCTTGAACCCTCTGGAAGTCTATTTCCCCTGTTTCTTTTTTGCCCTCCTCGTTGCGTGTCATCAAGTCCCCTCTCATTTTGTAGATCTCAAGAGACGAGACGGGGAGACGGGGAAAACAAGCAAAAGGCACGCACCGAGGGTCGTCCGAGAACTCAACCCACAAGACAAAGACGATCCCTGCGTGAACAAGGGACGGGTTGGGGCTCACAAACGCTGTTTTTCGAAGTGGCAGTGACAAGCGATGGTTTGGGGTCTCGGGAAGCATGCTTACACGGTGCTTGGACGGCAATTGTGGTCGGTCGTTGTTCTCGCTTACTTGCAGTCGTGGTGGCCAACCTCGACGGTCACGTTCGCATTTTCCACAACGAACTCGAGATCCAGATTCCAGATGGCCATATTTCTCGCTTGGCACGGCAGCTTCGGAAGCCAATTGTAAGCCTCGCTGGTATGAACGGACAGACAATTGTGCGGCTACTTTACTGTGTGAGGGATATAATCGGTAAAAATCAGACATTTTCTCATCAATCTCTTCTTAGCTCAGTTGGTTTAGAGCGTCTGACTGTAATTGTTAATTGTCATCAGAAGGTCCTTTGTTCGACTCAGAGAGAGGAGATTTCTTTTTGCTCTTTTCACCCTCGTCTCGAGCAGGTCGTCTTTTTACTCTTTCTGCAATTAATCAAACAATACGAGCTTGTCTTTCCTAGTTGGCTGATGGTTTGCTTCGTCAACTGCTAAGTATGCCGTCCAGTTTTTCGCTTTGTCTGTTCTGATCAACGTCTTTATATTAGTTTTGTAGCTTGCCGGAGCAGGAAGGTGATTCCCAACATGTAGACACACCTCTCCACACCACAGCATTATATGGGGTTAACATGGATCACACAAGACGGAGTAGACGGTATAAGAGAGAATTGCAGTGACTAAGAGGCAATGTTTAATGTCGTTAACTCCCAATGGAGATGCTCAGAGGGATCTGAGCATGTATAAGGGGCGACCCTGTCAGATTGTCCCAGATGCGCTCCATGACAAACACTCGAAAGATTGCATGAGGTCTGCATAAGTAATGCTAAGCCGTCTGCTTCATCGAACTCGCGTGAGTGATATCTAGATTCCGTTTTAGGGTTGGTCTAAGAAGTTCCTCATTGCTCTACCATGAATAGTCTTGCCTAAGTAAACATGGCATTTTCATCTTCATGTCAGTCAAAGATTATTGAGAAGGTGAAAGACTAGTACTTGCAAGATCATCAACATCGTTCATGTCTCTACAGCAAGTTAGTTCGTCTCGACAATAATGTCTCGTTGTCCAAAGGTTCAACAAGCCAGAGAAGAAGAGGTGGCCGTGGGAGAACCTTATAGAGCATACTCCGCTCGCGATAAGCAAGAGCAGTTGATTGAGATCAACAAGATATAAGTCCACAGTGGGTATCAAGAGGCAGTACGCTCGCTGCTTGTTCGATCTGAAGATGACAGTCAACCTTAGATCTAGGGTGAACTGTCGAACTTGAATCCAGGCCCAGAGACATTGCTGTATCGATAGCCGCCTTGATGATTGCCAGTAGACCGTGAGGGCCAAGAAGGCATGTTGCTTGATTTTTACCTATACCATGGCTAGCCTGAGTACGTCGGTCACGTCTTCAGACAGGTAGGCGTTAGGAGAAACATGCCACTTCGTCAGGACCATTGCACCTCCTTATACGCGCGGGTGTGCTAGCTGCTCCCTCCGTAAGCAAGTCATAGTCAGAGTCTCATTCGTTAGTAAAACAGCAGAATGTCGACAACCGAACGCAACAGATCATTGGTCCCAGGATACATCGCTATCTCCACAGCTCGAATTATAGAATTCTGAGCTACAGATCAGGGGCTAAGATGGTGGCTATGGGTTCCTCAGCCTCCCTATAAAGAGTTTGTAATAGGAGATATATAGGAAGATGGCAGTGAACTTAGGTGCCGGCGGGTTCGTGGGTATAAGAGTAAGGAGACGCAAGGCTCGCTGGAGCAATTATGATTATTTTATTTTAGGCCAGTTCCTGCGAACACGACCCGCAGGCTCAGGTCCAGACCGTGATTCAACAGCAAGACTTCAGTTTAACAGATGAGTTGTTGAATATTAGCAGAGATGAGAGAAGTTATTTCACCACAGCTTGTGATTATCCATGACCGAAAGAAGGACATCTCGCGTATAGGAGTATATGTCGATGAAGCATAGGACGACCAGTAGGAGGCACTCGAAGCTAGCGAGCGTTGGCTACTTGCACGGAACAAAAGATACATCCACAGGTAACCAATGGCATTTGTGTGATGCGTCTGTTCTGCAAGACACTGTGCAGGACGTCAAGATAGCATTTTGTTCCGGAAGAAGGAAAATGGCAGCACAGTGCTTGCGGATACTCCAATTATCTCGTCCGTCTTCTAGACACAGGTCAATTGTTATGAACCATTTATCGATGCATCATGGAGTTTGTTCCGTGCAAGTCGCTTGACCGTGAGATCTCTTCTTGTGGCGCACCATAACTGCCGACGTACGACAAAAGGGCAAGGTGATCGAAATCGTCAGGCTGAGGCGAGCGATTGCGTGCAACAGGCTGACAATCTCTGGAACGGAGCTGGCGGATGAGTTCATGGAGGACTCGATCAAACAATGCCTGGTCTAGTTGAACTTTCGCAAGCTCAATGTAGGCCGTGTTGTCAATACGGTGACCTTCCCACTTGGGCTGTGATGTACAATACCACACACGATATACTTGGCCGGTCTCATGCACTTTCCTGACTGTGCGATGGTGACCAGGCCTTCCGTCGATAGGACCGTGGCGAGGACAGTGGATGTGCTTGCGGTAGTAATGATGTAGCGTCTGGGCGAGATATAGTCTACCTCCTTCGACAGCCATGCCAACTCTGGGGTTCAATGTCACGGTTGGTAGTGGCTGAGCAGACTGTAATCCTCTGGATGGCTGACAGACAAGCATTGATGAATCAGACTCAACTACGAACTTGTCTCTTTGGTGGTTAAAGACAGGCAAGGGAGTCGCATAAGATAGAACTGCTTCCTGGTCATCGTTAGGTTTGTGTCGATGGTCGGGACCGGACTGACGTGGAATTTGAGGTCGGGGGTGACCCTTGCGTCGCTGGAGAGGTTCTATGACTTGCGTTGGTTCAATAAGTGTTCCTCGAGGGGAGTGATTGTCATAGGAACCTTCGTCGAAGGAGCTTTCGTCGCTAGAACAGCCATCACTGGAGTCATCGTCACTGCTAAGCACAACATGGTGATAGTCAGGGAACATCGCCAGAGCTTCTTCATCGATGGGAACGCCTCCATCCGGGGGGGGGGGGGGAAATCTTGTCGTGGCCTCTGCTGAATCTGTCGGAGGTGAAGATGGTATCGCACTGCTTTGAGGTTGGTCTGCGTTGTGATCGACCCGTTCCTGCTGCGAAGAGAGAAAGGAAGCTGAGTCAGACGCGTCGTATCTGTCTTGCTCCTTGCTGCGGTAAGGTAAGTTCTGAAGATTGTGCATGACGAGATGAGCGCGATGATTGATAGCACCACAAGAGAATGGCGATGGTAGTTGTTGAAAAACCAAAGCAGACTGGGTCGAGTCAATCTTTTAGCACATACTTCGCGTGCTCCAAGACAGTCAGTTTTGAGTGAGCAATTCGATGTGTCGCGAAAGAAATGGAAGTGACATCTGATTCGTGTTGCTTTCTCTCGTTCGCGGCGACTAATTACAAGGCGCGTGTCTTGAAAAAAGCGCGACTCCGACGCATCGACCTGCCAAGAGAAGTCGGAGAAACCACGGCTGGTCGCGCAAGAAAAGCTTCAAAAAAGATTTTCTTGCACATCTTTTCACCATCATCAAGAGCTTTTGTTTGCTTCGCCATAGCCGCTGCGGCGCCATACGCAGCTGAGAGTTATACTGAAGCTCTCATCATTGTATGGCATGCTGTAGCAGCGCTGGGTCTGCAGCGCGAAAGCTGCTTGTGATAAGCACCGTGGACCGGTCAACACACCCCTGCCAAACACTAGGTATGCATCCCTTCTTGTATCTCACTCTACCCATCGAGGTGATGAAATTCCTGCGCAAAATTCACAGACCTGTTCGGAAACAAACAATGTCGAGAAAATGCTTGGAGACCTTCTGATCTTCTACCAATCACCCTTTTCGTCCAAGATTGCTGCACGTAAGCCTTGAATGCTGACTGGGAATCACAGGTCTCGACCAGCCGGGTCGAACGGCAAGTCGTACGCTACATAGAGTTAGATATCATAATCCAAACCTCGGTTGAAATCCTTCATCGCACTGATTGAGCCGTGCTCTGTACAATGATATTTACCATGCACCGTAGCGAGCCGGAATTATCCTTTTCATCAGCTGCCACCTTCTGCTTCGTTCAGCCATATGCTGTGCGCCAGTGATCGGTTGTGGCATGTGTTGCGACGAACATCTCGAGAAGGCGGTCGGAGACACCGCCGGCTACGCCGAAAATGAAATGCCGACTGTCCACAGTCCATCTTTGTGATGCAGGATCGTGGCAGTTAGGGGCTGTGAATGTTTCCTAGAAGATAGATATTGGTGATACCAAACGCTCAGCCTCTCAATTCAGCAAACACTGCCTGACTACTGAGGAGCAGAAAAGGGCATCCATATCCTGTCTCTGTATCACCCTTTGATGCCGATCTGTTCCATCTTGTGGATTCGCAACAACAGAGGCACAAACATTGCGCCCTTGGTTACACCGTGGCGCGGCGACTCTGGTTTGAGTGCGACCACTCTGTTGGATTATTGTCCATCCACATGACAAGGTCAGTATCGACGATCGCAATAATGTATCGTATCATGTTGATGTGTTCGCGTCTTGAACAGGGACATTTTTCGACAGGCACCATTCGTCTTTCTGAGCTGTCACCGGAGCGTCTTTTTCCAGGTCCCGAGGTCTGACTGGACGCGGTTCGGCGACGCAGAAGCTTCAGCCCTTCAGCTCTGAGCTGACAACCGTCGACACGAACTTTGTCTCTGCCGCAATCGTTGACCGGTACTCAACATAGATTGCACAGGGGACCCCAGGAGGGACTGCAAAATTGCCAGAAGACCAGGTTCTATACTGGTTGACTGGAGAGCGACAATCTCGCATCGACGACCAAGACTAGGCATAAGTTCATCTCTCCAACTGAAGTCTTGCTGTCCAATCACGGTCTAGCCCTCAGCCTGCGGGTCGTGTTCGCGGGGAACTGGCCCAAAACAGCGAAAGGTCAATAGCTCCAGCGAACTTTGCTCCTCCTTACTCTTATACCCACGGACTCGCCGGGCGCCCAAGTTCAACTCCCTTTTTCCTCTTCGAGTTTGCAAGCTTGCTCTTTTTCCCTTTACGGATTTCTCACTCCTGGTCCAAGTTCAAGTCTCTAGGGGAAGTGGAGCAAAGCAGAGCAAACCGCAGCGAAATCAGCATCCGATCATCGTTTGATCGAGGCCCCGTGTGAGAGAACCAAAACAGAGAAAGAACTAACCATGGCGGCTGTGGGCAAGTTCGTGTTTGTCAACTATACTGGCGAACCAGAGGCGGAAGCCAAGCAATCCTTGCCAACCGTAAGACAGCATGTCATGCATGACTTTTTTCGGCGGCAAAGGGAGGCAGATAACGGCCCATCTCCAGAAGAAGATGCTGCGCCAGAAGTTTCAGCTGCAAAGACCAAAGATCCCCGGCGGCGGAATACCAACACTCGTCAGGCTGCGTCTCAGCCGCGCCCCAAGCGCTCATCTGTAAAAAGATCATCACGAGCTCGCAAAGATAACCCCCAACTACATCGCCAGTCATCAGCCTCATCGACCGAGTTGGTATTTCTTCAAGAGTTCCCTGAAGGAAGCCCTCCATCATTCAGCCGGACCTCATCTCTTGAGGATACTGTTGATTCGTCCCCTCCTGGTTTCACCGACTCGATTAGCTATACCGACACATCATCGCCTTTGTTCTCAGTTACCCAGTCTGATCCTTCACCAGGCGTGTTTGAAGAGGCCTCCCCGCAGTCCACTTCTCTTGTCCAGATAAACTCACGAGCATCGCCCGTATTCTTCGAGCCAGACCAGTCTGCGCTACTCCAAGCACCAAACCCTTTTCTGCACAGTCCTGCTGTGCATCGCTGGGATCCATTCAATACGCTTCCCTTGAACGGACTTGCCGTTGATCAACTAGCAACTTGGCACTTTCACCGTCCGATCAACCGAAACAACATCTGGGAGAGCAAAGTTCTCTGGCTTGACAAGGTCGACAGTCACTTCAGAAGGGGTCTTTGGAGCATCGCACTTACTAGCACACCTCTGTTTCATGTTCTTCTGTGTATTGCGGAAATGAAACGTAGCGTGCTCACGGGAGATCGCAACCAGATCAGTTACTTTGAGCACAAGATCGCAGCCATGCGTGCAGTTTCTCAGGGTGTTTCCAGGCTGTCTTCTCTTCCCCAGTTCACGGGGATGCACGGCATGTCTCTGCCATGTAAGTTGCGATGAGCCTGTAGTGTAAGCCATATACTGACAGTCGACAGCCGACGATACCTCAGGCTTGCAAGAAACATCGACAGACACATTCGTTATGTTGGTGGCTATCCAAGTAAATTTGGCCTTGGGAGACAAGGAGTACGACGCTGCAAAAACACATATGCGATGCGTAACCGATCTGGTAACCAAAGCCGGTGGACTCCAATCCTTCGGCTACACACAATGGCGCCATACGATTTGGAACGACCTTAAACTAGCATCGGCGCTTCTGGAAAGACCGATGCTCGAATACGGCCTGCGTCTGGAATCTATGAACTGCACCTTCCCACCCGAAGTAAATAGTGAGGCTCACCGTCTATCATTGGAGACCGTGCGCATGATCCCCACGTCAGATACCTTAACGTCTGAGATGGCATATGATCTGTTCAACCGTCTTCATCAGCTGTGTCTCTCTTTCGACACTACGCTGACCGAAGAAGCTCATTTCCTGGCTGTCGAAAACTCCTTCTACACTGTTGTGTACCAACTGTGTAATTCCATTGCAGACAGCCAGTCACATACCGAGTGCAGCGACACAGACATGTTGGTTCTGGGTACCCAACTCAGCACATGGATGTGTATGCCATCGCTGGTCAACATGCGCGCCCTCTTCAACACAGTCATCAACACTATCCAATCGAAACTAGTCTACCGCATCTGGAACGGTCTCAAACCAGACCTCATCATACAATGGGAGTCTACCGCAAAGCTCGACTCGCTACTATGGATCATGTTCCAAGCTTCATCGGCAGCCATCAGTGTTTGCTCAACGGGAGAAACATGGATGCCATCATACATGTTGGAGTCCTTCCTAACGACCACCCGACAAGTAGCCATGAGATTGCAGATCCACAGTCTGGCACACTTCGAGAAAACGTTAAGGAACTTCCCTTATAGCGAGAATGTGTTTGGTGACGATTGCAGAATGTTGTGGACGCAAATGGGGCTCGATGACACCGGTGCCATCGATGGGATGGTCTCACCGAGCTCGATGATCATCGAGCAGATGTGAGGATACTGCGAGCATTGATAGTGGTTTCTTAGAGGTTGTGCCTCCCACTGGACGCGTTCTTTCTCTTCTTCTCATACTCTTCTCTCTTGACGCACACGAGGCGTCTTTTCGCAACTCACGCAGTTCACCCATCTCTTTTCTTACGGCATACTGTCTTGTGACGATATCAAGATAGTAAACCCTTTTTCCAAAATTTCACAACATCTATCACTTCCTTGCATTCTCTTCGCCGTATCGTTCAGTGCATCGTGTAGCCAAATCCTTGTTCTCTTACATCAATCGTACTCAAGAAAAAGTTAGAGTTACACAGAAGAAAGTTTGGGCGTCAGCCACAAACCCTGGTCACAAGAGTTCGGCGTCGATAGTATAGTGCCCAACCAGTCCTATAACCGCCAGGATATGCAGGGAAAACGTTCAGCGACCCATTGCTCTGGATCAGACTCGCAGAGGCTGCAAACTGGAGTGTATTGAACAAGCTAACCCGACTCCTGCTATGATACTTCAAGTCATACGAGCAGAATCTTGTCCAAGGCGGATGGGCATCTTGCAATGGCATCAACCAAGACCTTGGTGAATTGATCCGGCAGGTCTCAATCTAAGTAGAGTCGCTCAAGGAAATGGAAGCGAACGAAAATTCCCCTGAGGATGACATCGGTCATCAGAGGAAGCTGTAGAAGAGTATTTGGATCACCTCTCGACAATACCTCAGGTCTTCGCATGTCATCTGCTTTGTCACAGAGCTGGAAAAAATGCCATCATTCCTACATTCTCAAGACATGCGGACCATGTTGCAAAATTCGATCGCGTGATGATCACTACTGCATTCCTGTTATACACATCAACCGCAAGGACTAAATGGTCATATCAATCTGTTGCATTCTACCGGCAGTCACTTGGAGGCCCACCTCTTGTTTTGAGTGAGCCTTATCTTCTCATGTAGATGCCGTCAGCCACGAATATGTAGCTTGTATAGCTCTTGCCGTAATAGCCTTTCGATGAGTTTCGTATTCATGGCTCTATTGGTAGATACGAAGTTATAGCCTCGCCGTTCTCGACAACGGGAGCAGTCGAATCGACGGTGATGCGCTTCTCGCCATAAACTGCCACTCCTAGTGCGATACTCTTCGTGACCAACATATCTTCCTTTCCGCGAGTAATAAAGACACCTTCGTGGCGATGCGGCTCGACGATGGCCTTCTGGCCTCCCTTGGCTCTAGCGGTTACAGTAATGTATTAGTATATGCATTAGAGGACGGAAGGGAGCGCAAGGCTTCTAGATTTTGCTATCCTTTGTCTACCTTATGCCGTCTATGTACAATATTTGACAAAATGTACAAGACATGCATAAATTCAAGCATATATGGAATTCGCGCGCGCTTGTCTCGACAACGCTTCAACCTAACACGCCTTTGCAGGTATGCTGCTATGCACGATAGCTCTTTGCGCCTATCTAGTTATCTCGTTGACGCATATCCTGATTCGAGACGCTGTATGAGTTGGCTGCAAGTTTGCAACAACTGCCATAACGAATAGGAAGATGGAGTGTTCTTAATGCTTGTATGTCACGATACGCATAGTACTAAGAATCCAGATCTCTTAAGCCGGTGCATCATAGCACATCGCTGGATAGCAAGTGGCTGATTCGAGGCGGTGAACGTCGCTCGTCACACAGGCCGATGAGCCTATAATACTCCTAGACCCGTCGTACAGATGTAAGCTTATTGCTCCACATACAAGTATGCAGGCACAGCCGTATAGAGTCCAAGCTCTGTATGCATGGGTAGGAATCGTTGACCTTTACAGGAAACTGTTTTGCGAACCTCGATATGCCTTAGCTGTAATCTGACCGGTCAAACGGCTGACTCTTAAGCCGGCATCATTGACAGCCGGGCGATGCTTACTTCGCAGCAAGCAATCGGTGTTGACCGGTCAATGAGGATTCAAGGCCTCCATAATTCGAGATCGACCCAGGTTGCTCAATGCCGAATGGACAAGCCTAGATCATCGGCTGTGCAACACTCTGAGCTCTTTACCACTCTCTCACGAAGTCCATGAACACAAGCATTCAATACGAGCTGAGCCTCTGGTGCCGTGCCGGACTGCACGATGCAAAAGCTTTGTCGTTGTTGGATATGATGGATTCCACCGATCGAATATGTTCGTGCAAAGCTGTGGTCGCTAGTGCCATACCACGATTGTTTCATATGTCGAAGGCAGATCAATCAACGCAGCGACGCCGGGTGCAGACCACCGACAGTTCCAGTTTAAATCGTTGATGGTTATGCAATACTGTCAAGTCAAGCGAGACCAAGAAATCCGTTGGACATCGATCTATATTCAGAGAGCTGTATGTCCACGAACTGCAGCATATTCGAGATGAGAACAAGCTTTGGTCAAGCAATGTGTGTGGCACGCACTACGTCCTGCCACAGGACCTCTGTATGCTTGGCTCACCGCATCCCTTTGCTTGCTCCTGGTCATCCAGCCCACGGACTAATGCATACCACGCTCGAGCGCTTAGTTTCGTCATACCGTAGCATTACGTCGATGACTTCGTATCGCCATATCTTACGAGAGTCACAGCTGAAGCCATTGAGCATGTTGGTGGAAAACGCCTCTTACCGATGCTATCGAGCCTAAACGGGACAACGATCAAGGCGACGACAAGGTGCCATTCTTGAGCATGGAGATCTCTCATCCCATATGTGCCGGTCAATGGGTGCTCGTGGATCGTACAACTGTCTATCGACGATGGTATAAGTAGGATAGTCTCATCCCCCTTTCAAACTGACCCTCCAGCATCAACTCAGTATCAACCATCAACCAAGACCAAACCACTACAACACCCTCAACCAGCAACCATGAAACTCACCACCACCCTCGCCATCTTCGGCCTCGCCCTCACCGAGCGTGCCGCCGCCACCATCATAACCGGCACTTCCGAATTCACCTCTGGCTCCCTCAAGGGCACCAAATACGACGTCGCCTGGATCAAAGGCCAAGACGCCTGCCAATGGACCTTCATCGCCAACGACAGCGATAACCCTTGCGGCAAAAAATTCACTCTGTCCAATGGATATACCTACTACCTCACCGATTGTGGAGATTCTTCGTTTGCGCTTCACAATGGAGATGGTAGTTATAACCAAATTGCTGTGTACAACCCCAACTATGAGGTATGTGTTTTTGATATTGATGGGAGTGGAGATGGAGAGGATGTTGATTGTGAAACAGAAGGATGATTGTGTCAACAGCAATGGCCAGTACAAAGTCACCAAGACTTGGGAGTTCTAGATGCGTCTCTTGCTAGGACATGAAAGCAGATGGTGAAGGATAGATGCTGAAGAGCTGTGTGGTGGAGAAGGAAGGTATGATCGGAGGGAGATGGACAGAATGAATCAGAGCAACCAACACTATTAGTTTGGCCAGACTATAATACACTCTTTTGCTCACAAGAAAACCTATTTGCACTTGAGTTTCGACTCTCGTGACTGCCCTCTGAGCGGCTCGATGAATAGCGAATGACACAAGCAAGAAGAGAGTGCTTACTTAGCCATGCTGGCGAACTTCGATGCTGTCGTCTCATCCTTGCATGTCTTTGGTTTCATGACGTTGGACATATGATTGAGCAAAGACAAGAGAGGACAGTGATATGTAACATGACATTGTCTCGACTTACTGCTGATCATAAAAGGCGACAAGATTGAGTCAAAGACAATTACTGGCACCCATTCATATTCACAAAGCAAGAAAGTCAAGGTGTTTGCATGGGTGCCGCCATCATAACGAACCACAGGGATATCATTTTTTGGTTCGACATATAGAAACGCCGTTTTTTCCGTCATAATGCACACCATGCAAGAAGGAACAACCGAAAGAAGGAAGGTTTGGAGGCAACACCGCTTTTTGTCTTTTGTTATCGCTGGTAGATAGTCCGTTTTCCGTAACCGTCCGTTCCCAGACCGATTCTCTCATCACTCGCTAAACGTCATGTTTGATGCATTTATGCGGAGGTGATGGCCTTGCGGTTGCGCTGAGCGCGCTGGCGGCTGTTGATGCGGACACCAGCAGTCTCGGGGGCCTTCTGAACGACCTCCTCGCCCTCAGTGAGGATCATCTCAATGTGGCAGGGGTTGGACATGTAAGGGTTGATCTGTAGGGAGGATGTTAGGAGACTGTCAGAAGAAACGGAGAAGAGGGAAAACGTACGCGACCGTGGGCACGGTATGTGCGGCGGCGCTGCTTGGGGGCCTGGTTGACCTGGATGTGCTTGACGATCAGGTTGGAGGTGTCAAGACCCTTGGTGTCGGCGTTGGCCTCGGCGTTCTTGAGGAGCGAGAGGATGAACTCGGCAGACTTGACGGGCCAGCGGGCCTTGGAGACACCGAACTGCTTGCCTTTGGCATGAATCAATATGTGTGTTCTTTATTCCCAGGCGGATCTTCAATCCCCATATGCATCCTCGCAGCTGGCAGACTTACCCTGGGCGGTGCGGCCAGTGCTCCCGGCATAACGTCTCATGGGGACGGCCTCGGCGTGGTTCTTGACGTTCTCGAGGTACTGGAGGGCACGGGTGACCTTCCAGCCGTTGATGGCCTGAGCGGTCTCACGGGTGTTCTTGAAAGAAACACGGAGGTAGGAACCGCGAGCGCGGGCGCTCTTGGCGTTCTCGATTTCGGTAGCGGCGTAACGGACCTGGACGAGGGAGTTGTGTTAGTCGGGTGTCGCATTGATTGTTGTGTGTAGAAGTGCGCATGTCGATAGCGCAGTGAATCAAAAGATGACCGGCCATGTGTTGTATCGGATGCGGATCGAAACGAGTGCGCGCAAATTGAGACTGGGCGAAGTGGACAGAATCTGCTTGAGCGGTGCGCAATCAAGCGAGGCAGTCGAAACAAGATGGCCGGTCGGAGAGAGTCGTTTGGGGAGAGAATGCGATGAATTGGACGAAGCGGCGATGGAGCTGTATAGGGACCTACCATTTTGACGGTGTTGGGTGAGTCGGTGGGCGTACAGGGAAAAGATCTCAGCAGCGAACGAAGATTTGAGGTCTATCCAATTTTCGACTTGTGGGAGCCCTTCGCCTAGGTGGCCTGTGCGCACTGTGCCAAGATTCGTTGATCGCCTCGACTTGAGAAAGCCAAACACATCACAACATAAATGTGCTGCTCGACAAGCAAAAATATATTCAAACACAAATCATTTTCATATTACGGTGCCGATGAGAAGATTCTGTTCAATGGTGAAGCACCCGGCTTGTGAGGAAGTCACAGATGTTTGTGTCTTGCTGCTTGATCTGAGCGGAAAGGACCACACTTCCCCCAGGTCTTCTAACAGTGAATAGACAGAGCAACCAAAGGTGGAAGTGAACCTATAGCTACTGGTGAGCTATCTCTGGGCTCAAACAGACGGAAGTAAGAATCTCCAATCAAAGTATGCGCTATGGGATAGCTATAGAAAGGCAAAGATGTATTCGCACCGAAGCCGTGTCCAAAGAGAGCCGACGCCTACCAGGAGCCGCACTTGTCCAATGTCCGAAGCATCTCTCTCTTGTAGCATGAGATTGTTCGGATGCAAAAAGCTCTGAATCTTCTCGACTGGCAGGTGCACTGGCCTCGCTCCTTCCTGTACTGCAACAGATGCATGTGACAACTCTAATTCCACCTCTCTTCATGATGATGCACTATTCACTGACATCCATACGACCAAGTCTTGACTTTCTGTGAATTTACCATACATGGCTCTTCTTGCCAGTCTAGTCTGTGCGGATGAAAAGGACTCCCATCTGACGACTGAGATGTTTCGATCATCCTTATACTGGTGGGTCCGTGAGCCAAACATTACTTACATGCGAAGAGTAACTTCTGGCATCGGTCGCTGGAAGAATACTGACGGACAGTTGTATATATATATATCGTAGATCTGAGTGTAAGAAGAGCGTTCGTATTTTCATATTCTTGCCAATGTGTAAGCAACTCTATATCTCATTTTCATCTTTCAACGAGAAGACAAAAGACCATCTCGTTGTTCTTCATGTAAAAACACATGAAACCCTTCGATCCTCGGCTGAATAGTAGTATGAAGACGGACCACACCCTGTCAGCAGTCTGTCTGCTTTCAAGGACCCCTTGAAGTTGTTTTCGTCGTGAAGATATGAGATATGGCGTTGACAGATTGCACGACCCATGAGAACCTGATCAGGCTGCAAATCTCGCAGTATTACAAGCTGTCTCCGTCATCTTCTCATGACGATTTTCACTGCCTCGGGACAAACACGAATTGACAAGACAGAAGGAGTACAAGAAGCAGCATCATAATCCGCCAGCCAGACTTCGCTCTACATCTCCGCCCGGAGTCGTGCCGATAGGCCGGAGCATAGCTCGACTCTTGGCGAAAATTTGGATATCTGGAAATTTTGTCTTGCTCCCGCGCTTCGTCGACAATCCGACTATCTCGACTACACATTCATCCACCCATTCCTTAATCAAAAACGCGATGGCATTCACACCCAGAGGAGGAGCCCCTCGCGGCAGAGGTTCGCGATCTTCTTTCCAGGCTCTCCAGAACACTCACTGACTTCAAAAAAGGCGGATTTGGCGGAGATCGTGGCGGCAGAGGCGGCGGCAGGGGTGGGTTCGGCGACAGAGGTGGCAGAGGTTCGCGATATCGTTCCTGAGCTCTCTGGAACACTCACTGACAAGATTATAGGTGGCTCGCGTGGTGGTGGCTTCTCTCGCGGAGGCGGCGATAGAGGCGGTCGTGGAGGTTCGCTCTTCCCTCACACTCTCCTGATGCAACGCTAACAGACCTAAGGTGGCCGTGGACGTGGAGGCGACAGAGGACGTGGAGGACGTGGAGGTGGCCGTGGCGGAGGTATTTTTTGGCTTCCTTCCGTTCTCTGATGCATACACTAACATATTATCTTAGCCGCCGGAGCCAAGGGAGGCCAGAAGGCCATCGTCGAGCCGCATCGCCACGAGGGCGTTTTCATTGCAAGAGGAAAAGAGGACATGCTCGTGACACGCTCGATGGCACCAGGAGTGGCAGTCTATGGCGAGAAGCGCATCACTGTCGATTCGCCTGCTCCCGTTGTCGAGAACGGCGAGGCTGCTGCTACAACCAAGGTCGAATACCGTGTCTGGAACCCTTTCCGCTCAAAGATTGCCGCTGGTATCCTCGGTGGTCTCCAGGACATCTACATGAAGCCCGGTAGCAAGGTTCTCTACCTCGGATCCGCTTCTGGTACTTCGGTTTCTCACGTCGCTGATATCGTCGGTCCCACTGGTACCGTCTACGCCGTCGAGTTCTCTCACCGTTCCGGCCGTGATCTGATCAACATGGCTACCCACCGTACCAACGTCATCCCCATCGTCGAGGACGCCCGTCACCCTCTCAAGTACCGCATGCTCGTCGGCATGGTCGACTGCATCTTCGCCGATGTTGCCCAGCCCGATCAGGCCCGTATCGTCGGTCTCAACGCCCACTTGTTCCTCAAGGTCGGCGGTGGTGTCCTTGTCTCCATCAAGGCCAACTGTATCGACTCGACTGCTGCCCCCGAGGCCGTCTTCGCCCGTGAGGTGCAAAAGATGAGAGAGGAGCGCATCAAGCCCAAGGAGCAGCTTACCCTCGAGCCCTTCGAGAGAGATCACGCCATGGTCGCTGGTATCTACCAGCGCGCAGCATAAACGCACCTTTTTCCAAACCAAGACTAAATCGGTCTTTGATCTGTGGAAGTTTGTGTGTTTTATGTCTCTGTGTCATACACGTGGTACGATTGATTACAAAAACGGGTGTCCAAGAGGAGAGACGGGCTTTTTCTTCTTCTCTTATGGCTTTTGGGGACAAGACTCGGCGTTCTGTGGTGTTAGACATTTTCATCATCCTGGGAGTTTTACGGGCTTAAAGAGCGTGAAATGCAACAATTTTCTTTTATTCTTCAATATTCATTGTCGTCGTTGATCGTGCTTTTTTCGTGAATTGTCATGCTAGTCACCATCAATGTCATGCCTTTGACGATTTCCAAATGGTCGCATCCCAGATCATCGCTTCCGGACTATTCCCATGCTATGCAACTGTGAGTCCATCATCTGATCAGATTCAAGTGATCAGAGCGCATACTGTGTCGGTCTGCACAAGACCAGCGTCTCTGTACGCCTCGAAGACTAAAGTCGCATATCATTTATGATGAACACGCGCACCTTCCCTGTGATGTTTCAATCGTATCGCGTGTATCTCTCATACGTCGTCATCCTTGCCAAGGGGTTCGACACGAATATGACAGCCATTCAACCATACCCACCTCCTGAACATGACATGGGGCATCTTCTCTTCTCCCTCCTCGGTCTTGTCCAAACCTCTCTTGATCTCTTCAGCGACCTCGTCAGGTAACCTCACGCACAGCAACAGCCTGACCTCAGGCACACACTTTCTCACACTCAAAATGATCTCTTGCAACTTTGGATCCTTGAGCCAGAGATCAGCATTCGCTTTTTCGTTCAGACTCGGCTGCCACCTAGGCCCTCTGTAGCGGATTGTGAGCCGACGAAGACCGGGCAGGTCGCGCACGAGACTGCGCTCGGCAGCATTTGTATTGAACCAGCCTGTCCAGAGACGAGTATCGTTGCTGCGGATACGCAAAATGATGTGTGGGACCAAGCAGGCGAAAGAGCGATTACTCAAAGCGTGGGCAAACATGTTTGCATCGCTGGGGTGAGCGAAGGTGAGGGTGTTTGTTTGGTAGAGGACGTGAGCTGCTTCTTCGTAGATTGGGCGACAGCAACGCAGGAGTTGTGGATCGAGAGTGTGGGAGGCGTGCTCTGTGGGCCAGAGGATTGGTTGTGTACTGGTGAGGAGGAGAGAGTAGATTTGTAGTCGAATGTCGCGTGGTAAGCGGAAGAGTGGTGAGGTTGATACTGATGAGGGAAGCATGTCGGACGAGGGCACTTGGGTGAGGGCGTCGTGGAAGTCTTGGTCATCGGCGAGAGAAGAGGATATTGAAGTCAAGGTGTTTTTGCGGAGGGTCGAAGGGCGCAGGCTGGATTCGAGGGCGTCGAAGGTGCTGACATAGGAAAGACTGCGTGTTGAGAGGACCGACTCGCGCCATTGGTATGGGTCTGCCATGCTGTGACGAGCAGACTTGAGGATTATAGGGAGTGGGGAGTCGGGAGTGGGGAGTCGATATTGTGACAGCAAGCAGCACTGCTATGTCTGCCCCACAGAAGTCAAGTTGATTGTTGTTGTTGGTCTTGGTCGCATGCACTATGGCCTTTGATTCGCGCCAGCCTCGTTTCACCTCGGCTCCTCTGCCGATGCTTCTCTACCCACATTTCTCTACTATCATCCCTCTCCCTTTCTTGAACACTCGTCTTCAACCCCTAATCTTCCATAAACCGCTGAACATCATGGTAGATATCCTCGTCCATGGCCAAGTATCCTTCTACGCCCCGTCTTGTCCACACTCGTGTGTTTCAGAAACATTTCACCGCCGCATTCAACATGCATAACCTCAATCTATTCACGCCATCCTTCACCCGCTGATTGGTCCCTTTCAACACCACTCCATCTATTTTCGACCACTTTTCCTGCAGCAATATAGCCTCGCTGCTGAATAAGTAGAATGTCCCGCTGTGAACCTGAGCGCTTGCTTGCGCCTTACCACCTGCTCGTCTTTCTCTGCTTAACCCACCTTCTGTTTTCTCGACATCTCTCGTCCCGCCCCATACACATACACGAAATACCATACTGTCGCTCTTCATCACTGTCCTCGACCGATCTATTGTTTTTTCTGTGTGACTTGATCTTATCTGTATGATCGTTCAGCACACGTTTACCCGACTGCGCGACTGGTCAGCACCATGACTTCCTCGACTACCACTACCTCAGCCACTACTCTTCCCAGTCCGATTTCCTTTGCGCCTTCACAATACTGGGATGGGAACGATGGAAGGTATGAGCCTATGTTCTACCACACCCAGTACGGAACTGACTGTCTCACAGCTGGTCCTCGTTCATGGTTCGCATAGGAACCCCGCCTCAAGACTTTCGGGTCTTTCCTTCGACTTTCGGGCAAGAAACCCTCATACCAGTCCCTGAAGGCTGTACACAAGATGATCCAGCCAACTGCGGTAGCCTACGAGGCGTCATGCCCTTCCAAGGCGATATCAGTACCGGCTTCTTGAGCAACGCTTCAACGACCTGGGACGACATTGGCATTTATACAACAGACTTGGAGACGAATGTTGGCATCAATGCGAACGGAATGTATGGCTTTGACACTGTTGGTCTACAGGTTGAGAACTCGGGTGGCATCCAACAGACACACCAAGTCGTTGCTGGCATTGCCGACAAAAGTTTCATGTACGGTGTGTTTAGCTTAGGACCAAGGCCGTCAAACTTCTCCGTCCTGTCTGATCCACAACCATCCTTCATGACGTCTCTGAGGAATAACGACACCATACCATCCAAGTCATATGCTTACACTGCAGGCGCTTCATACCGTAGGTTTCATTCTGCATACACCCGGACCTGACTGACAAAGTGCCAGGATACAGCAAAGTGCTCGGTAGTCTGACTCTAGGTGGCTACGATGCATCGCGTATAGACGGAGATGGTACTGTCTTTCCCTTTGCTTCAGACGACTCCAAGCCCCTTCAAGTAGGCGTCACGCAAATCACCGCTCAAAACACACTCCTCGGCACCGCAACTCTGTATTCTACAGGCTACTTTGCGCTGGTAGACAGCACGCTTCCGCACATCTGGATGCCAGCAGCCGCGTGCGATAATTTCGCATCCAGTTTTGGCCTGGTATATGATAATCAGACAGATCTATACCTAATCAACGACACCATGCACACAAAGCTCCAACAACTGAATCCCACAATCATCTTCAAACTATCTCCAGAAACGACAGACGGAGGTGCAAGTACGAATATCCGCTTGCCGTATGCAGCATTCGATCTGCAGGCTAGCTATCCCTACTACACAAACAGCACTCGCTACTTCCCCATCCGCAGAGCAGCAAACGACACACAATACATACTCGGCCGCACGTTCCTGCAAGAAGCATACCTGATAGCCGATTACGAACGCAACAACTTCACAATCACACAAGCTGCATTTGCAAACCCTATGCCCGCTGAAAACCTGGTTTCCATCCTACCAACGGGTGTCAATGCAACAGGAAACTCAACAACAGGTGGCAACGACACAGTCACCAGACCTTCAGCAATTCTGTCTCGCAATGTGATCATCGGCATTGCAGTTGGTGTAGTAGCAGGAGCCGCTTTGGTCCTCTTCGCCTTCGCTACAGCCTTCTACATACGCCGTCGTCGCCGTCAACGCGCTGCCCTCAGTCTCCTCAATAACCCAGACTCCGACAACTCTACACCCACCACTCACCTCCATCCGCCCGTTGAAGCAGATGCAGCAGTGAAGCTCGAACTCCCCAGCGACTCAGAAGCAGCACTCAATGAAATGCCGACCGGAAACGAAAAGTATGGGTGGCAATCACACGAGGTGCAGGGAAGTAAAGTGCAGCCTAGAGTTGAGATGAGAGGGGGTTGGGAGCCGCCGGAGTTGGATGGAAGGAGTTTGAAGGATGGAAGTAGAGGAGGTGTTTATGAGTTGGAGGGAAGTGAGCCTGTGCAACAGGCACCGAGGGAGAATGTAAGGCAAGAAGGGCGGACGAGGTTCTCGTGAAAACGGTGATGGAGGCATGTATTGAATGTGACTAGATAGTTGTTGGTCTAATGCTTGACTTGTCTATTCTTCGGGTGTAGAAAACGTTCACCACTTGTTTTCACACCCGAGATCGTATCCAGAGCAGCATGATCAAAACTCAGCAGACATGCTATTCCACCTGACCGTCAAGTCACGACCACATCAGCGCCAACTCGCAAAACAGCTCTGTCCGCGGCTCTTCTGCAAGATCGACATCCGAAGCCTTCCGGAACGCAACACCCTCCGCGCACCTTATCCCCACGTCTCCCGTTACCCCGGTCTCGTCGTCATCTCTGGGGATCTTCACCATTGCTGCATACTGCAAAGATCTTCAATATCCACCTCCAAACTGATCCTGTGACGACGAGCCGCACTTTTCGGTGCCTTTTTCCCGCTGTGCGCTGCCGTTTGTGATAATCGTCAATTGAGGGGTCAAGAGTCACGTCCTGAGGAAAGGATGTGTTTAGATCCGAGTGGCAGCTAGCTGCATGCTGATTTGATGCTGAGGATAGTGATGGACATGAAGAAAAGAAAAGAGACTTTGGAACTAGTAGGTCTTGCTTGCATTTGGCATTTGGAGAAGAGAGAGTGTGTTTATAAGTAACTTGCTCTGTTTCTCTTTTCCTCTACTTTGCTTTTCTGTTTTGTTCGACTCCCTGCTACTTAAATTCTTTCTGCCATTTTGCTCTCTCGGTAGAGCATAATCAATCATGACGGACACATCAATCCGCACCTCAAACTCAGACCCAGACCCAGACGCAATCAGAAAATCAGAAACAGAGCATCTCGAGAATGACGCCATAAACCCACGCTGGACACCTGGATATGGTCCCTTGTCACGCATCCCCACAGACAATTCCTATCTGCCAGCCTTTGGAGGAGCTTTTCAACCTGGTCTCTACAAAGCTCCAGATAGAGGATTTGCAAACCCTGCTCCGTTGGGTCTGGCAGGTTTTGCTCTGACGACTTTTTTGCTGAGTTTGATCAATTTGGGGGCGCAAGGAGCGGCGACGCCTAATATTATTGTTGGACCTGCTTTTGCGTATGGTGGATTGATTCAGATACTGGCTGGCATGTGGTGAGTAGTTTATCGTCTTGGAGTGCGTTTTTGGAGCGAAAACTGATGTTTGGTGACGCAGGGAGATGGCTGTGGGCAACACCTTTGGTGCTACAGCTTTGACATCCTATGGAGGCTTCTGGATCGGGCTAGGCATAATCTTCACACCTGGAGGATTTGAGATCGCTTCTGCATATGGTGGTGCAACAACAAATTTCTATACCGCAGTAGGCTTTTACCTTTACGTAAGCTTTCCCCCTTTGCTCTCTTTTACACACAAGCACCCACTGACACTCTTGCAAACAGGGCTGGTTCATCTTCACCTTCATCCTCTGGCTGCTGACTCTAAAATCCACCGTGGCCTTCTCCTCCCTCTTCCTCACCGTATGGCTCACCTTCCTCATGCTAGCCACAGCCTACATGTATACAACCACGACCAACGGAGTCACCACACCAAACCACTCTTTGAACTTGGCAGGAGGTGCTTTTGGTATCGTGGCTGCATTTATCGCTTGGTGGAATATGTTGGCTGGTATTGCGGATAGAGGAAACAGTTTCTTTTTGGTGCCGGTGTTGCATTTCCCTTGGAGTGATAAGGGGAGACAGAGGAGAAGGGAAAAGGCGGAGAGTTTGAGGGATGTAGAGAAGGGGGATTGAAGTAGTAGGATTATGAAATTTGTAATGATGTATAGCTCTCGGACGACGAGACGTGGATGCAAGACATCCTAGTAATGAAGCTTCATTTCCAACAGGTTGTCATCAGGAGTCATCAAACACTACGCCGTTAGATAGAGCAGCGAGGCCCTGCTGACCACGAGATCCTGATTCCTGCCTCAAGCTCGACGATGTCGGTCGATGTGTAACGTCCTGTTCGACTTCTTTCGCGCACATAATCAGACCTGTCTTTTGGGACTTGTTCATTAGCGAATACTTTCGACTTTCTTGTTGAGATGATGTGATAATGCTGCTCAGACATGTAGCATACTCTCCAGTAAAGGTAGAAACTTGTTTAAAATGTCTGGTGGACAAGTTCATCTGTAGACATGATTGAGAAATCTCTTCGCAACGAACAGGCTGATATCTCACAGGGCTCTCTATTGGTGTGTGGGTCATGTTTAGATACTGCACCGAAGTGAAGCCTCAAGGATACAACATGTTCGGACTTGAGATGACATTAAACGTCAGTCATGCAGATTGAGCACGCATCAGATAGGTTGACAATGATCGTCAACCATGCTGAAGGGATGAAAAGCAACAGGATGGAAAGAAAAAGGAACGAAAGTGACAGGTTGACATTGAATGTCAACCATGCAGGCAAGGCCCCTTTGATCGATGTGAATTCTCAAGCAAGTGGAAGAAGACGTCTATGTTGACGTTCAATGTCAATCATGTTGGGATTTTTCTCAACCTATCACCAGAAGTGAAACATGGAAACAGGTCTGTACCAGTCATGTCTGGTGAAGGGTCGTATATAGACATGTCCGAGTTTTTCGCGACCAGTTCGATTGGACATGTCCGCAGCCTACAAAACCAGACATGTCCTATCTTGATGCTCTGTCACTCAAGATACCACTTCTAAGTGATAATTTTCTGAACGTATGTGCTGTCACTAGTTCCAATCTCAATTTCATTTTCGTACAGATCATGATTTATCAAGTCTTTGAAGTCAAGATTCACCACATGAGCCGAGCTGAAATGTGTGAAGCCTGTCATGTCCTGTATGTATAATTGCAGTCTGAAGCTATGGTAAGATACATGTGTGTATATATACTGAACAGCCCTAAGGAAAAACCATCAAGTCATAAACCTGCCTGCGTCTTGATAAGACATGATCAGAAAAAGCAAGCATATGGACTGGAAGCAACAGTCGCCACTCAGCTCTGCGATATCTCTTGTACGACTCGTCCGCCCTGGGAGACTGCTTGCTTCCGGTCGACCACACGTTCGTGCGAATCGGCCAACCAGTCTGTCCCCTCGAAACAACCACATATCAAGCCGCTACACATTCTCTTGATCATGGTAGTTCTCTTCGTCATTGTCTTCCAGTTCTGATATACGCCGTTTCTTGAGATCAGGTTGCTTCCTGTGCTTTCTTCTGTTGGCTCTTGGCAAGCCTGGTGCGGACCAACCCTTCTCCTTGTTTTCCTCTGCAGCGCGTATACCAGAATCTGTTGCTGTATCAGGGCTGACTCGGAAATTGGCACGTCCCCTTGTCAGCTCCTGGAGGTTTGTAGCAAATGCAACATGTTCCTTCCTAAGGTTCACTGCTTCGAAGAACTCCTCCACACATGTCGCGATATCGCTGGACGAGATACCTTTTCTGTACGCAGAGAGCTCTGCCAGGAGAACCTGTCCGTAACGCACACCGTTTGATAGCCGTGGAAACAGGTCGAGTCTGGGGAACCACTCCGGAACAGCAAAGACTAGATTAATGTTGAGGTGTCTGTATCGCTCGGCCAAGGCATCCAGGGAAGGTAGGTGGGTGGTCAAAGCATCAAAACCGACTGAGAGAAGGTCGACAGATTGACCTTGTTGTGCTGCGTCTAGAATGGCCTGAAGCTCCGACAGATTCGTGTCAGGATTGAGGATGACCTGATCTTCGATCGTGATATAGAATGCCAACCTGCTTGAAGTCTGCTGCCTAGGAAGTGAAACAAGAACGCATTCTTGTATCTTGTTGAGATTGACCCAGGCTTTGACTGCTTCCGCTCCTCTAATATACATTCCGTTGCCACCGTAGGTGGGTGGGAAGCTGCTTGCACGAGTGAAGCCAACAACAATCCGATCCGGTTGGGGTGATATCTTGACAAAACCTGTGTATACTGGGATCTTGTTGATCAGGTTCCATGTGCAATGAACACGGTGTCTCTTGTTGGCCTTGAAGTCGCCATCTGCCGACTTGTTCAAGGCTGGATGCTTTTGTACGAACTCCCGCAAGTAGTCGTACTGTCCTCTTCCCTTGAAGTTGCCTTTGGTTGTGAAAACACCCGAGGAGTCTTTTGCACGCTCTCGTGCCGAAGAGGTGCTGTAGTATATCTTGAGAAGGTCAACATCTGTCAGGTTCGGATGCTTGTTCAACATCGACGGGTCCGTCGTAGCTTTCTCGATGTATGGCCACCATGGTTCATTCCCTGTCTTGGTGTTCCACGGATCTATGAAACCAGTTGTATCGCGCTCCACATTGTCGACACGGAATTCATCGTTGCTGTCTTTAATCTTGTTGCTATGGGACCGGTCGTCTGCTTGGGAAGAAGCCGTGTCATGGGACTGGTCGTAGAGGCTTCTCAAACTAGAAACCAGTTCAGAGTCGAGTTTCGAGAACTGTAGATGCAAGCTGAAATCTTGGCCAGGAACATGATGGGCAGTAACATGTCCACTCTCGATCAAGACTTTGACCGCTTCCAAGATGACCTGTTGCTGCTGTGCCATGATAACCAGAAGGATCGAGCGCAATGCGTATCTTGATACGATGTGAGGAAGCTGGCCTTCGAACTGGTTCGGTGCACGGAGGACAGATGGAAGTGATGTGGTCAGGTCCGGGATTAGTCAATCAGCGACCTGTCTGGGTGAACACGTTCGAATAGCGGATCGAATGACGAATGTTTGGGGGACAAGAGCTAAGAACGATGAGCCTGATGGCCATGAGTAAGCACCTTCTTTGGCAACCAAGACCGTAAGGTATTGAACGTACGAGATCTCTGACTTGTCTGTGAGATTCATCCAGCGAACCGTGATCTACGAGTCTGAGTATACTTGATGAACTCGGCGCAGGACGTCAAGCAAGGTCGGATTTATGGTGAAACTGGTTGATTTTGGTCAGGCGAGAGATGATTGTGGCTTCAACAGATTCGTGAGGAAAGGGCCGGTCGTGTCTTCCTGCCCATCCAAGCGAAGCTCACACACCAGGACTGCTCCTTCCTCCCCAGCTACACTCATGGCTGGTTGCATCACATGGGTTCCTCGAGTTGTCTGTGGCTTGTGACGTTCCGTCTTGATCGCTTGTTCTAGGCAGTATTGCTATTGGTAGTAGATGTGGTATTGAAAAGGAAGGATGAAGTTTTATAATTGCACTGTCACATGCCAAGTATATGCGAGCCTTTCTCTAGTCTTACGAGTATGTAGATTCCTAGATGATAATTACGTTGACGCTCCTGCGACGTGAAGTGTCAAAACGTAGAAGGAGTTGTCGATGGATCCTATCTGGCTCTGTCAGAATTGTTAAGAAAAGTAAGAAAGAAAAAAAAGCAAAAAGAAGTAGCTAAGCTCGGTTTCGATCCGAGGTCCTCCGGGTTGGCATGTTTATGAGCCCGGCGCGCTGTATTGAGTTAGTAAGGTGGTTTAATGAGTGGAGCGAGTGAATGTTACGAACCTTCCGCTGCGCCACTCAGCTGAGCATTGGCAGATATCTGCTTGGCTAGAATATAGCCTACAAACTCTGCCAAGAAAAACCGTGCTTGCTAAGGTCGACTCGGGCGCGAATGAAGAAGCGATACCCCATCCTCTGCCTCTAATTCTGCTTCTTGCCCCAGTCCACGGTCAATGAGCCTCAGAGACATCATCACAGAAAACAGTCGGTGTGTTGATGTGTCTAAATGAGTTTGCAGGTGAAACAGCACTTTCCGCTTCAAAGTGTGCCGGCCCCTCAGAGACAACCGGAGAGCTCAAAATTGCGAGTATCCAGACCGCATAACGTGTCTCTTCATCGATCTAGAGCGTCGCAAGATTGCTGAACCACATCAGCATGCAAATGCTCATATCTCCGTGATTTCTAGGAATCTACCGCCTCAAACTTGTCGCTAATTTCGACACAAGCATTGCGAGGTGGCTTTCGCAGCCTTGATGGAGAGACTGCCGGCTGTTTGAGCTGGTAGCCTCAATCCATACAGCAAACTTCATCGACTGTTTACAAGCAATAGCCACGATGGGAGTAATCAGCCGGCGATCTGGACATCATGGCGCGCATCAACTTCTCGTCATGCGAGCCAGCTCACAGCTAATATGGCTCTCGATCGAGGGAAATTTATCGGCATGAAGGCAGCTGGTCTGTCCGCATCTTCTGAAACGCGCAACACACGTCGTCAATTTCTCGCAAAGCCATCCGCCTTTCGCTGTCCAGCAGCTCCTCGTGTCTTGTTCGATATTATCATGTCTTCAGTGTGGACCAAACTTAGCCAGTGGCTACCATATCTGCAAGCCAATTCCTACACCGGACCACCCTGCCCCGATACAGAACGCCATCCACGCAGCGGCATCTCAAGATGCTCAGCTCGTCCAGCTCAGTCATGCACATCATGATGCCCTAGAAGCCATGGTGCGGGCCGCACGGCAAAGCCAGGCTCACATTGCGTCTTCCAACAGTGTTCGTCTTGCCGGGAACCAGGGCCTTGATGGTTGCACGTACCTCTAGCAATTAATTCGGAAAGTCTCAGGTATTGAGTCTTTACGCCTCTAGATGGGAGGCCGTAAAACATATAGGTAAGTGGATGGTAGGTCAAGAGTCTTTTTCACTCCTTCTTTCGCTTCCAGTCACTCTTTCATATTTCTTTCCTATATCGGGTTCAATGGCGTTGATCTATGATCGTGATATCTGGTCGCGCCAATCTTTCGACCCTTCTTGTCCAAGTGGTGGCTCCTGGTATGTCTGCACAACTGGCTCCAGATTCGTCGGATGCTGTAGCGGCAGTGTCGACCCATGCGATGTGACAACGAGTTGTCCACAAAAGAATCTAAGACCGGCGAGCTTCGACGTCGCTGAATATGGCACGTTTCCAGATCAAACATGCAGCACCGACAGCAACTGGTACACATGTGCTGGAACGAATCCGGCTTTCATGGGTTGTTGCAAGAGCAACCCTTGCTCGAGTGGATGTCCGACGCAAGATCTTACTGCGGCAAGTCTCAGCATTGATGACGCGACAGCTTCAGCATTCGTAACAGCTTCATCAGCCGCAACTACCTCAACAGCAGCGGCAACCACCGTACCTGATGCTCCATACTCCGCCGGAGACCATGTGGGTGCGATTGCGGGAGGTGCTATCGGGGGTGTAGCCGGTCTCTGTCTGGCCGCGATCGGTGTTATCTGGTGTATGAAGCGTCGGAGACAAGCACGCAAGCAAAAGTACGAACAACAAAAGATGGCGGAAGAATACAAAAACGACGATGGTCATTTCCACAACACATACATCCCACGGCAAGTGGACACGCCAACCGGTATCCAACCTCAAGATGCGGAAGAACCTCGAAGGACTGTCTACTCTTTGGAAGATCCTGAAGGAATTGAGGTTGATGACCGACCTGCACAGACTGCTTCAACTCGACCAAGCACTTCAGGTAAGACCGACTGCATAAATGAAACAACGCTTTGCAGACGTACTAAGAATATGTCATCAGACCAGCATAGCACCACGCAAACCTACAACATCAGTCCGAATATCAGTCGGCCACCCAGCGTTGGCAGCCCATACCCCCCCAGCGTCGGCAATCCACCCAGCATAGGCACTTCCTGGTTCACCCGCGACTCCATCTTCGCAAATGGCAATCCTCAACTCGCAAACATCCCCTCACCAGACGAGAGTCATCGCGCCTCTTGGATCGAGCAATCACGACATCACAACAACAGCAGTCCGATGGTCACGCCCATCCATTCGCCTCTTCATCAAGCTACTCATTCCGATTACTTTGGTGCTTACGAGAATCATCAACGCAATACCTCTCACATTTCCCGACATCCGATATCGCCGCAAAATCAGTACTTCGAATTGGACGACACGCAGTTGAGTCCGCCTGTTGAACTTGAGGCTATCGAGGCGGGGACGAAAGAGCGGCGGGAGAGCACGTGGCAGAGTGTGTTGCAACAACCTATCCGCAGACGTAGTCGGCATGATGTAGATGAGAGACAAACGGGATCTGCATATTTCTCGCCTGACGATGTGGGTAAAGCGTGTAGTAGAAGTTGATGAGCCGGTTTGGCTTAGATTGCCTCTCCAGGCATCAAGTGTTTTGGGCGCAGGAAATCGCGCTCTACGAATTTTACGATACTTGCATTACGAATATTCTATATACCTTAAACTTCGCCTTCCATAGAACCGACATCTCGATCAATCATTCTTCTGCATCTGCCCGTCAACAAGCACGAAATCTTGGGTTCGTGACTATCCACCAACAGAGATCATGAGACATATGGCAATAAATCCAGACATGTCTCTTTTGTTCACTACTATTGATGAGTCAGATTCACGATCTGGAAGGTTGACATTGAATGTCAACCAATTTGTCATTGTTTTTTGTTCTTGTACTTCACCTCAATGCAGCAGCGGCCAGACCATATCTGGACCAAGAGGGAAGAGATAGAATGGAGATCATGTCTTGGATCTTCAACCTCTCACCTTCTCACCTAATGATATCACGTCTGGTTCTAAAAAATGCATCAGGTCTGTTCCCAGAAAACCCATCATGTCAGATTCTATCGGAGCCCTGAAAATGCGTCAGGTCTGCTTCTGGAGGATGCATCGGATCTAGAATTGGGAGATGCATCAGGTATACTCCTGGAAAAACAAATCATGTCTGCTTTGGGAGACGCATTAGGTCTACTTCGTGGTGAATCAGACTTTTAGCCTTTGATCGATCGACAACCCGAATTTTGAACATGAGAGACATGAGCAGGCGATCACGAGCAAATGAAAATGGGGACATGAGTATGAATAGACGAGCATGAGCAGTTCGATGAGGAGAAGGCTTACAACCCGGAGTCCCGGCTAGAGTAGAGCATTGCATGCGTAGACCGACAATTTCTTGTATTCATAAATCATTACTCTATTGTCATGAGTCCCCATACGCTCAAACATGGTCAGAGCTGCAAACGATATCAAGAACTTGGGTATCTTCCTTGACAAGTTCGACCCAACCTCCCTTCTCTACACGAATGATTTTGCCATCAACACAGATTCTTCGCCAACGACCATCTTCTTCCGAGTTGTCGAAAGCTATTCTCAAGCCATCAATTTCTTCGTAGCGAACTCTATGATCATCAACATGTTTGCCTTGCTTGTATGCCTCTGTCATGACAGCCATAACCTCATCCCCAGACATGGGTCCAAAGTGTATTAATCTCAACTTCCCATCCAATGGTTTAGAAGCTGGTGAGATGGTGAAGTTCTTCTCCAGATTGGAGACAAAGGTTGCGAGAACATATGCATGTTCTTGGTCTTCGAGCTCGCGCCATTCAGAGCCATGCAAGACTGAGACGCGACCGCGATATTTGTGTGGTGGTGAGCCGTCTTCAGGATATAGAGCTGCCTTTGCTGCCATCTGGAAACGCTCAACACCATGTTTACGATACTCTGTGGTATCGCTGTCGGCAACGAGCGAGGCGTGCATACCCCAACTACACACCACAGCGCCCCACATCGTCGGCTTGCCGTTGTGGTTGAAGAGCTCGGCTTCTTCGCTTCCCTCGCGTATGAGCAGTCTTGAGCCTGGAGAGAAAGTGGTACGCAAGATTGGTAGAGGACGTGATTCTCCTTGCATCAGCGTCGACAGACCCATACTATCGTCCGCAGTAATGCCCAAGGAGTTTGCCAACGCATTTCCGGTACCCAATGGTAATAGAGTAATCTCAGGACAAGCGAACTCAGGGCCTCGTGATGCAGTGAGAATGGCGTTGATGATATCCACGACACCACCATCACCACTCAGCAAGATGATGGAAATCACGGCTCCAGTGTTTGCAGCGGGCAAGAAAACGTCGTTTGTGAGTTCGGTGATTGTGTCCTCAGATTTGGTGAAATGGACAAAGAAATGCTCTCCCTGCTTGAAGCCAAGGGATTTGAATGTGTCGGTCAGATGTGTCTCGTAGAATGACTGTGCTTGACCAGTTCCTGAGGCTGTCGAAACGACGACATGACGAGCAGATGCCATGACTCTGAGTTCCAAGCCCTCCGGCTCAGATTATAATATGGAGAGTCCTTTACAAGTCAAGCAGTGGAGTAGAGGCCGATGAGGGCTGCGTTTACCACAGTAAGAAAGCTGGCGCGTGTTAATGAGATGGTTGAGGGTGATTGTTGAGTCGGGATCCAAAATCCTTCGAAAGGATCAAAGGCAAGATCAGGCACGCGCTTAGTTATATGAATGGTGTCAGATTGGGAAGGAGGATAAGGCCGGTATCGCCGGGCATAAAGATACACAATCCAGCACAAACAGCGCCAAGCGAAGCTAGAATCGCGTTCGGCTGCACCGTCATAGGGCCGATCAGCAGCGGAGGTCGCAGCTGCCTCACAGTAAGCCAGTTCATTGAGCTGACAAGTTAATGCCTTCGACAACGAGAATAAGCTAGACGGCAGTCACCCTCAATCCCACCCTACTCTGTATGATCTGGAACCACAACACAACATGGCAAGCGATCCCGACCGTGGCCTCTCTGGCTGGGGCATCTTCTTTCTCGTCGCTTTTGTCTTCATCGTCATAGGCGGATGTGCATGGATAGTGTAAGTCGACTCTTTCCTGCTCACCTGCCCACTATTGCAGCAGCATAAAATCGTCACTCTCGAACATGTCAATACTCATGGGCTCCCAATAGTTTCACACAATACCGCGCCCGACGATTGGGTCTTCCTGCTCCCTCGCTCAACCCCTTCACACGTGGCCGCCGACAACAAAACTCGTATCAAGCTCCCTCAGCAGCATCTGGTGGCATTGGCGGCTGGATCAAAGACAAGGTCGGCGCATTGAAGAGCAGTGTCGGTGGAGGTAGATCATCCGGAGGCGCATACGAGCCCAGCGGTGGTTACGGAAGAGGTGGTCACCGTGGTTTCGGCCCTCTGGATCCTGATGAAGCCTGGGACACGCGTGTCGGTAACGAGGCAGACTATGGCGTCAACCGCGACGGCTATTACGAAGAGCATGACTTGGGCTCGCCGGATATGAACTCAGGACCTTACGGTGGACATGGGTACGGGGGAGGAAGCATTGGTGTCGGAGGAATCGAGGAAACAAGAGGGCGTGCTGCCAGCCGCCAACGCGAGCTTGATTCACGATACGATGAGGAAATGCACGGCACCAATCCATTCGGCGACGACACGGCTGAACGCAGCAGCATGAAGAATAACGGCTCGCGTCCGACCGTCGACACCACTGGAGGAGCTTCTGGAAAGGCCCCGCATCACAAGAACCAGCAGAGTCTGGGTGCCCAGTCCGTCGATTCTCCATCGGAGCGCCGCAGCATCTTCCGCGAGGATATGTAATTGCTCTTACGACCCATCCCTGTTGATGATCACGGCGTCATTCTGCTTCTTACTATTGTCCAGCTGCGCTGAGCGTTATGTGTACTCGAATCCTTGCGCCTTTCAGAATTTACTTGTTCTTTCTGTGCACCTTGTGCTTTGTGCAATTTTACTTGCCATCTCTTCCCCTATGTCGAAAGCAGCTAACATGAGTTCATCGTTCACACAATCGACTTGAGATTGGTAACAGTCAAGCAAACAGTCCGAAGTGAGAGTGAGTGCCAACTACCTCGCCACCACTTCTACAGATCCAGTCCTACCTCATCTTTTGGTCTTCTCTTATTGCACCCACCTTCTGCATCTGCAAATATTGGTCCCACTCATTTCGATCTACCAACTCTTCGCGCCATCATGACATCCACCAGCAACCAGTGTGCTGTCTGTTCCAAACCGGGCAAGCTCTGCGCCAGCTGCGAGAACATCCACTACTGCGGCCCCGAATGCCAAAAGGCTGATTGGAAACTTCACAAACTGCTCTGTCGCTCTTTCAAGGACTTTCGCGACTCTCCCATCCACAAGCCGTCTCATCGCACCCTCAAGAACTTTCACAGCCCTCCAGTGACTATGATGCGTGTCATTGCCTTTCCCATCAACAGCACAAAGCCAGAGTTCCGCTGGATGCCCATCAAGGAAGGCACCATCCAACGTCCCGTGGTAGACAAATACTTTGGCCATGACAAACCTCTCACCGGATTCGTTAGCTTTCCCCTTGATCCCAGGACTGGCAAGCAATTACCCCTTCGCATCACAATCCAAAACCGCGACTCCTTCTTGACCGATGGTTCATTACCCAACAGAGCTTTACTCCAACTCACCGAGAACAATCTTCACCAGAAATTCGCCGGACCCGTCCTCGTCTACGGCAATGCCCTCGAGTCTGATGACGGCACCAACATTGCTTGCGTGAACTTGGACACCACACACCTCAACATCATCAAAGACTGGTTCACCAACGGGTTCTACACTCACCCAAACGAACCTCTCTACCAACAACGATTCGCCAATGACACAAAATGGTTCGAATTCGGCATCCCTGCAGAAGTCGCAGGACAAATGAACAAAGACCTCCTCGCAGCAGGCGAAAAAGTTCCCCGCTTCCGTCCTGAAGACTTTGGAACACCTGAGTTTTGTCTGTGGCATGATAGAGTGGGACGATACAAGCAAGAGTGGGCTGTGAAGAAGCAGAATGAGGAAGTCGCTGGTGGCGCTAAGTCTGTCAATGATTTTCTCGCGGCTATGAGTGAAGAAGAAGAGGCTTGGAGGTCGGAGATGAGGGTTAGTGGTCGTGTGGTCGGTTTGGACGTTGTATTGCCATGATCAACGACGTGAGAGATATCGACAAAATGCTCACAAGCCAAAGAAACTCACTCAGTCGGTCAGTGTCTCCATAGGACACATCTGCTACAACAAATGAACCAAATGATACCAGACCCTTTGCCTCATCATCCATCAGCATGAACAATACCGATTTCGACATCAACACTCGCGAGAAATACACTTGTACATGCAACACAACATTTTCAAAATGTTTCTCATTGATAGCATGATAAGCCATCAGTAAACACCTAGACTAAGCGATGTGATATCCATCGCATGAGATCATTGCTACGCATAAGCCACGATCAGAGCATGAGCGCAGAGCAATCTCTACTAACAGCCTCTCGAGTAATACCGTGAAGACGTATCATGCCATCTTGGGCGCAAGATAACATCGAGTATGGAGATACACCAAAGCCAAAGCTCAAAGAGGATGCACGCATATCTAAAGATAAGCCATGAGATTCGGGTTTGAAAGATACACCTTCGGAGTACAGGTTGGTGTGAGTTTATCAGACTTTTGGAAATTTCAGCGCATTGATATTTCCTGACTTGTAAAGCGAATGTCAGCTGAGCATCGTCTTGAGCACGTTGCTGCATCCTCTGATTCTGTTCCACCTGATAATCTGTCTTTACCATCGCAGCACTGCCATTTCTCCATCTCTCCTCGTCCCGAGCACCATTACTCAACTTGAAGCTGTGACCCGGTTTAACTCCTCAGAGAGCACTCAAGCGAATACCCTTTTCCTTGCACCACATGCGGAAATCTTTTCTCGAACAGCGATTCTACATGTTCTGTTTTATCGTGATAATCATCCTACTCCGATTCTCATCATCGGCCTCATTGTCCAAAGCATGCTTGATCAGTTGATTAGCATCGGTGAACTTCGGCAATAGATCATCCTCGATCCAATCGCAGAAGGCTTCCAGGTAATCTGGTTCCAAAGGCTTCAAATCCTTGCGGAGGACAACGACGTGTCCCTTGATAGAGTGGAATCTAATTCGGCGCTCACATTAGCTACATGTAAACTTCAAAAGCAAAACATAGGAGCGTGTCGTCCAACGTACCGTTCAGGAATCGTGCCAAAATCTTCATCGACGGATTGGTAATGATTGCCCATGTAGATCAGGAGGAGTTTTGCTACCCTATTTCCCAGACTCGGGGGCATCAGAGAAAGGCATCGTCGTACTTCATCGAGGTCATGAGAAGTATCGCCGCCATTTGTGAGCTCGGTAGCAAGTACAAGCATGATTGGCATGCCGAAGATGATCGAGAGCTGAGACATGGTGCCCCATTTGCCGCCGCAAAATGAATTGGTGGCCGGCAGAGTCACGGAATCAAATCGAGAACCGAATTTGTTCTGTTCATAATCGCTGGCTATACGCACAGCAGATATTGTCGTTGCAATTTCTCGATGGATCCCCAAGAACTAGTTGGTGATGACGGGCAGATCAGTTGTATCAAGATCTGTGACAGAGTATCTCCCCCCATCTTCTTCACTGTTTGGGAAGAGCAGACCGTAAGCGATGACTGGTCCTCTTACGCCGTGAGTCTCTTGACCAAGCAATGTTGAAATACTTCTGTTGAGTGGTTGGTCTGTATACGGTGGTGTCTCACCATATACAAGAACGATGATAGGGGGATGTCTATCATAGGTTTTCCTCATGCTGACCATATCCTGTTCGATCGTCGTTATGTACAGATTACCTGAATCTCCTAGAAAGTCCTTTCGTATAGCGACAGTGTCGACGAAACCGTATTGGATTTTCTCATCCATCTTCAGCCAGCCAAACTCAGGATTGGGCCCGTCGACTGAAAGATAGATGGCACGACGTTGAGCTGGGCCGGGACGGGTCTTGAATTGTGCGAACGATTTACAGAGGGTTCTGTGGACGGGCAGATCGACCACTTTGCATTCGATACTGCAGTAGTAAGAACATTCGCAATGCGTGCAAGGAGCTGCATTGTTGAGTTTCGGGCAAACGAGGCATTTGTGGCTGTAGTCGTATAACATTGTGTTCGAGTACCTTCCAGCAGCTGTGTCGAGTGCCTTGAAATGTGTTGAAGACAGAAGCAAGCGGATGAGGAGCGACGAAGGCAGTGATCAATCGAACGGAGAAGCGACTAGTCGAATGAAGATAAAGGCGATGTTTGGTAGGAATGCGAGTGTTGGTACGCATGGACGCGTCGTCATGGATGCTGGAGATGGATTGTTCTTGTTGATGTGGTCAAGAAGTTCGAGTGAGGAATTGTCTTTGTCGTTGTGTCTCGCGAGATGCCGGTTGCTCCTGCATCCTGAAGTGCCGCACTCGCAATTCTGTCTTGTTGTGGAAGGGACTTTGGTGTCGACAGCTCCCGCTCCAAGATCGAGCGAGGTATCGTGCGCCGTGCAAGCTGCTTTTGGTCTTCAAAGCAACTTTGAGTGAAATGGCTATCATCAAAGGCCGACTCAAACGAGCTGGAAGCCACCAGACGTGGAAGTATGGAGAACCCACGATTCTACTCTTTCCTGCAGACCGTCAAAAGAAGAAGGATCTTCACTCCCGTGTTTGTCTCTAACTTTCCAGACTTCTAGCAAACTAGTCTCAACACCTTGTTGTCGTCTTGTCTTGTAGAAGAAAGAACACGCTCTCATCCTCCCAAGTATTTAGTCAGCCACCTCCCTGGTATCTCCTCCTTTACCCGCCGACCTCACTCCAGTCATCATTCGGCATGGATGCAGCTGAGTCACCCGAGAAGCCGATGCCAGCCACGTCACCGCTCAGAGGTAAATCACCTGATGATCCGTTTGTCTCTCCTTTTCTGACATTATGCAGGAGTTTCACCAGATCCAGCTGAGGATGCCTCCAGTTTGGACCGTGAGGCAGCTTCTTCGAAGCCATTTTTGACATGTGGCTGGAGCGACGAGCAGCTCGCCTTGATTCGGCAAGCTATAAGCCAACAGACAAGTGTTACAGCTACCGAAACCAGTTTTTCCATCACCGATTACTGACTCATACAATCAGCATACCGACTCTAAGGAGATGACTGATGAGTCAAAGGCTTTCATACTCGACCTACTCAAAGACCGACTTCGTGTGATGATTGGTTTCTCCAACCCCGAAGTATGAACTGGAGGCCCCAAGGGTCAAAATGGCAGAGCTGACTGGTGTCAGGAGGGAACAGAAGACGCAGTCTCCGTGACTAAGTCGCAACCCGGATCCGACTTCGAGAAGAAAGAGCAGAAACATCAGGGCCAAGCTGGTGGACCAGAGATTCAACAGCCTCCTTGGGACGGCGGTTGTCCCGAATGTCCTGTTAAGACGGCCCGGATCGGGGAACTGGAGATGAGGCTCATGGATCAGGAGGAGGAAGCCAAACAACACGAGAGAGCCGCTATCGTGCACCAGCGGGAGCTTGCATACGCTCACATCGTTGAAGTCAGAGAGGAGCTCTCTCGTCGGATTGACAAACTGGAGGCTCAACAATCTGGTCAGACCAGTACTTCGGAGGACCCAGCATCACGACCCCTTCCACCACACTACTACTGTGACGACTGCTGGTGGACCCAGAAGAAACTCGATGACGCCAAGCAGAAGAGTAGAGACCTTGAAAATGAGGTCGAGCACCACCAACAAAGAGTTCTCATGATGGAGCACATAGTTAAACAGACTCGAGGTGAATGCGAAGTGCTCCGACAGCGCCTCGACGAGACTGACATAAAAATTGCAAGACTCTGTGCTCAGCCTGGTCCGAGGACCTCAAAGTTGTGAGAGATGGCTATGAGCTTGACAGCCAGGAAGAAGGAATGCAGGTCACCCAAAGTGGCGATTGGGATGAGATTAGCTCAAGTCCAGAAGCTCGCATATCATCCGGGGTAGATCAATCCAAGAGTGCTAATTTCATAGCATTGTGTAATTTGCTGTCCGGGGTCATTTACAGTGCAACCCTGCAAGTAGTCTCAGATTTGCGGTGACCATGAATCTTTCTGACGGTTTTTGCTGTCAGCTCCATCATGAGCAAGTCGGATTCAGCTCGATGCACGATCTTCTTTCGACGATCTTTGATATCCAGAGCGATCAAGCCCCCTCTTCGTCATCCTCGTCATTGTCTTCCTCGTCGTCTTCATCATCCTCATCATCATGCACCATTTGAACCTCCCATCTCCCATCCTCAGCCCCATCCTCCTCTTCCCTCTGTCTCTTCTCCCTATCCCCCTCTCTCCTGATCTTCAACCTACACCTCCCCATACTCCCCTTTCCCTCATTCCCACTGAAGTCCAGCGTCCAATCCAGCGGCAATTTGGCCTTTACTTCATCACCTCTAAACGGCACTGCCTCCGCATCCTCTGACACCCAGCTCCAACCTGGCTTCAAGATCACATGTGTGGTAATAACGAAATATCCCCATCCTTTGCGTTGGATCTCGTAAGGTGCTTGGGTAAGACGCAAATGTGGGGGCCGGAAAGTAGGATGTAATTGGACCTCCACGGCAGCAATGATGTCTGTGCGCGAGGGCCTGACGAAAAAGTTCCAGAGGTGCATGTTTTGTGATTCGGGCGCTGGTGAGATGAGTTTGTGGGTGTTGCCGATACAGAGGGTAAGCGTTTCTATCGTGCTAGCATTCGGGTCGTCCTCCGAAGTTTCTTCGGTCGCTCGTGTTTGGTAGGTAATAGGATATTTCTCTTGGAGCTGTGTAGCTATCGTTGAATTTGGTGTTGCAGAGGTGGGCGTACGGCACATAGGACACCTCGCCTCTGTGTCCGCACCTGAAAACATCGATGGCAGATTTGATGGCGGAAGTATGGTCATCTGAGAAGTCATGGATACATCTGCCCAACGCTGCATACATGACGAGCAAAGCGTATGATTGCATCTTGTCGTTACCGGGTTGTAAAGCAGTAAGCGGCAGACAGGGCAGAGATCCTCATCGTCTATGTCTTCATGATTTGAGTCCTCACGGTCTCGCCGTGGGTCTTTTCGACCATTCTGTGATTCTGATGTGTGGGATCCTTCGCGCCGGGGTGACATCGAGCGTGAATCTCGTTGGCGCATGCTGTATTTTAATTGAGATTGTGCTGCGTGATGAAAGTCCGAAGCTACACAGAAAATGTATGGGAGATGGCGTCTCCTTTTGGATTGATTCGAGTGCAGAAAGATGTATTACTGTTAGAGTCCTGAAAATGGTGCCGTTTGATAATTTATTGATGAAGGTTTGTCGTGCGAAAAGCGGCGAGACAAGTTCGTTGGCTTCAGATGACATTATCTGTTCCCAACCTCACAGTGATCTTTTGGCAACAAAGAAGCAGGAAGTCAACAAAGTTATCCACTTGACAGGCCTTTGCAAGGCCATCAACGATATATCTTTTTCCCACATCATCTTCGTTGCTTCTACGTTTTATCAATGTCCTCTTCATCGAACTCAGCATAAGGCCTGAGGTCTACGAAGCGTTAAATTCGGTAATCCGGTTGCTGCAACGAATCTTGTAGTCCAACCAAGACTTTGCCAGATTCTCAAGCCAATTCCACTTGCACACAAGCAACACCTGTACGAAAAGGTGATAAGCACACGAGATTGTGGAGTACGATTAGGTGGTTAGGTTACTAATGTATGCCTGCTAGTATTATTACATTGCTTAACCATCTGCCAGACAAGGCTCATGACTGCCTGGCTCTCTCTTCGTCATAAAAATGCTCCCCTTTGGCTACTCTGAAACCACTGTGTTGTTCTGGCGGACACGATGTATCCGACTCGTCGTGATTCTTGTTCAGACAAGACTTTTAGTAAGGCACAGTCAACGCAGCCTGGATGTAGGTCTGCGTGCATCCCTCATCAGTGCCCTTCCACTCAATCTACGTTTCATGTCAGTCTGCATTCTCAATCATCCACAACATCAAGTCAAAACTTACAACTCTCTGACCCAGCTCCTCCACACAGATAGTCCAACCATGAGTACTTCCGTTGACAGCCAGCAAGTATCCCCTTTCAAGGCTCAGATCTCCAGTGCCCTCGTACTGGGTCCTGAAATTCAATTCAGAGCCAGTGTGCACTTCAGTGCTGTTGTAGATGTAGTCACCAATACCATGGGGTCCTTTGCCAGGTGTGTGCAGAACGCCATCGGAGAGGGTGAATTGAGGCACACTGCCATAGCCAGGTGCAATAAGGCGGAGGAGGTAGTTGGGCTGGTAGTAAGGGTCGAAGAGAGTGGTCAAGGAGACGTTGGGGAGCAGAGATGAGTCTTTGGAGTAGGTTGCTGAGTTTGTTGTTAGGAGGTAGAAGGGCGTGGTAGCGTTGATGGTAGGTGCGCGGCTGATGAGAGGAGATGCAGCTGCGTAGGTGGCCAGCGAGGCGGCGAAGGCAAGGATGGAGAAGCGCATGGTTTGTATGATGACTTGGGTGTTACTGCTGAGTATATCTTGTGTTGATGATTCGAAAACGATTTTATTGCGATGAAAAGGTGTGTCTAGGAGAAAGTAGGTAAGGAGAGAAGGAAGGTTGGCACAAACAACCAGTGTTATAACTCATTCAGCCAGCATACCTTCCCCAACCATGATCAACATGACGAACGCAGCTGCAAACACCTTGGTCAGTGTGCTTTGAAACGTCCAACTAGGAAAAAAACGCGTGCCTGGTGTGCAATATCTGTGCTGCACTGCATCATCCCGCATGCATTGCCTACCGCTACTACCGCATCTCAAAATAGATGCCGGGGTGGTCGTACGAATGACACTCGCTCTCGTATTGCATACCACATGATGGTTCTCATTACCTGCTTCCAGAATGTGATATGCTTACGCTCATGATGGTTTGTCTGCAAGTGTTTTCTTGTCTTGGGTGTTGGCAAGAGAGAAGGTCCAAAAAGTGCGGGTGGAAAGATCTGCACTTCTCGCGACACTGGGCCCAAAAGCTATCACAAGAACGGGAAGTGATCAGCTCTTGATCATGACCCCTGGGAATGTGTGGATGAGAACGCTCGCTCGAGAGTCAAGATCAAGAAAATGTGCAAGAGAGCGTTTGTCTAACACGCCTACGATAAGCAGGATCACCTCCATCAGACATGAATTTGGGCGGTGTGAGATTGATCATAGGGAAAACAAAGAATGATGGCTTGAATTTTTGTCTATCTGTACAACCTCATTATTAGGGCAAAGAAGAAAGACGGAGAAACCGAATGTTCTACAGGAAGTCAATGCCGACGCCGAACTGAACACCCTTTCTGCCTTCCTCGCCCTTACGGAGGACCAATGGCAGCGAGAAGTTCAACTCGAAGCGTGCGACGGGATGTGCGTAGACAAGACCAACTCCAGCCGCGCAGCTGGGCAGGCCATTGGAGAGTTCTTGGAAAGTGTTCTTGACGCTTTGTTGTACGTTGTTGCCGCCCTTCTCACCGCTGGCAACGTCTTGCAGTGCCAAAAGGCGTCCACCGTTGATGAATGTCTGGAATCGTAGAGGAGTGTCCTTACCCATGCCTGGTACAGGGAAAAGTAGACTAGCACCACCGGCAGCGTAGATGTCACCACCGACTGCGTCTTGTCCGTCTCTGGGACCAAGTCCTGCCAGGCGGAAACCACGAACATCAGTGGGGCCACCAAGTTGGAAACGGTCGTTGATGCGAGATGCAGCGGGTCCGGTAGTCCCGGCCTTGGTCAGAGGGTAGAGAAGACCGCCACGAAGGCCAGCAGTGAATGAGATGCCACTGTCGCCAGCAACACCAGGTACAGGAACGGGGAGAGCCATTTGAGACTCGGCCGAGTACTTTGCGAAAGCCACATCTCCGGCAAGAGGACCAGCACCGGCAATTTCACCGATAGCCTTGAAAAGGAAACCGCTCGTGGGAAGCATGGGAGCATCGCGGGTGTCCTTGATGAAAGTGTGTGTAATGCTGGACTTGAAGCTGTCGCCAGCGTCGGCGCGAACAGTAGGCGAAGCGTTCTCGGAAAGACCAGTGACTTGTCTCCAGATGCCAGAGTAACCCAGCTCGTTCTTGCTGCCCCATGGACCCAACCACTTCAACTTTGTGCTGCCGCCCTTGATGAGCTCTTCATGGCTCGCCCAACTCTTGAGGGTAGAACTAGCGAGACCGCCAATCTCGAAGCGGATATCAGGACTGCTGAGGACGGGAGTGTCGAAGTAGGCTGAGTAGGCGGAACGGGTGCGCGTACCAAGCGAAGCGTGAGCATTCAAGGACTCGGCACCACCGAAAATGTTGCGGAGGACGACATCGAGGAAGGCGGAACCCTCGGACGAGCCAGCCTCAGTACCAGTCTTGATGGTGTAGCGAGAACGTTCGGGAGCGTGGATGAAGACGGAGAGGTCGGTGGGAGTGGACGAAGCATCGGTCTGGTCGGGTTGGTCGATATAGGTCGAGATAGGAGCCTTGAAGATACCAAAGCGGTTGAGCTTGTCGACGGCGCCGCCAACCTCGCGCAGAGCTTCCTGGAGAGTGTAGGGACCTTCCTGGTTGTGGGAGAGGACGGGATTGAAGATGCGCTCGAGGAAGCCTCTGCGTGTGTGCTCGGCCTGGAGAACCTGGATGGACGAGATGGTGACGGGCTTTGTCGAGTTGAGGCCGATCAGCTCGGATTGACGCTGCTGTGCTTTGGCATACTGCCTTGCGAGACGCTCGTCTATCTCTTGCTGTCTCTTGGGGTCGGCCTTGTCCTGCAACAGAGCGAAGAGCTGCGCATTGCCTCGTCAGTAGATTGAACGTGCATGTATTAGACCTAACGGACTCACGTCGCTTCCCGAAGATTTGTTCGCCATTGGAGCCGCAACAGAGATCACACCGTCCTTGTCGCAAAGATAGCTAATACCAACCGCAAACCCGCGGAGGAGTTGCTATCCAGCGTCAAGAGAATGACATGCAGCGCTCGCGCCAAGCACGCGCTCCCTGTCTTGATCATCTGCAATCACCATGTATGCAAGTTGATCTGGTACTTCGATGATACACCAAAGACACTGTGTTAACTCCTTTCATGCTTGCGCTCCTATATGAGAGGCCATAACTAACGATACGATCTTGATATTCAGGAATATGCTCAAGTTGTATTTTGCATACACAAAGCCGATGTTCGCGAGGCGGAACTCGGCATCCAGACCTGACGTACTCTGCCCGTCTGTGGACTCAGTGAGACAGTCATCTTATCCCGTCTACCTACTTCTTTGACACTTCGACACACTCTCCTATTCGCACACCTTTGCAAGCCGCTTTTCCTAATCTTCAGCCAACCAACCACAACTCCACCGCCTGCATACCTCAACTCACATCCCACAAATCACAACCATGGCTACACGTGCCGCCAACAAAAGATTAACAAAGGAGTACAAGAACATTACCGAAAACCCTCCACCCTACATCACCGCCCACCCTAGCGAGTCCAACATTCTGGAATGGCACTACATACTCGAAGGCCCCAAGGATACCCCCTACGCCGGTGGCCAGTACTGGGGCACCCTGATGTTCCCGCCCGACTACCCTTTCGCGCCCCCCGCTATCCGTATGCACACACCTAGCGGCCGCTTCCAACCTTCCACTCGCCTCTGCCTCAGCATCTCAGACTTCCACCCCAAGAGTTTCAACCCAGCATGGGAAGTCAGCACCATCCTTCTCGGTCTGCAGAGTTTCATGACCAGCGAGGAAATGACCACTGGCTCGCTATCTGCCTCGGAAGCCGAGCGCATAGTCTTCGCTCAACGCTCCCGCTGGTGGAACAGCACAGGCGGCGGCTCCTCAAACCGCACAATCCCTGGCTTGGGCCAAGCACCCAGCAGCAACACCCGCGGTTTCGGCGCCATCAGAGCAGGCGACGCGGGCGTGAAGTTCAAGGAAGAATGGCCAGAACTAGACGACCAAAACTGGAAATGGATGGAAGAACACAAAGTCGATCCCCAGACCGGCAAGGTCGTGGCGCCTCCTCCGGTCGCAAGTGCGTGCTCGCCAGAGACGAATGCGCTGAGGAAACGCCCTGTGGGCAGTCATGCTGGGTTGGGTGCTGTGGTTGAGGGTGGCCATGTTGCGCGCGATGCCGGTCAGAGTTGGTTGAGGAGGAACAGGATGTATCTTGCTCTGGGCCTCATCTTTGGCTATGTCGTTCTGGCGCGCGCTTTGGGAGAGCCTGCTGCTTGATCATGTGTATAGATGAGTACAACCATGTGTGTTTTAGCCTGGGCGTTGGGGTTTGGTTCCCCAGAGGTAATTGCATGGAATCAGGCGTTCTTGGGTTTAGAGATTGGGAGGGTATTTGGTTCAAGGGTTGCACTGTAAATACCACCACTCAATGACAGTTCCTCATACCGACTGATAAAGACTCGGTACGCCGTGGTTCGCATTGATGGACAACGAAAGGGCACAGTATGCAGGAAGACATTTCACAGGCACGCAGACGAGATGGAAATTATTTTGAGGTCGTGAAAACTTTTTGATTTGTTTTATATCTCCATATTTCAGAAGACAAGGGTTGCGCGTAATATATTGCAGACCAGGCGATATAGCCGTTCTGCGCGACAGTGCCACATTTCGCCATAAACCATTGTCCTTGTAACATCGAGAGCAGATGTGCTGACACAAAGTGCGCCAACAACCTACAGACGACGACCACGGCGACCACCCTTTCTGCGGGTAGAGTCCGAGGGGGTGGGGGTGACGTCCTCGATGCGGCCAATCTTCATGCCGGCACGGGCCAGGGCACGGAGAGCAGACTGGGCACCGGGGCCGGGGGTCTTGGTACCGTTACCTGTGCAGTTGTGTTAGACGGTGCGTCAAGAAGGGAATGGCAAGAGGGTAGAACATACCACCGGTGGCGCGGATCTTGACGTGGAGGGCAGTGATGCCGAGCTCCTTGCAGCGGGTGGCGACGTCCTGGGCGGCCAGCATGGCGGCGTAAGGGGAAGACTCGTCACGGTCGGCCTTGACCTTCATACCACCAGTAACACGGGAGATGGTCTCACGGCCGCTGGAAATCACCCAGTATTAGCCTCTTGAACTCTCTCATGTCTGACTGTTTTGTTGCGTCTGTTCCCACTTGCACTGCTCGGTCTGGTGTCTTGTATGTTTCTCTTCTTGTTCCAATGAATCTTTCTTGTTTCTGCCCGTGGTCCTGTGCTCGTCGCATATATCGAGCAGCAACCTTGGAGGCTGGAGAGAGGTCGCAAAAGTCCGAGAAGAGAAACGACAAGTCCAGCGAGCAGGCGCATTGAACAACAGACCCAACCAAGGGGAAGCACCTACGAAAGATCGGTAACGTGGACGAAGGTGTCGTTGAAGGAAGCGAAGATGCGAGCAACGCCGAAAACGAGCTCACCCTCACGGGTCTGAGGTCCGAGTTGGACGTTCTCCTGGGGGCGTGCAGCCTTGGGTGCCTTGGGTGCCATTGCTGATGTTAGTTGATGGTCGAAACGTGGTACTGAAGGAAAGAAGAGAAGAGCTGCGCAGAACTTCGATCGAGAATTTGCGTGGGTCTGCCAAGCAATTCTTTCGCTCTACAGAAGGGCAGTCGCGGCAGTTGCCGGTCAAGCTTGCGGAGTCGCAGCTGCCTTTCTATTTATTTTCTTGCGACGCTGCAGCTTCTGCTTTCTTTCCATCACTTCACACCTTCTCGACATTTGCGACCATCAATTGCATCTTCTGTGCGCGCATCAGAACCGCTTCATATTCAAGAGCTGGACAGCATCTTACAGTTGACACAATTCGACAAATCGCAAACATGGGTGAAGCAGTGGTGGGCTTGATCGGCATGGGCGACATGGGAAAGATGTACGCTCGCAGGCTCAGCGAGGCTGGATGGAGGTATGCTTTTGCGCCCAACACCACACTGCTCGTGTGACTTTTGACTATGGTACGTTTATCTCTTTGCCCCTCTCTCCTGCACATCCACCTCTCCCCGCGTTCAATGATGACTTGAGTGCATTTGGCTCGAGTATGGCTGTCGGACACCCTGTCACCGTTCCGGTGGCAGGATCTGGCAGTCGTCGATGATGTAAAATCTCAGCTACCTTATAATTTTTGTCTGAAACGCTTCACCCATCCACTGTTCCTCACGCATCTTGAGATGATCTCTTGAACAACCGCTGACTTTGGATCAATAGTTTTATTTCGTAATCCGTGACCACCTCGTCAGACACAGGCTGACGTTTTGCTCTTCCAGAGTACACGCCTGTGATCTTCCAGACAAGTATGATTCGTTGGTTGAAGAATTCAAGGACAGTGTACGACCTACCTTCCTGCCTATACCGTATATAGCCTTTGTAATACACAACATCTTGCTGAGGCTTTCAGCAGGAGAACGTAACGGTTTTCAAGAACGGCCACCACGTCTCGCGTAGCAGTGACTATATCATCTACTCTGTTGAAGCAAAGAACATCGATGCCGTCGTCGCCGCCTATGGTCCATGTTTGTTGCCCCTTCGCTCGCGCACTCTTCTGCCCACACACTCTCTGCTCTTACGCTCCAACCACTCACACACTCTCTTTACTTGTCTTTGTCTTACAGGCTGACATGTAATGCCTCCCAGCAACCAAAATGGGCGCCATCGTCGGCGGCCAAACCTCCTGCAAAGCCCCCGAGATGGCCGCGTTCGAAAAACACCTCCCCTCCGACGTCGAAATCGTCTCGTGCCACTCCCTCCACGGCCCAGGAGTAAACCCGAAAGGCCAACCTTTGGTGCTAATCCAACACCGCGCCTCAGACGCCAGCTACGACCTCGTGTCCAAGATCTTGTCTTGCTTTGAGAGCAAGCATGTCAAGCTTACAGCTGAGGCTCATGATCGCATTACCGCGGACACACAGGCGGTCACGCATGCTGCGTTTTTGTCAATGGGTACTGCGTGGGCGGCGAACAACCAGTTTCCTTGGGAGATGCCGAGGTATGTGGGTGGCATTGAGAATGTCAAGATCAACATCACGTTGCGCATCTATGCAAACAAGTGGCACGTGTATGCCGGTCTGGCCATCTTGAATCCAGCTGCCAAGCGTCAGATCAAGCAGTATGCTGAATCCGTGACGGATCTGTTCAAACTAATGCTGGGAGGTCACAAGCAAGAATTGAGAGACCGCATTGAGAGTGCCAGAAAGGCAGTCTTTGGCAATACTGATGGCAGCAAAGGACATGAATTGCTGCTGCAAGATGACTTGCTGGATCAATTTTCGCTCGGCAAGAAACCAGCTGCTGGCGAGAGGGTCAAGAACAATCATCTCAGTCTGTTGGCCATGGTGGATTGTTGGTGGAAGTTGGGAATTGTGCCTTATGATCATATGATCTGCTCTACACCGGTAAGTGCATTTTCGATACCCACTCTCTGTCGATACAATGACTGACCGAGGGACAAACAGCTCTTTCGTCTCTGGCTAGGCATCACCGAATACCTCTTCCGCAAGCCAGAACTGCTGGACGAAGTCATCGAGACCGCAATCAACGACAACACTTTCCGTCGCGATGATCTAGAGTTCACATTCGCTGCTAGGGTAAGATCCTCCCGCCCTGTTCCTGCTGTATCTTTGGCTGACCTCTCTTTTCAAACAGGACTGGTCCGAACGCGTCTCCTTTGGCAACATGGACGGCTACCGCAGCAAATTCGAAAAGATACAATCGTACTTTGCTCCTCGTTTCCCCGAGGCTACTCGCGTGGGCAATGAGATGATCAAGACGATTGAGGAGAGTCTGAGACAGAGAAAGGGTGAGGACAGTACTTGAGAGGAAAGCAAAGGACAAGGGAAGATGAGATGCGTGAAGGTCCAGTAACAAGACGAGCGATGACAAGAGATGAGAATGCAAAGATGAAGACCACGGCTTTCCCTTCGCGTATATTTGTGATTCGATGCATTCGCGCGCTGTCTGTCATGTTGGCAAGGTACGTTCCTTTGGTCAATGGCAAGCATATAAGAAGTGGAAGACAGATAAAACACATGCTCATCCAGAGCTTAATACATATTCGTTATCTACGTGAACTCCTAAAGCTTTGTAGGGTACTCGGTCGTCTCAATCTTGTCAGGATAAGTCATGCCGTTCTGCTTGCGCACCTCATCCATGACCTCCATAATTACAATACTCTCCTTCAAGCCCTCGTACTTGCCTTCCTTTCTGCCTTCCTTGAGCGCAAACGCACACTCGTCGGCCTCCCAGAACATACCATGGCCCTCACCTTCGGGGTTCTTGTCCTCGCCAAAGCCATTTGCAAAGCCAGATCCCTTGCCGGGACCGGGTTGGACAAACTCCTTTTCTTCTACAGTGCCGTCGGAGAGAATGAGCTTGGTCTTGGTGGGGCGGTAGGCAGGGTGGAAGACTTGGACTTCGCCCTTGTCGCCTTGGATGCGTATGGCTGGGCCGGCGCTGCCTTTGCCGTCGGGGTCGGGGGTTGTGCGGAAGGCAGTAGTGGCAATGCCGTGGGCGTCGCCACCCAGCTCAGAGGAGCGGGGGAAGGTGACCAGCATGGTGGTCATCTCGTCGGCGCCGGTGGGGTACTTTTTGAGAGATGAGACGACGGTGGGGGCCTGGCGTGCGGACTCGGGTTGTGTGTGGTAGAGAGTCTGGAAGACCCAAGTCAATGCGTAGATGCCCAGGTCGAGGAGAGCGCCTCCAGCCAAGTCGGGGTTGACCATGCGGTGAGAGTTGTCAAAGGCTTCCTCGGGCTGAGCGCCAATTGAGAGATCGGCAAAGGTGCGGTGGACGGTACCAATCTGCGTATGTCAGTGCCTGCAAGCGGTAAAGAAAAATCGACGCATGTACCTTGCCAGAAGTGATGATGTCGCGAACGTAGATGGACAGAGGGAAGTATCTTGTCCAGACAGCCTCCATCAAAAACAAGTTCTTCTCCTTTGCCTTTTCTGCCAGCTTCTTTGCCTGAGCAGCATTGACGGTGAATGCTTTCTCACAGAGGACATTCTTGCCAGCCTCGAGACAGAGCATAGCATTTTGGTAGTGGTGCGAATGGGGAGTGGCGACGTAAATGATATCGACATCCTTGTCGGCAACCAGCTCTTCGTACGATCCATATGCCTTTGCTGATGAAGATGCGCCAACCTTCTTCAAGAAATCACCGGCACGGCTGGCGCTACTTGAGCTGGCGGCGGCAACAATCTCATGCTTGATGTCCTTGACATCGCGAGTCTCGGGGTTGACGGTCAGATCTCTCGAGAAAGCCTGTAGATTGTATTAGACCTGTCAATGGCTGGTAAAAGCTTCGTCAACAAACCTCAGCGATGCCTCCGGTTGCGAGGATACCCCAGCGTAGTGTGAACTTGGACATGTTTGTGATGTTGTCTTGTAAGAGCTCTTGGAAACACGAGAAGAGAAATTGGTGAGCGAGCCGGGAAGCTGTAGGTCTTCATATAGGATGATGTAAGAGATGGCGGGGCAGAATACCTTGCCCCACCCCTCATTTAGCCATTTCTCTCGTCGGTGAGAAATCCATTGATATGAGCATGGCAATTTTCTTCGTCGAACACACACCTCAAATCGTTGGCCTCGAAGCGTTCAGGTCGGCTCTAAAGGGCGGCAGATTCTACAAACCTAGTCGTCAAGGAAGAATCGTCCTATACGTAGTACTTCGGCGGGGGTCACATGATGTTTACCACTGAGAGGTGAAGATTCAAATAATCGAAGAGAATCGAAAGGAAAGGCTCAAGGGAATACAAACTCAATACTGGTCACTCAAATCCATATCAGGGAATCAAGTTTGGAGAGAACTCACCATGAAGAACAAAGAACAGACACAACGGTGGATCCAGAAAGACTTGGGTGAATGATCTGCGTGGTTCTGCGTTTTGTCGCGATGAAACTTTCCACGTGCTCACCTGCGATTTTCTCCTATGTCGCTCAGCGAAGGTCTTGTTTCGGTGCCATGGACTCGTCAGCTTGGCTGTGGTGGCAGAGCGTAGACATCAGAAGAGGGCAGAGACGTGCCAATACATGCCGAGTGCTCCACGCGGAGACCCCGGAAAGATTGCCTGTCCAGGCAATGTCTCCGGGGACGCGTGTGCATACGACGATGATGGAAATCCGATGTTCGCATGTCAAATGGTTCGCATAAAACGAGATAGGGAGGCACCGGAGGAGTGTGATTCCGGATCTGAAGATCGGAGACATCGAACCGATGATGGATCCTTGTGGTACCCTTCTCAACGCTCGCACTGCCTAGGCCAGCATAGCCATCGACGCAAAACAGTCGTGAAAGACGGCGAAGTAGAGCGGCTGAGACCAATAAGACTCTATCCGGCTGACGGCAAAATTAGGAAGGAAGAGATGATGCGTAAAGCAGTTGTAGAGAGCTGAAGGTGAATGCCATTCGTATCTCGTTCCTGCCGTACCTATCTATCGATTCCCCGCATCGCTCGGCGATAATTGGCCGAAGAGGCTTCAATCGCGATACAGGCCGCTCGAACGCTCCAAACAGCTGCTTCTATTCGTTCAAACCCGAGACGCGAGTCGTTGATATGATCAATGACCACGGGACGTGGCAAAGGTTGCACACCCAGATCTGACAAAGAACACTCCGTCGCGTCATCGAGTCTTAGTGATACTCGGCGACTGTACCGGGCACTGGGCGCACGCGCTGGGCATGCAGGATCGTCAAAAGTCAAGCTTAACAGCAAGTGTGGCGCTACTCGCAGCGGCCGCGGATATCTTCTCGCCCGTTTCCTCCGCCAAACTCTCCGCCGGTCACCCATAACTGTCCCCTTTGTCCCAGCCAACTTTCGTTTGAAGGTTGCATCCATACCCTCTCGCAAGAACATGAGCCTGTCATCGTCTTCCATTGACCTATAATCTCTTTTCACTGGTCCTTCGACGCTAAGATCACCTCACTATGCGAACAGCCATGCTTAACAAACGGCTATTACCAGCAAGCCTGCTGGCGAGCGGAGCAGTCGGACTACTGATTCAACCAACGAATATCTCACAAACAAGCACCGATGTGGAACTCATCGTCAATGGACAGAATTTTGGCGCTGTCCAACCCTTGACTCAAAGTGCAGACGCGAACCTGAATGTAATTGCTCTCTTCTAAGTACAGTCGACTGTTGAGAACGACGCTGACACGCGACACAGATGGGTGTTCATGATCCGCTTTACCATGTCACGACTTCAAATAGGGAAAACCTCACTGGCGAGGATATTGCTTTGATATCATGCGATTCTGGCGATTACCCTGGATTTCTTCCCTTGAACGATGTGTTCCAAACAGCTCTCGGTGTCAATGCTTCAGCTATCATCCTCTACAGTTTGACAGCTGAGCAGTGTAACATTACTAACATGGAATCGGCCTACGCAAGAGTATATTCCATGTCGAATTACACCGAATCGCAGGATTTGCTGTCCCACCTCAACGCCCAATATAACCCACAGGCGGTGATTCAGCACACGTCGACATCCAACAACAACAATGGCGGCAGCCAAGGTCCTCAAACTTATGGGTCTTCTCCCACGACAGCCGTTGCCATGATCATTCTGTACAGTGTGACTGGTATCATCACTGCCCTGTTCCTTATCATAATAATCACAGGAGCAATAAGAGCACACCGTCATCCAGAACGCTACGGACCAAGAAACGCCGCCGGAAGACCTCGACAGACTAGAGCCAGAGGTATTGCGCGTGCCATGCTGGACACCATCCCCGTTGTCAAATTCGGCGAGCAACCTAAGCAAGAGCCAAAGGTTACAGATGTCGAGCTGGCCGACACTGACACGCCAGTGATTCGTCGCTCAGTTGAGAACGATGGCGCGCACGAAACAGAAGCGCGCGATCATGCCGAACCGAGACAGTCGATGACTTCCGTCCGCTCAGGCATCGGTGCGGCAGCAGGACATGGCGATTCCGATGCTATCGCAGGAATGGCTTCAGCTGAATCTGGTGAGGCACTAGGATGCTCAATTTGTACCGACGACTTCGAGACTGGACAGGACCTCCGTGTACTCCCTTGCGACCACAAGTTCCACCCGGCATGCATTGATCCTTGGCTACTGAATGTGTCATCAACTTGCCCGCTCTGCCGTGTTGATCTACGGGCTGAAGGATCTACCGAGGCGGATGTGCCAACTGCTGAAGCTACCGAGAACGGTGACCTGCCTCCTCCTATCAACGGCTACAATGGCCAACCCTACCGCGTCAGCATGCGTCGCAGCTTGCTCATTGGCCTTGGACTCGATCGTGGACATCTTGATCAGGGACAACGAATGGCTGCTGCACGTGAACTACGTGAACTCAGACACAACCCCATTGATGGTACCGTGGCGCAGGTGCAGGACCAGGGCGAAGAAGGCGGTCAGCGTCGTAGATTGCGAGAGCGCTTTGGAGTCCGAACAAGAAGAAGAGGACAGTCGGATGCCCAGGCTCAGAGTGTTGTTGCTGTTCCTGAGGAGGCGAGCACGACTGCTTCGACAGAGGCTCCGGACACCGAAGCCGCACAATCGACTCAGCGTTCTACTAACGCTTGAGTTCGTGAAGTTGTCAGTATGAGGTGGTTATAAATTACGAAGCGTTCGTTTATGGTATCTTTGATGTGCATCGCAAAAGAGCGAGCGATTGTTTTAGGTTTCATAAACAGGATCAAGGAGGTGTGGGGAAAGGACGGCATTATGTACGAGTACGATTCAATGAACTCAACTGAACTTATCTTTTCCACAATGTTTCGACTATCAATCAACTGTGAATGCCTGTGGTAGATTCGTTATGTCGCTCTTCTAAAAATCATATGGTCCGTGCGTGACAGTGTTCCGGTGACGAAGTGCTTCCAACAATTCCGCGCGCGCAACGACGACGAGACAAGACATTTTCCCGCGACCTGTTCTCTACACATCTCTCACACACATCACATCCACAATGGCACCCAAGCGTTCAAACCAGCCCGGCGCCATCAGCCAAATGTACACCAGCCTTGCCTCTCCCGACAACCGCTCCGTCGTCACCGCTGTCGCCTTTTTCGCCGTAAGTGACCACCCTGCAACGAGCACTTCCTCAGCCATGATACGGAGAGCTTCATGAAGCAAAGAAGAAGAAAGTACTGACACTCACAGGCCGGTGTCGCTTTCTTGCACAGCAGCTGGAGCGAGATGTTGCTTCCTCCGTAAGTCTTCTCTGCCCTTACCAACACGACCTCCATCTGCCTCTTGCGCCAAATCCATCTCAGCCCTCATGCCTTTGCTCGGATATCTCGAAGCTTACATTGCCCCGATCTAGTCTTTAAGCGATTCGCGCATCCGATCCCATGGATACGACGCGAGTGTAGGATTATGCCTGGAGAGAAAACAGAAGGAGACGAAAACGAAAGAGCTTCTTGTACAAATACACAAATCATTTGCAGTTTTCTGCTTTCATGAATAAGGGGGAATGGGCGTTTTGCTTCTACAAACAAATGGAATAGAACAACCGAAAAGGTCGTTCCTACCTCATTGACTACTTTCCTACACCTCACTTCGCTCAGCGATGCCATACGATGAATATCAAGGCCTCGAGAATCAAGACTCATGATCACATAGGTGAGGACCGTTTTGCACATATGTCTGAACTTATGTTTGGACCAGAGTATCCGTTTCTCGTTTTGCTTTCTTCTCTTCAGATCAGTCTCCCCTTCACCCAAGGAGGTATCGATCAATCGTCGATATTGTCTGGTCGCTAGCTTCCGAGCAGCAAGAGTCATGGCCTTTTCTCCAGTCGTTTGCGAGATAGGAGATTCCATCATCGTTCGCAGAGATTTGTCTCTTAGGGACGACAAGAGCTCTACAGGAGACACGTCTATACCTTCCTTACATGCAAGACCAGCAACTGACAATACAAGATATGCTTGACTTTCATGAGCTAGACTTCTCACTTGATCGTAGCTGCGACAATCTATTCGCAGGCCAGGTGACAGAGCATCCGTCTACACTTCTGCTAAGCACACGTCTGGGATTGGCTTTATGGCTGCATCATACTTGGGTCTCGTTGATACTTCTATAGACATGTCCCTTTCGACCGTTCACCTTTGCTGGCTGCTCCTTGCCCCGGATCCTGGCGCTGGTTTCCTTGCTCCTGTTCCGTGACTCTTCTTGTCACTGCTCTCGCCATTTTATTCATGGGTTCTTCACATTACATCCACGATTGAAAGTCTCTGACTGCTTCTGCTGTGGTCCCAACGATGTGTTATCTTCACGGTGGTTGCCTTCGACACCTTGCCCGGATATATTCGCTCTCGTCAACACAGAATATGTTTGCGTCATTCCAAATCAATGGCATTAAGGATACTGTTGAGACTTCTGTGATGAGAAGGTCGAGGTTATCAATCATGGGGATTTGTATCCCTATCTGTATGGGTTTGTTGTTTGGAAGCCATACTAGGCGCACCTTCTTTCTTATGTGTAGCACAATTATTCCTGACATAAGTCATATACACTAAGCATTGCCCCTTACATAGCCTTCTATTGCATATCCTGATTCGCTCAAGAAACAATCGATGGTTGAGTGTTGAATCATGGTCCGTTAGCTGCAAGAGTATAGATCGATCTGATGTACGGAGGATTAATTCGAGATAACCCATCATGCCACGCCTTTCTCTCCCACAACGATAAGTCGAGCCGCCAATAGCATCATCGATAGTCTCTGTCATATACAATTTGGAAGAACCATAGTAATAAAATCATTATTCCACACCCCATTCCATCCACACAATCACTTTGATGTCTCAGCCAGGGTCATACCCTCAGCCATATCCTGCCGAAAACTGTCCGAATCTCGGCCCTATCTGCTCTGGATATCGCAAAGGAAAGAACGCATCACTATTGTGAAACAGCAAGGACGATCGTCCAGAGTAAACCTTCTTGACCAGTAGATCGAACACAGGACACCAAAGTTCCTACGCTGCTGAAAGCCCGAGAGACAGGCAATGGGTGAATCTCGTCTCCGAAGCACAATGTGGCGAGGGATCAGAGTATCTGGCGATGATTCATGAGAGAGCTGCATTACTCATCATGGGCATTGTGATGGTGTACCCTCGACCAGGAGGAACGACAGCCTCATCCGCGTTGTTGGAAGCCGACAAACATCGCTCGAGCACATGGTCGAACATCCTTTTTCGATCGCTGCCATGCGAGGAGATGTTTTTATGCGTGACATTCTAGACCTACCTCGCAAGCCAATGCTAGGCACTGAGGAACTCATAAACTATTGTTGCGTTACGAATGCGGTGGTCAAGAGGTAAAGGAAATACCAGTGTCATTTCAGATTTTCGACGAGGACATTCGTATAGTCAACAGTCTTGGAAAGACTCATGCCACCACTTGGCAAAGAAGTTAACAACGACTTTCGTCTGAAGGCTGTAAATACAGCAGAGTCGACGCTTGTTGTTGTGCTAGGAGCCGTATGGTTAAGGGAACGTGGAGCCCAATTGCAGATTGAGCCCTGCGGCGGTTCGAGGTTCGCTCATGGTTGCGCTTACCATATAGTCGAAGATGTCTCGGTCTCATCAGACTCGGTGAGCAAGAATGTTGAGTCCTGAACTACCCCTAGTTTCTACTAGAGTCAAGTCAGGAGTGCCAGAACCACCAATCACTGCCGGATATCAGACTCGGAGGCGGCACCGATTTGTCATGTATACGCCGCTTCTCAGGGTCGAGAGTATTGGGCCTGGACATAGACAACATTCTGCCGAGTGTTGACGTGTAACGGCCGGGATGTTGTTGAGTGTCTGTGTCCCGGAGCAATGGTGTTCATCATTGAGCGCGAAGTATATCTATGGTAGCTAAATTTGGATCCGGCGAGGGTCTCTTTGTCTCGTACAATTCGTAGAGAATGTTCATGGACTGTATTCAACTCAGCGCATTATAGCCATACTCAGAACAGTCATCGGCACTCGGCATATTGGAGTACCTTGAGTAGATTTCTTCCAAACACGTAAATCAAGTAAACATCGGTCCGGCAGATCTTGTTGAGTACATGGTCAGCTACCAAGATGCAAGGTCTCAGATCCGTGGTTCGTGGTTCATGTCAGCATCTGTCGTGTCGAAGGCGTTCAATAGGGGCAGACTGTATGCCCGACGTTGTCCGGTGATCCCAAACATAAGATTGGCTTCCAACGTTCCGGATCCTAAGTGTATATGAATCCAGACCCAGTTGTGTCTCACAACTCTATACCATTGCTATCATATCACAACGGAGGTAATCCTGAGTGCGGACGCTGCGAGAAGAGATTGCTCTTGAGAAATTGATTCATACTGCATCGGTAGGTCGTGGCGGTGAAGAATATCGATATACTAGGATGAGGTGAAGTAGTAACTCGAAGTATGTGACAACGTCCAGGCGTCAGACTACTACTAGTACTTGATGCTTTAAGTGGTCCTGGAGACCGTTCCCAAACATCTGCTTCATGGAGAGAGATCGTAATTATTCGCAGGATCGCATGCATGAAGCCGATCGTGAGAATGGCAATGATCGTAGAGGAACGATGAAATATTGCCAAGCCGTATGCTGTAATAAACGTCGGCCAGAATTGATGTGAAACACTTCGCAGTGCTCTGCTTGAAGAGGATGAAGCCAAGACGTCCGGCCACATCTATCGTAATGTTCAGTGCATACACCGACGGACTTCATAAGTTCCGAGCCCTACTAGAGCCAACAGAACAGAACAGGCTGAACGTTTTGCGCCGGCGACGGGAGCTTTCTCGACGTACGGTACCCGGACTTTGACGGTCCGGAACTTGACTGTACGGATGGAGCGCGGTTCTGGTGAAACGGCCATTATCGTAAAAAACGGTGGTTGGTAACGTCAGATGCCAACTTCGCCCATAAGCCAGGGTTCCTGTAGGGATCATGGGCATGTAACGATCAATATCTGACAAAACAACCGGAGCTGTCAGTCGTTGAACATACAACCTCCCAACGATCAGAAGCAATGGTTTGAGCCACTGTATCTGTGATGCTGGGATCAAGATTCGATGCGGACGCGATGTGAGCATAGATCGAGTGAAAACATAGGCATTGCTGTCTCAGGCAGTCATCGTGGGCATCGTTGTCGTCCAGGCAGCAATGTATACCATTACCAGATAAGCAAATTCCTAAATGACACGCTGTAATCTGCTTGCATGACCGTTTGAACTGCTAACGTTCATAACATAGCTTGATCAGCATCAGAGTGTAGGTATATGTGTTCTACAAGGACGTAGTAGTGGTGTCAAATCCGGTGGATATGCTGTGTAGAAGAGCTGTTGATCTCGTCGGAATCAGGAAGGCTCAATGAAAGAGTCCTGACGATCGCGGGAGGCAGTCGATGGTATCTTGCGGTTTGCTTTGCCAACAGAATCCTTAACTCTGTCAGATCCTGACACGTAGACTGACGATCTGAGGAGTCATCCTCTTTAGCTAGAAGTCACACGCATATCGAGTCGTGCGAAGCCTTGGCGAAGGTGCAAATCCAGACATGCCAGAGACTAAGAGTATTAGCTGATTGCGCGAGAGTAGTAGTGTGCAGCATGCGTGCGTAAGACCATGCGCACTGCCCGTAGAGATAGCTGTCAATCTATCAATCAAGCATCCTCAGGGGGGCTGACGGCTAGACTCCGCCTTGTCTTTGAACACAAGGTGTACTCGTACGAAGCACGTTTTCGTCTTTGTGGAGAAACCCAAGTAGGTAAAAAGTCAGCCACGGCTGCAGCCAAAGTGGAAGTCAATTACTATAACTGGTTTTGAGCCAAGCCGCAGCCGCGCATGCCCTAAACCCAAAGACCCCTTTTGAACTTTGAGTCTGTTCAATCAAGTCAGCACCGATCCCAGGCGCAGAGGAGGTGTAAATTGTGAAATATGTTGGATTTGGTCGAGTCCCCGGAAAGTGTCAATGGAAAGGGTCTGGTCCCTTACGACATAGACAACTATATCTAATGGTTGACATCTTGCGGATACTGCGGCAGTGACGCTGATGTGATCTGCGTCTGCTTACGGAGCGAAAAGTTTCCGTGAAAGTTGAAACAAGGGCGCGGGCTGCGGACACTTTTCTCTCCTTGACTCCACGAAAGCCAAAAGGAGGGTGCGGTGCAACAACTCACCGACTGCCCTGCAGAAGAGCGGAAAACGGGTACGAGCGTGAATACGCCGACTCAAAGGTCCGAGTGCGGCGGGTTGCTGTGAAGGCTTTTGCGGTCAGAAACAAAGGCGCCAGCGATCGCAAGGTCCGAGTCACCGTTGCGTCCGTCGCCGGATGCGTTTGCGAGATTGTCAATTTGGTTGCAACCCACGATCGGTCTGGGCCAAAATACGCTAGAACATAGGGAAAAGCGTGGCATCGAATGCGATACTCGCGCGATGGAGAAAGTAATTGCTTCACGCCTGATCAACGCTCACTCTGGAATCAGTTATGGCAGGGGGTCCAGAACAGTGAGGCATCTACTGGTTGCATTGGATTGTGATGGATGATGCGATCGATAATGTTTACAAAGTCGCTGACAATTGCTTCCTCATCATGACAGCTGTAGAAGCAAAGTGTCGGAGGATGCTTGCTCAGCACGCTCAGCATTACTCACAACATGTAGAAGGATTGCATGCGATTGGCCGGGTCGGATTACTCATGGGCACGACTTGTACACGGCTTGGCCGGTTGATCCTGCACGGGTTTCCTAAATCCGAGCGCGGTGTCTTTTTCTTTGCGACCGACCGGTCGGTGATGAGTGGATTAGAGTTCAGATCACTGAACGGAAACAAAACGTCTGCTCCCGAGCGGCTTGCGGAATGACAAAGCTCCCTGAGACCCGATCATGGGTGCCTGAGCACTGGTATTATAACTCCCATGGACGTCCGCTGACAGGTGCTTTCTGTTTCATCACAATCACAACCAGCGAACGTCCGAACAGTATCAGCTTATATACAAAAGCAACCCATCTTCCCCAGGCTTCGATCATCACTGGATAGCAACATCCGATTTACCTTTCGACACTTAATCAGCCACTCATCTCTTATTGGCTGTGAGTAACCATTGCGACAGATTTGGTAATCACAATACTGACTCACATATCAGATCGCCTTCCATACAAAACAATCACATTTCGCAATGTCGACACAATCATACTTCCCCGGATCTGCTGCATCACCAGCAAAGAAGAACAGAATGTCTCTCACACAAACATATTACGTCGCCTCCACTGCAAGGAGCAAGCTTGGTCGTGAGGCCTCTCGTGCAGACCACAACCTCAGACTTCTTGTTGGCCATGCCAACCTTCTCGACACTCTTATGATCGAACTCCAGGATGCAGAGAGAGAGCAAGAGGCTTGGTTCAACGAGTCTATCAAGACCAGCAAGCCTGACCCTGCCACCCGCCACGTTCAATGGATTGACTCTATCGCTGAGGAGCTTGAAGAGGACTCATCTGATGAGGAGAGTGATGACGAGGACTCATTCTACGACGAGGAGGACGACTTTGTCCGCGCCACACCATCATCATACTCTGTCGCAACCGTCGAGGTTGACGATGATGAGTTCGAGGAGGATTATGAGTACGACGACGAGCACGCTCTTACCAGAGTCGACTCTCACCCACCAGAGCTTGTTCACGGTGACTCAGACTCAGAGGACGAGTCAATGCCACCATCACCCACACAAGAAGCCATGGACCTTCAAGAATCGCAACACGCTCAACCTATCAAGACAACACCATACCTGAACAAAATGGACCACTCAGATTACCTTGCCGACAACATTGTCATCTCGCAACGGCAATCACCAATGATTAGCGCCTACTAGACGACGCTCTTCACTCTTCTTTATCCATCTTGTCCAGCGGTTTAGCGATTCACTTTCTTCTCATCTTCTGTATGGCATTACGATATATCCCGGCTTGGAGCCACGGCGTTCTTCATGGAATGATTCTATTGGGGGAAACCGGAAACATCTCTTCTTTATCTTAACAAAGAGAGTAGAGCTATAAGCTCCTCTTCTTACTCAGCAGGCCTCAGTTGCCTTTTCTTCTAATCATGACAATCTTCACACTTCAAACTTCTTCTCCCACTCTCATGTGTTCTTTCATGTGCTTGCATCGTCTTGTCTACCTTGCTTTCCACTCCTCGCCTAACACGACCGTCAAAGTTCCACTGTTAACCGGATCAGGTTCCTGCAAACCGAATTGCCCGAAAACTGTCCGCCTTAACCTCGCTTCTAACCGGCTGCCGGGTTGCCGTCGATGCAGGTTACCGAGCTTAGAGTTTTTCTTTCACGTCACGGAAAACCATCCTCCACACCACAGAAAGATCTCGTCTCGTCAATCTGTCAATCTTCGCCTTTCCCTCCGACCCACCGCCGAGAAAATGGAGAAGAATCTGCAAAGAATCTGTAGAAGATTTTGGCTGACATATCCACTGTACCAATATTGTCAAGCATCTGCCACCGTGAAGAAGCCGTGCTCGAAGAGCGAGCGCGTTGGAAGCGAGAACAGGGCAATTTTTCTGTTCTTCTCTTTGCACGAGCAAAGCACGGTAATTTTTGACGGGTGGTTGTCAAGCGAGAGAAAGATGTTTGTGCGTTGATGCTTTCCCTTTCGCTCGCGACCTATTGCTCCATACGGTGCTTGCTCCGAGTCCTTGTCTCTGCATCGTTAAACGACTCGGTCCCGACTCGCCGCCAAAAGGTTGTCGTCGGCACCCAGAGGTTCCGAGAGCAGACTTGGCGAGTTGATGCTTCGGATCCGCGCCGTATCTCTGTACGCGCATCTCGTATCTAGATTTTCGATCTTGGCTTGTGGATCATTTTGGTTCTTTACAATGGTCTGGTGTGAAACCGCCAAGAGCTTGTGCTTTTCTTTGGGCAGCAGCATGGATGGAAGGTGGGCAGAAAAGAAAAGCTGGTATCGAAGAAAAGCACCAACACCAAATTTCGTCGACCAGCGGTACGGTCTTTCAGGTTGCCTGGCCAGCATCTTTCCTTCCACTGAATCAGTTTTGCTTGCTCCTCAGCGTCCCTTGCATTCGAGGTGTGTGCATCTGTCCTCTGATTATTGGCAGGCAGCCCGAACATCAAACATCTGCTTTGATTCCTGCTCAGATCGGTCCCGAGACCCGGCGAGTCCAGGACAAAGTACAGCACATGACCTTTTGAGTTTCTTGTTTCCGCTGCGTCCGCACTGCCCGCTGATGAGCAGCGCACGCGCGAGCGGAGTTTATGCATGCCATTTTGCTCCGAAACATGGATGCCTGACAGCACTTCCCCGCGTGCGTGTCGGAGGATTTCTGTACGTGGAGATAAGACGCGTACCTCCAGTTGTATACACCGATCATCCGACCATGAGCTTCCAAGGTCTTCACATGCTCATCGGGGCCCTTCGGTGTCTCTGTTGACTCACATCTGGTTCCTTCGTATCAGTGCTACAGTGGGATCCCGGTTCGCAGCAGACGAGTGGTGTCACCAAACACAAGGATCCATCGGTCTGGGAACATTGCTCGTGCTTACCAAAACAAGACTCGGCAATATGGATGGTGATGAGCGGTGAATGTCACCTCCACAGGTTCCTGCATGGATCAGCTGGTAGCCACCTTCAGCCTCTCCTGCAACTTCTTTGCGGCTGTGCTGCCTTGCAGGGCTGAAGAAGAACAATAATCACATCATGCGCTGCCCTGCCTTGCAATGTCAAAATCAGCAGAAGTACACCTTCAGCTTTTTGAAAATAGGGATCATGCATGTTCAGTGTACAGTGAACATCACAGAGCCCCGGTCACAAGGTTTCCGTTGAAGCTGAGCTCCTGAGCGAAAGGTGAGTCCACCGGTAAGCAGCAGGAGTTCGTAGATCCGTACCTTGCGTATGACTGTCACTGTCTCACAAACCAACATCCGCATGCAGAGAGCCGAAAGGTACCCCTGGCATGTGTCTCCACACCCTCTTACACCAAACCAAGAATTTCTGATGCACCAACTCCAACATCACAAGGCCTACTCCGAAGAGATGACGGGTCTGCAAGTGGAAAAAGGTTGGAAGGCCAAGTATCGTACTGTTGCAAGATCAGATTGAATGTACGATATCTTGATCTGCTGCAAAGACACCAAGCTACCCAGAAGGTAAATACTCGTAAAATGGAGCGTAATTCTTACATCTAATCCTACTCGTCTACAAGATACAGACTGGAACCACATCTGTAGAACCGAGTCTGAGAATTGGACACTGCTTCTAATGACCTTGATAAGCATTGTTCGTTGATTAAACACCATTGGGAGGAGACTCTGACGTTAACCGTCGGATACGATTCGAGTCTGTATACAGTATGGCTGTGAGCTATGAACGTGTGTAATGTTGTCTTACATTAAGGATGTTCATGGAACACAGTCAAGGTGATTTCCCTCAGTATACCCTGCCTTGCAATTCCTTCTCATCATTGCCTTTGCACGATGAACACAATCGACAAATACAAGCCATGACCACATGCCGCTTTCTCTCGTTTCCAGCCTCTGTTTTATACGCGTCCTATCACTTCTCCTGGATTTTCCTCCTGCTAGCCGACATGCCAAACTATCAAAGTCCATGTAGATGATGCACAGTCCTTGTTGCTTCAACCTCTAGCGCGCACAGTCAAGATTCCCAAGCTATGCTTGTGGGAGATACAGTATTAAATATGCGTGGAAAGGGTATCGTGTAGTGTCCTTTGCTGAAGCTGTAACTCTGGAGCACAGCGTACGAGATGAACGGCACAAGGTTCTGTGCCAATGATGTTGTCTTCGTCGAGTAGATTTGACGAACTCTCAATTGCTGTGAATGACAGGCCAGTGGGGTTGATAGAGTGCAAAAGCTAACATCTCATGGCTGCCAATATCCATCGGTTTTGGCGGCGAATTGTGGGAAAGATCGAGTAGCTATGAGGTAGGCATGTTTTCGATGATATGAAGATTGATTTTGACAATCTTTTTCTTTCTTGTGCAGCAGCCTAAGGCTGAAAAAGTGATGCAGATGAGGGTGAATACACAGCAATGGCATTCTCATGACGAGGGAGAATTTTTCGTCGTTTTCTTCTTCTGGTAGATACCACATAAATGGCACATTCTGACTTTCTGTAGTGACTAGACTCATGTGTACTCACAGCGTCATGGTGGTCGTAGATGCCAACTCCAGGACAATATCTGCTTCTTATCTCTGGGCCAAAAAGAGAAGAGATCAAGAACGAGACCGGTCGTAGTGGTTTTATTGCACATACGGTCACGGTGGTAGTATTCGTATGGCTGTTCATATTCTTGATCTCTTCTGCTGCTCCAAGATCTCAATCATGTCGGTTAACTATACTCAATATATAAACTGATTCTATCCAATATCTAAAATGCCATTCCTCACTCACGAGTCCAGCTCGTGTCCTTGTTCCACTCTCTCGACCACTATATAAACATCTCTGTGCCTTGCTAGAATGATTCGATAATTACAATAGCCAAAGGTCGGTCTTCAATACATAAGACTTCTAGCAAACACGACGACGACCAAGGCCCACTGAGCAGCTCCGTCTCTTTTGACTGCCTTTCTTTCAACACTGTTACCACTGATTGAGACGACACTAGGAATGATGACAGCAATACTGGTGGTTGCGAATGATGTTGTGTTTGCAGAAGTAGGGGGATCACTGATCATGCCAGCTGTGAGGTTTGACGAGAGTGATTTGGGAGAGAGTGCGGTAGCGAGGGTATTTGTATCTGCTGCGATGAGGCTTGTGGAAGACTGTAGTCGAGTGGATGTTGCTGTGTAGCCACTAATACCGCACAGAGAAGATAGGTAACTGTGTGCGGCTGATAATTCAGTCAGCATATGGATCCGAAGTATAGTTTTGCAAGTCATTTACCTTGGTTGTCGGACAAAGTTCCTCCTTCACCACATGAGAGCATCACGCTTCGACCACCAACGAACCAGCACAGTCCAGTCGAGATAATGCTAAGGTCAAGTGGGACCTCTCGCGTGCCACCAGCACATTGACTTTCTTCGAACAGTCCCAGTGAGCAGTCTTGCTGAGTACCATTCTGACCGGTGGAGACCAAGAACGAGTGGAATTGGTAAAGGTTGGTTTGACAAATGCCAGGTCGTAGTTGAAGCGTGGACGGAGGCTGAGTGTCTCCTAGTCCAGAGCTTTGCTGACATGCGGTATCGTGACTAGGGGTGAAGAACATGCTCGTGCGAGTGTTCGCGTTGGTCGAAGAGACTGAAACACTGCAGGCACCATCTATGCAGGCGGAGATTGCAGATGTCCAGTTTGATACGCAAGTTGTTGATGAGTACGTATTGGGATAAGGCGCCAGGCACGCCGACTGTGAATAGCGTTAGCAGAGCTGATAGAATCCAGAGAGAGGGGTCGATGACCAAACAGGGAGGTACATCAGTGCTGTATTGAGCCAGTACAGCCGATGCGGCGAAGAGAGCGAAGAGGAGCTTCATCCAGTGTCGTTGTCGTGAGACCGCTCTAAGCGATGGGTGTGAGAGCCGTGATTTGCTCCTCGGTAGGGCGCCCCTCGATGAGGCGGTCAAGGATAGGTGGGAGGAGAGAAGGTGCAGGAAGTAGGATATACTCGACAGTATTGAACAGTGCTTCTCAAGATTCCGGCCAAGGGACGGCAGTCGCTACTTCCTTTCCTAGGATTTGACTATCTAAGGCTTGTGAGCTCGTTTTCGATCTCTCAATACTGTTACCTCTTTTGTGGTTCACTATGCCGTGCTGATTAATGAATAACTTTCAATGTTTTTGAACAATTGCATTTGGTGTCAAGGTTATTCTACTACACCCTGCTTCTTCTTCATCCCGAAACGCCTTCGTGTCAGCCAATGCATAAAGAGCCCTGTCAGATGCGCCGGGCTGGATGGAATCTCCTGTAAAGTGGTCCCTGAATAGATAAAATTACAACCATGACAAGATGTGGGATGGTGCGTGAGTATGATGAGGTCGTGATGAACGAGAGGACTGAAAGCTCCTTCTCGCTCTAGTTGTATTGCGCGTAGGCGGCAGTTGAGTTGAACTTGAGACCACCACGAATAACCTTCTCAACAGCGCTGAGGAAGTCCTTCTCGGTAGCAACCTTTCTGCGGGCGCGGATGGCGAACATACCAGCCTCAGTCGCGACTGATCGCAGCTCAGCACCAGTCGAGTTTGGGCACAGACGAGAGATGAGCTCCCATCTGATGTCCCGCTCGACACTCATACTCTTGGCGTGGATGCGCAGAATGTTGGCACGACCCTCCATGTCGGGCAAGGAGAACTCAATCTTACGATCGATACGTCCGGGACGCATAAGAGCTGGGTCGAGAGTGGAGGGACGGTTGGTAGCGAACATGACCTTGATGTTTCCACGAGCGTCGAAACCGTCGAGTTGAGTGATGAGCTCAAGCATAGTACGTTGGACTTCGTTGTCACCACCAGCGCCGTCATCGAAACGGGCACCACCAACGGCATCGATTTCGTCGAAGAAGATGATGCAGGCCTTCTTTGTACGTGCCATCTCGAAAAGTTCACGTACCATACGAGCACCCTCACCAACGTACTTTTGCACCAACTCGGAACCAATGACACGGATGAAGGTGGCATCTGTTCTGTTGGCGACAGCTCTGGCGCAGAGAGTTTTACCAGTTCCGGGAGGACCGTAGAGAAGAGCACCCTTGGGAGGGTCGATACCGAGGTGGACGAAGCGTTCGGGCGACAGAAGGGGCATTTCGACGACTTCACGCAGCTTCTCAATCTGCTCCTTGCAACCACCAACATCGCCGTAAGTAACGTCGGGCTTGTCTTCGACTGTCATCATGGTGACCGAGGGGTCAATCTTTGGCGGCAAGGGGAGCATAATCTGGTACTTGTTGCGATCGACACTAGAAAAACAATGTCAGTAGGCAATCCAAGCCCAGCGGATAGTAAATCAACTCACCCTACTCTCATGCCCTCCTCGATATCGGTGGGAGAGACGCGCTCGCCAAGGTTGACGACAAACTTTGCTATTTGCTTGACGTTGATGACATATTTGCTCTTCTCCTCGTTCTCATCGGCAATGATCTTTGTGCAGCGGGCGACTTGAAGTGGCTGCTCCTCACTCATGCGTTGTCTATCGGCGGCGATATCCCAAAGATGCGGAGGGGCAAGACCTGTGTCCGACTCCTGCGAAGATATGAGTATGGCTTTCTACAATCGATTCAGAGTAGGATGTAGTTGTACCTTGACACCAATCTTCTCGTTGACGCTTGTCTGGCGGTCCTTGATCTCCTTCTCGAGCTTCTTGAGGGCGGCGGCATAGGGAGCGGCACCGTATGTCTTCAGGACTTGAATATCCTCATCGGACAAGGGAGTGATCTTCTTCTCCTCGGGCTCGTCGTCGGCGAACTTCTTCTGATACTTCTCCCAGTTCTGACCCGTGGCGCTGGGCATGGCGGCGGTGGTTTATGTGTGACGCGGGAGTGAGGTGATAAATCGTGAGGCGGACAGACTTGGATTTGCAGATTCCAGATTAATCGTCCAGAGAAGCGGGAGATGGAGGGCGACCAGAGAGATGATGGATGTGATGTGAGTGTTGTGGTCAAGGAACAGCGATGAGTGTCGGATGAAGCTCTCGCCGGGTCGCCGCAACATGACGGAGACAGCGAGAGCGACGGGAGCTGCTGAAGGAAGGCGCTCGGACCTCTCTCCCGACGCCGACGCTGCGCTCTGGAGGCTCGAAAATTAATATCATCGGCGACATCAGTACAGCTCAATACCTGTATCCCGTTGCTTGTTTCTTGCTCAAGCCATCTCTTGCTCGTCGCATATTCCTCGAATACGCAGCAGAGATCATGTCCACCCAAGCCGCAGCCCCCAACGCCGGCAACGCCGCCTTCAAGGTGTGAACTGTCCCCAAACACTGCATCTCTCCTATCAATACTGATCATGAACAGGACAAGGAGAAGCCCCAGGCTGTGCGCACTGCCAACATTGTTGCTGCCAGAGGTATGCTACGTTACTCAACCCATCTGAGATCTATCACTAACTCTGTTCAGCCGTCTCCGATGCCATTCGTACCGTAAGCTAGCCGCCGATGCAATCATACTGGACCCGAATTGACATAGCTTCAACAGTCGCTTGGTCCTAGAGGTATGGACAAGATGGTAAGCACAATGTACTCGTTCCGTATCTGCGCAATCTGCTGACACGACAACAGATCCAAACCGGCAAGGGCGAAACCATCATCGTAAGACAACCTCGAGCACCGCTGCTATACCTCTCGAACAAGCACTGATACCCTGGACCAGACCAACGATGGCAACACCATGTTGCGCGACATGTCCGTCATGCACCCTGCCGCAAAGATGCTCGTCGACCTTGCAAACGCCCAGGATATCGAGGCTGGTGATGGAACTACATCAGTCGTCGTTATTGCTGGCTCTCTCCTCGGTGCCTCTGAGCGCCTCCTTCAGAAGGGTCTCCACCCTACCGTCATCTCCGACTCCTTCCAACGCGCCGCAAAGCATGCCGTCGAAGTCCTCACCTCCATCTCTATCCCCATCAACCTCTCCGACAGACAGACTCTCCTCAAGGCCGCCTCCACCTCGCTCTCCTCCAAGATTGTCGCACAAGAACCAAAGCTCGCTCCTATGGCTGTTGACTCAGTCCTTAAGATTATCGACCCTAAGACCGCCGACAATGTCGACCTGAAGAACATTCGCATTCTCAAGAAGCCCGGCGGCGTTATTGACGACAGTGAGATGGTGGATGGTCTGGTCCTTAACCAGCAAGTTGTCAAGAGCGGTGGTGGTCCTACCAGAATCGAGAAGGCCAGAATCGCCCTTATCCAGTTCCAACTGAGCCCGCCGAAACCCGACATGGAGAACCAAATCGTTGTCAACGACTACAGACAGATGGACAAGATCTTGAAAGAGGAGAGAACATACCTGCTCAACATGGTCAAGAAGATCAAGAAGGCAAAGTGCAACGTGCTCTTCATTCAAAAATCTATTCTCAGAGATGCCGTCAACGACCTGTCTCTGCATTTCCTGGCCAAGCTCGGCATCATGTGTGTCAAGGACATTGAGAGAGATGAGGTTGAGTTCATTTGCAAGGTACGCTTCTTTCTTTGTAACTTGTGCTAAGCTCAAAACATACTAACCTCATTCTTAGAGCACTGGTTGCAAGCCCATTGCAGACATCGATTCCTTCTCAGAGGACAAGCTCGCCAGCGCAGACTTGATCGAGGAGGTTTCATCGCTCGGCTCGCGCATCACCAGAGTCACTGGTATCAAGACAACAGGTCCCTTCGCCCCCAAGACTGTCAGCATCATCTGCAGAGGTGCCAACCCTCTCATTCTCGACGAGGCCGAGAGAAGTTTGCACGACGCACAGTGTGTGTTGCGCTGTCTGGTAAAGAAGAAGGCTCTCCTCCCTGGTGGTGGTTCGCCGGAAATGGCTGTCTCGCACTCGCTCTCCAGACTCGCCCTCACCTCCTCTTACCCGGACAACATCTGCTTCAAGGCCTTTGCCGAGGCCCTCGAAGTCGTTCCCATCACTCTGGCGGAAAACGCCGGTCTCAACTCCATCAAGGTTGTCACAGAACTCAGATCACGACACGCAAACGGCGAGACGAATGTTGGTGTCAGCATCAAGCGTGGAGGTGTCGGTGTCATGGGTGGTGAAGTTGGTGGCAATGCTGGAGAAGGTGGTGAGGGTGTCATGCAGCCCCTTCTTGTCAGCACCAGCGCCATTGAGTTGGCCGCTGAGACGGTCAAGATGATTTTGAGAATTGACGACATTGCCCTGAGCAGGTAAAAAAGTCGTCTTGTTTCCGAATTGGCATGAAACAAAATACAGATGCATAACAAACAGGCTACATGTTGAATGTCTGTAAACACAAAATCAAAATGTAAAACGACTATAATGTATGCACCTCGATCGAAACGGCCATACAGCAGATGATGTCTCCTCACAATTTCCGTGTCATCACATGGTTTACTCTCTCACATCAGACATGCACGAAGGTTGACAGTCAACTTCCGCAAAAGCCACCCCCACAAGATTGAAAGTGCGCCTGAAAGACATGCAATACCAAAGCTCAACCAGGCCTTGACTTGTGATGAGGCGCAATGCTTATCTATATTGATCTTGTCAACGCATTGCACACATGCCCAACTCAGACATGTTCGGGATCGAGAAGCCGTGATCTTCAGCTCAGCAGCAGCTTGCACAGGGGCACCTTGGGGGCTAGAATTCTTCACGATGCAGCTGTACCGCGACCGTTGGGGCTTTCTTGCTGAGATTGTGGAGTAAAAGTTGAAAACCAATAGCGGCAAGAAGCATTTTTTTGGGGAAGCTTGTTGCACGAATTGAGACAAGGTATAAGATAAGATATACAGATTCAGGGGAGAGACGGTGACACTGTTGAGATTATCGTGAAGACGTGGTGCTTCTATCCAACAAGTATCAGAAGAAGAGATGGAGTTGTCGTTCGGATGTTTGCTTGCAAGGCGCAAGTGGTCCAGGCATGCGAGGATCCTGGAGATGTGGGCGCTGGAGCTGGACTTGGCATGCTTAGGCTAAAGAACGCCGCGACGCCTTTGACGAAAGCAGTTGTTAGTTCGGGCGGCGACGGGACAGCGATGGGGATCGAGCAGTGTTAATATTGGGGAGTGGGCGATGGGTACAAGCGGTGACCAAGGTACCGTTGTACAAATTTCTGTTCTCCTGTCTGCTATTCCTATCCTTGTTGCCCTGTTGTGGGAATTGCTTTCTTTTCGACCAGGTCTTGGACAAGTCAGACAGTTTGGTTGCTTTTGGGAGCAGCAGCGCCGATATCCCCGTTCTTGGTCTCTCCATCCGCCGATCTCCTGCTCTGTGGTCATCCATACGATTCACCCGACGACGTCGTCTGTCTGCATCCCCATCCAGCGGTCAAGCATTCCCATTGTTTCCCCTTCACTTTCACGACATAGACGACCCTCCCGCGATTAGACGTCTTTATTCTTGGTTACTCAGCATAATTCACCGTCGGTCCCCCGCCTACTCATCCATCTCCACGCAAGCCACGACGCACTCTGCCGACGCTCCGGACACGTTCAACAGCCCGCATCTTACAGCTAGAGTACGCCGTGTTGCCCAGCCGTCTCACCCAGACCATCCCACTAACATGGTCCGTAGCACTCGTTGACTGCAACTCCAGTCGTGCGAGCATTGCTCCCTTCACTTCTTGCTTGAAGCCTCTACCGTCACCCATACTCTCAGCACCACTCGAACAAGCTTGCAACGCGATTCTTCAGCTGCTTCTACATCCTTAGATCAAGGTTATGAGGTAGTACCTCTCACCAGATACCGTGCCCGCTTCAACCAAGCATAACCCAATCACACATTCAGTCATGTCCTCCGACCAGCCACGTCACCGCTTCGATCCGACTCCGGTCGAGACATCTTCCAAGTCAAATCGTCAAGCTGCACAATCAGACGAGAATGTTGCTCCCCGAAGGTTTAATGTCCAACCCGCCGAGACCACGGTACGAAGCAGCAAAGACACCAACACCAATGGTCAAGCTGCCACTCAATCCCCGCCGAGACGCTTCAGACCAACGCCCGTCGAGACAAGTAAAAAGAGTTCTCGGGAAACACAACAGTCTCAACAGCCTGCCAGAAGGTTCGCGCCCGAACCTGTCGAGACCAGTGTGAAGAGCAGCAAAGACAAAGATCAATCACCACAACAACCCGCCAGAAGATTCGCTCCTGAGCCTGTTGAGACAAGTACAAAGAGCAACCGACAGTCAGATCCGCCGGCAGAGAAGCCCAAATCACGCTTTCTGCCACAGCCCATAGAGATGACGTCTAACAGCAACCGCGGAAAGTCAAGGTCCCCTCAAACGAACTCCCCTGCAACAAATTCTCCTGCCACAAAATCTCCTCAGACAAAGTCGCCTCCGAACGAGGCAGTATCTCCTTCATCACAGCCTCAAGACGCCCCTGTGCAAAAGCCAAAACGTAAATTCGCTCCCCAGCTGATCGACACATCAAGTCGGACTCGAAAGAACTCGGACGAGAAGCCTTCTTGGAATTCAAACCACCGGACCGACATGTCGCCTGGAGAGGAGACCAGAGTCGCATACAACAACTTAGGTCAGCAGATCACTATCGCCAACCGCGAGGAGACCACTCCACCGACCGAATATCCCCGCTTTATCATGCCCTTTGCACGCCGAAAAGATCGATCCGACTCGGCTCGCAGTCATTCGTTCCGTATGCCTGAGCTCGAGACCATCGAGAGCTCTGAAAGTGAGCCTAGTGCCCCACCTAGTCTTTCCACCAGTCCTTCGTCCAACGACTTCTCGCTCGGAGCCGCCATGGAGCCAATCAGCAATCCTGCATACAAGCACGCTACGAGAATTCGTGAGAGCGTTGACGAGACGTTCAGTCGCTACCTTCTCGAGCTTGAAGGCAGGAAGACTCAAGCGAAACTCCAGGAACAAGCACTTGCGGCTTTCCCCAACTCGGATATCCACGAGCCCGTCGCGCATTTCATGAATGGTGAGAGCGAAGATGAAGACGAGGAAATGGACGACCGCCCAGCGACTTGGGAGGGCCACGATGAGGACGATTATATGATCCGTACACCACACGGTCGCGGCTCGACTCATGGGACATATGAGGTTCGCGAGATGCATCAGCACTTCGAGGAAATGGAGCAAGAGCGTTTGGCTGCTGGTACAACGAGAAGAAAGTCGTCTGTGAAGCCCTCGCCATGGTGGAACCCCGGAGGTCATGATTTCGCTGGCTCTAGGATGCCTGATAATGAGGCACGAGCAATGCGTGATAGAGCACGTCCGCCTATGCTTGGTGCCGATTTGAAGTTCCCTCGTTCCGCATCACCAGATGCTGCACGTTTCGACGTCACTCAAGGGTCCAACCAGTTGCGTAGTCAAATGTGCTACCTCACTGAACAGTCCCAAATAGAAGTGTCACCGGAAGGTCTTTGGGGCGGCAAAAAGGAATCGGGAGATCCTTCCCAGCATCAAAAGAGCGTGCAGAAGAGTCAAAACACCATATACAGCCAGAAGAGCACAACTTCGCAGAATGGTGGTGGACTTTGGGGAGGTTTCTGCGTGGATGATCAAAAGTCTGGCGATAATGGTCTTGCTCCTCCAACAGCAGGCACCCAAACTGGTCTGATGACACCGGCTGTTGAACGTCCAAATCCGTTTGAGGGCCCCTTCAGCCAACCACCCCCAATGATCTTGCCTCAAACACCACCGGAGAATATGGACTTCAACAGGATTGACATCATCTTGAGCGAAGACCAAGATCTCGACGAAATGATGGAGCGCGAATTCCCTGACTCTTTCATCACTCAGGTATACAACTACCTCTCTTTGGGTTACCCAACTATCGCTCGGGCCTACGACGAAGAGTTGTGCAAGATCAGCCACATCCCCATCTCCGACCTTCGACATGACGACGAGATCGCCAAGAAAATGCCTCGTGGCTACATTCGACTGGGCGAGGATTTCGAAGGCAGAGACGATGGTTCGGATCAATTACTTGAGGAGGGTGGGTGTGCGAGATGGACAGCACTCAAGAAGTATATCCGGGAATGGGCACGCCAAGAGAAGGACATGGTCAAGACCGGTTCTTCAGGTACGGGGCTTGGAGGTAACTGGGGCACTGGAGCTAGAAGGGGTAGTTGGGCATGGTAGAAGATTTTGTGCTTCCTCCTTGTCGATGTTATTTGCGTATTGCATCGGAACGGCGTTTATCTTGGGTAAGATGGGTTGCATCAAAAAGCACACGACATTGTGATGGCTTTGGAACGAACATTTCATACTTAGTAATTATTACTTTGAAGACAAAAGCGATCATTATTCTATCGAAATGCTTTTCCGCAAATCTCACGCTTACCATTCCATGAGTCGAAGATGATATATAGATTTTATGCAGCACGTGATTATGCATGTCTTATGCAACCCCATACCAAGATTTTTTTCCCTTCCATAACTCTTCACTCGACGGCGACCTCTTCTGATAGCCATCAATTTATCTCGACAATTCGAATATACATTAAAATGTCTTTGGTCGGAGCCCTTCTTTTCTGTAACGACTGCGGTGGTCTGCTGGAGCGATGCCCTGCTTCTCAAGCAAACATTGATTGTGATGTGTGCGGCAAGAGAAACAAGAGTGAGTTTTTGATATTTTTTCCTTCCATCTGTTCAGTATCAAAGACAAGAAAGAGCCAGATGAGCCCATAAATTTCACTTCTTACAAGTTCCAAATTACCAGTAGTATATTCCCTTCGAAAGCAGACTTTTGTACGTTTTATAAACCATCTTCAGCATTTCTAACCGCCTCTCTTTCGCCTCACGAACAGATATCTGGCCGACATCCACCACTACCGAATCGGCCGCTACAGCATTCCCTTCGCGCTTGCGTGATGCACGCTCTGAGATCCAGGTTTTGTCTGCCGAGGACAGGGAGACTTGGGCTATGACAACCACCGCATGTCCTCAGTGTGCCAACCCTGAGATGAGATACAGAGATGTGCAGTTGAGAGGTGCGGATGAGGGAAGTACTGTCTTCTATAGGTGTCCCAAGTGTGATTACAAGTAAGTTGCATGAGAAGGGAGAGCAGAGGGGAAAAGAGAGGCTAATGAGTGATAGGTTTAATACCAACAACTGAGATGACGATGATGGAGAGGTTTGGTGAGGCATGAGGAGGAAAAGGGAGAAGATTGGCTGGTGTGCATTGGAGAGGAGTAAGAAAAGGTGTTGCTATCTATTTTGATACCCTGTTTAACAATCTTTTGTTTGTCAAGTTTTTGTTTTGATATCTGCTCACTTGCGATACTCGTGTCGACAGGAACAGATGTTGAAAGCTGCGAAGTCTGTCGCCTGCCATCTCGAATATCCTCACTGTCTGAGCCGCAGTCGCTCCCACCGTCGCGCTTTCCAAAACTCTCGTTCGCTCGCTCCTGCGTCTCTTGCCTCTGACTGATCGAAGCCTCGCCTCCCCCTCTCTTCTTTCTCCATCCATCTCAACCATTACTTGACTCCATCAGTACGATCAGTGCAACAGCAGAGTATTTCAACCGCAATTCTTATCACAATCGATATCGAACGCTGCGCTTCCTGACCTCGCGGTCCTCGAATGCAGCACACTTGAACTCAACTCTATCTTCAAGCCATCGGAGCATGCGTAAGTGGTCCATCCGCTGAGAGTATCACTGCAAGTGACTGACCAGTCAAACAGACTGTCCAACAAACGACGAAGCTACACGACTCTGGTCTCCATCCTTACTTCTCAAGATCTCCAGTCTCTCGTCTCGGCGTCAGACAGCCTCCAGTCTTTCTTTCCAGTATGGAACCCAGCACGGACGATGTGTGCGCTGTTTGTGCTCGCCCGGGTAGACCCTGTACTGGTTGCAACGACATCCACTACTGCGGTCGCACCCATCAAATGGAAGATGAGCCAATTCACAAGCTGGTCTGTAAGAAATTTGCGCGCCGTTCTGGCCTTCTCAGGTTCGACGAAGCGTGGGTAATGTACTTCCCGGTCGATAGTACAGAGCCTGAGTTCACAAAGCTTTTATTCACTTGCACACGGCCGCAATGGAATGGTGCTACTCCTTTCCGCGGAAGCAGCCTGATGGTCAATGGTTGTTCGTCTACCTGTCCTTGCAAATTCAACACGCACGACATCCGTTTCATTTCCTCCTCGGTTCATAACTCGCTCTGTCGATACATCCACATCGTCGCTCCGGAGCGCGAAGACAACGCATCGGTACATGACACAGAAGACATGGTGAATAAATGTATCAAGACTCTGACTGGGGATACTTCCTGGAAGGGACCTGTCATCGTGTACGCAAAGATTCCTAAGGGGAAACCTGTGGATATGGGGACGTCATTCTTCAGCAGAACCTTGAGTGCGTTCAGTGACGTCGTTGGTGTGCGTATCAACTGCGATGTGGCTGTGAAAAGGCTCAACGCACCACAATTTGAAGCTGTGGCAATCAAGAGCTACGATCTCAGGGGCACGATTGACGATCGCTCCTGGAATCTGGCTCGCGGTCATCATAACGCAGCTTTCCTCACTCAACACACTGGCACAGTGTTACAGGACAGACCAGAATCTCATGCAGAAGACCCTAGCCACTCTGGTCTCCACAGAAGAAATTCCACCTCAAGACTATTGTCTATCCCTTGCGACATTAGTGAGCAAAACTTTGGCTTCTATAGCCGACCACACGATACTGGAAATGTGATCGTCGTACGCGAGGACAGGAAACCACTGGAAGTCGAGTACGTGAAAATCTTGTATGACTGGATATCATCCGATGTCCTCCCACTGTTCAGATAGGCAAGGTCAGATTGTCTTCGTATAGACCGTGAGGTAACTAGCAGGACCGCTCGGAATAGCCAAAAGTGCCCGTCAGGCAAAACGTAATGAGACAGATGACCAAACAGAACTTGTTTGCGTACAGTCGCGGTAGACTGACAGATGAAGACACAGAAGACAAGAAAGATGAGGAGATGGCAGATATCGTTGAGAACGAAGATACAACAGACGACGAGATGCCTGAGGATGGCGAGGAGTTCGACGACAGCGACGTTGACGATGACATATTCGACGACGAGAGCAGCGATGTTCAAGATGGCGACAATGCAGAATGATCGCTTCAGTGTTGATGTTTAGGCGCGGGGGAATTGACCTCAAGGACAACCTGTATGTAAAGACGAGCAAAAGCCGCATAAGAATAATTAGCATTGCCACGTCTCCGACTCACCATGTGCAAAGTTCATGTTACTTGAACAGCTGTAGAAATGCACAGTTCCTCTATGAACAGGAAGCATCCACTGAGAGACGACGAGTTCCCAGCTCTCCTTGGATATATCTTCATCTCAACAATTACGATGCCTTTTCATAGCAACTATTCTGTAGACCTTCGTAAGAAAAGCAGACGAGATGTAAACTTACACCTTGCTCTCTGCCCTCTTCCGGTAGAGATTAAGATACGACAGAAAGACATGATGAGTTTCAGAAGACTGGCGACTCCATGCAAAGCTAGGGTGTTTGTATGAGTGCTCGGTAGATGTCATGACGCGTTGTAGCAGTGGTCGTAGTAAGGGATAACAATGGTGATTTACGTGCGAAACTAAGAAGTCAACGGATTGTCAGATTAGCAGAATTGGCTGATTTGAAAGTTGATGTTATGGCGGATGGGCCGCGATGATCCATCCAAAGAGCAACAAGACTCGAATCCTCGATTCTTTAAGATTAGGGAACAGCATATTAGCAGTTCAATTTCAATACTGCATGATGTTGAAGGAGAAGATGTTCAAAGACATTAAAGTTTTGCTAAGCAACAATCACATGCGAGATGCCTCGACGTCATCGACCAAGCAATCTGGGGTAGACATGTACCGAGGCTATTGGAATGTTTTTGAGAGCCGGGCAAGCGTCCCTCGGCTGGGCGCCATTCAGATGCCAGAGGGACACATGAGTGCTTGAAGGACAACATCAGCTGCTGCTACTTGCTCTGAACTACTGCAACTTCCTTCTACAAACTTGGACTCTTGCTTCCTGGATCTCGGCGACAGTGAAGAACACAACATACCGCTACACAGCACCACTACGACACCCTCACACGACACACCGTCTAGACATCACTCAAGATGGACATCTCAGCCCTCCAAGTCTGCTCAACCTCATTTGATCCTCTTCCATCTCCCCTGCTGACCACACCTCCCACAGGCAACAGCAACCCGCATCCTGCAAAACCCCCACTACCAACCCCCTCTCTCCCTCCTAAAAGCCCTCCGCAATGGCGCCGTCTACGGCACAAAAGTCCGCTTCCCACACGCCCTCGTAATGATCCTTCTATTCCGCTCTGGTCCCCTTTCCACAAAACTGTCTTCGGTGCTCAAAGCCACCAAGCAACATGCGCGCAACCTGGCCACTTTTGCATTCCTCTACAAGCTTCTTATGCTGGTGCAAAAGAGTGTCAGACCTGCTGGAAAAGAGATGAGCAGTGATTCCTTTGTTGCGGGTGCAGTGGGTGGATACTACGTCTTTGGCCGCAGCAAAAGCAGTGTCAATCAGCAGATTGTGATTTACGTGGCTGCACGAGTGGTGTTGGCTGCTGCGAGCTTAGCAGTGCAACCTAGAGGTGACAATACACTGCTGGGCGGCAAATATGGAGGCAGAGGAGGTATGGGCATCATAGGCTTGTCAGACCAAAGCAGAGAGGCAGTGAGAAGACATGCCTGGCCGGTATTTGCGAGTTTGAGTTGGGCGAGTGTGATGTGGTTGTTCAGGTTCTATCCTGACATGCTGCAGCCGAGTTTGAGGAGTTCGATGACTTATATGTGGGTTTTGTCGCTGCTGACGTTGCACAGAAGGAGTGCCTGCTAATGTGTTTGAAAACAGATACGAGAATGCGGACCATTGGGATTCGCCGAGGAACTTTTTGTGGCATAACAAATGAGGAGGACATTGGAAGGAAAGCAGCAGAGATATGCTGCGTACACATTACGACATTACGAACAAGACATCCTCATCGCTCCTCCTTATCTCGAGGAGACTCTTTCCGAGACGAGACGAGAGAGAGCGACTCTCAAAGTTCCTCGAGCACTTGTTCCACCTGCACAGCATCAGGCACAAAGACCTCGAAGCCATCCTTCACAATCTCTGGAACACCCAATCTCCATGCAGGCCACGACAACCACTCAGGTCTCTTGAGCCACTCCATGCTCCACATCTCTGTTTCCAGGAATTTCGGTCTGCCAATCTTGACATTCTGAACCCGTTCCTGGACCCAGAGCAGACCTCCCTTGATGTGAGACCATGCCCAAGCAAAAGGAGCAATTGTCCATCCTAGATCTGTGATACTGAGCCAGATTTCGTTGATCCGAGCAAAAGGAGCAAGGACCCATGCTTTGAAAACCAAGAAGAAAGCCATGGCTTTGAGCAAGTAGCTTTTGATCCAGAAGTATGCAAACACTAAGATCGCAACAGCGACAGCGAAACCGATGATTACGAACGTGATACGTAGAAGACCCCTTTTGATCGAGCACAGCGTCAGCTAAAGTTCATTTCCATTTCTTTTTATCCCCTGGATCCCTCGTCGTTTGACCTCCATCCTCATTCTTGAAAATCTCACGCTTGTCATTCTCAATGGGAAGGGGAAAAAAAGGAAGAAATTTACCAGCTACCAGGAGCAACTCCTCCTCCTGCTCCTCCATCCCAACCGCCTGCTGCTGCAGGAGCAGTTTCCCAAGCAGCGTTATTCGGTTGCGTCTGGTTCCAGTCACCGGTAGCGGCAGCAGGATCTTCTGCACCGGCGGCAGCATCTTCCCTGTTCGATTTCTTGGATCCAGACTTGGAGCCACTCTTTACAGTTGTAGGGTGGCTGGAAGCGGCAGCAGCAGCAGTAGCGTTACTGGCAGTGTGACGACTAGAGGCAGATGCTGGATAGGCACCTGGTGCTTGCTTTTCTTTCTGAGAAGCTGTCTTCGAGGCAACCTTGGCAGCGACCTTTGAGGGAGTGTTCGAGGCGGGCTTGGTGTCTTGAGTGGCAGGCTCTTCCCAGGTTGGAGTGGGAACAGTGTCCCATGGAATCGGAGCGGTGGTTGTCTTTGAGGTCTTGGATTTTGTGACTGAGGGTGTTTTGCTGGTGGCAGGCACTTCGACTTGGGCTTCCTTTGCAGCACTGGGTGTCTTTTCCTTGCTGTGCTTGAAGCTGCTGCTCTCTTTGGTCATCTGTATTTTGTCAATAAACTGCTCTTTCCACTGAGCAGCGATGTGACTTACGCGCAATCTGAACAACTCCTCAGCCAACTCATCCTTTGACATGTCTGCCAACTTTGCCTTGAGAGCCTTACCCTCTTCCTTGATTTCAATCTTGAATTTCTTCTCAATGAACCTCTTGCTACGGTATTTGAAGGTAAATACCGCGTAGGGTTGCTTCATGCTGTCCAGATATTCGGGACGTGCACATAAATGCAGGTACTGTGCTCCTTTGCCGGTCTTGACTTGGTGTTCGACATGTTTGGAGCGAGCGACTTGCTTGGGGACTAGAGGGAGGGGCTCTTCGGGGGCAAGGTAGAGGTTGCGGGTGGGACGTGAAGAGGGGATTGTAGGGCGTTTGTTCCAGTCGTTCCAGTAGGATTTGGGGTTGATACCGGCATGGTCTGGTTCGTCTGAGGCGCCGTCGAAGAGGTTACCCATCATGTCGCCCGCGGAGCTTTCTTTGGTCGTCGCGGGTTTGGAGGGCATGTTGGGAGGTTGTTTAGCCTTTGCTGACGATGTCTTGTGTTTGTGGTCGGATGAAGAAGGTTTGGATGATTCCTTCTTTTCCTGTTGAGCTGTGGAGTGCTTGGACGCCGGCTTGCTGGCAGGACGAGACGAACTCTCTCTGGTTACAGGCGCGCTAGGTGGTGGTAGAGGAGCATCCTTGCAACGCAAGACGATGACCTCGATAGTGCCCAAGTTGTCTAGAAAGACGTCGTCGGTCTCGTCAACCTTGTCAGCAGACACCAGGTTCAGACCGTGAAACGTCCAGTCTCTTCCCAAGAAGCTGCCATCCGCCTGCTTGGACTCCTTCTGCCTGACGCGCAAGTCAACTTCGACCTGCTCATCCCTGACACCCTTGGCAGGAACTTGGAGACCACGTCTGTTGCGATTGCACTGATACTGGCCATCCATGTAAACAAACATGGCAAGGCCAGGCGCAATGTAACCATGAGAGGTGAGATGGATGCTGAAGTTTACTTCTTCGCTGGGCACGGCGATATAGCTGGTGACATGGCCATCGCCGTAGTCTTTTCCATGTTCAACGACTTTGGTGTGTGTGCTGCCTAGCTCGATGGAGCAGATAAGCTGTTTGAGAGATGGCATGACGGAGTCGTGCCAGAGACGGCGATGAGCGGTGTCAAGGGAGGTTTGAGAGTAGGGAGAAGAGGTAAATTGCGTAACAGAGATACGATAAAAAGAGGAAGTTTTTGAATTGTCCGCGAGAGTGAATGGAAAAGCAGGTGGTAGTCGAATTGTCCGTGAAACCCAGGATCTTTCGCTGCTGCGAAAAGAATGGAAACTGACATACTTCACTTCGTCTATAACATCTCATTTACCAGTGCCTTTACAATGCGCGAACAAGATACTACTGAAGACAGGCATGATGATGGCTGCTGAGAAAGCCCCAGCGGGTAGGACTGGTGACTTTCAAGAAGTCAAAACATGACTCGGTTGCACGTTGGAGACGGCCTGCCCTTGTGATAGCGAGGTCAATCGTAGCACTGGCAGAAACATGGCATTGTGGACTGGCTGACAGCTTCGTGCATGTCGACCGGTATGTTTTGCGAGCAAGTGAAGACGGAGAGGACGAGTCGAGGAGGCACGGACGGAGTGGCTACCGTCATCAAAGACAAACAGAGCAAACCCCGAAAAAAGTACCATCTCGCTCTCGTCCTCGACCACTCGAATCTGTGAATTGATCAAGTAGATATCTCGGCCATATCTACCCTTATCCATACCATATCTCAGGTCGACAATCGCTCAACACCATGTCTGACGAACAACCGCGCAAGAAGGTCCGCCTTACGGGTCCCGAAGACTCGATCCCAGCATCGCTTTCAGAAGTCGACGCCGCTGTAGCAGCACAATTGGAGCAGGAGAAGAGTGCTGGAATCACCGTCTTTGCTTCAGAAGCTGCTGGTTTCGGAGGTGTCGTCAAGAAGCGCTACACGGATTTTCTGGTCAACGAGATTTCGACAGACGGCACTGTCTTCCACCTGGACGAATTGACTGGACCCGCCGTCAAGGCTGTCAACAAGGTCGAGAAGGACGTACAAGCAGAGGAAGAGAAGGAGAAGGCTGCCGAACCTCTCAAGGCCGAGCCTGCGTCGGTCAAGGAGGAACAGCCCAAGCCGGACAATGCAGAACTCGACGTCAAGGAGCGCATTCAAGAAGCCATTGCTTCCATTGCACCCGCCGACGTCGACACCCTCAAGACCATCTTTGGCGAACAGACAACTACCGACATTTGCAACCTCTACGCCAAGTCCATTGCACGCCCGGAGCGCAAGACTAGAGACCACGGCGCTTTGCAGTCAAACGTTATCGAGGACAAGCAGACACGTACCGATGCTCACATCAACGTTCGTCGCATCTTCAACGGCCGAGTAGACACCATGACCAATGACGACAACACAATCGCAATCAAGATTGCTGCACAGGCCAACAAGATCAACGCTCGCGCTCTGCCTGGATCAAAGGGAAAGAATGCCCGTCCCAAGGGCAAGGTCGGCTGGGAGGAGCTCGGTGGTGAACATTTGCACTTCACCCTGTACAAGGAGAACAAGGATACCATGGAGGTGCTTTACTGGATCGCCAGTCAGCTCAAGCTGCACGTCAAGAACTTCCAATTCGCTGGAACAAAGGACCGCAGAGGTGTCACTGTCCAGCGTGTGAGCGCTTACCGTATCGCCGCCGATCGTTTGCAGGGCGTCAACCCTACCCTTAGACAGGCTAGACTGGGTGGCTTCAAGTACATGCCTCAAGGTCTTGATCTAGGCGACCTCTATGGAAACGAATTCACAATCACCCTTCGTGACTGCACATTCCCTGGTCAGCAAGGAGATGCAGCAGCTCAGCTCGAAAACGCAAAGAAAATTACTGGTGATGCCGTCTCGCAATTCCAAGAGCGTGGTTTCATCAACTACTACGGTCTCCAGCGTTTCGGCACCTTCGCCATCTCCACAGACACCATCGGCAGAAAAATGTTGCGTGGTGACCTCGAAAGCGCAGTCGAAGACATCCTCTCCTTCAGCCCTGAAGCTCTGGCAGCAGCCTCAAACTCGGATCAAGCATCAACCAAGATCTCCCACGATGACATTGCCCGCGCCGAAGCCCTGCACATCTGGAAGACAACAAAGAAGTCCGGAGCAGCACTCGACAAACTTCCCCGTCGCTTCCAAGCCGAAAACGCCTTGATCAGACACCTAGGCTGGGTGGACCGCAAATCCGGCGACCTCCTCCGCGCAAAAGACTGGCAAGGCGCCCTCCAAAACATCCCTCGCAACCTTCGCCTCATGTACGTACACGCCTACCAATCGCTAGTCTGGAACACAGTAGCCGGCCGCCGCTACCAATTGTACGGCAACAAAGTAGTCGCAGGCGATTTAGTCCTCGTCCACGAACACAAGGACAAAGAAGCCTACGCCGTGCAAGACGAAGAAACCATCGACGACTGCGGCGAAATCATCGTTCGTCCAGCCGCCCACGACACCGCTACCTCCCTCGAAGACAAGTTCGAGCGCGCCCGCGCCCTCACCGCCGAAGAAGCTTCCAGCGGCAAATACACCATTTTCGATCTAGTGCTGCCATTACCCGGTTTCGACGTCATGTACCCTGCCAACGAACTCGGCGCCTACTACTCAGAATACATGGGCAGCGAAGAAGGAGGGAAACTGAACCCCAGAGACATGCGCAGGAAATGGAGAGACGTGTCTCTATCAGGCTCTTACCGCAAATTGATGGCCAAACCTCAAGGCTTGGCTTGGGAAGTAAAACCTTACTTCCAAGACGAAGAACAACTCGTCCAGACCGACTTGGACAAATTAATCGCCAAGGCCAAAGAAGAAGGAAATGCAGATGCTTTGGGCGGCGCAGAGGCACTGCTCGGCTCTGATAAGTCTCTGGAGAAATCATTGGAGAAGAGCTCAGAAGGCAATGATGTCGATATGACCGATTCATCAAAGACTGAGGCGTCCTCAGAGCAGAAATTGGCGGTGGTCATCAAGATGCAATTGGGCAGTTCGCAATACGCCACCATGGCTTTGCGTGAATTGACAAAGGGTGGTGCTGTGGCTTTCAGACCTGATTTCCAGGGTGGAAGACTGGACGTCAAGACGACAGAGTAAGCGGGTAACACTTTCATGCATGATGTGATATCTGTCGAATGAGCAATTTCGAGACTATGAATGTAAACAAAAAGGATTCTTTGATGTAAACCAGAAGAATTGAAGCCATGGTCTTTACTGTGACGGAGATGAACCAGATGTCGTTGTTGCATAGCATCGGAAAGACTTTCTGTGTCCATCTATCTTGTGTGCGTATACAGAATGACTCGAGGAATAAAGAGACGAATTGAAAATACCGAGTTCAGACACAGGAATTGCAGAGAAGTGAGAAATGCGAAAGGGCTCATCAAACCCCTGCCATGTGTATTAATAACAATTATACCTCTAGAACTAACCGAGAGGAAAGAAACCGATCAAAAAGGCTAAGGATATGATTCTGCAGCTGACTGCTACCTCCTCTACTCGGCCAAAACCATCCTAAGCATACTCAAAAAGCCTTCGTGCATCTTTGTGACCTCAACAATATCAGGTTTGACGGGCTCTCCGGCACTTCTCCTAAGGAAGTCCTGTCGTCTAGCCCTACGCTTTCTCTCCGCAGCAATAGGATCGGCATCTTCCTCATCCTCGTCTATAGAACTGTACTCGTCATCGTCATCATCGTTCAAGTCCTGGATGTCCAGAGCATTGAGGCCGAAATCGTCGGGTTTGAATGATCTGATGAGGTCTGAGGCGCCACTATCGGGCATGTCGCTGGGTGCATCACCAGTGGCCATCTTCTGGCGTGTCTTGTCTTGATGCCACTTCTTGCGCTTTTCCTGCCATTTGATCAGAGAGTTGATCTCGCGGACGGCGGCGTCCTTGTCGATTTGTCTCATCTCGACAGCGCCCTGGAAGAGTGCATTCATGTCCAGTTTACCGCCACCACGAGGACCGGTGCGGAGGAAGGAAAGAATGCCCTCGATCCAGCCCATGAGCTGATCGAACAGTCCATTGTCGTGAAGATGTACTTCATGCACAAACTTGTAGAACGAATCTTCGTGTCTTGCGCACAAATCGATAAAGGCTTGGACCGTCTGGTTAGGATCGGCGGATACGTCCTGTCGTTGACACTTCTCCACCACGGAGATCATATCGTCCATGAAGCGTGCAAAGTCGCTGATACTGTTGTAGACGTTGGCCGACTTGTAGACTCTAACCAGCGGCTCGTAGAAGATTGTGAACAGATCGCGGAAGAGTTGCAACGTGGTGGGCTCTTCAATCATACGCAACATCATAGTCTTATCCCGTTGACGTGTGTAGAGCTTGAGTAGTTGCTTCAGGTGAGCAAAGGTCTCGGCACCTGATCTGAGTTCCTCGTCGATCTGACACGTCGTGTTAGCAAGATATATGCGAGATTTAACAGATTTAATACTCACATTCTCGACCGCACTGTTCCATGCCACATAAGCATTGAACGCTCTTCCGATCTCCTCAGGTTTCAATTCAGGTTTGATGTCTTCGCTGCGCAAGATGGCCACAAGCAGGTCGATGTCGTCTTGTGCAGCTTCTCTTCGGATGGCGTCCTTGAGATCTTGATCGCACTGGTTGTAATTCTTGATCTTCTCGCAGAACACAGGCTCGTTGATTTTAGCAGCCAGTCCATCGATACTCTTCTGAACAGTTCTGATGCTGTCTCCCAAGGCAAGTGAGAAGATGCGTTGCAGTAATGATTTCGCACCGAAGGGTTGGGCAAGGAACAGGTCAAGCACGCCAGCCATGACGGCAGCCGGGTTCGCGAAGCGGATCACTTGTTTCAGAGCGGTGTAAGGTATCAGTGAATGGATGCGTTTTGCTTGTGCAAACAGCTCGGGACTGTTGTCTTCAGCCAGGAACAAGTGGTAAATCACAGCAGCAACCCTAGATTGTTGAATCAGCTTTGCGTCCATCGAGTGGAGGAAGTTGAAACGCTTACTCGATACGAAGCCATTCAGCAAACTTTTTGTACTCAGGAGACAACTCTGCAATTGTGTTCTTTTGCTTGATCTCAGCGAACAGCTTTGTCAAACCATCTGGATATTTTATTAGTAGGTGCCCTAGTATGAGCCTAATGACACAACTTACTGCTTTCAACGACATCTCTCCTGAACTTCTCCATGTGAACATCAAGTTCTCTGGCCCTTTGACGAGCAATTTCATAGAAGCGCCGTTGTTCTTCGATACGTTTCTCGTCCATGACGATACGTCTACTGACATCCTCCATCTCTTCTTCGTTCAGTCTGACGACATTGCCGGTCAAGAAATCGTTCATAGCGTTGCTGTTGGCGATGCTTTCATTCTGCAAGAAGTTGCGCAGGAAAGCTCTTAGTGAGACACGTTGTTCCTCTCGGTATAGCACTTTCGGCGGCGAGTGATCTCTGTTGCTGTAGTCTCCAGACTTGCGACCGAACCTCAGATTCGTTGTTGAGGATGCGTCCATCGAAGCGCGAGGGGACGCGGTTTGCGACGAGCGAGACGCCGTTCTACGGTGACCGCCGCCGAAGGGGTTTGGGAGATAGCTGCGGAACCCACCACTGGCTGGTGCAGGCTCGTCATGATGGGCGACCTCCTTGACATCTTGTGTCGAAACGGACGAGATTGAATCGTCATCATCGTCATCCTTGGTTAATAACGAGTTCGAGTGGTTCTTGCGAGGTAACGGTGGTAGCACTTTTCCTGGAATCTCGAGGCGTAGTCTCTTGTGCATTTGAGCGAATTCGCTGTATCTCCGGCCAACGTAAATCTCAGGCTGGCCCTGACGTTTGACACGGAGCAGAAATTCGGCGTGAGCGTGATGGCGTACATGTCTCTTGACACTGGTGGTTCGTACAGAAGCGACGTTGACGTCCCATCCGTTTATTTGGTGTCCTTCGGGCACGTTCATTGCTAGACCCTGTTCGTTGGCTTGTCGATCGACAACCTCCATCTCGGAGAAGCGAATGCGCTCTTCGTAGCCAGATGCGGTGGGTAGTCCAGACACCATCATGAGTTCTACCAGTTTCTGGGCTTTCACGGCAAGCTTGCGGCGTTTTGTCTCTTCTAGACGATCTTCGGACGAGGATATGCGCTTCAGCGCAAACGATTCAAGGAACTGGGGTAGCTGTCAGCTCGAGAGCGTGTTGCGGGACAGCGGGCTGACTCACGGTTTGTAGTTTGTCTTGCCAAAACTCTTTCTCTTTTGCTCGATCGAGGAAGGGGAAGTTGCGAACATGGTGAACGAACATGTAGCGCAACAGAGGCAGCTCCGAGTCTTCTGGTGCGACCTCACCAGCATCCGATTTGAAGGGGGCGCCGAACCGTTGTAGAGCAGTCTCCGAGGCCAGCTCTGAGATCTCCCATTCTGTCTGTTGTGAGATGAGTTCGCGCTTGAGGTCTGCAGTGTGTCAGCATCGTGGTGGGGCTGGCAGGCAGATGGCAGGGAAGATACAATGTTCTTGTTTGCCGGTCAGGACAGAGCCGGGCGGCGGTATTGAATACTTGGAGACAGCCGAGTAGGTAGAGGCAGATGAGCGGTTCATGTTGATGCGAGTGGATTGCGGCGATACAGCGACTGGCTGTACGAGTCCTTCTTGTATGGGATCTTCAGGCGCCGTGTTGAAGCGCTCCAACCGTGGCTGGGTTGGGGCAGAGTATGGCCCTGAGCTATTCATAATGTCGTGCTAGGCTGCTAGATTGATTGCAATAATCTCAAGGGTGCGTGCAGGCGCCGACTTGATCTATTCGTATAAAGTAAATGTTGTTGCTGTTACGCTGCGAGCGTATCCATGCATTGCTAAAGTACGCGTACGCAACCTTATGACGACGTTTGGAGCAATCGCGGTAAATACGACTCCCTAGCGGAAGCCCGCTCCTGCCTCTAGAGACACTGTCACACGTGGTCCGCCATTCCACTCGCATTCTGATCGAGACATCTGCGTGAATACCTACCTACCTCTCAAACACGTCTTCTGACCACTGAGCATCACGCCCTCCACATATCGCATAACTCGAAGTTGGTCAACCAGAGATGCTAGAGATGCTTGGCCATGGGCCTGTCTACCCACTGCTCTGCTCGGCCTCATCCTAAACACCCATCTGGCCGCTGCATCCAGCCAAGCCTCACCTTCGAATCATTTTTCTTCTGGGCATGACGACGCAACTGACAATCTGCTTCTTTCGCTCAACTGGTCCAGTACCGGTCACCATGAGCGCTGTGATACTGAGTCTCTGACCCATCATCCACCTTAAAACAGCAGTCTACAAACACTTCTCGTACATCTCCTTGCCACACATCTCCACTGTTGCAAATCATTGCAACTCTGCCACGACTTTCTCAGACTCACCAGCCACACCGCCGGCACAATCCCATGCTGCCCCACCAAAAGCTTGGTTGTTTGCAGCGCGTCAGAGCGTCCCGCTAGCACCTTGATATCACCTTTTCTTATCGTCCGCGGCCGCCGAGCCTTTTCCTTCTGTGCATCCGAGAAATCTTGAACACCATCATCTGGGCATGACTTTTCAGCGTAACATGAAGTAATTGATAAAGAGTAGGCTTGCCGAAACCCGAGTGGGATCTACTTGGCAGAGTTCATTTCGAGGAGATTTTTATACTCGAGTAATCCTGGAGAGGACAGGGTCGTACCTCTTTGTTGACTGGAAAGTCAATCGACGACACCACAGAACCATGGGATGAACTCTTCTCATTGAACAATACTGCGGAGAATCCTCTCGGTCACTATGAAGGTCTCATGTGTGGTTTGCGGCGAGGAGACACGCTGTCGTCGAGTAATCAGGAAATAAAGCTTTAGTAATATTTTGTTCTCAAAGACACCCATGATCATGTAGTTTCACCGACATCACTTACCGCAAATTATCAGTCCATGACTGTCGGTCTCGTCGAAGTTGTAGCAACACCAAGGAAACCAACAGCAGAGAAGAAATAGTCATCTCGAATTTTCACTCGCAAGAGTGCAATCAACTATGTACGCCCCCTTTTTAGTAGTTGAGCTCTTCCGCTCCTCCAGCACTGCCAGCTGCATCAAGGTCGTTGTAACTCTTCAACGCACGGCCTTCGACTGCTTGTCTAGGTCCGACAGTGTGCTCTCCTCCTTCCATGAACATACCCCGGCGAGGTGGGGTCAGGCGGCCGCTGATGCTTCGTCGCGGCTCAACCCTCATACCACCCCGGTCGTACGGACCCGGTGCTCGAGCATTGTTGGTGCGCATACCGCCTGTCCTCATCGGTCCAGCGCCACGGTCACCACCTTGTATGTTCCAGCCAGGCACTGTCATAGGGAACTGTCCAGGCACAAATGGATTGAAGCCGGGAGGCCCACCAGCATTTGGCATGGGCATTCCGTTGTTAAAGAATGGCATGTTGTTCAAGCTGAAGTTGCGAGGTGTACCCGTCGGCATGTTGTTGTTGACAGGGAAGTGGCCGTTGCTGCTCGCATCGTTGCGTCCCTGGGCAAGTCTGGCTGGGTCAAGGACATAGCGGTTGACAAGCTCAATCTGCATCATAGTCAATATTTATTCGCAGTTTGGAGGCGGCGATATACTCACGTCTTCCTTGAGTTTGTCGTGCCAGTCCTGATGTCTCTTTTCCACATGCTTCTTCCAGAAGTTCTCACCCTTGAAGAGCTTTGTACACTCTGGGACCTTGCATCTAAACTTGAACTCGTCCTCCTGTTTCACGAACTTGCTCATGTCTTCTTCAAGACCCTCTTCAACTGGCTTGCCGCCGAGCTTCCTCAGATCAACATTGTAAGGTTCAAGTATCATGAGAAGTTTCTCCTCAAAGGTCTTGACCCAATTGTATGCCTTCTGAAGCTGGTTCTTACCGTAGGCTCGAGGGGCAGACTTTCTCTCCTCCATCGGTGAGCCGTCTTCGTTGTCTCCAGGACCGCTTTCTTGACGCTTGAGCGGGAACGGATCTCCATTTGCGGTCGCTCTGGCGGTCTCTTTGGCTGCCGAAGTGAGACTTGCGCGAGGACGACGAAGATGACCTCCCGCGCACTTGCGCTGCAGCTCGTGGACCGAGTCGCATTCGAACACGCAGTAGAAGCAGAAGTTGTAAACACGACGGAGATACTCGACGAGCAGATCAAGCTTCTTCTTCTTGATCAGGAGTTCCTCATCATCGACATCCTCATCAACACCGCCTTCGTCTTCTTCGCCCTCTTCCATTTCGCCATCATCGAGATCTTCGTCCTTGACGACTTTGGGAGCTGGGATCGGTGGTTGCAAGTAACCCTTGCCAGCCAGTTCGTCAACGCGTTGCTCAATCTTGCCAACTCCGTCGTAGTCATCGCCCATCTCTGAGTCGAGTTTTCTGACCAAGCGTAGAGCGAGATCCAGGTCGCGTTCGACACGCTCGGGGGCGGAAAAGAGGTCCCATAAAGCCTTCTTTCTTGGGTTGTCTTGGGGATGATGAATACCAACATGAACAGTGAAGTCGCCCTTTTCGGGGTCCTGTATCGTCTTGTTGTTAATCTCATTCAAAGCTCTCTCGCAGACGGTTTGAGTGTGGTTCGGCTTGTCTTGATCCATGGCACCCCCGTCAGTGTCCTGGTCGTCGTCGTCACGACTTCCGCGACGCTTGATGTCCTCTTCAGGTATCTCGGATGCAGGGTTGAGCATGATCCAACCAAGGCGGTGGAACTTCTTTCCTGGGTTCGGATCGCTCAGGCTCAGCCACTTATAGCCACCCTCGCCCTCACCCAGATGTTCCTTGCAGAATTCTTCCATTCGCTCGCGCGAAACAGCTGGGGTGATGGTCTTGACGAGCAGCGTTGGTTGGAAAGCGAATGGGTCTCGTACGTCACCGCCTTTGGAGGGTAAGAGATCTGATACAGCCAAAACCTCAGCCGCAGCACTGGTCTCTCCTTCCTCCTTTTCGACGATACCTCCAGCCCCATTACTCTCGCTTTTGTAGATGCCCTCGAGGGTAAACTCGTCAAAGGTACCAGCCGTCAAGTCCGAGTCCCACCTAGCGAAGAGATCGCGTCTGAAATCGAGGACCTTCTGGCGCAGGGGATCACGAACTTCGGGTACATAGCGTTCGCGGAACCATGTGTCGTACTTGTGGCCATGAACGAAGAGTTTGGCCATTCTTGTGTTCCAGTTCAGCTTGTATTGATCATAGGCATTCTGAATCTTTGATCGCTGTTCGTCGCGTGATTCCTTGATAGGCTCAGGACGACGACCTCCATTCTTTTGACGCTCACGCTGTTGTTTGATCTCTTGCTCGGCTTTCCACCACTCAGCAAAGTAACTGAATCCGACCTGCGAGGCTTCCAGCAGAGGGTCCCTAAGTTGATTCACTGGGATAGCTCGCGGAAGGGCTGCATCGTCGCCTGGAATGTATCGATCAATGTTCTTGGGAGCACCTGGCTGGATCTGAGGAGACGAGCGGCGTCGGTCGCGGGGATAGTCTTCACGTCCACGGTAGTAGTCATCACGCGAACGATCGGGCTGGTAGCGGTCGATTTGTGTAGGAGAGCGAGAGCGGTTACGGCCAGCTTGACGGACACGACGATCGGAGTCTGTTGCGAGTATGTGAGTCAAGGGTCAGAGACAGAAGCGAAATGATGGTGACGTACTCGGCGACCTGCGTCGTTCACGGTATGAATCCCTTTCGCGAGAATTGTAAGACTCGCGGTCGTAGCTATCGACCTTGGTGAGATCGTTGGGCGACTTTGAGGGGTATGTGTCGAGAGCGTCCATAATGATGTTTGTCGGAGGCTTAACAAAGCGACTCTTGCGCACTGAACACGACCATGACAGGTTAGAGCTCGATCGGGAGAGGTTGAAGGGTAGAACGAAACAAATAAGACTCGGGGAAACAAAGAGAGTGAATGAATCAGGGTATTTGGTAGTGAAGCTGGAAAGTAACGATATAGCGGATCGGCGAGTGCATGGTGATAGGGAGGTTGAGGTTGAGAGGACGCGACGACGAGACGAGTCGGAGGATTGGCTAAAAGTCTCGCGAACAGAAGAGAGACGATACGAACAATCTAGAGCAGGACAAAGGCCGAGAGACGTCGACGCATCAACAAAGAATTGGACGCTGTCGACGACAAGATGGAAGAAGACGAGGAGCGACTGTCCTGTCGCTAAGTTACTGTGTCGAAGCTCGTCGCGACTCCGCGCTATATTCGGCCCGTGCACGCCGCTGTCGCATCTTTCCAACAATAATGTCTGGGGAAGCAAAGCGTTTCCCTTTCGGGCCTGGATGCTCTCTCGAGTCCATCAGATTTCGCGAACTCAGCCATATCCCAGCAGCACTCGTGACTGTAGTCATGTGCGCAGACCAAAGACTACCTGTGGTGAATCATACAAGTGTGGGAGAAGAGCTATGAGAGACATCGCAGCTTAGTAGGTACCTGTAGATTGTTAACAGCGGCTTCCGACTCCGATGGAAAGAGCTTCCGCGACTCTTGGTTTGGCCGGGGAAGGGGCGTCGTCATGGTTCGATTCGCGTGTCTGTTGTCGCGAGTTGCGATTGTTGGCCCGATCGATGCAATTGACGAACGCACGAGACTCAGCTAAGCAACAAGGACTTCTTCTCTTCTGCGACCAGCCTCGTCTGTTTCCTGCTGCATCACCACCGTCACAATGACTTCGTACATCCCCCACTTGACGCTGCCTTCGTTCATCTTCGAAAAGCCGGCCGTCTCCGTGCTGCTGCCCATCGCCCTCGGAACTGCTGTTGGCTACTCGACCAGACGTGAGTTGACACATGCAGACTACTGTAAGACTCGATACTGATCACCACTTTGTTCCAACAGCCAAAGAGACGCAAAAGACCTATCTCGCCCTGCGTCAGCCTCCCCTTCGACCTCCGCCATGGGTCTTCGGCCCGGTATGGACCATGTTGTACGGAGCCATGGGCTACGCCGCTTTCCGCGCTTGGTCGACTGCCATGAACTCGTTTGATGCAAAGAAGGTTCTTCTCGCAAAGGTATCCTAAGCCCCTCCGATCAATGTACCCCTACTCACTCCATCACAGCAAGGCGCAACCCTCTACACTATCCAGCTGGTTCTCAACCTCGTCTGGATGCCCCTCTTCTTCTCCATGAAACGCCCCATCGCCGCTACTGTCGACATTGTCGCTCTGACAGGCGTTACTGGATACCTTGCCTACATTTGGGGCCAGGTTGACGAGGTTGCTGCATGGACTCTCGCTCCCTACCTCGGCTGGCTTAGCTTCGCGACCTATCTGTCAGCAGGCTGCGGCTACTTGAACAACTGGGATTTTGCAAGCAAAGAGCGCCCGATAGCGGACAAGCCAAAAGACACCAAGTTTGTCGATGAGAAGAAAGAATAGGCAACTTTTGGCGCCCTCGAGATACCCAATAGTTGTGCCAAGCGAGAACAAGGCTTCATGCGATCACCCATCATTCGTCATGCTTTCTGGCCCTTTCGAGCTGGCAGCATAACTGTCATGCACGCTCTGTTTGCGCCTGCTCCGTCCGACATGGTTCAAGACCTCATGTCGACCGTGTCCGTAGACGCTATATACTACAAAGTTGTACGTTGCTTGCAGCGTCTTTCCAAATCACTTGCTTATCCCGAAATTCTTGGAGTGTTGAACAAGCCTAACTCGATAGCCAATCGGTATTCGTTCCTGACTGCCATGTCACGATCTTTCGTGTGGATGCAACCCTCATGACCCAGGAAACTTGATCCCGAACCCCACCCTTGAAACACTCCGACCTCTTCCAAGTCCTCGTCGCAGCACCTAATTTCAGCAACATGGTCAGGTCGTGGACTGGTACTTCTGTTGAGGTGCTTGCCGATTTTATATGAATCCACATGCTAATACAGCCCACTGCAACCCTCGAACACTACGAGTTAAAAGCAGCAATTCACCCCGAACACAATCAACACCGCCTCTTCGCACAGCCCCTCCCATCGCCTTGAAAGCTCGACTACAAGACCCCCTCCAACGGCCCTCCACTTTAGGTGTGCACGTAGGCTCGTACAAATGGATTCCTTTTTCAAGTCAAACGATTGTTTCATGGCAAGTGGTGTCTTTCCAGTGTTTCTGTATACTTGCGCTACCCATCCACGGCTGTTCCTGTAGATCGGCCTGCTTTGTGTGAGCGGTCGCACGAGGGTTGCGCTAACACACATCAAAGGAATCGTTCGAAAGGCCATACAAGATCTCTCCAGATGAAGGAGATCCGGCCGAAGACCCCCTGAGCAACATCCACGTGCATCCTTTCATCTACGCCGGGTTGTTCGAGCCAAGCGGAGTTTCGCACGCCGACTATGGATTTGAGAGCGAACAAGCATTTCAGTACAACGAGGAGTTTGTACAGCGGCGCGTGGCCGAAAGTGAGTTCGCGGAGCCCTGGACCGGAATGAGCAGTTCCATGGTCTTCTCGACCACATCGACCTTGTCGCAAACGATCGTTGCCGAGCAATCTGGCCACGTGAATGTCCAAGTTGATGGGACAGACTCGGGGTATGCGTCACTCAACTGCCAGCCTTTAGTATGCCTCCAGTGTGGCAAGACTTTCAAGAACAAGGCCGAAGAGAAGTAAGGAACCGTGAATTGCGTATTGCTGTGTTCGTTACGAGACAAACTAACTTTCTGTAGAAAACATTCTTCAACACACAGTCGACCGTTCAAGTGCCGGATCAAGAATTGCACCAACACGAAAGGCTTTGCAACATCCAACGATCTCGAGAGACACCAGAAGGACATCCATCTGATCAAACCAAAGCACGGACCTCAATCGTATTACAGATGTGTGTTACCAATATGTTCGAAGCGGGAGAAAATATGGTCCCGGAAAGACAATTTCAAAGCGCACATTAGTCGAATGCACAAGCATATAGCCATGGATATCGACCAGCTTGTCGCAAGGTGGGTGAAATTACCAGACCTGAAGTTTTGTAAGGTACTGAAGATGGTGTTCAGATCAGAGATGACACCCACTCCAGCAGAGATGGAGCATCTGGCGCGTGCTAAGCACGCACAAGCACAGAACAGAAGTAAGGGAAAGCAACGTACCAACGAGCAGCCAAGGCAATCAAGCACAGCACAGTGCACCAAGGCTAGACTACAGGTCGAGACAGCGCAAGCAGCAATTCCCCTATGGCAGACCAACATGCCAGGCTATCTGGACGATATGCCTAGTGAAGCGGCTGAGATGGGACGGATGAGAGTTGCAAACACGTTGGTTCCGAACGTGGTGCTGAGTTATCCATATGGGCTACCAGCCACACAAGAAGGGCATGATGGGTTCAGTGGACGACACAATAGTACGGATGGGGGATGGGATGACATGTCAGATTGCAGCTTCGCGTATTCACATGAGAGCTCGGCGTTTGGTGGAGGAACGAGCGATTTTGGTTGATGGAATGATTGAGGCTTCTTATACTTTATCAGACGGGTGAATGCAGTTATGACTCTACGATCACAACGTATGCCTGATATCGTTCGAGATAGCATGAGTTGCAACATAGAGTATCCAAATAACGCGGAGTTGAGACGGACTTTGCCGGAGTCTGGTCGGGGGTCGGGGTCTCGGGAGGTTGACGCGCATGCATGGATGGTCGAGTGCTGGAAGCTTAGGTGTCCGCTTGCGAGTTGTGCCTGCCAGAGCAACAGCTTCGACCCAATACCACACCCATTCTAGACAGCAAACATGGCTGCCAGCGTGGGAAGCTCCTTCTTCAAGGGAGAGACCGGTCGCAACACCAGAGGCCTGCTGCGGCTGATCATCCTGGTCACAATTGCTGCAACCGCCGTGGCCTCTCGTCTCTTCTCCGTTATCCGCTTCGAGAGCATCATCCACGAGTGTACGCCAATCCTCTCTGCACGTCCTAGATGGTCACTGACAACAATCTCCTACAGTCGATCCCTGGTTCAACTTCCGCGCAACAAAGTACCTGGTGCAGAATGGCTTCTCGAGCTTCTGGGACTGGTTCGACGACCGCACATGGCACCCCCTCGGCCGTGTCACCGGTGGTACCCTCTACCCTGGTCTCATGGTCACCAGCGGTGCCATCTACCACTTCCTCCGCCTTCTCACCTTCCCTGTCGACATTCGCAACATCTGTGTCATGCTGGCTCCCGCCTGCTCTGGCCTGACTGCCTTCGCCAGCTACCTCCTGACCTCTGAGATGTCCGACTCGCCCTCAGCTGGTCTCCTTGCCGCCATCTTCATGGGCATTGCCCCCGGTTATATCTCGCGTTCCGTTGCTGGCAGTTACGACAACGAAGCCATTGCCATCTTCCTCCTCGTCTTCACCTTCTACCTGTGGATCAAGAGTGTCAAGGAGGGTTCCGTCATGTGGGGTGCCTTTACTGCTCTCTTCTACGGATACATGGTCTCGGCCTGGGGTGGTTACGTCTTCATCACCAACCTGCTCCCTCTGCACGTCTTTGTTCTGCTGTGCATGGGCAGATACAGCCCTCGTCTGTACGTCAGCTACACGACCTGGTACTCGCTGGGCACGCTTGCGAGCATGCAGATTCCCTTTGTCGGTTTCTTGCCCATCCGCAACAGTGACCACATGGCTGCTCTCGGTATGTTGGCAATAGTCTAGTGCCTATCACGCCCTCCTAACTCTGTTACAGGTGTCTTCGGTCTCCTCCAACTTGTCGGTTTCGTCGAGTTCGTGCGCCAGACTCTTCCCAGCAAGCAGTTCCAGACTCTGCTCCGCGCCTTTATCCTGGTCGTCTTCCTCGCAGCATTCGGAGTCCTCGTTCTCCTCACCTTCTCCGGCGTTGTCGCTCCCTGGAGTGGTCGTTTCTACTCGCTCTGGGATACTGGATACGCAAAGATTCACATTCCCATCATTGCATCCGTGTCCGAGCACCAGCCTACCGCTTGGCCCGCCTTCTTCTTCGATCTCAACTTGTTGATCTGGCTCTTCCCTGCCGGTGTTTACATGTGCTTCCGCAACCTCAAGGACGAGCAGGTCTTTGTTGTTATCTACGCTGTCCTGGCCAGTTACTTCGCTGGTGTCATGGTCCGTCTGATGCTTACCCTGACTCCTGTCGTCTGTGTTGCTGCAGCCCTTGCTCTGTCTCAAATCCTTGACACGTTCCTTGTCACCAAGACACCTGTTACTCCTCCTGCCCAGGCCAACGACAGCACTGATGCCCCGAAGACTGCTGCAGCTCTGATTCCCGACGCTCTGCGCTCCACCCAAAAGCCTCTTGTTGGTATCTACTCGACTTTCTCTAAGTTTGCCATGACTGGTACCATCACCGCCTACCTTCTGCTCTTTGTTCTTCACTGCACCTGGGTTACCTCGAACGCCTACTCATCCCCTTCGGTTGTCCTGGCTTCAAAAATGGCCGACGGCTCGCAGCACATTATTGATGACTACCGTGAGGCCTACTACTGGCTCCGTCAAAACACCGAGCAGAACGCCAAGATCATGTCCTGGTGGGATTATGGTTACCAGATCGGAGGTATGGCCGACCGTCCCACTCTTGTCGACAACAACACCTGGAACAACACCCACATTGCCACCGTCGGTAAGGCCATGAGCTCCCGCGAGGAGGTCAGCTACCCCATCATGAGACAACACGAAGTCGACTACGTCCTTGTCGTCTTCGGTGGTCTGATTGGCTACTCCGGTGACGACATCAACAAGTTTTTGTGGATGGTCCGTATCGCCGAGGGCATTTGGCCCGACGAGATCAAGGAGCGCGATTACTTCACCGCTCGCGGCGAGTACCGCATCGATGATCAAGCCTCTGAGACCATGAAGAACAGCTTGATGTACAAGATGTCGTACTACAACTACAACTCGCTCTTCCCTGCTGGCCAGGCCACTGATCGCGTCCGCGGCTCCAAGCTCCCTGCCGAAGGCCCTGAGCTTTCTACTCTGGAGGAAGCCTTCACTAGTGAGAACTGGATCATCAGAATCTACAAGGTCAAGGATCTTGACAACCTCAACAGAGATCACCAGAGCGCCATGGCATTCGAGAAGGGTAACAAGAGAAAGAAGACTAGCAAGCGCAAGGGCCCTAGAGTCTTGCGTGTTGAGTAGATTGTTTAGGTCTGCAAAAACAAAAGTTGCTAGAATTTTTCTTGCCTTTAGACCATGTTTAGGACAGTTCTTCTGTATATCTCTTATCCTTCTTTTGAACGAAATGTAACAAAGCATTTGAGCCAAAGTTTTTTCTTTCCTTTTTTCTTTTCTTTTTTTGATGATCTCACAGAACCAAAAACGAGCCTTTCATCGTGATGATTGACACTTCAACACCAAAGTCGCAGAGATTTACTGACATAGGCACACGCACACACACACACACGACACGCAACACATACCAGAGCAGAACCTGGGCTCCAGAAACTCTAGTCGGTTTCTTCCACATGCAATCTTGTACGTATAAGACAGCCTGCCACGTCAATACCATAACATCTAGCCTATAACCATTTTCCATTCCATTCTCCACACACACGTCTGTCTCTTTTGATCAAAATATGCCAGATGACTTGAACACTCTGTTCTTCCTCTCCCAGATGTAAAACTTGCCAAACACATTCGTAGTGCAGAGCAGAGCTCATCTGGCATGTTTCAAGAAGAGTTTTTTTTCTTTTCGTAAAGACCAAAATATTTACTATATGGTAATAAACAAGATACCCCGTATAGATCCCCATCCAGGACCTTTCAAAGGCCCATAAAGAACTCCCAAAGACGACCAATGCAAATGCAATGCACAAAACAAAATGAAGAGACCGAAAATCCCCCGTATCCAACAAATGCATGAAACTATACTCAAAAGGACAAACAAACAAAAAAGAAAGAAGAATATACAGAGAAAGTGTTATTTAGTCTGCAGAGCTGACTGCTTCATCTTCCCTTGCCAAAGACCTCGACACCCAAGGTTGGTGTCTCGACGTGCTTGTTGGTCGGGACTCCCTCGCCCTTTCTGCGCTCAAAGAAGCCTTGGCACTCCATGAGAATGCACATCCATTCCGCCAAAGCTCTGCCAGAGTACGTTGACTGAGCTTTGAACTCGCCTACGGGCTCGGCGGCTTGGATAATCAGCTCGTCGCAGCCATCTTGCTGGAGGTAGAGGTGCGCGGCCAAGGGCAGTCTGGGTGGTGCAAGGCGCATGGCGGTAGGGTGGTGTGCTTTGGGGTGTAGCTCGAGGGAAAACTTGAAGGAAAAGTTTCGATGCCTGATGGGCGAGGGACCCCGGCTGACATGAGGTGTTGCCTGAGGTGACTGCTTCATGACGGAGGCACGCGATCGTGATGCTTGAGTGGCGGTTGTTGCTGATCGGGTGAGTTTACCGCCAGACACTGTCGATTCTGGCGCAGATGGCGAGAAAGCGGACGAGGAAGGAGTCTTGACCGTCGAGACAGATGCTGCCTTCGACCGGCTCTTGCCTCCAAAGATGCTGCGGACAAAGCCGCGAAGTCCACTCTCAGGACGCTCGAGTTCCATGCCAAAATCAGAAGACGCTGATGAACTGGGACGGACGTCCAATGAAGCCGCCTGTGATATTACCGAATCTCTCTTCCAAGCCTGGCTGGGTGTTCCTACCGAGGCCGATGGATGATGTGGTACGATGCCGTCAAAGGCTAGGAAGGAGCCGCCTGATGCAACCTGAGTATCAGTGCGAATGATCAACAGACGTCTGCCAGGCGCAGGATTGCAAGGGGTCGTTGAGGGGGGTAGCATCCTTCCTTGAGCAGCTTGTTGTCTTTGCCACAAAAAGTGTGACCAGATTATCTGGAGACGCTGCAACAGTGTCTCGAAGATCAACCTAGAGCGAGAAAAATCAGCAACTTGATCAAAAAGAATCGAATGAGTATACGCACTTATCGCCTGAAGATCCTTCCCCGTCATAACGACCGAGGCGCCAGCAGAGTAAACGCATGTAGTAAGCGCGAACCATAGGACACCAGTGATTGAAGGTCTTCTCAAAGACCTCTTGATCGAGCAGAAGATCGATGCAGATCTTCGTCTTACGGTCTGGACTGCTGTTGACCGTGCTCCAGATTGTGAATAGAAAGGCGAACAGTCTGATTTCGGTCATTGTGTTTTGACTGAATACCATTCTCTTGCACACGTCTATCCAGAAATCTGTATCGATGAGGCACGATTGCGAGAGATGCGTCTGCTCGTATCGGACAATGATTGGGAACGCCTCTTCCAAGAAGTCACAAAGAGTGTAGCAGGCGAGATGGTTGTAAGCAGAGATGCCGCGTGCACCTGCCTGAAGCAGACAAGCAAATGATTCTGCAAAAAGTTGTCGAGCAAAAGGATGTTCCAAGGCTCTCTCGGATAGAAAATCTCGAATTAGCATTATTAGGCGGTTTTCCGCCATTATTCGGATAGCATTAGTAGGTGGTAAGGGTAAAGTCGACGCAACTGCGTCTGGGTCAACCAGAACGTCGTCAAATGTGGGAGAAATGTTGGTTGATGGATCACCGTGCAAATGACCTGCATCACGGTGAATGGTAGAATCGAGGTTGACCAAGATCTGGGAGTGCACAAAAAGTAAACCTGGGACACAGATTTTTTCTTTCCTGGTGGCGTCCGATGGTAGGTAGTCGGCAACCAGGATATGGAAGTGCTTCACGAAAGCGAAGAAGAGATCACTTTCGCGACCAGACCAGCGCTCGAGCCAATATCCATACCACTGGATATTTGCTGTTCCAAGCGGCAAAGGAGTCTGCGTTCTAAGGTGTCTGAGCATCTTTCCCAAGGAGACGAAACCCAAAGATTGCATGGAAGGAGGAAAGGATGGGTTGATCCTCGCAGCAGTGTCGGCAAGATTATCGAATTTGCTTACACCGCTTTCAGTGAGAACCCTCCTCATGACTTCTGTTGGCGCATCCCATAAGCGCACGAGCACCTCGGCGATTCCTGGACAGAAGAAGAAAGCATATGCGGTCGCTTTTCCACAGAAAGTCACCAGACTAGCAGATGCGTTTTTGAGCGACATTCTGTCAACCACAAAGGCCATCTGTGAGTTGAGGTTCTGAACAAACATGTTTCGTACGTTGTGGTGAACAGATTCGGTCAAAAAGTCTATCCCAGTCGAGGACAGAGAAGTAGTGGACTTGTTTCTCAAAGGTACGACGGCAGTCCTTCGATCGAGGGGACAGAATGGAGAGGGAGAGAGACGCCATTCCTGACGATCCATTATGCCTGATATGCCGTCCAAAATGGCTGGTCGGTCTGTGCCAGAAATGGACTGATTGTTTCTTCCATGGAGCATATCGAGAAGGCCGGTCCACCACTTGTTTAGGATGTTGGTACGTCGGTCCAGATCTTCTGCTCGCAATGCAAGATTGGACGAATGATCGGCGTAGTTTCGGAGGAATGGTAGTAGCGAGGATCTCACCACGTTCGCTTTCATAGTGCTCGATTTTGATTGGAACCTGGAGACTGTCAGCTAATATCGATACAGGAGTGCAGGTGTGCTCACTTGGTGTAGTCGCCATCGAGCGATCTGAAAACACTCCATAGCTCGTCTTTCTTCCGGGGTAGAGTGAGACTGGGCAGAGTCTGGTACTTTTCGGCAGAAGCCAATGATGGCATGGGAATCGCGCGATCAGGGTGTAAGTGTGAGGTGGTATGCAGTTTATCAGTCGAGAAGGACTTGGGTAGCGGTGGCATGGGTGGTGGACGAGAATTGTTGGGCTCCTCCATGGACGCTCTCACTGTTGGGACCACTGTCTTGGTTGATCTCCTCTTGAGCACAGTGCCCCTTCTGGCCAGGAAATTACTGCCTTCGGTGGTCTCGGTATCGTCTTGCTTGTTTTTCTCCGAGTCTCGTCTTCGGAACATCGACTTTCTACGAGAGACGACCGGTCGACTGGCCACTGGCGATGGACTAGCAGCAACATCTTGGGCTGGTCCATCGGCTTTTGGTTCGCGAGTGCGGTTGGAGGGCGAGGGGGAGCGTGAAGGGGGTGCGCTAGACAATCTTCTACTCAATCGCTTGGCTAACGACCTTGACTTCGAGGGAGAGCGGGCGCGATCGCCCAGCACTGGAGCAGGAAGAACTTTGGCCGAATCTATGCTCGGAGTTACATCCTTGAGCGAGGCTGGTGGGCTTGGGTTGTGTTCGCTGTCAGCCGTGACGGTGATCTTGGGGCTTTTATGTAGCTCGGCAACCAGGTCCTGAGGCAGGCTGACAGGCATCATCTGATCGTCGGCAGGCGTGGACCAGCCAGACGACTCGGGCGGTGATGTGTCGGTACTGTCATCGACCATAGGAGCAATCAGATCCTGTTCGCAGAAGCTCCCTCTGTTGGTGATGGCCAGGGGAGCATTGTAAGCGGGATTCTTTGTTGCTGCATGTCCCAAAAATGTGTAACTAGCGCTACGTGGAAAGTCGGGGGCGCTCGAAGCCTCGACGTACGATCTCCTTGCTCTTGGGTTTGCAAGTCCGTCCGCATGGTTGTGGTAGTTGTTGGCTATGCTCGTCATGGTTGAGGGATGTGCTCGATCCTTCTCTTGGATATTCTTTGTACCGGATCGAGATTTGCGACTTTCTCCTCTCTAGATGTTCGTAATGTGTTTCGCTCCTAAACTCTTTCTCTTTCTCGACCACCCTCTTCCGGTTCAGGGAAGTTGATCAAACACAAGGCGCTGCGATTACAGTCCAGCCATGTCCAAATGCAGCAAAGATGGCGCGGGCGTGTTCCAGATGGTCCAAGACACGTGTTTCCACAGCCGATCGACAGATGTGAGCGTGTTCGGGAAGACAGAGAGGGCACAGACGGAAGCTGGCAATGGAGAAGAAAGGATCTAACAGTCAATGGGTGGTTACGGCAGTGGTATATAGACAGAGGCGGCAGCCAAGGTGTATGTACAGGCAACGGGTCGAATGTAAAAAGGAAGGGACAGAGGAGGCACAGAAGAACGGTCTGAGACGTGATGGAGAGGGGAGAGGGTAGGTAAAAGTCATTGCGCGTGGTTAGCCTCAAACGGCAGCAAGGTGCTAGACATTAAACAGGGCCAGCGGCGGCACGCTTCCATCCCGGCAACCGCTGTCTTCGCTTCTCTGGCCATGACGTTTAAACTTTCGAGAACCCCTGCTCGCCGACTCGTCTTGTATGCCTGTCCATTGCGCCGATAGTGTAATCGTCCAGCAATCGCTGCGTGCATGCTGACACTACCACCAGCACGTAGATCCAGAGCCGAATCTTGCCTTCGGGACGCGCGACACTCTGCTCCTTGGCAAAATCGTACCTGCCGCACGAGCTTCAAACTCCTTCGTCACTTCCTTTCCTGGAACCGTAAATAGCAACAGCTGCGCGTTTAGTGTCACTCTGCGACCTGCTTAGCTGCGCTGCTATGTTTCCTTCATGACTTGCGAGCCCCCTTCTGTGCTTTCTACAATACGCTCCACACCATTCGGCGCAAAAAAGCCGTGATCATCGCCTTTGTCCGTGGTGTAAACCGAGTCTTACTGTATGCCAAGCAAGTACAGCTTTGCAATCTCCAGCTTCTTTGACCGAGTACCCTGGTTCATCGGTGGTGAATATGCACAAAACATCCTAGCTCAAGTCAACGACTTTGGAGAGTCCGGTGAACTGCCGGTTCGCTTCCAACCAACAATAATCGCGCGCCGCCGCGCCCAGCGGAAAGTACACCAAACAAAGCAGCCTCTTTTACACCCAATCTCAACGTTAATCTGAGTCGGATATGGCACCATCGAAATAGCTGCGGTGCGAGCTCAAGCTGACGACTCGTGCTCGTCGAGGGCTAAATCACCGCATGCATCTTCGATCAGGAGAGTCCGGAACTCCTCGTTGCAGAAAGACACGGGCTTAGCTAGTACGCGTCGTCGACTCTTCAGATCTGCGCGGCCACAACGGCGCCCCCGACGGACGTCTTGCAAGCTTCAGCCCGCATATTCGTTGCGGCATTCGCATCATGCTTGCTGGCGAAGCGTTGGCCAAGCTGTTCATGCATCAACTCGTCTGCTCCGCCTCAGCTCGGTTGTCGTATGCACAATGTACTTTTTTCTTACATGATACATACATCTGCAGGACATGGCTTGGGTCATTCCCAGCCATGCGTGTGAAATCCAATAGGATCTGTTTCAGTCGGATGCGTGCCTCCAAAATGTTCTGACATGAAGGTGGCTGCTGCTGGGTACCGGACACAGGCTTGACATGATTCAGTCGCTCCCAGGGTCTCATTGTTTCAGGAGTGCTGGCTTTGACAGTAGTCGATGCACGTGTTCCATCGGATATCATGAACAGCGAATAGATAGTAGTGCGGCTCATCTGACCACAATATCAAAACACCATATTATGCGGAGAATTTCCATCTAATCACATTGCAAGATGAAGAATGGTCGATCTTGTCGCTCATAGATACAGGGGACCATCTCGCCTGAGATGAGTGTAGTTCTTGACATATCACAAAAAGGGCGATCAACTGCCAATGCGCTGAGGATAGATTATATCGCCCCTGCTCCGGAGTACGGCATCAATTTGCGAGTGGCTGGGTCATCACAATACAAGCGCATATAAGACACGTCCAAGCTACTGATCCCTCGTCCTTGAAGGAACCGAATCAGATGTGCCTCAATACCAAGATCCAGGGGAACGTGAAAGCATAGGAGACGAATTGATCGTGTAGTTGCTGAGCATAGGAGAACATGTGCAGCGTGCTCACAGATCCACAGACGTGAGTGAAGGAGAAAAGGAAGGATATGAATGTCAAGCTCTTGAATGCATTTTCACACTGTTTTACATGGCCTAAGCTACAGGAGCTTAGTGGTGGGCAGGCTCCTCGTCGGCAAGCTCGCTCTCATCGAACCTGGAGAATAGTGGTCAGTGGCGGTTATTCGTGACAGAGCATCAGAGTTGTGGGAGCGGTACCAGTCCTCAACGGGGGCAGCACCGGCCTCGGTGGATTGGCCCTCAACCTCGACCTCCTGGGCCTCGTATGCGCTAAGTTGGCTGGCAATATCGGCCTCCTCGGGGGAAGCAGGGGCTTGGGGGAGGGCGAACTTCTGGACCTGGCCTTCGGCGTCGGAGGCCTTGACAGTGGGGGGCTTGTAAGCCTTCAGCTCGCGAAGGTAGAGGTCCTGGACGAGATCGGCTATGGTAGAAGAATCAATGAGCAGCTGTTCGGCGGGTGTGATGGCGGTATGGTAGCTCAAGTACCTTGGCGGACAGCAGTGGGAGTGACGAAAGTGCGGCGGAAGGTGGTGGCCGACTGCTGCTGAGCAACACGGAGGAGCGACTGGCGCTGCGGTACATGTCAGCGGACGGGACTTTGTCATGCGCAAAGACGTGGACAGTGATAGTGGCATACCGAGGCCCTGAGAGATTGACCGAGCATGGCGATGGAGTGATATGCGGATACGATGAACTTTGGTCGTCGTGGTGGATTGTACAACTCTTTCGCAGTCGCGCCCCAACTTCACGTGGCCCGTGCGCGACTTCCTCCGATTGAACATCCGTCTTGGAATACAGCGTCTTTGCTCATCGCAAGTCAAAGAATTTCTGACAATGATATATTTCAAACCCTCATACAAAGCATATGTCCCGTTTTGCGCAGTAGTCTCGTGTTGCTTGAGCCCTATCTAATCATGGAAACCATTCATATGTTCGCTCTATGCCTGCAAACTCTTGTCTTCATTCCTCGATCAGCTGCACCCTCTGTGCTGAATCCTGCCACTCTCACTCCGCTCCCACAGACGACATGCATGCGGAGTTGTGGCTATCAAACTGCACGGTTCTTTCTTGACGGTACCAAAGACCACAGAGAGCCGATAGAATTTCGACTCTCAATGGATAGCTGCTAGTTACTGAAGGGATTGTGCATTCTTAAAGGGCCTCGTGACACAACTTCGCACACCGGGAGGACAGTGATTACAGCAAGACGAATTTTGACCCAAAGTTATGAACACACGGCTCGCCGGTGTGTCTGCGAAGAGGGTTGAACGCGTTTTGTGTCGCACGGAACAGATGGATAGATCCCGAATCCATTTGCCTTTGCTCCGATTTTGTGATTATGCTAGAGAGCCGCGAGGCGTCCAGCTAATCCTTCAGGCTACTCTCTGTACTGTTGCTTGAGCTCAATACCGACTCGCAGCAAAATCCAAATGTGGCTTCTAGGCGCTTGAGCCGTGGGATTGCCAACGATGCCCCTGTGTCGAATGGCTGTATTGACTAAGCTTGTGCTTGCTTCATTCGCATCTAGCTTCGAAGACATGCACAATCGGCTTGTTTGTCAGATCTCGCATCGCTTAGAGTTTCGAACTGAGAACGAGTGTCCATAACACTGCTCGTCAAATGCATCCTGTGACAGTTCTGAGATCGTGAGGAGGTCTGGTTAAGATACTGCTGGCTTGCATTGGCTCTAAGGAGTGTTTCGTCTCAGTTGAGCAAGAATGGCCGCGGGTGTTTCGTCTATGGTATCGAGATCGACAGGATCCAGGGAGACAATGAGATTCGCAAAGTCATAATCGGATGAGTGTGAGTTGACAAAGTCGTCGGCAACAGTCTCAGCTGCGGCCGCACCTCTCTCACGCAGAGCTTGTCTAGTTCTGACCAAGGCTTCGTAATGCTCGTCAGCCTGGTCAAGAAGACGCTTGACGTCCTTGTGTCTGGTGTTCATCTCGCTCTCCAAGTCTTGGGGTTTCAGGTTAGGATCATCCAATTGACGGAGAACGACATCCGAGTCACCAGGCTGCCAATCTGGATATGGCTCGGATTCGAGGTCCTTGATGTGCTTTTTCAAGTCATTGAAGTCGTCGACGATCTCTTGACCAAACTTGGCCATGTTCTTTGTATGGCTCAGTCGTTCTGTAGAGATGTACTTTTTCTGTCGCAGAGCAGTAGCGACGGCTTCCTCACTGGCAGAGCTCGACGTGTAGAGAGTGTCGAAGCGCTGCAGAAAGTCGTCTAGTTCAGCATCCAAAGTGGCGGCTGTGATACGCTCTTGTCTGCGCAGGCGACGGATGATGTCGATGTCTTTTTGGCGGGACTGCCGGCTGGTCGAGCTACTACGCACAGATACGACTGATCTAGGTACACGCCAGCGGACAGCAGCTAAGATAGAACCTGACATGTTGAGTGAGAGATAGTCCAACTGGCCATCAGATCGACAGTCGATGGATGGTGGGATCACGTGGGACTGGAATTCACACACTAGGCCGCCAAGACTTCGCCCGCCGAGATCGAAAAAGCTGCATCCACAACTTGATAGACACGCGCGCCGCGAAACGACTCTGTGTATCACCAGCGTCAGCCAACATGTCTCGCTTTTTCTACGGCAGCGACAGCTCCAGCGAGTCTTCCTCGGACGAGGAGGAACTTTACAGCGAAGAGGAGGAGGCACAGAAGTCCGAAGAGGAGTCGAGCGAGGAGGAGTCTGACGAGGAAGATTCGGATTCAGATTCCAGCGACGATGAGGGCGGCAAGACCGGTGCCAACCGCTTCTTGCGCGATGAGTCCAGCGAGGACGAGAGCGACGAGGAGGACGACCGCACCGTGGTCAAGAGTGCAAAGGACAAGCGTTTCGACGAGCTCGAGGGCACCATCCGCCTGATTGAGAACGCCCAGAAGATCAACGACTGGAGCGTCATCAACGACAGTACGTCCGACTGCCACCGCCGCTGCGTGAGCTCCATGCGGTAGCTAACCCACTGCTCTAGACTATGACAAACTCAACCGCCAGCTGCCCGTCCTCCAGCGTGACAACGATGGCAAGGCTCCCAAGATGTACATCAAGACCATTGCCGACCTCGAAACCGCTATGCTCGAGGCCCTGGAGAAGCAGAAGGCCAAGAAGAACATGAACCCTGTCGCCGCAAAGGGTCTCAACGCCATGCGCCAGAAGATCCGCAAGAACAACCGTGACCACGACGCCGACATCAAGGCCTACCGCGACAGCCCCGACGACTTCATGAAGGAGGATGTGGTCGAGGAGCCCACTGCTACCGGCCCCAAGAAGGCCAAGAAGTCTCTCACCGACGAGACTATCGTTGGTGCTGACGACGACGGTTTCACTGTGGTCGGCGCCGGCGGCAAGGCCATGACTTACACCCCTGAGGGTATCCTCAAGCACCTCCGCACCATCGTCGAATCCAGAGGACGCAAGAACACCGACCGTCTGGAGCAGATCCGTACTCTCGAGAAGTTGCTTGACGTGGCTGCTACCGAGTACCAAAAGGCTCGTGTGCTACTGACACTTGTTTCGACCCGTTTCGACTTGACCAGCGGCAGCGGCAACACCATGGCACAGGAGCAGTGGAAGTTGGTCCAGCAAGAACTGGCTGCCCTCTTGGCCCTCCTCGAGGAGCACCCTTACCTGGTTGTCATCGAGAGCGCCGAGGACTGGGAGGACGACGAGAAGCACCCCACCATCACTTCCGACCAGACTTTCAAGATTCCCGGCAGCATTGTCTCCCTGGTCGAGCGTCTGGACGATGAGCTTACCCGTGTTCTGCAGCAAGTTGATCCGCACACTGCCGAGTATGTCGAGCGTCTCAGTGACGAGGCCTCTCTTTACACCAACATTGTCCGCACCCAGCTGTACTGCGAGCGCCTAGCAAAGGATGAGAAGCTCAACTTTGTCCAAGAGACTGCCAACCGCATTGCCATGCGCAGACTTGAACACATTTACTTCAAGCCTTCTCAGGTCATCAACATCCTCGAGGAGAACGTCTGGAAGGCCCTTCCTTCTTCCCTGGACTCGTCTATCACTCCCCGCTCCGCTGCCGGCGACAGCTCTACTCTTGTCACCGCCATCTGCACATACCTTTACACTCACAGCGAAGGCATTATCCGTGCCCGTGCTATGCTTTGCCAAGTGTACTACCTCGCTCTCCATGACCAATACTTCAAGGCTCGCGACATGCTCCTCATGTCGCATCTGCAAGAGACCATCTCCGGATTCGACGTCAACACTCAGATCCTGTTCAACCGTACTTTGACCCAGGTCGGTCTCTGTGCTTTCCGCGCCGGACTTGTTTACGAGGCCCAGAACTCACTCCAGGATATTTGCGGTTCTCAAAGACAAAAGGAACTGCTCGCCCAGGGTCTGCAGATGCAACGTTACTCTCAGATCACCCCCGAGCAGGAGCGCATCGAACGCCAACGCCAGCTTCCTTTCCACATGCACGTCAACCTCGAGCTTCTCGAGTGTGTCTACCTCACTTGTTCCATGCTGCTCGAGATTCCTCTTCTTGCTCAGGTCGGCTCATCGCCCGATCTCAAGAAGCGTGTCATTAGCAAGTCTTACCGCCGTATGCTCGAGTACCACGAGCGCCAGATCTTCACCGGTCCTCCCGAGAACACTCGTGACCACGTCATGCAGGCAAGTAAGGCTCTCGCCCAGGGTGAGTGGCGCAAGGCTGCCGAGTTCATCACTGCCATCAAGATCTGGGACCTCCTGCCGCAAGCCTCCAAGATCAAGACCATGCTCGAGGAGCAGATCCAAGAAGAGGGTCTCCGCACCTACCTTTTCACCTACGCACCTTTCTACGACACTCTTTCGATTGACAAGCTTGCGTCGATGTTCGAGCTGTCTGAGCGCAAGGTTTCTGCCATTGTCAGCAAGATGATCAGCCACGAGGAGCTTGCTGCTGCTCTTGACCAGGTCAACGGTGCCATCATCTTCAGAAAGGGCGTCGAGCTCAGCAGACTGCAGAGCTTGGCACTCACTCTCAGTGACAAGGCCAGCGGGCTTATTGAGAGCAACGAGAAGACTCTGGAGCAAAGAACACAAGGCACTGCCAACGCATTCGAGAGACAGGGTGCACAGAGAGGAGGCAGAGGAGGTGGCAGAGGTGGCCGCGGTGGTAGAGGTGGCGGCCAAGGCATCAGAAGGGGCGGTGGTGGATTCCAAGGCGGTGTCCTGGGCAACGCCATCAGATCGTAAGGGATCAATGGCTGGTCAAGGGATGCTGCGGATGGGTTTGGCGTTCTTCTCATAGTGACATTTACTGTACGTTATTGCAGCGCACAAGGACACCAAAAGCCGGGCAGGATTGTCATGTTTCCTTTTACAGTTTATCTTTTTACTCTATCCCCCTTAGACGGCACGATGCAATGGCAAAAAGAAGGTACCCAATTCTGAAGCCCGAGCGAGTGGGACGTGTGCAGTGTGAAATTTTAGTAGTCGGATTGGCCAGAAAAAAAAGAGAGGGAGCAAATGTGCGTCATGCATGTCGCGTTGGGCAGGAGCAAGCTGTACGGAGCAGATAGAGGATTGAGCCCCGCTTGGTGAGCGTCCCTTGGTCGTGCTTGACAGCCAAACACCGAGCAGCAGCTTCCTTTCGCTGGCTGTTGAGCCGTCTTGACAGAGAGTCGCAAGCACAAGCAAGAGGTGAGCACTCCATGCCAAAACATATACCCGACCATGTCGCAGGCTGACGCGGACAGCTCGTGCAGACGTGGATAGCTTTGGCCGCGCCGCATTGCTCCAACATTGCTGTTGTCGCATCATCGTCGACCCCGTCTTTCCTCGTCCGTGTCTTTGATCCCACCCAAAGTCAGCCAACATCACGACAAAGCCGCGCCGCCAACCGCGACAAAGGCTTCGATTGCTACAGCAATGGATCCGCAACAGCAGCAGCCATGGCAGGCCAATCCCGCTGGCTCGGCGTCTAGACATGGTTCCATTGCAGCTGCTTCGCAGCAGCAGCCGCCCAAGTACGACCCCTACAAGACGGCTCGTCCCTCGTCCCAGAACCCCCCTCTTGACGGCGACAGCGACGGAGACAGACTCATGGAGGATGCCGATCCCTACAATCGCCAGAAGTACTCGTCGTCGGCTTCGCGTACCCCTACCCAGAGGGCCGCCTATCTCTCGTCGCAACCCACCATGGACTCGACCGCTGCACGCCGCTACTCGCCCATGAACACCACCTCTCCGACCTCGCCCTACACGACCAGCCCGAATCAATATACTCCCAACCAGATGCGACAATCGCCTACGCGTCACATGTACTCGTCGCCTACCCAGTCGCGCCCGAACCTGCCCCCGATCCAGTCCAACTCGGACTTCTACCCATCGCCCTTCAACCAAAGCGGCCCTCACTCGCCGCGCCTGCCTCCTCCCAACCAGCCTCAGTCTGAGCCACCTACTCGCGGCCCGGTCCCAGTCTTCACAAAGTGCGACAATGTCGCCGATTTGCATCCGCGCGTCAATGCCCAGCCGCCCTTCCGGAGAGCTCATCCTGATGGCGGTTTCATCTCGCCTCTGCAGGCTTTGACTACACAACTGCCAGCGACATACCGGATCTGCAACCCAAACTTCCAGTATGAAAGTTCGCGCAATCCACGCAGAGTCCTCACAAAGCCATCCAAGGGCACCAAGAACGATGGTTACGACAACGAGGACAGCGATTACATCCTCTATGTCAATGACATTCTCGGCAGCGACGACACCAACAACAAAAATCGTTACCTTATTCTTGATGTTCTCGGCCAGGGAACCTTTGGGCAGGTGGTGAAATGCCAGAACCTCAAGACGCAGGAGGTTGTCGCCGTCAAGGTGGTCAAGAACCGTACTGCTTATTTCAATCAGAGCATGATGGAGGTATCCGTTCTGGACCTGGTAAGCAAAACAATATATTCGGCGTCGGTGATTTGCATTGGCTGACAGTCATCACACAGCTCAATGGACGCATGGACAAGAATGATGACCATCACATCCTCCGACTCAAAGATACATTCATCCACAGACAGCATTTGTGTCTAGTATTCGAGTTGTTGTCAGTCAACCTATACGAGCTCATCAAGCAAAACCAGTTCAGAGGACTAAGCACTACTCTTGTGAGAGTCTTTGCTCAACAGTTGCTGAGCGGCCTATGTTTGCTCAGCAAAGCTCGCTTGATTCACTGTGATCTGAAGCCTGAGAACATTTTACTCAAGAAGTCTGTCTCGATCTCTGTATCCATACTCCAAGCAACGACTAACAACTGATTAGCCTCGAGAGCCCCATTATCAAGATAATCGATTTTGGGTCGGCATGTGACGAACGCCAGACGGTATACACATACATTCAATCGCGCTTCTACAGATCTCCAGAGGTTCTGCTCGGCCTACCGTATTCAGCTGCCATCGACATGTGGTCCTTGGGTTGCATCGTTGTCGAGCTTTTCCTCGGCCTGCCTCTTTTCCCTGGCTCATCCGAGTACAATCAAGTGTCACGAATCACCGAGATGCTGGGTCTTCCTCCTACCTGGATGCTCGAAGTTGGCAAGCAGTCTGGTGAATTCTTTGAGAAAGCACATGACGAATTTGGCCGTAAAACGTACCGTCTGAAGCCAATGGATCAGTACTCTCGAGAGCATGGTACAAAGGAGCAACCAAGCAAGAAATACTTTTCTGCCACGACGTTGCCTGAAATCATTCGCAATTACCCTATGCCACGTAAGGGCATGAAGCAAGCAGAGATTGATCGTGGTACGTATATTGTGGCAGTCTCAGTTGTCAGCGAGTGCTAACATTCGATCAGAAATGAACAACAGAGTCGCCTTCATTGACTTTGTCCATGGTCTCTTGAACATCAACCCGCTGGAGAGATGGACACCACAGCAGGCACGCACTCATCCTTTCATCACCCAACAAAAGTTCACTGGCCCCTTCCAGCCTCAGATGCATCTCAAACCGTCCTCATCCCGTTCACCCGCCCCTGGCCTTCAACAGCAGCAACAAGCCGAGGCCCTATCCAAACAACGTGCCCAGGCTGCACAACAGCAGCAGCATCAACAGCAGCAGGCCCAGTCTGCTGCAAACGCTGCCTATGCTGGCATGCATATGCAACCTCCTGGTTACCCAGCCTCTCCTCATGCCCAACAATCACCCATGTATTCCAACATGTACACTCCCACACAGCAACAGCAAGCTCCGCCACCATATCCTTCGGCCGCTGTCCCCAACACATATAACCAAGCGCCAATGCTGCAGCAACCGCCACCGACCGCTGCCATGCACGGCCACCAGCCCCAGCAACATGCGTACCAGCACAACCAGCCTCAGTCGTCGCTCTACGCACAGGCGACCACACGAGCTGGTCGCCAACGTGCATCTACCATGGATATGGCAAACGGCATCCCCTCCACGTTGCAAAGAGTAGTGTCTCACCTTGATCCCAATGCACCTATTCGTCTGCAGCCCAGCCCGGCCTACTATCCTCCTCCCAACGAGCAAACAGGCGACGTCGGCAATGTCGGTGGAAGGAGACGCATGAGCAGAGGACCAAGGGATGCGCGAAGCCAAACGAACTTTGTACGACAGCTCGAGGATCGCACGCTGGAAGAAGGATGGACCGGTGGGAACAACAATGGCGCAGGTGGTGGTGGTTGGGCATGATGAGCCCAATCGAAAAACTGGACAGGCAGATTGTCTTTACTCTTTCCCTTTGTTATGAAGTGTAACACAGAAGTTCCACCAGAACGGCGATGCTCCAAACCCCTACGGCCGTCGCAAACAACAGTCGCGGCCTGTGCCTCTTTCACTCTCGGACCGCATCTGGCGATCAGAGACATCTCCCTGCTTCCGGGACTTTGACATTGTGCATCCAGAGTCTCTCTCTCGACTCTACCAACATGACTCAAAGCCATGCAGCGATCCATAATGGTCCGGAGTAAACAATACTCTCTGTCTCGAGTACTTCTTGAAACTTCTTATGTATGAGTCGGTTGGAATATATCGGGAATGACTAGCAGTGGATGATGACAGGGACGGAAAATCGATGAACAAGGGAGGATACACAACAATGGTTTGATCACATGTCTCTTTTCTTGGAAACAATCGAAAAGTGAAGGGTTGACTTGTCAAGGAAGAGGTGGGACTGTATATCGAGTCAGAGGGAATAGAATAGGAAGCGAGGCAGAGATATACAAGGCAGAAAGTCACTTCTCCGACCGAAAGCCAGAAACACAAAGAAAGGACAGTGAATCCTTCCACATCTCTCCTCTTTTGGTCTTGCATGTGATGGCTTGATTTGCTCGGATGAATATGTTGTCTGTTTAATCTATACTCGTTTCGCCAGACAAGAATTCCTGCTCGTCTCTCGTTCGTGTCTTTGACCCTATGCACCTCTGTCTAGCTGGTTCTGCGTGATTGGACTTCAGTATTGACCCCCTCCATTGTTCTCGACAGTCGCGGAGGAAATACGATAAACCTGCTGGTAGTAGAGCGAGCCCGTTTCTGAAATAGTTTGCGTGCCTGCGTATCTTTGCTACGGGCATCGAACTCAAAATTCCCAGGTCCAAGCAAGGAAGAGAAAGCTGGCGGAGTAGGACATTTGAAATTTGGGTTGGCGGAAAGGTCTTTGTGGATGGATGTAAGAAGGGCTTTTCAGTCCCCTTTTTTTTCAACCTTCGGGGTTCTTCATGTTGACCAGGGGCATGATGTCGGTCTTGAGCTCTCTGTTCTTCTTTTGCTTGGGCTCGGGAGCTATCACATGCCGAATTAGCGATGAGATTGAAACATCAGGCAGAATGTCAACACAAACCTTTCTCGTTCTCCTGAACGTAGAAGCGGCGGAGCAGCATGATGGCCTCGGCCCTGTAGATGCCACCGAAGATCTTGTAGGGAGGTTCGATGTTGGGACTTTGCATTTTGATCAGTATCTTGCGTTTTTCGACAATCAGTGATTGAAATGCAGGAACTTACTCGTCACAGATGCGCATGACACCGCCACAGCCACCGAAGCGATCGTTGAGGCAGCCAAAGTAGACGGCGCGGATGCGGAATTGGCGCAAGACGGAGGCACACATGATGCATGGCTCTACGGTGACGTACAGGTCAGTCTCCTGGAGGATCGAAGGTGGGTGTTGGTCCAAGATCTGGCTGAGGGCCACGAATTCGGCATGGCGTGTTCCCTGGGAAGCGAATGTGTCAGATGATGTATGCACTGAATGAGAAAGCAGTCGTGTCCGATCCAAATGGTGTTGATCAAGTGCAGGCGGTTCACCGGCGTGGAGAGTGTGACGGCTGGAGCAGATGTTTGCTTACGTTCATGGTAACATTGGTGCCGTTCATGCCCTGGGCAATCACTTTGCCATCGTGAACAAAAACACATCCCACAGGCGTCTCATCAGAGGCGAGTGCCAGCTCGGCCTGATAGAAGAACAGAAGTTAGCATTTTTTCAATTTTAATCCGCATTTGGAAGGGAAGTGTGATTGTTGGTGGGGAAAAGCGTACCATGTTGATGGCCTCGCGCATGAAAGCCTCGTGGTAGGGCCTGTTTTCGACATGAGCGGTCATGGCATCCATGTCTGCTTCAGACGAGGTGGGTGATGGAGGGTAGTCGGCGGGAAACATCTTGAAGAATATTTCTTATTGTTGTCGTTTTACATCATCCGCGAGGGAAGTCGCAACACAAGGAAGGTGCGTCTGAGAAAAGTTCGGCTCGACCATCGAAGTGAGCGCCAAGCAAACACGACCGACACAAAGGACAAGACACGGTTCACAAGCAAACGGCAGCTCAAGAATTTATTGTGTAAATTGCATCTTCTCATGAAAGAATTCGAAATTGAGAACAAGAAACTATCAAGCTAGTTTGCAGTGCGTCGAGAGATCAAAACATCGCTTCAAACCAACGCCGTACCACCCCAAACGAGAACACCAGCAGTCCCCTTTGCTTTCCTAAGATAAAAACAGAACAGAATCGCTTCCGAGATAATCCACAATCTGACCCTCCAAGAGTTAATTAACGCCATTCCGCTTTCTAGGCCCGCTTCCCGATAAGAACAGAACATGACAAAGGAAAGAAGAATTCTTCCTGGTACCAGAAGAGGAAAGAAATCATGGACAGAATAATAAAACAGAGAAGATTACGAGCTGGGTGAAGATCCACTCCACCATTCGCAGTGACAAGCGCCGTTGATAGGATCACGCTTGACCTTTGACGTCCCGGTTGGAGCTGCTCCTCCATACGTCTCTTGTTGGTAAGCACTGTAATCGGGATCGGTCTCTTGCAGATAGACCGTTATCTGCTGATTCGTGCTGGGGTCCACTAAGGGACCTGCCATGCCGTTGTCCAGAATTTGAAATTGCTGACAGTAAGGCTCAACACTGTCCGGTACACGACGTTCTTCGATCTTGACAACGTAGCCGAAAGAAGACAGTTCAGCAAATGTCCAGCTTCGTTTTTCCAACTGCCAACTGCGCTTTGCTCTGCGTCCATGTGAGTAGGGGTTGGAGGCAGAGTGAGTATACGAGGCTGTCTGGGTGGCAGAAGTCAAGGTAGCTGTCGTTGAAGGGCCGGAGACCTCAATGATAGTAGAGGTGGTCAGTGGAGACGATGAGGTCTTGGCGTGTTTTGAGGATGGGGATGAGGACATGGATGAGAATGCAGATGAAGACATGGAGGACTGGCTCGGATCAGTGTAGTTGTTGGCGTAGATGAAGCCTTCGAGGAAAGTACCGTTGAACCAGCAAAACCACGGTTTGTCTCCTGCCGCAACTTGGTGCTGAGTAAACCAATCGTTGTTAACGAAGGAGCGCTTCTGCGGACTGCTAGCACCACTTGCGGGCAGGGACGACTCGGGAACAACAACAAACTTGTCGTAGAAGGTCTGGAAATAGAAGGCAGGTCCTCGGAAAGGTTCATCGTCATCCTCGACGGAGATGAATGGGGCAAATTGAGTGTTAGGAGGTTGAGTGCCGTAGTTTATGCCAGTGGCGTTGCTGAAGCCGTACAAGGAGGCACCCTCGCCGCTACTTCCGTCGGGCGGAAGGCCAATATTGATAGCCATCTGTGGTATGCCATAAATGTTGCACGTCCAGGCTGCTGAGTAGTTCTGATTGGCTATGCACGCTGATTGCGTAGCTCTTGGTGGGCCAAAGTCCAGAGCGTAGACGCCGGTCGGCGGTGGTGCTCCTATTGAAGATGTAGGAATGGGAGAGGCATCTAAAAGAGTGGTCGTGTTGTTGCCGTTGTGTCTAGATATGTCGTTAGTGATGATGGAAAGAAAGGCTAGTCGCAAAAAACTTACTTGGTCACGGCTTTGACAGCTTCTTTCCGAGCACCGGCAAAAATGCCGCCAATAGAGGCACCAAGGACGATGGCGATGAAAGCAAGCACGCAAAGAGACAGCAGTATCCACCAGAAGGGGATACCACAGAAACGTGTCTTCCGTTTTTCTTTCCACGTCTTCTCCTTCCAACTCTTGGCCTCTGACGAAGCGCCATACGAGTCGGTAGAGTTCAGTTGTTGCATCTCGGCAAAGCCATGAGCGGTGGCCTGATCAGACATGCTTTCAGGCTGACGCTGCTGCTGCATCAACGGCATGAGTACTTGAGGTCCGTTGGGAGGAGTGTCATTTTGTACTGCTCCTGGTAGTACAATGGGTTTCGGTACACCGTCCTCGGGATACTCAGAATAAGGGGGAAGTTGTTCTGAGTGGCCATCGACACCAATAATGTCTTGCTCTTCGTCTCCAGGGCCTCGAGCTCGTACAAAGGCTTGAGTCCTGCCGGGAAACCCCACTGGAATCACTGTCTGTGCATGGCTTGTGGCGGCAGCAGAGTCGGTTATGTCGTGTTCAGAGACATGCTGGGGATACATGCTGTAAGGGTGTGTAGGGCCTTGGGTTACGGTGGCGGTAGATTGAGCAGCACGAATGGTCGATGCGGTGGTAGAGGTGGAGGGGTGGCGGGCTACATTGGTGTCCTGAGGATACATGGAGTAGGGGTGGCTAGGGCCGGTGTTGGCAGGAACAGGGGTTGCGGTACGTGCAAAAGCCCTGGCTGACGAGGCAGTACTGAGTCTATGGGCAATTCCAGGAGCGTATTGGGCAGTCGAAGAGGACTGGATACTCGAAGAGCGATGAAGAGCCGAGCGTTCGTCGGTATTGTCGTCATCATCGTCCTCGTTGCTGCTGAAGGGGTTCTGATCCTCTCTCGGCTTGTGCATGCTATTTCTGGTGGAGCCGGTGGAGAAACGAGGGGCGTCGGACATGTATGCGAGAGCGCTGCGGATTGAAGGATCCTGAGAGTGTATCGACCATCGGTCGTTGCCGGGCTGGACGCGGCCAGGAGCGAAGCCGTCGGCGACTCCGTCGTAGTGGTCGTCTACGGCATATTCGTCGTCAAAAACATCATCGGTCGAGTTGCGAGGGTGTTGGCGATGGTCGGCCATGGTTTACAAGAGGCGAGCGTGTGGTGGGCCGTGGTTGGGACGCGGTCGAGTGGTCGGTCGTCGGGGCCCGACACCTGGGGCTCGGGGAGGGTGAGGGCAGCAAAACGAGCGCGTTTGGTCGGCTCAGCGGATCGGATGGGCGAAGTTATGGTCGGAGAGGGAAATGTCACGGAATTCAAGTAGCGAGTGTTGGATAGGCAGAGACGATAGGCGAGAGCAATGGCCTGTCGTTGCCAGACTCAGTTTGCCAGGTCGAGCGCCAAGGAGACGAATGCCCACGGACCAACTGTCGAGGAGTCCAAATCCGCCTCTTCCGTCACTTGCCTATCCACTTGGCTATCGGCAAACATAACCTGTCACCGAGACTCGAAACAAAACTGTATCCCACAATTGCTGGCGCTGCTCTCCATGGCTTTGATGTTTCTTGATATTTGCATGGTTTTCATGTCGTCAACGTCTGGCCTCTCTATCAAGGCTTCCAGACTGCTCAAAAGTACTACTACAAGTATGTATGCGCCACTGCTCCCATCTGTAACCCGAGGAAATAAAAAGAAGAGAAAAAAGAAATAAAGAGTCCGAGACACAAGCCATGAAGCATTCCGTCAAACACGACAGCCGGCTGCGGGTCCACTCTGCTGTCTGTGCCGATATCTTGTCTCCACCACGATGCCGTCGCTCACTCTCCCACCACGTGGCTGAATAAATCATCTACTGCTTGATGGCATACTCTCTTCTGAACAGGTCGTCGACCTTGGTCAGGTAGTAAGTGCCGGGGAAGAGGGTCTCGGGGTTGCCTTCAGGCGAGTAGTTCTTCTTCAAGTGTGCGCGCTGACGGAGGCTGCACATCTCATCGTACACCTCAGGAGCAACGACTCTGCGCGAGTCGAGTCTGTTCTGAAGGTCAATCTGCTTCTTCATCTCCTCGGTGCTGCCCTTGACTCTGAAAGAGAAGAAAGACGAGGCAAGGCCTGATCCGTACGAGAAGATACCGACACGCTTGCCCTGGAGGTCTTCCGACGAGACGTTGGAAAGAAGAGCGCAGAGCGAACCGTAGACGGAACCACAGTACATGTTACCACACATGGTAGGGACCTGAATCGAGGGCTGGACACGGGCGGCGAAGCGCTTCTTGGAGAGAGCCATGAAGGTCTTCTCAACGGTCTTGTCGCTGTACGACTTCTCAATGTCCATCCCCTTGATTTCGGCGGGAACCTCGGCGAACACGGGGCTCTCAGGGTTGTTGATGTAGTCGTTGTAAAGCATACGGGCGTAAGACTTGGAGACGAGCTTGCAGGTAGGGGCGTGGAAGCACATGTGGTCGAAGCGGTCAAGAGGAGTCTCGGGCTCAGCGTGGACACCGTTGCCGTTAGCAGCACCGTTGGCCTTGGACTTGAGCTGGACCTCGCGGGTGTTGTAGGCCTTGTAGCAGGCGTCGACGGCCTGAGTGTAGCACTTGATGGAGAAGTGACCATCAACGATGGGGTACTCGCTGGTCAAGTCGGGCTTGTAGAAGTCGTATGCGTGGGTGATGTAGCTGCCTCTGTGGCCGGGCTCGAAAGCCAGGGGAGCGTCGGGGCCAACCAGCATGGCAACGCAGCCAGCACCACCAGTGGGTCTGGCGGCACCCTTGCTGTACAGAGCAATGTCACCAGCAACAACGATTGCAAGGCGACCGTCCCATGCCGAGGACTCGACCCAGTTGATGGCGTTGAAAAGAGCGTTGGTGCCACCGTAGCAAGCGTTGACAGTATCGACACCCTCAACGTTGTAGTTGCCCGACTCTTCGAAAAGCTGCATCAAGACAGACTTGACCGACTTGGACTTGTCGAGGAGGGTCTCGGTACCGACTTCGAGGCGACCAATGTCCTTGGGGTCAATGTTGTACTTGCGGAGGAGCGAGGAGACGGCGGTCAGAGCGAGGGAGTAAATGTCTGTAGCGGGTTTGTTAGCCTCGAGAGTCTCGAGAAGCACGTTCGAGTCGCGTGCTCACCCTCTCTGTCGTCGCAGAAGCTCATTCTGGTCTGGCCGAGGCCAATGGTGTACTTTCCAGCGCTGACTCCATCGAACTTCTCGAGTTCAGACTGCTCGACACACTGCAAGGACACGGTCGTTAGCGCTTGCTGTGCGGCAGGATAAGACACCAGATACACACCTGGCTGGGGAAGTAAAGCTCAATTGCCTTGATACCGATGTTCTCAGGGCGTTCAGACATTGTGGCGGAGGAATTGGAAAAAGTTGAGAGTAGTGGAAAGGGGGTATCAGAACAATATTAGCAAGAAACAGCGAAGCAACAAGCTCAACAAAGAAAGAACAGCAGCGTTGGATTGCAGGAAAGAAGGTAGAGAGAGACGGACGTGGAGATTGATTCGAGGACCAGCGCGCCAAATTATACTCCCACTTTAATTACCTAAGGTACTTTTGGTCTACAAAATAATCAGTCCACTCAAGGGGCTGCCGCTGGATAAGCTTCCCACGCCTTCTTATCCAACGCCTGTCGCCAAGCGCTTCTGCTTCTCGTCTTCGAGACCAACTCGTACGATGCTCTTCAGGATGACAATGGTCCGATCAACTTGTCGCAACTCACTCTCCATACCTGCACAGAATCGCCATACTCACGAGCAAGAGAAGAGCTTTTTGCTATGTTGCGTCGCAGAAGCGCATTGGAGCAAATGCCGGTTTTGGATTGTTGAAACATCAATTAAAGTCTCTGGCACGTTCGTTACTCAAAACCCTCACCCACACCGCCTTCCGGCCCTACTCGATGTGCCCCTTTCCCTCAACAAATGCTGGCCGGAGCAAGATTGTCGAGTGTGGGATATCTAATCATATCAGATCCATCTACCATATCTTGCAGGGTCATCAACTCCGTGCTTTCTATGAGTACATCCTCATGCTGTATATTTAACACTCTACACATCATCGAGTTCCTGCTTGTGGAGAAAGTGGTTCATTGCAGTTCAACCAAGCGGATACCTGCAGAATTTTTTTCCCTTGCGAACAATTCCCGCGATATCGGTTGCTCACTGATGATTCATGAATCAACAACAAGATGAATTTGACTGTTGTCTACTCTACGAAATCTGGTCCAAGAATTCGAGAGATAACTTTGCAACCTCTGACGCGTTCTCGATGCAATGCCAGTGGCCGCACTTGCTCATGACAACCATATCTTTCTGATCCGAGCCTAGCGCTTCGATAATCTTGTTGCATCCGGGCAGATGCGCACTCTTGTCCTCCTCTCCAGCAATAATAATAGTTGGGCATGAGACCTTCCCATAGTTTGGTGGTGTCTTGTATGCATTAGCAATCACCCTGCACAAACTAATGTACCCAGCAGGATCCATGCCGAGCAGTAACTCTCGAATAAAAGCATGGTGCAGGGAGTTTGCAGTAGATCCCACTGCAGCATAGGGTACAGTATCTGCCATGACTTCCATGCCTTTTTCTGCAACCTTGGTGATGCGATCCTCGAAGACAGGTGCTGCTTCTGACGAAGGCCACACAGGTCCCACCAAAATGAGTCCTTGGATGCGATTTGGCCATTCGGCTGCCACCTCAGGCCCTATAATTCCAGACATGGAGTGGCCAACAAAGACTGCTTTGTCGATCGACAAGACATCCATCAGGTCGATTACATCTCCTGCTAGACTGTGGATGCTCTGCTCAACATGTGTGTAAGGTGAGCGGCCTGATCCGGTCATGTCGAAACAGATACAACGGTAACCCTGTCCTGTCAGGAAGGGTACCACTGCAGTGTAGTAATTGTTGCTTGAGCCCAAGCCATGGCTCTGTTGATACGTAAGCAGTAGTCCCGTATCTACCAACTGTTGATGTTTACCATGATGAGCGTTGCTCGAGGATTGGCGCCATCTTTGGGTGACCAGTCTCTATAGTACAGAGATTTGTAGTTAATCGTGACCAATGGCATTTTTGGGGGGAGCGACGAAACGGGCCTTCAATGTGGAATCGACAGATGACGTATCAAAGCTTTTGATTGGTGATAATAGCTATTGTTTGTTCGTGCGAGAAATGACAAGAAAGATACCGTGTTGGATCACTTCGTCATTCCCAGTGGAGGGGGTCCTGTGTCTTTTCCGAATTCTTCGGAAATGGTCTCGGATACTGCCTGCTAGAGAATTAACAAAAACACCCATTCAACCATCACGGAATTCCTACCACGATGGTAACACGATAGATCATTGAGACCATAAGCAAAACACAAACATGACGCAAGGTTGCAAAACACACAGCAGCAGGGATTCCCACGTGGTCACCCACCGTAGTACTAATCTGCCGTTCAACTGCTTATGTATGGCAGAGCGAATGGGATGCCCAGTTTTCAGCTGACTGTGGCCGTATGTGCTGACCTCATGGATTCTACTTAATATATCCCACTGGAAAGCAAAACCGCCTCTCAATTCGATATAGCTGAAACGAACCATAGATCATAGTCATCATTGTATACTGGTTGACTGCGTTCTAACATTCCAGATTTCTCTAATAGCACCCTAACACCGATCGTGCCCAACCCAGTTTCCCAAAGTATAATGTGTTGCAAAGGTGGGAGCTTCTAGGTTCACAAGCTTGGGTTGGGCATTGCTTTGCCCTCTTTCTCGTAGCCGGCGAACCGCCTTCTTTGAGCGTCTCTCATCCTCTCGATGGCATACTCAACAGTCAGTCCTGTGATCTTGGTGACATCAATCTGTTTCTCAAGACCTGTCTTGACTGCAATCCAAGTACCGCTCGTCTCCACACTGCCTTCTGTACATTTCCGACAGAAGGTGCCCCATGATTCCATGCATCGTTTGCTGGTAGCGAGAGTGGGCAAAAGCATAGCAAACACGTGGGGCATGGCCTCGTACTTTTCGAACTGGACCTTGACGCCTTGGGAGGCTGCCCTGGCCGCCACGATCTCATCTTCGTCTGTGAGAAGTTCTTCGCCAGTCTCAATCCATAGCGGCGGTGCGTTGGTCCAGTCTTTGGCTGCGACTGGGGACACGAGAGGATGGCACATCATGCTGAGATCACAGAACAAGTCGCCTCTTGGTGGTGTAGTTGGCCAGACGTCGTCCTTTGGGAACCGGCCCAGGGCATCATCGTGGTTTGCTGGTGGGAGATAGTCATACTTTGCGTTGTGCACAAGGGAAGGCATTGATCGGGTGATGTCAAACCAGCCCGAGTTGGCCGACGCTCCTGCAGGAAGAGGTACTTCGACAGTCTTGCCGTGGTATCGGACGGTAGGGTTCTTTGCGTCCGATGGCTTCGTACGGTGAAGTTGCAGCAAGAGCTGGATGAGTGCAAAGACCAGGTTTCCACCTGCTGAGTCGCCGGCAAAGACAATATCGCTGGCTGATACTGGTTCATGCAGAGACCCAGGAGGCGGATACAACAAGTAAAGATAAGCGTTGAATGCATCCAACAACTGTGAAGGAAAAGCTGCCTGTGGTGCAAGACGGTAGCCGACGTTGAACGCTCTTCCATTGCAAGCCTTTGCTAGCTTTGAGACTTGCGGTCGATGTGTTCCGAAACCACACATGTAGTATGCTCCGCCATGAAGATAGAGGACTGTCGTTTTGCTAGATTTGGAAGGCTCCTTCATAAGGTGTGCATACCTTTCCTGCTCCGAGATGTCTGGCTGAGGCTCGTCGGCACCGACTCCAGGTCTGTATCCTGTCCACTCCGCATCAATAGCAGCAAGCCTCGGTTTCGTATATGTCTCGTTGCCATTTCCGAGGTCTGCAATAGCGGTAAAGGTTGCGTCTCTGATGCTTTCGTCCTCAGGAACCGGAATGTTAACTCTGGCCGTCCAGACCTTGCCCTTGGCGCCAGGATCCTTTAGTGTTTGAGCTTGAGTCTTTCCAATCGGCGAAGGGCCACCATTCATGAGCGAACGTAAGAAGGCAACGGTCATTTCGGTCTTCAGATCCCATTTTGAGGAGGTTGGTGAAAGCCATAGGGAGTGCGCAAGGGCGGTCTTGGTAAATGACGGGATACGTGGAAACAGGAACTTGATTATACCATATGTTGAGTCGTCCATGTTAGATGTGTTGAGAAATAGCAGTTTGTGAGCAGAGCGAGAAGTCCGACGGCTCGACAAGAGGCAAGAGATACAAGTCAAGGGTGGAACATCAAACAAAACATGACGTCGACACTCTCCACACGAGCCTCGGCTTTTGGGCCTAGGGAAACAAAAGACAAAAGACATTTACCAGTCAAGATGGCTAAAACGAAAACAAGGCAGGGGTCAGCAACTTTCGGGAGGACGGGACGCATGTCGAAGCAATGCGAGGGCAATGTTGTGCAATGGTTCAAAGATAGACCAACGGTATTGTAATATATGATGTTTCTCGTGAAAGCCATGATTTTCCCAGACCAACGCCTTGCTAAACCCAGAAGACGAAACGGTATATGCGATGAAGAACAAAGAGGTGAATGGTCGAAGGAGCGACCTAGAGGATGCCGTCGTGTTCGCCGGGGAGTCTCTTGACTCTCTTTTGCTCCCAGTTGTCGAGATCTTTGGCAGCCAGTCTCTGCGCTTCGAGTCAGACGGGGCTCCATCGACGAGAGAGAGCGGTATACGTACGTAGTACTCCTCTTTCAGGTCAATCCTGCGCCTATCCTTGCCAATGCCGAGCTCTTCATCCTTGGTCAACTGCTTGACTTTGCGATCGTGCTTTTCGTATCTGATTGCGGTTGCCGGGGTCAAGAAGAAAGAGCCCAGGACCATTGTCGCAATGAAGGGGAGGCCGAAGAGAGCAAAAGGATGTTTCGCTAGCAGTGCGCGGTATCTGGCAGGCACGGTGCTGTTGTATGAGCGCGAGCGGAAGCGTTTGGCAGGGAATACGGCCATGTTGAGTGCTTCTCTTTATTGTGTGCGGCCTGGATGCGCGTATCGTGTGACGGTCCGGTGCTTGGATGATAGGTATTTGAGTCAGAACAGCGACTTTGTGATTGCTTGGTGATGGTTGGTGAGTGCTTGCGTGCGGCGCTCGCCTTGCCAGAATCTCGACCCTTCCAGCTCCATCAATTTACGGAGCACGTGACGGCGTGCCCTCGTTTGGTCGCGTCTTCCTCTAGACCAACTATACTCAGATAGCATCAAACATTCGCCAAATGAGCCGTCTACTGCTCCTACGGCCGTGTCTTGATCGAGACTCGCAAGATGGTTGGAAGGCTTCTCGCGCAGAATCATGCTCGCGCCGCCGCTTCCTTTGGTGGCGATGATTTGACCGATGCAAATCTTCCTCCACCCTCTACCCTTGCTGCTCAGCTTGTAAGGAACCATGTCGACACTGCCCGCGGTGTCAACCAACCAGACACGACCGTCACATTCCGTCAGCTCCTCCAAGAGATTCTCAACAAGACCTCAGTGCCCGAGACTGATGTCGACGTCAACCATAAATTGATCAATGTTGTTGTCGAGGCGGGTCTTGACGTCCTTCTCCACAATGATCCCTTTGCTCAATGGGACTTCTTGATACCTCAAGCAGTCGATAGTCTTGCTGTCATCCAGTCTACCATTCAGAGACAGCCCGACATCCTCTTCCACAATGCATCGTCGAGCTCAGATCAACATCCGCATCTCTTGCTCTGGCTTTTCCCCAAGCTGCTCATGCTCTCCAAGCACTCAAAGGCCCATCGACTGCAAGACTCTTTGGCTTCTCTTATTTCATCACTAGTGTTGAGTCTGTCCAAGACCTTGGATCTGTGGCCATACGCTAAAGCATTGCTGCAAATGCTTCGGGACTGTCTTACTGATCTTTTTCTACTGCTCCAAGATAGTCGCATTTTCTCAAAGACTGCTGCACACGTCAACGCTGTGCTGCTACCACCCGTCAGGAGTGTGTCAAACGTATGGCCTGGCTCAAAGAACAACCCTGCTCTGTCTCTAGGCCATCAGTTGTCTTTAAATGACCCTCTATCAGCCACCAGAATACAACTATTGCTTGTTTCCGCTCTGCGCAACATTGCGTCAGTAAAATCAACCATGACCCGATTCCAGACGTCAACATTTCCCTTGCACAAATGGCTGTCTGATTCTGTCATCGGTCTAAGTCGGATACTATTTCAACACAAACTATGGTTTGAACAGCAATCTTTCTTTTCCATCTTTGCTTTGCAAATCCTCCATCTTCAAAATTTCATTTTGGACAGCTCATCATATTCGACTGCGCATAACCGCATATCCTATATGCTGGGTAGCGTGTCCGAGTGTTGCTCAAGGCTTATTGTTCATGACGGAAGGGCACCGCTAGATGTTGAGTTGCAGAAGGAGCTTGTGTTAACCATCGAGAAGTTGACCGATCGCTATGGTGCGGAGTATGAATACATAATCGAAGAATTTCTGCTCCCTTCTCTCCGAGCCTTTGCTCGCGATTCCTCAAAGTTCGAGGCTGCCAACGAGTCTTTGCGGCGTGTGGTACATCAGTGTTTGGAACGACACAAAACAGATGGCCAGACCGACATAGTCATGACCGACCATGTCCTCGGGCTTCACTCTGAAGTACCAGCCTTGCAACCAGCGACGGCAAAGTCTGCTCGAAAAGGTTTACAGACTCTCAACGATCCGGGATTCGAGATTTCGAACAACAATTCAGAAGATCCATACCAAAAGCTCAAACGTAGGATCGCCGCTCTTCTAGGCAGAGACGGCACAACTACGAATGGCCCTGACATGGTGTAAGTTTGCCCTCCAAGCTACCTACTCATCAATGTTCTGACTTTCGATAGAACTTGTTATGCCTCCATGTCCGAAGAGCAACGAAGCACGTTCTGGCAGACTATCGGATCTTGTGCTTGTGCTGCAACAAACAACTTACACAACGGCAAATGTCCGATCTGCGACGGTAATCGCTGTCTACGGCAAGAACCAGACAAGAACACATGGGAAGAGAACGATCGAGGCGACGACTGGAACGAAATGTTTTTGATGCTCACAGAACTCTTCGAGAGTCAAGATCTCCAGCTCTCCGACAGGAATAGAGTGCTTGCCATCCTGGCAATTCGTTCAATTGTGTTGCATAATAGAAATCCTAACGAACTCGAACTTGGAAAGTCCTTTCTAGCAGAATCTTGCTTGAAATACCTACACAGTTCTTCCAGAGAATTACGAGTTGCTGCAGGGTAAGTCGAAGCAATATAACAAACTAATCTATCACTAATATGGACAGACGAACACTGGCTGCTTTTCTTCGCGAGGGACTACCCACCGAGATTCGCAACAACAACCGACAGGTTGCTTTGAAGTTTTTGAGGGCACTTTCGACGAAAGACATTATAGGTCAACACGAGACGTTGATATTGGCTTGGGGCAGAGTCGCAGTGTGAGTGTCATATTTCCTTGATCGCACGCTAAGATGCTGACGGCAGTAGGGTATGCGGGGAGAAAGAGCTCAATCTGGCGTTGCTCAGATTGGTTGACTACCTGGGTCATCCAAATTCTCTGATATGCTCTCTTGCATACAGCGAGGTATGTCACCTACTTTGATCTGGTCGATTCCTCTAACAGTCACAACAGCTAGAGGATATTGCCGAAACACTGTCTTTCTCACCACAGACGCTCCTCAAACCATTTTATCGCAGTGTCGCTGTTGCCGTCATCCAAGATCTCACTACTAAACCCCAGAAGGCCCAGCAGCTTTCTGAATTTCTAGGCATGAGCGTCAGCCACTTCTTGCTGTTGACACAACGAGATACTGTACCTTTTCTCGTCCTAACGAAGAAGAAGGATATTTTACAGCGTATCGCTTCAGCTCGCAGTGCAGAAACCAGCATACAAGACATTTGTCTCCAACCGCCTGCTAATCTTGCTGCTGTAATCTCTACTTTGCTCTACCAATCATCTGGAGATGTTGAAGGCAATGCCACGAGGTGTCTGGCTGAGGTCGCTCCTGGCTTTCAGAGTAACGACTTAGGAAGTCTGGTCAGATCAAATCCTGTTCTAATCGCTTGTGAGATGCTCAAGACTGCAGGAGACGAAGATGCTTCGAACGCATCAAAGGTGCGTCATCTGCCACCGGTGTCTTTTCCTTTCAACAAAAAGCTAACGTATCTGCGCGTCACAGGCACATCAAGCCATCCAGATCTTCGCTATGCTGGTAGAGGGGAAACCAACTCATTCAAAGCCTAACGCGAAAACTAATCGTATGATTATCAGTTTCTTTGAAGCGCATATTTTGGGCATAATGACCGAGTTCTCAAACTCGATTGATAACACTCTATCGCTCTCTCCATCAGAGAAGCTTCGTTGTGTAAAGGCAATCGAACAAATGATCATCTTAGCTAAGAGCAAGGTTAGCGTAGCTCTTCCTCAGGTATGTTCCTCTCCAAGCCATGCCTACCGTACCCATGACTTACCGAAGTTTAGATAAGAGCGTGTCTACAGAGTGCCATCGACCAGCCTCAACTTCAAGAAGCAGCACTTTCCGCTTGGCTCACTCTGGTCCAGGTTCTTGAGGGTGACGATGTTGCTGACATGGTTGATCATACATTTGCCCTTGTGGCTCAACACTGGGACGGCCTCTCGTCAGTATTGCAAATGAAGATCCACGACACCATCAGCGGAATGGTCAAGACTCATAGCAATGTGATCAGAGAGAAGCTTATGACCATACCTTCGTTAGCCTCGATCCCGTTGATGTCCAAGATTGGCCTGGAGATTCAGAGATTGAAGAAGGACGAGCGCCCGGAGGTTCATCTTCGTGCATTTGCCAAACGACTGCATGACGAAAACGTCGCAATCGTCACTCAAGGACTACGCGAGCTGGTTCCCTGGCTCGGCGAAAACCAGGGATTTGTTCACGAAGCAGCTGTTAGCGAACAACCTAAAGCTACGATAGCAAATTTGATGCGCGCTCTTCTGGACGTGTGCACCAGATATGCCGACCATGACTCTACTGTCGTTGATCTAAGTGCACAATGCATTGGTATCATTGGGTGTCTCGACCCGAACAATGTTGATATGAGTAGCAGCAAGAGACAAGTGCTTGTGCTCTCCAACTTTGAGAAAGCCACTGAAGTTATTAACTGGGTTGCCATCATGCTCGAAGACGTTCTGGTTCCAGCATTTAGATCCTCCACAAATGCACGAGACCAAAGTTTCCTGGCTTATGTCATGCAGGAGTTGGTTCGATTCTGTGGTTTCAACGAAGCAGCAACTGCACGTTTGCGGCCATCACAAGCTGGTCCTGCGCACAACCGCTGGTCAGAGATGACAGAAAGCGTCCGGAATACGCTTACTCCGTTCTTGAGCTCAAGATACCTGCTAAACAGCAGCTCATCAGTCCAACCTAAGAAACGGAGCTACCCGGTCTTTGCCATTGAAAAACGTCACAGCACATGGCTTCGCGAATGGGCCTACGATATGTTGTGGAGAGGCAAAGGTGACAACGCAGAGATGGTATTTCCCATCCTGGCTCGCATCATCACCCGGCATGATATCTCGATTGCCAGCTTTCTGCTCCCTTATGTGGCACTCAACATCGTTCTCGGCGGTACTGTGCAGGAGGCCAAGGACATTGGGGTCGAAATGCTGACAGTCTTGTCGACCGAATCGATTGTTGAGTCCGAAAAGGAAGCGCTTCGACAATGCAGTGAGAACGTCTTTGCCGTGCTGGACTACATGTCGAAATGGTTACAAGAGAAGAAACGAACGATGGCTGCGTATCGAACGGCAGCTTTGCGAGCTGGCCATCCTCCTTCGGAACTGGAGGAGGTCAAGGATGTCGGTCAGATTGAAAGTGTTGAGAGTATCATAAGATCAATACCTGCGGACATCATTGCTCAACGTGCTATGGAGTGTGGCTCATATGCTCGCGCTTTGTTTCATTGGGAGAGCTACATCCGGAGCGAGTCCCAGAGACAAACGAACCAAGACGCCAAAGAACACGACGCGATGTTCCAACGATTGCACTCGATATATTCTCAGATTGATGAGCCCGATGGCCTTGATGGGATATCAGCGCATCTCAACATCCTAAGTCCGGAGCAACAAGCTTTCCAACATCAAAGAACGGGAAGGTGGTCAGCTGCACAGAGTTGGTACGAATTCGAGCTAGTCAAAGAGCCTTCGAACATCAGCCGCCAAATCGATCTCCTGAGCTGTCTCAAGGAATCTGGTCAATACGATCAAGTCTTGCGATACGCATCATTCTACAATGGAAACTCGAGTCAGGGCGGCAAGAATACACTCCTGTCGTATATCACAGAGGCGTGCTGGACGACAGAGAGATTTGACACTCTCAAGGATGCTCTTTCCGATCTTTCGGAAGAAAGCCAGACCGACTTCAATGTGGGCGTTGCCAGAGTGCTTCTCGCTATGCAAGAGAAGAAACAAGATGCAGTGTCGGCCATGGTCAACAACCTCCGCAACACCGTGGTCAAGGGCATCACTTCTGTCTCTGCAAGCTCACTCCAGGCTTGCCATGACGTTCTCCTGAAACTCCATATCGTTTATGAGATAGGTGCACTCAGTGGAGCAGTCCATGTTCCCGTCGCTCAGGACCCAGCCGCGTCATCCATTCTTGCCGTCATGGATAAGAGATTGGCCGTGGTCGGATCATACATCTCTGACAAGCAGTACCTGCTTGGTATTCGCCGTGCGGTCATGCGGCTGTCGAGTGTTGACTTCTCGAAAGTTAGTATTGGCAGCTCCTGGCTTACGACAGCTCGCCTTGCTAGAAAGACCAACGTTTCAACTGTCGCGCATTACGCTGTACTCAATGCGTTCAACTGCGGAGACGATGCTGCCAAAATAGAGCATGCTAGACTGCTTTGGAAAGATGATCAGCACAGACAAGCTATTCGAAGTCTTGAAGGTGCCATTGCGTCCAACACATTCGCCACTCATGACCAGAAGGCGATTGACACCAGTAATTCCGATGAAGCACAGCAGAAGCAGAACATGCTCTCTGCGAGGGCGCATCTGCTGCTAGCTAAATGGCTGGATGCTTCTGGACAGACGCAGGCGACCAAAGTTGTAGTCAAGTATCAATATGCCGCTAGGCATTACTCGAGATGGGAGAAGGGTCACTACTATCTAGGAAAACACTACAACATGCTTCTGGATGCTTCTAAAACTCTTCCTGCTCACAAGCAGTCTGACCCGTTCGTCTCTGGAGAACTGACTAAGCTGGTCATCGAAAACTACTTGCGATCCGTACCATTCGGCTCGAAATACTGGTACCAAACAATCCCAAAGATCATCACGCTCTGGCTGGATCTAGGTATGGATTGTATACAGAAGACCCGAAATGACGCACAAAGCGAAGTGATGGTCAAACGTTCTTCCTGGCTCGATGCAATCCACAAGCAGATGAAAAAGTACTTCGACAGAATACCTCCGTACATTTTCTACAACGCTCTACCTCAGATGATCTCACGTATCACTCACCCAAACACCAAGGTTTACGAAGTTTTGTCAACAATCATCCAAAAGATTGTTACGGCCCATCCCAGCCAAGCACTTTGGTTCGTGCTAGCGGTTTGCAAGGCCTCCGCACCAGACAGAGCAAGTCGTGGCGTGGCCATCATCAACAAGCTGAAAGACCCGAAGAACAGACCCAAGAATGAATCAGCCGGTCTTGACTTGCGCGTGATGATAACGCATGGTCAAAAACTCTCGGATGGTCTGCTACAAGCTTGTGAAATTCACATCGAAACACGTTCGGCGAACGTCAGTCTATCCAAGGATTTAAACTTCAATCACAAGTTGGCGCCTAACCCTCTTGTCATACCCTTGGAGTCTACCCTGACAGCCAATGCTCCAGTCGTACAGGATGCATTCCATATTCGGAAGTTTGTGGCGTTCGCCCAGGAGCGTATCACCATACAAAGCTTCAGTGACGAAGTTTTGGTGCTCAACTCTCTTCAGCGACCACGAAAGTTGACAGTGAGAGGCTCGGATGGCAAACAGTATGGACTCCTGTGCAAGCCAAAGGATGATCTGAGAAAAGATCAACGTCTGATGGAGTTCAACACGATGATCAACAGAGCGCTGAAACGAGACACGGAGTCAAGCAAACGACGACTCTACATCAAAACGTATGGAGTGACGCCATTGAGTGAGGAGTCCGGCACCATCGAGTGGGTGGAGGGCATCAAGCCTCTGCGCGATATTCTTCTCAAGCTGTACCAGCGAAAGGGTGTCCAGCCTAACTACAACGAATTGCGAGTTTTTCTCGGCGAGGCGAGCGCTAATCCGGCCAATGTGGACATCTTCACAGAAAAGGTGCTGAAGGTGTTCCCGTCGATCCTTCATGAGTGGTTCGCCGAGATGTTCCCTGAGCCTGACTCTTGGTTCGCTGCTCGACTGAGATACGCCCGCTCGGCAGCAGTCATGTCAATGGTAGGACATGTACTCGGCCTTGGCGATCGACACGGAGAGAACATCTTGCTACAAGAAGATACCGGTGGCGTGTTCCATGTCGACTTCAACTGTCTGTTCGACAAGGGACTCACGTTCGAGAAACCAGAACTCGTTCCTTTCCGCTTGACACACAACATGATTGCGGCAATGGGAGCTTATGGCTACGAAGGACCTTTCCGCAAATCAGCGGAATTGACATTGGGCTTGCTTCGTCAGCACCAGGATACGTTGATGAACATCCTGGAGACATTCTTGCACGATCCCACTACCGATTTTATCGGCAAGAAGAAGAGGACTACGGTGGGAGTGCCAGAGACGCCGCAAGAAGTTTTGGATTCAGTCAGCGGAAAGCTCAAGGGATTCCTCAGGGGAGAGACTGTGCCGTTGAGTGTGGAGGGACATGTCAATGCATTGATTGGACAGGCTACGGATCCGTGGAATTTGTGTCAGATGTACATTGGATGGTGTGCGTTCTTGTAGAGATTTCCTACAGGAAGAGAGGAGTTTCGGTTGTTTAGAACAGGACAAAAGTGGCTTGCTTGGTAAGAACAGTTAGATATTGGAAACACACAGAGAGGGGTGTTCATCAGTGGGAGGTGAAATGATAGCTCGTTATTCGTCCACATCCTGTATCAGATTACACGACTATCCTATTCAGCTGAAGCGACACCCACATATCTTCTTCGTTAGTTACTCGTGAGCTTTCTTCCCAAAAGATTTTGGATGGAATCTGATCACATCAAGTCAGGGTTGCAGCCCCAGCAACTATCTCAAGACGGAAACTCTCGTTTGCTCTCCATAGACATTGCTTTTGGGGTCTGAGATAGCTTCTTTGAGAGTACAATATGTCCTGCCTTGTATATGGGGGGGCGTCAGGGCATCTAAAGAGCATGTGGCCGACATTGACGAAGATATTAATCGAGCAGCTCGAAGTTTGGAAGACGGGCTCGACCTCGGTGTGATCTTCATCGCACTCTGAGCCAAGCAAAATATCTACTCATCACTGCATAACAAGCGGCTCAATTGGGATACTCGAGAGTTGCAAAGTTGAACAAAAAAGAGAAGCGCTAGACTTCGAGTTGATTTGAGTTCTTATGACTATGGAGTGCACCTTGCAAAAACAAGAGCCAAAAGATTAAAATTCCGACACGGGGAATTGAACCCCGGCCTCCTCGGACCTAGTTGTTCCATTGGTATAGAACGGTATGAGAGCGAGAAATCCTAGCCACTAGACCATATCGGATGTTGTTGAAGCATTTGATATCAAGCTTTATTATATACTTTTGCTGTGATCATTGACCGTGCTTTCCACGAGACATCAACGTGAGCTTCCCGACACCCGAGCCGCTCTCAACGCGTCACATCTTATCAATCGCGTCGTCGTAACCTGAATCTCAAAAAACACCCGAGTAAAAGCACAAAAACAATGAACAGTACACTACTGAGTCCAGACGCCAACAGTATGTTGCCTCCTAGCTTCACACACATGCAAAAACGAATCCATGATGACAGCAAGCTCACACAATCTCCAGAGGTCAACGCAGCAGAGCTCAATGCCAAAGTAGACGCCGCAATCAAGAAGTCGGGCTCGGATTGGGATAATCTGCCCGAAAACCATGCGTTGCTCAAAATGTCTGCGAAGCTGGGCGAGCTGATCGCAGAAGCGGGATATGCTGAGATGTATGGAGTAGAGCTGTCTGCCCCTGCTGAAGAGTACAATCACCACCACCTACCTCTACCTGTCCCATATACAAAAACAAATCAGCTAACTGCAGACTCCGAAAAAAACACAGAGGAAAACCCGCACCCTTCAGCACCCTCCTCATCCTTCAAAAGTTCCTCCGCGCAAACCAAGGCCAAGTCAACAAAGCAAGCGAACAATTGTTAGGAGCACTGAAATGGCGCAAAGAGTTCAAGCCGCTGCAAGTCATGAAGCAAGTGTTTGACAAGACGAAATTCCAAGGCTTGGGATACGTGACGCACCTCAAGAATGTACCCGGCAGTCCCAACGACGAGGACATAGCAACCTTCAACGTCTACGGCGCAGTAAAAGATACGAAAAAGACATTTGGCGATCTAGACGAGTAAGCAAGACACAACCACAACGAGGCCCAGAGAGTGACCAGCAGGGACAAACTCGAACTGACCACTCTACAGATTCATCCGCTGGCGCGTAGCCCTGATGGAGTTGACAATCTCCTCCCTCTCCCTCTCGACAACCTCCACTCCAATCCCCGACTACACCAAAGGCCCCGACCCCCACCTCGCCTTCCAAATCCACGACTACCTGCGCGTCTCCTTCCTCCGCCAACCGCCAGAAGTAAAAGCCGCCTCCCAAGCAGCCATAAAGCTCTTCACCGCCCACTACCCAGAAACTTTAAGCGTCAAATACTTTGTCAATGTACCGTTGGTCATGCAATGGATGTTTGGAGCCATGCAGGTGTTTATGGCTAAAGAGACGGTGGCCAAGATGCAGTGGATGAGCTATGGCGAGGAGTTGCACAAGTATCTTGGTGATGGGGTGGGGAAGGCGTATGGTGGTCAGGGGCCTGAGTTGGAGGAAAACAGCGTCACGCCATCGTATGAGCAGCAGCGCTCTGGAGATGCTGTTGCTGATGCTGCTGCTGCCAAGGAGATGGCTATTTGATCATGATTGATGTTTCTTAACGATTGTCGTTTTTGCACCTTTGCCCAAAGGCACGGCTTGCTCGCTTTGGTAATGGTAATCCAAATCTCCTGGTTAGAATAAACAACTCGCTCGAACGGTGCTACACCACAACTCAAATGAATAAGGTGAGTCGAGCTGATCCAGTCACACGCCAAACAGAAGCATGGAGACGTAGGGTCTGTCCGATTTGTGTCTACTCATACTCAGATAGATAGTGCACTGTCAACATCGGCTGGCACTCGTTTCCATTCTTACCAGTCCCAGCCATAGTCATCCTCAGATGGTATCGGATACACTGAGAACACCGCACTGTCAAAGACTTCCTCGCTCAGAGTCTTGTCTCCCTCCTAGAAGAAAGCAGGAATCAAAAAGTCAGACTCCGAATCCCAAGCTGACTTTGAAATTCTGCGCATCTGTACCTCGTTCTCGGCCAACTCACGAACAGGCCCTTCATAGGCAGATAATTTCTCCATGAAAGAATCTCTTAGTGGCAGTGGAAGGACTTCCATGCTCGAGAACGCCGAGCTCAGAGTCGAGACGCAGTCACTCAAAGCTCTGCCTTCGGACAAGAAGGTCCAACCGTAGGTGTCCGCGTCGTGCTCGATCATGACAAGATCATCAGAATAATCTTCGATAGGCTTATCGTTCCAATCGACAACAAGCTTGCCGTTCCAGTCAAGAACAGGCTCGTCATTCCAATCGCCGATGATATCGTAAGGCAAATCCACAATCGGCTCCTCAAGCCACTCAGCACCGAGAGCGTAGGCTTGGGTAGTGGCTGATTCGGCATGTACCAGTCCTGTCATTCTACCTTCCTCGCAACTACGTAGTGACTGGGAAGAGTGTATAGAGCGCTCCTCGAGATCGTAGTCGTCCTTGTGGTACAGGGTACATCTCGTCGACGGTATTTGTGACTTGAGATGTTCGTCCTTGCTAGACTCGAGATCGGAACTCAAGGGGGCAGCCAGATCGAACGGGTCAACGTCATGGAACCATGGTAGTTTTGCTGCTACGAATGTTGAGGCGCTATCATCATCTTCTGGAGAACCCTTTGGCAGACATGTGTTCTGGCCGACGGTTTCGAGGATGGTGGGACCTAGGATCCATGGTGTCACGATTGACACATCGCTCGGAGTAGACGCGGTAACTCGTGAGTTGTGCATGAGGTCAGGCAAGAATACCTTAGGTGTCAACAACGGAGTGAGAAGGCCGATTTCGGCTGCTGTCATCAGAGCGACCGGTGGAGATGGAAGTGGAGGATACGAGCCCTTCCTGGGTGGTGAAAAGAAGTTGATCTCAAGCTTTGACCAGTCCGTATCAGACGTAGGTTGGAGATGCGTTGTAGGTGGAGGCACTGAAGGCAGTGCTGAAGGTCGCCATTTGACCACTTGCATGGGCGAGAAATCGAGTTCCGGCAGTTGGACGTTGGAGTTGTGGTCATTCGTCCTGATGACATTGTCGAAACGATTCGACAGTTCGGCGTCCAGATTAGCAAGCTGAAGTTCGACAAACTCCTTTCTCTTGTGATCCCTCGCTCTTCTGCGTCTCGAACGGCGGTTGGCGAACCATGTAGATTTGCGTTCGTCAAAACGAGTCAAGGGCTCGAACTGGTTCCCTTGATGATGTAAGTATATCATGTATCATTAGGACAACGGCCACGGCATACTGTTTGGATGCCAATCAGAAGTGATGGTGAGAGGAGGATTCATCATCCAGTTGTGATTAAAAGTAGTGGTATTTGCAGCATCTAGACAAGGTTGGTGCAGTCTCTCCCTGCGAGTTTGGCGTCTGGTGTCTTCGTATCTGGGGTGTTTCCGGACCGAGCCACGGGGACGAACCATATTGATAGGTGTTATAGGCGGAGAATAGGGATGGTTGTGAAGATATGAATTGATGCCGCGAATAGAACAAGTCCAGCGAGATGGCAGCTGTAGAGTTCACGACCTGCTCCGATGCTGGTCGTGACTTCTCTTCGCATGGTCTCCGGGCAGTACGGCAGGTTCATCAGCACGTGTTCACATTCGATGCTTCCTTCTCAATGAAGGAAGTCACAACATCAGAACTTTGCCTTTGGGAGAGCAACGGTATTCAACGCCCTCCTAAGTTACATACATAGAGTCTTTGGTTCAACATCTGCATGGCATTGAAGAAGATATGCTCGAGGAGTTCACGTATGCATTGATTCCTTACCTGAGGGAGGCTTGGTCGATTTACAGCACTCAACGAGGACTTTCGTGTGAGACAATCTTGGATGTCAGTCTTTACCAAGCAATACGGGTGATTGACTGATCAGCAGGGCGTGAGAATGCTTTTCTCGTGACTCGGAACACGCGATGGTCCATGAGGTGGCAGCATCTCGGATGCAGCGGAGCACCTGGAGGATTCTCGAAGCGAAAAGGGCAATGCGATGCGGGGTGCTCAACCATGATGTCACATTGAAGCTACACGATGCTATTCCTGGATGCAGACGGCGAGTATAGCAGACGTGGCATGCTGTGTTCGAGAGGCGAAGAGTTGCCAAAGGATGGATGTCTATGGTATGAGTGCACAGAAAGAGCGTCGCAAGGTTGATTGTCTCTTGATCGGCACAATTGAAGAGCGGTGGCTTGAAGAAATGTTTTGTGAAACGCGAGGTTCCTGCAGATGCGGACCGTGCGCGTTACGAAGACAGGGTCCTGCTGGCCAACGGTTTGGTACGCGTATCGTCGTCACTCTTTTTCTTTCTTGCTGAAGCACGCCCACCATCTTTCGACAAACACAGCATTGTTTCGTGTGTTGCCACGTATCACTATCCTCGAGGCCTGGAGTCATTTTCTTTCGCTCTGGCTCTTGAACAGAAGCGTTCCTCGTCGAATCTCATATTTTGAACGTCTACCATCTCCAGGTCCCACATTCATTTCTCGAGTGTAGATCCGACAGATCGCCAAGGCACACGACTCGTTCTCAGCCTGCAGAGTCGTCGTTTCACCAACAGCAGAGGCGTTGGTCGACATTTAGACAGACGCCTCCCACGCCGGCCAAGGCGACCTCGCTATTGACATGTCTATGAGACGCTCCAATTCGCAACGATTGTCTCGCCACGGCTTTTCTCCCATCCCACACGACAACATGAACAACGGTGACGCAACCATCGACATTCCTCTGCAAGAGGTCCACTCGACCGCTCAGAGGAATGACAGCAACACTCCTCTCGCCGCAAACTCGCATGGCCTCGGCCTCACAAAGACCAATTCACGCCAGCCTCCACGCAACATCGCCGGACGACGAGCCAGGAGGAACATCAACGACACTCAAGTTGGCTACGATGGTGAAGAGGACACGCTCAATCGCATGGGCAGAATCTACAACAAGATCCTCAACTTCAGCATCATCACCCGCTACTTTGTCTACGTCTCTCCACTGGCACTCTGCATAGCCATTCCCATCATCATCGGAGCCACTACTGCTCCCCACGCAAAGATTGGAGGCGTGCCAATCGTCTGGTTCTTCACATGGATTGAGATTGGTAAGTACTCGCACCGGCCTTCGTCTTCCTGTTGGCTAACTCTCGACCAGTGTGGTTGAGTTTGTGGGGATCCAAGATCGTCTCCCATTTCCTTCCCTTCGTCTTCCAGTTTGTCGCCGGTGTCGTCAGCTCGGGTACTCGCAAGTACTCTCTTATCATCAAGGCCCTCGAGATCCCCTTGTCACTGGCAGGATGGGCCATCACGTCTTTGGCCACCTTCATGCCTCTCATGACCCGCAATCCATACGGCCGCGCCCACAACCAGGGCCAAACACACTGGATGAAGATCATGAACCAGATTCTCGCCGCCTGTCTGATCGGTACCCTCGTGCTGTTGGTCGAAAAGTTCTTCATTCAGCTCATCAGCATCAACTACCACCGCAAGCAGTTCAACGCCCGCATCAAGGACTCCAAGCGCAACGTCTTCCTGCTGGGTCTGCTCTACGACGCCTCCAGAACCCTCTTTCCTGCCTACGAAGTCTTTGCCGAGGAAGACTACATGATTGCCGATCAATTGAACCTCTCTATGCTTGGAAAGAAGGGCGCAGGTCACAAGCGCTCCGGGTCAGTCACTCCGTTCCGCCTGCTGCAGAACGTCGGAAGATTCGGTGACCAGGTCACTTCGGCCTTTGGCAACGTCGCTCAAGAGATTACTGGAAAGCAGGTTTTCAACCCTAACAGTGCGCACTCTATTGTTACTGGCGCTCTCGAGAAGAGACGTACCTCCGAAGCTTTGGCCAGACGTTTGTGGATGTCCTTTGTCATGGAGGGCAAGGAAGCTCTGTATGAGGACGATCTCGTCGAAGTCCTCGGTGACAACCGCAGAGAAGAAGCCGAGGAAGCTTTCATCATGCTCGACAAGGACTGCAACGGTGACATTTCCCTCGACGAGGCTGTCCAGCAGATCATCCAGATCAGCCGTGATCGCAAGGCCCTCGGAACCAGCATGCATGATGTCGACCAAGCCATCAATGTTCTGGACAGACTGCTCATGGTCATCGTCTTCATCATCATCATCTTCACCTTCATTGCCTTCCTCAACGCCAGCTTCACCACCACCCTGGCCACTGCTGGAACAACTCTTCTTTCCTTGTCATTCGTCTTCTCCGTCACCGCCCAGGAAGTCTTGGGATCCTGCATTTTCTTGTTCGTCAAGCACCCTTACGATATCGGAGATCGTGTTGACATCGGAGCTGATCACTTTGCTGTTGATCACATCTCTTTGCTGTTCACTGTCTTCCGCCGCGTCAGTGGTTTGGAGGTTGGTAAGAGTGTCCAGATCCCTAACAACGTGCTCAACGCTCTCTGGATCGAAAACGTCAGTCGCAGTAAGCTCATGAAGGAGCAGCTCACCCTCGACGTTAGCTTTGATACCACATTCGAGGACATTCAACTCTTGAAGAACGAGCTCATCACATTCGTCTGCGACAAGGACAACAGTCGCGACTTTCTTCCTGATATCGACGTTGAAGTCTTGGGAACCTCCGACATGTCCAAGCTGCAGCTGAGAGTTGAAGTCAGACACAAGGGCAACTTCGCCAACGAGACTCAACGTGCTTCCAGACGATCCAAATTCATGTGCGCGCTTGTTCAGTCCCTTCGCAGAGTGCCTATCAATGGTCCTGGCGGTGGTAGTGATGCACTTGGTGGACCCGCCAATCCAACATACTCGGTCTCAGTCTCGGACGGATACGCTACTGAAGCTCGTGAAGCTTCTGCTGATGCCAAAGATAAGGCTAGGCTTGTACCAAACAAGAAGGTCGAGGATGCCATGAGTCCTTCTCAGACACGTTCGAAGCACAACGGCACCGGTCCTCTTGGTCTTTCGGCTAAGGAAGCCGCAATCGTAGACCACCTACACTCCCAAGCACCTGGTCTGGATACAACTCGTGAGGAGCCATGGATGGAGAATGACAGCAGTACATTGGATGAACGCACGAGCAACGACCGTGCCCAGAACCTTGAAGAGGTCAGAGGCCTGCTGCAAAGAGAGAACACCAAAGGCAAGCGTCGCCCGTCGAACCACCCCATGTCACAGCCTAGCGTACCGACGATCTCTGAGCCAGTGCCTCCGATAGCATACTCCGGATACGCTCAAGCAGCCGAAGCAAGTCTTGAAGTTGACGAATATGAGCAATACCGCACCCAAGCTCAAGGTGGTCAAGGCCTGAACCTCAACATCCCCAACACTGGACCTGCACTTCCCACCAGCCCATCTGCTTACGTACAAGGCTCGAGCTACGTGGACGCAAGCAGAACGACATCTGGACGTCAACCATCAGAGATGAGCAGAAACCCTAGCAACCCTTACCGCCAGCAATCTACCAGAAGGGCTTCGAATCCTTATGACAGCGATTGATCTGCTTCTCATGACTAAGCGATGAGTCAGAAACCTTCGGATTGCTTGTCGACTCGACTCGGATGACTCTTTTGATTTTCTGTTCATAGCCTGTTTTTCATTCACTTTCTGTTTTTTTTCTCCATCAGCTGCGTTCATTTCATGTACACTCTCGCAATAGCATAAAAGCACGGACATGGGAGTTTTCTGATAGCATTTCACCGGGTAGACAAAAGGGCACCGATCACGCTCACAATGTTTTTGACGTTATTCTTTGCAAATTGAGTGGCACGCAAATCAAGGTAGAAATAAATGATTGGGGGCGTCTTTGAACATGACAATAGCTCGAAGCAAACTACCACACCCCAGACGTTTGATACCGATTCACGTGAAGATTCGAGAGATGAATAATGGTAGTAGAGGCTTGGAGATACCTTTTCTAAAGATAACCAAAGTCCGAAGTCCTGAATACAGGATCCTCAAACGGCAAGAACGAATTCGGAAGCCCAAAGTCTGGTATCATGAATGAATCATTGCCGCTTCCGAAATCGTTCTGCTGGGCTGCAGCAGTTCCACCCAGCATATCCATCTGTGTTGCTGTGCTGCCAGTGCCATAGTGCTGCTCATTCATGTACTGGAAGCCGCCGTTGAACAGTTGAGCAGCAGCTTGCGTGGGCGTCCTCATTGACGCCTCTACCATCTTCTCCAGCCCTTCTGCCATGAAGCGGACTAGATGGTACTTTCCCGTTGGCATCAGACGTAATTGCGCCACCAGACGATTGATCAAGTCATGCACCTGAGTGCGTTGCACCAGATCTCCATCGTGCTTTGTGGTCATTTGGAGCAGGAAGCCGCATGCAAAAGCTACCATGGTGTGTAGATAGTGTGGCATGCCCACTAGACCTGCGCACATGTCTGTGTCTGACAACAGCACTTCGACGATTGTTCGAGCGGCTGATACGGCAGACGAGGCTGAAGAACGGAAGTAGTGGGGTATGGGGATCTTGGCTAGGCCTCTGAAGATGTGGGAGTGGAGGTGCAGGCGGGCGAGGTTGGAGTGCAGGAGGACGCCTTTGGAGGGCCAGTCTCCGATGTCGTCGCGTCGTCCTGTAGAAGGTGATTGTTCAGTGACTCGTTTTGGCAAAGAGGGGAGGGAGAAACAGATGTAATGCTTACTTAGATGTGTGTACCAGGTTTCTACCCATCGATCGATCTGATGGTCAAAAGACGCAATATGCTCCGTCAGGCTCTGTGGTAGTGTTTGTGTGTTTCTGCTGTGTCGTTCGAAGAACTCTCTGACTGAGCCCATGATTACCATGATGGCAACCTGACTTGCAGTCCTTCGGTCTTGCTCCACTGCCACTCGCACTTCCAGATATCGCTCCCAGCCCTGTAAACTAGGATCGTCGATTCGTATTGTCGTGGGTCGACCATAGAGAATGCTCAGATGCTGATCACAGATGTAGAGCATATACCATAAACGAAGACAATCCGCAGCATCTTCCGAACCATCATTCAACACTCTGTAATAGTTTGAACTCAGATTGATGCCCATAGCCCGTCGAATCGCATGTCCGCAAAGGGTGTAGGAGATATCACTCAACCAGTAGGATCCAATACACATGGCTCGCAGATATTCACGATCGGTGCGACGCACAAACATGGATTCTGAAAGTACTCGTTTCAGCTCTCGCAAACAAGGTCCAAAGAGCTGGTTGCTGTCCGGATCGTGCAATGCAGCTACCGTCAGGATTGCGTTTGTCAGAGCCACCGAGCGCCGTCGTATAGATTGCAGGTCGGTGAACTTGTTCGCAATGCTGTAGGCGTAGTGATCCAGCCGTCCAAGATATAGTCTCGTGAGTCGCTCAGCTTCCTCAAGAGATACAATGCCTTTGGACACCACATCTGAGCCCTCGTCGACCTTGCTCTCATCTCCAGAGTTCTCGGCTCGTAGCGAACGCAACCGTGTGATCTGATAAAGTGATTCGATAGGAACGTTTTGTACAGACTCTGTCTGCGGTGGTAGTTTGGGAGAGTTGTCACAAGAGGGACCGACGTCTTCGACTTTTCCGACCACGGTATCTTCGTAAGGTGAGGTTTCTTGGGGATCATCTGTTGATGGTGCTTTGAGTGGCTGTAGTGCTGGCATCGATAGTCTCTTCAAGATATCCTGGACAGCTCCGTGCATGTTGACGATATCCCGATGCATGTCGTCCTTCCATTGCGATCGTTCACTGATCAAGGTTTGCAGACTTTTGTTCAAGACACAGGAGAGGCCCCGCTCTACGCAACGTCGACATGGCGGTTCTCCGTTGTTGTTATCCATAAGACATTTGATCTAGCCAGAGATAAGCGATTCAGTGCGGTATACTAGCAGAATTCACATGGCGACAGTACCTTTTGTTTGCGACAAGCAGCACATGCTTTGACCTTTCGCGATATCTGGATTTGGGATGGAGAATCCAGTTGTGGGCCTTGTGGTGGAGACATGGAAGTAGCGTTGGTCGCACTACGAGAACCCTACATGTCATAAGCCTCTTTTTTTTTGCATCGTAAACCCAGAGTCAAGAGATTTCAATTACCGAGTTCATCTCGAGTAAGCCTTGAGCGGCATTCGCCACGGACCAAGACCTCTTTGACATGGCCGCGAGGGCGAAGAGAGACAGAGATGGGATCGGTCGGTAAAGACTGGGGTCAGCGTTTCGTAGTCACGCGTCTCATATCTCCTCAAGACGGCCCTGTTACGATAAAAAAACTCATACAACAAGCTAGTAATAATGTCGCGATTCTTGACGAAACAAAAGTAGAAAGGTAGGTAGCTTTCCCCAGTCGTTGTCTTGGCCGAGGCCTTTGCGAGATCTCCTCGTGGCAGGTAGAAAGATTGCGGAGAAAAGAGACTGCCGAGATCGGATCGGGTGCATGTTTGAATTGTTGCGTTGGATTGTTGACAACATTAGCCGACCCGACGCGTGCTTGTTTCTCACCTCCACTTTCTAATCTAGACTCCCGTCGATATGCAGCTTGATCTTTGGTGTTCATTGTTGGTATGTCTCACGCGCGACTTTGAGCTTGGTGCTTAGTACAGTTGGAACTGAGATATTGTCGATGCAGCCTGTGTTCAATACAACACGGCGAGGTAACGGTATGCTGACATAAGAACGCCCACAACTTCGAGTACGAATGCATGAATGTGTCGACGCCTCTGGGCGCATGATCCCCCGAAACAGACAATATCCAGCTGAAGTCTTCGACCAGGTCAAGAGTTATATGAGTTCGTTTTCTACACGCAGGGCGCCTTCGATCCACAGCCACGCACCATTCTTCGAATTAGGTCGTCGGTGGTGAGAATATGGCTGCTTTGAGTATTTGTGCTTGCAAAGAGGAATTTCACCTTGGGTCAGACCTTGCTGAATCCACGATATGGATGTTTGATCTGACGCGAGAATGCTACGTAGTAGCAAGAGTGCGAAAGAGGTGGCACTGTTGGTCCAGTCAGCATACGAACGATGTCTGCTAACATAAGATTGGACCTCTGTATATAAAGGCAAGTTATTGCACACCTTGATCTGCTCATCACCAGCAACATCAAGCAGAACACCTCGACCCCATCAACAACATACACCAACACCAACACCTATCCCCCAAATCCCCTTTCAAGGTCAGTTCAAGATGCTCTACAGCACCGTCATCGCCTTGACTATGGCCGCATCTGCCATGGCCACTCCAGTCAAACGCGCCGTCTTCGATTGCAACGTCGCCTACGTCAGCTGCATCGCAAATCCGTATCTATCAGACAGCTACTGCAACGACACCCGCAACACATGCGAAGCCTGCTGGCAAACCGAACAGTCCTGCAGAGTGACCGCAGACTACGCCAAAGGCATCCAATGCACCGTAGATGCTCAACTCTGCTTCCACACCACCGAAAACCCTGGTTCCGTCTATGGAGAATACGATTGTGATGCTTCATACAGCACTTGTGCCTATGCCCCCGATACCAATCATGCGTTTTGCGCGGCTCAGAATGCTGCTTGTGGGGCTTGTGAGACGCAGGAGAATCAGTGTCGTAGTGCTCCAGGTGCTAATCAAGCTGGATGTTCTGCGCAGTCTGCTGGCTGCTTTAGGGATGCTGTTACTTCCAATGGCTCTTACACTGGCTAGAGCGATGGTTGCTCAGGAAGGCTGTTGGCAGATGATGGATGCGGACAATGGTGAAGATGCTTCTTACTTCCTCCAATGTTTTGTTCTTCTTTCTGTAGGAAGTGTTCACGGAGTAATGGTTTCTCGTACCAGTATGCGTGCAACAATACCAGTTTGGGTCCTCGACAGAGCATTAATACTCGTCCCAATCTTGATGACTTCCGGACGAGCAGTCCCTCCAAATCTGCAAGCAAAGGCAGTTACCCGAAGCAACCAACACCGCCCGCTCTCCTCGCCAAACTCGCGTACATTCAAGTTGTCTAGGATAGGATCTCTACAGCTGCAGTTGCATGGTGCGCACATTTTCATAGCACATCTGGTCATGTGATCAAGGAATCCCTATAGCGGTGTGTCTTACGTGTTGCCGATGAGTTCAAAGAGGTTGAAAAAGCAGCCTTGCATGCGGGCTGCTTTTCAACTCTTTAGCGGCTGCGGACCTGCTTAGATTTCTTTGTGATACCAACGTATTCTTCTTGATTTCGGCTTTCTGCTTTTTTGTTTCTTTGGTAACGAAGCTGAATATCGATTGCGTCCACCACTTTGTCCTCTTTTCAGAGGCTCAATGTTGTGCAGACACTATGACGCTCAGGAGTCAGGACTATATGCACGCAAGCGAGTCCAGACAATAGAGTTTCCCATTAGCGAGTCCGTACTGCAAACTCTGTGCGTGAGTAACCGGCACCTGCGAGCTCACAGTAATCTCAATTACAGTCACACAAATCTCATATGGTTTACGAAAACGAAAGGTAGCGTTCCGTCTTCCTTGATCATTGCTGGCTGTCGTGGAAACTGATAATCTTAAGATATCGATAGAGCAGGCAGACACCTAGAAATAGTTCCTCTCTGCCTCCGGCCGTCTTGGCACCGACGGCATACACAATATCCACTCTTTCAAGATCCTTCACGCATTGTCCTGCCGCCATTTGTGCTCTCATCGTGTTTAGATGACGGAGCTTTGTAAATCAGTCGATCTCTGGTCGATCTGTGCATCCCGCCGCCTTCTCGATACGAGAGTGAATCGGTATATAACGTAGCTATTTCCTACAAGTCAAAGTGCATCTTTTCCTCACAAGAAAGACTTTCCTCCATCCAATTACTTCTCGTACATCATTGTCACAATGAGGACCTCTCCCCTGCTCACAAGCCTCTCTGCGGTCTCTGCTGTATCCGCAGCAAAGTCCTACATCCCGTACATTTGGAACAACACTGCTCCGGATGTCCACAACCTCCCCGTTCAAGCTCGTTTCGGCTATTTCTATGCCGGTGGCAACGCCGACACTGTGTGCCCGTCATCAGACCCGGACTGCTCCTCGAGCGACAAGACCATTCTGTATGGCCCTACCGCCAGCAAGTACGACGACAAGCCAGAGGCATTCTGGCTCAGCATTCTCGACCCTCAGGGCCAGGAAGTGGTTACCGATGGCGTCCTTGGCTTCGAATACACTCTGCCCAAGACAGACTTGGTCTTGCCTTACGACAATGCCGTCAACACGCCTTTCGAGGTCGACCTTGACGATTTCTCCAACCAGACCGTGTTACGCTACAACGGCAATGATTTCGTCACTTGCGAGCCTGACGGTATCATTTACCCTCTGGCCATGGGTAATATTGTCTACGCTGGCAATTTCAAGTGTACGCCTTTCAAGATGAGATTGGAAGAGACCGACGCTCAGCCCGTCGAGTACTACAAGCGGGATTGCGACTACGGGTTCAGAATCACACATCCTAGCCTGTGTCTTAACGGACCCATGTGCTGTGGTATCCCTGGCGACTGCCCTAAGGGCGTCTCGGCCGATGACTTCAAGAAGATGCACAATATCACAGACTGCCCTTAGAGAACCTTTCTCTTCCTTGTCGTCTGCGAGAATGACGTGCTAGGAGTGGATTGCTGTGTGCACGTAGTATCCATCTCCAAAGCTTTGAACAGAGCACTATGGCTTTTGTGCTTCAACTTGCTGTTGGACGGATCAAGATTTGCATCTCTCCAGCCATGATAAGGCATAGTGCCATTAGCATCGATCGATATGCAAACATTGTGGCCAGTCGGAAAACACTCATAACCTCTCGATCTGCCAATCTTCCTGAGCTTCTAATCTGAGCGGCTATTGATGCCATTGCTTGTGTTCTGCTTTGAACTCAAGAGATAGTCGCTTCGATAGACTACGAAAAGAATAAGTAGAAATGTTGCACCATGGCCCCCTGGTACCTCGGAGATCTGCCACAATGTATCGTTCACCGCGGTCGTCTCGCGCGTTATATCCAACGACTCGATATGGATATTTTAATAGCACCTCGAGAATCAAAACTGCGAACTGTTGCTGTCACCACAGATTGGAGGTTCCTTATAGGAAGGCAGTGTAGTTTTTGCTAGGAGATCAGTTTGGAACCGTGTGAGAAATACGCTAATCAGCTGAGGTCGATCTTGAGAGTAGCCAAAGAAGTAATCCCGTATATCTGTGTCGTCCAACCGTCTAAGCGTGTCTTAAATAGCTGTCTGCCACGTACAGTTGTTACAGTCCAGTCGACGTACCTCACACACTGTGGGGAAGTCATTTCTAGATATGAGTTAGTCGGGCAGTCTATACCGATAGGTATTGAAACTGGCTCGAAACTCCCCTGCAAAGGCGCAAGGGAGCACAAACTCCAACGAAAGGATACGCCAATGGAAAAACAGAGGGTCAATCATCTGCAGGACCAATCGAAGAACACAAAGGTCAGCATAGCGTCAAAAGGGCCTAGCACAGCTGCAAGACTTGGGATGCCTCAGCCCATGCCAAGAGCAAGCTCGATAATTCTGGAAGCGGCTGTCGCGTGAGCAGGTAATCGGAGATGCTTCGATTGGTCAATCGGTTCAGCCTCCGTCTGTTTCTAATCCGGGAGTCGGTAATCACCTTCGAGTTCATTGGCTACTTGAGTGAAAGCTGAGCAATAGAGCTCTCGTGATTGGACAATAGCTATGTCATAGGTAAACAGCTCACTGAACCATCAATGCATATAAATGCTAACACCACCCAGTACACCACCACACCTCACCTCTACATCATCCAACCACTCAACAAACTCACTCAACTCTACAACCTCCCTCTCTACAAACCCGCACCACTCCACACACCACAACCGCAAAACACAAGAACACCACAAACAATGTCCGCCCCCACCGCCTCCGTCCCCGTCACCTGCTGCGGCCGCCCCGGCGGCTGCGTCTGCGCAAAAGAAGCCACCTGCTCCTGCGGCAAGCAGCCCGCTCTGCACTGCACCTGCGAAAAAGCATCCACCGAAAACGCCGTCGGCGGCGCACGCTGCAGCTGCAACCAACGCGCCGCCGGTGCCTGCACTTGCTCGCGCTCCACTCAAGAAAACACAAAGCCGTCTTCTGGCGAGGCTTGCGCTTGTGGCAAGAGATCAAAGGGTGAGTGTGATGAATGATATGCTGGAGAAAACAAAGAGGAGGGTAAGGGTTAAGGGAATAGTGATGTTAATTGGTGTTGCAGATTCTTGCTCTTGCAACGGTACTGAGAGTGCTGCCGCTGCCGGTGGCGAGTACCCCGACGAAATCGACTTTACTACCAAGGCTTAACAGTGCCATGACTTCTTGACGACAATTTCTTTTTGCATGACCATCGCCAAGGTCTACCGGCGTTTTATTCAACGAGGCACTTTTATATACCAACAATTGGAAGGGAAGGAAAGGAGAAACAAACACGAAACATTTTTTTTTTTTTTTTTTTTTTTTGGAGAGAGGAGACGCAAAGTCGACACAGGCTGAAGAGCTATTGCTGCAAGCACAGCACAATCTTCTTTGCTTCTCTCGGTCTTTGCGCTTGGGACCGGCAGACATCGCAATATCAACCTTTGGGATCAGCAATGGTCAGAAACAATCATAATTACTTTTCGACAATCATTCTACATGTCATTCTTTCGACTCTCTGCACAAAACACGATCTGAATAGTGAGGCTTATACCGTCTTGTCACCTGTTTTGATACATAATTTCGTACTCGTCGCTAATATAATCCATCTACTTTTTTACTCTGTGTTGAATCCTTCAAGCAGCACCTCCACGTCCACCAACACGATCCAAAGCCTCAATCTGTTCCTTGGTGATCTTGGACTCAGGCAGAGTCTTGATACCTTGCTTAGTAGGCTTGGGCATGAACCCTCTAGCGACAAGGAAGCTCAGATACTGTCCGACAATGTCCTCGGTAACAGCGCTGCCAGCCGAAAAGTCCTGACCAGATCTTGCTGCATCAGCCTTGAGCGCAGCAGCAGAGTTTCTGTCGTCGAGCTCCGGTGCTTTGGTGCTGCCGGGCAGATCGCCGGTGACCATGTGATAGAGACCGAGTAAGGCGTGCTCTTCTTTGCCTTGCTCGACGAAGCTCTCGACAGCGTCTCTCCATGCAGGGAAGTCGACCTTGGGGGCTTCATAGCCAAAGGCTTCGAGGGCGGCGAGATACTGGTTGAAGGTTAGGCGAGGGTGGCCAGTGACGTGGCAGACAACCATGGGTGCGACGGGCTGGTTCAGAGCTGTGGCGATGACGAGTCTGGCGACGTGGTCGACGGGCACCATGTTGATGGTGTTTGTAATGTCGGGTCTAGATCCGACTTGCACGCAACCCTTGAGCATACGAATGAGGAAGTCGTCGGTGTTGGTAGTGCCAGTCTTGGGGTCACCCAGCACGTAGCCGGCACGAATGATAGAGCCGACCAGGCCTCTTCTTCCGGCTTCTTCCATCAGACGCTCAGACACCCACTTGCCCTGACCGTAACCAGTAGTAAGTCCTTGTCTGCTTCCCTCCATGTCATCAGATTCACTAACGCCAGCAGCACCGGAAGCAATGAGGTTCTTGGACAACTCCACGTAGTGATCAGAGTCGAGAGCGCTTGTAGAGCTAACAAAGGCCATCTTCTTGGTCTTGCCAGTAGCACACAACTTGATTGCCGAGATGGTACTGAGAACGTTGGCAGACTTCAGGGATGAGTAAGGCTTGAGCCAATGCACAATGGCGCCGTTGTGAATCACAACATCGGCCTCCTTTGCGACACGGTCGTACACATCCTGCTGCATGCCCAGTAGAGGTTGCTCTTGCAGATCACCAGTAACACACTCAAGGTTAGATGCCCACGAGTCTGACCAAATACCGTATGCCTGGCACGTCGCCTTGACACGCTGCAGAGCATCCTCTGTCGACTTGGCACGGACGTGTGCGATGACTTTGTTGCCAGACGAGAGCAGATCGCGAAGGATGTAAGATCCCAAGAATCCAGTTGCTCCAGTGAGGAACACTGTTTGTTGCTTGGCGGATTCTCTGCTAGCAGACTGGATCTTGGCAGGGATCTCCTTGATCAATTCAGGCAGGGTGTTTGAGTAGAACTCTTCCTGGTCATCAGTCTCAGGGGCTTGTGCATCGAGACGAAGTCCAACAGGGTTCAAGGAGCGGTCGATGTCGCCGGCGAGTTGTTGCAGAGTCGGGTTCTTAGAGATGGCACTGACTGGGATGGTAACATCCGGCCACTTTTTGCGGATCTGAGATGGGATCTGAACAGCAGCAATACTGTTACCACCAAGGTCGAAGAAGGGAACGTCTGAGGGAATGCTCTCAGCGGCATAGCTGCGGAGGTACAAAGCCCAGATCTCTGCGAGCGCCTTCTCGGTCTCCGTACGAGTAGCAGCATCTTGGATAGGCTGGCTTGATGAAGCGGCGAGCAATTCCGACTTCTCTGGGAAGGGAAGTGCTCTCTTGTCAACCTTGCCGTTGGGAGTCAGAGGAAGTCTGACCATAGGAACAAACAGAGTAGGAACAGCGTAAGAAGCCAGCTTCTTCTTCAAGTGTTCTCTGACATCATTGGTCAAGCTGTTAAACATCTTCAGCCTCTCGGGAATGCTCAAATCATCAGCCACGTTAGTGTCAGCTTCTCCCTTTTCCTGCTTCCAGACTGACCACTTGCTGAGGTCAGGAACGTAGTAGCTGACAAGAATCTGCTCCTCTTCGTGATCGCGCTTGACGAGAGTGACGTTCTCTCTGATGAGGGGATGTTGAGAAAGGTGAGTGTCGATCTCTCCAAGCTCGATACGGAAACCGCGAATCTTGACTTGATCGTCTGCTCTACCGGTACACTCGACGTTACCATCAGCAGTGTATCTTCCAAGATCACCGGAGCGATAAAGTCTGTCTCTAGGACCCTTGTAGAATTCTCTCCAGGGCTCATCCTTGCCAGCCTTGGTAACCTTCTCTTGATCTTCCTTGACCCACTTCTCGTTGTCAACGAACCAGTTCTGAACGAACTTGGAGTTAGTGAGCTCTTTGAGTTCGGGGCCAAGATAACCCTCTGCGAGACCGCCAGCTCTGACATAGATTTCACCAATCTCGCCAATCTCACAAATGCGATCTCTGTTCGAGCGGTCAACGACAAGCAGCTGAACGTCAAGCATACCCTTGCCAGCAGGGATAACATCACCCATCTTGTCGAGGTATGAAGAGTCTTCAGACTTGCTGGGGATCTCGTAAAAACTGACAGCTCTCTGAGTCTCAGTTGTACCGTACATGTTCTTGATGCGAACATTAGGGGCCAAGTCCTGCAGTCTACGGCAATCTCTCTTCAGAAGGATGTCACCAACAAAGAATGCCGAGTGCAATGAGTTGACCTTGGGCTCCAAGCTACCAAGAAGAATTTGACCCATGGCAGGAGTGAGATGGGTGACGCTAATCTCGTTGTCACTAGCCCACTTGGCCAGTCTGTCGAAGGTGATGTCCTCGGCAGGAGGCACAATAAGACGGGCGCCTAGGAAGAGAGGGGTGAAAATATCGCGCTGGATAGGATCGTGAGCGATACCACTGAGCATGGAAAAGTGGTCCTTGTCGGAAAGCCCGAAGCGCTCTTGCATCCAGGGGAAGTAGTAGGCCAGGGAGAAGTGGCGGCCCTTGACACCCTTGGGTCTACCTTCTGAGCCAGAAGTGAAAGAAAGAGTAGGTGTCGAATCAGGGCCTACAACCACGTCGGGAAGCTGAGCGCGGGATTGTTGCTGAGAGTCGAGGCAGTCGCGACCACCGACATTGCCACCAATGACTGAACCATCATCTTGCAACTGCAAGCCGGGAACTTCAGTCCTTAGTCTCAAATTCTCTTGAATGTACTCGCGGACGGTATCTGAAAGCTTTCCAGCTTCTTGAGAGGCCTTCTCGATGACCACAAGAGCACGAGGCTTGGCAACATCGAGGTAAATAATTTGACGGTCGGCAGGGTATAGAGGGTCAATGACGGAGAAAGTAGCGCCAGCCTTGAGTACACCCATTACAGCGACGACTAAATCGACACCACGGTGGGCGTAGACCATGACAACCTCACCCCGCTGGACGCCGCTGGCTACAAGGTGGTGTGCCAGGACATTACTCGATTCATTGATGTGCTGGTATGTGAAGACCTGGGAAGTTTAGCATGTAGGAAGTTGATAAGAAAAAGCGATGACGATACCCTCTTGGGAGAGTTGGAAGAAGCAGTCTCTACTACACAAGTCCTCTCGGGGTGCTTGTTCGCATTTGCAGCAAAGATCTGGTGGATAGCACCTCTGTAGTCGCTCCAGTGGAGGTCTGATGTAGGGCTGGGTCTCGGGTCGGCCATTATGATGGTTTCTGCAGCTCCATCAGCATTCATACAGCTGAGGAAGAGGGTCTTGTTAAGTACGATAATGCTGATGTTGGTGTATGGAATGATGTGGTTGGAGGTGATTTGCCCAATAAATTTCTGGTGGCCGGTATCGGCGATAGTTGGTATAGAGATGGATATGTCAATTGAGGTGGTAGACAAGACCAATTGACAATATAGCGTATAGAGAGTAGTAGATTGGAGCAAGTTGTCCGTGGAGATTGAGAAGGAAGGTCAAGACCGATGAGTCGAAATGTGTCATAGCAGACGGAGTTTTAGTCTGAGAGCCCATGGTCTGTGCGCATGGTGGTTTGCTCGAGCACGATTCATCCACCAAATCCACATGGACCCAGATTGATCCACAATCGAGTTCTTGTATCCAGATGCCGTCATGGCAGCTTCGCGGAACAGTGTAAACCAGGCGCCAGAGTCGGTCCGCTATTATTACGAACCCAGCAAATCCAAGCCAAAGGCGTCTGTCTCGGTGTCGAGCGCGGCCAAGAGCAGACACGAGAGTTCGACGCTCGAGAAACGGCCCACACTGCAGCGAAGCGCCTCGACAAGTCAAAGTCAAAGCACTCCCAGCCACCACCACAAAGCCATTGACAAAGACAAAGACAAAGACAAGGACAAGAAACAACATCGTCGCACTTCGTCCTTCCTAGGCTCCATCTTCCGACCCTCGGTCCCTGCGCCGCTTCCCGTCTCGTCGCCCGCACCCCCACGAGTCCGCACCGCCGAATGCCTGACATGCGGCTCCGACGACGTGCCTGTCACTCGATCCGCCAAGTTACCATGCGGCCACCGAATGTGTAATTCATGTCTTCGCCGCATCTTCACCATGTCTATCAAGGACCCTGTCCACATGCCCCCCAAATGCTGCAACCAAGACCATATCCCTCTGAAACACGTCGACCACCTCTTCGACGATAAGTTCAAGATCTTGTGGAATACAAAGTACCAAGAGTATACAACCAAGGACCGCTTATACTGTCCTGCAAAGGGCTGCGGCCAATGGATCAAGCCTTCCAATATGCACAAGCTCCAAGGTCGCAAGTACGGTCGCTGTCCTAGATGTAAGACAAAGGTGTGCACCCTGTGCAACAACAAGCTACATACCAGCGGCGAGTGTCCCAAAGATCCAGAAACTAAGAGACTTGTCGACTTGGCCAAAGAGAAAGGATGGCAACGCTGCTACAGCTGCAAGGCCATGGTCGAGCTCAAGGAGGGCTGCAATCATATGACGTGCCGTTGCGGTTCAGACTTCTGCATGCTCTGTGCCAGCCCTTGGAAGACTTGCGAATGTCCTTGGTTCAATAACGTCGACGTCCTTGATCAAGACCGCCTGAACCACATGCGCGTTCCCGAAGCCGTCGCAAACATGCCTCGCCACGACAGGCACGATAGAAACGAACCTAATGACAGAAACGACCGACACGAACCACGTAGAAGCCATTCTAGAAACCCGCCTATGACCTACCAGCAAGAACTTGATGCACGAAGGCGTCAGGAGCGTGCCGATGAAGCACTGGCTCGCCGTCTGTCCACCACTAACTTTTCCGAACGGCCCCTGCCCGACCGTCCCCGGCCCCGCCGACGTGACACCGTGACCGAGGAAGTCTTTGGAAACCGCGGTGATCACTTCCTCAATGATAATTACGTTTCGAGCACATCCCGCATCAACGCCAGCGTTATCGGCGACGCTGCTTTTGCTCGCCGTGGTGAGCGCGAGAGTGGTCGCAGATCGAGACGCCAATCCACATCTATGTTTGACAACGACCCTGGCATTGCGATGAACGCATTTGGTACTGAAAGCATGCTTGGCCTGGCCCCGCCGCCACCACCTGCCCAGCCTCCTGTAAGACGACCAAGCTTGAGGCAGCGACTCGGCAGTATCAGCAGCCAGAACGGCCGTGACCGAATTGGTGGATGGCTGAACAGACTCGGCTGATACGAATTATTTCCTTACGATGAACACGATATTGCCTGTTCACACTCACGACTTTGCTAGATACCCGATTCGTTAATGACACGTTATTTTCCTCTTTCACCTTGATGTTCAGAGTATTCTCATCATGATGTCAGCAGAGCTGATAGAGATTAAGATCACTCGCAGGCTTTCCCACATGACGACGTTCGTTATGTTCACTGACTCTTCAGCCAAGCACGACACATACCCGAAGGATTGCCAAGATGGAGTCCGGACCACAAATCCGCAAGATCAAGTCGATACAGACAAAAGATCGTCAAAGGATTGTAGAACGAAACAAATGTACGTAAGGACCGAGGAACACTTGCAAGACGGATAGCTCCCAGGCGCCATATATAAGAACTACAGATACGCAAGGTAGGACTCTTATAGACAAACGGCCTGATTAGCAATCCACAATGTCGAATTCAACCTCTATAAGCGACAACCCAGCCGACAGATGTCCAAGAATCACTGGATGGAGGGTCCCTCGCGCATGGAGTGACTCGGCATCCTCGAACTTCACTCAAGCCGCCTGCGCTGTCCCAGCATGCAACGACTTTCCATCCACACTGGCTGATTGCTGCGGACGTTCAAGCAATGACCTTGAATACTTTAACACCACCATTGGTCCCTATGCCTCTTGCGCACTTGCCGACAGCACAAATCCCGACACCTACCGAGCATTCCAATCCTGTCTAGCAGACAAAGAGGTCGCCTTCTTCAAGTGCAACAGTCAGGAAAGAGAAAATACCAACGACGAGTGTGGACGCGGAATCTTGCCAGCTCCCATCAACAACACTGATTGGCCAAACATGCAGATATGCAGTCTATCGGCATCGGTGAATGCTACCAGAGCCATGAAGAATTGTTGCTCGAACTACGACAGTGACTTTCTCGTTTTCAAAGACGGATGTCAGGTTGGCTGTGTGTCCAACTCGACCAACGGCACTTTCTCAGACTGTATCACAGATACCTTCAAGGATTATCAGGGAGTCATTTGTACTACCAATGATGGTAGAGAAAATCCCAATAATAGTGCTGGCACTCGGGCTTTGCCATCTCTTTCTGGCCTCTTCACAATTCTGATGTTGAGCTCGTTGATGTTGATGCTTTAGGAGAGGTGTATGTGGTTTGGAAGGGTGTACGAGTAGAAGTAGAAGATAGATCTTTCGAAGTTACACAAGGTTCGGGGTTCGGTGAAATACTGATCCGAAGCTATTTTCGTGGGAATGCATGTGCCAAGGGTTCAAGGGACCATGGTCGATCGCATCCTAGATCAAATGCAAAACAACAACTCCGCTCTTCTTGCATATTCGATGCATACCTTGCTTCAATGACTGATTTGTCTTTATTAAAAGACTTCTCTACACCATGGCAAGCATTCATCGTAGTCGCACCTCCACAATCTCCAGGTTCACCGGCTCTATCGGAACAGATACGGGGAGATACGAACAAAGGGGCGCGGCTGCCAAACCCGATTCGGGCTTAGACAACCTGTCCAAGAAACCTTGGCCAGCGGCTTTCGTGGCATGCATACGACAACAATTTGTTGACGCCGGACTCTCTTCTGTTTTTGTGATGCGTCATGCACAGAGTCCTTCTCTACACATTGAAACTCCTCCCTTGATCATGCATGAATAATTCTGATGCCGCGATTCCAAAATATTCGGCTTTTGGGAGTTGGTCTCCTGGTATTGTTGACTTATGTTTGTTGGGATAGTGTCAAGGAGGCCTTCGGGTATGTGTTGAGTGGTTGTTTCGCCTCCTGACGTGCCACTGATGTTTCGAAAGCAGTCACCATGGTTCTGTCACAAATGAGAACTTTTTTGCTTTTGGCAGTGACATTTACAAATCGCTAAAGGAAAATTCACCCGGTGAAGTCGATATACAACGAACTGGACAAGCGGCTGCCGTGGTCTTTTGGACCACCAATGCAGAGACAACCAGACCGGATCTCCTCAATCTCACTTCCAAGGATGTCACCACCATGCGGTTCGCTCACAATGCGTATTTACAATCTGCCAGACATATCAGTCTCCCTTTCCAGAAACGCTCTTCAGGAATTGTTTCTGCGGCTGCTGGAAAGTATCTCCCGGTCTTCGTCATATCGTTGAGAATGCTACGGAGAACCGGATCACAACTTCCAGTTGAACTTTTTGTCGACACCGAGGCAGAGTTGAACTCGCACACTTGTCAAACACTTCTTCCCAGCATGAATGCTCATTGTCTCCGATTGGAAAGCCGTCTGGGAGGATGGGCAAAGTACCTTGCGAGCTTCCAAGTCAAAGTCTTTGCAATTCTAGCTTCCTCATTCGAGAATGTGCTGTTCTTGGATGCTGACGCTTTCGTAACTAAAGATCCTGCTCACGTCTTTACGCATGAGCCATTCTCTTCGACCGGTCTTGTCACTTGGCCTGACTTTTGGGCATCGTCTGCTTCAGCGCATCTCTACGAGATTGTTGATCAGCCTGTACCAGCTGTGAACGCACTCGCCTCTACAGAGTCCGGGCAGCTGTTGGTGTCCAAATCCAAACATGCATTGACGCTCCTATTGTCAGCCTATTACAATTACTATGGCCCTGACAAGTACTATCCACTCATGAGTCAAGGGGGTCCCGGAGAAGGCGACAAAGACTCCTTCGTTCTTGCTGCTCGAGTAGCCAAAGCACCCTTTCACCAGGTGAAAAAGTGCGTCGACACGATAGGCTATTACGAGCATGGCGATTATCACGGAGGCGCGATGTTGCAATACGATCCGACTCAAGATTCTACCTCAACAGCCGCCAGTGTCTCCACAATGGAGATACCGCCAGACGCATTCTCCGTACATCACAACATCCCCAAATACGATCCAGTCCAGCTTTTCGATATGGGTGTATTAGTGGATGCAAAGACGGGTATACCGCATCGACTGATTGGCACTAAGGACGAGACTTTGAAGAGATTCGGAAGAGATATCGAGGCAGAGCTTTGGGAAGAGATTGAGTATGTGTCTTGTCAGCTTGGAGAGCAGATTGTAGGGTGGAAAACAATACCTACGTCGCAAGATGAAGTTGGGACTTGCGATAGGGTTCGGTGGTATAGGAAGGAAGTGTTTGTATAGGAGATTGAATGTGTTAATGAGAATATGTCTTGCTTATACCATCATCAGGATCGTCGTTAATATTGTCGAAAAACACACGGGATTGACAGCATCGTCGCTCCGTATGCTAGAGTCGGGAATGCTACGCACCTTCCGCAACGTTCCATATCAATGTTCTCATTACGCAAAGGCACGAAGATCTTCAGACCAGAGCTGTATCCATAGAGAGCTTCGATTACATCACATCTCCGTGGACACCACCCTGTTTCTCGAGATCACTGTGCTTCCATATACCACACTCGCGTTCCAATGAATTCGCTATACAAAAGCACAAAGATTTCCAGATTGTAGTTGTACCCGAATGAGAGTGCAAAGCATATCAAATCTCGATGGATGTTCCCTCTTTTGTCGACACCACTGAGGGTAAGCCTCACTAATCACTCATGGTACGTCTTTCTGGTAACTTCCTCCTGAGCACAAGCTGACACGGCCCTCCAGTATTACTACAGGCCGATACACGAGACAAGTAATGCGCCTGACGATTCGACTGCCAACTTGAAGCTGGAGACTGCAGTCAGACAGCAGGTCACTACCATCCAGGGTCACACCAGAACTGGTCAGGCGAGCCGGAAGCTCAAGCGCCTCTCCAAGGCGATGCTCAAAGTTCTGGAAGAGATTGAAGACCAATAAGAGGATGAAGAAAACGAGGAGAATTGGGAGAACCCGGATGGAGATTCGGAGGATGACGATTCTGGAGACGACAGCGGCGAAGGCGGAGGAGATGATGACGAAGAAGATGGAGACACGATTGCTGTGCGAAGTCACGAACGTCGACGTCCTCTAGCTCTGGTTGAGACAGTCAAGATCTTGGATGTGACACTTTGCCAGGCTGATCAAGCTTGGTGGCTGACCAAGCTGGTCACCATCTTCGCGTCCCGAGGCATCGAGCCGGAGCACATGGAGGATCTTCAGCAGTTGTTGCTCGATCTTTTCCCTGGCTCGCGTGACCAGGGGCCCGCTATCCTCGTAGCTCAGTGGAGAAGCTTCAAGGAGCGCTTCGCGAAGCTACACCCTTGTCCACTGACAATCCGTTCCCAAAGTTTACCAGGCAGATGGTCACTTGTCTAAAATCGGAGGCCAGCGAAGGAATGGCACAGACTTCCAATCTGATCGAGCACACTGAACTAGCTGGCAGACTGACGAAGGCACTGGTCGTCCTCCAGGACCGCCGCAGCTCAGCCTAACAATGCCTACCTAGGATGGTACGAGTATCGATGGATCTCAAGGATCCCATTACAAGACTTTGGTCCAAGCAAAAGAGAGGCAGAAAAAGTATCGTGAATTTGGTTGTGTTGGCTAGAAGAGAACTACTTGGAAAACATATCAAGCTCTACAGCAAGAATCTGAACCCCTTCTTTGCAGCCTCTCCTGGTACACCCTGGCCAGCAGAAACTGCACCCTCCACATGCTCGCCTCTATCCAACTTCTTGTTCAATCTCATCAAGATAGTTCTCAAAGTGAACGCCATAATGATTGCCATGACGGCCGTAGCGCAGTTCACGCTCATCGCGACCACATATCTAGGCCCCGCAGAGCTAGGATACATGTACGATGCGTAGATACTGCTGGCGTTGGAGATAGCGTTGATGCCAGCAAGAGCAGCGGCACGCTTGGCGGGAGGACGAGGGATGGTGTTGCTGATCCAGGCGAGGGCGACGACGTAGCCAGTGTAGACGCCAGGCACCATCAGCATCATAGCTACGTAGCGGGGCGCGGTGGAGGTCGTGCAGGCGGCAAGGATGAATGCGGCGACGGCGAAGCAGAGAGGGATGGTGATATGGAAGAAGCGTTCGCCGGTGCGATCCGCGTGGATGGCATTGCAGAAGGCGGTGATGACGGCCAGACAGTAGGGTGGTGCGGTAAGACACAGACTGATGATCTTGCTGTAGCCCAATGTTTGTACCACTGCATCGTGGTTAGCAACATATTTCAGCTTGAAAAACACATCTCATATCGTACCTGTTGGGAAGAAGTTGGTGACGGAGCCACTGGCGACAATGCCAAACAGCAATGCCATGAGAACATATGTCTTGATGTCTGTAAAGGCCAACTTGAAGCCGTGCCAGAAGGATTGTCCTTCACTGCTGACCCAATCGTCCATACCGATATCCTCTTGGAGTCTCCAGGTAGCAAGTTGGCGCTGTTCCTCCGAGAGCCACTTGGTGGTACGGGGGAAATTGGGGAGGATGAAGAAGGCGATGAAAGCAACTCCGATGGTGATGGCACCTTCGAGAATGACTATGGGCAGTCAGTATGTGTGGACATGGAACCAGTTCTGCAAGATACTTACAAAGCCAACGCCATGCCGAGAGTCCAAGATGTCCCTGCATACCATCCAGGATACCTGCGGCGATGAGACCGGAGAACGCGCCGGAGATTAACGAGCCGGAGTAGAGCACAGCGGAGCGGAACGCAAGCTCCTTGCGTGTGTACCAAGAAGACAGGAAGAATAGGCAGCCAGCTTGACTATCGTTAGCATTATCAACGACCCAAGCTTTGACAGTCTCAACTCACGGAAATAGGCAGCTTCAACGAAACCCAATACGAAACGGACCGCTACAAGTCCTCCGAAGCTCTGAACAGCAGCGGTGCAGGTAGAGATGACACCCCATACGCACATGACTGCCGGAAGATAGAGAGCGGGTTTACCAATCTTATTCAGGAACAAGTTGGAAGGAACTGGGATTGTTAGCACAAACATATAAAGTGCCATCGCAGTCAGGCTTACTTTGCATCAATAGGTAGCCGACAAACAGAATCGAGACACTGGTCTCGTATTGTGAAGATGTCAGGGCCAAGTCGGTCTCCAATCCAGCCAATCGTGCCGAAGCAATGTTGTTTCGATCCAAGTAGTTTAAGATATACATGATAACGAGCATTGGCATAAGTCTGAAATCAATCTTCCGGACAAGGACTTTCTCTGCATGGGCGCGTTCCTCTGGCGACATGTTGCGGACAAGTTCAGGGGCTTCCATTCGTGTCAATCCTTGGGTGTGTGCAGTCTCCACTCGATCGATCATGTCGACAGCGGCCTTTTCGTCGTATATTTCGTCCGAGCGGCGGTCTCCATAGTTCGGAGTCGTGAAGACGTTGTGGCTCATGATGAGTTCAATCAAGAAGGGCTGAGAAGTGGTCCCAAAATATCCTTAAAGTTAGGGGGGAGTAGCAGTCTTAGCACAAAGATAATGAGGAGGAGGAGAAAAGTAAGGAAGGTCGGACAAGTATATGGATAAAAAAGAGGATCGCCAATACTTTGTACAGCTGATCGGCGGGCAAAGCACATGGTCGTGACATGGGCCACAACTTGACAAGTTGATGTTCATCTCGGACTTCTCACCTGTGACTTGTCCCTTGATTGCCGCTTTCACTGAATTGGCAACCCGATGCAACTGTTCCCTGCCTCTCCACATTATCGTCTCTGGGGACCCCATAAGATTGGTTGCAAGATGGGGTGATGTGCCGTTAGAGCCGCTATTTTCGAGGCGTGAACAAGCTCCACAAGAAGTCTTGCATAGCCTAAATTGGCATGCTTGATGCAACCTCCAAGCACGCCGAAGCATGCGTCAACGGCGCTTGCCTCCAACTCAAGTACGAATCACAGCAAAGCGGAAGCAGAGCTGAGTTGAAGAAAGGAAGTCCTCGATGTCGATCTTTTTGGGGTAGCGAAGGTGGAGGAGGCGGACAAAGAGGGAAGGTCTGCCGAGACTGATGTCACCGACACCGGCGTTCTCAACGACAGCATTGATCTGCAGTCGTTGGATATTTCCTTAATCGCGTCCAACATCGACGTCTTCCTGTCTACACACTCCAGAAGTGAAATTCAGAAGCGGGCAACCACACTCTTCTCACTGACCACGCGAAGCCAATCAAAGAGAGACGTAACAAACCTCACGGTAGACAGCGACGACCACAGCTCTGGTCGATCAAACTCGGGCAAAGTTTGTCGCGAAGACGACGCGTGAAGGATTTTGTGTGACGAGTCATGCCTCAGGGCGATGAGCACATCAGCCAGGCAGCAGACCTGCCTGGTGCCTTGAAGACATGGATTTATAACAACTGATTCTCGATCAAGAACTAAGCAAGCTAGCGATATTCGATTTTCTAGACATGGCTTCAACTAGAGAACTCGCAGACACTCTACCATTCAACTCTCCGGATGACGGCACCACTACAGTTGATTCCCAGCATAGCGAGTTTGCAGCATACTCTCTGATCTCCCTTGATCAGGATGGCCAACAACGCTTTGTCAATGACTTGAACACTGGCGATATGACAACAAATCGATGCATTCTCGCGACCCAGCCAGACTTTTCTGGCCGTACGCTCCGAGACATCTACGACTACCACATCGACGCCAGCAAAGAGGACAACAAAATGCACCCGCAATTCTTCATCGTAGCCGACCAAGCCGATTGGCACACCAAGGGAGTCCTTGTTGTCTGTCTCTTCGTCGAGAGAGATCTCAACCGTTATGAGGATCCTGATCACGATTACGAATTCACGGTCGGAGTTCTACGTTGCGGTATCGACATGGCGGATTGTATCTGTTGCAATCTCGACATTGCAAATGTGAGCTTCGCTGAATACAAGGAGGAAGAAGAGCAAGACTGGGATGGCGAAGATGTCTACACGAACAAGCGTTACTTCAAGTACCATTACAAGACGGGCGAGTTGAACTAGTCAGAGACTTCAAGGGGGGCCGTACAATCCACCTCGCGTTCTTGTAGGACCAGTCTAAAGCTTCCATGAGCACACCTTCGTCCTTGAATCCAGTCATAACGAGGATCAATCTTCCGATCCTCTCAGCAGCAACAGACTCAACCGGCGCGTAAGAATATGTACGGCATGCATTGAGGCTGAAAGCCAGTGGAATTTGACGATGCATTGGCGCATGTTCGTAACGAGCTGCTGCGCCATACCTTGCGTCTCCCAGTCCATCCATGAGGATCGTGGATTCTCTTTGATCACACTTTCACCTTTATGCAACTTCATGGTCTGTACGTCTTTCCAGAGCCTTACGGAAACAGAACCCACACGAGCTCCTACAGGCATTGTAACATGAGTTCTTTGTCTCCAAGCGCGCTCCCTTTCAACTTCTGAACACACCCATTGTTCGGGAGAGCCTGTTGTCTTGGAGGGCTTTGACGGCCAAACAAGCCCATTGTCACGAAAACGAATCCTTTGAACACCAGAACAAAGAGCCCCCTCGAAAACTTCTCTATATATAGCAGGACACCATCAACATTTATCCAGATCCAACACTTCCAACCAACAGCACACAATCACTACCACACACACAATTAACATGTGCAACAAGAACACCTCTATCACCACTGTCGACACTGTTCTCGGTGGTCGCTTTGCCAACACTCCAAGATGTCGCGGTTGTGGACTGCCATGTGTTTTTGCTCCATACTCCCCTGATCTTATCTACTACTGCTACCACTGCAGGCGCTGGTACCCTTACTAACTGCAACCTGTAGGTAGGTCTGAATCTTACTGATATCTGGCGTTCGATGGTAAGTTTTGATTTTCATTAGCGATCTCAAAACAAAAATCCTTTTTTTTCTTTTCTAACAATCTGTAATTTACGTCTATATTAATACTTATGTAGGCACTAGATCGATGAGCAACAACATGAATGTGAATCTTTCTGCATCCAACCAAACATTTGTAGACCATACAGACCCATAGCCAGAGCCACAAGACCAGTAACAGTCTGGCCGCATGCTGTGACGAAAGCCATCACAAGACGAAACTTCTGGCCAGGCTTATGCCCCTTGAACTGATTACGCCGCAGGAACAACTGCAAAGACACAACCATAAGATAAGCAAATCCACCAAATACGCCTCCATCAAGGAATTGTGGCATCGTTCGTGGTCGGCCAAGAATCAACCTGCGAAAACCCAGGCAGGAAGTCAGGTAGTTGGACACGAAGAAGAGGGAAATCCATACACCTAGCAAGGATAAAGGAACGAGCACGCAGGAGCGGTCGAACCCTTGGGTGCCGGTATAAACTTGGGAGACGAATGCTTCTAGATGTTGCGCAAGAGTCTGGCCCGGTCGAGATGTGGTTCGCCAACTGTCTACTCCGTCTCGTAGTAGCAACAAGCCGAAGGTGATCAGCAGATGTGGAGACGACCCCATCCAAGAAAATCGATACAAGGTTTTGGCTGCGACTGCTTGATAGTCACGAACCAGGTAGACCAACAACAAAGAGACGCTCAAGATGTGAAGATGGACGTTGGAGGAGCGTGGTGTCGTATTCTCCGTAGCTGAAGAGGCAACTTCGTCCGACTTTTCCGCTCGAGAATTCGAAGCTTCGGTAATCTTTTGATTCGCTGCCGGGCGTTCTGGAAGAACAGAGAAGATTCCGAGCATTGCAATGCAAACTGAAGAAGTAATGCCAGTCAGTCCAGAGCGTAACATGGGAAACAGTGATCGTAATGCCATCCCGCCCCACGAAGCTCCGAGGGCGAACAAATCGCTTCTATGCCATTCATGACAACGGAAGTAGTCGATCGCAAACTCAGCCATGGTGATGGCAACTTGAATGACACAAATGTTGATGGAGTCTGTTTCGGACCTTTCCATGTTCCAGAGCTTGACGGATGTGAAGCTGTGATATGCGATTGGCATTGCGGCGTTGACAATCTGTGAAGTCCAAGTCGAGTCCTCTTGAAGTTTGATATCAGTCTTATCGAGAGGCAAAGATACCTTCATATCCTTGCTTTTATGTGGTTTATCGCCGTATTTGCGACGAGCCAGAATTTGCTCCCAGTTGAATACAACAGAGATGATATACGCCAATGCTACACCGGCGGGCAGCAAAGGCGCAATATACAACAATTGAGCGCGGAGATCTAGTGACATTCTATCAAGAGGTGTTTCGAGATATGTCGCCAGGGAACCAGAGCAACAAGTTTGTGGAAACAATCTTTCTTACACAGAGCCATAATCCAAATTCGGATGACGTCCCGGAAGTCGGCACTTTCGAAGGATTCTAAGCTTAACCTAATAGTTATTCCCACATTCGAGTCAAGTTCAAGCGATGCTTTGAGTGCGAACTAGTCGCGGTGACAATCTCATGTTCTCAGTGATGATGGTGACCAGCGTGGTCATGACCGTCACCTTCTTCCTCGTCGAGTGGGTTGTTCCACTCCTCCCAACCATCATCAAAGTTTCTGCATAGCAAGTCCTCTCTCTGCTCACTCGTGAGGTTCTTCCTCTTCATAATCCTCTCCCACTTCATCATTTCCGCATCGTTCAAGAGGCAACCATCAAAGAGCTCCGTGATAGCCTTGACATCGATGCCCTCACCAATGAAAACAATCTCCTGTCGCCGATCACCCCATTCACCCTCAAAGTCTTTCTTGATCAGGTCTGTGACATCTTGACTGGGTGAAGGCCATTGTTCTTCCGGTACCACGGCGAACCAGTTGAGCCCACCAGACACGGTGAGCATGGCGCCAGCCTGCGACCAGTCACCACTGACATAGGGCCGGGTAGCTAGCCAGATGAATCCTTTGGAGCGTAGGAGAGGCTTGAAGACTGGATGGGCTTTCTTGTTGGCCAGACGGGTTGGGAGATCGAGATCTGGGTACTTGGTGTCGAGCGCTTCCTGCTCGTCTGAACCGACGGAGGTGGCGTCGGTCTCGGAGGCCGATTTCAGGCTCGAAGAGTCTGAGGAGTGTGCGGCGGAGTCTGAATGGGCTGTCCTGCTGCGCAGAGCCATTTGACTTTCGTTCTCATTACTTTCGGATTCGCCAAGTCGGTCTTGCGCTGCGTTCTCTTCGTCTTGGTTGTCCTCTGCATCGTTCTCGCTCTCTTCTTCTTGCTCTTCGTCTTCTTCTTCGTCCTCATCCTGGGGTTCTAGAATAACGAATTTGTCATGAACAAGCTCATACAGACGACCAGGCGAAAACGGGCGTCTTGCTCGGTACACGAAGCTGTTGATGCCGTATCTAATGCAACGTCAGCCACCCAAAAGTTTGGTACCTAATGTGGATACTTACTCGAGTGTTTCGGGCTTGGGCGTCATGACGGTGCGGCCGTGGTTGTCGATCATGGACATTTCATTGATGCTCTTCAACCACCCAGAGCTCTTGATCGAGGTCTCTTCGCTATACATACCAGTCGCAATGATCTCTCTGACGGCCAGAGGCTTGACGCCATAGGGGTTTTCGGATTGTTTCGAGACTCGGAGGCTGGTTTCGATGACCTTGGCTCCAGGATTCATCGTTTTGAGAAGACCGCGAACGCGCGCAAGTACGTCGTCGTTGATCATGTCAATCTGAGAGGGGTCAATGGCATGTCAGATTGCTTTGTCGAGTCACTTACCTTATTGACGATGATCACATCAGCGAACTCGATTTGGTCGATCATCAGATCGCTGACAGTTCGTTGGTCTTCCGGCGTCTCCACCTCTGACTGGAAACGTTCGTGCAGGAGCTGTATAGTCTCAAATTCCTCAAAGAACCTGAAGCCATCTACGACTGTGACTGTCGTGTCAAGTTTGGCGACCTTGTTCAGACCACCGTTTTGCGCGCTTACAACTTTGTAAGACTAGAATTCAGAAGCCGAAAGTCACAGACAACACTTACATCTCGTTGAATACCTTCTTCTCCTCTTCGTCGAATTGATCGAGCGCTCCATCGGCTCCCATCATGGCCTCAGTAAAGTCGGTGGTGAAACTCTCTGCTACCTGTTGGGGCTCGCTGATACCGGTGCTCTCAATGAGCACATAGTCGTATTCACCAGCTTTGGCCATCTTCGCCAGCTCAATAACGAAGTCGCCACGGAGTGTACAACAGATGCAGCCGTTCTGCATGGCGATCATCTTCTCTGCTTCTCGGCCCTTCTTCTTACCGTCTGCTACGATGATACCTTGGTCCACATTAACAGCGGCCATGTCGTTGACGATCATTGCAATCTTCAGTCCATGATCTTTGGAGTTGAGGATGTAGCTGAGAAGTGTTGTTTTGCCGCTGCCCTGGTATAGAGTCAGATGGTTCTGCTGATGTTGCAATGATATTCAGAACGTACCAAGAATCCCGACAACAGCGTGATGGGGAGAGTCTTAAATGGTGATGCTTCTTTGACTTGTTGTGCCATTTTCGTGTGCTTGCTCTTCTTCTTCGAGGACGCCTGCTGTGAGTTCTGCTTTCGTTTGAGAGCCATGATGTTGAAAGGATGCAAAAATCGGTTGTTATAAATGCTGACCTTTGTGGAAACTCTGGTGACCACCTTGATGATTTCTGCTAGTCTGTGATTGGCCACTTACCTTCATCCTGGGCCACAGTCGAGCTGGGATGTTCACCTTGATGGACGGCATAGCGTCTGTGCACGTAGTTCGACAGGCCCAAAGTCGTAAAGTTCCAGGTCAAGAGGAGAGATGAGTGGTCAGCAAGACACTCAACTCGACAGACTTGTCGCGTGCGCCGGCGCGACGTGACTGTTGAGGAAAGAGACACTACTGGCTCCACAGTACCTTGATGGCGATGTCCCACGCAAAGTTTGTGGCCGCTTCCTCGTAAAGACTGTTCCTACATATTCCCGCTTCCTTATCGGTGCCTCAATGTTGACGTTGATGTTGAGAAGATGATTTGGGAAGTCGCGTTGTAGGGTGATTCGGCACTGCCGGGCGGTCAAGCGAAGAATGTCGCTTCTTTCGTACACGACTTCTTGTCCTGCTCTCGTCATCCTGTTCGTTGAACTTGCAAGGTCGAGTCACTCGCCGTCGAGAGCGCTTGTCTATATCTTCGCAGTTGTCTTTTCAGGTCGCCACGATGTGATCATACACCGCTTGGTTGAAAAACACGTGTCGCAATGGCAAGGACTTGTTCTTGAGGATTGATTCTGACGGGGCACAACCCGAGACAGTCGGAGATATTCGTCCTTGATATCAGATGCATTCTGATGAGCGCTGCTTGTGGTCGTTTTTTCGTTCCATGACGTCTGGCCAACAATGCATCTGAAGATACATCGGGCTGTAATTGGTACGAGTTGTCTCTTGTGAGGAGGCTTGCCATGGGCCATGACTGGAACATGGCCGACTGATGTCCGTAGCGCCCAAGACCTGGTCGTGAGAGCTCTTGTGTCAACTCCCCATCAAAGCAATAGATGGGTCTGTCCTTCATGTGGTGGTAGAAGGTCCAGCAGGCTTTTGCCTGGAGGTCGCTTGATCGCCCGTGAATCTGCCAACACACTTTTGATCAAGCGCTATTAGTAGCATGTGCAGTCATAAGACTTCGGTGGCAGTCCTGGCCTCTTAAAAAGGTCTCTTACTTGCATCTCCAGGCCATTCTTTGTGGCAGGCCTTTGGATATGATGGGTCAAGTCATTGATCGTAGAGCTTGCACCAAATTCTTTGCAGTGCTCAACGCCATTCTGACCTGTGCCGGCTGGCTATCTCTTCGTCGAATCGAGCTGGTAGGTACGAAGATCGATAGAGCGAATACTTCAGGTCAGCCGCTGGACACCGTCCGGGAGGAGCGAGCTTTACTGGACCCAAGCGCACTCCAAACCAATTTTGACAGGACTCTGCGCCAATCTGAGCATTTCCAGCGCTGCGAGAAGTGATACTGTTGGCGCTACGGCTCATCTTCAGTTCAATCGTTCGCGCAAACCAACTGAGATCTCGACCGCCAAATTGCCTCTCTTACCTTCGCGCAACTCTCACCAACCGTTTACCATCATCAACCCATTCTTCTTCGCTTTACCAAGCCATCCCATCAACCAGAATTCACGATGAAGCTCTTTGCTATCTTCGCCTTTGCTCTGGCTGCTCTGTTCGGCACAGGTAACACAAAGATCTATCAGTTGTGGTCAAGCACCTACTGACAGCACTAGTTTGTGCCCAGAACATCACTCAATCTACAACTACTGCTACCGTGACCAAGACGGTCTTCCACACTGTGACCACCTCGGTCAACCTCGCCACTCTGCCCGGCTCTGCTTCCAGTTGTGCTGCCGCTTCCGATGTTGCTTTTTCTGATGAGCTGAAGAGCGTCTACGTCCAGACCATCGAACTTACCTCCACTATCTTCTCCACTGAAGTCGATGGTGTTGTCATCACCTCTCTGAGCACTGTGATTGCGCCTGTCACGTCTACCGCCGTTGCCACTGCCACTGCCACTACAGTCTTGACAGACTTTGAAGAAGTCACCTCGACCAACACCAAGCAGATCAGTACCACGGTCACTACCACCTCGGTCGTTGTTTCGGTCACGACCTCTGCCGCCGCAACTTCAACCTCTATCGAACAGCAGATCGCACAGATGTGGGGTCCGAGCGGAGGTGCGCGTCTGGTCGTTGGCAATTGGTTGGTCTTCAATTTGGTTCTCTTGAGCTTTGTTCACTATCTGTTTTTCGCTCACTGGTAGGAGCTTCTCAGGCTAGGGAAGGCGCGTTCGGGTGCGGTAGAACTGCACAAATCGTGTATAATAGCCCCTCGGTGAAGTGGAAATGAAGATTTATACCTTGTCTTCATCTCGTATCTTGACAAAACATCCACCTGAAAAATGCAAAGTCATGTTGTGATTTGCACTAGTGTTCAGTGAAAGCCCGTCGAAAAGTGTTGGCAATCAGACTTCTCTGGTGTTTCCCACAAATCGAAAGACACCTTGCATTTCCATACTGTACTTGAGAAAACGCCTAACGACTCTAAGAGACCAGACTGTTGTCACTCTCTTCCTTTCGATATGTCATAGACATGCATCTAGATCGACGCACCATGCTTCCAAGACTTGGGGCACTTTCCACGGAGAGTCATTATTCCATCAACTCTCTGGACACGTCTCCGGTTTGTACTTGACTTTACGTTTGAATAGCTGCTGTTTCTCTCTGGGTGCTGCAAGGAGAGTTCGTAGATTCAGCGGATAGACTTCGAGATTATAGTCGAACCAGGCAGGCCATTCTCCGACTCGTGGAAAATAGCGAGTTCCTTCGCCAAATGAGTACACCCTCCGCCTAATTGAAGAATTACACCATTGACAGTTCAGTATACGGCCTTAGACGTTAGGGTGCATACCACGATCGGCAGACGATCACAAGGACGGAAACGGCTTCATATGCAGCCGCGACTTTCCAATTGAAGGAAGCGAAGCAAAGGCCCAGGGCTCAGAAAGTCAGCAAATACGATTCGAAAGCCCTGAGGGTCATTGCTTCAGAATGTACAGGATGCAATTCGAGGGCGGTTACGAGAATATGATATGTCCTTAGCCACTGAGGCTCTCGATGCCACGCACGCCTCATCTCCACAGTAGGCGTCTCACTATACCACAAACATGAGACGACCAGGCCAGGGCTCATACGCTCCACGCGACAGGCTTGTCCGACATGCTTAGCGAGGCTTGGTGTGATTGGCGTGTGCATTGACAGAAGAGTCCCGCGTGGTACAAATTGATTTGTCCACTCCCCGGACGTTTTCCCCCACATTGTTGGACGCACCGTGCAGACAATGGCTCCGGCTGAATGCCTCGAAGCAATTCTCGGACTCGTTCTTGCCCCCTCCTTGTTTCACCATCGTCCGCCGTCCAGAAACCTTGACAGCTTCTGCCGATGGAAAGGGCCTTCTACAGAGGAGATCACATCGCTATATTGCTCCAAACAGTCTAGGCTGAGCTCATGGCTTTCGCCATTGGACGGAAAAATCGACCAAGTCATCTATAGCCTTTCGCGCTATGTTGACGATGTTGCTGAGCTGACGAGGTCGCGAGTCTCGAGACCGAGCGAGATGACACGACAGGGCAGACTCAATGTTAGCGAAACGAGACGGTATAGGGCAAGCAATTCGCACGTAAAGTAGTAGGTATAAGTATCGAGGTGACCTCCAGAGCTCATCTGGGTCAAGCAACACACATCAACTTCCTCAAGCCGGTCTTGAAGTACTATTCTCACCAATCTTTCGTTTCTCAACAACTATCCAACTACTACAATCGTTCATCATGCACTTCTCTTCTCTCGTCGCAGCTGCTGCCATTGGCGGTGCTGCCATGGTCTCCGCTGCTCCCGCAGCATCGCCCATCGACAAGCGCGCCACAACCTGCACCTTCAGCGGTTCCAGCGGCGCTGCATCTGCCACTCAATCCAAGGCTGCCTGCGCCACTATCGTCCTTAACAATGTCGCTGTTCCTGCCGGTACCACTCTCGACCTGACTGGTCTGAAGACTGGTACCCACGTCATCTTCCAGGGCACCACTACCTTCGGCTACAAGGAGTGGGCAGGTCCTCTTGTCAGTGTCTCCGGTACTTCCATCACTGTTACTGGTGCCTCTGGCAGTGTCCTCGATGGCGACGGTGCTCGCTGGTGGGACGGCAAAGGCTCGAACGGAGGTAAGACCAAACCAAGATGAAATTCTTCTAGCTCAACCATACTGACTAAACCAAAAGGCAAGACGAAGCCCAAGTTCTTCTACGCTCACAGCTTGACCACTTCGTCCATGTAAAAACACTTGACGGTGCACTTCAAAACAATCAATTGCTGACCAAACTATAGCAACGGACTTACCATCAAGAACTCTCCTGTCCAGACCTTCTCCATTAACGGAGCCAAGACCTTGACCATGGACAGCATCACCATTGACGGCGCCGCCGGTGATAGCCTCGGACACAACACCGGTATGCCTTACCATCTACCTCAGACCAAGTCAGGAACAGTCTTCTGACATGATATAGATGCCTTCGATATCGGAAGCTCGACCAGTGTTACCATCACCAATGCCGTCGTTCACAACCAGGACGATTGTGTTGCCATCAACTCTGGCTGTGAGTATCCGACCATTCGTTTCTCGTCTTGAAAACACCGCTGACAACTGGTTTCAGCTGACATCACCTTCTCCGGCGGCTCTTGCACTGGCGGTCACGGTCTTTCTGTCGGTTCCGTTGGCGGCCGCGACGACAACACTGTCAGTAACGTCCACTTCACCAACAACAAGGTCATCAACAGCGACAACGGTATCCGTATCAAGACTGTCTCTGGCGCCACCGGTGCCGTTTCTGGTGTCACATACAGCGGCAACACTCTTTCCGGCATCAAGAAGTACGGCATTGTCATTGAGCAGGACTATGAGAACGGTTCCCCAACAGGCACACCCACCGCTGGCGTCCCCATTACTGGTTTGACCATGACCAAGAACACTGGAACTGTTGCCAGCTCTGCCACCGATATCTACATCCTCTGTGCTAAGGGTGCTTGCTCCAACTGGACTTGGAGCGGTAACTCCATCACTGGTGGTAAGAAGTCCACCGCTTGCTCGAACATCCCCAGCGGTGGCGCTTCCTGCTAGATATAGTAACCGGGGATGCACATGTGCGTAGCTTGGTAGTTTACTGTAAAGAGGAGAGCATCGAGGGGCGGACGACGGCTCTATCGATCTTTTGTTTTCTTTTCGTACAAATCTTGATCGAGCATTTTTTTCGTTAGCATTTGGAGAAAGCATAATCACAATCCACGTCGTCTCCCAAAATTTCACTTTGCCCTCACTTGTGCTAGTCCTTTTGCTCGAGACTCGTCCATGACCGGATCTTCCACATATCATTCCGTTTAGCTCTGCGTCCTCACCCGACACCAACATCGCGACTCAGTATCAACCATCTTCCACAGAGACACCATCACCATGGGTGCCACCTCTATCGCCACACAGCGCTCTGATGCAGAGAACAACTACATCGCTCCCCACATCCGCGCCTACGACATCCTCATCACTCGCGCCACAGACTTCCTGGCCGCCAAAGACATTGCTTCTTCCCAGCGCGTGGCCCGTCTCCTTCTACGCAGCCCTGGTCTCTGCCGCGCGCACCAGATGACTTGTTATGAGATGCTTTCCCACTGTCACAGACACGAGAACGGCGTGTAAGTCATATCCTTTCTCCCTTCTTCTGCTATCACCACTGACAGACAAACAGCTACAACACAGCTCAAGCATTGAGCGTGCAGTCCTTCGAGAAAGGCGCTGTGAAAGTGGTCAGCATCCCACCACGCTCCTCGCGCTCCTCTCGCTGCCCTGGTGGCCCACAGGCCCCTCACACTCCTCGCCCATCTAGCAAGTCTGGCATGCCTATCAAGCCCAGTATGAAACGCGTCCCCAGTACCCCTATCAAGAAGGACGATGTGTGGATCACTTCACCCTCAAAGCCACCTACTCGCGCCCCCAAGACTGTCAAGCGCGTTACCTTTGCAGAGCCCTTCAAACCAATCAAGGACACTGTCAAGGAGAACATGAAGAAGGCCAAGGTTGGTAAGCTATTCCCTGAGCTCAAGGCCATATTCGAGCGTCAATGAGTGTTGGGCTGAAACACAAGGTAATACAAGTACACCTTTCCACCCTCCAGACGCTCAGCTCTCGCAGATCTCACCAACAGCCGCGTTGGCGTGGGTGGTGCATCAGTAAAAGGTCTCGCAGAACGCGCTCGTGGTAGCGACAAGTACAAGTGTCTCCCGGACAAACAGAACGTTCTGGATTTGCAGTTCAGGACTTTCTCTACTCCCACTGGCTTCACTGTCGAGGATATTGAAGCTCTAGGCAACTTTCCAGATTATGCTACCTTGGGTGGTGTTCCTTTGCCTGCAGCATATACCAATTTCGACATTGAGACCGCACTGCCGAGACCCTACCGACCATTTCGCTGGGAGTACCATCAGACAATGTGTAAGGCATCCTCCCTCCTCCTCCCCTTGCTTCATCCCGTATCTACACAAACGACTAACGTAACTTTGACAAGCATATAAAAAGCTCGAACCAGATTGGTGGCTCGAACTCGACAAGACTTATACCCAACGCATCAAACAACGACAAGATCTCTACGTCAAGCACGGCTCAGATATCCTACAAGCATTGCCGGGATCCGAGATCGCATGTAAAGAGCTCATGGAAATATGCTTACAGTTCCTCTGCGCTCGCTACCCTTCTTACTTCTTCATCGATAAGCAGACTCTACACTTCCATAATGGCATCTTGAACACCAAGACGAATTTGAGGGAAGTAGATCCGTTGGTGGTGTTGTTGAATAATGTGCCTGAGGACTTTGCTATCGTGCTTAGGGATCCTAAGACTGGGTATTATAGCTTTAGGGCCGGTGTGGTATGCAGTTCTATTGGATGGACTGTGGGGAGTAAGATCGGAATGAACCTCAAGGATATTCACACCCCGGTACCGGACTATAAAGAGAAAATGGAGTTCTCGATGGACAGGTGAGATCTCATTTCCCCTTTCTCCCTTTCATGTTCCTCTTGATCCCCCTTATCTCTTTCTCCTTCCTCCTTTATCTGTTCAATTACACTCCCACTTTTCCTTCGACAGCAAAGGAAGACACAAGAAGAAAATTAACATCAAGCGTCTTTCCAAAAAACAACAGATTCTTTGCCAAATTCCCCACCGACAAACCAATCCAACGCGGCTCCTGGGGCCTGGAAATCGACACTCCGCTCTTCATGCCCCCTGGCTCCCCCACTCTCGCTCTGCATACCTCTCAATCTCCTGCTCTGTCAGTCTCCTCGATCAATCTCCGCGTGGATTGGCAAACCCTACGCCGCCTCCCTCTCTCTGGCGCCATATGCTTCAACTTCAAATGCGTATTTACTCCCCTCTCGGAGTTTGAAGACGAAAAGGGAATTCCAGGATTGGTGAGGAAAGTGCTTAGTGACGGGAAGAAATCGCTTTTGGAGTACAAGGGTACGTGGCATGTTGAGCATGTTGCTCTTCCTGAATTAGAGAGGATGGAGAAAGAACAGGAGAAACGGGGCTTGATTGAAGAGGGATGGGTGCCACGGACATTGGACGAGTATCCTTATTTTGAGGGGTGGGAGGAGAAGTGGCATAGGCAGCAGGGATTCTGAGTAGATCAAGCCAGACTGATGAAGTAATGCTGATGCTGCTTTCGTCTTGGCCAGCTCGAGTGCCGGTGCATCATTCATTCACGACGACGAAAACGAAGAAAGAGATGTTTGAATTCGAGCGAACAACAGTGGTGTTTGATTGGTGACATTGTGCTACTTTGGTCCTTCTCATTTTACATTCCACCTGAGACAACGTGAAGTTGCATCCCTGCTCTCTTTTTCCGGTTGATGCAAAACATGGTAGCGTCGATGCGTAGGCGTATGTCGGACAAGCGCTAGTTACAGGTCAGTGGTGATCTTGTCAGTACACGTTATGCCTGTAATTACCTTGTTCAGGCGTCTCGTTGTCTTAGACGTGACAGTAGGCGATGTCAGCAAAGATCTTAGGAGCGGACCAGGCTGTCCGAGGCGGTTTCGCGATCGAGGGCCCACATCAAGATGACCAGCATCAGAAGGGGGCAACCGATGCGCATTTGGATCGAAGATGCGCGGAGAGAGATGATGATGCTGGCGATGGATGGAAACATCAAGTAGGTCATGAGACTCATGCTGCCGAGGAAGATCTTGAGTTGATTGACACGAGCATAGATCAACACGAGCGAGGTAAAGATCTTGTAGGTTGTCTCTGGTCCAATGTGCTGGAAGGAGAGGCGAGTGATGGTCTCGAAGGCGTTCATGATGGTAGTGGTTGAGGAATTGGTATGTAAAGAACGAAGTGGTGATTGATTGGAGAGAAGAGAACTGGGGCTTGTGGAAAGCAGATGGTTGTCTCGAAGCACTGAGGAAGTCATAGAATGCGCAGCTTATTGGTGCGCAGAGGCAGATCAGGGTCCAGACTGGAAGTGAAGACAACTCGGCTTTGGGTGGCGCTGATCTAAGATGATTTGCAGGCCCTTCATTGGTTGATTCTTCTTCTGTAGTAAGAATGTACGTCTACTGGTCAGACCAGTCAATAGCACGATACATGTAACATGGTTGGCCCCTGCTCATTCGTCGGCACCTTCTGCGATGGTCATGATAATTGCTCTCGCCATCTGCACATCGAGGATGGTGATCATCAGGTGAATGATATCCCAAGGACCAGACTCGGCTCCAAGATCGGCGGTACAGGCGGCCACATAGCTAGCATCGAACATGGCGTGCATTGTGGTCATGAAAGCAAATCCGAAGAGCCAGATATCGTCGGGCGAGATGTGTACACTAACAATGCCAGACGTGAAGGTGAACCAGAGGGCCAAACGAGCCGCAAGGATAGTGAGACGAAGAATAGGTACTACGCAGCAGGACAAGCTCAACGGGGACATCGTTGTGATGACGCGCGTGTTGTTACTTCTCGACAACTTCGTGGTGAGATTCTCAGCGCATCGATGGCTGACAAGCGGTTCGGGCTACTGTCGAGAGGGATGTTGGGAAGGGGTCAGTCATTGTTTGAACCACATGCGGATTGCTGAGTCGTCTGTATTCGAGACTGAGAATCGGGTGAGCATGAGACTGTGTTGTAGAAATAGTCGCTTGAGCTCTCTGCAAGGTTTTCGGATGGAGTAGAGGCAAGTAAATGTCAAGGGTTCGTCAATCGATTCGTACTTACTGTTTCCTATGGCACACGTCTTGTCAGGACAGGAAGGGACCACCACTCTACCACATTCGTAGTGCGACGACTGTTTGGGAACCTCGATTGGGTTCGTCCAACCATTGCGACTACGACACCTCTTCCCTGTTCAGATAACGGTAATAACCTGGAAAACATGCTGTATTCACATCAAGAAACCTTAATGACTGCCGCTGTCCCAAGTCGGATCATACCGGCGAAGGCTGATCGTCGCTGTCGTCGCAGGACCTCTGAACCTCTGCACATCGTCTTGGCTTGCGGACATTGAGGAGACGCCCCTCTGAGACTGGGACATCTTGTCTGTGTTTTGATGATGAGAAGTCAGACACGCGTTCTGGCAAGAGGGAGATGAGGCTTGAGGCCGACGCGAAATGAGGCCATGTCAGAATCATGACATCATTTTCGACCCGCCGCGGCCGACGACTCCAAAAGTCAGACCTCGAATCGTAGCCATGATCTCGACATACCTTTGCTCCCCTGATTATTGAAAGCATCCGTGCTTTTTGTTCTAAATCTCATTGTCTCCCATACATCCGCATGCTTCTTTGGTTATGTCGCGCTCTCGCTTACCGCCGATTCTTCGCCCACGCCTTACGCCCAGATACGTCGTCTCCTGCGTAGCTGCTGTCTACGTCGTTTACTGCTGGCTGTGGGGCATGCCTCTGTTTTCCTCGAATCTCCCTGCTTATTCGGGACCCCATTCCGTTGGCGTGATTGATATCGAGAGTCCTTGTGATGGCCGTAAGACAAGCGATGTCAAGTTCAAGTCGACAGGCGAACCCGCCTTCTTGGTATGCACGACGCTCTGACGACCGGCAGAACTCGCTGATATTCTCGCAGCTTGAAACAGTGTTGTTCTCTTTGTACTACCCGGCCATGAAGGGAGCGAAATCCGATAAGCCTAAACATCTCTGGGTGCCTAAGCCGCTCTCGGTGACAGCAGAGGGCTACGCGAAATTTGCTCATATCAGCAACTTCCTCACCAACAGCATCTTCACAGTCGCGCTCTGGGGTCTTACAGGCAGCACCACCATTCCAGCAAATGTCGATGTCCCACTACGAGAAAATGTACCCACTTTGAAGTTCACCGAGCACGTCGAGGACAAGCCAGAAGCTGGCGAAGAGAATTTCCCTGTAATCGTCTTTTCCCACGGCATGGCAAGTTCTCGCACAGACTACACGCACTTCTGTGGTGAGCTTGCCAGTCGAGGATATGTCGTCGCTGCAATTGAGCACAGAGATGGCAGCGGTCCTGGAACCATGATCATGAATGTTGATGGGACCGAGAAACCACTGTACCACTTCGGCCTCGGTGATCTGCAAGTCGATGCAAGTTTCGACACTCCGGAACTCAAGCAAGCACAATTGGACTTTCGTCAGGCAGAGATCGAGGAAACAGTTCGTGTTTTGCGAGCCGTCAACGACGGAAGTGGTGCCACTATCTTCGAAATGAATCCTCGTAAGGAGGGCGAGCATCTGAGCAGCTGGGAGGGAAAGTTTGACATGACCAACGTTACCATCGCAGGTCACAGTTACGGTGCCACAGGAGCTCTCCAGGCTTTGAAGGGTGCACCTTGTCCGGAACGTCCCTTCCACGGTGGACTGATTCTTGATCCCGGCAAATCGAGCGGTCCCCTCAATCACGACGTAGATGTGCCAATCTTGATTGTCCACTCCAACTCCTGGTCAAAGAAGCATTCGGTCTTCTTCGGCCAGCCTCATTTCACCGTCGTTAAGGATCTGGTCAAGGGTGTCAACAAGCGCGGAAAGGCTGCCTGGTTCATGACTTCTTTGGGCACATCACATCCATCCGTTACAGATGCACCCCTCATTGAGCCAACACTATTGAGTTGGACCACTGGATCCACAATTGATGTATATGACGGTGTGGGTGTATACGTCAACGTCACAGAAGAGTTTATGCTCTACCAAAAAGCGCACAAGAGGATGGGGTTGCTGGCTCTGGATGTCACACATTCTGAGTACGACAGTCACGACAATGGCACACAAGAGATGCCGCAAGCCTACCAACGATTCTGGCAGATTCATGTCGCGCCGGATTCGGCATAATCACCATTTATATATCATACTTACTCGGCAATAGATCTAATCTTTCGTTTTCTCGCCCACATTCCCTAGCTTTCCGGTCCCCGAGATGCAGATAAACGCTGATTGTTCATCTTCGTCGAGAGCGCATTTTATAATGGAAACGTTGGCTGATAATTATTTCGATCTGCGGGTACAACCCTGCTCTGAGGTGTTCACCATCTCTCACGCCATAACTCCTTCGATCTGCCTCAAGAATTCGTAGGTGGTTTACGACACACTTTTCAGGACCCGTGCGACCAAGTCCATGTGGTTTAACGGTGTCTTGCGGTGCACATGTCTTGTTGCCTTGTCGAAGCTGAGTTTGACGATTGTGCCAACGAAAACACTCAAACGCAGCCGTCAACTGTGCTCGTAGTCATCTGCACTCTTTTACTGAATTTGTTTAGATTTCAAGACTTCGCTTCGAAGATGCCACCGCGATAACTGGTGGGTCGTGGAAACACAAGCATTAGCAAGCATCAAGCCAAGGCCGATTACTATGCTAGATCTGACGGAGATTCGGGTGAGAGTTGCGAAGCAGCATTTACGCCATCGACAATTATTGTATCAATCTACAGAAGACTAAGAATTCCAATGCACAGTACTAATTCATCGTACTATATCTGGCTACACGTATAGCGGCTCTGTAAGGATGCATCCAAGGGAAACGCGGAGAGATCAGGAAAGGCTGAACGAAGGAGAGTTGACCGATCGCGCGGCCCGATCGTCGGCCCGCACCCAAGAACGTTTCTCTTCGATGACATCTTCCATTCATTGTTTTTCCCATCAACCAAAACCCCCATCGTGATGGAAGTCTTTTTAAGCGCAAGCAACCGTCTTCTGTATGGTGCAGGTGGTACAGATCACCATGTCATCCTTACTGTCTTTCCTTCTTGATGCGACACCCAGGCCCGGGCTGCAGCCTGTGCCGAACACAAAGCCCTTGACCTTCGAAGCTGCTGTCCTTCCACCAATAATATATTTTCTTGCGCTACTCTTCTTACCACCTCCTCCGCCGCGATCCATCGATAGCGCTGCGGTCAAGTTGCTTCGTAATGCGCTAGCCTTGCTTGCAGGAGTATTGTTCTTTCGACTTCCACTAGCCTACTACGTCCCGCAAAGCATCGGGCTCAACTACCAACTCGCTCTTGTTGGTCTCTATGGCGGATGCAGAGTTCTGGATGCTTTCTTCATCAGTCCCTATGGATTTGGACACATCCCTCGTCGCGTTCGTTACAAGCACATATCTCGAGTGCACACGCCCGCGTTAGTTGGAAGCGACAACGAACCTCAAGAGCCAGCTAAAGATGCGGCACAAGCCAATGGCGAGAAGCCGTCCGTCACTGATGCTGTTTCTGATGCTGCTACTCATGCCCGTCGCGGGTCACTAGCCGACTCATACTTCGTGCTCGAGAAGAAACTGTCTAACCTCAGCGAGATGAAGCCAGTTTACGAGCTGGCAACAAGCGAAGAAGGTTGGCCGGTCAACTTCTTGGATCGTGCTTCTTGGGCTCTTGAGCTCGAGACCAGCATGCGTGGTATTGGCTTTACCTGGACAACAGCTGACGTACGACACACTCGCAAGACGTGGTTGCCGACTGCCACAAACCGTCTGCATTCCATCTTTCTCCACGTTGGCCCCGTTCTGGCCGTCTGCTTTGTTATCATCCGGACCACTTATGTGAGATACCTCGAAGGATCACCGCAAGTTGAGCTCGGCATTCACACAGAAAATCTGTTCGACACTCGACTACCTCTTTGGCTTCAGCTTCTATTGACTGCAGCTCTTGGTGCTTTTCTTATGGCTGCATTCTCTGTAGCACACTCCATGGCTGCTATATTGCTCAGTCCTCTAGCACCTTCACCACTCGCCTACTTCCCGCCTCTCTACAGCACCCGCATTTGGGACATCAAGTCTGTGCGAGGGTTCTGGTCATACGGTTGGCACAGATTGTTCGCTCGATTGCTCCTGGTGTATGGCGTCTGGCCCGGAGAGTGGATTGAAAGGAAGCTTACAGGCAAACGAGACGACGCGCCAGCAGATGTTGGGAAGGTACTTGGCGGGTTCATTTCTTCTGCCTTTGTCCATTCATTTGCAGTTAGATCCGTGCTTGGTGGCGAGTGGAGTCGTTCTCTCGGCGAAGCAAAGTTCTTCGCTGCTAATGGATTCGCTGTAGTAGTGGAGGATGGTGTTCGACGCCAGGTGCTGGCTTGGAGGAAGAAGAGAGATCTACCGTTGGAAATGTGGTATGATTCGTACATTGGCCGAATCTGGTGGATTGCTTTCCTCTTATTCAGTGGCAGAAATTTTGCACGGGGCTGGGTAAATGCTGGCCTAGTCAGGGAGATGGCTGGCAAGTAGAAGCACAGCGATGCGTTGCATCGAATGCAGTCGGAAATCATCCCGAGACAAGGACAATGTTTTAACCAAGATTTCTTGGAAGTTGGCACGTCAGAATCTTTAGACCGTCATATCTAATCCTTTGCGATATAATAGAGAGGATCCAATGTATCCGCTGACCTTTTGACCGATAGAGGCTCATATTGCGTTGCTTTTCCAGATTTCTCCGCATTTGAGATCGTCCATCTATTCCTAAATTCGAACTTCTACGTCATGCATGCCTTGTGATGCACATGCTCCTTCGAGTACTTGGGTACATGACCTCTACACTTATAGACTGGCTGGACTGCTGTTGTTTCTCCTCTTTCTGTAGCTCTTTGCGCAAATAGTACTATTTGCAATTTCAAGATGTCGTTCGAAGACCCCGAAAAGAAGGACAGTATAGACCATGACGATGATATATCGAGGCCGGCTACTGGTCGACGCAAGTCGTCGATGTCGAGACGAAAGAATAGTGCTTACGAGGACCCCTTTGCGCGAAAAGAGAGTGTGGACGAGGGTGAGATCCAAGATGCAGAGATTGACTATCAATCTCTCGAGTGGTGGCAAGCTTCAATGAGTATGTCAGAGCCCTGAAGGACGATTGATCAAACTTCTGACAGCTGTAAGTCATGATTGCTGAGACCATCTCGCTGGGCATTCTCTCGCTGCCGTCAGTACTTGCGAGAATCGGTCTCGTGCCTGGACTCATCTTGCTTGTTGGACTCGGAATTATCGCAACCTACACCGGATGGGTATGTCTTTTCTCACAACCGAACTCTATGACACAGTGGACTTACACAGGATTGGAAAGGTTATTGGACAATTCCGTATGAAGTATCCTTGGGTAAGCGAGAAGATATCCTATAACGCTTGTCAGAAGGAGTACTTACGGTACCACAGGTTGTGTCATTCGCAGATGCGGGCGAGATCCTCTTCAAACCGCTCAAGATGGGCGCCATTGGCCGCGAAGTCTTCGGCGGAGCACAAACAATCTTCCTCATCTTCACTATGGCTAGTCACATCCTAACCTGGACCATCTGCCTCAACACCGTGACTGACAGCGCTACGTGTACCGTGGTATGGGCAGTCATCGGACTAGTCATCTTCTGGCTCTTCGACTTACCCAGAACTTTGAAGAATGTATCGTTCATGTCCATCGCATCATTCATCTCCATCTTCTCGGCTGTACTGATCAGTATGGTTGCCATTGGCATTCAAAAGCCCAAAGGCAACACACCATTGGCGGTGACTACTGTGCTGCCCTTTACAGACGCTTTTGTTTCTGTCAGCAACATCGTGTTTGCTTACGCTGGACACTCCTGCTTCTTTGGCTTCCTGGCGGAGATGAAAAATCCAGCCAAGGATTGGACCAAAGCTTTGATCTTCCTCCAGGTTTGGGATATCAGTCTCTATATCGTTGCGGCTACAGTCATCTACGTGTTTGCCGGTCCGAATGTCACTTCACCTGCTCTTGGCTCAGCGGGCCCCATTGTGAGGAAAGTCGCTTGGGGGATCGCTATTCCAACAGTACGTCGAGATTGAAACCACACTTCCGCAAACGAACAGTCGATACTAACACCAAGCAGATTATCATCGCTGGAATCATCTACGGCCATGTTGCTTCAAAGTACATCTTCGTCCGTTGCTTCAGAGGCACAGTCCACATGACCAGAAGAACCAAAACCAGCACTCTTGCATGGACGGGAATCACACTGACCATCTGGGTCATCGCTTGGATCATTGCAGAGTCAATCCCAAATTTCAACGACCTACTTGGCCTGATCAGTGCTCTGTTCGCTGCACACTTTACCTACACCTTGAGCGGAGTGTTCGGATTATACCTGAACCATGGACATTGGTTCGATAGTCCGAAGCAGATTGTACAGTTTTGTGTCAATTGGGTGGTCATTGCGATAGGTGCAACAGTGTGTGTGGCTGGACTTTATAGTTCGGGCAAGGCGATTGCAGCGGGTGGAGGCAATGGATCTTGGACGTGCAAGAGCAATGCTCAGTAGCCTCGTTTGGAGCAATGTCTTTTTGAAGCGAAACAAATTCGTATTGAACATTAATATATCATACTTTGCGTAAATCGTAAAACAGTTTTTTCGGACTGTAGCGTCTAGTGAGAGGCAACATCTTTTGCTTGCCTCATCTTGACCCAAACACCTTCTGCAGGACAGCAGGTCAGAGTCAGGCGCATTTTTGGTTCGGCATCGAGTGTGGGCCCTGTAGGCTCAATCTTGTCGAACCGTTGCAACAGTCTGACCATGACATAACTAGCCTCAGTCAATGCGAACTGTTGGCCAATGCAGATTCTAGGACCTCCGTTGAAGGGCAGATAACCCCAGCTAGGTCGTCCTGATTCCCATCTCGACGGCTTGAACTCATCTGCATCTTCACCCCAGATATCCTTACGTCTGTGCATGACGTAAACCGAGTAGCTGACATCGGTACCCTTGGGTATGAAGATGGGCGAGAGACCGTCTGCACCACCACCTCGTGGGATCGTGGTATCGGTCAGGGCACGGCGACCGTCCATGGGCACAACTGGATAGACACGAAGTGCCTCGTTCAGACAGTGTTGGAGATACTGGCAGTCCTTCAGAGACACAAAGGTAATATCTCGAGGGTTCTCATAACTTCCAAAGTCACGAATGACAATCTCACGGAGCTTCTCAAAGACGTCTGGGTTCTTGGCCAGGAGTAGCAGCATCCAGCTGAGCAGGCAGGCAGTAGTGTCGCGACCAGCAATCAGGATGTTGAGTAGTTGGGTACGCAGCTCGATTGGATCTTGCGTCTGAGCAGCAAGCTCTTCAAGGAATACGAATTTCCTGGTAAGCGACGGTCTTCGCTTCTCCTTGATCGCCTTATCCACATAGTAGTCGGCAAAATTGTGCACATCTTTGCAGAGCTTTTTGAAGTGCTTGTCGTGAGCCATCCAGTAGTAGTTTCCGAATCGTGCGCCTTTGAATAGATATCCTTGAGAACTGTCGATGGCAGTTCCGAAAACTTTCTCGTCTCTCCAGGCCGCTGCTGCTCCAGCTTCTCCACCCCTGAGTGCTGCAAGCTGAGTGTCAATACTCTCACCGAAGAGAAATTCTGTTGAGCTGTCGAGGGTAAGGCGGAAGAAGAGAAGCTGTACGTTGGTCTCCTCAACCCAACCATCGGCATTCACAGGAAGAGCCTGCATCATGTTTTGCACATGCACCTCTTCGAGTTCCAGATCGCTGATGTTATCGCGAGCAAATTGCGGACGGAGAAGGGCTCGAGAATGCTCCCATCTCTTGCCGTCTGATGCGAACTATGATTCTGGTTAGCAAGAATGTCATTGTCCAAGAGTAATATACACCCACGATTCCATCGCCCATCAAAGGACCAAAGTTGCCAATTCTTGCAGATCCTAGTCCGAAATCCTTGAATTGAGTCGCCAACAAAGCTTGAATATTCTTAGGATCCGAGGTGAAGTGAGCCTCGTTTCCCAGAATGGACAGTCGCATGGTATGCACGGGTCTGTTTTGCGATTCCGACAAGACTTCCTCCCGCTCACGGAGATATGCGGGGAAACGACCTGCTTTCTGAGCCGCCATCATCTGTTTGATCGTCGAGATGCCCAGATGTGTGGCAGGCCAGAGTGGCGCTGGCTCGCAGTCCAGCTTACGAGATTTGATAGCATGCTGTCGGCGAACATACAGTATACTGATACTCTTGTAGATTATCCAGGTAACCGTGAGCCAGAGGAACGTAAAGAAAACAGAAAAGCTCGCCATGGGTAGGGTTGATAGCCTGGGTGTGGAGAGGTATCGACAGGGCTCTTAAGAAAGCGTCCAGGACCCTGGACCTTCCCTGCCACCTTCTTGAAAGGGGACTGGGATACGCTTCGGCTCTCGGTAAAACATATTTGGACTCTCGAGTCATCAGACTTTTGGCATTCAAGAGAATGGCCGTGAACGCCCGCCAATGAACGCCATAGCATAGACATTTGAGTTGGTAGCGACACACAACCGTTCCGTGGTTATCTTGGCTTCGCCAACGGTGCCGAGGAATCCACTCTGTCTCCAAGGCAAGACTTGCGAGGGCTCATATCTCTGTGTTGATACATCAAGGATACAATATCCCTCTCTGTGGTCATGAACAGTCGCCGTATGCGCTCATGCAAAACACGGTGCTTCTCGTCTGGCCCTGAACGAAAAGTAAAAACGCAAGACGTCGGCAGCAAGGACCTGACCTGTTTAGGCACGTCATTGAGATTATCCAACTCCTCTTGGCGCTGTGGGGTAGCGCGCTAGCGGTCCGGACGATCACTTTCTCTTTTTGGTTTCCTTTTTGTATTGTCCCTTGGAGTGAGCAAAACTAGAAAAACCTGGTCCGGCATCCTGTGGAAACATTTCTTGCTCCTCACGCGTCCGATGGCAGTCTAATACTGCCTGACTGCGATTTTGAGCGCGTAGCGAACGACGCCGCAACGTACGTAGTGAGATTAAGAACATGCGATAAAGATGTGGTGGTGGCTGCGGAAACGGCGTTCGAGCTTCACCGTCGCAACCGGTGGCTCCGATGAGAGGTGGTGGGTCTCGCACAGGTTTGCGAGGTCGCAGCGGAGGAAGCACGTTTCCGACGCGCTAAAAGATCCATCGTCCTTTACCTGTTTGCGCAAGCACACCCACTCTTTACCGATGAAATGGATGCATCAGGAACGGCCAACGTGCTTGCTGGCTGATAACGAGTCAATAATCCTGGAGAACCGTTTGAGCGAAGCTGTCCCCCGAGCATCCGCAGCGTAAGTCTGACTTCGAAAATCGTCGCATTTTGTGAGGAAATTGGTCACACGCCTCCAGTTTGTTGTTTTTCTGGCTCATCTGTGATATAGAAGCTTTTCTTGACACATATTCAATCATCAAAACCTTAGTAGGTGACGCTTAGGCTCGAAGAAATGCCGAGTGTAACACTGTTGACAGCCCCAGGCCATGTAACAACATGACATCGTTTCTTCCAAGCAAACGGTTTCCTGAATCCTTCTACGTCCTCACCTGAGTCCAATATACGAGACTATCTCTAGTCTTACATCGGATTTGCCGTGCGCAGCACAGACTAGCGAATCACGCCTTGTAGGGTTTTCACGAGGAAGCACAACAGCGTTCAGAGCATTGGTTCATCCTCAGCATGAACGCGGCTAACAACATGCGACTCCGCTCCAGCCGTAGAGCTCTTGGTCACACGCAAGCGGCATATCACTGCTCATACCACGATTCGCCAGCGCTCTGTATTCTTCAATCTCAGCAACTAAAGCTATGCGTGGCTACCATATGTCTGGCTTACCATCACAGTTGTAAGAAGCAACATGCTCACATACGAAGCTCACACGAGCCCACGGCTACAAGCATAGTATGGTTACACGACTTACTGGCCTCTGGTCACTCTTAGTGTCAGCATCCTTTGCATACAAGTAATGCTAATTCCGCTTGCCTGAACATAATGCCGGATTTGACAACAACTTACATTCAACATGTCGGAATGTGGCTTGCGACTGCTCCCAAACTTCATCGACACACTTGCATCGGACGACCCAGAGTTGATTTCTATTGAAGTAACCCAGACTGCGAGTCTCGATGGGGGTTATCGCCAGATCACGTTCAACAACCTTGCCAGGAGCATCGATAAATGTGCCTGGTGGGTACTGAACTAGATAGGTCAAGGTCGAGACTTTCCTACACTAGCCTACATGGGTCCTCATGACCTGAGATATCTCTTTCTCATGTTCGGGGCCTGCAAAGCGGGCTACGAGGTATGTTCGCTCTTATATCTTCTGGGACGTGACTGGCCAGAGCTCGTTCAGATGTTCTTTACTTCTCCACGAAACAGCACGACCGCATCCCTCGATTTGCTTGATCAAGCGGACTGTGGTATTTTCTTAGTACCTACCGATGCACCACTGTACTCGAATTTACTGTTGAGCGTGCTCATCGAAAGACCAATGTCAACACTTGACCTGCCAGATCTCGCGTACTTCTTGGATGCTGACCAACAAATGGTGCCTTTTTTGTGGACAAGAACGTTCGAAGATACTCTTTCCGATGTTTCATGCCTCGGCCATTAGCACTTTGTTCCTTTCAATCTGGAATACCGTTCCAACAATTTCACCGCCTCCAATACCTCTGACAGCAGAACTTGCAAATGAAATGATCGTCAACTGTAACATTGAAGCTGCTACCATGCCTCCGTCTATCCTTTCTGAAATGGCAGGGAATCAAAGGTATCTAGAAAGTCTTTGGAGATGTACCAGTGTGATGTATGGGGGAGGACCGCTACCTACCCAGGCCGGTGATCGCATCGCGTCAGGCACCACTCTCATCACTGTCTTTGGATCCTCGGAGACAGGGTTCTTCCCTGTCGAAGACATGCAGCGGGAGGACTGGCCGTACGTCAAACTAAGCGACTGCGCTGGTGGCGTGTATCGTCCTTATGCGAATGATCTGTTCGAGCTTGTCGTTGAGCGGAAGCCTGGTCTGGAAATGTCCCAACCTGCGTTCTGGATGTACCCTGGACTGGAAGAATACCACACGAAGGACCTGTTTTCGAAACATCACAGCAAACCCGATCTTTGGTTGTGGCAAGGCCGCACAGACGACATCATCGTTCTTAGCAAGGGTGAGAAGTTTAACCCTATTGCAATGGAGAACATGATCGTCAGTGGTCATCCTGCAGTTGAGTCAGCTCTTGTTTGCGGAGACGGGCGCGAACAGTGCGCCTTGCTTGTGGAACTGTCTTCTTCAGAATCCAGTGAAGAAGATACCTCCGAGGAAGAACTTGTGGAGGAGCTATGGCTGATCGTGCAGAAAGCCAACGAGGAGTGTCCCGAGTACGGACGCGTGATGAAGAACATGGTGATAGTTGCCAAACAGGGCAAGAGACCGATACGAGCAGATAAGAGTACTGTTCAGCGTAGGCGTACCCTGGAGAGTTTTGCTGCTGAGCTCGACGAACTTTACCATCTACACGAAGGCCCTGCTGCATCCTTTGCACATACAGATCGTCCGATGGATTTCGAGAGTGTCAAGCAAATTGTCACGGATATTGTTCACGGACTTCCCAGATATCGGACAGTGCCATCCAGCAAGAGTTTCTTTGATCTAGGGCTGGACTCGCTTCACGCTATGACAATGGCCAAGAGCATCAGAACCGCTTTTCTCAATCTGCCAACACAAATCACAACCAAAGTCATCTACGACTTCCCAAGCATTGATCTACTATCAAGCTCCATCTGTGGCTCAATGATTGGAAGGGAGGATTCAGTGAAGGCAATGCAGATGCTGTACGATCGCCACTCACCCATGAGCCGCAAAGCATTGGCTAATGAGGCTCCTCGCGCTGCCACTGTAATCCTTGTTGGCTCCACCGGCCACCTGGGTACTCAGCTTTTGGACCAACTCTCGCGTAGAATAGACGTCCAGAGGATTTACTGCCTCAACCGCCGCTCCAAGGTCAACCTTGAACAAGGAGCGGATGATCCCCCATTCGGCAATCCAGACTCGACATACACTCGATACTTTCACGCAGACTATTCTCAACCGTGCTTCGGCCTTTCTGAACCAGACTTGCGTCTTTTGCAGCGTGACGTCACTTGCGTGATCTAGAACGCATGGCCTGTCGACTTTTGCATGCCACTGTCACACTTCGAACCTGGTATTCATCTCACCACTCAGCTCATGGAGTTCTGCGAATCTTCAGACCATGCATCTACTTTTGTATTCATCTCGTCGGTAGGATCCGTCCTCCGCAACTCGCGAGGACCTGTTTCAGAGGAGGTCGTCCATGACTGGCTGAGGGCAGAGACTATGGGCTATACACAGTCTAAGCTCGTCGCTGAACGCCTCATAGCTGAGATCACTGCTACCACTGGTGTCAAAAGCCTAATCTGCCGTCTGGGTCAGCTCGGCGGAGTCTTGGACCATGACGCTGGGAACAGCAAGGTACCCGAATGGCCGGAGAAAGAATGGTTGCCCGCTATGCTGGCTTCCTCGATCCAACTCGGCGCCATTCCTTCTTCACTAGACTCACTGGACAGCATCGATTGGGTGCCCGTTGACGTCGCTGCAGCTACAATATGCGAGCTCATATCCGCTGGATCTGCAATCCGCGAGGCTTGCCAGGTATACAATATCGTCAATCCTCAAACTACCAGCTGGACAGAGCTATTGCCACAGCTTGCAGCTTACAGGGGACTGAAACGAGTCGCTCTTCCCGATTGGGTTGGACTCCTGGAGAAACATATTCAGAGCGGGCCAGGGAAAAACATACCGGCCATGAGCTTGGTCGATTTCTTCGAAAGCGCCTATGAGAATGGAAAGAAAAAGCCTTTGGTCGACTGCTCGAAGAGTCTTGCTCTGAGTCCGGCTCTCAACGGTACACGACGCATAGGTGTTGATTTGATGGAACGATGGATTAGCCAGTGGAGTTTCAGCAGTTGAGTTGGAGTATCTGATTTGCGCAAAAAATTGATATGGACAAGGAGAGCATGTAAGGAATGTTATCAGCATCTGATGTATGTGCCTAAAATCTTTTGCCGTGTTCTTCAAAATGTCCAGGGGAATTTCAGTCGTCTGGTCCTGGCATAACATCATGCCTATGAGCAAAAAAAAAAAGAAATCCTCCTAGAGATCTTATTATTGAAAGATTGATTCACTTACGACATCATACATCTGGCTAGCCATTGGACTCAGAAGGCTCGAGAGACCCTCGGCGGGTTTGATCCAGCTACAGAAAGAGTGAAGTGCTCGTTTTTGCGAGGCCACCTCTGCTCCGACTTTCGCTGCTCCTTCACATGCTCCAGAGTAAGCAGGAACTTGTGTTCGCAAGGACAACTAGTCACCTGGGTCTCACTTGGGACTTTTGGTGCGGAGTGCGCCATACCACCGCGGTGAGGTGCATGACCTCAATCGTAAGCGCTATCGAACTGGCGAGGAACCTATCGTTGTTAGTAAGAAGTTGGGGAAGTGGCAGGTTCGAACGCAAGATCTGTGGGAGCGAGTTGCCATTCGGCAAAGGGGGTAGTGTATCAACGGCGACTTGATCAGTATACGTAGTCTTAGTCGATAGGAAGAGGGTGTTGGTGTTTGCTACGGGCCGGTAATGCAAGTGAGCCATATTTGGGCAGCAAACATCTTCTTTGTTACACTTGGAGTCCCACTCTATGCTGAGACACCATACAGCTCGGCTTTTTCTGCCTTCGAAAGAATTGCTTGCCTGCTAGCGAGCATGTCTGATTCACTGCTCAACTTGTGAGACTTGTTCGATTAACATCTTACGATGTCTATAACAAAAGCTATAATTGATTGGCCCTCCAACAGATTGGACAAGCTTCAGTCTGTAAGGTCTATGGCACATAATCTCGAATATGATAACATATTGATAAGTGCTAAAATATTAATAAGTTCTGCTGCCGATTCCATCTGAAAGGGCATGACCATGTTAAATATCTGACGATGTAATGATGCGAGCATGCAACCACATGATCAGTACACAAAGACACAGGAACCTGACTTAAATAAGTCTCCTGATTTGATAGACACTCTGCTGTATGTTTGAGCTGGTATAACTGTATTGTGTTAGTTAATAAGGAAATATGCAATGCTGAACGAGGAAAGTACGTTCAGATATGCCGAAGATTCGCCGACAGATACCATTGCTCCTGAGGATCTTCAAGCTTCTCATTCTCACCAACACTTAACGTCTCGAATCAGCAGCTTGATACGGCAGGCAGGACTATATATCTACAGGCTCAATAAACTTATCGCCCAAGGTACCTGTCCGAGGATGGCTGTCGCCAGAGCTTCAGCAACGGCGGCACAAGCCTTTAAGAATATCTGGCAATTATCTCCAGGAAGGATCTGTTTTCAACAAACGGAGAAGGTTTGTGTATTCTTCTATACTGTTGCAGAAACGGGGTGATGCCCTTCTCTTCCTACCAAGCTCTGGTCGAAGCTCTCATGATTAATCGCCCTCCATTACCAACTTCGTATTACGGCCTTCTCCAACGACATCAGTTTGATCAACCAACGCCAGGAAGCTGATGGCTCGAGACCCCTTCTACTCGTATTCCCTCGACCAGAAGCATTCGAGGGCCACCCGTATCCTTGGTGTTTCTTCTGTAAACCATGTCCTCCTCGCAGTCTGTTCGCGCCAATCCTCGGTGACCTGCCATTCATGGAAGATCTCGCAGGCCAACTCTCTAGCTACAACCACGCCATCTCTCAAAGCCAGTTGCCACACTCGTTGCAAGGGAGCTCCGACATGCGAACGTCGATGATAGGTGTGTCAGGGTAGGATGAAAAGATGACACAGTTCATGCCGCATTCTTCGTTGGAGCGGCAGGTATGGCCACACTTCAACTGATGAATGCCTTCCTTGCAGAAGAGTCCCTTGATCCTGGCATCATTGATGTTCTTGGAGGCGCTGTTGGCGGCACTCGCTCGGGTCTGTACGTCGTAGATCAAGAGACAGAGCCACTTTCTGAACACAAGAGGTTCTGCATCCTTCTTTGTCTCTTTGTTATGGGCAGCCATGTCTGCGTAGATCTTGAAGGCGCGATGTTGCTGTGACTGGCTCAAGCCGAGAGATGTGAGAAGTCTTATAGCCTCCTTCTCGCGCTGGTCACGGGGACTTCTGCAGATGTCGACCACAATCTCGCTGATGCGGTAGATGTGTATTTGCTCGGGTCGGTGATTGTTTTGGATGGGTTTTGGCTGATGAGCGGTGGCAGGCTCCTGACTGTCCAAGAACGACGAGATGTCGAGCTCGGAAGTCTCGCTGGCGGATCTGGAAGCGCGTAGAGAGGCACCGTCGACATGATTGAGATCGCGCGCATCGAGGTAAGTGTGGGGATCGGGTTGAGACATGTCGGGTGGGTATTGAATTGTGTCGCTGTTGGAATGAGGACCGAGGGTGTTTGCTGAGTGTGTTGACACTGGCTCCATGAGCGATGTGGTTCTCTTTGATCTGGCCTCGCTCAAGGCTTTCGAAAGCGCGGCGGACTTTGCTTGACCTTCACTGTTGTTGGGCTCCGTTTCGCGGCGTTCTGTGGTAGGCAGAACGTGCTGGAATGCCGTCTCATCCATGTCCGGGCCGAGGTCAGGATACTGCATGTCTGAGAGTGGACCTTCCTCGAATGACGTCGGCTGGTTTGTCCTCGAGTCTCTTGGTCTTGATAGCGGAGAGAGAGATTCTGAGGCAGCGTTTCTTCGACCATCGACACTTTCACGGAAGAACGAATCAAGTTGCCAAGACATATCCAATGCTGCGACCACTGGCAGGCTCTCGTCCGATCCCGTACCCCAGGTGTACGTATCAAAACGTGTTCCGCCATCAAACTGGGTCTGCTCATCCTGCTCGGCACCGTCAACAACATCTCTCAGCAAACCACCACCTCCGAGCCAGGTCTGGGGGTAGTATGTCATGTTCTGTGCGACGTTCTGGCTCCAACCTTGCATATCGACTGCAAGACCGTTATCAAACTGCGGAAATGCACGAGTATACTGTGCGCGGGCGACTGCAGCCTGTTCCGAGAAGTCGTCTTCGTTTGTCTTACGCAAATTGGCTGGCCTGGTGTTGTCCTCTGGACCTTCGGATATATGGTATCTCTCGGCCTAGTATCAAGGAGTCAGTCTTGCTGGGTCTAGCAAAGGACCGTCACCTCTGGAGTCTTACCTGAGAATAACTGACCTGCCATGGATACAGGCCCTGTGCTGAGACCTCTGGCTGCATCTCGTGGCCTGACGAGGATGCCGGCAATACAGCCTCTCTAGGAGGCATCAGCTCAGCCCGTTCAGCTCCTCCATTACTTTGCCACTGCTGGACCACGGCATCGTCTTCAGCTGCGTAAGGCTTAGGAGGTAAGCCACGAGGCTCACGCAGTCCCTGAGATGGTAATGACATGTTGCTGGAAGGCAGGCGTCAAGCTTGTAAGCTGTGATTGCTGTCGAACCACAAAGAGGAAAGTCGCTTTGAAGAGGTCAAAGACAAGAAAGCTGTGCTGCTACGAGAGGTGCTGCTTATGGTGCAGCTATTGGGAGAACTGCGCCTAACGTTGCGTTGAATGAACGTTTTGGCTAGGATCTTGAGTAAGTTGTATCTCCAAGCAATGGATCTTTGTGGGCTTGATGTCAGGCTGGTATTGACCCACAGGTATGCTCCGGAAGCAAAACTTACGGGTAGCTATCGTATACGAGATGCTTGAGACTTGTGGGTCATGAAGGGGGACTTGATATGCAGAATTCGAACCCCTAAAATCACTCACACAGCTTCTTGCGGACTCGACGCTGCTGTCGACGTGGAGCAGGTTTCCGTTCGTTTCCGGAACCATTGGGCTTCCCGTCACTTTACAGGTGCTCATAACATTTATTTCGCTGCGGCTTCTCTCCATCTTACCTCGACGCATAACAACGATTCTTCCGCGCTTCGCCGAGTAAGTATCAGGGCATCTATCCACGGTACTATTGCTAATTCTAGAAGCATGGACAAGCACAACGACATGGCCGAGGCTAAGATGACTGACATGGCCAACGCTAAGATGCCTGACATAATGAACAACCCCATCGACGAGGTTGTCAAGCACGCTATCACCAACTCTGTTATGGACATCATCTGCAATGTGGTTGACATCATGGTCGAAACCAATTCGCCTATGCCCGTACTCAAGAAGACCATGACCAAGGATCTTATGACCTCTATCAACGCCAGAGTCGAGGCTCTCGTTGACGAGCACGTCAACCAGTCGCTCGAAGCAGCTCGCACTAAGGCCGCTCTCGAGGCCGAACTCGAGATGGTAAGTCTTATGCTTTTCCTATCTGGGCGTTCCAGGACTGACCACTGTTCAGGCCAAGAAACTCTCGGCCATTAGAGCCGCCATCGTCAAGGACCTAGAGGATCACCTCGAGTTGCGTTCTCGCCAATTCGAGGACTTTAGTGGTCTTCTGGAGTCCACGGCGATTGATGCTGGCGAAGATGGTCTTGGTGCCGCTGGTGTCCATACCACTAATCTCAACATTGCATGCATCATCCACGAGAAGGATGATGAGGTTCTCAAGCAGACAGTCAAGTACCTGGAAGCCGACCTTCCTGGTAATGCAGAGATCTGCGAAATCCAAGCTGATATCGCTAAGATGGATGCAAAGCTGGGTATCGTCAAGGAGGAAGGCACCGTCAATGGTACTCACTAGTTGGGGGAGATGAGATCGAACGCTCTTGCCTGTTCCGACCACCTGCCTTACAGCACCGAATCTGCACATGACGTTCATCGCACCTGCAGTTCTTAGTTATCAAAAGTAATGAACTCTTTTGCTTCTCATCCTGACTTTCTACCGTGATTCATCAACGTACGTCCTCGTCTTTTGTTCATACCGTGACATCAACAACTCGTCTTCATCCAATTGCACCGTGATCGCAATGGCCAAATCTTCTGACGATGATTGCATTACTGTCAAATTGATTCACAGGAACCAGGACTGGCGGGATGGGCTCGCATCAGTTTTCATCAACCGAGAAGGTCGAGATCCTACTTTGGCGGAGATACAACTGGAGTACGACAAAGCGTGGGTAGCTGAGAGAAGGGAGTTCGACATGACAGCATATCGTCTTCTCAAGGAAACTGGTATAGAACCAAACAAGTACGAAATTTTGGACGCGTTGGAGTTGCAAATGAAAAATCCCGAGTACAACTCCGAATATGCTGTTTACCATCGCTGGGACCAAAATCCATCGTATCCCGCCAACAGTAAACTTCCCACGAGCAGGAGCAATCCTATTGATCTCACGAACTCTGATCAGTCGGCAACAAATACAGCGACAAAGAAGCACGAGACGGATTTGAGACAAACAAACGCGGGAGCTGTGAGATCTTTTGCACCACACTCTACCCTCAACCTCTCCAGTCTACCCAAACAAGAGTCTATTTTCGAGCACATACCGCTCCAGCCAATCGATCCCTCATCAGAGATCCATCCGGAGACAAGCTTCTCTACACAAATGCTCGAAGTTGGCCGTCGCAAAATCAAAGCAGTGCCTAAGGGAACTGCTACGTCGACGCCAAATTCAAGAGATGCAGGACCGACAACAGAAGCTGCGGCTAGAAACACAACCAACACTACGGTGGAAGCATCATCACAGCCTTTGACGAAAAAGCACACCGAGAAGATCTCCAATGCAGGACGAGCTATGCAATCCAAAAGCAGTCCACCGCCTGCAAGCACAAGAATCGAGTATGATCGACCACTCTTTGTTAAGGCAAAGCCAAGATTTGCATCAAGTACAGACAGATCTCACATTTCTGGTCCAATCTTTGTCAGAAAACAACCGAACGGTTTTGTGTTGGTCGATGATCACGAACAGCTCGACAGTACGCCAGAATTCAATGACAAGTCACCCTTCAGGGCGCTTCAACCACACCCAGGTTCTGCCTCGTCTCAGCAACCAGCTCGTGCCCCGATAAGCAGTCAAGCCTCGAATGATGGTGTCACGACAGTCTTAGCAAGCCAATGTAAGCCGCTATGCCTCTTCCTTGTTCGACTCGGAATCGCTAAACAGGAACAGATTCGGAACACTTCGACGACTACATCAAAGAAAAACTAGGACAAGGCGTGGATGGGCGTACGCACAGGATCTTCAAGCTCGCCATGTTGCACGCGAGCCGCTGGACAGTAAGCTGCTTACCCATGAATTCGATAAGCAAGACTAACAGATCCACATAGCTTGAGAACATGCCTAGGACAGACGGTGCGATCCAGGTCTTGTCCTCGCAAGTGACCACCAACGAGCGGAACTCTCGCACCGTAAACAAATGTGTGGAAACAGTACTAGACGCTTGCGATGTCAAAGACGACAGCAAACCTGCCGATCTGTACAAGCTGCTCGACAAGCAAGAGAAGGAAAGACAGCAAAGTCTGGAGCGAGTGGCCGACAAGCTGAACAAGGAGAAGAAAGACAAGGTCAAGCTGATGAGCGAGCTCGAGGTGATGAAAGAGGAAGTTCAGAAGGAGAAGGATGCCAGAGATCAGGAAGATGAAGACAGGTTGAGGAAACATCTGGAACGGAAGAAGAAAGGGAGCAAAGAAGATGGCGGCAACAGTGGTGCGAATGAAGAGAGAAGAAAGAGAAGGAGAGATGCTGAGCAGGAGGAGCATGTCGACATCGATATGTTGCTGTAACAAAGGAGGAAGAAAGGAAGTCTATATCACAGCTGGGGTGTACAGTGGCTATCAAGAAGCAGACAAACATGAAGATCAAAGAGAGAGTAGGAACGTACGCACGCTCAAAGATCATTGCGAATGCACAACATGCCAGTCTCCACCTAAACCCCAACACCCATACCCTAACTTTTCAGCCATGTAGCAGATCCCCTCCGTCTCAATCCCATCACCCCCTTCCTTGTCCCAAGTCGAGCCCACCACATACCACCAAGGAAAGCTCAATCCTTGCCTGACCAAAACAGCATTGATATACAACAACGTGCCTCCCACCGACTGCAAAGGAAACATTTCCTCAGAGTTTGCGAATGGCAATAGGTCATGCATATGCTGCTCCCTTTGCTTGTACCAAGCATTGAGATCATAGTCATATGTACCTCCATCTTGCGCTCTGGCTGTGATCAAGCCCACTGGCAAAATTGTTTCTGGGAGCGTGATGTTTGGCGACATGGTGATGTTTGGATCAGAGGCTTGTTTGAGCATTTGAGCGCAGATGCCAGGAGACGCATCGATGACATCCGAGTCGAAGTAGAAAATGTGTGCTTCGGTGGTTAAAGCTGTGAACATGAGTACATTTCTCGCGACGGCGATTTGTTTGCGGCGGATAGCTTGGAAAGAAGCAGTATGGCGATCTGCGGGTCCTTCATCCTCGGGAATCGTGGGTGTGTAGAGAAGCACTTGGGCTTTTGCGTATGGATGGGTGGATAGAGCCGAGACGTAGTGCCCATATGCTGATTCAGTGGTCGTGAGGATCGCGAGGGAGATGGACGGGGCAGGCAGACCGGAAGTGTCGTTTAGGAATTCGAGGAAGGAGGGGAAGGTGCGTGGTGTGCCGTCTACATGGCCCCAGTGAGATTCGTCGTGGGTTACGACGAGGATGAGGTGTTCGGCGGCAGAGGCATTGTTGGTTTGGGTGTGGTGGCGTATTTCGGGTAGGTCGAGTTCGGTGATGATGGAGGTGTGTGAAGGTGCTGTTGAGTGTTTTGTGGTGTCTGGTTTTCCAGGCAGCTTTGGACGGTCTCGTGTAGGTTCGTTTTGGCCGTGGGCTTGGTGGTCGGCTTGGACGGCTTTTTCTTCTTCGGTCAGTTGGTCGTCGTCGACGGCTTCGTTGTTGCTCGAGATGTGGTCGCCAATGTCGCTGGGAGGTTGGCTGTCATCTTGTTGTTCCGTCTCCTTTTGTACAATGTCGCTCTCTGCATCCACCGAGGTATCTTTGGCAGGCTTGCTGGTTGAGATATGCGTTTCGTACCAGGACGCTTGACGGTCGTGGTCTGTCGGCGGCAATAGGGTTGTTTTAGTTGGGTGGGCTGGAACAAATATGATGTAGGTGATGGCGAGAATAAGTAAGAATGACAGTATCCGCACGGTGGACGTGGACGAGGTACTCGACACCATAGTGACTCCAATTGAAAATGACCGACAAGCAGAGGGGGAGTAGAGGAGGGTTCGGGGAGACAATGAAGACCTACAGATATTTGCGAGAGTCTGTACCTACATGGCTCGACAGAGAATAATCCAACGGGTGAGATTAGGGGCAGCGACCATGGATGTGCATGACTGATTGACTGGACCGAACGGCGAGCTGGGGCTCAGCTGCGGCCAAGGGCTAGCCCAAGAGAGATATCTCGTGAGTCGTGCAATATGGGCTGGAAGACGTGCCCAACAGACGTGAGCGGCATCAAAGCCGTTGGCTCTACCGGATAGAGGTTTCAGGGGCAGAGGAAAGAGAGGAAAAAGAGATAATGCAAAATAATCTTGCATGTGACAGATGTGGGGTTGAGACGCAGCGTGACGTAGAAGCTTCTGGACGCTTCTCGCAGCGACCCTGTCCCTCTGCCTTGATCTTGATCATGCTAGCATCATCTGGCGCTCGCTGGCGAGCTCAAGTCTCTTCTGTTCAGAAGACCTCACGCCTATATCAGTCTCGTCGACGTCTTTGTTCTCTACTCCATCAGAACTCAAGACATAGACACACAACACCACACGCACAGCATTCGCTCCTCTACGCTTCACGACTCACGACCCTATACCACAATACACTTTTCGATAATCTCTCACACGCATAATCACACACCAACATGGCAGCCTCAGGAATGTCCTTCACCGACAAGGCTGCATCAGCCCTGGGCGATGCCCAAGAGCTCGCCCAACAATACTCGCACACACAACTGCAACCCATCCACTTGGCCGTCGCTCTGCTAGATCCTCCTCCCGACCTCAGCAAGGACCAGCAGAACCAGACTGGCCATGAATCACACGGCGCTGCATCAGCACCACTCTTCAAGCAGGTCGTCGAGAGAGCCCATGGAGACCCCCAACTACTCACCCGCGCCCTCAACAAGGCTCTGGTCCGTCTACCCAGCCAGGACCCTCCCCCAGAGCATCTCTCCATGAGCCCTGCCTTCTCAAAAGTCTTGCGCGCCGCCGATCAATTGTCCAAGACACAAAAGGACAGCTACATTGCTATCGACCACTTCATCTCCTCTCTCGTTCAGGATCCCACCGTCACAAAGGCTCTCGCCGAGGCCAATGTGCCCAACACCAAGCTCATCGACAATGCCATCCAGCAAATTAGAGGCAACAAGCGCGTTGATTCAAAGACGGCCGATGCTGAAGAAGAGAGCGAGAACCTCAAGAAGTTTACCATCGACATGACGGCCATGGCACGAGAGGGCAAGATGGACCCCGTCATTGGCAGAGAGGAAGAGATTAGAAGAGTCATCCGCATCTTGTCACGTCGCACAAAGAACAACCCCGTCCTGATCGGTGAGCCCGGTGTCGGCAAGACCACTGTCGTCGAAGGCCTCGCTCAGCGCATCATCAATGCAGACGTTCCTGCCAACTTGGCCGCCTGCAGACTGCTCTCTTTGGACGTCGGTGCCCTCGTCGCTGGCAGCAAGTACCGTGGTGAGTTCGAAGAACGCATGAAGGGTGTGCTCAAGGAGATTGAAGACGCCAAGGAGATGATTGTTCTCTTTGTCGACGAGATTCACTTGCTCATGGGCGCTGGCTCTTCAGGAGAAGGCGGCATGGATGCTGCCAACCTGCTCAAGCCCATGCTTGCCCGCGGTCAACTGCACTGTATCGGTGCAACCACCCTGTCCGAATACCGCAAGTACATTGAAAAAGATCAAGCCTTCGAGCGTCGCTTCCAGCAGGTCTTGGTCAAGGAACCTTCGGTCCCTGAGACTGTGTCCATTCTTCGCGGTCTCAAGGAGAAGTACGAAGTTCACCACGGTGTCACCATTCTTGATGGTGCCATTGTGTCTGCTGCTACCTTGGCTGCTCGCTACCTCACTCAACGACGTCTTCCTGATTCGGCTGTCGACCTTATTGATGAGGCCGCTGCTGCCGTTCGGGTCACACGCGAATCTCAGCCCGAAGCCATCGACAACATGGAACGTAAGCTTCGTCAGCTCGAAATTGAGATTCACGCACTCAACCGTGAGAAGGACGAAGCCTCGCAGGCACGCCTTGCTCAAGCAAAGGCCGAGGCTGCCAACGTCGAGGAAGACCTCAAGCCTCTTCGCGAAATGTACAACAGCGAAAAGGCTCGTGGAAAGGAGATCCAGGAGGCGAAACTCAAGCGTGATCAGCTCCTCACCAAGCAGCAAGAAGCCGAGCGTATGCGAGACCTGCAGACTGCTTCTGACCTCAAGTACTACGCTATTCCCGACTTGGAAGAACGTATCAAGCAACTGGAAAAGGAGAAGGCCGCTTCTGATCTCGACCAGCTCAGAGAGGCTCAAGCTTCTGGCGAAACTCCTCTTCTGACTGATGCTGTCGGCCCTGATCAGATCAACGAGATTGTTGCACGCTGGACTGGTATTCCCGTCACTCGCCTGAAAACTACCGAGAAGGACAAGCTCTTGCAAATGGAACGCCATCTCGCCGAGATCGTCGTTGGTCAGAGAGAAGCTGTCACATCGGTCGCTAATGCCATCCGTCTGCAGCGTTCTGGTCTTGCCAACCCTAACCAACCACCCTCGTTCCTCTTCTGTGGTCCTTCGGGTACTGGTAAGACTCTGCTTACCAAAGCACTGGCCGAGTTCCTGTTCGACGATGCTCGCGCCATGATCCGCTTCGATATGTCTGAGTACCAGGAGAGACACTCGCTCTCGCGTATGATCGGTGCACCTCCTGGCTACGTCGGCCATGATGCAGGCGGTCAGCTTACCGAGGCACTCCGCCGCCGCCCCTTCTCCATTCTTCTATTCGACGAGGTTGAGAAGGCAGCCAAGGAAGTCCTTACCGTCATGCTTCAGCTTATGGATGACGGCCGCATCACTGATGGCCAAGGTCGTGTTGTCGATGCCCGCAACTGCATTGTCGTCATGACATCCAACTTGGGTGCCGAGTACCTCGCCCGCCCCAACGCACCCGACGGCAAGATTGACCCTACAACCAAGGAGATGGTCATGGGTAGCTTGCGCAACTACTTCCTGCCCGAGTTTTTGAACCGTATCTCGAGCATTGTCATCTTCAACCGCCTCTCCAAGAAGGAGATCCGCAGCATTGTCGACGTCCGCCTCGACGAGATTCAACAGCGTCTGTCGCAGAACGGAAGAAACGTGCGCATCGAGTTGTCAGCGGACGTCAAGGATTACCTGGGCTCTGCTGGATACTCACCCGCCTATGGTGCTCGTCCTCTGGCTCGCCTGATCGAGAAGGAAGTCCTTAACAGACTTGCCGTACTCATTCTCAGAGGGTCTATCCGTGATGGCGAGACCGCTAGAGTTGTGCTTGAAGACGGCCATATCACGGTTCTTCCTAACCACACTGACTCTGATGGCGAAGACTCGGAGATGTGGGACGAGGAGGATGCAGTTGCCGAGTTGCACGGAGAAGAGGGTGATATGGAACTTTATGACTAAAGAAGAGATGATGAAAGCAATGAGTTAAGGAATAGAAGGTATAAAGAGCATTCGGGGAGATTTTTGAGCATGGAGTTTAGCAATGGGGGGGGGGGGTTTTGAAAAGCACTTGTAGTTAGCTGTTGCACGCACTTTGTCGATACAGAATTCAGAAATTTAGTACAAACCATCGTATCTTGTCTCTTCTCCCTTTCCTCACGTGCCAAAGTTTGATTGGATGTCTTGCTCCATAATCAAGGTAGCGGTATTTCGAATCAGTATCCCGATCACGACAGATAGCGCAGAGTGTGTTGAACATGTAAAAGTCATGGTGGTAGGAAGAAAATGAAAGGGTGTTATCTACACAACTCCGAGAGCCCAAGGGGTGCTATTTGTGAGCAAGAAAAAAAGAACGAAAACAGAAGCAAGAAAGATGGATTCAATTTTTACACCTCGACCACCTTCTGAGCCTTCCAGATTCTCTTGACGCCCTCGGTGAGACCAACATCGTTTGTCTCAAACTCGTAGAAACCGATGCCGGCCAGGATGGTGGCGGCGTTGAGAGCCCACATGGAGAACTTGCGGGTCTTGGGGACGCGCTTGCTGGGGAAGTAGTCGATGATGCATGACTGGAAGCCAATGTGCGAGTGGATGAGGATGGTGGAGATGAAGAGGCCGTCCAGGACGGGGTTGAGGGAGCCGGCGGCGAAAGGAGCGATGGTCAGAGGGATCAGGCCGGCAGAGATCAAGCGCTCGAAGCTCCAGTGGTAGCTGCCATGGGCGTAGGATGGGTCGGGGACGGTGGCGGCATCGTTCACTGAGAGAGGAAGCGTGTTAGTGTTGGTGGTGGTGGGGGACAGGTTGTGGAGCATGGGCTCATTGGCGTACTGGTGCCCTTGATGACCTGGGGCAATGGGGGAAGAATGGCGCGGGTGGGCGAGGCGTGGAAGGCGCGCAGGGCCATGGGTGTGCGCTGGGCCAGCAGCTGGCGCGACAGCAGGGCGGGACGGAATGAGGTGGCCATTGTGTGTGTGTGTGTGGTGGACTGTATACAGCTGCGAGTATCGACCTTCTGTATGGCTTCAGACAAGCACGAGAACGTGGAGTACGGCAGTACCTTTGGCAGAGACGTGATTGGCTTATAGACGATCTAGTTATGCCGAGGGTACTCGCCGATGCGGAAGAAAGTGGAAGCTCAGTTGTGCGTGCTGGTATATTCGCAGAGTTCTGCAACTTTCGTTCTCAACTGTACTCAACGACTCTCTCGTGCTGACCATTGTTGGCGGGCGGCTTGTTCCGAAGAAAAGAGGCAAGTCCGACGTCCTCATACCAGCAACAGCATCCAGCCAACAGCTGCCACTACCACCCACCCTCTCCCCCCATCTCCGCCTACATCCCCCGTCGCCAACAATGGCCTCGACAATGGCTTCCCGTCGGCTCGCATTGAACCTGCAGCACGCCACGCGCAGCCGCACCGCCATCAACGCCATCAAGAATGGCTCGCTGTCGCGCTTCCGCGGTCTCGCTACCCCCGTCTCCCACGGCTCCAAGACCGAGAGCACCACCCTCAGCAACGGCTTCACTATTGCCACCGAGCACTCGCCCTACGCCCAGACCTCGACCGTCGGTGTTTGGATCGATGCCGGCAGCCGCGCCGAGACCGACAAGACCAACGGCACTGCTCACTTCCTCGAGCACCTTGCCTTCAAGGTACACCACCACCGCCAGTAACACATCAATGCGAAGACACAATCTAAGAGACGTTGCAGGGAACCCAGAAGCGCAGCCAGAGCCAGCTCGAGCTCGAGATTGAGAACATGGGTGGCCACCTGAACGCCTACACTTCGGTGAGACTCGCCCTCTGACTCTTCATGAGAACTTCATCCTAACAACCCCCACAGCGCGAGAACACCGTCTACTACGCCAAGTCATTCAACTCGGACGTGCCCAACACTGTCGACATCCTTTCCGACATTCTCCAAAACTCCAAGCTCGAGACCCAGGCCATCGAGCGCGAGCGCGACGTCATCCTTCGCGAGCAGGAGGAGGTTGACAAGCAGCTCGAGGAGGTCGTCTTCGACCACTTGCACGCCACTGCCTTCATGAACCAGCCCCTTGGTCGCACCATCCTCGGCCCCAAGGAGAACATCCAGTCCATCACCCGTGACGATCTCACCAACTACATCAAGACCAACTACACCGCTGACCGTATGGTCCTCGTTGGCTCTGGTGGTGTCCCCCACAACGAGCTCGTCCAGCTCGCCGAGAAGTACTTCAGCAACATCCCCATGGCTCCCCCAACTTCAACCGCCCAGGCCATTGCCAATGCCCAGAAGGAGAAGCCTGACTTTGTTGGTTCCGAGGTCCGTATCCGTGACGACACCATCCCCACCGCCAACATCGCCATTGCCGTTGAGGGTGTCAGCTGGAAGGACGACGACTACTTCACCGCTCTGGTTACTCAGGCCATTGTCGGTAACTGGGACCGCGCCATGGGCAACTCGCCCTACCTTGGCAGCAAGCTCAGCACCTTCATCCACGAGCACAAGCTCGCCAACAGCTTCATGAGTTTCTCCACTAGCTACAGCGACACTGGGTAATTACACATCGACAGCTACTCTGACCTGACTCTCGCTAATATTATACAGTCTCTGGGGTATCTACCTCGTCACCGACGCCGTCACCCGCATCGACGATCTCGTCCACTTCACCCTCCGTGAGTGGTCGCGCCTGTCATTCCAGGTTTCCGACAACGAGGTCGAGCGCGCCAAGGCCCAGCTCAAGGCTTCGATCCTTCTCTCGCTCGACGGCACCACCGCTGTTGCCGAGGACATTGGTCGCCAGATCATCACCACCGGCCGCCGTCTCGCACCCGAGGAGGTTGAGCGTGTTGTTTCCCAGATCACCGCCAAGGACGTCATGGACTTCGCCAAGCGCAAGCTCTGGGACCGCGACATTGCCATCTCCGCTGTTGGTCAGATCGAGGGTCTGCTTGACTACTCGAGAGTCCGCAACGACATGACCAGAATGCTGTCGTAAGGATAGTCATATTCTGTGTTTAATGTTTTTCTTATTTAGATGAGAGAGGGGTATCCGAAAAAGAATATCCCCTTTTGTTTAAGTCTATATGATAGAAGATGCTGGAGGGCCATTTCTCTGGCTCGGCGGAGCAGCATCGCACGACACGATGGAGAGTGAGATGCCGATTCCGGGTTCTTAGTGTTCACTCTCAAAAATGTACATTTAGCCCGTTTTACCTTTTTTCAAATCTATTTCATTTTCTTTTGTCTGTCATGTTGAGTCTTGTTGAGTGTCGTTGTGTTTTGATGTCTAGACTTTTGATGTTATCTTTTGCTGTGCTCTGATTGGTCAATGACAATTTGGCTGTTTCGCGAGTCTAGCAACCCTGGACCATTAGACCTACATCTCCAACATCATCACATTGACTCGTTCATCCACGGTACAACCAATCGTCCTGCTGTCTCTGCGTGAGCATAATTACGGAAAAGTCTATCATGTACCTATAAGAGGACCCACGCCCCAGCCTGGTGATTGCGAATGACGTTAATCAGCTTGCGAATCAAAGATATCCAGCTGTCAAGTATACCAGCACTGTGCCCATCGTCACTCGAGGGAGATTGACTGGGGCGCGAAACCGATTCAAGGGACTTGGTCTAAATTCGTGAATGAGACCATTGAGTCTGGAGAGGCCCGAACATATCTCAGGATGTCGGACACGATGCTCAAAGCGATCTTCTACGCGAGGTTTCACGAGGAGAAAGGTATGTAACGCGCTTGTGGCTTTCTTGATATCGAATTTCTTGTCCTCTGCCTTTCGATTCATCTCGTCGCCCCCATGTGCATCGGCAGACTTCATCTCGCTTCCGCTGCTTCTCGCCCTTGATCACAGGGCGGTACCGTTTGATAGAAGCGTCATATCGCTGTGGTCAGACACGGCCAAATGCAGCTCCAGAAGCAAATGCCATGCCCAAATCACATTGTTATTGTATCCAAAAGGGAAAAGCTCGAGAAACCCATCTACAGGACCTGAATATCTGACATATCCCATCACACAGGTCCCACCGTCCTGCACCAAGTCCCCGAAGGCAGCGTCATCCCCCTCGCAAACACAACCCAACAACCACTCTTCCACTTCCCCAGTGTATCCAACCACATCATCCCACGCCGCGAATTCTGCGATCGCCCGTTGAGTCTGCTCGCCTCCCACCACCGCATCATTGGGTTTCCTGTTTGCATTCACAATCCTGTACTCTATCCCCGCTCTGATTTTATATTTAATTTTTGCTTGGTGGTTGATGAGAAGGCCGAATGGGGTGCTTATGCGAGCGTGGTGAGTAAATTGGCGAGGTTGATGAGGAATTTAGAGGAGCAGACTGGGTGGTTGAGTAAAGAGGAGAGGAGGGAAGGCTGGGTGAAGGCTGGGGAGAGGGGATACGGGGGCGGTAATCGCGTTTTTGCGATTTGTGAGATGGTGTTGGAGGATTTGAATTGCTATTGCGAGTGCATGATTCCTATTGGTAAGTATCTTCTGGTGGCGATGATGGTGAGGGAAAAAGAGAATGCTGACACGGTGCAACACAGATGACTCGAATACGCTGAACCTCAAACTGTTTCCTACCAGGTCACCACCGCCGCCGATACAGATCTATCATGTTCCTCTGAGTACTGTTCGCTTCAGCAGTCTGCAGACGAATACTTGGGATCTGACTGTCCAGCGAATCATACCGTATATCGATGGCATCAACTCGGTGCAAAAGATTGCTGTACTCGCTGACACGGATCTAACACTTACTCGACGAGCACTCGCACATTTGCTATACTATGGCTGCATCTTGATGCTCAACACATTCCACTTTGGCGCCATCTACGCAGCAACAGCCGAAATCGGCGTCTTTGTCGAGGACACAAAGATGCAAGACGAGTGCAGGAGATACATCGTAACACCCCACTCGCCATTCAAAAACAGCATCGCCGACTCTTCCTCGACCACAAACGCCGCCACAACCCACGCACAAAGTTCTTCTTACAACGGCCCCTCAAGTTCCCTCCTCAAACACCACAAAAGCAGCAATCTCAACCCATCCTCGGCGTCCTCCCAACCCACCCCTCCTTCACGAGCAACAGTGCTCCATCTCTACGCTTCCCTACGCCAAGGCCTTCCCCTGCGAGACTGGTGCCTAGCCCACGCATCCTCACTAGCTTACATCGACATCCGCCGCTTCATCACCTTTGGCATCATAAAAGGCTTCTTGTACCGCAGCCACCGCTACGCCATTGCCCTCAGAGCAGCAGACACGGCCGCCGATGCAGCAGTAGCGGCCGCAGAGGAAGCAATGCGCAAACACCGCCACGCGGAAAAAACATGGCGTAAAGCTGCCATGAGCAGTGGATGGCGCACCCCCGTCGCTTTGCACGAAGAAGCAGCTCTAGATGGTGGGTTTGGGGGTATGGTTGCCAGAGGTAAACACGAAGTCGATGTTGTTGAAGCGGAGGATCAGAATAAAAAGATGGAAGAGCAGGCGGCAGATGGCAAGATGCCTGGTGCTGAGGAATTGGGCAAAGGGAGGAGTTTGGCGGATCAGTTTTTGGCGAGGTATTTGGATGGGTGTCATTGTTTGGATGAGGTGTGTACGGATACGGGTATGGGGCAGCAGGAGGCCGTTAAGAAGTTGAGGGCGTTGGGGGATGTGGTGTTCGTGAATCGATAGTCGAGTCCGGCGACTACGAAAAGTCGAAAAATCAGAGGGAGATGGAAGTGGAGACGAGACCATCATAAATACAAGAAGTCGCGGTGAGTGCACAGAAGGGAAAAGTATTGAATGGTTTTCTTATCTCTCTCGGTGTGCTTGGTAAAGAAAGAGTTGTCCGTCTGTTTTCATTGCTGTACCTTGCTCAAAGCGATGCTGATGATATAGAAAAGGAATGCGTTGTTTGTTCGCCACGACACACTTCTGACTCCCCGAACTGCAGTAATGAACGCCTCCCCTAATGACCCTGACCACCATCTTTGTAGGTAGTCAAGAGAAGTCCCACCAGACTGGTGCAAATTTGAACTTGACCCTGCACGCATCCATTTCTGTGATAGCTGCGTAGTTCGAATCACCAGATTCTCCGCGACCGTCAGATTCCTCTCGTCTCCCTGCACTCTCTCCATCAGCCAAGCTGCCAGAACTTTTTGTGCCTTCTAGGCGTTCTCGACCATGTTACGAATAGCAGCCTGACGCTGCTCAATTAACTCAAACTGCTCGCGGGCAAACTTGGCAATCTCCTCAGTCTCCTCGACAATCTTGCGCTGGATCTCGAGAGACTTGTCGACGTGAGCGAGAGAGGCCTGGACAGCAGTCATGCCCTTCTTGAGACTGTTGGAGGCGGTTCTGTGGAAGCGTCTGAGGTCCTTCTCATAGTTGGTGCGGATGGTCTTGTGCATGTCGAGCAAGGTCTGGGTGCCAACGATGCGTTCGGAGAGGTCAGTGATGAGGTCGTTGCCGAGCTGCTGGACGGTCTTTGAGACGGCGAGATCGCTGGCCTCGGTCATGCTGTCGGTCATGGATTCGTCGATGGCAGACATTGTGCTTGTGGTTGTAGAGTGACTGTTTGTTACATCAGTAGGGAATGAGGTTTGGCAAGTAGAGATTTGTAGACTTACATGTTGTGATAGAGATGTGCGTCCTGTGGATGAGTGATTGGCGTTGGTTTAGGCGTAGCAGAGGTGATGAAGATGAATGGCCCGAACAATGTTCAAGAGTCGATTGAAGGGGCTTGTAGCAAGTTTGTTGATGCGCTTTCTTGTATGGAGAGAGATTGATATGTGTGTTGTTCGAACAGAGGGCTCGGTCAAACCTCGCGTATAAGATGTGAGATAGTATCAGATGTGTGTGTAAGAGGGAGAGAGGATAAATGGTGAGCGCGGCGCTTTCGTGGTCATGTGTCGACGACCAGTGAGGGTGAGGGGTGACAGTCGAGGAGTGAGAGTGATGTGACACTTTCCGGTCGTCGACGTGAACAAACAAATCCGGCGCCGAGACGCTGTGTTGACGTGACGATATAAACAAGAATACCCTCACTTGCAAAGAGTACTATGAGAATTCACGATGCTTATTCGATCTGGGAAGCCATTCAAAGGGAAGCGGCGACTGCTGTGCTCTTTCGTATCTTATGGATAGCATCAGCCATTGAGCTGCATAACATTTTCGAGCGGGAATCAATGCTCAAGACATGTGCTTCCAGATCAAAAATTGTCGACCGCATCGAGAGATCCAGTGTATTACTTTTACCCCTGAGTGACGTTTCAGCTGAGTCGTGCAAAGAACCCTTCGTATTCTTGATGGTATGTCTATCAACACCACTCAGCTACTTTAGAGATCGCAAGGGACAGAGCAGAACAACATCACAAGTATAGACACGAGACAAGTAGAATCCACAATCGCACTTGAGAAGGAGATATGGAGACCAAGAAGACAGTTCTCACTCACTTACCCCTGAGCATCACAATCCATTCACTCCCATTACTCAACCCTTATATACTAGCCAGATAGTCATCTTGTCAGTGCCCTCGAGGAAGCTACACAACTGTGCGGAAGTACTTTAGTGTAGTGGCTCTCGGGGGGTGAACAACACAGGAAGCGCCTGGGTTCGATCCCCAGCGTCTGACTGTGGGATTTATCTGGGATCTGGATCTGGACCGGGACTGACTCTGGATTGACTCTGAATTTGGGACTGACCCTGGACTGACTCTGGATCTGGGACTGACAAAAGAGCATAACTGCACCACCCGGTGTAAGTTTGTCTCTCTACCTACAACGGCCCGTGGGTAGAGTTCTGTTTTGCCAATTGATATTCAAGCTGTTGTGGTATCTTGGAGCCGAACCTCAAGAACAGTTGTCCTAGCGCTTTCTACTTACTAGTAAGGTCGTAGAGTACTCTGCAACTACGATCAAAGTTTGACTGCATCGCATGCCTATCTGCCTCTTAAGAGTATCACCAGGTTTATCGCGAGAAACATAGGGTCGACCAGCATATCACATCACAACAGAGCTCTATGCGTAGTATCGACGCTGAGAACTGTTTCGATGGTCATATAACAATGGCTAAGGGCCAAATGAGAGCCACAATTGTGGTGTTACTATTTGGATTCGAATGTGCGCTTTTGTCATATGCTTGAGTGCTTCCTCGAATTGTCCTTGGAAACCCGCTTCGCAACCACATCTAGTCGTCTCGGCGCAGGTCTCGAGCCCCAGATCAAAACGTTGACTCGACCTCCCATGCGTCTTCTTTGATCTCCCCTCTTCCTCGCATAACCACACCCCAGTGTTTTGCTCAGCACAAGGTACTCGACGCGACCACTCCTGACATTCGTTCATAATGCTAACGACTGTTCAAGCAGCAACCATGGATACCAGTAAGAAGGAACAGGACGACGACGCCAGCATGAAAGATGTTGGCGGTGACATACTCGTGGGTTCCATCGACTTCGCCCACCGGGCACACGATGAGGCTATGGACCTTCCTACCGCTACTTCTAGCAACAACGATCTCGAGGACAACGGACGTGACGCAAGGAGTGGTCCTGCCAACGAGCTCACCATTGGCGAACAGAGCAACGCTACCCACAAATCTATCAACCCTGTTACTGAAGTCGAGAACATCGACATGGACATCTGGGACGGCACAGTTGGCGAAGACCAAGAGCAACCGACCCCTGAAGATCTCATCACCCGACTCCAAGATGAGAACCTTGCTCTCAAGCACCAAATCGCCATTCTCAAAAGCCATGTCGAAATTCTCAAAGGCGAGAAAACAGCAACAGCTCGCGAACTCAGAACCATCATCACCAACCAACACGGCGCTCTGGACAACGCGAACAACAGAATCACCGCCGCCCACAACAGAAACCTCGGCAAGCAACACCAACTGGACTCTCTGTACGCCACTCTCACTCGCCAGGAACGTCAATTGAACCCTCTGTACGCCCAACTCGCACAGCAGGAGCAGCATATCATCGCTCAAGCCGCTCACATCAACACTATCAACGATCTCCACGACAAGCAGCTCCGTCGTATCAGATTGGAGGTCAGCAAGATGGTTAGGTCAACTGAGCAGAGGCTGGAGAGACACGCGTCGTCAGCCAGACGCTTTGGGGGTGAGATGGATCGATTGATCATCAATGTTGAGGACCCTGAGGTTACTGAGAGTGAGGATGAGGCAGCGGCAGATGAAGGCGGAGAGCGGCAGGAGGTGGAGGTTATCGACCTGATTGACGAGGATGATGATGACGAAGCTCAGCTCGCTGACGGTGTTCAGTCTACTGCCATTGAGCAACCTGTTGAGGTTCAGCAGCTCGACTATGAGGAATAGGGCGCTGCTATTCAGCAGCCCAGCAACGTTGAGCAGCTTGTCTACAACGCCACACAGGTCACTGTCGGCGAGGAGTCTCCCAACAAGCGTATCAGATTGACCTAGCAAGCCTGACAGGAGTCCCGGAAGAAACGAGGAAGGCGTAGGGAGGAGCGAAAAAGATGACCGAGGGTACAAAGCCAAACATGAACAAGGATGGAGCAATGAAGTAAAGAACACAAACTTCTGATCTAATACAAACACTCTCCCAACTTCCATTGCGCAATGTGACTATCGCATACAGCTATCAAAGTGCACATTGCTTTCAAGAGATGGGATAGATTCCATTGAGACGCGGTATCCTTCAGTTCCTCATTGGACACATGTCTAGTGCTGGTAGTTACTGTGTCTTTTGGTAGTGAAATCCTCGATCTGAATTATTGTGAGAGAAGCTTGAGATTTACAAACTTTAGCACACGGAGAGACAGTACAAGTTGTGCATCTTGATGGCTGAAACTGATCAAGAACTTCTATGAAGGCATCGAAAGATATGGAATCCTTTGTACCTACACCTTCCATCTAATCGGCAGGAGCATACTTACTCCTAGCTCTGATCTTGTGCCCATAGAAGTAAAACAGGTACGGAATGGGCACCATAGCAGCACTGATGCATGCCAAAATCGTACACGTATAATGCACACCCAGGTTCTGATAGAACGGCACTCCCACCACCGTCATGGCTCCAGCAGCCACATATCTAATTAGCGTGATAGATGCCAAAGCCGAAGCAGCATAAATCTCATACGCATCAATGATGTACTGATAGCTGCTGATGAAAATGCAGAGGATGCCGAAGCCGAAAAGCACAGAGGCGCCAAGTGGAGACCAGATACTGATCTCTGGCGAGGATGTCCAACCCATCCAGAACATGGCGATTGGGATGGTCGGAGCGCCGATCATGGCGTACCACAGGCGGAACTCTGGTGGTAGTTTATCTTTGCCGTTGGCTTTTGCTTTTACCATGCCTTTTGCTGCAAGGTTGCGGATGAGGAAGACGAGGGGTGAGGCAAGGAAGAGGCCGAGTGCGATGCCGAGGAAGCATAGGCCCTGGACACCGATGCTAACATTGTGTATCTCGCCGAAAATGAAGTCGTAGCCGTCCAGGAAGGTAAACAAGATGATGTACACCACGGTGAGGTACAGTGCGACCAAAATGATGATAGGCTCGGTAGCTGTGAGCAGGAAAGGCCGGTAGCAAGCACGACCAAGACGAGTGAGGAAAGGATCCATTCGCACTTCGACTTCTGCTCTGTATCGCTCGTCGTTGGTGATAGCACGTAGATGTGCAGCCTTCCACTTCAGAAGGATAGGTGGAAATGTTTCGGGGAGTGTGAAGAACACCAATATCAAAACAAGTCCAGACATGATTATCGTGATCCATTCTGTCCATCTCCAAGAGATCAGAGAGCTTTCAACGATGTATCCGCCAATTACAGGCCCAATGATAGGACCTAACAAGAGTTAGAAACTGATAAGATGCAAAGGGTTACTTGATCAATTACCCAAGAAGGCGGCGTTCGCGAAGATAGGAAACATCAACGTCCTCTCGCTAGCATTCCAGATGTCTGAGAGCGAACCACCCGCACAAGTAAGAGGAGTGCTTCCGAAGAAGCCAGCGAAAAAGCGGGTCGCAAATTGCTGCGAATAGGTTTGCGAGGCTCCAGCTCCGGCAAGGAAAGCGATGTATATAGCCATGGTGACGATGTAGATGGGATTTCTGCCCAACGTCTCTGAGAAAGGGCCAGCGAAGAGTGCACCTGCTCCGAAACCGATGAGATATAGACTATGATCGTCAGCGTTACTGGCTTCAGGCAAGTGCAAAAGAGACTTACCCAGTAGCCAGACTCTCTGCAACTTCTGAAATGCCAAACTCCTGGCTGGCAGGTTGAATAGCAATCGAATCAATCGAAGAAGCCACACCAACCACGAAACCGATACTCGCAACCATGAATGTAATCCAAAGCCGGATGCCCCATCCCCAATTGTGCGGGTTCAAGGAATCTCTATCTCCTTGGAAGTCAACGATGAAAACATTGCCCTCTCCACCTTCGTGTTCTTCCCTTTTTCGCACCTGCACACCTGTCAAGATATGTCCCAGAGCGGTACCAGATCTGCTGAGGCCTGAGCGACCACTCTTCGTAGTGGGTAGGCGTGAAAGGTCTGCATCGCCTTGTCTTCGGCGGGCCTCCATATCATGGCTGTTGGGCGGGAGTTCATCTCTTCTCTCGCCAGGATCTTCGGCGTCGTGTTCAGCACCTATGTCGAATTCTTCTTCGTGCTCTTCTGTGCCGTGTCCGTGATTTGAGTTTTCAGCGGTCGCCCCGATGGTGGCTTCATCCACGGCTGTATTCTCGCCGCTGGATGCGACTGATTCTCCTCTTTCGACATCTTTTTCGGGGTCGCTAGCTCTTGACGTATCGGAGGGAGGAAGGTTCTGATTTACGCGGTCGACTGCACGTGTACGGTTGCGATCGGTCTCGATTTGTGTCTCCAATGTCCGCCGAAACCTGTGGTATTGCAGATACGATTGCATGGCCGTGTCCTTGATAAGTGTTCTAGCGAGCCAAGGGAGTTGCTGGCGGTCGAACAAGATAGAGAGCAAGGAATGAGAGAGAGCGAAGGGACAGAATGATCACCTACATTGATTGCTACGGGTACCTACCAAATATTGATAAGAAGGCCCTTTTTCACTTTCCTCTCACGCTCATCAACATGACGTCGAGATTGATTGATGATGAGATTGAGCGAACGCTTCTTGCGGCCCGCACTCGGCTGCCGGCAGCGCCGTTCGATCGCCAATCGTGCACTTCTCTCCGATCGTGACAGAGCCTCATCTGTTCACCACAACTCACGACTAGCTTCAATGAATGGATAATGTGCAAATATTTTGATTGTAGGTTCCGTTACATACACATCGCCCGACCATTGCTTTCTATCCCTCCATTTCCACAGCATTAATCCACCAGCACAAAGAGAAAGGAACATGACCATTCAAACATAAACCCAATACTCAGCGGCATACTGGACAAGAATACTCTCTTGCTGCCCTCGACATGTTGCAGGTGGTTGACCTCCGGCAGTGTTGACCCTGAAGACCTCTTTGAGCTTTTGGCTGCCCTCGACTCCAATCTTTTCCGTCAACTTAAGCCATGGCACGGCTCCCATACCAGCTCCGTCTACACCAATCACCGAACCCTCTGGTGCAGCAGACCCGTTGGCTTTCTTGAAAGCGCCCAGTCCATACGAATGTATCTCCGTGTCTAGGTTGAAGAATGGTGTGGTCGCATCCAGGAAGTAATGGTGACCAGCTAGGTCCATGTTGATTGGTGACATTGCAGAAGATGAAGAAGGCAGAGGAAGGTTGATAGCAATACCAGGAATCATGGAGAGCAGGGCCGGATGGTTGGCAGCGATGCAGGACACGTTGTAGAGAGATGCCGTTGCGCCTACAGCCACAGGTATTGCGTTGCTGTTGGACAGATCGCAAGTGTAGTTCTGAGTGCCACGCCCAATCGAGACGTGACTCAAGCTCAAGTTGTGAGATGGCAGTGGAAGAGGTGTCGGAGCTGTATCGTGTCAGTCAAATGCACTGTAAAAGACAAACAGATGTGGTAACGCACCCTGAGGTAATCTTGCCTTTGAAAGATCGCAGAGGGCATAGTCACAGCCACGACGAGTTGATGGTGTGTGCCCAGAGTGTGAAGCCCAAAAGGAGGGGGAAGACCAGCGTGGTTTAACTGTCGGTGCTGCAACAACAGACACCGGTAGCAGAAGTGCCAGTGCAGTGGTGACTGCTGAGATCTTCATGTTTACGATCCGTCCGGAGCCAATTGAGTCGAAAGTGAATGCCAATTTAGATGTGTTGAGATATGGTCTAGTGAGAGCCCGACTAGGTCAGCGAGGAAACCCGGTGTCCATCCTCGTTGCAAGATCATACCACCTGACTACCAACAATGTTGAGGCAGTGAAAAGAGGCACAGCACAGGAAAGACGGATGCAGAGCAGAAAGTTCCTTTTTCCCACTACTTCAAGAGGTCCAAGATTGATACGAAACAAAGAACCAGAGTGCAGAAGCGCTCGTCTGGACCCTTATATTTAAGGACCGTTTGTTGGGCGCTTGCATGATGAGACACGACATCGATTGCCCAGGTTTGAATGCATGGCTGGCAGGCGGAAAAGACGTGCATATCGTACGGACAAACAGACCTTGCCCGTAGATATTGCGTATTTCCAGTGCTCTAATTGGACCAACCCATCTAAAGAATGCCCCGGTGGACGGCTGAGGCGTTTCTGTTGCGGGTATGCATGGCTGGACAATGCGGGACAAGATGCAGGTATGCAGGTGATGGTCGCGCTATGGATGGCTGGTCTTTTCTTAGCAGCAACCATTCTTGATCTGCTCTTGTATCTGTTTTGTAATCAGCGTTTCGAAGTGCTTGCGACTTAAACTATCGTTTGATACTCTGGTCATCTGTACGCTGATGGAGGGCGGCAACTGTGAACACCCAGGACTCCAGCAATTAGCCTGACAAACGGCTTGCTTGTACGTCGCTGCACCCTTCCCTCATGCTGTACGACGTCGAGCATCCAGCCTCCATACCCACCTCCTCTTCAACCAGCCCAGTATATGTTGTTAATGTGCCTATTCTAAGGCTTGCCTAGGCAGTCCCGACCAATAGTAGAGAAACGTTGGATAAGATCATCAGTGCATAGCGGGGCAATGACGGGCGCGTAAATTGGAATGCTACAGCCACTTCGGGGTGGGCGCTTACAGCTTCACCACCATCTTCACCCACCGTGGGTTCGAATTCAAATTCTCTTCGTGATCAGGACTGTTGACTCTTTGGTCACGAACCTGAGGCCGCCAAGTTGAATGAGTTCGAAGCCCATAGATGAGCTGTGACCAAAGGTCGCAGTATCATTCTGGTGTTAATTGGGTGTCAAGAGATCGAGACGATTCTCAAAGATTACTTGACTGCAGCCTATCTACACTACCTCGTCCGACGCATGACTTCTCGGTGTCTTCAAGGAACAAGAGATATCATAGACCTGATGGAAGTTCGTTCAAAAGCCAAGTCTGCTGATAATGGGTTCATGACAAGAGGTCGCAAGCCGAAGACGTTGACATGCTTGACATGTGAAGAACAAAAGCTGGGGATTGGTTGCGGGCCTAAGTGGCCAGAAGTCTTGACCCGAGCTGAAACCAGCCACCTGATTCTCGGAGGCAGTGTTGTTCATGTTGTCGAAGAGAAGGAGAACACATAGAAACTGAAGCGACATCAGAACAAGTAGCGCATCAGAACAAGTATCAGAAGCGAGAGTGTTTGCGGTAGATATCGATGGCAGTTGCTGACCACGGGCTGGCATGTCATGATGATCCGGAAGCGGAAGGGGCTCAGCCGCAAGAAAGTTGGTTCGTGTGGAGTCGAGATCGAGGAAGGAGCGATGAACGGTCCTGCTTTTCTCTTCTCTCCCCTAACCTCGACAACAACAGAAACACACTTGAGAGTCGCTGGACGGTATTCCAGCGATATTGCTTAGACAGCCAACCTTTTGACCAAATTGCTTTCCGTTCATCTATGGGCTTCGACACTCAGACCGATCCCGTCCGTTTCTGCTGCCTCTCCAGCATCTCTGCCGCTATTGTGCCCGACACTGTCGCCGGTCTGTCGCGTACCGACTCGAGTTTCGCATCCTTGCTGTGGCCCGTAGTGCCAGGTCCGCCTTGACTAAAGGCGGACGTCTTCTTAGACAAGGGCTGAGACTCGCAAATCACATGCGCATGCTCGCTCTCACCCAACTCGACAACTCCTGACACGCTCTGAAACCACTTCGGATCGGATCATATCATATATCATATACGCTTGCCCAAGCCGCAACTACTACCACCGACACCAAAATGCCAGCCATGGACCTTGACCGTACCGACATGGCCGACACGACTGAGGAGATCTCTCCCAGACGCACCTTCACCATGAGCCCACCAGGCACCGCAGCTGAACCCTTGTCAGCCATTCTCAAGAGCGACCTGATGAAGAACAAGAGAAAGAAGAAGAAGAAGGGCGGCATGGCTCCTGCTGCTCCCGCTCAAAATGTCGTTCGAGGTTTCGAGACACCCATAACCTCTGGGGGAGAAGAGTCGGACGTTTCGGCATGTCCATCACCACTTATGACGCCGCGTGTGCGCGGTATGAACGGAGCAGCCAACAGCCCCAGACTGAGTGCTTCGAGTGGCTCGGGCATCAGTGCTCTTAAGATGCAGCTGGACGCCCTCAACATCAGCCGTCCTCCTTCTGCGCCCTCCATGACACGCGAGAACAGCACCACTTCCAATTTCGACAGCACTCCAACCATGTCCTCGGCCGCTAGCGACGTCGATGCAAAGGACTTGGAAACATACCAGATCGACCTCGAGCACGACTTTGCCAGCGCAGACGCCTGTTCGACACCTAGACATGCCTTCCCCGTCGAAGGTGGCCTCCGTACTGAGTCTGTTTTGCGCAAGATGTCGTCCGACGACTTTGAACCTCTCAAGTGCTTGGGCAAGGGAGCTTTTGGTACGGTTCATCTGGTCAAACAGCGTACCACTGGTCGCCTGTTCGCTCAGAAGCAGTTTCGCAAGGCTTCCTTGACTGTTCACAAGCGTCTCATCGAGCAAACTCGTACCGAGCGCAGCATCTTGGAGAGTGTCAATCGCCATCCCTTCGTCGTCAAGCTCTTCTACGCTTTCCAGGACCACGAAAGACTCTATCTGATCCTGGAGTATGCTCAAGGTGGTGAGCTTTTCACCCACCTGGCAATGGAGCGCATGTTTTCCGAAGAGGTTGCCTCATTCTACATGGCCGAGATGGTTCTTGCTCTTGAGCATCTACACCGCAATGTCCGCGTTGTATACCGTGATCTGAAGCCAGAGAATTGTCTACTCGACTCGGATGGTCATCTGCTTCTTACCGACTTTGGTCTGTCCAAGGTTGCTCTCGAAGATGACTCGTGCAGCTCATTCCTAGGCACTGTCGAATACATGGCACCTGAGGTCGTTCAAGGCACTGCATACGGATTTGCTGTTGACTGGTGGTCGCTCGGTGCCATCGGTTTCGACTTACTGACAGGTTCACCTCCTTTCGGCGGCAACAACAACGCGAAGATTCAGCAGAACATCCTCAAGCAGAAGTTGCAGATGCCCTATTTCCTTGGCCCCGACTCGAAAGATCTGCTCACTCGTCTCTTGCGTAAGGAAACCAACAAGCGTCTCGGAGCAAACATGCCCAAGGATCTTGACATTATCAAGAAGCACCGTTTCTTCCGCAAGATTGACTGGAAGAAGCTCGCAAAACGCGAACTGGAACCTCCTATTCGACCTCTAATCACCGACCCGGAACTGGCTGAGAACTTCTCCAAGGAGTTTACAGACCTACCAATGTCTCCAGCGGATGAAAGAAAGTCGACCATCATGCAGGATTCTACCATGACTGGTATGGAGATTGCATCGAGTACAAAGGAGCTCGAGTTTGGATCCAACCCGTTTGGTGGCTTCAGTTTTGTTGCTAGTCAAAGTCTGCTCGACAAGGTTGAGTTCATGTGAATATTGTCCAGCGACGCGATGCGTGCCAGACAGAGAAGTGCAAATCACAAGATGAAGTTTGAGGCAATGTTTTTGTGTACATCAATAAAGATTGGTAGTCACACAGCGACCAAGCCAAGGAATCACAGAGATAGAGGTTGCTGCAATACATTGATCCATACGGTTGATTTGCTTGTTTGCTGCTGTGTCACTATGCCCCTGATCATGGGATGAAGAATACACGGGCCGAGTGTCATTGCCAGTGATACCCCGCGTCAGTCTACCAATATGCTTCAATGCTGTCCAACATCACCCTTCATGTCAAGATGATCCGACTCGTTATGTATGCACACGCAACATGCACACGCGGTGTACGTGTGAGCAGCGACTATTGTTCTCTCGGAAATCGGCATCTCTGTAGTCCCCCGTGCTGTAGATAACGGGATTGATCGATGAAAGAGCGATACGAAGCCCTTTGGACCACATGAAGTGCGCAAAGGACGAACGGCTCCAGTGGCTCCAGCGACTCAAAGTCTGAGAAGGTTTGCTCCTCGGCAGGGAATCTGAAACCATCGATGATCATGAGCCACATTTCGTGTGCAACGCATCCTCGGAGGTTAACACAAATGTTTAAATGACCTTTGAAGAGGAACGTGCCTTTCTCTAGCATCGTCCTAATGTCACATACGTGTGTAGATACCAGAAACGAGATTGAAAATGGAATGGCTGCCTTCTAGTCTAGCGGTTTCTGATTTGGTTGTCGAAGCCAACCATGAGATGAGATTGGGAGGTTCACACCTCCTAGTGTGTCAGAATCGCATATGGTACAATTCCCTTGGCCAGACTGATGGACTTGCACGTCGATCTGAACGTGAAGAGGCGGTGTGATTTCGTCCAAGGCACATGTTCTCTGGCCATCAGCTGAAGATCTAACGCTGCAATGCAAGCGCGTGAGCTTGATGATCACGAACATGCTTCGTTCGACTTGCAGCGGTAGTGTATCTGCCTGCTGTTTGATACTGCACATCAAGAGTTTTGGGCGAATTTTCGAGATGCACATGATCCATCGAAATTTGGATAAGCTTATAATTGGCTTGGATCAATCGGAGAGAGCAGGCGCTGCCTGCTTGATGCCGCACGGAATGAGTGTTGAAGTAATCATCAACATTGGCTCTTTCCCTCGCAATGTTGATCAGGCGAAGCTTTTTGATCAAGTGTCAACTTCGCGGCTTCAACTCAAGACCTCGATCACAGCGAAATTTATTCATCAGACTCAGCCGCCGCCATCATTATTCTTGCTCTGGATCTTCCCTTTCCAAACCTCACCCAAGACTCACATCGTCTGTATACCCCATCTCAGATCGATATGCGTCTGTACAGGATTCTTGTCGGCGCTATCGTGGTCTTCACGTCGTCAGCAAACTCACGCTTCCCGCCCGTTGCCCGAATTGAAAATCACACCCATACTATCTCGCAAAAGAGGGCCCAAGCAATCAAAGAGGCTTTTGAGTTTGCTTGGTATGGTTACCAAACATTCGCGTTTCCTAACGATGAACTACATCCAATCAACAACTCGTTCTCCGACTCGAGAAATGGCTGGGGTGCTACTGCTGTTGATGCTCTGAGTACTGCTATCTTGATGGAGTCACAAGACGTGGTGACTACAATCCTGAAGTACATTCCCAGCATCAACTTCAACGTCAGCAAAGGCAATCAACCTGTCAGCTTGTTCGAGACAACCATTCGCTATCTAGGCGGCATGCTTTCGGGCGTCGACCTATTGACTGGTCCCTACCAGCATTTGACAGAATCGCCAGACGATGTTACTGCTTTGAAACTCCAGGCTCTTAGTCTGGCTAACAAGATGAAGTTTGCATTCGACACGCCAACAGGCATTCCTGCCAACAACCTCAACTTCAAGGGTGAAAATTATGATCCTTTCCAACCGACCGGACTTGCTGTCGCTGGTACTTTGATTCTCGAATGGACTCGCCTGTCAGATATGGTTCATGTGCCCGACTTCGCGAACCTGACTCAGCACGCCGAGAACTACCTTCTCCTACCTACATACAAGAACGCAACGATACAACCACTGCTCGGTCTTCGCGGCACAAGCATCGACCTTAGTACGGGAGATTTCCTCGATACAAAAGGTGGCTGGGGTGGAGGTGACGACTCATACTACGAATACCTGATCAAGATGTTCGTTTATGATCCCGCACACTTCTCGGATTACAAGGACGAATGGCTCCAAGCCGTGAAATCTTCAGCCACTAGCGAGATATCCTCACATCCCTACTCAAGGCCCGATCTGACTTTCCTGACCAACTGGAATGGGCAAGATGCTATTCTAAGGTCAAGTCACCTCGCTTGCTTCGCTGGCGGTAATTGGATTCTTGGCGGACTGGTGTTGGGAAACCAAACTCTCATCGAATTGGGCCAGAACCTCACAGACAGCTGTGCCGAAATTTATACTGCTACTATCACGGGTATTGGCCCTGAGACTTGGAGTTGGGAGGATGAGGAGTTCTTCGACGGAGATGAATTCGAAGAAGATAGATCCACCAAGGAGAACGGCTTCATCATCACGGATCCCATGTACGATCTACGACCCGAAGTCCTTGAGTCGCTTTACTACGCCTACCGTGCCACAGGTGACAAGAAGTACCAAGACTGGTCTTGGAATACGTTCAAAGCTATCAACACCACCTGTCGTACTGGATCTGGCTACTCGGCAATCTCGAATGTCAATGTCACGCACGGAGGGAACTTCTCCAACTTCCAAGAGAGTTTTATGTTTGCCGAGACATTCAAGTATGCTTGGTTGATCCAGGCCGAGGACTCCAAGGTGCATGTTGCGAAGATGGGAGAAGAGCAGACTTGGGTGTTCAACACTGAGGCTCATCCCTTGAAGGTTCGTTCTCAACAGGCTCAGCAGTGAATGTGAAGGTTGCGTGAATGCGAGGAGGACATGGGGGATGGAGACCATATGTTGTGGTAGCTTGAGAAGGCTGGATAACAATTGCTATCAAGTCTTTCGTTTCTTTTCACTTGCATGCATGATAACGTGTAGGACATGTCGCGCTTTCAGTGGTCCAATGATGTGATTTTGTTCACCCTGTAATTTGTATCACATAGCTGATTCAGAAAGAGAGATCGACTGTTTCCGCAATAAAATGTTTCTCACTCTCCGATCGCGCATACCAAAATGCACAACCGAGTTCTCTCCCCGCGTCCTCGTTCCGACTCTCGTCGTTTCGAACCCCAAAATCTCCACGACCGCAGCCTCGAAAATCGCACAACATACCTGCAGAAACGCGCCATTTTCCCCTCTACATTCCTATCTCTTCACAGAAGATCAAAAAGCCTCGCGTCGACCACGAAAAAGCAAAAAGGTGTCGACGCCTAAGAGATTCGAACTCTTGCTCCCGAAGGAAATGCCTTAGCAGGGCATCGCGTTAACCACTCCGCCAAAGCGCCTTTCATTCCGAAGATGGAAAATCCCGAGATTGGTTGGATCTCGTTGGATGGAAGGAAGGCAAAAATCTGCAACTATAATGCAATTTTGGGGCTTGGCGAGAAAGAGTATTTTTGTGCACTGCAGACTCGGGGCTATATTGAGTATTGTATTGTTCATCTGGTTAATGGAAAAACGTATGGTAAAGTCTCACACGAAGAGGGAGCGAGCGACTAGTAAGGCGTATTACGAGCAAGGTATAATCGTCGGTTGTGGCTTTCAAATAGTGAATCCAATCTTGGTAGTCTTGCCTGCGCCGACAGTTGCAACATTCTCTCCACAGCTGTCCTTGACAGGCTATAGACATTGCCAAGCAATAATACAGTACAAGTACCGGTATGAATCGTAAGGAATGACTGGGAGTTATAAACAATTCGATCTTCCTGTAGCAGCTGAAGCGGTCGCACGGGCCGACCATAACAGAGGTCGAAAGAGACTATATACTTTGAATGAAGTAGCCCTAGTTGTGTACAAGCTTGGTCCAAGCCATCCCTCTTATAGGGCATGATATAGCTAGCTGACTCGTGGATCGTGTGCTTATTGTCCAGCCTCGTTGCCGCTGTTTCAAGGGGCGCCGGTATTGTTGAAGCTTCTGCTTTTGTCGGAGCGAGCGAGCATCCATGCATGGCTTTTGGCCTCAGAGCAGCAAGCTCCTTTGGTGACAAGGACGCGACGAACGATAATACAACCCGAGCTGCGAGCGATTTTTAGTCATTTAGACTTGCATACGATCTCGTAACAGCGACCACCTTAGGTCGAAAAGCCGGGTCTCGGCCACGACAGTCGCGGCCACCCAAAGGTGTGTAACCACAACAGCGGCACAGTCGCCTCACGATTATATGTCAAAGTCCAGCGTCAAGCTCTCCAAAAGAAAAAGAAAAACAAAAAAACAAGGCTCACAGCGATATCTCCATGGTATCCATAGACATGCCTTTCGTGAATCGTGGCTTCTTCTTCATCCTGACGATCGTCTCCCACCTCAGCCTTACCCCAGGTCTAGCAGCTAGTCATCTTGTCTTGTTCGCTGTGGTTCACTCGACTGAGCACAAGGTCTCGACGCATGTTGTAAAACCGTTGATGAGTGATCAGGACTAATCATATGCAGGCGCGTCGACAGGGTCTTCGGAGGCGGGCTCACGGTCCGCCTGTCGGCCCGCAGATTGTTGTCGTGGTCGTTCCTCCAAGCGCCACCAGGTGTGCAACCTTCTTCCAAACTTCACATTGATGTTCGATCCAGTCGACGGCATACACTCTTGTGTCGTAGACCGTGTGTACAAGATGTCTCTTCTGCCATCGACGAGTCGGCGAGGTAACGTAACGCTGGTACAAGTATGGTGTCGTTGACGCTCCCCCACGAGCGTCTAGACCGCGTCTTTGTCCCAGGGCGACCATAGTGTTGCGTATATGTATGTCCTTGTATGTGCTTATATCTTCTTGCTTTTGCTCTTCTCTTCTACATGGAACCGTACTTGATCTGGAGAACAGTACATGCATCGGGTATATGCTTCCGAATGACAGGGCCAACAGTCCAGTTACCGAGATCCACCAAGTGCTGGACGAAGGGCGCTGAGAGGGTCAATCTAGCGTTGGCATCGTAGCACATGGCATCTTGGTCGCTGCCAGGCCAGTTGCAATCGAGGGTTGTCGCAGCCTCAGAGTACCAATACAATGGCTGGCATTGTAGGTCGACGCGCTGAATGACGGTGTCTCTCAATCTCGGCCAGATCTGGAAATCGATATATACAGGGTGTGGGACGAACATCTGGTAGGGTGTTGGTCTGTACCAGTCTGGAACGGCGAGATAGGTTGCTGGCGTCGGGTGAATCATCCACCGCATCAGAAGCCAATGAAGCCACATGACGGCCATGCGACACGATAGCGTCGGTATGCCAAAGCTATTGGCATGTCTTGCGGTCCACTGAGAGAGAAACGAAGACCTCTGGTAGGCAGCCTCGTTCACGAGGGCTTCGATGTCTGGAAGGAGACCGAACACACGATCTGGAGCAACACCCGAGCTGATGAGCCTTTTCGCCTCGTTGATGAAGTCAACATACACGGCAGACATCATGTCGAGATCATCGTTGAGGTACGTCGACGTGACTGCCCATGCAGGGGCTGTCAGGTCCACACCAAGGATCTGAGGGTTCAGAGGCTGCGACAAGGGCGCGGCCCCGACTGGACTGAACAAATTCGACGATATCGTGACACTGTCGCCACCAAAACGAGCCTTGTTGGTTACTTCTCGTCGAGCTCTGTGCCCATCGAAGGCGTTTGCATGCCCATCTGGCGCGCTCGAGCTTGGGCCTGAACTCGATTCTGGTCTGGACGAGGCCAGTGTGGGATCGATCCATAGCTTTTTTTGGTTGCTTCTGAGGTAGGTCAGGTCCGGAGCATTGCCATCGAGATTTGGCGGCGACTCTTGGTTGGGACTCCTCATGTTCGAATATGACTCGTCTCTGAACAAGAGGTGCTGAGAGTCAACTTGGACAAACAAGGATAGAGCCCACGGAGAATCCGAGTTCTGTCGCGATGCACTTGCTTCTCGATTGACCCCATCGACCAAGCCAGGGCTGCTGATGCTAACACTGACACTTCGCTCCTTCGGCGATGACTCGTACAGGGAGGTGTTGGTGAGCAGAGATGGACCTGCTGGATTATGAGCAAGTCCAATGCCAAACGTCGACACACTTTGAAGTGTCGGCATCGCTCTGTTTGAATGTCAGCTAAAACTTGCGGATCCTACAACGACACATTTGAAACATACTGCTCCGTTCCCTGTTCGGATTCGCCCATGTCTGAGAGGCCGTCGGCCATATCGGCGCCAAGGATTCCGTTGACGGTATCTCCAAGCCTGAGCTGAGCGAGGACTGCACTGGCTTCATTGTCGGTGCTATACCTCAATTTGTTGACAAACAACTCAAGATTCCGCACTCTCACCGACAACGACGAGACCTTTTGTTTCAGGTCTTCGGTTCGTGTCGCGCCTTCAACGACATCATACATGCAAGACAACCCTCGGGTCTGGCACGCTGAACACGATGGGCGTTCGCCATTGCACTGTAGTTGACACCTATCAGTAAGTGCTGCAAAACAAAAGCAAATCTGTTGGGCGAGAGACGGGTTGGTAATTACCTTGCGCTTCCGTTTGCGACAGTCAACACAGGCGACGGCGGTCAACTTTCTGGGCACAGCCTGCTGGCCACCAGACTGACCGGGTGTTTGTCCATCGACAACGATAGCTTTGCCACGTTGCTTATCCCTGTCCTGAGGCATTGGATGGTGATGGTACAACATGGACTATCCAGGAGAAACCGAACGCTTGCTTTGAGACCCGGCTTTCTGCCACGGAGTTGGCCCCGCGACACGTATATCTTGCTGAATGTGTCAGAGCTTGGCTTTTGAAGCGTCAGCGACGCGACATTCGAGGCCTGAGAAGACGCCTGGAGAGTGGTCGTTACGAAATAGAGCCTCTCGAGATGTTTAGGGAAGGATTTAAGCGTACTGCGACAAATGAATCGAGCTGGGAGGGCTGAAACTCGGGTATGTATACAACAACATGTGTTTTGGCAAGAACAACTCAAGGAAGGAGAACAACGGACATGGAAGGGTAGAAGGTCCATCGAGAGTAGGCGCGGAGAACCGTACGAATAGCTAGGGCCCATTGTAAAAACATCGACAATCCTTCAGAGAAGGCGAACTCGGGTCTGACGATACCTAGGTCATGGCGTATCTGCACAGGGGTAGACGAACAGGTTACATGGCAGGCACGAACGAGAAGAGAGTCGTCTGGAACCACATCGCGTAGATTTTGGCCAAGCAGGCAGGCAAGATGGTGAAGGCGTCGGGAGGATATCCGTATCTCATCGGAAGCCCTACCTGCTCCCCGTCGATCGCTTCAGTCTCATTATCATCCAAGCGCCTGCTGCGAACCCAAGAAGGTGGATTCATGCATACGACCTCGCTCGGGATCCGAGAGTAATCATTGTGAACCGTCGGCGAGTATCCAGCGGTTTGTCAACAATATCCGTGGATACTCGCTCGACTTCAGCTATTACATGGCGAGAGAAGAGCAACAGTCCACTTTTCGTGAGCGCTGGGCATGAACAGTCTGGCTAGCAGATGTTAAAGGGAGCTGAGGCTTGCAACTAGACTGGAAGAAGCTCTCTAAGTGCACATTGGAGAGTCTGGATGGGTTGAGATGACACACATCGAGGTTTGAGAATTGGATGACCTCGGTCCGGTCCAAAGTCGCAAAGTCTTTCTGCGAACAGGCGAGCGGAGGGCTCTTGCGATGGCATTGGATCTTGCATTTGGATCTGGATGGCTGCGTGTTGTCACGGGTATCTGTTTGTATGAACCAATGTTTCCGTATACGACCTCCATTAATCTAAACACGCCCGCAAAAACGTGTTTCCCAACATACAAAGTGGAAATTAATGCGCGTCGCATGTTGCTCTCGTAAAGTGATTCGTTAGCAAGCAGGTCAGATCAAGGACATTCTCGGAGTCCGCGCCTTCTCCGCGCTCATGACATGACCTCATCGTCACATGAATTTATATTTTCGACTTCCGTCCGAACCCTTTCTTCTCAATAACATAACAACTACCGTGACCATATGTCAGCTGGTGACTTCAGAACGATGGTGCAGCAGTATGCCCACGAAGAGCCGGATGTCTCTGCGACCGCTGTCACGCCAACGCGCGTTTTGCGGCCACGAGCACGCCCGTCATCAGTGGCGATAGACACGCAGCGAGTCGACCATAGTAATCACCCCGCCGAGGAAACAAAGCCTTCATCCACAGCGAGATCGTCCAAGAAGCGCAAAGCGCCAAGCAAGTATGCGCATCCATCCAAGTACCAACACCTTAGCCCTCTTACCGACATCCTCGCTCCAAATCTGATTGCCATTTTCGTTGGCACCAACCCTGGCATACGTACTGCCGCTCAAGGACATGCCTACGCGCATCCTTCCAATCAATTCTGGAAACTGCTTCACTCGAGCGGCTGCACTGATGAACGACTACGCCCGGAGCAAGATTCCGAATTGCCTGCCCGTTACCTCCTTGGCAATACTAATATTGTAGAGCGACCCACCAGAGACGCTGCCGAACTCAGCAAGGCTGAGATGACTGATGGTGCTCCCGTTCTGCATGAAAAGTGCCGTACATGGCGTCCGGAATGTGTTTGCATCGTCGGTAAGGGCATCTGGGAGGCCATCTTCCGTCATCATCATGGGAAGAACCCCAGTAAAGCCGAGTTTCATTGGGGCTGGCAGGATGAGAACGAAAATATGGGCCGTATTGCTGCTGTTGGAGAAGACGGTTATCAGGGTGCGAGGGTCTTCGTCACGACTAGTACGAGTGGCCTTGCCGCCAGTCTGAAGCCTGCTGAGAAGGAAGCTATCTGGAAACCATTTGGGGAATGGTGCAAGGAGAGAAGAGCCTCCCGAAACTGGCCACCGTCTGAATCTGAGGGTCAAATGCCAATCTGATCAGAAATTTCATGTCTGGCAGACAATTCGCAGCCCGCACGTGCTTCGCTGTATACCTATGGCCAATCAAACGTCCTGACAACCATTCGGGTACTTCTATCTGCTTTTCGATAGCGTCGTTCGCGGCCAAGTTTTCCACTCGACCATGGCGGATATATCTTTTGCGGGCCAATCATATGACTTCGGACTTGACTCCCGAGCTCGCCAGAAGACCGCCTAGCCGCGCGGTCTACAGGCAGGCCCTAGACTCTCATACACGCTTACACGGCACGAATTTGAAGTCGAACCTCGGACTTCATTCCGTACGTATGACGAGTATGACACGAGTTCGGAGACGGCTGCCTCACCGTCGCGGTATATGTATGCCGGACAACTCAAAAGCTTCACCCGATGTCCACACTAATCCTCGATTCTACCCCGTTCGACGCTTCCCATTCGTACCGTGGCAGTGAGGAACGTTTTTTGAGACCACTATGCCATATATACACGCTCGTGGGTCATAACATGTTGCTGGAGCGAGACGATAATTCGGTCAGCTATCAGATCATGTCAGCAGCTGCTTTCTGGTGACCAAGGATGACATACACAAGCGCCGTTTTGCCGCCTTCCCGGTGTATTTACTGTTTCTCCGTGGCACGAGCAATCGTAAAGGGGTCTGTTACGGTCGCAATCTAATGGCCAACTTTTGTTGGCATGACTGCAACTTATGGCATGCTCATGTCTTGTGTCTTTGAGGACCATCTCTGTATCATGAACTTCTTGGTATGCGTCTTGTACAGGCTTCTTGCGCTGAGCGCTGTCGACATGGCTCTCTCTTATGGAGTCACAGCACAGGTGTCGAAGCGCAACTGAGAACAGGCTTCGCTCCCGGTTCAGTCATCAAGACAGACAGGGCACAGATGTCAAACGACTGTGACAGACGACCCTGATTTACTCCATGAACCAATCTGATGGACATGGACTTGTGGAAAGCAATCTCATCTCTGACACCGATACATCATTCACAGACAGGGGAGCAACGATTCAGTCCCAGCATTTAGCATCTGGCAGAATTACGAGGGTAGTCGTCGCACCCACGATCACATGTAGGGAAACAAGATCCAGATGTCCATGGAGTACGACTTACAGCAAGCCGTGGTGATGATTCGCAAGTCATCAACGCCTGTGGACGTCGCTGACTGCAGTCCAACTACCATGACCTGCAAAGGTAACCAAATCCCTGCCTCTGACACTTTGTCCACTCAAAACAGGAAGCAACGACCCAATCGCCGGCGCTACGGACCAGCCTCGTACTCTACTGGACCCTCTTTGTACCGGCTGCAGAAAGAGAAGACACAATCTTTGATCACAAGTCCCAACAACGGTCTGGTGTCGCTGCCATATGAAACAAGAAGCAAGAAACAGCATCGCCTGCTCCATGCGCCCGCCGCCCTGTCCGGCTCCTATGCATGTCCAATCACCACTATTCACACTCGTGATCTGGCTCAAGATGTGCTGGATCAAAGGTGCAAAAACACAGACAGAGGACCATACACACGAGTGAAAATACACGTACACACAAACAGAGTTCTACAACACACCAAAGACGAAAACATACTCCATTTCTCCGCCTGCTGCATATCGATCAACTGCAATCTGCAATGGTAACCTCCGGCAACGTTCCAGAGTCATCGTTACAAGATATCAAGAGACGACTGCGATCGCTGCTTCCTCCAACTCTACGCGGCCCGCCCCAAGATACGCTCGACCACTCTCATTTGCACTCTTTGGCTCAGGATACGCTAGATCAAAAGACAGTCTCTGCACACACAAAACAAATGGCTCGACTTGTGATACTTGGCCCACAATTCGTTCAACCTATGTGCCGTCCGGAAAGAGCAAGCGAGCGAGCGACCTTCACGACAGGAGCCATCGACCAGTTCCTGTCCTCGCAGTCCTCGGCAACACTCTTGCATCATTGCCTCGAGAAGCAAGAAACATTGTCGCATCGCATCGCTGCAATACAAAGCGATGAACATCATCGATCGCTCCTTCCCTGATCACATCGACTCGAAGACACGCTCAACCGGATACGCACACACGCGCACAGAAGCAGATATTCGTGCAAACGCAAATGAAGACATATGCACACAACCAAAGATCCACAATGTACAAAAGACAGAGTATGGACAGCTCAGACACAAGACTGTCATATCCCTAGTGTCCATCCGGTCGAGCAAGGACAAGCAAAAGGCTTCCAACACGGCTAAGCTCAACAAAAAAACACAGGAGCTAAGCATGGAAACAGAAGAAGACAGGTCCCATACGCTCAAAAGAAAAGATCCCCCAACACACCACAAAATACAGAGTTGAGAAGACCTGTCACGTCGCTATCTCAGTGCCGTCGGGTCGACGAGAAGAGTAAGTATGCTCGTCCTGCACGCCATGTGTCAGAGCAAAAGCAGCAACAGCATGAAACCAATTCGACTCCAAGTGAAGTCTAGAATGACACAATAGAGACCAAATTCTGAACAAAAAGGGCAGCAAAGACACAACGAAAACGCCTCGAGGTTGGAATGTAGGAACAAAAACAAGACATTGTGTCAAACAAAGATGGTGTTAAATAGTAGCGAACAGAACAACCCTTGGAAGTAAGCGGCGACAGAATATCGCAAAACATAAGATTTGCTATATTGGATTCATTACATTCTTTTTGAACGGACCAAACTCGCTGTCACTTATAGTATCTCTCTCATATATATACGTATCTCAAACAAGACTTTTGGGCCGATAAACCTTCTATGCGCGGTGGGTAGATGTAGCAACCTTCTTGCTCTCGGGCTTTCCAGTCGACACAGCCTTCTTGGTACTGCTGACCTTCTTGGTGCTGCTACTCTTCCTGGAGCTGCTACTCTTTTTGGAGCTGCTGGCCTTCTTTGTGGATTGAGGCTTAGGTGCAGGCTTCTTGGAGCTGGACTTGGGCTTTGTGGTGGTCTTGAGTGTTGAAGCGGGTGCCTTGGCGGAAGCCGATGCGTTTTTGGAGGAGACTTTGGAGGACACTGAGACCTTCTTTGATGACACGGAAGCTCTGATGGATGACACTTTGGATGAGACGGATGCCTTTTTGGACGAGACCTTGCTTGAAACCGAGGGCTTTTGGGGGCCCTTGGATGAGACAGAGGGTTTGTGCGAGACTGAAGCCTTGGTGGAAGAGGTCTTCACCGAGACCTTGAAAGATGAAGAGACCTTCTTGGAGGAGACCTTGGCTGAGACAGAACTCTTCTTGGATGAGACCGATGCCTTGATAGAAGACACCTTGGACGAAATTGATGCCTTCTTGGAGGAGACGGAGGGCTTAGGGCCGACTTTGGTAGAGACCGATACGGCTGAGCTGTGGCTCGTTGCAACACCAGAAGATTTGGCCGAAGAGCTGATGATTGAAGCAGCCATCGAGGGGCTGAGGGTCGATGATGCAGTCATGGTGTTGTTCATGGCAACCCTGTCTTGGATTAGTGTGATTTCTTTCTCTCGGGATGAGAGCAACGTACATGGGTGCATTGATGGGTTTACCAGCAGCCTTCATCTGTGCCCTAGCCAGGGCCTGGCCCTGGCCGGAACCAGGCATGGCAGCATAATCATCGGTTTTGGGTGCAGCGTGTGCCAGGACGGCAAGAATGGGGAGAAGAAGAGTGGCAGCGTGCATGTTTATGGAGTACTACTGGTAGGAGGTTGACGTGAGAACAAGAGTGATGATTGGCAGATAGCAGTACGGAAAGCGAGAGGAGAGGATGTGGATATCTCGATGCAGAGAAAGCAGACGAAAGACTCTTATACCATTACTGTTATGGAAGCCGAGTAGGAGAGAAGTAGAAGTGTCTCAAGCGGGAACTATGATATATCGAAAGTTGAACGGTCGTAACGGATTCGGCATTGCTAGAGGCACGGGGTAGTTCGGTATCAATGACAAGAACAACAAAGAAGACAAGCAGGCTGACATCTCCTTGACGGCAAGTGTTTGATGCAGGTGATGCTCGAACCACTGATGGAGGAATGACAAAATATTGAGGACGAAGACGGAACACAGTGAGTTATGCGTAGGCAGACGACAAGCAATAGTTGGACAGGCTGAGGATTAGCATCGGGTGAGCAACGGTCAGCGGTTTCTCGTTCAAATCATGGAGAGTGGTAATGCCGAAGAAGGGTTCCAGAACACCGAGAACGAACACCGAGCCATCTTTTTACATGAATGCAAATCGTCTGAGTGATGCATACGATTGACAGATCAACAAGCGAAGCATGCAGTAGTACGAGGATGGCGGCAGCGACTGGGCAGAACATGTCCTGAAGAGCAAGCGACCAAACAAGGCGACGTTCACGTCGATGGTGCATCCAATGCATGTTGTCAAAAAGGCGCGAAGCAGAGAGAGGCGCTCAATATCGGGAAAAAGAACGAGTCATGGAGGCCCAAGAGTCATGGTGAGCACCGAAAGGGGTCAAAGCACCAATACCACTGGTATGTCACCGACAAATCCCTCACTCACAGTGACTGGCAGCGAGATCGGCTTGACACATGGTTGGGAGGATAAGCAAATGATTCAGCGATGGATACGTGTGAGAAACAGACGGGCAGAAGCATTGGAGGAGCAGCGGAGGGAGCGGAGCGGAGAGGTGACGCGAAAGCTGCAATGATGCTGCCAAGACATTAAACTCTCCCAAGTTTGGAGCTGTCAGTCGCATGCGACAAGCAGAAACATCTCACTCATCATCAACCTCTCACAATGGCCCTCCAACCCACCCCCGATCAGAAGATCGACCGACAGACGACAACGCCCTTCCTCCTGCGCCTATACTACCGGTCCAATGGCTTCCACTCGCCCAACGAGTTCTCGACTGTGCCGCCGCCCTCGTCGTTGCAGCAGTCGAGTCTGCAGATCTACACCTGGCCCTCGTGCACCCTGGCAGAATTGACCTCTCTTCTCACTACCGCCCTGCCGAGTTTACTTCCCTCACCGTCCGTTGGCACTCGTATTGGCTACCGCCTAGTCTTCCCCGATACCCGCAGTGTTCCTCCCTCAGGCGCCTCAGACGCGCCAGGACGATGGTTATCAAAAGAGCTCGGTAGTGTCATTCTCGGACAAGGTGACGACTATGATCAAGAGAGTGACCCCGCTGCTCTTGGACGCGTCCATGGCGACGCCCAAAAGACGCTGGCAGACGCCCGCTTCGTCATTGGCGACTACATTTCGTGCGCCGTCTTCCCTCCCTTGGCCGATGGCTCCGTCGCTCCTCTGCCTCCTGCTACGTCTGCCATCAGAGGTACCTCTGGTCGAGCCGGTCCACCGCCGCGTGGCAACAACGGCCGTCCACTTGCATCCGAGAGAGGTCAATTTCCCGGAGATCGAGCCTTTGGCCAACAACGTGTTCCTCACGGCGAGTGGAGACGCGGCGAGAGGGTCCCCGAATACGCTCGCTCGGGTAGAGGTGGAGGCGGCGCCGAGCGTGAACGCGGCGGAGGAAGAAACAGACCTTACTGAAACATGCCACAAGATACCGAATCCATCCACACCTCCGCCCTCGGCATCAAACCCAGCTCCTAGCATACTCGGTCTTGCTTGACTCGAAACAATGTGCTCGAGCCCATGTCTCACGGTATGCTGCAGTAACACGCCCAACACGCAGCAATTGCGGAGCTCGACCTATGACCAACCTGCACGCTGAGACAAGGCTTGTGTCGACCACACAGACGGTCGCAGCGCACACCTGACGGCTTTCTATGCTCTTCAACGGTAGATCAACTCAGCGCGACAGACTTCCCACCTTTGAGTCTACTGAACCATCTCTCGTCTACAATAGACCTTTTTATCAAAGACTCATCATACAGCATGACGCGCCCGATGGCGCATCTAGAACAGCAGTATAAACGATCCCATAGAAGTACAATACACACTGCACACTCTTCAATGATCATATCATGATACTTCATGAACTACAGTCCACCCAGCCCAATCAAGCACTCTTGGTGTTGTTCTCATTCTCCACCAAAAAGTAGTTTGCAGCAACAGGCTTGCCAACCTGTGCCTCCAACGCCGCCACCGAGAAATTCATCCTCGCAAACGAGTCGCTGGCATTCGCATACGCAGCCGCCTTGCTCAAATCAGGCTTCCAGCCCTCGGGCTGCTCAAACAAATACAACACATAGTTATGCGGCTCGTCTCCCAACGGCGGCATGGGACCTTGATACTCTGCAATCGGCGCCGAAAAGTTCTGAAGGGTCTGTCGGGGAGGGATGGCGTGAACATTGTATTCGAACCAGTGCAGGCGTGTCGTGCGGTTTGGACCGATGCCGGGCACCAAAGAAGCAAAGTCTGTGGTGTTGGGGAGGGCGAAGAAAGGTAGGTTTAAATCGACCAAGGTGAAGAGGTAGGTCTTGTCGTTGTGGCCACCGGGCGGTTTGTGTTTTTTGAGGTTGCGGTTGTTGAGTTTTGGGTGGGGGGCGTAGAGGGTTGGTTGTGCTGCATCGGCGACTGTGGTTGTGAGGTATCAGTCATTGATTTGATTATGTAGATGGGAGTGGTAGAGAAGAGCTTACCGGCTTGATCGATCAGTTCGCCGGGTTGCACGATGTTCTTCTCAAACGCAAGACCCAGGGTGTTAGGCACTTGAGGTTCAGAACCTGGAGGCGTAGCTGCAGCGGCAAACTGAACACCAGCGGCAACAATGCCGAGGAAAACTTGAGATGGCTTCATAATCTGTTCGTGATGTTCGAGAGACAGAGATGGGTCTCAGAAAGGAACCGCGATGGCTTCCAGAAGGCCCGTTATATCTGAACAGCATCATGCTGATCGACGGCTCGGCAAGGCAAGCTGGTCATCAAAGAGTCAAGAGTCTGGATCTTGTGATCTTCCATCCACGTTGTTGATGAGCATGGATTTATTGGAATGTGTCATTGCACTATCTTCAGAGTCTAGCGATTTTTGCATCCATGAGCATCTACATTATTGCTTTATCAATCTGTTATTACTCTGCCTGCATCTTTTGTGATATCATCAATCGATCAAAGGTGGCTGCTGGTGTATTGCACCCGCTGCATTTGCCAGCTGACGCAAACGGTCAAGCTGCTACGATCAGTAAAGACCAAGACTTGCCATCATTTATCGAGTGGTTGCGGTTGGCAGGCATGTCCATGCATCCCTGTCCATGCACCAATGTATGCGATCGATATGCATGCAATCATCGGGGACTTGACATACATGACGCGATGTGAGACATCGGCTCGGTGTTACGATATGTCCGATCTTCTCACCGTGTCGGTCACCCTGTTCTGGCTCTTTGAATTCGACGACAGCCACGATCAATGGTGGCCAGACGATGATGACTTGGCTGGTGACTTTTTTGGTAGCTTTTGTAGTATCTGAAGTGTACTTTTGTCTCGCAGTCGCATCATATGGGCTGCCAATTGAGGTAAATCAACTTTGACCATTAACGCATAAAGCTCCACCAAGAGTAAAGCAGCAGATCCAATGTCTCGTACAGCACCAACCGCCCTCGGATAACAACTTGCTGCTGTGAAAATGATATTGTCAGAGGTCTGAACACGACTAACGGTATCCTGATGATAGCAGTAAGAGAATGACGAGTTTAGAACTCAGAATCTTGAGACACGGATGCACAATTATCATCGGCCCAGTTGCTTGCCGACGTCGTTTTGTGCTCACAGCGGCAGAAGATAGAGCCGAGCGATATGACAGTAATTCGGACCGCGGCGTACATTATCCAAACAATAAGAAGGAAATGACAAAGGTGACAAGATCATGAGAAGCGTGATCTGGAGGACATTTGTATTTACAAGTCCAATGAGGCCCAATTACCCAAAGTGTGATGATAAAGAGGTATGTACAAGAATGGTAGGTCGCTAAAAAAACAACGGCAGTAATAGACAAAGACCTGAAGATCTCAGGGATCACAAGGGGCTATACTTGTGCGAGTAACCACTCTCCCCCTTCTTCCACCTAGGCAGGACACGCTCGCCCTTTCTAAAGCGTCTGACAGCCCAGAAGCCTACCAGCACGCCAAAGATGCCTCCAAGTGGGAGCAACACACTCCACACACTTGTTGCGATTGCCGTTGTATCTTCAGTTGCAACAGCGGATGTTCCGAGAATATTGCCCTCCTCATCGGAGGCTACCACACGATACTGGATTCCTGAGCTTTCGTCAGGCAGTAGGAAAGAGGTTTCGAAAGCCACCTTGTCGGCTACATCCACATCGGTGAATTCGGCGTCGGCCGAGGAATCGGCGGATTGCAACGTCCATGTTGCGACTTCTGTGGCGCCGCTCCAGGATGCGTATAGTTTTCCTGCTTGTGTTTTTGCCCTTGGGGGCTCAATAGGCGCACCCACCCAGTCGGCCTTGAGCGAGCGGTAGGAAGTTACGCGCCCGTAGTGTGAGATGTATTGTGCGCCGTAGTGAGCTTCGCAGATCAACGTGCCGTCCATGTCGAATTCGGAGAAAACTGGCGAGTGTCCCCAACCCACGAAAACAGTATTTGTGGCAGGAAGGACTTGGACGGAGCCCTGGGATGCAGCGCGAGTGTGTCTGTCAGAGATGTATTTATGTATGAGTTTTGCGGTGTTGTCGGTGGTGTTGATTTGGATCATGCGTGCGGTGGAGTAGGAAGCGTCGAGGTGGAGAGGACCAGCATCGCTGTTGTCGAAAAGGGTGAGAGTGCCCTGATCCTGATCCAGCCAGCGACCGTCGTGCTGCCAGCTGAAAGTCGTGGCATCACCATCTGAGATATCCTTGAATATGTTTTGCTTTCCTCCAAGAGTCCAGACAACATCGCCAGTGGTGCCATTGACCTTGATTAGCGAATTGAGGTGACGGGATGAGATGAGGTAGTCGCCGTTGTCGTCCTTTTCAACGCTGTTGATATGGAACCAGTCGTAGGGAATCGACTCCCAGTATCCGGCCAGCGGGTGGGTGTAGAACGAGTCCATGATGGAGAAGTAGTCCAGCGCATTCCACTCAAACAGCAGCTTGCCAGTCTCGATGTCAATCTCTTGGAACAAGTTGTTGTTGATCCAGCCATCCACCGGCCTTCGCATAGCAGTCATGTCGGTTTGTGTTACGTTGTAGACAGTGATGAGTGCCGAGCCATCTTTCGTTACGGTGAATTCGTGGAGGTCGCCCTTGAGGCCTTTACCGACGGCAGACACTTGATATCTTTCTTGGTACGAAGAGTCGAGCTGCGAGACGTGTCAGTGAATGTCGACGATAGGCAATTGGATGTGCTCACCATGTAGTAGTTTCCATAGCCAAAGCTCGATCCTCGGAGACCAGCCCAGAAGGTTAGGTATTTCTCACCCTTGTACTCCTGGACTTTCAAGTTCATGGCCTGTCCGTATTGGTCTGTCTGCCACACAAGGTTTCCTCTCGCATCTAGGATCATAGGGCCAGGGTGTTCGACTGATTTGCCCTGGGGAGAGATAAAGATAAATCCATTGTCGCACTTGTCGTCCCATTTTACTTGTTGCAAGTCTGGTGAAGTCAAGTTGTGTGAAACATAGATCCTCTGCGGGTAACCACCATAGACGGCGAGATCAAAGAATGTTGACTCCAGCGAGGGGAAGATCCAGCCGACGACGGGGAGCACGAATTGGTGGACTGCTAGTAATGCCACGAGGAGACCAGCCACAGCAGCTAACAGCAGACCGACCAAGCGCAGGTGCTTGATGAGTTGATGCAACATGTTTCCAAGAGAGCGACGGGAGGGGAGGGGCTAGAGTCGACAAGACTCCGCTGGAGGGAGTTCTGAAGAATGTTTGGAAAGAAAGAAGGAGGTTATTTGCTTTGGTTCATTCGACAAAGCAATATTCCGCAACAAACAACCCCGTGCACACCAAAGCACAGCCCTGGTACATTGGGGAAAGTAGATCTTATACATTCGTAAACGTAGCGACTGCCAAGTTGGCGGCGCTCTTCAGGGCTCGCTCGGCGGGCGACTGGCCTCATGGCCCAGCGTGTCGCCGTATCATCTGTTGCGAAATTGTGGGTTTTCCATGGGCGAAGGCTGGCGGCAGATAACATTGAGTTTGACACACAACGCCTCAAAAGACTCGTGCTCCGCATGTGGCTGCCGTACGCATGACTCTGCTTGGCTTTTTGATCCTTCGGCCGCCAACCTTGAGTTTGCGAAATCGACCACCTCAAGTGCTTGCGAGTTGCAACACCGCCGAGACGTCGCTGACGTGTGTTTCGAGATCTGAAGCACCTTGTCTGCGACGCTCATCAAGGAGCCCGTATCCAGCGTGTCTCAGGTTCTCGGCCCACCATCTCCATACGCTCCTCAAAAAGGTGGATATCGAAATTTCGGCAAGAGCTACCCCAAGCCGTCTGCCAAGGACCGCCTCCACGTCGTTGAGGTTGGACACCTGGAGTTGGACGACTTGGCTCTCCCTCTTCCGTCCAAGAGATCCAATCTCATCTTCAGGGTTCGGTAGCGATCAAGTTCTGCCACCAATCGAACATGTTTCCAGGCCACCGATTGCAACCCTCGAAGGATTTATTAAATGCAGGTCTATCATGGCTGCATCCCGATATCTTCACAAGCGGGAAGGAGAGCGTCCGCATGTGCAGCATTTCGATGCGGACAAGTCCGTCAATGACGCGCGCGCGGTTGGCACCAGTGAGGCTGTGTAAAAATCTCATCGAACAAAAAACCTCCCAAAGTTCGTTGAAACCGATCAGAGGGCGGACCTCCGACCCGCCGTGTTGGTCGCGGAGGACTTCCCACCTCCGTCACCGAGGCGTCTCTCTGCCACTTCTTGCCTGTATGAGAGTTTCGTTATCAGATTTATGCCAAGCCGCGCGCGACAGGAGACCCCTCAGCTCAGGAGACTCTTCGCTCCGAGATTGTTCAATGTTGTCGTTGTCGCTTCATCTCTCCAACGTTTCGCTTTCGCGACTGTGTCTGTTTGCGTCGAAGGCCGACCTCCTGCAGGCGGCGAGGTCTCGAAAGTGGTGATGGTCCAGAAGCCCAGTGCGTTAGGGGCGCGGCGGGCGCATTGTTGTCGCTGCTGTTGCGGTCCTTTTTCTCCTCAAAAAGGAATCGATTCCAGAAGCAGCAAAGAATCCGAGGTCCAAAACAAGTTCCTGGAGAAAGCGTCCCTGCTAGGCGTAGGAATACGGAGTAAAGCGTATTGGTTTTCGACTTCAAAAAGGCTTTGGGAGTTCTCAGACATTTGAGTGGAGAGTCGCTTATGCTGCTGCCTTCAAACTTGAGGCTAATTAGAGCTCGTATTGACAGAATTTCGAATCCTTCAGCGCGAGCGAACGTCGACTTTTGCTTGAGGATTTCAGCCATTGGAGATATTGTGCGTAGAGTCCTTGTGCTGTGCTGTTGGTGAGTCTGGAAACCCGTCGATGGGCTTCTGATGGTCTTGAATGGTTTCGCCGTTCTTCACCATTCGCGAGAAATTCCTCTTTGGTGCAAACCACACTCCCAAATCGCACACACGAAACATTAGACGGTCACCGCGGGCTCCGATGTCAAAGGATCAATCATTGCACATTGTATACTGTTGAAATATCCACTGGACTTTAATGTTCAGTCACATTGACCGCCCGAGTCATCATCACGCCCTTGCCTGAATACGGCGGCACCCAGGTCCTCGCAGTCTCGTACATATGCTGCTCGACCAGCGAGCCTTGACTGCTTGCTCTGTACAAGGTACGGTTATCATCACTGCCGAACTCATCCATCTCAATCCTCGGGCTCGTGGCAATGACAGTGTGCGTTCTCGAAGCGGCATTGTCAAACACCTGGAAACCCTTTTGATCTTCGAAGCTCGCGCGCGGTCGTGTGGCGCGCTGAGATCGACTTGTATGTCTTTTGCTGTTGCTCGCTATGCTGTGTTTGCTCCTCCCGTAGCCTGTGTGAAAAAAAGACGGCAGTGTCTTCTCCACCATACTCTTGAACAATGGTCGTAGAGCGGAGAGTGACGCTGCGGTAATCGCTAGACCAGGTTCGACGACGGAAAGTAGACCCGCGTCGATCGCATGCTTGAAGAACCCGCTGCCGACTGAAAGCCCACCGAGATAGGCAATGCGGATGATGGAAGCGATGCTGCCGAGACAGCCCATGCTCAAGAGGAAGCCAGCCGATATCTTTGCTTGACGTGGCATGTGGCTGTTCCAGAGAATGATGACGGGGAGGGTTGCAAAGACCACATCGCAAGCAGCATTCGAGACGCCAGATATGTAGACCAACGGCATTATCCCTTCGTTTGAGATGCACTTTCCTTTGAAAGCGTTCATGAGCAGATCGGGCGGGTTCCCACATCGAAAGGTGACGAGAAAAATGAAGACGATGCTGTAAAGTGTGTAGATTCCCGTCGAGATGTAGATGAGGCGTCGTTGCCATTGTACGACTACGATCCGGAGGAAGAAGATTGCCAGACTGATCTTGAAGAGAATGGTCGTGAGGATGTAGAGAGCGTTGTATATGACGACATACTATAACAAGTCAGGATGGAGAGTACTAGTCATGGTTTGTTATACACATACCTCCAATGCCTCTGTTAACACTACCCATATCTCTTCCAAGTTTACCGTCATGTAGGCTGATTCTACCTCTGGGCTGCGGCAGTACCTGGCCAGAACCAACAAGCAGGCGCAGAACGAAGAGAATGCGATCTGCATGCTGTCAGCTCAGGTTATGACACGATGTCTTCAAAGCCTACCGATGCCATGAGGAGTATCAAATCGTCCCATCCGAATGCCCTGATCATAAAGCAACGGACATACACACGGGTAGCAACTGATACCCAAACCAGTACAAGAAAGGTAACGCCAAATCCAGTCATGAGGTGTGCCTTTGGTTGTAGCTCCAGCACATTGGGCAGGAGTGATACATCGAAAGTGTCTGTCATGGCGCTATCCACATCCAGCGACAGACGCAGAACAGAGGTTAGGGGAGATGGTGTAGTGACGGGATCGAGCAGGTATATACTTACCAGATTCCAGGTCTATGGGTCCGCCATGCCGAAGCCACTCGCAATATTGTATGAGGGACACTAGCGAATACTGGCGGACATGAGCGAATGGGATGCTGAACTCTCACGATGGCGAGGACCGAGCGGCGGCTAAGGTGCATCACGAACATCGCTACCATGCAATGGTAATTGTTCAGCTACCGGGGTTCTCTTCCTGAGTGTGGAGAAGACGAGGCTCGTATGTATCGCACCGGTGCTCGGTTCGCAGCATGGACTTTCTGCATTGCGTAAGGGCACAAGATATATTATACTACATACAGTATCGATCGCAATGCCGAAGCAGATCTGAGCCACAAAAAGAGCATGGCGGCTCAAAAAGGCAGGAAAATTTCTGGAGAGATGAAACAGACCAGGTCGGACGGCAGTAGATTTCATGTGCCGAGAAGATAGATCCGGAGGTGTGAAGTTCCTGGTGTTCGAAAAGACTCGTCCTCTGACAGCGGTTCGCACAGGTGTTCAACGGCTCGCTGAACTAGGGTTCGATAGAAGTCGTGGAAGACGCCACCAGAACGATGAGACGAGCACACACGAACTTTGTACAGCAGAATATGTAATGGTGGTAGTTAGCACTTTGCTTGTTCAGCTGAATTCAAATACTATGTCAGCTGTTCGGGAAAGCCCTGCTGCTTAGATTAGATGAGGGGACGGCAAGAAGTTTGTGATAAGCGAAGGCGAGGCAGACCTGCATGGCGAAGTCTGGTACAGGCTATGTGTGCCGCACTGGCGTACTCGCAGTATGCATAGCTGTCGATACTTACGGTGAACGGGTTCGTGGACGATGGACATGAATAAGGGCATAGATTTGTGACGGAGCGGTGTAATGTAGCGTGACCTATCAAGGCGTGGTGGTATTGGGATGAAACCCAGACGAGGAGGACGACGGACCGGCAGGTGATCAGTCCTCGTCTGCTTCAAGTAAGATGTTCAACATGGGTAAAAGTCTTGTCTCTGCCTTTTCTTCGTCAATCGAAGAGATCTTGGTCAACACCCATGGGACAGCAATCTCCCAGTAAGCCTCTTCGACGGCAGAAGCAGTAAGGAGCAGAGCATGAGGGCTCAGGGCAGCTGCAAGCTCGACACGCGAGCAGTGGAAGAATTGGTGGAAGGCGATCTCGAGCACTTGGCGGCTGTCGGGTGTTTCAGAAGCGACGCTGATCCCGAGCCTCGGCATTGACGGCAACTTCGCGCAAACGTCTGAGAGAAAGCGAAAGCGAGCGATCATGTAGTTGAAGACACAACACCCTCGGAGATTGACTGCATGGCCTACTCTGCAAAACACTGTGTTTCGAGTGCAATGAAATGAATTGCTCTCACCGACCGGAGCGGACTGTGCCTGAGTCAGTTGAATCACACATGGGTCCGAGGCCATGATATAGAAAGCTCCTTCGGCTGCGATCAATCTCTATTCCTGTCGCTCAGTCGACTAGCCATGCGTCGCATGCATGAACCGTTACAGATCACGACCTCTGGAGAGAAGAAATACGACAGGTAAGGTGATGGAGTGATGAATTTGCAAGCAGCTACTGCAATGCAAACGAGCAACCAACTGCGAGTTGCCGCCATGTGCAGACGACTCAAGAAAATGTCAAACGAAAAACCACCAACACTCGACGAAGGTCCTGGAAGTTTTGCGTCGCCTGTCAACTGAGCTGTTTCCGTCGGATCGAGAACAAACGGAGCCTCGAAACATCACTTCATAGCAACAGCAGCAAGCTCTCTCAACTCTGATTGTACACGGTCTTTGTTTACGTACTCGCATGCACCATGCCTACTAGATACGACACGACGCCGCCCTGGGGCAAGAAACGCAAGCGTGAGCCCTCAATCTCTGACAGCTCGACGAACCGATCAACTTCTCCTCCACTAGTGGAAGAAGAAGACACCAAAGGCCTTCAGACCGTGAGCCATGATACTCGCCGACGACCAACTCCTTGGGCAAAGTACAGTGATCCTCTTAGTCCGACTTCACTGCCTCCCCCGGCGGAAATGAATCCAGCTGGCGCCGGCGACGACGACGATGACGACTTGCAACAAGCAGCTAAAGACATGTTTGACTGGACTCAGTCAGACCGCCCCGCCGAAGACTCGCTCGCTCACATGGAACGCATCGTCAACCTCTGTCAGCATGAAGCATCATGGTCCGGTGACAAGAGGTGGAACAAAGTTGTAGCAGCCTACGAATCTTGCGGAGCTACACCAGACGCTGTCCATGATCTGAAAGATGCCCGCGAGCCCTTTTGGTCCCAGTCTCGCGTCAAGCATGCCTCTGCCAGTTTGGCCACACCCAAAGCTCTGGCCGACTCAATCCGCACGATGCTCGCTGAGAGCGAGAGACTGCACGGCCATTACCTCGACAGAGAGGTCAAGCATCAATTGATCAAGGCTGTCGAGCGGGTATTTCCTCGCACTCGACCCAAGATCCTGGTACTGGAAGACAGCCCAAAGCAACATACCTCCAAATCTGCAAGACAGAATCAAGTGTCCGTTGCGCCTGTCGCCCAGATGACCAAGATTGTTCACCCTTCGCCTCAATACATCGTCCCAACTGCTCCCAAGCAAGCTCCGTCGGCACCATCAGACTCCTCAAGACCTCCAGGCTGGGCACTGGGCTCAATAAAAGATCCCAAGCCACGAGCTGACAGTCTCGCCGATGCACTGAACTCTAGAAAGTCTTCTGCCGCTACCCTGATAATATCGAGTCCGCCGCAATCTTCTCTCGAGTCGCCAGCACTGAATACCGACTCTTCCGAACTCGTCAGGCCCAAACGTCCGAGTCATTTCGCCCCTGCAGCTACTGAGTCCTTCAGGAATCGCGACCAGCACACCGTTCCGCTGGCTTCTTCGAAACCGGCCATACTCCCAATTCAGTTCAAGATCGCCGCTGGCTCGAATGAGGCTCCTCCGAAACGTCCTCGATTAGAGATCGATGTTGACCTCCCTCGTAAACACCCCGACGACCTCTTTTCAACCCCGTCATCGCCTGAACGCCGCAGATCATCAGCTCTCGCCACCAAGATCCAGCCCCCAACCGGTCCGCGTAGTCTGCCCCGGTTCCTGGCTAAGATTGTCCCTAAGGAACCTCTCGAAGACAGAGCAAAGCAAAAGCAAGAGATCCTCCAAGCTTGTGATTATAACAAGATTCCTGTTCAAGACGCCACTTCCTGCCCTGCCGATCATCGCACATGGATACTTCATTTCCAGGATTCAAGAGACTTGCAATCCTCTCTTGGAAAGATGGTCTGCTTGCGCGACATCAGCACACCCCTGCTCACATATGCGCCCAACCAGTCTTTCCAGGTCTTTGGCATTGCCGAGAAACCTTCTTTTCTTACGCCGCAAGTTGAAACAGACATCATCAAGACGATTGCTCGCACACTACACCCTGCAAAGTTTATCATGCACAGGCAAAAGAGTCAGCAAAGAAAAGCCAGATGCACTCAGAAATGGATAGTGGTTTTTGAGGAGCCCGTGGACCGTGAAAACTTCACTCTGGACATGAAGGTGGATGGGCGCCACGAGCTGTTCGACTTCTTCGGACTGGACTGCTCGGAAGAGGTCAGGCAGTGCTGGGTCTGCTCAGAGAGTGGCCATGTTGCCCCCTCTTGTATACATTGTACGGAGTGGGTCAGGCCTGCGTACAGCGATAGCCATTAACTTTGGAGGACGCCGCAGCTAAAGTGAGCTTACCGGGGGGTTAATAGATAATCCACAAAGCTTTCGCTATACACAGCACGATAACGAAAATCAAAACCACCCTCAAGCAATAAGAAGACCTATTGAGGCTTATCAATTGAGAAATTGAACAAGAGGATGTATGTCCAGATTCTTATTCCACGTAACTGAAAAAGTTGAAACGCCATCTCTGACCTGTGGTTTTTGTAGCCATTGGAAATGTTCTTTATCCTCCCAAAGTATGATGCTTAACGACAAACATACAGACACTAGCACTCATGTTCTGGTGTTGCTCAGGGCTGTGCAACTCTAGAGGTCTATTGTGGATAGTTGAGGTATGCAACATCGTCTACCCAGGTCAAGTATGGCACTGACGACTGCACCACGCGTCTTTCGAGTAACAAAGCCTCACATTCGGCACGCTTTGCCAAATTTTCACAGGAGTTCAAAGCATGAAAAGCATTCTTGTACTCAGCTGATGGTAATTCCACATCCGCGCCGCAATCAAGCATTCGTTTAACGGTCTTTGTCACGCCATGGTGCAAAGCTGTATGTAGGGGCAGCGTGCCAAGTCTCGAGTATTGGTTGGGATCAGCGCCGTATTCGAGCAGTAAAGACGCAATGGCTTCGCACGCAATGGCTTCACTCAGGCCATCCATCACGGTACCAAGGGGGTTCCCCTTGTTGACATCTGCACCAAGCTCAAGTAGCAAACGCACTGTAGCGTGACGTCTAAATTGACAAGCAATACAGAGTGCAGTGCTATTGGACCCATTTCCTGCGTCGATATCTATGCCGTTGTCAAGCAGCATGCGTACGATGGCCTCATTCTCCTTCTCCGCATAAGCAAGGATGTGGAGTCCGGTATAATCGTATTCGTCCGACACGTTGGCATCAACGCCACTCTCCAGCAGGATACGCACGATCTTCTCATGATTATAAATTACAGCCTTTCGAAGTGCTTGGCCAGAGAAGATCGCATCGTCACCAGCATAATAGGGCCCACGCTTGTCGACAAACATACGCACGAGAGCCTCCTTGCCGTGTCTTGATGCCGCGATCAATAAAGAACAAAATTGATCACGAAGGCTAGAACCTATGATCCCGGAATCTATCAACATTTGAAAGATATCATCGTCTCCATCGTCGATGGCGTCATGGGCGAGGTTTTTGAGGTGCCGTGGTGCAAGAAGATCTGCTGTTGCTAAAAGCTCGCGATCTTGCAAGAGTAGCTTTATTATTAACATCGCTTTCCTCTTTACAGCCAGACCAAGGAGAGCCGGAAACAAACCACGGGTAAATAGCACATTCGATGAGGACACAGAAGCATATTTTAGCAGAAGTTCGAAGGCAGGCGTGTTGGACTTATCAACAGCTGCAAGTAAAGCATGTTTGTACTCTCTGCCACTCTTGTTGGGGTCAGCGCCGTGCTCGAGAAGTAGTTCCAGCATTTGCGTATTCCCTACAGCTACGGCTGCTATGATCGGGAAATCATATCGCCCTCCTTTGGCATTGATTGACTGGCTTTGAGAGACTTCGAGTCGAAAGAGATGCAAGAGATTTCTCTCCGCAAGAATATACAGCAGGCTTGTTCCAGTCCCATAACGGCGTATCTTGAATTTCTCGATATGGTCGTGCAGAAAGATCCACTCTTCGAGAGCGAAGTCCCTCAAGAAGATTGCTTGCGGTGTACCATGACTAGCAGCAAGCTCGGCATGCTTGAAAACATAGCGGATTGAGTAATTCAGGAATGGAAACATTCTCGCGGTCACGTCAGAAGAGTTGACAAGGTCCTCCATCGGAAGGCTAGAGAAGTAGCGCTGACAGTGTTGTTTTAGGGACTCGTGTATAGACCCAGCTGAAGTACTGTTCAGATCCAGTTGAAGCATTGTGAATCCATCTTCCTTCAGAAGAAAATCTCGCACAGATTCGTGAATGAATTGAACAGTCGGCGTTTTATTTCTGGTTGGTTCAGCAAGTCCCTTGGACGAGCTTAGGATGAATCTGCTGATGTCCCCTGGTGCAATATCGTCAGAGTTCTGCGATGTCACTGGATCTGTTTCTGAAGCAGACAATATCGCAGAGTATAGTTCCACAGGACTCAGGGGGCGTTCCGCGTACAAGATCCATCTTAAGCAGAGTATCAGATACTCCATGTTTTGAGAGTCCCTGCCCAGAATATCGCGGAACAATTCATTGAGGTCTTCGGGGGTGTCTTGCAGACATTTGCCGAGAGCGTGCACCTGGCCATGATCGTATGCTTTCTGAAGTATTGGGATAACAAGTACAACCCACAAGAAGATGCCTTGTGACTTCTTCTGGACATCAATCTTTATCTGTTCGACGCGTTTATTGCGCTCGACCTTGAGCTTCGAATTCACGTATTTTGTGATATCATCAGAATGACCTTGTTGGACTTCAAGAGTCAGCTCGACACCTTTGTCAATTGTGACATGCGGATAATGTCGGCTGGAGAAGCACACGAGTAGTCGAATGTTGTTCTCGACTGCACGCTCTCCCAGCTCCTCAAAAAAATTGACCATTTCTCGCACGTGATCCTCGTTGTTTTCACACTCATCAAGCGCATCAACAAAACAAGTTAAAGGTTGGTCCTCGAGTTTCTCAATAGCTTGACGGAAGAGTGACTGGAGGATCTCAGTGGTCCAGGAGTCGGGAGAGATGTCTTGCAAACGAGAAGCTTCAGTTGTGTCAAGAACTGTCTGGAGTCTCGGAACTTTGCTGAGCAATTGAAACAAGAGAGAGCGGTACATCCCGCGTGTAGACTTCTCCAAATGCTCGCCCCTGGCATTGAAGAAATAGGAGATGGCTATTGGACCTTTTGCATCATTCTTGGCTTTCGTGTATGCAAACTTCATGATTGTCGATTTACCAGCCCCAGGCTTCCCTTTGATCCACAAGAAACCATGATGATCCAGAAGCTTTTCCTCGTCTTGCCAGTCCCTATACTCAAATTTGCTCAACAACCACTCGCACGTGGCAGCATGGGCGGTCTTGATCGTTGCGTGACGAGTATCGAGCTGTTCGAAATTCAAGGCATCTAACAGGACTTGTCGTGAACCTGGGCCAATCAGTCCTGAACCAAGTGGTAAGTTAGAGCTCGTTTCGTCTGTCCTGGGCAGGACACATACTGGACTTTGCCTTCCCGAAAGCGATTGTCGACGAACTCTGCTCGATGGTCCGGCATCATCTTGGTCATCGAACGAAAGTGGCCTTTTCCTTGATGGACCCACTGCCGTAGTTGAGTCGTGCGATTGCGAAGTCTAGTGACCAAGAAATGCTTTTGCAGCGGAGGCTGCTGTTGCTGCAGCATAATCTTGCCATCTTTTGTTCTTATGGCTGTCAGCGTAGTCGCAAACGCCTTTGATGATGACACATGGCAGGTCTTCCCATATACCGGCTCCTTCCATCTCGAACCCGATCACGCCGTTCTCACGAGCGATAATGTCGCGATGTTCGCCAGACTTCATAACAGTGGTTGCGCCAATTGTGCCTATATGTAGAAGAGGCGTAGGAACACTTGAAGCGAGGCGCGCGCGACGACTTGGATTTTCCGACGAGTCAGCATCACAACCAAGCGTCTCACAGCTCGACTCCAGTGCCTCCTTACACACAGGGTCGGTATTTGATCGAGACAAGACACAAGGGCATTCTCGTGTTGGAGTGTCTTTTCGATGCATGTGCCGGTATGAAGCTGCAAACAACCTATCATGTTCGACTCCTGGATAGCGCGCCGTGTCACTCTTCTTACTTAGCTCTGCCAGATCTTGCTGTATCTCGCCTTCCAGTTCTTGCCGGATGATTGGGATCTCAAGCTTGCTGAGGAGTCCTCTGATTTCGGGGCTTGGTCTTCCGAGCATGTGCTTGACGCCCTTTCTTGCTTGAATACCGTCTGAATACTGTCTTCCAGTGTAGAATTCGACAATCGAGTCAGAGATGATGACATCCCCGAGGACGATGGTTCTTTCAAGAGGAGCACCACCACACACGCCGACGACGAGAGCCAGTCTGATCTCCTTGAAGCTCAGCCGCACATTGGCAGCGACCCTGGTTGCGCTGTACACGCCCATGCCAGGCATATGGACTAGAACGATATCATGTCGGCCGATGCGCCCGGTCGAGTAGGCGTTGATGTCCCCCTCTTGCTTGCCATATTTGCTGCCATCCTTGTCGTAGCGTTGGTCGAACAGGCTCAGGACAGCGGCGGCCTCCAGGGGCAGAGCACAGATGATAGCGACCCGAAAGTCATCTCGCGATCCAGGACCCATTGAGACTCGAAGCATCAGATGGAAAGTTGATGGCGACTCTGTCGTCAAGTTAGAGTGGTGCGCATACTGGAAGACACAAGTCTTCACCCTTGATCGTGCTCAAGGCGCAGCCGGGTCAGCACTCTGCATCAGCCTCGACGAACAATCACGCGCCATCCTGTGAGGCTTGCATACTGCATGATTGCCGATGCATGATGACTGATCAACGAGCATGGAGTTTTCCCACAAATGTTGAGGTTACAGCGAAGCAAATGTCGTATTTATTGAAGTCTGATTGAACTTCAGAACATGTTTTCTCGCGTCTCTGGTGTCAGTCAACAAACAGGCATGTCTGGCGTGACGACGATTGTTTGATGCATGTCACTGCCCCTCTCCGCGAAATTGCGACCGATCTGGGTTCCGGAGATCAACCATGAGTAGGATCTCCCATCGCTCTTACCTTGCTCGGGCAATGCAGTACACCGGCCAGTCATCTAACCCTTATTCATGTAGAATCTTTACACGTCACTGGCGATGATAGCACGAATTTTCACGCTGGCAAGGGGATTGTACGTGTCTCTACCTCGTTGAGAGCCGCGCAAGCCAAATCTCAACCACCTCCGTACACGCACGTCCAATAGGCGTCAACCTCTGAAAGAGCTGAAAAGGCAATTCAACAATCAAAATATTGGACCGCGAATACGAGAATAAGCTCGATATAACAGCCAACACGTGTGAGGAAAGTGCCGAGTTCGCTCAGGTATCCAGCTACGGACAAGCTGCGGACTCCGCGGGCGCCTTTTCGACGTGTGTCGACTTCTTACATCTCAGTTCCCATCCAACAGTCGCAGTATATACCTTGGGTCCGCACTGCCTGGGATGATGCTGTCGAACCGAATCATGAGATACATCATTCTCTTCCAAGCGATATTCGCTACAGCCGCCCAATCTGCTGCGACCTCAGGATGTCGCAAGCCTCTCCCTGGCTCGATTGAGCGCGGAGGTGCTCGCAACACCAATTCACTGGAATTCGTCACTTCCAATGGAACCGTCCGTGAATACGGTTTACACATCCCGACAACCTACGACGACAATACACCAAGTCCTCTTGCTTTCTCATTCCACGGCCGAACACGAACTTGGCAGGAACAAGAAGAGATATCTGGAATGTCCAACGAAACCATGAATCCGAATTATCTGGTGGTTTACCCGCAGGGTATTGATGAGCAATGGCAGGGCGACCCGGAAGCCGTGGGCTACGACGATGTCGACTTCACTCTCGAACTTCTGGCCAATCTTTCTAGCGTCTACTGCTTGGACACCAACAAAATCTACGCTGCAGGCAAGTCGAATGGCGGCGCGTTTGCTGCAAATGTTCTGGCCTGTCATTCCAAAGCTTCCGGTGTCTTTGCCGCCTTCGGAGGCATCTCTGGGGCGTATTACCAGGGTGATAGCGAGAATGATTGCAGTCCAGGCACAGTACCCATCCCTTGCAATGCCAGCAGATCTCCCATACCGGTATTCACGACCCACGGCGATGCTGACGAAACTATTCCATACGATGGCGGACCTCGCCGCGACCGTTGTCTCCCTAATCTGCCTCATTTCATGACCGAGTGGTCTGAACGCAATGGACTTGGTGCTTCGAACGCGACGTCTTCGCTCTATCACAAAAATGTGGTCCAATACTACTACGGCAACAACAAATATCCAGACGTCAATGCGCACTACCGAGTACATGGTCTTGGTCACTATTGGCCTTCTCTTGCCAACGGAAGCTCGTTCGACGCGACACCCCTTCTTCTGAACTTCTGGGACAAATGGACGTTGGATGCAGTGAGCACGACTCCTTCAGCGACGAGTTCTCCATCAACAACGTTGCCAGCATCTGCCACATCTTCCACCAGTTCTGCTTCGGCATCAAGTGCCGGGACTATTGGGCAAGTCAGTGCCCAACAGTGGGCCCTTGGAGGTCTGGGAGTTTTAAGCTGGCTACTTTTTGCTTAGTTGTTCTATTATGGCAACAGACTATGTTATTCTTTCTGATAGAGGCTTTCTTTCAAAGACGCTCAAGTTGATCTTAGTTTCCTTTGCCTTTATGCTCCAGATATGTATCTTTATGTACATGTAAATGGAATAGATCAAGCACTACACTCAAAGCTCATCCTCAAACGCAGCGTGACAAAATTGTTGTCTCTTAGGTCTATCGTCGCATGATGTTGATAGTGGAAGAAAACAAAAAGCAAAACATACAGCAGCAGGGATTCCCACGTGGTCACCCACCGTAGTACTAATCTGCCGTTCAACTGCTTATGTATGGCAGAGCGGACGGGATGCCCAGTTTTCAGCTGACTGTGGCCGTATGTACTAGAATCACGATCCAGCAAAATTATGGAGTAACTTTTTCACTGGCCACTGGCTAGCATGATATTCAAAACACGAAGTGTCCTGGTCGGACGATACATTCAACGCAGCTGCAAGCAGGCTCTATGATAGTGGCCATTTGGTCCATAGTCATGCACCGAGAATTGGGCGGAAGGCCGGAGCAGCATGGAGACTAGAAAGACCGATGACGGTGGAGGCCATCAGAGTGGAGTTTGAAGTCTCCTCAGGGAAATGCCATTCAGATCGTGTGCCGCGTTCTCTTGCTTCCTGAATCGGGGTCCCAGGGTCGAGTAGAGTCAGAGAAAATTGCATACGTACAAAACGGAACCTTGACAATGGAAGTATGGAGACTTCGATTCAAAATCATATTTCCAAGCCGTCCGAGGGAGAGGTGTTCCGATTTTGGCTGGAGCTCAGGATGTCGACAGGCTCGAGCAGTAGAGATGGCGTGAACGATCTGCACGGTCCGCGGCCGCGGCGATGGTATACCTGTGTTCCAAGATCCGGCAGATAGCACTGGAGATAGAACGGCATATTGACTTGTGGGAAAGTTGTAGTTTCGGCACATGCAGTCTGTTATTTGCGCCTCGAGCAGACGCGTCCCAGCCACCCTAGATCGCAAGAGACGCGCTTGACAGATGATCTACTCAGAACCCAGGGTGCCAGCCCCCATGATCCGACAATGAGGACCCACAACCAGATGAACTCGGCCATTCGTGCACAGGTCGTTCTGGCTCAGTCCAGTACCCAGATTTGGCAGGTCTCGGTCTCGCGTTGGAAATCATCGTGATAGTCGTCTGGAGACCGGGACGCACATCTGACTAACACTTTGAACCAAGATGAACTTGTTCCTACAGGGATTAGTGCAATGTGATGTCTTGGTGAAGAATCAAGTCTGAGCGGTATCGTTTGCCATCGTCATTATTGTAGCAGCGGCAAAAGGAAGGATACAATTTCTCAGTGAGCAGTTGGATAAATATGCCGGGTTGCCGAGAAAAGGCAAGTACGAGCAGAAAGCGCCAACATGCAGTCTCGTTGCTTCCGGGCGTGCTTCCGAGACCAACGGCTACCACGAGTCGTGAAATCCAAGCACCAGGTCGCCGGATTTTGATATATTGTCCAGTCTGGTTAGCAATCGATTTGAAAACTTTTCCGCTGCCCACAATCGGAATCTTGTTGTACCAAGAATGATCTCAGACGTTAGGGTACAGCTTCAGGGCAAGGCAGTCTTCAGAAGTAGACAACGGGTGCCAATGCCGAAATTTTACCTAGCTCTGTGCGAACATTTCAACCCTGCGTCGTTCATAACAGACTTAGCTTGCGGTACGCTCAGCCAGGCGCGAGCAACGGCCGCCCTCGTTTCATCCACAGACTCAATTTTGTGTTACTTGCGCCTCATGGCACGCCATCCGTTCCAGAGATTGGCGGATAAGTTCGCCCACCAATGATGCGACAGAAGCCACCATCTCAACATGCCTCCCAACGAGCTGGAAGGTGTGCATTGCATCTCTCGAAATACTCGAGGTCGGAGATTGAGTGACCAACTTGCTTACCTGTGATCAATATATTGAGTAGAGAGCACCGAGATGAAGAAATCTTCGCTTCGAGGTCGAGATCGTATTCGCGCAAACTGATGATTAAACGAAGTGCACCCCAGATCTCTCTAACACACCGAGGCATGCAGGGCCACGTGAAAGCTCGAGCCTGGTCGACGGCAAGGCCCTTGCGACTAATTGCAAATTCAGTTAGGGGATTAGCGACAAGACACCCGAGTCTCGCTTCCTACCGTCTGCTCACCAATCTTCCTCATGGCCGGTGGCCATGGCTCCATTCGACAATTGCCATTCAGGCGAAGTGATGCGTACACCCTACAAAGAGCGGGACCCTTCCAAGTCTTTGAGGACCATGTGGGCATGACTAGCCAAGTGTGAACGAAGACCTAAGTACGGCAGTGCTCCACGGATAGATTGAGTTTTCTTTATTGGACCTGCTCTCGATTCACGTACATAGGCACACGGGTGTGCCGCTGCCGCATATCAGCCTGTTCCAACCTTGCATCTATACTGTGCATGTCCCTTTGTTCTTTCTTGGACTCCTGATACTCACCCTTCCCATCGGCTATCACGTTCCTTACGCGTCTTGATGCCTACCTCATCAGGAGACCTGCAGCTTGCTGCTGCAGCAGCGGGCTTCACCTTGGGGTAAGTCTCGAGCTTGTGACTTGACCGTTCTAAGCTGACAGTATTCAAGCTTCGGCACTCTCACAACATGGAGGGCTGTCAAACAAACGCAGCAAAACAAGTCACCTCACCGAAGTGCCTTCATCTACATGATCTGGGGAGAGATCCTGGCGAATCTTCTGATTGGTATCCTGGGATGGCTCTTCCTGAACGATGTCCTACAGGCCGAGTACGCTGACCATGATCTTGCGCCATCTGAACGAACGGCTAACATGAAATTGATAGCCCTATCGTGCTGTTCTTCATTCTGTTCTGTTATGTGTTTGAAGTCCAACTACTGCTTCAGATCATCATCAACCGCATTGCCATCATTGTCGAGCGAAGGACTATGGCGGCCAAGCTGAAATGGGCCACTGCCATCTTCATCTCGTTGGTCAATATCTGTGTTATGTGTATCGTACGGCCCTCTACACTCCCGCGTCTCGTCCAAGCTCTAACAACCTTACAGTGGATTCCTGCTCACATGGCCAAACCTCCGAGTCAAACATACGTCACTATCAATAAGTACTGGGATCGTGTTTCGAAAATCCTCATCTGCCTTGTCGACGCAGGCCTTAACTGGTACTTTGACACATAAAGCTTTAGTTATCTTCATGCTAACAACTCTAGGTACTTCATCCACGTTGTCGATGCCCGCCTCGTCAAGCAACACGGTCTACGCAAGTACAAGCCTTTGATTGGCTACTACACTCGTCTTGGAATACTCTCTATTTGCATGGACGTCATGCTTCTTGGCCTTATGGCACTACCCAACCAGGTGGTTTACATTCAATTCCACCCTGTCGCATATGTAAGTCTCGCCCTTGTCTTGTGCTGTCTAGTCTGAAGCACGCTAACATCAACGCTAGATGGTCAAGCTTTACATCGAGATGAGCATGGCAGACCTTATTGTCAAGGTTGCAACCACCTCTGAGATCGATGTCCGTCCCAATCACACATCATCTGGAACGCCATTCCCCGAAAGCAGAACACATCCTCAGCGTACATTCAACGATCGCGACACGGTCAACGGAGCAAAGAACACTGCGCACATCGGTCATACAGGTGTCAGCACGAACAGAGAAGATGTCAAGGGAATCCAGAGACAGACAGAAGTTCAGATCTTCGTTGGAGACTCTGACAGCGAGAATCACAACGACGACCTGGGAAAGATATCATCGAGGAATTCGGCCGAGGACAGCTACGACGATCATGGCGCGCCGCGTTACAACTCGAACAACCCCTTCAGCACTGTACGCGACCAACATCGTCTTTCTGACGAGTCACAGATACCTCTGAAGGATCTGCCCAGAGCTGGCGAAACAGTATAAGCTCGTCCAAGACTCGACACCATTCAATTCTTTCACACACTTTCAATACTCAGTCTGAACCAGACAGATATTATTTCTTATGCATTCATGAATAAATACACTTCCTTTGTCACTACCTAAAATGAGTTCTCTATCAGTATTCCGTGCTTCAGATAGATGATATGCCCACCGCAAGAATGATCAATTCTAGCTCTCGCTTGTTTCCACGCGAAGGATCAATAAGCACTTTCCACGTTTTATGGAAACACGCTCTAGAGTGGATATTCATCATCCACATAATTTGACAGCACTTGACTCGGTGGTCTGTTACGTGCGAGAAAAGCACGGCCCGTGTCCAAGATTTAGCTATTGATCAGCGGGTTCGCTCTCGGTGTCCCGCAAGCGGCAGGGTCCGGTATCAAAGATCGACCTGGAGACGGTGTGCATCTCTGGTTCCTTGTGGTCCCATTGGTTCCAGAGCATGGGCACCAGAGTCTGGTCTAAGGGAAATTGTGACTCGTGGATGGGCAAGAGCTATACTGTGACAGTTTCAATAGTGAGTGGAGTCGAAGGTGAGGCGCAAGTAAGCTTAATACCGAGGCGTCTCGTATTGTGAGATTCACTCTGCGAGCCCTGAGTTCTGAGCACTTTCCACATTTGAAGTACTCAAGATCCGAACATCAGACACAGCAAGAACATTCTCAATCAATCATCTCTTCCAACATGAGTCCCACACAAGGCGACCAAGCATCCACCAACAGAATTGGCAGCACGCCAGCACAGGTAAGTGCAAAATATCGTTTCGGCCATTCTTCTCGTCTACCATTCTGACCCTGTATCAATTTGTAGCGTCATGTCATCTCCGCTGCTCAAGCACAGGGTGTCCTGAATGCTGCTGCAAAGCACGCCGAGACCGTCACCCCGCAGTGCATTGCCATTTGCGACCCCTCTGGCCTTCTGGTCTCATTCTTGCGCATGGACAATGCCTACCCCGGCAGCATTGATTTGGCTATCAAGAAGGCTCGTACCACAGTGCTGTTCAACGGACTGCCCAGCGGTGTTGTCTATGATCTCGCACAGCCTGGTGCCCCATTTTACGGTAAGTCGATGTAGATCTCATTCGCTATTGCACATGCTCACAACTTGGCAGGGATCCAGGAGACCAATGGCGGTCTGGTGATCTTCGGTGGCAGCTTGCCTCTCTACAAGGACGACTTCCTTCTGGGCTCGATCGGCGTCAGTGGAGGCTCTCCCGACCAAGATCTCGAGGTCGCACAGGCTGGTGTCGACTGGTTGACAAAGTCCGAGTAGATCATCGGGTCCCTGAGATCAGCGTGTAGATCTTAAGCAAGAGCATGTTATAGCACCGGCGTTCTGGGAAAGCATTCATTTGATCAGCAATCAATTTCCTTCTGTCCGATCAGCAACCCGGGAACCAGGATGGGCGGCAGTCACAGGACCTATAGAACCAAAGCACAGACAGTATCCAAGAGTCTTGAATACGAACAATCCATCAACAAGCGTCATTACTGTAACCTCCTTTTCTCCTGACTTGATCGACAAACCATGGCCAATCTTTGACCTCACCACTGTGACCCAAAGCCATACTATCTCTCAGCTCTTGCTCAGTGAAGTTGGTCAATCTTGCAGCACTGCCTTGGTAGGCGCCAAGTACTGTCAAGCTATTGCTGGCTATGTTGGCCGCGTCTTGCGCAGACCAAGCAGCCCAAACTGCATGTTCTATGCTCGTCGCTGCAGCTGAGAGTCCATGCGCCCTCTGCAACACGACTGGATAATCCGGTAGATTGTTTCGCCTGGTTGCGTTGTTCTCAGGTGTAGAGAACGTATCTGCCAATGCTGCACCCAAGTGTGGCAGATTGACAAGAAAACTGTGTGACTCGTTCGGGGCGTAGTAGTCGGCGATATCGAAGACTGGGACTTGTTGACCAAGCACGGCTTCAAGGTTGAACTGAGGCACGAGAGGGATGTTGGTGTCCGCGAATGGCAAGACCGCTCGAGAGTGGCTGTGGACAACGCTGTTGATGCTTGGATATCTCTTGTAGATAGCTTGGTGGATCCATATTTCTGAGCTTGGCGACAACGAAACAGATCCGTTCACGATATAAGCTACATTGGAAATGTTCCATTCGAGATAGCCAGCGCTCGAGGTGATGAGCGATGGCGGATCGACAGGATCGAAGAAGAATGTGGTGTTGGTCAGAGGATTGCGAGCAGAGATGTGCCCATATCCAGTCACTAGCGAGAAACAGTCAAGAATGTGGTTTGCTGTGACAAGAGTGCACCAAAGTTGGTCGAGGCTAGACGGCATGATGCGGTGATAATATTCAACTGGAATCTGTCGACAACTGGGGTTGAAAATGACTACGTTATTGGTATGGAGATGCTCTTAAGATATATATCACTTGGCCGACCATTCGGTCCCGAGCTATATGATTGGTGTCACCAATCACGTCAGATCGAGCACATCCTAACTCATGTGTGTACACGCTCGCTTGAAGCTCCAGCACATCATGCAGTGGTAACGTCTTATTTGAGTCTACATCCACGCATGCTGTCGTCACCGAGATGCACTGCAAGCAGTATCGGGGTGGCATACCTATCACTACGCGTGTGACGATGATTTTGAGGACGAGGTTGAAGCCAAAGCTCTCTGTCTCGAGTCGAGGAAGGTGCAGAGCTGTGGAGCCGCGGCTTGGCGACAAGGAAGCTTGGAGTGACTGAGACCTTCTCTCCTTCACAACTGCCAACAATCAAGCCAATATTTCTGGTACCCAGGCCATCAAACTTCCGCAATGGTATCAGACATATCGTCGTGCCCGCTGGAGGTCCTTGAGATGATCGTTGCGGCCGCTGACCCGAAAGACCTGGCCAGCCTTCGTCTTGCCAGCAAACTGTGGTGCGACCTGTCGAGCAAGCGTTTCGGATCAACACGACTTCGACACCTTCGATGTGTGTATTCGCCGTACAGCCTACAGAGTCTAGTAGATCTTACAGCTCATCCGCTCTTTGGTCCTTGTATACAGTCCATCGTGATTGGTACCTATCGTATGAGAAAACATCTTGTGAATACTCAACCACACATACAAGCAAGTCCTGCAAACGTCGCGGCCCTCATACAGTTTCGTTTCCAGCAAAGTGCGCTACCCATAGCCCTGCTCACCAAGGCGCTCAAGAACCTCAATAGACGTGGTGTTGTGCCCAGGATAGGACTATACGAGGATGTGATTTGCGATGCGTCTGGCAAGGCATACTACCGCCGGGGATTTGGCTACAATAAATTGTACAGCTCAGTTGATCTTGCTCGATATGGTCGTTCGCTGGTTGCACAAACTCTTCAGGATCTGGTCACAGTAGGCCAGGAGTCGGACTGTCTTATAAGTGGAATCTCTCTCGATCTCCAATGGAACTCGTCCGATCCACAAGCGATCGACAGGCATATGGGATTGCACCGATTGCTCAAAGAGCTGGCCCTCTATGACACGGACGAGTTTTTGCCACTCAATGACACGAACGGATACATACCTAGATGGGATATGACTGTGAAGCTCACGGATCCATGTGACGAGATTGGACCGCATGTCATTCAAGTATGTAACAAGGGCAGGTGGTTACGGCTGAGATCCATATCAATAGAGTCATTTGAAATTACTGACCTACCGCAACTCGATTCTGCGAGTTTTAGCGAACTCGCTCATGCTGTACATTTCGAGTACCGTTTACAGCGGATATCACTCGAACATTGTTTTGTTGACAGGTCCATCTTTAAGATGTTATGGAACAACTCACGGACCTTGCGACATCTGAGTGTATCCAACACAACTCTATATGTTGACAACACCGAAGATGGAGTCGAACTGCTTGACATTCTCAAGACTGGCCTGGCTTTGGAGACACTCAGCTTGTGCATGCTTAGCTACGAGAGGAAGAGTCGAATTCTTGTAGTTGATGAGAAAGTGGAGAGCAGAGGATCGGAGCAAATTGCTAATATGATTGATGAACTTGTCAAGACTGTTGAGCAAGCGAACACAACGGAGGAACTAAACGAGAGCAATGACAACGAAGCAGTGCACTGTTGTGTCTCTTAATTGCTTGCTTGCTTGCTTGGCGGACGTCGAGAGTGGCCGCGACCTCCTCCACCCACGAGCTTCCTGCTTGGATATTGACTTGCGCACAAGGCTGTTGTTACTTCCAGAGGCTCATCCATTCTGCTGTGTAGGCGCGAAACCCAACATCTCTCTATCGAGCCAACCACGCCTCATCTCAGGTCTGTTCGCGCAGAACACAGTCGAGGACGTTCGGTCACATCCACACCTTACTAGCCGTGAGTCTTTTTGACTTCTTACAATGTCACTACTCTTGTTAAACAATTGTCTCGCCTTGGAACTGATAATGGGCATCATTCGGCATCAGTAGCGTTACTCTGAACCTCACAGCAACAATGTCTAATCCGTACTACTGATGAGCTGACAATATATCAAAGGTGTTTTCACAATTAGCAATCCGAGCCCGTCAAGATCAGGTTTGTTCCTGCAACTCACATGATCCTCTCCTGAGCAGTATACCGTTATCGATCATGCCGACTTCAACCACAAGACGCAAACGCGCCCGCAACATGGCCGGAACCCCTACAAGCAACAAGCGTCAAAAGCAGCGACAGGACTCCCCTGTTTCCGACGGGGATGATCTCGAATGCATTGATGTCACAGGCGAGAGACTGGGCACAAAGGTTAGAATCCTGCAAGAGTTGACTCTATCCCATCCTGACCACGCAATCTGAACAGTTCTGGAATATCGTTGCCGGTTTCATGGATTCAGCACCAACCGCCCAGGGAGCTACCGAGAGATGGCATTACCTCGTAAAGAATGTCTATCTCCTCGGAGAAGCCAAAAAGAAAGAGCAAGGAACCGTCAATGGGTCAATCTCGCGCTCGGCTTTGAAGCTGGTACATTCAGCCAGCGAGGCTCCGCCTCACCAAGTCTCGCACAAGACGACAAAAGCTGCCAAAATTGCGACAGTCTCGGGGCCAGAGAATCCAATTTCAGACGAAGACGAGGACGAGGAGCCTGCTACGGCATCTGATCATCGAAGCCAGACAGCACTCGCTGCACCCCCACGAATGCCCGCTGCCCAACCACGACCTTCAGGCCCCTCGCGCCACAAAAAGAAAGACGTTAAAATCCCCTGCGGCATGGAAAAGTGGCACGCATCGTGGAGCATCTGCATCAAGCCCCATAGTACTTCAGGGTGGGCTGCTGGTATGACTGGTATACTGGAGCATATGTTCTCGTACGAAAGCGTCGATGATCTCGTCAGACTGGCCAACGAACTTTACCGAACCAAAGACACCATCGCTATCAACCGGGCAACCAAGACTCAAGTCGACATCAGAAGGATCAAAAGGCCCTGTTCGAATTGTCGCACACAGCTTCAAAGCACTGTGGAGCGCCATCGGGTCATCCACCATGTCGCAATGCAGAGAAATTTTCGCCTACTACGACCTAGGTCTGGCTCTTCATGAGCTGGAGACTCAGCTCGATCAAGTCGACAAGGTACCGCATGATCAGTTGGAGGGACTTGCTCGTGAGTACCTGGACACCCGAGGTGAACGTGCAAGGAATACCGCTGTCACAAGGATGACATTCCTTGCTCGTCACCTACTCGATGTTCTGGGATATGGTGCATCCAGCGGCCATTCTGAGGAGGACATCAAGGAGAAAACTAGGCTGCTTAAGGCACAGAAGATGACCGCAAAGAACATGTGCTTGTTCGTCAGCGTCTTTGGCGAGGGATCCCTACTGCTGATGCGAAAGTCTGTGTGGCAGTCCACTTTGGACCAAGTCTCGGACAAGACGATCAAGCCATTGCTTGAGAAACTCGTCGGACGCGAGCCAGAGCTCCGAAAGGTGATGAGTTTGGCTGGAAGGGTCGTGAAGTACACGAAGAGCGGTGTGCCAGAGGAGGTGCCCAAAACTATCATCAGAGCCCAGGAGTTGGATGCATGTGCGAGACACAAATTATCGCTGGTCAAATTGTTGGGCCCTGCGAAAGACAAGACAGCTGCTATGGCGATGTTCAAGGGCAACGAGTCTGATGGCCACGAGGATGGAGACTGATGACAAGGAGGAGATATGATGACGGGGACAGCTTATCGAAGCATCATTTTTTTTTTCATTTCTGACCATAGCGACAGCAGCCCTAACAAAAATTGCGTTGCGATGGACTCGAATATGGTTGTTCCCCATTTTCAGAGTCTCCCGACGGGTCTTGTTGCTTCCCCGTGTGCTAAACTTTGTAACTCCAGTGCCCTACGCTTCTCTCTCCTGAGAAGGTGTAGAACACAATGTTCGCTAAAAAAGGCACAGTGGTTTCTAGATCAAAGATGGAACCAAAGAGAGCTTCGGAGACACTATATCTCAATCGATCCAATCCAGGTCTTCAGAACACTGTGCATTTTGGTAGGTAGCCGCGTTACAAACCTTTGCGTACGGGGAGGTGGCATCTACCCATGATGTGTTTCAGGCACATATTATGGGACAGTCAAAAGAATGGGACGAACGATCGAGGCCTTATGTCAGCCACTAAATGAATCTGGGCTCCACCTCACGACAAGGTTGACGCAATAAGTCAAGTTTCGGCTTTCCCGATAGTTCACGCGTACATCAAAGAATAGGCCCGACGTCAATGCACTCGAGATTTGAAGGCCTAATTACACGATGATGGTCAAACAAGCAATGCGCGTTGCAGCTAAACCTTGTACGTGATGCGGCCAAGAGCACTCTGCATCGAAAGTGCAATTTCACGATTGGAGATGCTATAAGACCAGAACTCTTCTCGGACTCAAAGATACCTGTTTCAATCACTCTTTCTCTTTCCAACTCAACATTTCAACTACAGTCACTCTTTGAAAGATGCTCTTTTCTTCCTCAAACGCTGCGCTGGCCGCCGCCGTGGTGCTTGCACCTCTCGCAATTGCTGCACCTGCTACCAGCCCCAACCCCGCTCTCTATGAGAGAGCCTTGAATGAAGGCAAGGGCACTTGGTACGGTGAGAACTGTGGCGAAGAAGCTTGCTGGCAGCAGGGCGCTTGCGCCTTCACCGACTATGTTCTTCCCTCCACTATCGCAGGCTCTACCTGTGTCTCAGAGACCATCTGGGCCAATGGCGCCGATTGTGGTGGGTGTGTCGAAATATCCTATAAGGGTGGTGCTAAGAAGATTGCCATGGTGAGAAATCTCGAATCATGAGTATGGCGTGTGCTGATCCTGTGTCTAGGTCACCAACAAGACCGGTGGCGACAAGAACCACTTGGATATGTCTCCTGACATGTTCTCCCAGCTCGCCAACAAGAACCTCGGCGAGATTCCTATCGAGTGGCAGTTTGTTCCTTGCCCCATTACCGATGGTCTTCAAATCAAGATGCACGGAGGTGCTTCTCAGTACTGGTTCGCTGCCACCGTCTTCAACGCTCGTCTCCGTACCACCAAGCTTGAGGTCAGTGCCGACAGCGGCAAGACCTGGAAGGCGACCACGAGAAACGTCAACAACTACTTCGCACTTTCCGGTAACGGCGGTACGAACACAAAGACTGCCTGGGTCAGAGTTACCTCCGAGAATGGGGATACCGTTGTTGTCAAGGACGTTGACATGACTTCTGGCAAAACCACCAAGGGCACTGCCAACTACAAGGCTTAAGCTGCGTAGGATGACTTTCAAACCTGTGGGTGATGCCAAGATGAAGCCTGATGGAGGTTCTGAAGGAAGACTCTTCGTGGAACAACAGGCTGGACCTTGTTTGTTGTTAGCAAGCATGGAGAGGCGGGTCTGCAATATAGTTCAAACTCTAGGCGCATTCGATATGGAGCCAATTCAAGAACCATGCCCTGGCTGGCAGAACACCAATACCATGACCAACATCTTCCTCCATGCTCATCACTACTGGTGGAAATTTGCAAGTGAAATGTCCGTGATATTCTTAGGCTGAGATGATGGTTGATTGTTTGGCGGCAGCGAACGTCTCTACTATCAAAGTATGGCAGAATCCAAGGTCATGATCTGCAGCTTGTTGTCGTGCAAATAGAAAGAATCCATCAGCGTCGTCTACTCTAACTCGGCCGAACTCAACCGCTCCCTCTGTTTCAACTTTGGCCAAGCGAACAACACCCCCGCACAAGAGAACCTCTACTCGTACGTATTGCACTTCTTCACCAGTATACTCTAATATGCACAGAGCATGTTTGATGTAACCATGGACTTTTGCCTATAGTAATCTTAACCGACGCCTTGATCCATTCCTCGTTTCAGCAAGGCCTGTCAGACGACCCCACTGCATTCATCCTGGAGGCAAGCGTGCGTCTCGAACGGTCCGACCAGCCATCAGTGTATCAACTTCTTCCGCCATGCCAACGCTTGGAGGAGACAAGCAATATAGCTGCAGCGTGACAGGAAGCCAAACGAACTCAAGACAAGTATATAAAACCTCGAGGTAATCCCCAGACAAGAGTTCTTCTTTGCTCGTCCATCACCACTCTCTCTTTTCCATACAAGATGCATTTCTCTTCGCTCATTGCTCCCGTCTTTGCCCTTCTGGGTGCCGTGTCTGCCAACTCGCTCGCTGGTCGTGCGGCCCAGCTCACTCAGGTCCAGAACTTTGGCGACAACCCCAGTGGAACTGGCATGTACATCTATGTACCTACCAAGCTTGCTGCTAAGCCTCCGATCATCGTTGCCATTCACTACTGCACTGGTACTGCCCAGGCTTACTACCAGGGCTCTCCCTACGCCAAGCTGGCTGACCAGAAGGGTTTCATCGTCATCTATCCTTCTTCTCCCCACGTCAGTGATACCTGGTGCGAAACATAGATATGTATATATGCTGACAACAGGATCAGAGCGGAACTTGCTGGGATGTCTCTTCGCAGAAGTCCTTGAAGCACAATGGAGGTGGTGACAGCAACGCCATTGCCAACATGGTCACCTACGCCCTCAAGAAGTACAACGGTGATGCCAGCAAGGTCTTTGTTACCGGCTCCAGCTCTGGTGCCATGATGACCGTGAGTTCTCCATATCCCATGCTTTCGATCACATGAAGACATGTCATTCTCGAATATTGCAGACCACTGACATGACACAGAACGTCATGGCCGCTACCTACCCTGAACTCTTCGCTGCCGCCACCGCCTACTCCGGCGTCCCCGCCGGCTGCTTCGTCTCTTCCTCCGGTGCCGTCGATGCCTGGAACTCCACCTGCGCTCAAGGCAACGTCGACCAATCCGCCGCCTACTGGACCAACGTCGTCAAGGGAATGTACCCCGGCTACAGCGGTTCCCGTCCCCGCTTCCAAGTCTACCACGGCAGCATTGACACCACTCTTCGCCCCAACAACTACAGAGAGAGTGTCAAGGAGTGGACAGGTGTTTTCGGCTACGATGCTACCAAGCCTCAGACTGTCAAGAACAACTTCCCTGCTAATGGATACACTACTGATATCTGGGGTGTTGATTCAACCAACCCTCTGGGCAAGGTTCAGGGTATCTATGCTTTGAACGTTGGACACACTGTTCCTATCAATGGGTATGTCGATGTTATTTTTGGTGTGCTTCAATTGCTGACATCATCGCAGTGCCCAAGACATGGCTTGGTTCGGTCTTTAAGTAGCCACTGATCGAGAGAAGTTCTCTTCGGAGAGGTCTTCGTGATAGGGGCACGTCAGGATCCGAGCGGGAGAACGACTGTGAGTGGTGTTGAGTCCGTAGTTGCTCTGGAAGCAGATTATGTTCAATCCAATCCAATCCGAATATGTTTGAAGCAGACGTGCTTCTGGACGCGGCTTCCTTGACCTCCTTGACCTCCTTCCGCATCCCAAACTTCTCTCGCCAAGTCGTCGACAAGTGGAAAAAACATTTCGAATCGTGACTTCCTGGTTTCTCACATATTAACGCACCTCCGTAGACTTCCGCAACACCTTTCACTTCCAATCAGAGTCCGTGCTCAACCCCGAGTCTCTCACAAACCCCACGGGTCGCTCCCAGTTCGTCTAAGCATACCAATGGACATTCAATGTATGCCTGAGCAGCAGCGAACTCGCCAGATACATGAAGCACGGTCATACATAAAGGGGCTTGAGCTCACTCAGTTTGTCGAACGCAAAGCTAAACAACCGGGTCGATGATCCGAAGAATCTATGAACCCCTTGCTCGGACTCCCGACCCACGGTCTCTACTTGTAAAGCTCGATGAAGTACGACCGCATGTAGGGATACACCAACACATGAAGACACATTGATCTGTATAGTTTCTCCCCCTTGATAACAAACAGCAAAGCCGTGTTGATTGAAACGACTCACGGAGCTTTGCGAATCTACTTGTAGGGCTCTCGGGATGACAGTCTTTCGTATATGCTGACACACTCTTGTGGCAAGTCTCAAGTACATTGTCATCACCAAACGGCGAAGCTATCGATAAACTAATGATTTGTGGAACAGCTTCATCGATTGTGACCCAAAAAGCCCCTGAATTTCTGTTTCGCGTTATCGACCACCTGTCTCTACTTGCAGACTTCGATGAAGAGCAGCCGCATATGGAAATACGGCAACAGGCATACATTTGACCTCCAAGTCTCCTCTCGCACGACCAGTAAGCAAAGTATCGGTGACTCTTGCCATACACGTACCCTGTGGACCTATGTGGAGGGAATGGTGATACGCCGATCGTTTGCGTGCCTAATCTCGCGTGATACTCCGAACAGATAGACATTGCCAGGTGGCAAGGAGTGGAGACAACAATGGTTGATTGTATACCCTTCCCTATATAATGCCACTAGATGTTCTACTAGATCTGCCGCACGAGGTTAACATACTAATGCTCATCCATCAGCTTGTCAGTGATACTCAACAGCAATCCCTTGATCATATGATTCAAGATATCTATGACCAATTTGGAGCAGAACAATCTTAGAGGACCCCTCTTCCATGGAATTCCAGATTGTCTATCACATGCTACTAACTCTGACGATCAAAGCTGTTTTGCACGATTGACGTCGCATACTCATATGGCCGAAATTCGCAATCGTTGGAATCGTTTCCTGGTACGATACTGATATATCGATCTGGCCACGTCTTCTTCAACTGTTACTACCAATATTATTCTCCCATTCCTTCCTCGTTCTCGCCCGAGTGACCACGGGCTGAAGGATGTGAATCCACGGCCACACCGACACCATACGCCGTCAAAGTATCGATGTGGAGCAGACGTGAGTGATCAGGTCAGTGTTCCTTCCTCATTCTCTCATCTCTCCGGCGACTATTCAACCTTACATCTTCCCAATCAACTATCCTCACTTAGCAACCTCACTCTGACCATATTTGCATAGAAACACATTCCAGGGCAGGACATACACAGACCTACTCTCCTGCTCTAAGCTATAGAATGCCGTGAGTAGTTTTATGCTTTGACGAAGTCGCGAAGAGGCAGCAACAGCCCTGCACCACATCTTGCGTATAGAGGTATTCGAACCTATACTAGATTACTTGAGTCCAGAGCAAACGTGTACTCGAGTCATCAGGCCCCATATCCCTTCCTCCACTTGACCATCTCTCTACATCGATTTAATCAAACTACATCTTCTCGAGGACTCCTCCCACTCGAGCTTTCGCACGGAAACACGACTCTCCATGGGAAGGATACCCTGAACCTGCCATTCTCCGGTTGCAACAGTACTGTTCCAAAGAGTCTCTTCATCAATGATCCAGATTTGAAGCCAAGACGTTCTTTTTCCATGCCAGCCTGAAACAGAAGATCTATATCTTGACACCTGTCGGGCGTCCTTCTAGATGCGATTTCGGTGCTTCTAACCAAGCATTGATACTGTTTGAGATTTACTTCGTGGCTCAAGTGTGCTCCAGTTGGCCTTGAAGGAATCAGGACATGGAATCTGCTTTGACGTGGACAATAAAACAACAATCACTCTGCAATACAATCACATACGGAGTAAAGTAGAGTAGTCGAAGTAAGGAAATGGGTATTTTGAAACTCTCTACTCACAGCCACCTGCTACCTGCCCATCGTCAAGAACATCTATGCAGCAGCAGCAACAGGCACAGCTCTAGGTTTCCTTGCAAACAATCCCACCACAGCATTGAACATCTCGCTAACAGGCATAAGCGCAATGTTATCTCTGTCAAACACTTGAGCCAATTGCTCAGGTCTGACAACCGGCTTGTCGGCTTCCTCGTCGTTCTCAATCAGATAGACATCAGCAGCTGGTTGCTCCTCTGACATCTCTGCATCTTCCAAGATCTCAGGGGCAGGTGCCGAGCTGGGTACAGCAGATGTGGCAATAGTGGAGGCAGCGTTGGCACCAGAGCGCTTGCCACGACGTGTGGTGCGGACGCCTGTGAGAGAGGGAGCGGCGGCGCGGGGAATAAGAGTGAACACTTCAGCAGCAGTGGTCAACATCTTGTAGCCTCTTCTACCCTTGACAGCCAACACAGCTGATGCAGGATATGGCAGCGACTGGTTGAATTGAGGCGCCGAACTTGTGGGGCTGAAGATTTGCACACGAGAGGCACCGCCCTTTGACTTCGTTGAAACAGCAAAGGTCTTGTCATCAAGGTTCGTGGTGAGGATGGAGGTGCCGAAGCGTGCTGCACGTTCGAGGTTGATGCAGTAGAGCTGAACTTCGTCAACGATGTCCCAGACTGCGATGGTTTGGTCGGCGAGGACAATGAGATGGCGATCGAGGAAGGCGAGAGCGCGGACGATACCGGTGAAGAACCCGGAGCGCGCTTGCTCAGCGGCACCATCTATTGCGTTGATGAAGTGCACAGTGGGAGTTTCGGTGACGTGCTCGAAAGCTTGAGAGACAGCTAGAGTGGAACCGTCTTCAGAATATGCAAGTGCGGCGCCTGTAGGAGGAGGGAGAAGGCTCGATGAGTCTGAAATCTCAGCCAGCTCGACACTGCGGTCTAGAGGGATGGAGTGTCGGCATGACCAGTCAACGAGGCCTTCAGCCTTGCTACCACGAACGACAATACCGTTGCGAAGGCGAGTCTTGGGCTTCCAGACACGAACACAGCTGTCCTCGCCAACACTTGCGAATCCGACCTCGACAGGATCAGCAACAAGATTTAGAATTCTGCCAGGCTGAGAATCAGCGCCCAACTGATGAGGGCTGTCGACTCTCGTTTCCAAGGCCCAGAGATTGCGTTCAGCATCCCAGCGCCAGATCTTGAGGTAGACTTCACGACGGAACTGACGTTGCTCGTCATTCGAAGCCTTGTCAGCAGCCAAGTGTTCAACATCAGGGTAAGGAGGAGACCAGGTTTCAGCTGTGGCGAGCCATTGGCCGTCGTGGCTGACTTGCAGGAAAGAAACATCAGGGACCTTGATACGATTGCCTTCGGGGCCCTTGTTGTAGTCGGTTACCATGTTTCGCGTCAAGGCTTGACGAGAGATGTGACGGTCGTTGGAAATATCGTAGGTTTGTAGGAAAGGTCGGGGAGCGGCTGATGCAGTGTGTTGAGAAGACTCGTTGGTCGAAGCAGGTACAGACAACAGGAGCTGATCAGGAGAGATGGGGTTTAGAGTGGCGGCAGCGGCACGCAAGAAGCCCTTCTCGGTGTCGATTTGAGCAGCAGTGTTCTTGTCAACACATGACTGGGCCTGCAGTCCGGCGAAGTTTGCGGTGGGCTTGAGTTCAGTGGTGGAAAGAACCATGACCGAGTTATCGGCGAGTTGGATAGCATATGATGTACCGTTAGGCGAAACAGTAAGACGCTCAATCTCAGCAGTCAAATGGGGAAGAAACTGCTTCTTGCCGGTCGACAGCTGCCAGAGCACGAGAACAGTTTCTCTTCCACCAGAAATAAGATACGTGCCGTCCTTGGACCATTTGACAGTGGCAACAGCCTCGCGGTGCCAATGAAGGGTGCGAGGAGTCAAGGACTCGGCAGATTTGTCCGAGGGGTACACGTTTTCGTAGAGGAAAATTTCACCAGAGACGTTTCCAACAGCAACCGAGAGGTTTTCCGTCTTTGCCTTCTTCTTTGACTCGCTGGACTCGATTCTGCACTCGAGACTCGTCACGCCGGCGGAGACAGTGATTTCGACAAAGTCATAGCGAGGCGAGTTCTCTGAAGCAATGCGTTTGCCGATAACCAGCTTCGTCGAGGTAGCAGCGACAATAAATTGGCCCTCAATGCGGAGATGGCTGAGGGCGTCCTTGGATGTGTAGACAGAGCGGCCTCCAGCAACAATGTTCCAGTCCTCGTCATTGTGGCAGATGGCGAACAGAGCGTCTTGTGAAGCATCCTCTGACGGTGTGACGATCAAGGCAGAGACGGCCCCCTCAAATTTGATGTCATCGTCTACGGGAGAACCAGTAATCCAGTTCCAGCGCTGAACACGACCTGTTGATGAAGCAATGTACAGATCCTCCTCGTCGGCGAATGAGACGGCGAAAGCAGTGGCGGAGCGATCGGGACCAGGCAGCTTTCTCTCGACCAGCGATGTGGCAATTGACAGGACCTCGATTTCTCGGCCGTTCGAGGCAAAGATGCAGCTGTGAAGTGTTAGAAAGTGCTAGGAGAGAGCATGGCGGAGTCTAACATACCTCTCGTCCTGGGCAAAGATGGGGTCGTGCAGGACGAATCTTCCACCCAGAGGCTTGGACAGAGTCCAGGGCGACTTTCCGTCGACTCTTGCTTGTGGCTTATCGACGACCTGGCCCTGGTCTACAGCAACGCGATCTGCGCCCTTTCTTCTAGAGGCATCACGACCTCGCCTCGCCTTCTTTCCTTGTGCTGGAGTGGTGGCTACCTGTAGCGCATTGTTGTCTGTTGAGCCAGCGGTTTGCGGGAGAATGACAGTCGGCGTGCTGACAGAGCCGAGAATCTGGGTCTTTGGTGTCGACTTTGGTGTTTGCGTCTTGACAGGCCTGGGAGTGGTTGTGGTTGTGGTTGTGTGCTGGTTCAGGTGGTCGCTCTTCTGGCGCTTGGGCAAAGCAGCAGCATCACGCACCGAGCGCTTTCTCTTTAATTGTGTATCGGACATGGTTGCAACTTCCAAGGTTTGTGTTTCGCTGCTTCCGGCCACTTCAGAAAAAAGTTGGTTGAACCCTCGTCGGCATCGCGGGCTCCAGAAATTCCTTGAGCGCGGAGAAATTGCTTGGCGCCACTTTTTGCGATCAACTGTCGACTTTGCGACTGGAGGCCGCTCTTGAACCACCATCGCTGTCGCCCTCGATCATCGCAAACAAGTCGCTCCTTTTACACAACTCCCAATACCAAGCGCATCCATACCACACACAAGATGATCATCCCCATCCGCTGTTTCTCCTGCGGCAAGGTCAGTGCACGACGCTCACCTCTCTCTCGCAATGCGCTGACTTGAGGACAAGGTTGTCGCCGACCTCTGGGAGCGCTACATGGCTCTGCTGGACGAGGGCATGCCCGATGGGTGAGTCTGCGACCCTATGCGATCAGTCACACAGCATTCTGACAGAGCCACAACAGTGACGCCATGGACAAGCTCGGCCTGACACGCTACTGCTGTCGCCGTATGCTCATGACCCACGTCGACCTGATCGAGAAGCTGCTCCGGTACGCCATCCTCTGCCTCTTCTCAGCGTCCTTTCCACTGACACGTCTCATCAGTTACAACCCCAACGAGCGCGACATCATCAGACAGCGCGTCTAGACACCTCTCTCACACACAAACCATACCTCTTTTGCATACAACAATCCGGCGTTCTTGGGCATATTCCTTCAAAGCATGGAGTTCTGGGTGGTCCTTCTTTTCGAGAAAGGGGTGGACGGATGACTAGTTGAACAAGTCAGAAAAGTTGATGGAGGATGAAACATCACGAAGAACAAAAATGAGCTTGCAAAAGGATCGACAAAAGCCTGCAGCTGAACAAAGACAACCAACTCGAAACACCCCTCCCACTTTCACAGCCTGCCAATCCTGATCTTGGCCATTGGAATCTTCTGGCTTTCCGCAACACTTTCCTTTCTGCGCTTTCTGAAATGCACATGCACATGCAAGCCTCTTGATTATTGCTTATGGGTCAGTAGCCTTACCTTGAACTTTCGCTATCACAGCTGCGTTCGCTCAGGTCATACCCAAGACATTGTGCTTACAGGGCTATCCACTACATCAAACAGTCCACTGTTGCACTTCACGCACGACAAGCAATGTTGGGCAACCATCTCCTCATTTGTTCGAGAACGTATGCATTGTCATTCAGTCATGGGACAAAAAAGTGCTTGTGCAATCTGCAAAGAACTCGAAACGAAAACTAATAACAATGGATGCCGCTGTTCAGTGCTCGCCTCGCTCACGCATAAAAGTATGACAAAGCAATTCAAGATATGCTCAAGTCGTTCACCATATCGTACAATGTGAAACCCGTAAAACGCCATGCATGCATAAACCGCTCAGATCAGATGAATGCCATACCACGAAAACAAAGGTGCAAGGGAGAAGAAGGGAGCAGAATGTTGTCGGGGGTCCCGAGGTGGGTCATGTCCAGAAAGTGACAACCAGAAGGTAAGTGTAATAGAAGGTTGTTGTGGGTGAAGAGTGGGCCGTATGAAGGATTGGGTAAGTGTGTGAGAAGGTGATCAACAGCATCGTCCCTTTCTGACGTTAGTATTATCCTCACTCTCGCCAGCCTCGGATGCATAGCTGACTGCACCGGGCGTATTGGGAAAGCCTAGCCAGCTGCGTCGCTTGTCGCCATGTCCAACGCGGAAGCTGCCTGTGCCACCATTTGGGAGGTCGAAGTAGCTTGGGCCGCCCTCAGTGAAAGGAGTGCGTCCCATGGTCGCTGCGATGGTGCGCTGTTGGTCAAGTCTGCGCTGGTGCTGGTCGACGAGCTTGCGGGTGATGACGCGGAACATTTCTTCTATGCCCTCGCCATCTTTTGCGCTGATCTCGTGGCAGCAGTCCCATATGTGCTCTTGACCCCAGAAGCCACTGCTGCGGTTGCTGTGTGGTGAGGCCATGGCGGCAAGGTTGTTGTTGCTAGGAGGCGAGCTGTGCATGGCGCTTGAAGGACGAGCGCTACCAGCGACGACTTGATCTGGGTAGAGCTGCTCTGCGACATAGCCGATGCAGCGCTCAAAGGGCACTTCACGTTTGGACGGGTCTTCGGCGACGACATCACTCTTGGTGCCGACAACATGGACGATCAAGTCCTCAGTGTCACCCCAGCCAGCCTTGTCCCTCAGCTCCCGCAGCCATACGCCCATCTCGTCGAAGCTCTTCCTGCTCGTGATATCATAGCATAGCACGGCGGCATGTGCACCGCGATAGTATAGCTTGCTGATGCTGCGGAAGCGTTCCTGGCCGGCGGTATCCCAGATCTGGAGGCGTATGTCCGTGTCGGTTTCGGGATCGTGGACGCGGGTGGTCAAAAAGGAAGCGCCAACGGTCGAGGGAGTGCTGGGAGGGAGAAAGGTCGAGTGGACAAAACGGTGGACCAGCGAGGTCTTGCCCACATTTTGAGAACCGAGCACGACCAGCTTAGCCTCTAGCGAAGTCGTGGGCGCTGACATGACTCGTGGGATTAGAAAAACAGTATAACAAGAAGGAAGGTGACCAATAGGGAGTGTGAAAGTGTCGCTAACTTGATAGGCGACAGAGTCCGAGTTGAGCCGGTGCGCGTGCGACAAGCAAGGTCGTTTGTGGCCCTGCTGAACACTTTGACCGCAGGCGCAGTGTGTTGTCCCGGGTGATTGCCTGTGGGGGGTTGTGGTGAGCCTAGAAGCAGCAGGCGAGCGCCAGCAACATTTGACAAGCGGCCATTGCCCAAAGCGTCGCCTGTAGAAGGGAAAGAGAGCGGACTGGAAAAGGAGTCCGTTGTAGAATGAGAGAGAGGGTGTTTCAGGGACCTGGAGTTGTCTGTTGATGTTGTTCCTGCCTGTTTAGGTTACTGCCGATTTCCGACCTCCGCCGGCCGAAGCTTAGACATCAGACACACTTTGACACCGCTTTTGACACCTGCCGTACCACTTCATCTGCATCTCTCGTCCATCTTGACATGTTTGACATGTCTGAATGTACAAACATCACCTGGCAGTCCCCAGACATCGTGTCTGACATGCTCATCATTCGTATCAAGAGATGATATCCTACACCATCTAGCCCGAGCATCTGCGTCTCCACAATCCTGAATCTCGCTATCGCGAAACGTCTTTATTCATGTCCTGCGTATGAGCCGGTGGGCCACAAACGCTCGCCTGTATTCACACGCCCTCGGCCCAGCTCGCCGCGAACCCTCCTGTCACCTGTCAACATCTGACACGTACGGCGTCAAACACTACAAGACAGCAACACCTCGAGCTTTTCGTCCTCCAGTATGGCCTCCTGAGACACTACACATTCTAGTGATCAACTGCGTTCATGATGGAGTATCCTACTCGGTTTGTATCTTCTGGTCGGAGCACACCCCGAGAAGCCTTGTACATATGCAGCTACGCACGTAATCAGCTGCTCTAGATCAAGGACTTCGTTGTCCGGTCCTTATTACAGTGGGTCGGAGAATATCCGAGCGAAGCCACCCACAAACGCAGGCTTCTGCCAATCGTGTCAGGCATAGAAAAGACAATGAGATCAACTTCCTACAGCATACTCGAGGATCAATCGAGATCATCACAATGCAACCACAAAGACCAGGAAGCAGCACTTGTAGAAAGAAACAAGCGCTTCTATTGGAACCTCGGACTTTCTGGAAACGGCGTCATCAGGTATCAAGTAGCTTGTGGTTCGCCGTTGGCTACATCCACTTGATCCAACGTTCATGTCAAGAGCCTCATCGATCTATACAGCTTGAGCGTCGGATATCCTCGGATTGTCTCTCCTTTCACCAATTCACACTGACTGCGTAAAATGTATCTTCTGTTCCAGAACATGCATCCAGGTTCTAGTCATGACGCCAGCTGATATTCCAGGGACTCGTTGCTATCATGGCGTATCACTCGGTGGGGAAGGATCATTGAAGTGTCTCTGGTTCTTGACGGCCATAGGATCCTCCTGCCGTTGCTTTACTATCTCGCTTGACCCGTTCTCTTCTTTGAGTCAGTATCTGTTGCTGTGTAGACGAGTCTAGCTCCACTAAGCTACGCTTCTACGCAAAAATGGCAAGTCATGGTACCCCATGGTGATGATGCCGTTGAAGTGTTTCAAAACTTGGATCTCGCCGCCTTCAAGTTCTCGAGGCTGGGTGAGAGTGCTGTACTTGCCTCGAGGTTGGTTTTGCATTTGACTTAGCACTGATCGTGATGCTTTCGCGAGGCCTGTCGCGCTGCCTTTTCGTCCTCCAGTCTTGATTGTAACGACCTATTACCTACTAATACACTGATCTTGCAGCTGTGGGCGCACTCGACATGCGCTTCCAGGGTGTCGCCTTAACAGGCGGCCTTATTCTATCATCCCTGTCTGGTGCTGCTTCTCAGGATACGATCGTTCAGTCAGTCAGCGATCATGCCCACCCATCTGTTCGCAGGCGTTCAGAAGTCGAAGCATCCGTTGCTAGGAAAGATTCCGTGTTTGGAGTACTCAAGAAGCTCGTACCTGTCGTGGACATCCCAGTGCCATTTCGCTTCAACATTAATCGGATCCCAGACAAGAATCCGCAAAGAGATAACGGTGACCAGTCCTCGCGATCTTCTGCCGACCAAGACCTTGAGGAGCATATTCTGGATGATCGACTCGTGGCGTCTAGATCTTCGACTTCGAAAACAATGGTGTTCCCTCGTCGCGCATTGTCTACAGTGACCCGTCTGTCACAACAGTCAACCAGCAAGAGCTCATCAAAGACGAGTAGTACTGCACGGGTGACGAGTAGTGGACGGATCGTGAAGACATCTACCACGACTGTTTCTGTTACACGAGGAGCGCCTCTTTCGAAGTCGACAAGTCAGAAAGCATTCTCGAGCTCGAAACGATCAACATCTTCCGTGAAGGTGGTCAGCACTCCAAGCAAGGCTTCGACTTCGTCACGACTCACCAAACCAATTCGTGGCTCTAAAATCACGAGTAAATTTGCTCCAAGCTCGGCAGGGAGATCGACTAGCTCTAAATCAAGCAGTCCTATAACTCGTGCCTCCACTTCCGAAAATCGAGCATCTACGTCAACAAGAGTGCTTACGAGCTCTATCAACAAGTTTTCGACTGCGACCGAAAAGAGTTCTAGTTCTAAGAAGGTACTCTCCAGCTCTGGCGACAAGATCTCCAGCACTAAACCGTCAATTGCGACGAAATTTGCTTCCACATCGAGTATCAAGATCTCTACTTCTACTGGGAGAGGTTTTAGCTCTGCGACAAAGGTCTCTGGATCCGTACACAGCGCGTCTAGCTCTACGAAGGAAGTTTCTGGCTCTACCAACAAGGCTTCCAGCTCCGCGCGACTTCTTTCTAGCGCCACAAAGGTTCTACCAAGTTCAAGTGGAATGACGAGTGGGGCGAGCTCGATCAAGAGTAGCTCCATCAGCAGCACATCTCGCGCATCAACGAATGGGAATGTCTCTAGTTCATCAAGCAAAACTAGCTCTCCGTCTCAAGTATCTTCTTACCCCACGACCAGATCAACCTTGACAAATCATTCTTCAGCGTCCATCAAGACATCAAGTGCTGTCCGCGGATCTGTCTCCAAGGCCTCTTCGGCGTCCGCGAAATCTTCAAGTGTTGCGCGTGGTTCCGCTTTGACTGAATCATTCATTGGAGAACATTCGACTTCTAGCACTAGCAGCCTGTCAGCAACGACATTGTTCCCCTCGGTTGCTTCTTCAAATTCTCCAGGAACATCATCCAGGACCACGACTTCCTTGAGTACGCGAAGATGTAGAGGCATGTTGTCTTGTCCTCCTGAGGATCCCACAGAAACCCTATCACCTGTGGCCGGACCATCATCCATGCAGACATCAGCGCTGTCCCCCACCACCTCATCATTCACAGAAACACTGATTTTGAGCGCGGGTCTAGGATCAAGTCACATTCAGTCTGCCCCGACACAATCACCAATTTCATCCGCAATTGCTGGTGACGATACGTCGCATCAGTCCGACTTGATCAACCCTATACGAGGACAGCTTCCGTCGAAACTGAGTACCTTGTCGGCTCCAACAATATACTTGCCCTCATCTCACACTACTGATGTGGGTTCGGGGCCATATCAAATCCAGTCGACGACTACAGTAACCGTACCACAGACCAGCAGCTCTGGTACTACCGCACCTCATGCTACGGCTATATCATTGCCAGAATTTTCATCATCGGTCAAGGTTTCGGCAGTTCGTGGTCAGCTGCCTCCTTCTCGCATCTCATCAAGTACATCATTGATGTCCACTCAAGTCGCATCGGCTCCTCAGTCAGAGAGCTCTACCCGTGTGTCCCCTACTTGGGTAATTGGATCTGGTAATCCTGGCGAACAGTCATCCATATCAGTATTTCCTGGCCAAGATCCTGCACCAGGGTCCAGTGCTGCCACGAGTGTCAATACGAGCCTCGTCTCTAGTTCGCAATCCACCAAGACTGTCGATAGTCCGGTGGGATCAAATTCATCACAGTCAGCCAGCTCGACAGTCAGCACATACTCATCTTCGGCCTCTGTCAATAGTCCAGGTCTCTCGAATCCGTCACAGACAGCGATATCCACTGTGAGCACTCCGATGACATTTGGTTTGTCGCATTCATTAAATCGACCCTCGAGCGCAAACTCGATCTCTGTAACAAATTCCGCCAGTGCGCAAGCCTCCACCTCATCAGCTGATCTCATCTCGAAGCCAGAAGCTATCACTTCCGCGATGGCTTCGAGCACATCCTCTACATTAGTGTCTTCCTCGCCAAGCAGTACTAGCCACAGCGAGACTACGATAGATCTTGCAACGTCGTCGGAAACGATAGACATCCAGAGCTCTACAAGTCCTTCCAGCCCAACCTCGAGCAGCGAAGACCTCCTGACCGCAAGCACAGCGATCGATACATCAATCTCCCTTGGCTACACTATTACAGCCTCTAAGAGTCCTCAGTCGAAATCCGTCATCAACCTCTCATTGTCTTCTGCTGCCACTTCCATCACTGAGGCTTTCATCTCCAAGGAGACCAATCTTGCAGTAACCGACTTACCTGGCAGTGTTGTGTCTTCGAAGCCATTCTCTCTACCGAGCTCTATTTCAGTCGAGTCATCCTCTCCTGTCGACGATTCAGCTACATCTACAGGGACATTCTCCTCTGCGAATGCGATAGCCCAATCCCAACGGATCTCAACGAGCTCGGTGTTGGCCTCCTTCGCAAGCTTTTCGTTTTCGAGCAGCCTGGGCTCAACACTGCTGACACCCGACTTGGCTTCCCCAACAACCACGATGGATTCCTTCATAGTTGAGTCCACTCGGTCGCCCAGTATTTCGATCATTGTACCAGATGTACAGTCCACAGTGCTTTCTTCCTCTTTCAGATCCGGAAGTATTAGCATCCAAATACCCACGACTTCAGGAGACCTGATCGCCAGTTCATTCTTGTCTGCCGCGGAAAGTGCGTCGCATACAATCGATATTGT